AACGCAGTCTTTGACCCCGGGCCCAGCGTATCCTTCAGCAGAGTCGTCAGCTTGGAGTTTCTGTACGGGATGTGCGCGCTGTTCGTGGCAATTGAGTATACGACGTCTCCCAGCGCAGTCAGGCTCTTGTTTATCTCCACGGCCTCCTTCATTCGCTCGCCCTCGGCCTTGGAGTGATTCAGCCGCTCAGAGCCTGCCAAGTCCGCAATGCACAGGCTTCCCCGGATGCACTCCAGCGCCCCTGTCTCGCTCTCCCTCTGCAGGGCCACGCATATTTTGAGGACCAAGTGGCTCCTGCTGCTCCTGGAGTTGCACTCCGTGCTTCCGACCTTTCTGCTGGCGGAGACCTTCCGGAAAGTTTCCTCGATGTGCTCTACCCCGGAGGCATCGCTGACCGACTTTATCACCTTGTCGTTGTACAGCTCCACCGCAGAAACACTCACACTGTGCGCATATCCGGCCGACTCCAGCCTTTTCAGCTCGCTTCTGAGCATCTCCGTGCTTCTCTGCACGATTCCAGCGCTGCTTTTGCAGTGCGCCCCCAGGCCTGAAGGGCCCTCCATCGAGTAGGTTTTTCCGCTTCCTGTTGGCCCGTATGCGAGCACGCTCACACTGTACCCGCGGGTGACGGAGTACACGAGGTCCTCGATCTCTGCAAAGAGCTCCTCCTGCGTGGCCTTTGGCGAAAGGACTTTATTGCACCGGCTTACAAAGGACTTGCACGGTATTTCCACCGCGTCCTCGGTGATCAAAACCTCTTCTTTCGAGACAAACGGCTTCACGCGGGCAACCACCCGGATCGCCCCCTTTAGGTCGAGGATCTCCGCGAGCTGCGACTTTATTTTTGCCTCAGCCCACGCCTTCTGCGCCAAATGCTCTTTTCTTTCAGCCGCTATCAGGGCCTGCAGCCTTTCAACCTCCTTGCCCAGGAAAGCCCCGTGCTCGCTCCCTGCAGATGCTTTCTCCTTTGCGTCTTTCCTGGCTCTTTCTTTCAGCTGCTGCACCTCCTCCCGGAGAGCTCTGATTTCAGCTTCGTGCTCTGCGCCCGTGTCCTTCTTGAGTATTTCGGGTATGCTGCTTTTCATCGCATACTTTAGATTCGAGGTATTTGCCTCCATGCTGGACAGAATGTTTGAGAGTCTGTCTGTGTTGAAGGACATTTAAAAAAAACGAAGCGCGCACTTTATTTATGCGCAGCAAAATAGACACAGGCGACGGGACTCGAACCCGCAATCTTCTGATCCGAAGTCAGACGCGTTACCATTACGCCACGCCTGTTACATTTCCAACGGCGCGCTTTCCCCCACTCCGTCCGCACGGTCCTGCTGCAGGCTTTCTTCCGTGCGGGGAGACTTTGCAGCTGCAGGGTTTCTTTCGTGCGGGCTGTATAGAAATACTTTGCAAAAATTCGGGCTGCCAGAGAAAACAAACTGCGCAATATATATTTGCAATGCGGAAGTTCTGGTGAAATTCACGGCCTTTATTTTTTATTGGAGTGCTTATATAGACACTGTTTAATCTACCCCTTAAGGTCTAAGTTGTGTAGCCCCGTGAGTATGCCCATCTAAGCAATAAACAAGCACGAGCAACTGCTTTCAGCGCGCAAATGTACAACTCGGGCAAGAAAACACTGGGATGCGCACTCGCAGGATGAAGTCCCGGGCAGATCGAGACTTGGATGTTGCACGCTGCGCCTTTGCTCACGGTGCGAGGATTTCGGGCTGTTCAGGTTCGGGCTGTTTCGAATTGCGGTCTCCAGGGCGGGCGAAAGCGCGGAAGAAGAAGGCAGTGCGAGTTAATTATTGGAGCTTTTATTGTCTATGCAAAACCGAATCCGCTCGAGCACTCTTCGACAGAAAACAGGAGGGCCTTGACAAACTGCTCATACGTGTCGTACTCTGGGAGGTCCAGCTGGTTGAAGCATGTGTGTGCAGTTGGGAGCCTGGTGGAGCCGCCGGATGCCTTGTGGATCTGGAACTTTTGGTTTCCGTTCTGGCATCGGAGTCCTGCAAACCCTTCGAGCGGGAGCTTGGACGTTCCGGTTGCAAACTGCAGGAGCTTCGCCCGCTCCTCCATGGTGAAGCTGCGCACTGCTCTCCAGTACCATCTGACCACCTGCGAGTCAGAAGTGTATCCAAAGTATATTGTGTTGTTTCTCCAGTCGTCGACGTCTATCTCCGGAAGCCCGCTGATCAGAAGCTCCAGCTCCTTCTCGTTAAACATTTTTATGAGGTCCATGTCCAGAATCTCGAAGAAGCCCTCGACGAACGCAGCCAGCTGCCGCTCGACGACCTTCACAAGCTTAAACCCGCACACGAGCTCAACATACTCGCGCTTATTCTGGTTTGTGAGCGCAATGTTTCTCCCGTTTTCCTTCAAGTCAATTATTTTCGTGATTCCGAGCTGGTCCTGCTCCATGGAAAAAGTCATTTCCAGGACATTTTCAATGTCGTTCTCTAGAATCCACACAAGCGAGCGGTAGAACTCTGGGTCCAGGGTTTCCACGTCGCTAAGATCCACTGTGATGCCGAGCACGCGCTTGTAGAACGCGCGCGTAAAGTGGCAGTCCACGGTCATTTCGTCGTACACGGCCTTCCCAATAATGCGCCCGATAAACTTAAAGTACACGAGGTGCTCTGGGTTTATGTGGCTGATGTGGTTTGGCTGGTAGGAAGCCCCTATTGGCGTGAACAGCGCGTAGTTGGGATTGAACATCTCTTTGCCCAGCTCGGAGTACCACTCGCGCGTAAGCCCTCCTGCGTCCACGCCGTCTTCGCCCACAAACTTGATGTTGAACTTGGCGTGCTGCACCTGCTTTCCGGGCAGGCGCATGAGCTGGTGGAAAGTGTCCTCAAAGACCGTTCCCCTCTGCACCATCAGCTGGACTGTTGACTTCTGGTGCTGCTCTCCCCGCACTTTCTTGTAGAAGTACACCCGCTTGTTGTCGAAGTCCAGGATCTTCCTGGGCAGGCCTGCAAACGAAGAAAACAGCAGATCCGGGTCCGCCTGGATGAACGTGTTTATCAGGTCCTTCTCCCTTTCCACCACGGCGTGGTATATAGAGGGCTCGCTTGTGATCTCTTCGAACTCGCTCCCATCTTCGCTGCTTCCCGTGTGCATCTGGATAGTGTGCACGATGATAAACGCCTTAAAAATCGGCAGGAGCGAGGAGACATAGAGCGCCTCCTTCTCCTTTGGAAGGATGTGCGCAAAGTAGTGCTCCCAGAAAGGCATTTCCCGGAGCGCAAGGAGGTCGTCCAGATAGCTCGGCGTAACTCCCAGAACGCCTATCAGCGTGACCATGCGCACAAGGCGGGAAATTGCCTTTGTGCACGCCTGGCTGCTAAACTCTATTTTGTTCAAGCACTCTTCAAGCACCTTCTTGCTTTCCCCCACGAGGTAGACCAGATACTCTTTTCTGTAAAACCGGTCTGTTTTCTTTATAAAAGAAGAGAAGTTTGCAAACGTGTCGTCTGACATGTCGTACTCCAGAAACTCGATGTAGCTCTGGATGTGCACGCTGCCCGGGTCCTGCACCCGGTTGTTCACGAAGCAGTCTCCAATCGTGCTGAGCAGCTTGATGCTTTCCGGCATAGTTCTTTTGTTCGTGCTGTGGAGTATCTGGTTCAGCAAGGAGATGTTCGTGCTGAACACTGTCGTGATGTCCGACGATTTTGTGCAAAGGTACGTGAGTGCCTCAAAGCTTCTTTTCACCGTCACCTCCGGAACCACTTCATTTGCCCCGCTCGGCGAGCTTGTTATGTATGGGTTCCCCGCCGGCTTCTGGCTGATGTTTCCCACAAGCACTCCCACCACGCACTCTCGGATTTCCCTGTCGGAGCACATGTTGTGTATTATCCTGTAAAGATGTCTTCGGTTTGTGTACGACATGGTCATTCTAATGAAGCCTGGGACTATGTCAGACTCGAACGGCATCAGCGCATTTCGCTCGGCAATAAACGGCACGTCCTGCGGCCTCTTTTTTTTCTCCTCTCTCCTCGGGACTTCTCCGGCGAATGTTTCCATGTATCGAGTCTCCTGCTCCTCAAACACGCTCCGCACTTCTTCGCGCAGCCTGTCCAAAAAGTGTATGCTTATGGGCCTATACTCCGTGCTGGAGGCTATCCGGTCCTGGTAGAAGTGGAACACCGTGTCCTCCAAAATGTCGCTGGGGAGGTTGTTGAGGACCTCCACGTCCAGCTCCGGCACCTCTCCGTTCTCGTCGCCTATCGCTATTTCCTCTCCCGTGGCAAAACTCTCTTCGTCGTCGTATTCCTCTTCGTCGTACTCCTCCTCGTACTCCTCGTACTCGGTGTCCTCCGTGTTTTCCGCGTCAATTTCCAGCGGCTCGTCCTCCAGCGGCGTCTCTTCCTGGGCAGGCTCTTTCTCCTGCAGAACAGAAAGTATGATTTTCTCGAGCATTTTCTGGATAAAGCTTGCGCGCTCCCCGTCCAGAAAAATCTCCATTTCCTCCGTGAGGATTTTCGAAGTGGACGGCGTTCCCAGCGACTTTAGAAACTCGTTCTTCTCCGGGGCTGCCTCCTCTTCCTCCAGCAAGACTTCCTCCGACAAGGTGTACTCCTCGTAGTTGTTGGACTCTGACGTGTACACCGTCAGAGAGTCCTCTGTGCTGGCCTCCTCCACCTCGTTCGACTGCTCGTCTGTGTCGTCGTACAGCATCTGGTCGCTGTCCATGGTTTCGTCCGTGTCAAAGTCCTCCATGTACCCCTCGTCAATGTCCTCAAAGTACATCTCCTCCTCCGACTGGCTGGCCTCCTCGTAAAACGCCTCTTTCTCGTCGACAGAAACAATCCGCGTAATGTACTCGATGGGCCCTGCAAGCGCCTCCAGAATGGCGCCGTAGTCTTTTCGCCTGTTGTCTATTTCCATCGTGCGCGAGATTATCGACTCCAAAACGCACATTTCCTTGATCAGCGTGATGCACTCGTCAAAGGTGTTCTTGCTGAAGCGGGTGACAAGAATCTCCTGGACGAGCTCTGTAAGCACAACTATGTTGTTCATCGACTCGTGTATCATCTCTACGATATACCCCATGAGGTGTCTCTTAATGCTGATTCCTATGGTGTAGTTGAAAACCGCGACAATAAAGTGCCCGGACCAGTGGGCAAGCGCCTTCTCCTCCTCAGAAATCGTGCCAGGTTTTGTGAGCTTTGCGTGCATGGCGTGCCAGCTCAGGAACCTCCGGAAGCCTGGATAGTCCTCCTCTCCCAGGGACGCGACAAGCTGCGGGAAAGCCACGACCAGAAGAGAAAGCGAGTGCACGCGGGCCGTTTTTTCGAGCGTGCTTCCAGTGTCTGTGGAAAATATGGCTCTGAACACCTCGGGCTTTACGTCCGAGTACTTCTTTATCTTTTTGTTGAAAAGCCCGTCCGAGAGCGTCTCCAGCGCGGCCTCCGACATCTCGGTGCTCCCCGAAGGCGCTTTCACGTTTTCCGGGAGCTTGTGCCTGATGTCGTCCCAGCCTGCGCTGATGCACTCAAAGTTCTCTGTTATGTACTTCAGCGCGGTGGAAATCGAGTAGAAGATTGTGCTTCGCAGGTTGCTGCACGTGGTGTGTGTGGTGTACATCCTGAACTTTCCAAGATGCTTGCTTTTGATCACGCTATTCACAGTCTCCTGCACGGCCTCTGGCCCCTCCACCATCCTTCTGACCAGAAGGTTTATCACGGTAAGCAGGCTTTCCTGGGCCTGGCTGCTCTCCAGCGCGCTGTACATTCTGTCGACAAGCTCCATGGGGGCCTCTACGTGCAGCCCAAACGAGTACTCAATGTGCAACTTTGTGACCACCAAAAGCACGACGCCCTGCCCCTCCAGAACGCCTGCGTCTGTGGTTTCGTGGAATCTGATGGTCCCAAGCGCCTTGTCCAGAAGGCTCGTTTTCTTCAGCGTGTCGTGCATCGCTGTGAACAGCACAACCATTGCGTACATCTTGAGGAACGACGGGTCTGTGGACTCGCCAACCACCTCCGTCATTTCTGGCAAGTAGCTGTACAGGTGGAAGAACGCGCAGGAGTCTTTAATTGCCGCGTGCCGCAGCAGATCGTAGCACTTCTTGTCGTACACCTGCCGGAACGTGGCTCCGTCTGCGAGAAGAATCGTGAAAATATCTGCGTTCAGCACGCTCTCTGTTTCGCTTCTTGGCAGACTCAGAAACGCGGAAACGAAAAAAGCCCCGAGCGCCTCCCTCCGAGCGTGCGAGGGAAGGAAAGCCGGCTCTGCGCCAGGCTCTGTCTTTGTGCTCTTCTGCGTTTTCAGCAAGGAGTAAAACGCGGTTTTGACTATGCTCAGCAGGTGCTCTATGCTGCTTTTGTCTATGTGCTCCAGGAGAAGCTCTACAAAGACCAAAACATGCTCTTCAATTTCGCACAGCTTCTCTCTGTGCGCAGTCTCTTCTGCGGGGGAGAAAATGCCCCTGATTCCCCGGATGTATATGGACAGCAGCTCGAGTATAGAGGTGACTGTTTTTTTAAGAGAGGCCTCGTCGATTTCGTTTTTTGTGTGCATGCCCACAAGCTTCCTGGCATGCTCCATCAGCCTCCCGCACACGTTTATTTCTATGAGGTAGTCGTGCGTAATTACAAAGTGGTATCCGGCCATGTATCCTGCGGGGTCTTTGTCCAGCAGGAGGTAGTTTTTCAGGCCGTGCATGTGGGTGGAATAGTACACGTACTCGTTCTGTGCGGCCTTGTCAAGGGAGTCTTCTACAAGCATCGAAAACACCTTCAGGAACTGCTTGGGGCTGTCCTTCACGCTGTGTATGTTCTTGAGGATGCCCAGCGTAAACGAGTAGTACAGGTTTATCAGCATCTCGCACGACTGTTTTTTGGCAGGATCATTCTCCACGACTATGTCGTTAAAGTACTCGCTGACTCGCATGACTGTTTGCAGAAAGCCCTTTGTAGTGCAGTGCTTTATAAACGCGCGGCTTGCGTCCTCTGCCTTAAACAGCAAGTAGTTTGCTACCAGTAGAATCCTTTTTATTTTGTCCGCGTTCTCCTGCGTGACTTTATTTTTCATCACACGGTCAACCAGCTTTGCAATGTACGAAATCACATATGCCTGGTCCTCGTTGAACACTTCGATCAGTATGCTCATGACGTCCGTGTACAGCTCGGTGTCTGGAGGAATCTCGATCAGCGTGAGCATGCTTATGATGCGATTGTTCAGCAGGCCCATATCGGTGATCAGCTGGTTGTTTGTGGTTTTTCTGTAGACTGCCCGGTGGACCATCCGGAACAGGTTTTCCAGCAAAACCAGCATGAGCGCATGGTCTGTGTGGGGAATCTGGGCCTCCAGGTTCTTCATCGTGTTGTATATCCTCTCTTTCACGGAGGCCGACACCACGGGGTAGTGCCGGACCAGATTTTCCAGGAACACCCCGTACGTGCTGGCGATGTCGTACGACATGATTATGTTGCACATGTTCGGCATTTCGAATCCCTGGAAGATTTTGTCCAGAATGTTTGCCTCCTCTATTTTCCGGATGAGCTCTGCGTTTAGGAAAAACGCCTCAATGATGTTTGGGAACTCCAGCAGCAGGTCCGGGCACGATGTGAGCTCTTTTTTCATGCACATCACGAACCCCTCAAATATGCCGGCCTCAACCACAAAGAGAAGATTCGACGGCTCGTTGTGGATGTAGTCCGACACGGTTGAAAACAGATACGCAAGTATAGAAGGGGTAAACTTTTCCGAGTGGAAAAGGATCTGTGTGATTGCTTTGGGAAACTCTCCCTCTAAAAACCCGCGCATGGCCTCCACAGTGCCCACGTTCTTGAACAGCTGCGAGACTATCTTCATGATTGAGTTGATGTACATCAGCAGGTCGTAGTCCTCGATGCTCCCCAAAACCGTTTCAACCGCCGCCAGAAGCTGCTTGGACAGAACCCCCATGCCGTTTTCGGAGATGAACCACGTGAAAGGCGCCGGAAGCGTAAACAGGAACGTGTTTGCCCCCATCACAAGACGCATTTTCTTCTTGTACGAAATGTCCGCCCGGTCCCTCAGCGTGTTGTACACGTACTGCACAATTCCCGCGGAGAACAGCGCAGACACGCACTGCGCAGAGGCAAAGCACGAGCTAAGGAAGTTGAAAAACGCAACCACAAAGTGTTCTGGAAGCTCCTCGTTTACTATTTTTTTCAAAAGGTTCATTATCATTCCCTCGTGCGACTGCGCGCTCATCGCCGATATTACAGAAGAGTGCCGAATGCGCATTCTGAATATCGAGTCGACCATGGTCAGGGCAGCCTCTCGCATCTCATAGCTCTCTGTGTTGATGATGTTCAGAACCTCCGGGATGTCTCTGTTTATGAACTCGGAGTCGATTGGCAGGTCTGTGTAGCTGTAGTACACCAGCGCGCTGAACGCAAGCATTCGGATGATTTTCAGCTTGTCTATTTGCTCAAGCAGCTCGTTCTGCCGAACCGCATGGACAAACCGCCGCTGCTCCTGCTTCGGCACCGTCTTGTCTGGCAGGCCATATATCCCCTTCTTCACGACCTTTTTGATGCTCACCCTCTTGCAGCTGTCTGTGTGCTCGTCGTAGTACGTGTACACGCCCTGCGGCTTGTCCTTCACCCGGTCGATCAGTATTTTCAGCGTCTCCATCTTCATCAGGCACATGCTTGCCTTTATAGACCGCTGGATGTGGATTTTGGACGCAAAGAATGAAACCAGGTAAAGAGCGTCTATCGCCAGATCCAGCTCAAACGAGTAGATAAACGGCTCTATCACGTCGAACGAGCTGAACAGGCTTTTGTTAGAGCTGTTCTCCACCAGTAGCTTCTGAAACTTCAGTATCGCATGGGCCTTTTCCTTGTCTTCCTTCGACAGGGGCCTGTTCTGAAACTGCTCTATATTGTACTCGCTCAGCATGTTCTTCAGTACCATATCCAATCTGTCCAAAACAGAAACCCAGTAGAACAGATCGGTTTTTGTGTGCCTCCACTCGTTTATATTGGTCAAATATACGGCTATCTCGCTTTCTGGCACACTTTCCAGATTTCGTATGATGTTTGAAATGTTTTCTGGTGGCTGTGTGAATCGCTTTTCTATTGGCCTTTCAATCTTCATAAAAAATAAAAAAACAAGAAATTTAAATAGAAAGCATGCACATAGAATAGGACAGATATTTGTATTTGCTCTCACACGCTCTTTTTATCTAATGCGCGCTCTTGCAGCCCGAAAGCAGAAAAGCTGGCGCGCACTCTCGCCGATAATTTTGAAAAAGAGCTGAAATGATCAAGTGGGCAGAGAACGGCCTGTTCCAGTGCTGGCTGCTTGCTTTGCCCCGGGCTGTGCGATCTCTGCCTCTGCCCGAATGCTTCATAGCACTCGCTTCCACATGCGCCAATATGCTCTCGCAGGCCCTAACTTTGCCTTTAGCGGTGCCTTGTGCTGCCCCGCAAAACAGGAGCACGAAAAGCAGCTTTCCCACGCCCAGAGCCAGTGGAATGTGCTGGCCCTTTAAAAGGCTGCAGCAGCGCTTTTGTCCCCTCCTTCCTCCGGCTCTGCGCAGGCGCTCATGCAAGTGCAGGCAAATCCCAATTCAAATGCAGAGATATACTTAGTGTTCATTTATTCTGTTGCGCCCCCCGGCTTTCTCTCTGCGTCCAAGAGAATTGCTGGCTTGAATGTGAACGGGCTGAAGAGAACGCCCTCCCCCTTGAAGAACTTCGACCCAAACTCAACCCAGTGCAGGCGCAGGCTGTGCAAAGTAGCGCTCAGCCCCTCCAGGCAAATAAGAAGAATGAATGTTCCTGCTGCCCACAGAATCGAAAGGAGGCACCGGAAGACTATGTGCAGGCCTGCATTTCCAATTGTCTGCGTGAACAGAATACCGCTTAGCTCCGAGTGTGCCAAAGAAACCGCCCAAAGTCGCAGGTACGAGGATATGTTGGATATCAGGCCCATTATAAACTCAATGCCCTCTATCATCGAGTGCAGCCACAGATCGGTTTTTGATGTGTTTTTGGGCATGTTCTTTGTGGCGATCATATAGATGGGCTCGGCCATGAGCAGGCACGGCAGCGACACAAGCACTGCGGTCATAATAACCATTTGCACAAAGTGCTGCCCAGGATACACCTGCACCTCGGGCGCGCTGAAGGAGACCATTTCGATCACCACGGCAATAACGCCCGGCCAGTTTGGGGCAGGCGTGCACCACTTGAGGACAATAAGGAAGGCAACATACCCTATCAGCCCAAAGAAAACTGTCATTTGCGGAATTATCACTCCAAACAGCTTGAGCTTGTTTTTTCTGTACACTTCGTTGATTGCATTCAGAACCATTCCCAGGGTAAGATGCGCAAATCCCAATATTATGCTGGATTTCATCTTTAGAGAGTTTGTGAAGGACTGGCCGTTCTCTGCTGCGTGCCATGCATAGTCAATTCCAAACGCGCAGTTTCCTGTTTTCTCCCCTGTTTTTGCGTATGCGGAAATGAACTCTCCAAACGGATATCCCATAAAGTCTGCGTACAGGAACCCAAAGTACACGGACCACACGCCCATAAACACCATAAGGTACCTCGCTTGGAAAAGCATTTCAAATATGTCTGTGAAGTTTGCAGTTTTTTCCTTTCTAATGAGGTATGCGCCTATTGCCACCAGAATGAGCCCGTGCCCCACGTCCCCAAACATGCACCCGAATAGGAACGGGAACGTTGTGATTGAAAATATTGTTGGGTTGATTTCTTTGTACATCGGAATGCCGTACACGTTTGTGAGATTCTGGAAACACTCTGTGATTTTTGTGGTTTCAAAGTGTGTTGGGCGGATGGTGTCTTCCGAAATTGCAATGATCTCGGCTGCGATGTCGCCATGCAACTCGCCGATCTTTTTGACCAGCATCCCAAACCGCTCCTCGTTCTTCTTCAGTATGAACCCCTCCCCCATAAGATACGAGTTTTTCTTGTTTACCTCAAACTTTTCTCGCGCTATTTCTATTTCTATCTCTCTTATGATGTAGTATTTCCACGCAGACAGCTCTCTAGACACCGTTTTCATTTCCGTTGAAAAGGTTTCGATGTTTATCTGGTGCATCTTCTTGAGCTGTGCCAGGCTCGACGACACGTTCAGCAGGTCGTTTTCCTTCCGCTCGGTCTTTTTGTCTGCATACCGGACGATTCGCGCGTCTATTTTCATGCATATGTTTTTTATTCTTTCAATCGCCTTTTCTCCGTGGGTGAAGCAAATAAACCCCATTTTTTCGGGTGTCGCCATTTCAACGGACACAAAGCACAGGTTGCCGTGCAGGGACTTCCACAGAAACTTCTCCAGCGTAAGAATCTGCTCCTTGGAGATGACTCCTGCAACATACTCCAGCCCCATTTTCAGGCTTTTGTCAGAGTCAAACTCCAGGTCCTTGAACCCCTCCGTGGAAATTCTCTCCAGGTCCTGCAGCACAATGATGTCTTCCTCCATCTTCTCAACAGCCAGCCCCGTGCTTTTCTTTATCTGCGCAAGCTGGACAGACCTGTAGTAGTGCTTCTCAATGCACGCAGACAGGTTCTCTATCGACATTTTCAGCGGAGAAATGTTGGACCCCCGGACCTGCGAAATGCTGTTCCTCTTTAGCTCCTCTGAAAGAAACTCCACGCGTGCCAGAATTTTTTCCATTTCCGCGCAGTGGTCGGTTTTTCCCTCTTTTTTTCCCGGAGGAGCAACCAAGTGGAGGATATCTCGCTGCCCTATCTCTTCCAGAACGCTTCTTATGATGTCTGGTGAAATGTACAGCCGAACCATGCTCACATCTTCGCTTCTAAACATTTTAATTTGTTTGTGCAAAAATTAGTTTTATTTCCATGCCAACTAACAAATGTGCCGTGTGCGCATACAAGCACAAGTCCAAGAAAAAGTGGATGGACGGGTCTGTCGTGCTGGAAAATGCGCGGCTGGCTCTGCTGGACACCAGGGGCAGGGAGATAGACTCTGTGCGCATAAGCAAAATTCAGTTGGAGGATGAAGTCATTCCCATGGAGTACCACGAAGTGCTCTGCGAAGACGGGGAGGAAGCAGGAGCTATTATGCAGAAGGTGCACGAGGCCTGCAAAAGTGCTGAAAAGCCTGCCGAAAAGAGCCCTGGCCTGCAAAAAGAGGCGCACTGTGGGGGCGTGCCGCCAGAGACCTCGAGAAAAGTCTTAGAGATAGTAGAGCAAGTGGTTAGGCAGCCTGCTAACCCCAGGCCTGCCAACACAAAAGAGGATCTGCTTAGGATGTTTAAATAGAAATTGCCGCTAGCTTCTGGATAGCCCAATAAAGTGCTGTGTATACGTGTTTTTTCGGCTTTGAATGCTTTCATTTTTGTTCTAGACTAGAAAACTCTGGGCTTGCGGCTTTATTTGCAGACATTTCAGCTGGAAAGACGTGCTGCCTCTGCGCCTTTATGGGGCTTCCGCTTTAATCTGCCAGAGGGCGCAGATACTGTTTAGAGGGCGCATGTTTGTATGGCGCAGCGTTTTCCAAGCACGCACATTTTGCATGCTTCGTCTAGACAGCGCACCAGAAAAACTTTGGAAACTGGCCGGAAGCTTGTTTGTATTAAAAAATATAAAATATGTGATCAAAGCAGTCATGATTGATGGCTACACACAATATATTGAAAATATATAGTATTGATTTGCATATATATAAGTATAAATAGTTAAATAGCAAGCGTGTGCATGACCCAGAGCATCATGAAAAATGAAATCGCACACACTACTCGTATGCCCGACAGTGCAGGAGGCATCGTAATAGTTTATAATACGCGCGGCGTGCTTGTAAACATAACTGCATTCATTGCGCTGTTTGTGGTTATCGTTGTTTTGGTCGTGTTTATACTCTGGTACATTTTTTACTGGAGTCGCGTGAATATCCAGCCAAGGAGCCTTCCCAGAGAAGACGTGACTGTGCAGATAGATGCTGAGAATCAGAGACCTCCCAGGCCGTATGAAAGGAAAAAAACAGCCCGAGACCTTGAAGCTTCAAAGCCTCTGCGGCCTGCGTATAAAGAAACCGCTGTTTAACACACTATGCAAATAAACAGCCCGCATAATTGCTGTTTTCCCGTGTTATAAATCCAGCACTGGCAGCTCTTCTGGCGTTCTCTGCCCTGCTTTTTTGTGCGCGCCAGAAGCGTATCTCTTTCCGGTGGTGCACTATTCTTGAAATGTCAAATCTACATGGTGTAATTAGTTTCAAAAAATTACACGAAACTCGGTTTATACAGTAGCAATTGGTTGTCAAAATGATTTTAAAATACAATCAGACGACATACTAAAAATAAAAGCTATACGAATAGAAATTATGCAAAAAAACATGGAAACGGCATGCCACACCCAGCCAGCCATAACCATTGCAGAATATATACTCATAACGCATAATACAACCCAAGTCATTATACAAGACTGGGGGCGCTCCGGCTTGTTTTTTTATGTCGGTGTAGTATGTATTTTGTGGGTTTTCATGGCGGTGCTGAGCTTTGCGCTGGCCTACATGTTCATTGAGATCTTTATTACTCTGTACTACCTAAATTCCTTTGTAGGGGTTCCACATAATATGCAAAATGACCCCTGGGCCAAGTTTCCGCTTCTTTACATGGCAGTAGGCCGATACATTTTGAAGCTGCTTGTTTGGTTCAGAGAATTCTTTATATTGTACTTCTGCATTCCATTTACGTATCAAAGTAATAGTGGCAATGTGCAGAATGCGGAAGCACAGATAGCCGAGCGCGCCGGCAACGAGCACACTCCTGAGTCTGACCCCCCCGAAAGTAACACCCCGCGCTGCGCTGAGACTCCCCCTCCATCATACACCTACATGGAATTTGAGGGCCGCCCTCTGTCTGCTCAGCATGCCACCCAGACGCATAATTAAACAATTCAAAAATCCAAGTGCGTGCGCAGCTGCTATTTCTGTTTTAGCGGCCATGTATAGAGCCTGCTGTGCCTATGCACGGCTGCACTTTCTCTCTTTGCAAATATTTATAATGGTGCATTCGCAAATGTTTAATGAAGCTGGCAATCACCACAGGAACCTACGGGTTTCCGCAGCTAATAGACAGGGTGCTGGCGCTTTTGGGCACGCTCAGCGAAAAGTACACGGAAATACACATACAGTACGGACAGCACGAGCCAGAGTCGCTCAAGCGCTTTTCTTCGCAGGGCGGCGTGCCAGTTTCTGTAGTAAAAGTGTCCTACTACAGGTCCTTGAGCGAGTTTGTGCAAAATGCGGATCTGGTTATAACCCATGCAGGGACGGGCACAGTACTCTCCCTGCTTAAAGAAGCCACGCCTTTTATCGTGGTTCCAAACGAAACTCTCTTGCACAACCACCAGAAAGAGTATGCAGAGTCTATGCGCAAAAAACTGCACATTTCCTCTCTGGATAGAGTCGTGCAGGATGCCATGAAGATACAGCACTCGCTGCACACTCTCACGGTTTCGTCTTCTCTGTGGGGCCAGCACTTTCTTCCCCATCTGAAATAGGCCAAAGCGGTGCGCCTACACGACTGGCTATAGGGCGCTGCAGCTTGGGCTTGAGCACAGAAGAGCTTGCTTGGCCTTTCTTCTATCCTTGGGCTTGGACTCTCTTCCAGGAGTGCGCATTTGGCAGCAAATGGAAAGTGCATCTCTGTCCTGGCTGCGGCGTGTGCAAGGCGGATTTCTGCTCTGGCGAAAGACGTATATTCTAAGCAGAAGCATTCACACGCTGCTTAGCCTGCGAAAGTAAAATTGGCGATTTTTCCACGCTGTGGAGTGGCCTTCAAGCAAGAACTGCCTGAAGCACGTTCTGGGCCGGCTAGGCCACTTGCAATGCATGTGCATTTGAAAAAGCCTCCAGCGAAGCCTGAGTAGCGTTCAGATGCAGCAGCATGCAGGAAATTCTTTTCATTCGCCAATATTGAGCCACAAAACAACAGCAAGCTATCCAGTGCAGAAATGCCGTGGGCTCAAGAGCTAGCCTTGCCCGTGCCTGCTTCAGTGCACTGGCACTGGGATGGCAGAGCCCTATCTGTGCTGCATGCAGCATGCGCCAATTAAAGTCCAGAGAAAAAGAGTGTGCTGCCTATACGGCTGTGCGCTGTATTGCGATGCAATTTGCTGGGAAGATTTCTGAACGTGAAGCGCGTTTATTTGAACAGCTCTATAACTATCTTAAGCTTTTCCTCTCCACCACTTTCTGCCAGCACACTGCAATTTTCCGACAGATAGCTGAGTATGGCTTTCTTCCCTAATTCTGTGTACGGCCTCAGCATAGTTTTTTGCAGACTCTTCAAATAGGGGATGTCTTGGGTGATCACGTTGTACAGCTGGAGTCTTAGCTCATTGCTGGCTTCGGGGGTGATCGCCGAAAGCCCAAACCACAGAAGATCCAGCTTATTCTTTAGCAGCCCCCCCTCCTCGCCCTCCTTCAGGAGGAGGCCCGCCAGTTCTCTGGAGTTTTCTTGCGTGCCCGCTGAGAACAGACATTTAAATAGGTGTATGTGGCAAAAGAAATTGCGCAGCCAGGGGCAGGTGTGAAGCGGAGTTTTTGTTGTTTCTGCGTAGATTTCAAAGTAGCGCATGATTGCCTTTGTTATTTTCGGGTTGTCATACACCTGGGCATTCTGCACAGAGACAATAAAGCTGTAAAGCGAGTGAATAAACATATTGGTAAATAGCGTGTCTGACATTTCTATTTTAGGATGCATGTTTCTTTTCATTGCTCCTGTAAAAATCGAAGAATAGAGGCACGATTCGGTTGGCTTGCATATTTGCAAAAAATATGCTGTCATGCTAGAGCTGGCTCGCAGCAGCAAGCTTTTAATGCCAGGGGAGAGCGCATAATCCGCAGCGCATGCATTAAAACAATTAAAAACCGCCAAAAAGTCACAAACAGAGTCTGTGTGCAGCATCAGGAAGATTTGGTTGAGTGCCTGGTGATCTTCCTTTTCCAGATCCGCCAGCATGCTGTCCACTGCGCTCATCACGTACCTTGAGACCTCAGCTTTCGTTTTCTGGTGCTGGTTGATCGTATACATTTCCTTCTCCAAGCAGTGTGCGAGCAGGCATCCGGTAAATGTTCCGTGGTTTTCGTACTGCAGATACTTTCTGATTTTGGTTTCAATGCCGTCTTGGGGGTAGCAAACAGCGACAGGAGTTACCCAAATGTTGAACTTCATTGGAGCAAATTCTATAGCCATCCCTTGCTCTAGAACGCTGTCGCTGAATCTGTACCGCAATTTGATAGCTCCGTAAATTTCGGGTCTTCCGTCTACTCCCGTTTCTTTTTGCAGCGCGTCAAGCTCCACAGAAAGCTGCTTGTTGACAGAGAGCGACGTGAAAAACTCACTTGTAAACTTCAGCAAGTCGCCGAAAAGCTCAAGGAGGCGCGTGTCCTTGTTTTTCAGCCTTGCTATAAAGCTGTCCAGCTGTTTCTTTACGCTGGGAAACTTGCCAGTTATTTTCGCAAGTGCATACAGAAAGTTCAGCATGCCGGAGTCCAGGTGAGTCCGATTTGTGAAGAGGTACACAATTTCCTCGCATGAAAGATTCGAGGTCACACACTCACTCCATTTTGAAAACAGCGATTCCATTGCAGTGCAGCCCATGTAGTGCCCGTTCCCGTACTCGTTGATTTGCTCTTTTTCGTGCCTAAATATTTTCTTCAGCCCGTCTATGTCGCTTTTGGAGGTCTTGCTGTCTATGAACCCGCTTATGCTGCAGCTTTTTGTCTTTGGGTCATAAGCAAAGCAGCGAATCAGCAGAAAAATGCCTGTATCCACCGCGCTATGGATAGGCTCGTCTGTCTGCACAGTTGGCGCCTCGCCTGGCACTTTTATTTGTGTTAGAAGGCTTTCGCAGCTGTAGTATGGGAACCATTCTATGTTTCTAATGCTGTCTTGGGTCTTTATAAACAGCCGCAAAAAGTCAACGGCCTCCTGCCTTCTTTCATCTGGCATAAACCACTCGTCGAGCAGCCTCCTCTCCTTGCACGCCTCCTCTGGCGATTCTGCAGCCTTGCACAAGTTTTCAAGAATTTTGTGCACGCACTCGAACATAGTTTTCATGTCGCTCTCGTCGTACAAGCACTCGAACAGGTGGCTGTGTGCAAGGAAGCTCACGCTTTCCAGGAACCGGCCCTTTCGGAACTCCTGCATTGTGGTCGGCATTTCTTCTGTGCCTTTGTACTTCTTGAAGAAGTTTATTGTTTCAGCTGTCTCTTTTCGGTGGCTCTCATCTTTTGACTGCAGCATGCTAATTTCAAGCACTGCCTCCTGCCTTTTTCTGTTTTTCCACAGCACAATCTTCTCTTCGTCTGCCTCAATGGGAACATCCACGCCCTCGCTTAGCAGCAAAATAGATGCCAGTATGTAGCACACAGACTCCTCCGGGCACACATACTGGAGAAATGTGCAGAAGTTGGAGGCATAGCCTACCTCCTGCTTGAAAGGCTGCTCTTCCCACTCTATTGGCAGAAGCTTTAAAAGCCTGGTGTAGTACTCGTTGATGTACTCTGCGCGCGCCTTGCCTAGCTGGCCGCCTACAAGGCTTTCAGGGGGGTATGCTCGGTCTTTCTCGGGCTCTCTCGTATAGACAGCTCGTCGGATGTCTGAGCCCACTGTATACGCCGTCAAATCATACGAGTATATAATGTCTATGTGCGGAGACAGGCGCCTCATATCGTCTGCAAGTTTCAAGTTCGCGTATATTGCGCCCTTCATGGGCGTTATTGAAGACCAAGGGCACACTATTTTTTTCTTGCCGTCTATGCCCACTATTGTAGAGAGCTGTGCTTGCTCTACAGCGTTGTAGAAGTCGGTTGCCCAAGCTATCTGGGCAGCCACTATCCCTAAAAGAGTCTGCAGCTTCATCAAGTTCTGCACTAAAAACTTCTTTATATATGTTAGTATTGCATATAAAGCGGCATCATGTTGATTGCATGCCTGCATGATTCCACGCACACGATAATTAGTAAAGCGCCAGCGCGTGCATGAGCCCATGAAATGCCGCACGCTGTGCCCGGCATGCATGTAAAGTTGGCCTGCAATGCAGAATGCGCCCGTGCTCTAGTGCTGTGGCATAATGCTGAGTTGTTTTTTGGCAAGAGACCTTCTGCTCTCTGGCCTTGGCTTTTTACGCGAAAAGTCTGAAAATGAATGTTCTTCGTACATTTTAAAACTTTTATTTTGCCCCGCCTGTTCTCGGGCAGCGTTTCCTCGCCAGCCTGCAGCCTGGCCTGCGGTACCTGGGCTTGCTGCACCTCAAAAAATGCCTTCTAGGCAATCTTGAACATTTATTTCTACGGGTATTCCAAACTTCTGCATGCACTTTAGCTGCCTCCCAAACATATTTGAATCTTCTCTAACAGTGTGCACGCACCCCGGTGCCATCCCCTGGAAAGCACCCAGCTATGTCCTGGGCAGCTGCCTGTAAATATTTATTTCTAGTAGTGTGGTGAATTATGGAATTCCCACAAAATTAGACCATGGCTTGAAACAATCAATAAGATGAGAAACATGAAATTGATTAATGATCATTAAAGACATAAATACGCGAGACGATTTTATAAAGAGAGAAATAAAATGCAGAAGTAATGTCAAGGAATTCTAAACATCGAACACCACGGCATTCAATGGTCGACATTTATAAAGCTCCAAAGGCTAATAACTCTTTATTGGAGCTTGTCTTAGACCAAAGCCGAAATTTAAACCGGATTTACGACAGGTAGAATTCGCATATCGGCTCGCCCTCTAGAAAGTCCATATCTGCTTTACACAGCACAGTTTCAGAGAATGCAAGGAAATTTGATAGGGTTTGCTTCTGGGCAAACACTGCAAAAGTGTGAAATGCCTTGCTTTTTCGAATAGATGGGTACCAGGAATATATATCTCTTAGAGAAATTTTATTTTTATCAATGTGCATTGCTTAGCCTGTTTACGGGCGTGCATAGCGAACTCACTCACTCACATTCGCTAAGAAGTCTAATAGAGCTCCCTTAATCCCTATGTGTGCGCGTTGCTGGTACTTAGAAGGTCCAGTTACTATGCAAATGGGATCCCAGTGGTTTTCATCCAGCGGGGACTCTTCTTCAATGTTTTTAATCTGAGTGATCACACTGTTGTATGGAGCATTGGTTTTGTAGGCTTTTCTATCACGTACATCTGTGTAGTTTTCGGAAACAGTAACCGAAAATGATCGGGCGTTAGTTCCTTTTGTGCACCTTTTTATGCATGCAATTGGTATGTTTCCATATGCATTTTTCTTCTCAAGGTCTTTAATGGTGATTTTTCCCTTATCTTCTTTGAAAGCGGAAGGGAGGACTATGTTGGAATACTGGCCTGGGTTGACTTTTCTAACGAACCAACTGATACGTGTCTTGTGACCATTCGTCGATTTTACAACACAGCTGGAGATGTGTGCAAGCACTAAATCCACATCAGACCTGGCTGCATTTTCAGAAATGTCGATGACAAGCTGCGGATAGTAGACTTGGCCATTACTCTTTGTTGGCTTAAACACCTGCGGGCGTGCGCTGCCAAAATCTATAATTCTATTCGGACTTTCTGAATAAATTTGGCTTGTTGGTCTATCTGAGCTATACGGTGTTATGCTTGTAAGTGACATATACATCATACTATTCAGGAACAATGGGAGGCGCAGCATGTTGGGGCCTAGAGCAGCGTTTTCGCCTGGCTGAAACTGTGTCATAATAAGCTTATCGATATTTGGTATCGTGATGGAATTTTCTTTTATATGGTAAAATACCAGCACCCGTGTTGGCGTCGGGCCGTGATAATATTCTATAAGCCAATCCTCGCGTTTCATTTCACCTGTCTGTGGATTAATTGAAAACAAGTACATGTTTAGAACAGAGACATTCCAGATGGATTCGATGCATTCTACAATAAAACGGCAGCTCATTTGAATGTGTTTAGGGACTGAAAAGGGTTTTCGCACCTGCTCTTCATTGTCAATATAATATATTGGTTGCATATCAACCCTGTATTCAGACTCGATTTCCAACTCACCAAACACGTTTTCTTCTATCGGCACAACTTCTGTTGCTACGGCCATATCATTGGAGTTGTTTGTAATAACCCGAACTTCCAGATACTCTTCCATGCATACCACGCTTTTTCCTTCAACTCTTACGCCATCAAGGCTCAAAGGGAGCCCCTGATACATTTTTGCCATGCATTCATAGAGAAAAAGGTATACATGCGTTGGATTGTCTACATTGAATTTAGGCAGATTACTCTGATTTTGTGAACCTGTAAACTCAACTCTTTCTTTGAATGTTTTTTCCAAAGCTTGCATTTTTTCTACATATAAAGCCGTACCTAAACTCCCCATGTAGGAATTTGTATAAGAATTTGCTATATTAGATAAAAATAAAAAAACCAAATAAATAGTATCGCCCGAGGCTGTAAAAAACCCCAAATTATTCGGTTTTAACATATTCACACAGGCATTACGGTGTATCTGGATGCTTTTTTCTATATCAAGGCTAACAAGATCGTTGAATATCTCTGGAATCGCGAATAGAGCATTCACAGCTGCAAACACTGAAGGATTTATATTCTTAATCACTTCTGGCGCAGTACTGTCATTTGTTAAAATCGGCAGCATGCGGTCTTTAGGAGTGTACGTTGCTGATTTACGATAATTTTGCTTCAGTGACCAAAAAATTTCCTGAAGTATGGGGTGGGTTCTCTTAGAGTTTGTGGCATCAAGCTCGCCGCTGTTTAATGTTTGTGGTTCATATGTATTTTGCATAATGAACTCATTCAATTTCTTGACTGTCTCTAGATCCCAATTTTGAATTTTTGCCAGCGAAGGATAATTAGTGTGGTTGTGGTATACTTTTTTTAAAGCCTCTCTTCTTCCACTAATCCCGCCCTCAATCCTATAAATAAATTCAAAAAGGCTGTTTCGTTCCATTGCGTTTAGAGCAGACTTAACAAAATGGTCTGAGTTGATTGCAGATGCATTGTTTGGGTTTTCAAAGTCTAGATCACAGCTGTTATAGTCAGATTCTGAGTTACCTTCAACTTCGAATTCGTTGTGTGTAAAACCACCTTCTCTCTGGTTGTTGCTTGTGCGTGTCGCTGTGTTTTCAAACATAGAACGGTATATTCTTGTACGATCATTTGCATTCGGTCGAGCAGGGGTGCAAGCGCCTATGGAAGCGGCAAGGGATTTGACTTTTGCGGCTTTTGTGTTTCTTTTGCCGAAGAAGTAAAAAAGCGCGCACATGGTCGCTATTATCGTTGGGACAACAACGGCTAAGCAAATAATAATTTTCCTAGGGGTTTTGTTTCTATTTCTATTTTCCATGTAAGTGCGAACGAAAATGCTATTTATACTTTGAAAATGATTGAGTTTGTGTATATCATATTAAAAAATAACCAAAATTTGTCCAAATTATATTATTCCCTATTAAGTCATAATCCGAATAACGTCAAAAATTCGGGGTATATTGCTTTTTAATTAGTTTTAATTAATTCTTTCTCGCATTTTCCCCTCTCTAAGCTGTCTCGCTTCGGCCCGCCCCATTACGAAGGCCACCCAGGGGAAAAATCTGCCTTTCCCCCTTGTCAATCAGTGCCTTCAAATGTAAAATGTGCCTCCTTTGCTTTGCCTCCTTCCGCGCGCCAGTGGGCTTGAACCTACAGCGCGCGCGAAAGGAGGCAAAGAAAGCCCATCAATATCCCCTTTCTCTGGCCTCCGCCCACACATTGTTTTGCCACGGCCTGCGCTTTGGCTGTTTTTCCATATTTGAAATGTGAACCAGCTGGAAAGGAGTTAAGCAAAAAAGACAGCAGATCTACACTGTGTGCATGCTTTTATCTGTCCCTGCAGCTCTTCTTTTTGGCGCAGAGTGGGCACTGGCAGGACATGGAGGCACACCATTCTGCAAACCAGCACGCCCAAATTCTATCCGAATTTCCATGGTTTGCCGCATACTTAAAGATGACTACTGGCACCGCCGCCTCTCGAGCAAAAGAAAGCAAAAAATGTGCAGGAATAGAATCCATGCGCCTGGAGTGTTCGCAAGTTTAAGCGCGCGCCCTGTTGCGCTGTATTTTATGCGTTCACTAGCACGAATTTGTTTGCAAAATGCAGTGAGGCTGTTTGCACACAGTCTCTATGCAAGCAGAGTCTAAAATAAAAAGTCGTCGCAATTTTTCGCATTGTTAATTGTTAATGTAGCCAACATGTAGATTTTTAAAGGCTTTGAAAATATTTCTCTCTGTTGACTGTACGCCTGCCGAATAATTCATCGAAGACACTTCCACTGCTTGGCAAAAAAAGTGCTCTTCTCTTCTAGATAGAAACGAGCTTGTACGTTTTGGAAAGCACGGGCAGGCGAGTGCGCTGAAAGAAGCTATCCAAGCCCGGGCAGCCAGAGCCGCATGTCCAACAGGATGCAATATTTTGGTGTGCTCAAAGGCTGTGTTTCTAGCCGCTAAAAACATGCTGCCTGACTCCCCGCATCAATTGCCTCCTTTAATCCCGGGGCTTTCCGAGAAGATGTCTGCCATGCACGCGCATGCAAAAGGCAATATACGGCCTGCATTTTGCACCCCTCCATGCTGCGCGGAGCCGGGTGAGCATTTCTGGAGTTTCTGTGTTGTATGCGCGGGGCATTAATAGAAGGGGAAGCCATGAATTAAAATGCATCCAATAGAATTCGGGCATAGACGCTCCGTCTTTTTATATTCGTCTCATTTTTATTTTTCCATGCAGAAACAGAAGGCTTTGCAAATACAAAAACTAAAGAACACACTTCCTTGGCTGGTTTATTATTGCATTGCCTCGGTCAATTTTGGGTACGATTTTTACTGCCAAATAGTATCCAATATTCCTTCTACTGCTCTTAATGATGCATCCTTTGTATACTTGCAAGTCTCTATATTCGTGTGCTTTTCTATATACATCCAGTCGCCTCCCTGCCTTCTGAAGCACATGGCCCAGGCCAGCAACGAGCTAGTCATTCGGGTGCTTATGGCTGTGGGGGTGCTGGACTTAGTCATGCTGACAATTATTCTGGCCTTCTACAAAATGGACTACTCCTCTCCAAACTTGATTATTATTGCGTTTCTTGTGCAGATGGTGATATACTCGGAGTGCATACTAAAGCTTGTTGTGCCCAAAATAGACAGGTCGCCGGTGGAAAATTATATAGAAATATTTTCGCTGCCGTCTTCCATTGAAGACCACATGGACTATCCAACCTTCTCTACGCTGGCATTTGGGTTTATTTTCATGCTTATCACGCTGTCGACCATGCTGGTCTTCGCAGCGGCATTCCCCCTGAACACACCGTACCTTGTGTTTTTGTTTAAGTCGCTATACTGCCTGGTTACATTCTACTTTATTTCGTATGCGCTAATTACGATGTCTGTGCTGTGGTTCTACCTGAGGACAAACACGGGAAAGCATAGAATTATATTCACCATTCTCAAGCTGCTAGCCAAAAACATCGGAGTGGTCGCGTACATGGCAATCATTAAAGTAGCATGCCTAAGCCTTCAGTTGATTTTCGCGCCCCTAAACATCAGCTCAGTTGGGAGGGCGATGGTAAGGACTTTATCCCAAAAGTACTTTTCAAACCTTTTATTCTATAAGCGGCTGGAAATAACCCCTATTGTGATACTCACCACTGCCCTGGAGAAGGAGCCGCACGAAGCCATCGAGTTTATAGAGAACTTGGAGATAACTGGCGACTATCCGTACATAAACTCGTTTAGATCGGTGAACTGTGTAAAAACACTTAAAACAACCACAATAGGTGTTATTCTTGCCCTAATACTGCCCATGTACATGATTTTGAGTCTGTGCTCCTTCTTTATAGAGAACTTGGAAGGATACAACAGGCTCCTCCTGAGTTTTTGCTGGGCCTCATACGCCACAGGAAGTGTCTGGTACTTTTACTCTGAGTCTCTGCATTACTCTGCTCTTCTTTCACGGATTCAAGGAAACCCTATTGGAAACCGATGGGTGGACATCCATCTCAACTCCATCTAAATAAAGAGTGTAAATAAACAAATATTCAATGCAGATAAGCACGAAAAGCACGTTCTTGGGCAAACTAGTCTTTTCTTGATTTTTAAAGCACAACTATGCAGACAAACGGCCGCAAAAACATGCTGCAAGCGGAAGCCCCAAAGCAGCGCTGCGGCTTTTTAGCCATTGGAATTTTATATTTTTATATGAAGGGAAGACTATCATGGCTGGACATTAGAGCAGGCGTAAACGAGTTGAGCAAAGTCGTTGAGTCGCACGTAAAAACAGTGTACAGCACGAGCAAAAAAGCCATTTTAATAAAATTCAGCAACAAAGAGCAGCTGCTGATAGACCCTCCAAGCAAGTTTCACTTGACCTACCGAAGCCACGAAAAAGTGAATCTGACTCCGCTGGCCCTCTACCTCCGAAGAGAAATAAGCAACTACCGGGTGGAGAAGGTGAGCCAGCTCGGATTTGACAGAATAGCTGCCATAAAGCTACGGTCGGGCAAGGGCGTGATGATTTTAATCATAGAAATGTATGCAAACGGAAATATCATACTTACAGACGAAAACCTGAAAATTATAAACCTTTTGAGGCCCGTGCCGCACCTGGGAATCGTAAAGGAGGGCATCTACTTGGCAAACCAGCCCGAGCTTTCGCTTTCTTTGGAGCGGTTCAACTTTGTGGGCGGCGACAACCTAAAGAAGAAAATAAGCAACTTTTTGTCGCTTTCTGGGCGGGTGGTTGACGACGTTATTCGAGAAATGGGCGCAGAGATCGGCAAGGCGCTGGGAATGCCCAGCCCGCTGCAGCTAAAGGACATCCAAGCCGAAATAGAGAGCGAGTCGCCCAAGTTTCTGGAGGCGTTTTCCGCGTTCTTTGCTCGCATTTTTGCCAGCCTGACCTCTGTGGGCTCGTACGGGGTGGTGTACTACGAGGGCGACAAGCCAGTGATGTTTTCTCCGTGGAGAGAAATGTGCCCCGAGAGCGGCAGAAACATCAAGGAGTTTGGCATGTTTGGGGAGGCCATGGATGCGGTGTTTACGGCGCCTGTGGTATTGGAAACTGCAGCGCAGAAGAAAAGCCGAAAAATACGAGAGGCCCAGGAGAGGGACCTTCACAAAAAGCTGGAGGAAATGACTATACTAAAGACAAAGGCCGAGGCGCTTTCCGAGAACCAAGCCGATGTGCAGGAAGTTCTCTCTGTGATCGATGCAGCACAGGCTGCAAACCTCTCGGAAGATGAGTTTAAGCGGTTCAAAGAAACCGAGCAAGAAAAAAACAGAATTGCCCAGATTATACAGAAGGTGAACTTTGCGAAAAAAACTGTTGACATGCTTCTAACGGACCGAGTGGTCAGCATAGACTACACCCGGTCCATATTTGAGCAAATAAACGAGCTGTACCAGCAGGCAAAGAGAATCGAAGAGAAGTCCAGAAAGACGCAGGCGGCCTTGCAAGAGAGCAGGTGCAAAGAGCAGGAAATAACCAGCAAGGTGCAGAAGATAGAGAAAATAGAAAGAAGTCCGTTTTGGTTTGAAAAGTTCCGCTGGTTTGTCACCAAAGACTCGGACTTGATTCTTGCAGGGAGAGACTCAAAGCAAAATGAAATTCTGGTGAAAAAGCACTTGAAGGACACGGACTTATATTTCCATGCTGACGTGCGCGGAGGGTCCAGCGTAATTATTGGCGAAGGAGCAAGCGAGCACACAAAGCAGGTCGCAGCCGCAATGGCCATGCATCTCTCCAAGGCGTGGGAGAACAATCTTGTGTCCGAGGTGTACTGCGTGCGCGGAGAGCAGGTAAGTAAAACCGCGCCTGCTGGCGAGTATCTAACGCACGGAAGCTTCGCAATTTCAGGGAAGAAGGAGTTCTACTACCCCGCCAAGCTAGAATACGGATTTTCTGTAATGTACAAGCTGAAAAACACTCCTGTAGAGGTATCTGAAGACACGCGAAAAGTCAAAGGGCTGACTGCAGCCCCGGGGGAGCACGAGGTTGAGTTCGCAGTTGGCGTTTGCGGGCCGTACAAGTACCTAGAGGGAAAGAAGTGCAGAATTCTTCCGGGCTCTGCAAAGAAAGGAATGATGATAAAAGAGCTGCTGGCCATTTCAGAGCAGGAAGCGCCCGAGCAAATGAAGTTCATCCGAAACATCTCCGAGAAGGAAATGGAGCTTACCGTGATCGGAAACTCAAAGCTGGCCCACTCAGAAATAGTAAAGCGGGGCGAGAAGTCTCTGTTTGTGCGAAGAACAAAAAACAAAAAGAAAAAGCCCGTGAAGACAGACAGCGAATAGGCAGGGCGCTAAAATAAACTTTATCTTGCCCAAGTGTGCGCCCCTCTAAGACGGCGCGTATATAGTTCAACTCGGTATTTATTAATAGCCAGCCTTTGCAGTCCTTTCTTCTGTTTTCTCATTGCAAGCACTGCAGAGTGCTTCTATAATGCGCGTGTAAAGTGCGCCGGTCTCTTTTACTCTTGTGTGTACGGAATAAAGGTTTCGCCAATGTACGGAACCAGCACCTCCGGCACCATTATCCCGTCTCCTGTTTGGTAGTTTTCCACAAGGCAGCAAAGCGTTCTCTGCACAGCGCACAGCGTCCCGTTTAGCATGTGCACATACAGCTTCTCCTCTGTGCTCTCTGATGTTCTGTATCGCACGTTTAAGTCTCTGCTTTGGTAGTCTGTGCAGTTTGAGCAGGACACCAGCTCTCTATATCTCTCAGAGGCCGGGAACAAAGCCTCTAGGTCGTACTTTATTGCAGCTGCGTTGTTTAGCGCCCCCGACACAATAGACACCACCCTGTAGGAAAGCCCAAGCGAGTCGTAGAAGCCCTTCGACCTCTCCACCATTTGGTAGAACTCGGCCTCGCTCTCCTCTGGCGCTGTAATCAGGAGCTGCTCTACTTTCTCAAACTGGTGGACTCTGAATATTCCCCGGTTGTCTTTCCCGTGGGCTCCGGCCTCTTTTCTGAAGCATGTCGAGTATCCGCAGTATCGGATTGGGAGATCTTTTTCGCGCATCCACTCGCCCTCGTGCTGTGCAGACAGCGGCTGCTCCGACGTTGCAATAAGGTACATGTCGTTTGCCCCTTCTACTTTGTACAGCTGGTCGTCAAAGTCGCTCAGCTGCGCCGTGCGCTTCATGGACTCTTTGCACATCATGTATGGGGTTTGTATCAGCGTGTAGTCGCACTTTCTTAGGTAGTCCATTGCGTATCTAACCAGGGCCTGCGATAGAATCACCCCAGCATCTCTCAGGAAATATCCCCTGTGCCCTGCTATTTTGGTTCCTCTTTCGGTGTCTACTGCGCCGAGCTTCTCGAGCACCACGTCGTACGATAGCAGCTCAGACGGCCAAAAGTCCTTTGCCCTTTTTTCGGTCTGCACAATCACTGGGTTTTCTTCCTCGTCTTGCCCGATGTGCACGCTTTTGTCCAAAATGTTTCCGATTTCTCTTGCCACCTCGTCCGTGTTTTCCTCCATTGACGCAAGCTCCACAGAGCATTTGGCTCTTTTCTCCTTTATGTTGGCTATTGTTTCCAGAAGCGCTTTTTTCTCTTTTTCTTCTTGCTCGGTCGCTTCCTTCTTTATTTTGAAGTACTTCATCCCTTCTCTTGTCAGAGTGTTCATTTCTTTGTTCAGCTGCTCCATAGTGTATCGAATCTTTATTCTCTCCTCAATCATGTCCACAACCTTCTCGGCAAGCTCGGTTCCTTTGAACCGATTCTTTTCGCTTTCTAAAACCGACTTTCGAGTTTCTGTGTTTCTTAGAAGACTCAAGTCAATCATAAAAAAAAATAAAACAGCGCCCTTTTATAACCAGGACGCCAGTTTGCCGTGCAGGCGCTGCCCTTTCTCACACAACCCCTCTAAAGACAACTCTATGGTGTGCTACATCGCCCTCAAACATCAAAAAGATTGAGAAGCACTCGTTTGTGTACATAATCGAGACTTTTTCGCACATGTTTAGAAGGCCTGCCAGATACTTCAGCGGCTCAAAGTGCACAGTCACCCGCTCGGTTCCCTCTTGGACGATGTTTATCGCGCTTATCTGCATCACGTTCGTGCTGTTCCCGTCCTCCGTGCAAAAGTACAGAACCCCGCTCGACAGGTATACCGACGTTCTTGTGCCCTGCTGGAGGTGTATGAACTTTCTAAACGCGTCCTTGCAGACATTCACTTTTGTGCTCCACTCTTCGGGAATGCTGCACGGCCAAAACTCGTACAGAAGAGGCTGTATGGTGTTCACTATTGTGTACGCTGCAGTGTTCTCCGTGAATATAAGCGCTTCGTCAACCTCCTGGATTGCGCTGCACCCTGAAATCGCAGCCACAAGCGACTCTGTGGAATACACGCGAGGCTCTCCCGCGCCCTCTGCCTCAAAGTCGCATGTGCTTATTGCAGTGAGCTTTTCGGTGCTTGACACAAAGCGCATAACAGACGCCCCCACAGAAACACTGCATGTGTTGGAGAGCTTCAATGTGCTAAGTATTTCGTTGAAAAGACTCGTCATTGCGCCAAAGAAAGAAAAATAAAGAAAAATGCGAGAAAAGGGCGCATGCAACAGACGCAGTGGGTCTTGGCTTTATTTTTGTTTTTGCATGCTTTTGCTGTAAAAAAAAGAAGTACGGCTTTTGCCCCGTTTTGCACGCTTTTTCTTTTGTGTTGCACAAGGGGAGAAGAAAGACAGGCCAAAGCATCTGAAAGAGATATTTTTCTGTGCGTGCACCAAAAACATTTAATTAAGAGGCGCGCGTGGGCTGCGCTATACTGTGGTTCTATTCGGCGTGCGTTTATTTATATGCTACTTTCAGCCTTTTGCTCTACATAGTTAAACCCTGCAGAGCGTATGGCTTTCTGAATGATCTCTAAGGGAATGTGCCGCCGAGTGAACTTTGGCTCTGGATCTTGGAAGTTGCACAGATATTCTATACGGAAGGTTAGAACAGTCTTGTCGCTCTGGGTTTCATAGTCTTGCACCGTAATCATCTTCTTGGTGTCTAGCTCCTTTCTCTTGAGAATGCTCAGGGCCTTCTCCTTGATTTCGTCCAGCTTCTCTATGGAAAGCTCGTCATTTATGATGAACACAACCATCTCTGTCTGGATGTCGCTGCGCCTCACGTTGAATATGGACTCTTTGATCAGCTCTTTGTTTGGGGTGTAGCAAACAGTTCCTCCCTTGGAGGTGAACGTGCTGTACATCAGGTCTATTCTCAGCACGGTAAACTCCTGGCCCTTCACAAATATTCTGTCTCCTACGTCAAACGGGTGCTCGTGGAGCAAAAATATGAAGTTGTTGAAGACATCCTTAATAATGTCGGCAAACAGCCACCCAGAGCCCATAATCAAAGGGGCAGATCCTGCCAGAAATTGGACAGTATCAAATCCTATAAACGGAGTGCTAAGCATAAGCGTTAGAATGAGCGCCACCCCCTGCAGTATTCTGTCCAGAGTTCCGAGTATCTTGTCTCGGTCGTACAGAGTTCGCTTCAAGTCAACCCTCTCGCTGTACGCAGATGTTGCCAGATTCATCAAGCAGTCGCCAGGAATCCGGAAAGTGCTCCCTATCTCCTTCACGTACCCGTGGCCCTCCAAATACTTCCAAATGTCCATCCACTGCGTGCCAAAGGCCTCGCGGATTGTGTCCATTGTCAGATACGTGGACAGAAGGCTTTGCGCCTTCCCCTCGTCCTCGGGGCTTATGTTTTCCTTGCCTGTAGAGAGAATAGAGAGAATTTCATAGACCAAGTCCTCGCACTGGATCTTGGACTTAAGCTTGAAGTCGGGGAAGTGTGCCAAAAACGTCTCGGTCACTTCAATGCCCTCAACCAAGCCCCCGCCAAGATACGATCCGCCCATATTCTCGTTGATTGCGTGCTGGTTCAGCCGCCTTAGAATAGATGTTTTAAGATTTACATCCCCAATCCGGCCCGAGAAAACATTGTTCCCGCAGTACGCAATGGCCAACTTCAAAAAGAACTTTTCGGCAATAAAAAAGCCCATGAGAATGGAAAGGCACATTGAATACGCGCCCAGCTTTCCATACCCCACCACTTGGATGTGAGTCAGGGAGTACTTTTCCAAGAACAGGTTGCAGTACACCACGCCGAAAATTCCCATAAAGAAAACCGCAAGGTTTCCCTTCACGTCGTCTATAATAAACAGTATGATTTTCTCCATGCTGCTTACCTTGTGATTGATGATGTCGCACACCATGGCACATATGAAAACAAGCCTGCCCACTAGAAGATGCACGAAAATGTACGTGCAAAACATTGCCGCAAAGAACGTGCTTAGCTTGAAGGTTTCCTGCAGCGCAGACAGCCTTCCAGGACATGCAGTGATGTGCTGAAACAGAGGAGGAATTTCCTCTTTGGTCATAAACAGGCCCAGCAAGGGCGCAGACAGAATGAGGATGCACCCCACTGCAGCATATGCCATCATTGCAAGGAAGAAAGTTAGGCCGCTTGTTCTATCCTCAATATACTTCAGTATGTTGAAGAAGGAGAACGGCACTTGCTCCTCAGCATCTAAGGAGCTTGATCTTTTCTTTGAATACTTTGCCCGCTCCTTCTTCACTATGGCCTCTTCTTTAACAGCGTTAAGAATTTCTTTTCCATTCGTTTCCACATGATCGGACTCTGAGTCGCTCTTTTCCGAGTCTTCGTTTTCTTTCGTGTCTCTTGTCTGCCCAGGCTTGGCAAAAAGCTTCTTTAGCTGGCTGGTCGACTTCTTTGAGTGCGACAGCGCTTCGCCGTTTTCGCCCTTCATCTCTACATTCTCTTCCATAGAGGGGGAGTATGACGACTTCTATATATGCCAAAATAAAAAGGAGAGGCACACGTGACTGGTTATTGTTTTGAAATTAATTGGCTCCTTGCTTTTAGCTGTGCATTTTTCTGTTTATGGAATAAACCAATGACCGGGCTTATATGCGCAACGCCAGATAGCAGATAGATATGCATCCGCAGGGAATTTTGCACACAGGTAGAGGGCGCGCAATGATAGTGATATAGCTGCTGTTGCAAATTAAATTTTTTACAGACATGCAGGAAGAGAAAAAGTCATTTTCCGACTTTGCATTAGACAGTTCACTCGTGGAAGAGCTAGAAAAGAGGCGGATCACGCAGCCCACGCCGATACAGGAGCTTATACTTAGCAGGCTTCCGGTGAAAACAGATATTGTGGCCATGTCAAACACCGGAACTGGGAAGACGCTGGCATACTCTCTTCCGATTCTCCATTCTCTGTTGAATGATGACAAATACTTCTATGCAATAATAATCCTCCCGACGCGAGAGCTCTCCCAGCAGGTGCATGCAGTGCTTTCTGACATTGGAGGGGAAATAGGCCTGCGGACCACGCTTCTTATAGGAGGCGTGGATCTGCTGACCCAAGGGAAAAGCCTCGCCAATCGGCCACACATCATTGTAGGAACTCCAGGCCGAATCCACCATCATCTGAAAAACACAAAGGGGATTACCTTTACGTCCTTCAAGTATCTGGTCCTGGACGAGTGCGACCGGCTTCTGGACAACGACTTTGACGGGGACATTGGAAGCATATTTGAAATTGTGTCGCCAAAGCACACGCTTCTGTTCACAGCCACCATGACGAAAAGAGTGGCCGCCTTCAAAAGCAAGAGAATGAACAGCCCGGTCACACACAGCGTGCATAGCCCGGAGTGCGTTCCAGAGGACATTTCCCAGCAGTATGTGCATCTTCCGCAGAAGCACAAGGAGGCTTATTTATACAGCATAGTGAGGGGGCTCGGGTGCAGAAAGTGCATCGTGTTCGTGGGCACGTGCGTCACCGCGGAAAGGCTTGAGAGAATGCTGCGCTGTCTGGGGGAGTCTGTGTGCAGCATCCACGGAAACAAGGTGCAGGCTGTTCGCACAGAAACCATAGAAATGTTTAGAAGCGGGAAGTACTCTGTGCTTATATCCACAGACGTGGTGGCAAGAGGCATGGACATGGCCGGCATAAAAACAATCATAAACTACGACATGCCGGACGGAGTGAAGGAGTACATCCACCGGGTTGGAAGAACAGGAAGAGCTGGAGAGACAGGAGGCGCCATTACATTTGTAACACAGTACGACGTGGAGGACTTTAGGCGGCTTGAAATAAAGCTGGGCAAAAAGATGGACATTTACTCAATAGGGGCCGAGGTAATCCACGGGCTGCTGGATGCAGTAGACAGCGCCAAGCGAGAGGCCGCCATGGACATGAAGGAGGAAGACGTCGGGAGAAAAATAAAGGAGGCCAAGAAGGGCAGGCAAGGCATAAAGAGCAGGACGGGCAGAAGAGAAAACCGAAAAAAGTAGCAGGCCCACTGCCGCCTCCGCTAGGCTTTGGAGGCGTGTTTCAGAAAGCACGGGCGCCTTGCCCTATAGAAATAAAAAGTCTTCAATGTTTTATTTGAGCTACTGCTGTTTGCTTCCCGATACAATAGTGGCGTCTATCGACAATATGGCCACTGCCGCGCTGAGAGCCGCCTTGATCATGTGTGTTTTGACCTCCAGCGGCTCAATAACGTATGCAGACAAGGAGTCCTCCACTCCGCCCTCGCACACGCCGTAGTGGACCAGGCCCTCGCCATGCGACTTTCTAAGGACCTGGACCGTGTTTATAGCGTCGTGCCCAAAGTTCTTTGCCAGCTGGAAAGGGATCACCTCGAAGGCTTCCGAGACGGCCTTGACGACAAACCTTTCTGCTGTACTGTACTCTGTTGCAAGCTTTCTTAGCTCCCGGCTGATTTCCATCTCGTACGCGCCACCGCCTGCCACGATCTCTTTGCTGGCGACGGTTCTTCTTGCCACGGCCATGGAGTCGTGCAGGCTTCTTTCGACCTCGGCGAGTATCTCGGCCCCAGGGCCCCGCAATATAATAGTTGACGCTGTGCTGACCTCTGAGTTGTCGACGCTGCTGTAGAATATGTTGTATCTGCTGCGCCCTATCTCCTTCTCCTCGAACAGGGCACACCGTGCAAGCGCGCGGTCGCTCAGCAGAGAAACCGTGCTGACAAACCTTCCGCCAAAGACCTGGGTTATTCGGCTGATCTCAGACTCCGGCACTCTTCCTGCAGAGAACACTCCGTACTTTGCAAAATACTGTGTTGCATAGTCTCCTATGGAGAGCGTGCTAAGAACCACATTTGCGCCGGACTGTATGATTTTGTCCAGCCTGTCTGTGATAAGCTTCCACTCGGTTGAAACCACCTTAGAGTACTCCCCGGCGCCGGAGATTCTCATTTCGCTATTCTCCACTTCGCTCTTCCACTCCAGCTCCACCTTCAGAACCGCTATTTTCGGGTTCAAAATGCGCTTTGGCTGCTGCTCGTACCCCGCGTATGTGAAGCACTTTTCAAAGGCCACTCCCCCAACGATGAAGCTGCTTTCAATCGACCCTCCGCTTATTTTTTTGATCGAAATGTCTTTGTCCTGCGTGCCCAGCGTTTTTATCACCATGTTTCCAAAGTGCTTCTTGTGGTTGCACAGTATCTTTGAGTTCAGGCTGGTTTCTGCCAGCATCTGGAGGGACTCATTGTCAAACGCCACCAGCAAGTTTCTGGACATCTCCGATATTGCCTTTCCAAGACGGCCCAGCTCCTTCGTTATCAAAGAGATGGAAGTGTTTTCCTTGACCAGCGGCTTCAGATTCCGGAGTATGGCGGACGACAGCAGCACCACACTGGTGGTGCCGTCCCCTATGTCCCGGTCCTGGGCCTCCGAGGAGTTCAGGAGAATTTGGGCAGCAGGGTCAACTATGTCCAGGCTTTTCATTATGGTTGCCCCGTCGTTAGTAATAAGTATATCTTTCCCATTGAAAAACATCTTGTCCAAGCCGTTAGGGCCTAATGTCGTTTTGAGAATATTTGCAACCTTCTCACACATTTCTATATTTCGTATGATTTGGTTCTTTCCAAACCTAGTATCTGTTTCTTCTCGAAGAATGAGCACTGGCGTATTCTGCGAATATGACATAAAAATAAAAAAACAAAGAAGTAAAAACGGGCCAAGGCAGCCACCCTGCGCCTGCAACCAGCCAGACCACTTCAGAAAAGCACTAAATTCGCACTCTAAGCGAGTGCCTAGGGGCTTCACAGGCGCACTGCAGAGCCCAATGCCCGAATTTCTACGGCTTCCAGCGCGCAAAAACCTGCACTCCTGCCCAGTCCGCCATCAACTGCCCACAGAAGCAAGACAGTGCCCGCCTCCAACGGAAGGCAGTCATGCCAGCAAAACCACTCTCTGCAAAAGACATTGTGGCTGTGGGCACTGTGCGGGTAAACATCTTCTGCAAGCACCTGCAGATGCACAGGCGGAAAGCCCGTGTCTAAATCACGTCTTCGCTCTCGCCTGGTGTTTCGTCGTCGTCGTCCTCGTAGTGGTTTTCCATGTAGTCGTTTTCCATGTCCTCGTTCTCCGAGGGCGGATTGCTCTCGCTCTCCTCGGACTCCTCCACCTCGCTATCAATGCTTGTTGTGAATATGTGCTCCTCCGAAGCGCCCTTTGTTTTGTACTTCTCCCCGTGCCCAAAGCCGCTCTCAACAAGCTCGTTTGGGTAGTCTTCTGATCTGCTGTGGATGGCCGTTATGATGTGTATTGTTCCGTCCTTGTACTTCCTGTGCTTGTCTGAATATCTGGCAATTGCGCCCTTTTTTTCCTCGTATATCCCAAACGACTGGTACTTTTCCAGCAGGCTTTCAATGCTTTTCTTCATGCGTGTCTTTTTATTTTTCGCCTTTCGAGTTTTTTAAATACTTTCTTTATTTGCATTTTATTTGCGCATAATGAAGAGTGACTTAATGTTTATCGTGGACAACTCAATGCACAGCATAAACAAGGACTACGGCAAGGAGCGGCTGGAGTGCCAGCTGGAGGCGGTTAAACACGTGGTAGACCTGGTTTTTGAGCAATCTGTTGAGTCCACTGTGGGGATCATGACCCTGGGAAGAGCCACAACAACGAAAATTGTGTCTCCAACTTCCAGCAAGAACGACATTCTCTCGTACTTCCAGACAATACAGAAAGACGAGTTTGTGCACGGAGGAAACTCTGTTCTTATTTCCAGCATGGCGCTAAAGTACCGGACCAACCCCGCCCAGAAAATTGCTCTGTTTTTGAGCTGCCCCCTAGAAAAAGACAACCTCGATCTGACGGTCAGCGCCATGGAGGCCACTCTGAAGAAAAACATTTCTGTCTGCTTGATTCTGTTTGGGGAGGCCCTGGAGTACTACAACGCCTTTGTAAAAAAGCTGGAAAACTTCTCGGAGTTTGCGTGCATTACTGTCGCCCCCAACCAGTGCTTTAAACAGTGCGTGATGAGCATCATAAAAGAGGCGGAGGAGGAAATAGACCCGGAGCTGGAGCTGGCCATAAAGCGGTCTCTAGAGGACTCCAAGCACAGCGCCCCAGAATAACTGGGCATGCGCGCCTTCTTTTGGGCACCCACAGCCTATGCCAAAATAAATTTCACACTGCATCCACTTCCTTGTCTGCCTGTACTTGAGTATGGGATGGTTTATTAATTATCTGGAAGACTTTTCCTTCTTTCCTAAGTATATAGCCAAAAGAGACACATCTCCGATCTTGCTTACTTTGAAGGCAATTCCGGGAATATCTCCCTTGGATCTTCCCTTGTTACCAAATCCTTCTACGGTTACTGTGTCGTTGATTTCTATGCTGTTCAGCATACCGTCCTTTGGAACGTATGCAGTGATCTTCTTTCCGTTCTTGATCAGCTGGATTCTCACGGCCTTTCTTACGGCAGAGTTTGGCTGTTTGGCCCCCAGACCAATCTTTTCTAATACAATTCCCTTTGCCTGCGGCGCCCCTCCAATGGGGTCGCTGAGAACGTTAGTTCCCAAAAGCCTTGCCTTGTACTTCTTGTTTGCCTTTCTGTTTATGTGACTCTTTCTCTTAAGCAGCCCACCACAATATAATCCTAGCATGGGAGAAAAAAAGAAAAATAATAAAATAGTTTGAGTTTTGCCTTTGCTCGCTCACAGCTTTTTATACGCAACTGCTCTGTACAGCTCTATTATTTGGATCTCCTCCTTGCACAGCATTCTCTTGACCATTCTTAGATATGTGGGGTTGTCGCTCACCATCTCCTTGTTTAGAAACGAGAGAAAGTCTATGTCAAAAACCTTTTTCAGCCCGTTCTGTGCAAAAAGCTTTGTCAAGTAGTTTATATCGGTCAGATACTCCTCGCACCCGGTGAGGGCTTCTTCCAAGTAGAAGTCATAGCTTTCCCCAAAGAGGCCGTTGATGCTGAAAGGCTCTTTCGGAATTATTTTGTACAGGGTGTTTCCAAAAGAGCCAGTTTCTGGGTTTCTTTTCGACCTTCTTGTGATGACGGACTTGCACGGAACTGTCATGATGAAAAATCCGCCTGGCTTGAGGTTGTTGCACACGTTCATCACAGCCCTGCGCACGCAAATCTCCGACGCAAAGCAGTAGTGGAAGCTAAACTGCGCCATCACGAGGTCCGCCTTCTGCTCTATGATGATCTTTTTTTTTGTGAAGTCCACCTCCAGAAAGTCTGTTTTAAAGCTGTGCGTCATGGATCTGCTCAGAGCCTCTTTCAGAGAGCCCTTTGCTATGTCGCACCCATAGTAGTGCTTGACCGAGCGGTGCTTCAGCTTGCTCAGATCGCCCCCCTTCCCACAGCCTAAGTCCAGCACAACTGCGTTTTCCTTGAGAAATTTCTGTATGAGCTTCAGCTTCAGAAAGTTGTTAACCTCGCGAATTGCAATGATTTCTGAGGAGCTTCTGCTTTTCACTCCTATGCTCTTTATGTTGTTGTAGTGGTCTGCTACTTGGCTGCTTTCTTTCATAACAAATATTTTATGAAAAGAATAAATGGAGTTCCCAGCGCTTCATACACCGAGAGAATTAAAGACATAGTGCCGCAGATCAGAAAATACGCAGCAGCGCGCATTGGAGGGGGTGAAACCATCAGATGTCTGCGGGACACTCTTAAGGAGGTCGGACTGAAGTGGAAAAAGCAGAACGTCCCGTACAAGCACCAGAAAGTTCTGCGGGAGCGAGAAAAAAAGCACGCAATAGAGGAGAGAGACAACTTGCGGGACCAGGGAATAATGATAAAAAGAAAGCGGCTAAGCAAAAAGGAAGAGCTTCGAAGAAAGAGAAAGCATGTGTAAGCATGCATCTGGCGCGCAAGCACGCAGAAGAGCAGCAGCCTGTAGAAGCAAGCGCAGCATATGCGTGCATGGTCACTCTTTTCCATATAGATGCGCTACCCAGCCATGCTGAACAGACTGTGTTTTGGCCTTGCAAGATTCTGTCTTCTTGGCTTGAGATTCAGCGCCCCAAAAGACTCCTGCACAGACCGGCTGAGAGTGTGCCCAGGCGCAGTGCGCTGCAGAGTAGGGCTGCCGTGTTTCGTGTAAAGGGCGCCTGTCCTGGTTTTATGCGGAGTCGTGCAGCTGCATTTCAAAATAAAAGTCGAGCCATGCTATAAATTTCACGAATGGCGAGTGATGCGGATGCAGAATTCTTGAAAAAAAATCACTTTCTTTTTATCCACTACAAGAGCTGTGATCTGATTTTTCGGGTGCTTTTATTCTTTTGTGTGGTTAGGCGCACATGCATGCGTATTAGACCGCTGGCCTGCCAGACACGTCTATCCATGCATTTCCCTGCTCTTGCATGAATTCCCCAATCACAGGGCGCGCGCAAGCATTTCCTGGTGATTCTCGGGCAGCAGAGGATGCACTGAGCGGGCAGTGCTTGGCTCCAGCCTATCAGAGAGCATTTCTGCATCTGGGTAAGCTCAGGAAACCTGGCGCCTTTTCCCACAAAGCCTCTTCAAAATAGGAGTGCACGGAGGAAGACGACATAAACTTTCCCACAGGGCAGAACCCGGTGAATTGGGCGCGCCGGCTCGTGGAGAAAGTTTATGCCGTCTTCCTCAGCATGTGAAACAAAAAAATGCATTCAAAACTCCAATTGAGTCACAAAACTATTTAGGAGCACTCTTTTTTTTCTTACCATAAACAAAATGGCAGAACTTGGAGAAAACTTTAACACTGTATTGGAAAACATCGAAAAAGTCAGAAGGAAGGAGCTACTATACATGGTGTTTAGCTTTCAGGGCACAGATACCTCACAGTACGAAATAAGAGAGCTAAAAAACAATCCTTCGGCCCTAGACAAGTTCACAGCAAAGAAGGAGAACGACCTGCAGTCGCAGTTTGAGGAGTTCAAAAAACACGTGAAGAGCTACGGGTGCTGCTATGCCCTTTTTGATTTTGAGGCACATCACCAGGACGGGTCGCCCCGGTCTGTCCTTGTGCTCTTTATTTTAATTCCGGACGGATACAATGTTAAGGAGAAGTTTTTATACTCGTTCCACCTCCAGCAGTTTATAGGGAGGCTAAAAACAGCAGTAAAACTTGTGCAAATCAATCAGTATGACGATCTAAATTATGAAAATATAAAGCAAATGTGCCTTACTCTTAAAAAAGCATAATAAAAAGCTTTTGCATATGCAGCGTGTTTCCTTTACTAATAAACGTCTTGATTATTTGCGAGTTTATGCCCGCCAAGGCAGAGTTTGAAGAAGGCCCGGAAACAGCTGCATCGATGCAGGCCAGACACTGTCCGCATGGCCATTCAAGCGGGCGTATTTTGCCATGTGCACTTAGAGTGCGAAAATCGTGTGGAAGAAAGAGACGGGCTGTAAAGTGTGGGCAGGAGGCAGGGGTGCTGCATTTCTCCGCAAGAGATGCTGTATGCCTCTTTACGCGGCCTGCAGGCTGCCTTGAAATTCGGATTTCGTGCAATTTCCCCATGCGGGACGCCTAATTTACCCGGGCGCAGACTAGTGGATAGTGGGGGAACATGGGGCAGATTGGGCATGCAACACGGGATTTCATTCGCTCATATTTTTGGAATATATCAGCGCCCCATAAAAACTGATTGGTTGTATACTTTTATACGTGTTATATCCAAGAAAGCAGGAGAAGCTGCATGGCGAAAAACAAAGAGACATACAGAGCCAAGGTTGTGGTCATAGGAGATGGAGCTTGCGGAAAGACGTGCTTGTTGGAGGTGTACAAGTCTGGGATATTCCCTGAGGACTATGTTCCTACAATAGTGGATAACTTCGTGACAAAAGAGTCGACAGAGAAAGGAGAGGTGGTTCTAACGCTGTGGGATACGTCTGGGCAGGACGAATACGACGCACTGCGGCCACTGTCGTACAGCAATGCAAACCTCATACTAATATGCTACTCCATTGAGAAAAAGGACCGGCTAGGAAACATAGAGGAAAAGTGGCTTTCGGAAATCCAGAACTTGTGCAAAGATGTTCCGTACTTCTTGGTAGGCCTGAAGGCTGACGTGCGCGACAATGCACCATCCTCGCAGGCTGACAACTTTGTAAGTAACGAGGAGGGGCGCTCCTTGGCGCAGAAGATTGGTGCAAAGTACTTCGCGGAGTGCTCGGCCTTGACCAAGAAAAATGTGAAGGAGACCTTTGGTGAAATTGCAAACTACATCATAAAGCATCAAAAGGAAACAATGTCACAGAGGCGCTTTAAGTTTTTCTATTGTTGTTAAAAGCAAAAAAGTTTCAAGCCTTGCACATGGTATACGGATTGCAGCAGTACGGAGCAGATTACACATTAGAATACACAGGGTACATAACCCTTAACAACCAGGTTATTTCTCCATTCCACGACATACCAGCAACCGAAGACGGGTTTAAGCTGGTGAACGTGGTGAACGAAATCCCTAAGTTCAGTCATGCAAAGAAAGAAATAAACAAGGAGGCGAAGTACAACCCGATTAAGCAAGACGTGAAAAACGGGAAGGTGCGCTTTGTCAAGAACATGTTCCCCATGAGCGGGTATTTGTGGAACTACGGTGCCATTCCGCAGACCTGGGAAAGCACAGAAGTCCCGGACAGCAGAACTGGCATTAATGGAGACAATGACCCAATCGATGCAATTGAAATAGGAAGCAGAATAATTCAGTCTGGCGAGGTCTACAAGGCCAAAGTTCTTGGAGCAATCGCTTTGATTGACGGGGGAGAGTGCGACTGGAAGGTTCTTGTCCTGAACACGGAAGACGAGCTCTTCGACAAAGTCAGCTCCCTGGAGGATGTAGAGAAATACATGCCAGGCCTGCTAGCCCAGACGCGAGAGTGGTTCAGGAACTACAAAATTGCCGACAAGGAAGGAAACACAGGAAGCAAAAATGAGTTTGCAAACAACGAGCAGTACTACTCTGCAGAGGAGGCTGTTGAAATCGTCAAGGAAACGCATGAGCACTGGAAAACACTAATTAACGAATCAAGCCACACAGATATATCTTTGGTGAACGCCTCCCAGGAGAGCTCTCCTGGATACTCAAGCGCGCCCTTCACTCCATCTGGAGAAAAGTATACGCCTGGAACGGCTCCGGCTGATGTTGGGAAATTCTACTTTTTATGAGTCTACGCATAAATAAAAGCAGAGCCTAATTTTTATTTGTTATGTCTCTGGCAGCCCTGTTTATTCGGGCTTGCCTGGATTCTTGAGGCCATGCACAGCTAATTTACTGCACATTTTCCCGCATATTCTGCCCTTGCAAGGACTGTACATGCTTATACGGCACAATTTAGCAAGCCTGGAGAGATCTGGGCGCACTGTCTTGCATGCTAATCTGGCCTCTAGAGGAGAATTCTGGGCATTTCTGCAGTGCTCTAGCCGTGCAAAAAGCAAATAGGCTGGAGTGCACGCCAGACAGCCATAAACAGAGACTTCCTGCCATGCACACTGTAAGTCTGTGAAAATGGGCTGGCATATGCGCCCATCAGAAACCTCGCTCAATGCAAAATTGATTTTCAAATAAACTGGGGTATTGGCCGTGTCAAATTTTTTGCAATATGCCTGCCAATGAATATAAAAATAAATCTTTTTTATTAAAAGCATGAAATTAGCTTATGCAGTCACTCTTTTGTGTGCAGTTCGGCATGTATTTGGATCAACATACTGCCCGCTCAGCGAAGCAATGTATTCCTCTGAGAATCTCGAGCGCGGGGGAGTAGATATAGATATGCTTAAAAGCACCTGTCTAGTTGACTTGTTCAAAAAAGTAGACAGATCCAGAGAAAATATCGCATGTATGGCCGAGGGGGCACCTGAAATCATGCGCAAGATGTGTGTAGAAGACAAGCTGCAAGAAACCTTGGACATTCTGAAGTCGATCCAGGCCATAAAAATCCAAATCGACGCAAATCTAGAGGAAAAAACCCAATGCTTGGCTAAGCTGGAAAAACTGTCTCTGATACTGATAGATTGCGAAGCGAAGGAAAAGAAAAACAGAGAAACCGCCCCTTCAAACAGCCAGGCCGCAGAAAAGCCTGAAAACCCTTTCATCGACGTATGGGAAGTGCCAGAGCTTGACAGTGAGCCAGTCTCCGATTCTTCCACTGTCGTGCGCCAAATGCAAGAAGTAGAGGCCCTCATGGAAAAAGCCATAAAAAATGGGGAGTGCTTGGAGAAAAGAAAGATCTCCGTAGTTTATATAGCAGAAGAGTGCGTGGCGCGCAATACCGAATTTCTGGAGGAAGCTACTATGGCAATGCAGAGCCAGACATACTACACGGCGTTTGGCTGCCAAAAACCCCCGAAAAGAAAGAGAAACACTGCCAGGCACATCCTGCAGTACAAGAACATATACCTGGCACAGCTGCAGAACCGCGAGTGCTTTTTGCTAAGCAAGATTGTCGATCTCTTCTACAAAAAAACAAGCAGCCAGATCCAAGCGGCCCAGGAAGAGATGCAAGAAAAGCTCCAGGAGCTTCTCCTTTACAACTACTCCATTGACGAGAACCTTTACGCCAAAAAAATCGCCCACTTTATACGCTGCGTGCAGCCGTATGTTGGGCTCTCTGGGGCCCCAGACAAGCTGGCCTTGGCGCTGGACGCGCACTTTCTTTCTCTGCTGGTTCTAGACCACTCCATGCCCATATGCCGGCTCAAGGAAGTTCTGAGCATCATGCACATTCTGTACGAAGACGCTCCCGACATGTCGGAAATAAGCTTGGGCGTATTTATCGAGTATTTCTACGACATTGTTCGGACCCATCTGATGCTAAGCTGGGGAAATGCCTCTGAAGCCCACTGCCAAACGGCGCGCCTGTTTGGAAATATGCACGCTCTGGTTTCGTCCTTCACTAAAAAAGAGGAAATCCACCTGCTGTGCAACATGTTTGGCGAGCTAGACAAGTCGTTTGCAAGATACAGGCGAAATGTAACATATAACGGCAGCTCGGATGTGGAGGAGCCTATTCGGGACCCCACGTGGAGATACACCGCCGATAAGTACAGCATAATACACCAGCACATGAGCGTGCACGACGCAAGACACGCCCAGAACGACAGCTGCCTCCTCCTGGGCCTGCACCCGCTTATATACGCACTCGAGGAGCACACAATTCCAATGTGGATATCTGAGGGCGGGCCAAACGACGAGAACACCTGCACAGTGGAGATAGGATACCTAAACCCAGACGACATCAGCTATCGCACGGATCTGATGACATACAGCGACGCGTGCAAGTTTACTTCCGTAAAGAACATAAACATAATCGTCGACCCTGACCTGAAGAAAGAGATAAGCATGGTCATAGACAAGTACGTGCACCCAGATGCAACTGTGCAGCTTATAGGAGTAAACCCAAACTCAGACTGCGTGTCCATGTTTAAGTCCAGCGTGCTTGAGGATGTAGGCGTATTGCCCCCGTCCAACGAGGACAAGCAGGCGATCCACGACCAGGTATTGGATGACTCCACTGGATATGGCTGGGAGTTTTGGCCTGCGGTGTGCACAGTAACCCTTGTGGCCGCTCTTATTGACCTGCTTTCGGGCGAAGACACTTTCTTTTTCACTATTGTTCCAATAGTGGTTTCTGCACTGGGAGTCCTGCGGGCTCTTATTATACTGGAGGGAAAGGACACCCAAATTTCGGTCGTGCTGTTCAACATCATAACAGCAGGCATTGCCATAGTTGCGGGCACATACCTCTGCGACATCCTAATACGGGCCAGCGACTTGACAGAGTACCTGGTCTATATAAAGTGGCTCTACAGCGCATTGGCTATTATAGCCTTCGCAGGCATGCTGAGCACATACTCAAAGAAGGCCAGAAGGCGCGTGTTTGGCCCGTCCTACACCGCGCTAAATCTGCTGAAGTATTTCTTCTACGCACTGGCAGCTGCTGCCTCTCTTTGCATTCCCGTGTTCTATGCACTTGACTGCCAAGACGTGGTTTTCGTGCTGCTTGCAAGCAACATGGGGTTTCTGTCCGGCATATTCCTGTACATCGCATGCTCGTACGAGAAAACACCCACAAAAATCAAAAGCGACCAGTGGAAAAGGCTGGACAGGTGTGTTATGGTGCTTTCCTGGATCACAGTGACCATTGGTCTTGTGCTGACTCTAGTAGTCTCGATCCACTACGACCTCCTGGAGAACCTCCCTATAATCTTGGGAGACAAGAAGATGCTTCTTTCTCTATTTAAAAGGGAAACGGCCCCAGAGCATGCAGGCATGTACCCTTTTGGAGGCGACAGCTCTGCCTTAAACGAGCTTATTAAATCTGCAGCCATTGGCATAAGCACCTCCGTAAACAGAGCAGTCGGCATGCGGGTGTTCTTGTAGCTCCAGCGCCGAAAATAAATCGAATCTTCTGCCTTTCCAGCTAAGCTTTAACCTTTCCAGCCGTTAACCAGGCAGAAGCCCACCGCGCAATTGGAGTAGATGCCTTGAAATTTAAAAATGCATGCTTTATTCAAACAGAATGCGCCCCTTCCTAGAGAAAATTATTGTGCACGCTCTGCTTGCCTCTGAAAGACAGAAAATAGGGCAGTTCGAAGGGGCGTATAGAAAACCCAGAAAAAGAAGAGAAGTGAAAACGCGGCCATACTCTACGCAGGAGCAGCCCAGAGCTCCCCCAAGCATAGAGTGCCGCCTGCTCTCAGTGGAGACAAGCCTTGGGCGCCTGCTCTCAACAGCTTCTATAGAACACGCAGAAAGTGCGCATTGGAGACCGTCCCATGCAATGGACCCTGCACTTTATCGGTGCAGACACTGCCTCGGCTGGGCATTTGAAACCAGAAAAAGCATCTCTCTCCATAACATTGGCCTGTCAGCGCAGAAAACCCCCAATAGAAAAAGAGTGCAAAACTATATTTCTGATGTGCAATATAATATGTGAAAGCGTGTGATTGAATGCATAAATATACAGCGGATTTAAAAAAATCCAGGGTACACATGGGAATAAGAATACAGCACAAATACGCCCAGGACATAGTCGTATGCACGCCAGAGGGGTATATTACTAAAAAGTGCGCTCGACCTCAGAAAAGACGCAAAGCGAAAAAAGGGCTCCTAAAGGGGCCAATCGATGCTCCGAAGCTGTTTTTGCTGGGCACGCTTCTCTACATTCTTTCAGCCATCGCCACGCAAGTGGCCCAAATCTTCTGAGCTTCCACTCAGGTATTCGCATGCAAAGCCTGCACTGCATGTGCATGGGCATAGACACCCAGCCCTTTCAAAGCCAAGCGCGTGCAAACTCTAAGAGTATGTCCGCCCGGAGGCAAGAACCTGCCAAGTACCGCACTATGGCGCAGCACTGCAGTTTTCCTGTTTGGAATTCGCGAACTAGGCATATTTGTGAATAAAAATCTAGTATCTATTTCCAGCACTGTCTTGCAGGCCCGTAGGCGCTGTGAGGGAGCGTGCTAAAATACTCTTATTTTTTTTGAAGTTTAAATGCTTCTGGTACTTGTGGTCTCTAGTGGGTTCCCAATGGGCACTGACGCTATGAATGACTTGCTGGTCTTTATTACAATGTATCTGCGCACTGGGCATGCAAACAAACTAAAGATAATACACGGGCTGTCCATTTTATTTGACTCTGATGCAAACTTGGAGGAGGAGCTAACTGATAAAATACTTGAAGGATTCAATTCAGACTCTGCCGCCGACGCATGCAGAGACTTTGGATACTCCTTGCTGCTTGTGCAAAAGGAAAAGAAGGAAAGCTGCAAGATCGTATTTTTTTCTTCGGGAAACATCTCGCTGAACTTTATAAAGTGTGCATTCACCGCAAGAAAACTGGACATCCACGTGGACTGCATCGTTCCATTTGAAAGCGCCGTATCGCAGATCTCAGACGTTCTGAGAAGGCCTGCATTTTGCACGTCTTCAGGCGACTCCCTGTTTGAGTACTTGCTGGGAATCCTCTCCCTGGGCCTTGGGAGGGTATCGAAAACCAGCGCGCACAGGCTCTGCATATGCCACAGCAAAGAAATAACCATAGGCTATCTCTGCCCAATCTGCTTGGGGCTGTACTGTAAATTTGTTCCGCTGTGCAAGCACTGCAAAACCCGCTTTATTTTCTAGGGCATGTTTTCCCAAGAAGCAGAAAGTTGACAGCCATCACCCGCGCCTTGTTTTGTGCAAAAGAGTGCACAAACAGCCGGAAAAAGTCTCCCGCCATTGTGACAGGAGAAGAGCACAGGCACTTGGAGTGCATGCTTTGTCATAGACAGCCCATACAGAACAGAGGGTTTGCAGCGCATTCCCAGCTTCTGCACTTCCGCCGCCTGCTTCAACCCTTGCCTGTGCTGTAGAGGTCCGGCAGGCTCAAAGAGAGAAAATTCGCAACTTTCTCCGACTGAAAAAGAAAGCAGAGCCAAAAAGTTATTGCAGCTTCCATTTCTGATGGAGAGAAAAGCTTAAAGTATTGTGGGCTGCATTTAGTGCCTTATTATATGCCATAAAAAGTATAAGTAATGAAAATATCGATAAAATATGGCAAAAAACACTATAGAAAAAGATGTGCCAAGTTCTTCGCTTGCGAGCAGGCAGCCATTTAGGGAAAAGTGTCGGGTCGGCCTTCTCCCGTGCACACTTTGTTTTTGCTGCGGAAGAGGGCAGCTGTCGGTTGGCAATGAGGCTGTTTCGGATGTCAAATCAGTGTTTATGGGCTTTAAATATATAGAAGGTGTTCAGCACATGGTAGTAAATGAGCAGACATTAAAGAGCGCATACATCTACAAAGAGGAGGCGCTAAGCACCGAGTACTGCACGTGCGACCTGCCGAAGAGCGTGCTGGCTCCGATCGGAACACTCTTTAGCCTGGAAAACTCGTTTTCCCAGCCAAAGAAGATAGTGCCCATGCCTGTGCTGCATTTGGCCCCGAAGTTCCCGGTGTATTCGCCGTACGCAATTTCTGTAGATAGCATAATAAGCGGGGAGGACGCCCGGACCACATGCATGATAAAGAATATACCCAACAAGCTGAACATACGGCAGCTTATAGAGCTTCTCACCTCAATATGCTACAACTCCTTTGACTTCGTGTACCTGCGAATGGACTTCAAAAGCAACTGCAATAATGGGTACGCCTTTATTAACTTTAGGAAGCCAAAGTACATCCCGATCTTCCTAGACGCCATACAAGGAAAAAGGTGGAAAAACTTCAAAAGCGAAAAAAGAGGAGACATCGCATATGCCAGAATACAGGGCCTCCACATGCTGCAGAGTAGGTTCCGGAGAAGCGACATTTTGGCGGCCGGGAAGGAGTTTTGGCCTGTTATATTCAATAAGAAGGGGGACGAAATACTCGCGTCCGAGTGGAGGCTGCACAGCTGAAGCAGAAAAACAAAGAACTTTTATTAGTACCCGGTACAGGCATGCATATATAAATCAAAATAGTTATTCAACCTCACGTTTTACACATCCTTGAGCTGATGCATTAGCTCGCCAGACTTTTTTAGAAGGCTCAGCTGGTCCGCCAAAATGAACCCTGCCTCAATGCACGAGTAGGAGTCGTAGAACCAGAGCCCAAAAATTTCCATCTCTCTTCCATACGCTTTTGATATAATAATGAATTTCTCGTAGGTTTCTATACTGTGCACGTGCTTGTCCATAAGCATGTAGAAGTCGCTTGGGCTTTTTCTATTCAAAATAAGAATCGCCGTGGAGGGCACGTCTCTTCTCTTGTATATGTGTATGACTCCCTCGGTTTCTGTGTTAATCCACTTTTCCTCGTACTTAAAAACCAGAACATTTACCGAGGACAGGAGCAAATGGTTGTACATCGGGTCCTTTCCTGTCAGTATTCTTTTTGTTATTTCATTTGTCTCTGGTGTCCTTGCGCGCATAAACAATCCCTGCTTTTATTGGCATTTTTTTATTTGCATATGGTTCAAATCGAAGTGGTAAAGAACGTGCATACGTCAGATATAAAGGACGGAGTTATCCACAACGGCCTGCTGTACACGGTGGGAAGAGACAGGCACGTCCGTGTTTCTACGCTTGACGGTTTGGAAGAGGTGTGGGTCTCTAAGGATTTGGGGGCGCCTGCAAACTCTGTCTGCGTGCACAAGGAGTGCGTGTACGTGGGGCTTCAGACAGGCGAAATACTGAGATATCGAATATCCTCGAAAAAGGAGGCTTCTGGCAAGGCAGAAGAGGGCGCGGTCTCTCTCGAGCTCGAAAGCCGGGATGCGGTGCATTCAGATAACGTGTGCTCTCTCAGCGAGTGCAGCGAAGGCGTTCTCAGCACGTCGTGGGACAGCACAGTGGGCCTGACAAGAGAGTCGGGCCCTTCTGAAGTTTCTAAAATAGAAAACACGGCGTGGTCGGCCAAGAAGCTGCCAGAGTCTGACACGGTGCTTGCAGGGTCCATAAACGGAGCTGTTTCTGTGCTGAGGAAAGTGAGCGGAACCTACCAGCAGGAAAAAGGGCTTAAAATGCACTCTACGTGCATTCGGGACATTGTGATGGAGGCAGACAGATACGTCTCTGTCTCTAACACCGGAGTGGTTATTGCATCAACCCACTCCGGGCGGGTTTTGCACAAGACAGACCTAAACAACACGAGCTTCCGGGTCAACGCGTATGCTGGCGAGTCTGTCCGCGGATACATTGTTGCGTCTGACCAGGGAATGGTCTATGTTCTGGACCAGAACCTGGAAAGCCTTTTCAGCATTGCAGCACCCACTCTGTCCTGCTGGAATGCGGTGGCGCATGAAGGCAGGGTGTATGTGCTCGGGTCAGACGGGCGCATCTATGTGTTTGGAGAGAATAAGAGCGAAAAGTACCAGAAGGTGCTGGAAGAGATCCAGGACGAGCTAAACAGCGCCAGGAAAAGCGCGGAGGAAAAGGCGCCTAGCCCTGCCGCGGCCTCGTCGGAGGAGAAAGACAGCCCTAGATACAAGGTGGTGGACGGGAATGTGTACGTTATGAAGGACGGCGAGTGGGAGCTTTTTGGAAACCAGATAGAGGAAAAAAAGAAAGACCACACAATTACCATAACGCTGGGAAGTGCCAGCTACACGCTGTCGTTTGACAAAACAGAGAACTACTATGACGTAGCGTGCGGGTTTGTGAAGCAGAACAACCTAGGCGCAGAGTACGTTCCCGAGATAGTTGAGTTTCTGAACAAGAACTTCTCCAAGCCAGAAAAAAGAGATATTTCTAAGTATTTTGTGTACGACACAATAAACATGGAAGTGGTTGGAAAAAAGATAGAAAGCCTCCCCAACGCCCCAGAGGTGGTGGAGTATCTCAAAAAGACGCAGGAAACTGGGAGCCCCCAGGAGAACGAGCGCGAAATAGAGGCCATTCTGGGGGAGTGGCTGGAAAATGGCACAGAAAAAATAGCTGTTTTGGACATATACAAGTATTTAATAGCAAAGGGCGCAGACTTTGACCTTTTCTTCCTGAAAAGCCTGAAGCCGCTGGAGTGCAAGAAAACAGCTCTTGTGTTTGCGCTTATTGCTACGAATGTGCTGGCAATGCGCCCAGAGTGCAGGACTCTGGTGGACGTGACAATGATGAAAATCATCGACAAAGGCCTAGTGAATGTAAAAATACTGCAGAATTACAAGAACAACAAAAATGTATAGAGCTGCAGCAGCTCTAAAAGTGTTAGCGCTGGTGCGTGAACGGCCTCTAGCAGGTGCGTAAAGAAAATGATTTATTCGGACGCCAAGGCCAAGGGCCGGGAAAAAGCAATAAAGAGTCTATTTTAAACCTACAGCCTACACTTAGCATCTTAGGCAGGCACCTTCTACCTGCCCACACCTTTTCTGCTGCATGCTAGAAATGCAATGTGCATGCAGGAAGAAATTTCCTGTGGCGCACTTGAAAAAGAAAAAATCCCTCCAGAGTTTTTTCAAGCCCAATGGGCTCTGTTTTTGTGGGGTTGAAAATTTCACATACTGTATTTTTATTTGCTTTTGAGACATTCACGCAGAAACTAAGTAATTTCTCCCAGAACCAAGCAGTACTCTATACCATCAGATGTAGCGGTGAAAACGCCTGCATTTGCGTATGCTCTTCATTTATAGGCCTGGATCTTTTCTGATTTGCAGCCTGATTTGGGATGCAGCAGAGATTTTGGATGGAGTTTGTCGGGTGCATGTGCGCATGCCTCTCCAAGCCCGGGCATGCCTCTTGGGCAATCTCATCCATTTTCTGCGATTTGCTCGAAAATGCCAACTATCAGAGACACACCAAACGGTGGATACGCGATGCAGCACACTCGAAATGCAGGAGTGGAAAAAGCATTGATATATGCGGACTGATGAAAGCCCATGAATAGCCCGAATTATATTGCACTTACAAGTAGCATAATTTTTCTTGAATCAGGAAGTATATGCGTTGGGATGGATTTAGGATAAAAAAATTTAAATCCATGTATGAAGAATTTGCAAATAATAGCGGTAATTCTTTCAGTGTGTGCATGCACAGATTTGCCGAAAATGAGGGATTCAGGGTATAGCAGCAGTATAGACCAGGTGCGGATATCCCCAACCGGCTCCGTAAGTTCGGATATTTTTTCTTTATACACGCCGCCTGAGAATATAAGAGAAGAGTTTCAGATGAAGGAGGCTGTTATGTTCAAAAGAGACAGTTTTCTAGGTGAAAAAAACAAACTGCCGCTGAAGGACATTCAAAAAGACACGGATGTCTTTTTGCTGGGTCTCTATCTGTTCTACGATGAGGACAAGCCAATCGAAAGCCTAACAACAAGCATATTTATCAAAAACTGCAAGGCTCTTGGAATCTTCAACGAAAAACAAATCAGTTACATTTTGACAAGGCTAGCGCACATTCATGCAAAGTATCTGATGAACTTGAAGAAGTGCCAGAAAAGCACTATCGTGCAAATAATACAGGCAGTTGAACTTGGGACTAAGCTAAACCTAGGAAAGAAGCGCATGGTGTGGGGAGGAATAGATGAAGGATTCGAGAAAATCAAGAGATACATGAAAGTGGATGTGCTTCCTATGCAGAATGATCTGAAAGCCCATATTGTGCGCATAAAAAATGCAGGGAAACCCGCTATCGACGCGTTGTGCCAAAACAGATGGCCCAAACTAGGCTTCATCCTAAAGGCTGTGGAGGATGAGACAAAGAAAATGAAGAAATCTGAGCTTTTCGCGCATAATGTTAACAAAAAAATGCACCTGTCTATAATATACAAGTACATGCTGCTCAAGAAAACAATAACAGCTGAAATATGGTGCAATAAAACAGAGCCAAGCGCCTTTCTGAAAAAAATACTGACCGAAGAGGGAATTAAGTTGGACGGCGACATATACAAAAAAATACAGCCTGAAAATCCACAAACCGTAGCCAATGCCGTAAAGAAGATCTTTATATGCAGGCACATCAAAAAAGCCAACACAGAGCCTCCAAAGGATGCGATGGAAAATCTGCTGAAAGCTGCTTCAAGCTTAAGCAGCTTAAGCAGCACACTGGAGGTTTGTAATGTGCTGGTTGACGCGCTGGCCTACAGCTTTATTCAGGACTTTGCCACAGACACTTGCCAGATCCCATCCATGAAAAGGTTTAGCACCTATCTTATGAATAGCTACAACGGCATGATGGCTGTCATTGATGCACACAAAATTCTGCTTTCGATTTCCGACATGCATGGAACGGGCTCAAAGTCGGAAGTCTCTCTGTCTGCCTGCTATAAAAAATCCAACAGCCATAAAGCCCTTCCAAAGTGGCTGCATAAAATAGTGAAGAGTCTAGGGGCTTCCTGCAAATTGCACATACATGCTAGTATGCAAGAGCCTCATGTAGAGATAACGAATGTGTTTTCGGAGATAACTCAGGTGGAGCTTCTTAGTGCTCCGGTTCCCTTGGAGCTCAAATACATGAAAATACTTTCTATTGCGCTAAAGCCGAATTGCAACTATATTATACTTGGAGTGAACTTGCATAGAAACTATATGCAAGACTGCCCGAGACAAGAAAAATCTGTTCCGCTGCACGTTCTTCTCTTCTACAGAGCCCTCACACTTTTCTATTTGGACAACGTGGTAAACGAGCAGGCGTTCAGCGAAATTACCTACTATGCGCTGCAGGTCATGTCCAACAACACAAAAGAGCAGAAAATGTTCAAAGACTTCATTCTATCGTAGCCAAGGGGCTGTTGCGCTTCTTAGAATGCGCGTGCCGTTGCAGGCATTCCACCCATCATATATGCCCAGCCCACACTCTGCCAGAGCTGGCTCATCCTTTATAGGCAGCCCTAGCAGAAAAGGAGCTCGCAGAGCCAGCGGAGTGCTGGTGCCTAGGAATCCCAGCGCGCAAAAGAAAGCAAAACCCCATATAATTTTCCAGCCTGTTAAGCAGCAGGGCTTGGGCACTAAGTTATAAAACTCAAATATATACATTTTTATTCTGCTATACTTTCTTCCTCAAAGCTGCCTTGCTCTGGAGGAGTGGGGCTGCCACCAAGGAGTATGCCGTGTTTAGAACCCTTCCCTGGGCCTCCCGCCTCTTTATATCTTCGTCGCGCCTTATTATTGTGTCGGAAATGTACTTCTGGTACTGCGTGGTGGACACGGACAGCCTGTTTAGAAGGTTTGCAAAACAGACTATGTCAAAATCGCTTATTCTAACGCTTTCGCCTTTAGCCTTCCTCAGGAGGTTCAGCGCGCAGTGCAGGCCTGCAAACTGGACTCTTCCCCAGACGCTGCAGCGCATGCAGTCCACACACCCCATCAGCCCGGAAATTGCCGCACATCTTTCCACAGTCTCGGCTGTCACAGCATACGGATCGTAGCTATGCTGCATGTTTCTAAGCAGCGAGCCTTTTAGAGCTGCCACCGCGCCTGCAGCCTTTTCGCCTTTCGCAATTCTTTCCATGTCCCCTATGGCAACAGGGAGCAGCGAAATAAGCAAATCCAGCGTGAATTTTAAATTTTTCATGTGCTCTGGCTTAACTCTCTTGTACATCAGCCTGTAATTCATGAACAGCTTTCGGTTGTCCGGGTCTTCGCTGTAGAAGGAGCACAGATGGATGGTAACAGAGCAGTGCACGCCACTCAGCAGGGAGGGCAGCAGAGAGTCGTTTTTTCCTATTTTGTGCACGGCATCCCACACAATAGACCCATCGTATCCTGTGTACCTTTCCATGATGGTTTTTAGGTCGACCTCTATGTTTGTTTTGTGCTGGCACTCCTTTGTTAGGCGAATAATTTCGCCTATTTCTTTTCTGAACTCGTTCAGCTTGTCCAGCGGCTCTTCGGCTTTCTGGCCTTTCTTGCTGAACAAGTTGCACGACGCCCCGCAGTCCTTAAAGCGCTATTTAACAGACTCTGGACACTCGTTGTCCACCTTCAGTGTTATCTTTGAGAATTCGTCGGCTGTGCACAGGATAGACACGTTCTTTCTCATTTCCATGCTGTTATACTCCCATTTCACAGCAGCATGTGCAAAAAAACATGCGCACACAAGAACAGCTCCAACTTTCCACAGCATAATCATAAAAACAAATCATAAATTTATTTTAAAACCACAAGAAGAAGGCACTCTAAAATTACAATAAAGAACAAAAAATACATTTTTCGCTTCTTCGCTGTAATTTCGTGCTCGTTTGATATCAGGAAGTGTTTCAAAGACCTTCCCAGGAAGAGAGCAAACGACACCATCAAGTATATCAGAAGTATTTTTGCTATAAGTACATTTAGTATCTTTGTGAATATCTTGATAGCAATGATTGTAACATACTTGTACCCTATAAACGACACAATATCGGTTATGTTGAGGGCTGTTGCCTCGAAGAAAAAGCTGCCTGCCTTGATTCCGGCAGCCTCCAGAAGCGCCAGCACGAGAGACTTTGTGGTGATTTTTCCTAGCGTCTCAGGCTCAAACTTGTCCTCCACCTCCAGCTCGCAGGCCACAAATAAAATGTACGTTATAACGGACATAAGCGGAATGTACAGGTCGGGCTGGCTCACCGGAACTGCGGAAATGTCTCTATTTGTGCAGTGCATCCACTGGTCTATGCTGTACGGATAGAAAATTAGAAGCATTTTTCGCAGCAGATACGAGTTGTCTATTTGAAAGTACCTTTTCACAGAATCAAACCTCCCAAATGAAACTGCCCTGTTTATATACGAAGCTCCTAAATTGAGCGCGTGTTTCTGCATGTCCATCTGCAGACTGTGCGACATTAATTTTTTATTGGGTGTAAATTTAAATTTAATTCACTCTTGTAAAACTGTCTGACTCTTTTTCGGAATCTGCTGAAGTGTCTGGCCTCCGAGTTTTTTAGCATGTGAAAGGCATCCGCTATGAATATGCCGTTCCGAGAGGCGCCGAAGACCCGAATCCACGCCTGTTTTTCCGCTGGGCACGGCTTCGTGAATAGAATCTTCTGTTTTTTCCCCAGGCAGTCTATTTCCACCTCTGGAAAAACTGCTAAGACCTTTCCAACAATGGCAGTTCTTTTGTTTGGCCGGCACATTCTAGAATAGACCATAAAAAGACAAAAATATTTTATTATGTGCAAATGGCGTTAATTAAAAATAAAGAAGAAAAAGGCTTGCCTGCGCCCAGGCACATGCACAAATGTGGAGGGGAAGGCGTGGAGGCCTTGCCGCATGGAATATTTTCTAGGGAAGTGAAAAGCCTGATCGCTCGGGTGCTTCGAAACGAGCCACTGCGGGAGGAGGAGATAAAGCGCCTGCTCAAGATAGGGGTTATTTGGCCTGTGCTCAAGCCGTATCTTCTGCTGAACATAGAGAAGTATAATGCGCTGAATCTTCTTGATGTTTTATGCGAGAGGCAGAACGGCTGAAGCCAGCACGAGCGGCTGGCATGAACTTTAGAGCAGGCAGTTTCTGCGCGCATGCTACGATGCTGCATGGATTTTGGGCTTTCGGCAGGTCTCCCTGGGCGCTGTCTAAATCCCTTGCCATCTCTAAAACGCATGGGACGCACTGCACTAGCAGACTAGTAAAAAGTATCATTTATTTACTTTGTGAGGATTGTGTTAATGGTGTCGTCTAGCACATCGAGTATTTCCTCAGCCTCTGCCCTGTGGCTTTTTTTCGCTTCGTTTCTTTGTATGTTTATGCACATTGTCTCCTGATCAATATCCCCCTTTATCTTTTCGTCCAGTATCATTCTTCTCAGCCTGTTTTCGATGACGTCTAGGCTGAAGTTGAGCACGTTTCCGATGTACTCTATGTTTATGTTCGAGTAGGGCTCTATTATTTTGAGGATATTTGAGTCTATAAGGCTGTCGCAAAGGCTCTTCAGATGGTTCATAAGGAACTCGTCCGACTCAATCAGGCTCATGTTTTCATATACAATGCTTCTGCATTTTCTTAGGTCTCTGTCCAGCACGCACTTTCCAATAGAGCACAGAATTTTTATGCACTCGTCGTCTCGGCTCTGCACAAAGGCGTCTTTGCTCTGCAGCAGAGACTCTATCTCGGCCGCCTTCCCGTTCATTATCTTTATCAATATTAAGTACCTGCAGCACAAAACCGTCATTTTCGCGTCGTGGGACAGCACAAACCCGTCCAGCGCCTCTATTATGTACCCGGTGCTGATTGTGTACTCCTTTTCGTCTGCAGAGTACATGCTTGACAGCAAATCTATTTTGGCCTGCAGGAACGGAGGGCAGTACACAAACGTGGCAGTTGACTTGGACAGAGTCAGCGAGGACTTGGCCTTTGAGATGTTCTTTAGCGCGTAGAAGACCTTGCTCTCCAGATAGTACAGCTTCACCAAAGCCAGCTTGTCGTCTGCCTTCTTCAAAACCTGAACAGTTTCAGATATTAGGCGCAGCGCGTCGTTGTGCTCGCCCATTAGCAGCAGGCCTTCTATCTTTCGAATGTCAAAGTCTATTTTTAGCAGGCTTCTTTTGTTCTTCTCCGCCCACTCAATCAGCCTGTTGTATATTCTTATTCTTTCCGGAAGCGGTGCGCTGTTTTGCTCTAAGACATCCAAAGCCTTCTTTAGAAGTATAGCAATAGATGGCTTTGATATTTTAGAGGTGTTTGCCACCGTGTCTAGTAAAAGGTCTGTTCTCTCGGAGGTTCCGTTCAAGACAGATGACATTAGTTCGGAGCTGACTAAGTCTATGGCCTGCGAACTTTTCAGTTTCTCCTCTAGTGAGCTAATATTCATGCAAATAAAAAAACAAGAATATAAATAAACACTGCATATTAGAAACAGCCTGCAGCGCCCTTGTGTTTTCCGTGCTTTATTTGCAGCGCAGTGCGTGTTCAAAAAGGCGCTGCCCCCGGCCTCTTTGCATGTGGCCTTGCTCTTTTCTCTTCTTGCAAATTTAGAGTGGCCTGTTTGCTTCTTACAGCTATAAGGCATGCACACAGTCGCATTCATATCCATCTGGGCTCAAACTGCTCGCTGCTCTGTTTTCTCTTGCTCGTGTGGATGCGCTTCGGGCGCTTGTTCATTTGGGGGTGGTGCGTTTTTGATTTTTGAAATAAAGTGTTCAAATCTTATATGCTCTTTTTTCAGCATGCACGCGTTTATTTTTTTCCAGGAAAAGGCTGTGCATAAGGAGCTGCTTTTGAAGTGCGCTTTCAAGGCAAACACCAACTTTGCTTTGCCTGGCCTGGAACTAGGCCCATCTTTCGGTGGAAAGGAAGCAGTAGCCCCTTGCTTGTGGTCCTTTCGCTCGGTCTTTATTTTTCTATTTATACATTTGCCATTCCTCTTGTTCTTGCTTCTGCCCCTTTCTTCGCCTTCTTTTCTGCTTCCGCCTCTTCGATTGGAATTTTTCATCCTTAGTTTCTGGGGGTTCCGCTCTGCCGGCTCAGCATTTATTTCCACAACTTTGTCCTCTATCCACATTTATCTATCTTCATCAGTATCCCAGCCGGACTTCAATACTTTGGCCTGACTTCGGATTCGCCCGCATCCAGTGACTAGCTCTAGAGAAGACACGCATTAACTAACACATAGCAAAGCGCACGGGGTATACGCCCATTCTTTGCATGTGCCAGGCGGACCGGCAACACCATAAAAACTCCCTAAAACCTCTGCATTTACTCTATACACCGCATGTCTATGCTCTTTATACTTTATTCACCACACCAGCACGTACGCTACTTGCTGTCTTTTCTAACAAACGACGCCAAAAAGAACCCTTTGGTCTCCATGTCTGCATCGCACCGAACCACTTTCTCGCTGAACTCATATCCCGGGGCGCCCCTCTTGCTCCATGCAGGCAGTGCTTTCTCCAGCACATATCCGGGGTTGGCTTTTAGAGCCTGGCTTACAACTCCTTCGTTCTCCTCCTCGTAGATCGAGCAGGTCGAGTACACAACCTTTTTGGCTCTGGGATAGCTCAAGGCCTTGTTCAGTATCTTCACTTGGAACGCGCTGAGCTTGCTGATTCTTGCATAGTCTTTCTCCTCGCCCGGGTGTATCCCGGATCCGCTGCACGACGGGTCGACCAAAATATACTCGGCCTTAAACACGTCTTCCACCTCTTTCGTAATGCCCAAAAAGTCGCAGTGCATGCTCACGATATTTTCTGCCCCGGACTTCTCGATCATCTCTCGGAGCGTTTTGTATCTCTCCATGTCTTTTTCCACTGCGTATATCACGCTCGTTGGAGAAAGCATCGCAAGATGCGTGGTTTTGTTCCCAGGGGCCGAGCAGGCATCCAAAACCACGCTGTTCTTCGGGGGATTTAGCACGTATGCAGGGAGGCAGCTCGATAAGTCTTGGACGAAAAAGTACCCCTCCTGGTAGCTTTTCAGCTTAATCCAGTTCACCTTTTCCATGACCTTGTACACGTCTGGGACAATTGTCGGCTCAAGCGAAAGAGAGGAAATTGCAGATGCGTCTGCCTTTAGCGTGTTCAGGCGTATGTACGCTTGCCCGCGGTCTTCCTTCGTTTTTGTCTTCTCCACGATCCCCAGAGACTTATATGTCTCTTTGACCTCGTTTGCGAGCTTCTTGTTGAACCGCGTGGCCTCCCGGTTGTTCCCATACAGAATCTCGTAGCATAGCACGATAGCCATCCATCGGTTGCGTATGTCAAACCTCAGCGCCCCAACAACTCTTGACAGCACGTCATACTTCCGGATTATGCTGCTGATAACTGCCATGTACTTGGTTGGCATTTCGGTTTTGTAGCACGCTGTTTTTATTCCCGTCCTTTTTTCCTTTACGTCCTGCAGCATTCTGCTGCATCTCTCATAGAACTTCTTAGTCTCCATAAAAAAATTTACCAGTTAGGCTTATATGCACAGCAGAAAAGAGGCTTTCTGCGCCCTCTGAACAGAAAGATTGGCAGCGCATGCAGAATCACTCGTTTATTTGCGAAAGAAGGCTCCGCGCCTCTTCTTCGGTGATTCCGTCCACAAGAACAGACTTGCTTCTGGACTTGCCCCCTCCCAGAATCGACACTTGATTTTTGGGCCTCCGCAGTATCTTATGGACAGTTTCAATCACTTCTCGGTTCGCCCTGTTTTCTATCGGGATTGAGGTCAGCGAAATGCTGAGAATGTCGCCCGCCCAGGAAAGTGAAAATACTTTTGATTTAGGCTTTACTTCGCAATTTATTATTACACCAGACTCGGTCGCGCGCATTTAAAGAGCGCAAAAATCATTCAGTGCATATTTATATTTTTATTCCAGGCCTTTCGAGGAAAAGCGTAGGCTCTAATTCAACTTAATGCAAAACATGCATTTAAGCAGGTGCACACAGAGAGAAAACGCGTTTACTCACCGGGGGCCTTTTCATGTACACTTTTGTGTGCGGAAAGCTTCCTCTTATCTGCAAAGCTCTTGTTGCATATGGCGCACACATGCCCGGGCTTTGTCTTTTCGGGCTTTGTGTGGGCCTTTTCCTCAGACGCCCAGCCGTTCATTTCCAGCAAGCTTCCTCCAAGAGTTCTCACTAGCAAGGTGGTTTTCTTGTACCTTCTTGTGGTTACGCTTTTTAGCTTATCGACTGCTTCGTTTTGCATTTGAATTACAGCAGAGCCTTCTGTTGGCTTCTGTCCTTCTGTTTTTCTTTTCTCTTCAGACTCATTGGCTTCCTTCATTAAAAAATTATTCGGGCGTCTCTGCCCTTCTAGCTTGCTAGTTTAGCTCTCCGCAGTGGAAAAGTCTTCTTCCAATAGAGTCTATCTCGAACTCGTATATGACCATTTCTGTCCCTATGTACAGCTTCTTTCCCTCCTCGCCAAAGGCCATGCCGGAAACGTGTTTGTCCCCGGATGGGCCTCCAATGGAAATGCTTTGCTTCTTTCCAAAGTCGCGAATGTCAACTAGTGTGAAATGTGAGACGTGCTCTGTAAAGGCCAGCACATCCATGGTCACGTCAGGGCAGAACTTCACGTTTCGGCAGGCGCCCTTAACCAGCGGGCTCTGTATGGAGGGAATTGTTTGTATTTTCTGCTCCATGTTTCTGATATCATACACGCAGACGTATCCATCTTGCGTGCCAACAGCCAAGTGCGTGCCAGAGGGGCTCCACGACGCCTTGAAAGATGCATCATTCATTGCCTTTACTCTTTTGATCAAAGGATACTTTTCTCTTCCCACAGAGTATAGAGAGACCTCGTTCGAGTCCCCGACAGTCGCCAGTATTTTTCCGTCGTTGTTCACGGAGCAGCTGTTGACAGGCGACTGGTGGAAAATGGTTGCTCTCTTGCGCATGCACTCGATCGAGTACTCCTTAATAGTTTCGTCGTTGTTGCACACCAGAATCCTTTTTTCCCCGAAGTGCGAAAATATTTCCAGCCCGTTATTTATTGAGCCTCCAGTGGATACTTTGCGGTCTACTCCCGTCAAAATGTTTTTTATAAAGAGCTGGCTTCTCTGCCCCCCGGCCCCAACTATGCCGTCGCTGTAGCATATTGAGGTAGGGTTAAATAGCAGATTCCTTGCCACAGTGTGGGTTCTTTCGGTCTTTGTGTTTAGAAGATTTATGGAGTTTGCATACACATATATAACCTCATAGGGCGTGTCTGTTGCGGATATCATATCTCGAAGCTGCCAGTGGTGGATGCTTGTCTTTACCTGATATTTTTTATACTCCTCGTTGATGAAGCCGTCGCTTTCTCTGGGCACGCTTGAAAACATAATAACACATACGAAAGGTTTGTTTTTAATGAAATATTATGGAACAGTGTGGGCTGGCCCTAAGAGAACATGCGGGCATGCGGGCACAGAAAAAGCACGCAGCAGCGCGAGATCCCACTCTAGCTGCAGATATATGTGGGCATAGCTGTTGGCACAATAACCCACTCTCTGAAATGGGCTAGCAATGCTACGGCATCCAGCCCCTAGCTGAAGCTACAGGTTAGAGTGCATGCACAAGAGTTCAATAGCTTTATGGATGAGCTAAGTTGGCAGCCTATAGAGTATTCACACGGGATAAAGCAAGCCTGTTTTCTCTGGGGGAATCTACTGGCCTTGAAAAAACTCTATATTGCAAAAGCCTCCTTAGAGATTTTAGTTGGGCTATTTTTGCATTTAATTTGCAAATTTTCTGGCCTCTGCAACATCATGTTTTGGCTGAAATCTTTTCAGCCTCTAAGTAATTTGTGATTAGAGCTTGCCTTCTATAGCTCGCAAGAAATGGCTAAAGTACTCCAATTTTAGCGTATAAGCAGAAGGCGAGGCATGCAATATGCCTACTTGGCTTTGCAATTCGCTGGGCCTTTTCCTCTTATGTTTGAAGACACTTTTTGGCTCTAGCTTTGTGCAGTTTTTCTGGAAACGGATAGCACAAATACCACACCAACTTTCCCTTTGTAGATAAATCTGATTTGCGAACAAAACATCTGAGGATTGGCAAAAGATTTCCCGTGTAGTGGCAAGAAGTGCTCTCCAAAGGAGGTGCACAGCCATGCCACAGATCTTTTGCTCGGCCTTTCCATAAAAAGCAGCTGCAGGTTGAGCTTGAAGCGTTAGCATGGAGAAGGCCAGCAGTTCTCTAGAAAAGCTGGGAAACCAAAAGCTCAGTGCATTTTTGGAACTTCTCAAATAGGGAGAAGCACGCAACTTCCCATCCAAGCCCGAAGCCTTTATGTATTTTTCAATCGCAGGCACATGCTGAGCCCAGCATACATTATAAATTGAGCTAAATTTGCGCTAATGTTTTAAAATCCTAGAAAGAGCGTGCTATTTTCAAGCAATGCCTTTTAAAACTCAAATCGCCTGCTGTAAAAACCAAAAAGAGCGCACACAAAAACACACAAATCCCGCTTAGGCACATGGTGCAAGCCCGAAACAAACCAAAACATAAAGGACAGTCACTTACTTGAAAGAAAGAAGCAGGGGCCTCCCTTGCAGCAAGCATGCCCTTTGGCTTGAGTGCAGCCCAGGCTCTACTGTGCATTTGTGCCGTGCTAGAAAGTTAAATGCAAGGAAGCTGCGCCGTGCTGTGCCTTCATCTTGCCTTTGTACACATATAAGGAGTTTTTTCTTTTTGTTTATGCAGGCTGCCATTAAGAGGGAAATAGGCGAGTCTGTCTCCAGCAAGGAAATTGAAGAGTTCTTCAAAAGGCTCTTTCCGATTGGGGATCCTTCGAAAATAGTGGAAATGTTCACAGCATCGCTTATGGACAAATCTCCGGAGGGCGTGTACGAGCTAATTCTGACATGCAGAAACAGCAAAAGGGAGTTTGCCCGATGGGTATACAAGTGTGTTACGCTGGCGCAGAGCGCAGAAAAAGAGGGGGCTGAAGGCCTCTCTTGCGGGGGCATAAAAAATGCAGCTAACGCGCTTTCAGAAAATCTTTCAAACATGACAGGGATTTCGTCATCGCCGTGCACAGGCCTTCCGGAGAGCGAAAGTGAGTTCATCGACATGTGCCTTGCATCAGAAAGGTTCCAGAAATCCTGGAGTGTTTTAAGATTGTGCTCCTTCTGACTCTGTTACAGATGTTTTATGCATCTGTATTTATTTCCAGAATGCTTTTTTGGCATGGCCATTGTGGTTACTCCTTTTATATTTCTTCTTGACCTGTGCGCAGGCCTAAGCATGGCCTTTCTGTTTATAGCATACTCGGCACACGAAAGACTGAACAAGCACCCGCAGAACAGGTTGCATGTTTTTGACTCTGCAAACATTTCATTGGCAGTTGTTCTTACCTCGCTGTTTCTTCTGTGGTCGGCCGGGTGTCTCATTGGAAGCTACTTTGGGAACTATGGGGTGTTTGTATATCCTATTATAAAATCCTTTAGAAGCCTGCTTACTATAGAGATGCTGATAGACATCTTCCAGAAAACGCTGTGCTTTCTTGTTCTGGCTATGGCTTCCTTCCAAATGTCCTCTCTGGGGAACCACGAAGTGCTTGTTCCGTGGGGAGGGGTCTGCGCGTCTGTGGGGCTCATCCAAGGCGGGGCCATGGGAATCATGGTTGTGGCGTTTAAGGGGTTTGCAGCTTGGATTATTCTGTATGCGTTCAGCGCGCTCATATCGGCTGGGCTGTGCATTTTCAGCGTCCTGAGCATAGCCATTTTGCAGCACAACAGGGCCCCCAACAACATGGTTGGATACCTTTCTAACAAAGCATTGGACTGGAACATCAGGTCCTGCTCTATGATTTTGGCAAGTGGCGCGCTTGATTTTTTCTACAAGGCGTTGTTTGTGCTTATGGAGGTGGGGGCGATGGAAAAAATGCAGCTTCTGATAGACATTTTGTCGCTGTGTAAGTCCGCATCGTCCGTTTTGTGCATACTTTCTGTATACTCATCAAGAATACCCAGAGACAAATCTTACAGTGTGAAAAGCTTTAATTAGATGGGGTTGAAATGTTTTAATTTCAACAATAAATTGAATATTATTTCAAAACAAATTACGCATGGAACATTTTATGGAAAGAACAGAAGGTTTGGAAAGGTTTTTGGCAAATATAGGGGGAGAATTCAAAGGAAACCGGATATTTGTGGGCAACAACTCGCTGGCCGCTTTTAAGTTTATTTTGTCGATGCAGGACTTTTCGTACAGAAGATTTGGCAAAAATGTTTTTGAATTCTACGGCCTGGAAAGACCTTCAGATCGCGCCAGCCGAAGCAAGTACCTAGACATGCTCACGGGCTGCATTGAAGTGGCAACCGAGTCCACAGAAGACAGCTTCAAGTCGCCCTCTGTGATCTGCGAAGGTGCAGTGCATTTCAACTGCCAGTTTGTTTGGCCTGGGTGGGGGCATTGCTCGGAGGACCCTGCGCTGCCAAGAGAGTGCGAGAGAAGAGGCCTTACATTTATCGGGCCAAGCGAGCATGCGATGGGCATGCTGGGCAGCAAAATATCGGCGAACACGCTGGCAGACAGCTCTGGGATACGCAGCATTCCCTGGATAGACGTGAAGCATGCAGACAAGGTGGACCAGTTTTGCAAAGACGTTGGGTATCCTGTGATGGTGAAGTCTCCTGACGGCGGGGGCGGAAAGGGCATTCGCGTGGTCGAGTCTCCCGAGCACCTGCAGCAAGCGATTCGCGTGGTCAAAGACGAGTCAGGGTGCACTGGCGTGTTTGTGACAAAGTACCTGGGAAAAATAAAGCACATAGAGTTGCAGCTGCTGGCAGACTCCCACGGCTCTATTGAAGTTGTATCCAGCAGAGACTGCACCATGCAAAGACGGAACCAAAAGCTAATCGAAGAGGGGCCTGCCATGCTAGACATGCATGAAGAGGAGGACATAAAGGAGAAGGCAAAAACCATGCTAAAGGAGGCAAAGTACCAGAACGCGTGCACCGTCGAGTTTGTGTATGACGTGGAGTCGAGCCAGATATACTTTCTGGAGTGCAATCCACGGCTGCAGGTTGAGCACACAGTAACGGACTTGCTAACAGAAAGCAACCTGTGTGCAGCGCAGTGGCTGGTGTCGTGCGGGGTTTCCATTCGCTCTCTGCAGGAGATTGGCGTTCTAAAGAAGCCCCAGCAGGGCAGGCATGTAGTTGCTGCGCGAGTAGTTGCTGAGTCGGCGGAGTGCGGGTTTGTTCCCAGTACCGGGTCGGTTTTTGTTTCGTCGTGCTTCCAAATGGGCACGGTTGGGTACTTTTCTATAGACTCCGGCGCAATTACGCCGTACAACGACTCCCAGTTTGGGCATGTCTTTGGAATTGGCCAGACGCGGAGCGAGGCTGTGCGCGCGCTGAAGCTGGCTTTGAACTCTGTCCGCATCACAGGAGGGGTCAAAACGCTGAACAATTTTCTTGCAGACCTGATTGCTACAGAGGAGTTTCTGAGCAACGCACACACCACACGCACTCCGGAGCGCTTCCAGCAAGAGCTGGTGAAAAGATCCCAGACAGACCCGTTTTTGATCTTATGCTTCTGCGCCATATCCGCCCACAGAAGCGGAGAAAAAAAGCTCTCTATGAACTTTCAAACAAATGGGCTAAGCGTGTTTGCCGAGGTCACAGAAGTGGGAGCCCTTGCCTATGCGATTTGCATAAACGGGGAGGCCTCCGTGCTGGAAATTCTTCCGCTTTTCGACGACAAGTATCGGGTCAAAACAGAGGCTGGCGAGGTGCGCGCCATTTACTTTTCAAGGTCGAAGATACACACCGAGGTGCGCACAGAGAGGGAAACGCTTCGGTTTACAGAAAACAGCGCTGGAAACACAGTCTACTCAAGCGTGCCTGGGCGGGTGGTCCGGCTGCTGAAAAGCGGAAGCGTCAAAAAAGACGAAGTCTATTTGGAAATAGAAAGCATGAAGAACCTTATACAAATAAAAGCGCCCAAAGAGGGCGCCCTCAAGTACAAGGTGGAGGCTGAAGAAGTGGTTGAGGTAGGCGACGCCCTGGCTGAAATCGTTGGAGACGAGTCGGTTGCGCCCGTCCAGTACACGCGAAAAATCCTGTACAGAAACACGGAAAAGGACTACACGCCAAACCTCTTTAAGGGGTACGAGGTTCCCACGGAGATCCAGTCCTTTAGCAAAAGCACCATTCTGCAAGCAATGGAGGCGTACAGCGGCGAGGCATGTGTTGAAAGCGTGCATGCAGACGGCTACATTAAAAAAAGCCTGGAGGTGCTTCTTGGCATGGAAAGCGAAATAGCGCAGTTCAAATCCATGATTCCGAAGGTAAAGTACAAAATGGCCAAAAAGGGCGCAACAGAAGCTGTGAAGGCCGCCTACGACTTGCAAACGCGGATAAAGGATGCAGAGCGAGCAGGGGATCTGAGCTCCCTGGAGGAGGCTCTTGCGGAGAAGGGCATAGGCGAGCTGGACCGCATAACCGGGTACGCGGACGGAGACACCCTGCTTCTTCTCTCCCTGCAGGCGGAGAAGCGAGACGAGGTTATCCGGCTGTGGGCCAAAAAAGTCCTGGGCGCCCTCCATGTAGAAATAACTGCTGAAGAAAGCGGGGCATGCCCCAGGATAAAAATATCAGCACAAGCAGATGCAAACTCCCAAATGCACACATTCTACCTTCTTAGAAAGCACGCGCCTAAAGACACGCCAGACAGCATGCTCTCGGGCGCGTCAATGGGCACAGGCCTTGAAATCCCAGGCCGGGCGACTGTTCTAGAGGTCGATGGCGTGTGCGTGAACTACCGAAGACGCGGGCTCAGCAGCAGCGAGCTGTACGACTGCCTGGACATCCGCACGGTGGAAGTGGACGGCTTTACCCTTCCGCAGAGAATAACAGAGATGCCCTCTCCGGTTCTAAAGTATGTTCTGTGGAACCGGAGAGTGTCTGTGTATGTGTCAGGCCTGGGCTCAGCCTCCGGTGCTGCAATACACTGCATGCTTGCTCTAGACGAAGTTATGAAAATGCACATTTTTTCTGAGCTAGTTGGGGAAATCGAGTCGATATGCGCGCTGGTGGCGTCTGACCGCACAGTTGAAGTTTTTGTGCACGTGTGCGAGGCGTTTCCGGATGGGCTGCCTGCCGAGTACTTCAGGAACCTTTTGTCGAAGGCATGCCCTACCACGGCAGGGGCAGGATGCAAATGGACTGTCTCTGGGATGTGCACAGAGAGCGGCCAGATGGAAACGTTTTCCCTGGTGGTTCGAGCCGAGAGGGGATTTAAAGAGGCCGTGCTCTCTAAAAAAAGCGGGCAGGTGTTTTACACGGTGGACGGGATCTGCATAAAAAACACCTTGGCCAGCAAGCCCACAGACCAGGCGCTCACGCCCAGCAGTGCTGCAGGCTCTTGCATAGAGGCGTCCAGAAAAAAAGCCAAAAGCTTGAGCACGCTTTATTTATATGATGCAGCCGCGCTTCTTGGGATCATGGTGCAGGAGCTGCACAGCGGGCTTGCTGTTTCGAAGATTCCAAACGAGAAAGAGGCAGCGATTTCTGGCTGGAGATTTACTGCGGGCGCGCTGGACTTTATATTTTTGGGGAATGACATAACTGTAAACAACGGGGCGTTTTCCATCGACGAAGACAACTACTTCAGCAGGTGCGCAGACATCTCGCTCAAAGAAAAAATCCCGTTTGTGTACATGTCCAGCAACTCTGGCGCAAAAATAGAGGTTCTGGAGGCCATTAAGCCACTTATCCGGTATGACAACAGCGACAGCATAATATACATAGAGCCCGAGGACTACGCCGCCCTTACAATAAAGGAGCAGATCGAGGTTGTGGAGCGAGAAATTGGCGGAAGGCGCGCATATGAAGTTACAGACATACTGGGCGTGTACGGAATGGGGGTCGAAAACCTGTCGTATTCGGCACAAATTGCGAAGGACATGGCTCGGCTCTACAAGGAGGTGCCCACAATGACATATGTGTCGGGGCGAGCTGTTGGAATAGGCGCATATCTTGCCAGCATTGGCGGCCGAATAATACAGAAAGCAGACTCCCCAATCATTCTGACGGGCTTTAATGCACTGAACAGTCTTCTACAGAAGGAAATATACAGGAGCAACATAGAAATAGGCGGGCCTTCTATTCTGGAGAAAAACGGAGTGGTCCACAAAACCGTCAAAACAGACTCTTCCGGCATGCAGGAAGTTGTAAACTGGCTGCAGTATGTGCAGGGCGCGCATAAGTGCCCAGAGCTCCCAAGCTCGCCAAACAGCCTGCCCTTGGACGGCGCCCTCGGCAGCGAGCAGATAGAGTCGCTCACGCCAGAAGAGATAGTAAGCTACATTTCCGACAGAGACACGTTTACTGAGTATCTGTCAGAGTGGGCGCCGAACGTGCGCATTGGAAGGGCGCGGATAAACGGGATTGCGTGCGGAGTGATATTCCCACGAACAGGAACTGTGCACGGGCACATTCCGGCGCCTGCTGCAATAGGAAACGGATTCAAGCCTAAAGAGGTTGTTCAGTACGTGTGGACTGAAAACGTCCTTTTTTCTGAGTCTTCAAAAAAAATAGCTCTGTCCATACGGGACTTTTCCCTGGAGTCTCTCCCCATCCTGATTCTGCTTAACTGGAAAGGCTTTTCTGCAGGCCACTTGGACATGTTTGACGGCGTTCTCCAAAACGGCTCTGAAATAGTTCGGAGCATGGAGAGCACAAGCACCAAGATATTCACATACCTTGCCCCTCTGTCAGAGCTTAGAGGCGGCTCCTGGGTGGTTTTTGACAAGAAGATTGGGAACCAGATAAAGTTCACTGCGCACCCAACAGCCAAAGGCAGCGTGATTCATCCGGACGGCCTCTCCAAGATAAAGTGCAAGCAAAACGAGCTGTCCCACACGCTGGAAAAATCAGGCGTGGCGGTGTCCAAAACCTCCGCGTCCAAGCTGGCCAAGGCCTTCTGCGCCCTCCACGACTCGTCCAAAAGAATGATAAAAATGGAAGTTATTGACGAAATACTTACTGTGTCTCAGCTAAAGCCAGCTATCATAGAGTATTTTAGAAATTAATCACGCTTTATTTTCAGTTCTTTATTCGGGGCAGTCCCAAGTGCTTTCAAAGTCATGGAGAGTGCTTGCCATTTTTATGGCAAAAATGCTTGTGTTTTGGGGCTGGGGAATTATATGTGCTCTAAGAGGGGCTGCAGGAGCTGCTTCTTTAAGGGGCATCTCTAGCGTAAGCATGCTCTCTTCTGCATATGGTTTCAAGTGTCGTAGGTTAAACATAAATAAAATACAGAATCTAGCAAATTTTTAATGGTACTAAAGCACATAAAACATATGCTGGGAATAGAGCATTTGGAAGTAGCAGGAAATCTGTACAAGAACAAGGCGCTGAAAGTGTCAGACGCAAGCATAACTATATCAAACGAGCGGTTGGTGGTGCAGAACGCGGAGAAAAGGGTGGAGTTTCCGCTTTCCGAGATTTCGTACATCGACTTCAGCAAGACCGAAAGCAAAGAGTTTTCTGTCTTTTATCTTGTCAAGCAGGAAAAGTGGATATTTGTGTTTCGGCAAAACCTTCCCAGAACAATTGTGCAGTTCTACGGGAAGCTGTTTGCAGCCCAGCCGGAGATAAACAAGTGGAACATCATATACACAAACGACTCTGTGACGCTGAAGAAGTACAGTCCGGTTACGGACAAGTACGAGCTGGTGGACGAGTCTATCAGTGTGCGAATGATAAAAATAGGGGAAAGCATTGTTCTGCGAGTCTACAAGCAGTACGAGATCATCCGAAAGGGCGATCTGGTAGAAAACTATTCAGACTTCTACGTAGACCAGGAGACCAACAGTTTTTCGTGGCATGTGGCCAGCCACCACGACGGGCTTGAGGTGTATCGGCTGATATTCAACGGACAGCCTGCGCTTTTTGCGTTTGTCTCCTCCTTCGTGAATGCCTCGTCCAAGGAGGAAGTCGAGTATCTGGAGAAAATGGAGATAGACAACTACATGGAAGACCAGGAAGTCAGCTCGTCCGAGGAGGAGATTTCCGAGGAGGAGGAGTCCGATGACGCCATGGTGATTGGGCATAAAAAGGCCAGCGCAAGCACAAAGTGCAAGCAGGCTTCTGGAAACATATTTGGGGGAAGAAACAAGGAAAGAAACAGGGCGCTGGCTGTCAACGAAAAAAACACATTTATATCAAGGGGGTCCTCGATTGGAATATTCCAGAACGAGCAGTCCGAGCTGGACTTCAAGGGGACGCTTAACAACATATTTAGGAAGGGCGAAAGCATAACGCCAAACAAAATGGTCATATCCAAAGACAACAGCTCCCTGATCATGTCAGACCTGAACAACAAGGAGATGATGCACAAAATCGACTTGAACACCGAGAAGGTGGCGGAGTCCTGGGACACAAAGGACGAGCTTAAGGACTTTTTCACGGCCGCTAAGGACGAGCGCGGCGCTCCGCTAAGCAATGAGTTTGTGGGGGTATCAAAGAACCGGCTTTTCAAGCTGGACCCAAGATCGCCTACCCTGATTGAAGGAAAGTCCTATTCCACAAACACCAAGTTTACATCCGGAGACTCCACTAGCAACGGATACTTTGCGCTGGGGTCGGAGACGGGTGACATCAGAATGTACGACTCTCTCGAAAAAAGGGCAAAAACGCTCCTTCCCGGGCTGGGCGACTCTGTTCTGGGCGTGTTCATATCGCCCAGCGGAAAATACCTTGTGGGAACGTGCAAAACCTATCTCATGCTTGTTGTGACCGAAAAGGAAGGGGTCAGCGGCTTTAAAAAGAGCCTGGGGCAGAGCAAGCCCATTCCAAAGAAGCTCATTGTGCGGCCCGAGCACCTGCACTACTTCAACGGGGCTGTAAACTTCACGAACGCCAGCATCAGTACAGACAAGGACGAGAAGTATGTGATAGTCAGCACGGGCGAGTGGGTGCTCGTGTGGGACATGGAAAAGGTCCTGAAGGGCCATGTTTTCAACTACCAAATCAAGAAAAACGAGCACAACGTTGTTTCGAACAGTTTTATTCCCGGGGACAGCAACAGAATAGTTGTGGCCATGGACGACGACATAGCAATGGTGAACAGGCTTTCTCTAAAAAAGGCCCGAAACCCACATAAATAAATGCACATTCTATCCGTTTTGCTGGCTGCATGGCCTTTGCCCAGGAGGCTGCTCTGCTGAGAAGCCTCTTGCACTAGGCCCAGGCAGGCGCGCAGTTTGCTTTCTCAATGTTTCCTCTTTGGGGATAATTAGGTTTTTTATTTACCGAATAATTAGGATTTGCCCTATATAAAGGCTGCCCTTTCTACTGGCATGCAGGATATTTCTATAATAGCAGCCCTCTTCGCAGGGTCAATCATTTTGTACCGAGCCAGAAAGACAGTTGCACACGCAGAAAGAGCACGCAGAGTCCACAGCAGAAGAAGAGACGCGCCTCTGCTGTTCATAAACAATCCGTGTTTTTCTGGATATATTGACATAAAATTATAAACGCAGACTTCTGCACGCGCCCTGCAATGCCACCGCAGATATTTGTATATAGAGAATTCTCAAGGAGAATCTATTTTTGTAAATGCAGCGCCAATTTATGCGCACACAGCATGCAGTGTATTTAAGCAAATAAAATTATTTTAATATATGAGAAGAGCTACAATGGCTGGAGTTCCGGCAAGAAATTCGCTATCTGGGGATGCCAGCAGAATGACGCTGAATGAAGACCCAAGAAAAAAACAGAGAAATCCGAGGGATAGAAGTCACCAGGAAGAAAACATCAATGCAATCATGGGCTTTCTAGCATCCACAGACTACGAAAGGCCCTTTTCGCATGCTCTCCTGGCAAGTCCCTCGCTGAAAGACTTCCAGTCGATTTTCCGGCACATTCAGTCGTTTATAGACCCTACGCTTGAGTTTACGCGCAAGTTTGAAGAAGAGGTTTCTGCCTTCCTTAAGTCGATAAAGTATCCGTACGTCTCGGAGATAAACCGAAGCCAGCTTATTGCAATTACGCCGCACACGTGGCCTGTTCTTCTGTCCATGCTTGCTTGGCTGGTCAAAGTAGTCAAGACCTCGTGCGAGCTTGTGAATGCGGCTACTGAAGAGGACGAAACAAAAGAGATTTTCTACAACTTTTTGTATAAGGAGTATTCGAACTACATGGAGGGCCTGGACAGCCCAGACCTTGAGGAGGCTGTTGATAGGGAAATCGCGCTGAGAAACCAGGAAAGGCTTGCCGTGGCAGACGAGCAAAAGGAGTGTCTGAGGAAGCTGAAGGAAGAAATACAGGAAGAGGGTGCCGGCGGCCTGGAGGAGGTGGAGGAGAAGCTGAGGCAGACAGAAATCGACCTGCAAAAGATTGCGAGTCTGCGGAGCAACCAAGAAGAAAAATGCATGAGCTACAAGAGATCCCTGGAAGAGTCGCAGGCCATGTATAGCCGGCTGAAGGAGGAGTCTAGGCAGCTGCTCCAGAAGAAGCGCGAAATGGAGGAGGAGATCAAGGTCCAGCCAATCAAGGCCGAGGATCTTCAGGAGATGACGCACGAAAGAGACCTGCTGATAAAGTCCCTGGAAGAGATCAAGCGGGCAAAAACAATTCTAATTAGAGAAATCGACCTAAAGAACCAGACGATAAAAGCCGAGGTGGAGGAGACGATGAGGATTCTGTCAGATATAAAGAAGATCCGCATAGGCATAGAAATATGCATAAACATCAAGAAAACAAGAACCACCACGGATCTGCTAGAGTATGAGGAGTACTCTGTTGAGGGAAGCGTTGCCAAGCATGAGTGCCTGGCCAAAGAAAAGCTGGAGGCGCTGCAAAAGGAGATAGAAATGCTCGAGGCTGCGCTGGAGGAAGAGAAGGAGAGGAACGCATGCCTGATGGAAACCGGCGCGGCCTTGGAGGATGAAATCGAGCAGAAAGAAGAAAGAGTAAAAGTGCACGCGCAGGTATACATAGAGAAGAAAGAGGCAACGGAGGAGGAGTACAAAACAACCGTTGGCCGCGTGGACAAAGCAGAAACCGAGCTTCTAAAAATCCTGGCAGAGGGTGACAACGGGCTGTTCCAGAGCGAGCAGGCCCTGGAAAGAACAAAGATCCGGAAGGGAAGGCTTCTGGGAAAGATATCCATGGAGGAGGCGGAGATCCAAAAAATAACAGCAATTGTGGCTGCCAATGTGCAGAGTCTGAAAGAGAGAATTGAGGAGGCAAGCAAAGTTCTGAAGATTTCTCCTCCGTAGCAGCTGCTCCGCTATGGCAGGCGGCATTGCGCATAAAAATAAACCTGTAGCAGTATTTAAAATAAACTTTTTCGTGCTGGAGTGTTTACGAAATTATTTCATGCGCGCTTGCACAGACCATGCACATGCCCGGCTCGACCAAGGCAGCATTCCTGAAAGAAAAGATAGCTGCAAGCACGAAGGATGCGTGCACAAAGCCCCAGCCGGCGCGAGAAATCCGAAAATAAAGAGGGTGCATAGAGCGCCAATTACTTTTTATTAACTCGTCCGGCTCTAAAATGCAGAATGTCTCCATCTGCCACAGGGTAGTCTCTCCCCTTCATTCTGCACAGACCTTTCATCTTAAGCTCCTGCTCATTTCCATGCTCTACTATGTCGTCGTATGCCATGACATCCACGGCTACAAATCCGGTCCTAAAGTCCGTGTGTATGACAGCACCAGCGTCTGGCGCAAGAGTCCCCTCGCGGATGGTCCAGCATCTTACTTCTTCTGGGCCGCACGTGAAGAAAGTGCTCAGCTCCAGCGTTTTGTATCCAGCAGCAACTGCCTTGTCCAGGTACTCCTCCGCCTCCGTGCCGGACAGCCCTGCACACACCAGCACGCACGGGGCCTCAGGGTCTGTATCCATCAAGTGCTTCTTCAGCTTAACCGCCAAGGAAGTGGGCTTTCTTTGCCTGTATTTGTCTACGCTGATGTTTGCAAGATAGACAACGTTTTTGGCTGTGATAAGGTTCAGCGGCTTCAGGGACTTTACCTCGTCCGACGAAAAGTCGATGCATCGTGCATCAACGCCCTCCTCCAGGCCTGCCACCAGCTTCTCCAAAGCCTCCATGTATATTTTGAAGTACTTGTCCGACGGCTTTGACCTCTGCTCTTTCTTAGCCATTTCAAGCCGCTTCTTTGAGTCTGCCAAGTCCTTCAAGCGCAGCTCCTGCCTTATGACCTGGCAGTCTCGCACAGGGTCAACAGAGTCGTCCACATGCGCAACAGAGTCGTCGCTGAAGCACCGCACAACATGGAATATCCCGTCGACCTGTCTTATGTTCTCCAAAAAGTTGTTTCCCATGCCCAGGCCCTCAGACGCGCCCTTTACAAGCCCTGCGATGTCGAAAACCGTCAAATACGCAGGCGTCGTCTTCTTAGGCTTGTACAGGCTGCACAGGTGGTCCATTCTCTTGTCTTTAAGGCTCACCTTTGCCTCGGAGGGATCAATCGTGCAGAATGCATAGTTTGATGCGGGGACCTGCAGCCCTGTCATAGCATTAAATAGCGACGATTTCCCCACATTTGGCAGGCCAACTATCCCCATTGTCAAGTTGTGCGTGTTTGTTCTTCCAAATTTTACTTTTGGTTTTACCAACCCGTCTTTTTTCTTTTGCACGCTCATGCTGGAATAAAAGCAAATGAAAAAAAATCTTTTTGAATGTTTCTAGCGCAAGCCACTGAAAAGCTTTCAAAAACTCTTTCGAAGTACAGCACCCTAATAAAGCAGGAGAAGCTGATTCTTTCCAAAAGGGAGGTAGAGTGCAAAATGCAGGAATGCACAAAACTTATATCGGAGATCAATGAAGCGCTAGACATAGACCCTCTTGAGGTCTTGGAAAAGGTAGAGTCTATTTTGGAGCACATACACAGAGCCTGTGTAAGCATTGAAACGTCAGAGCAGGCCATGCTTCCAAAGCAAAAAACTATTTTGCTGGAGGGCCCGCAGAATAGAAAGTTTGTGCTTTCTGTGAACATACCCAGGCCGCAGATAAACTTTAAAGACCGAGCAAGCACGCATTCTGCCAAAACAGAGGATTTGCCGCAAAACCATACAGACAACCCCGAGCCGGCTCTGGAAGAGGCTCAAATTAGCGCAGCGCAGGAGAAAGAGGACCGACGGCAGGCGCTGCACCTCTTGCATGCCGAGATGTCTCAGAAGCCCATAGGCAGGGCAGAGGCCACGTCTCAGATTATATCCACCGAGGAGGCATGCGTGGAGGCAAATGCGGAGATCCTGCGCCACCGCGTTGTGGGCGTGGATATAAAAACACACCGGTTCAGAAGCTATGCTGGCTTCACCTGCTACATACAGGTCTCTACGCCAGAGTGCGTGTATTTATTTGACATGCTGTCTCTTAGAAACCACTCCAAGCTGCTGACATTCTTGGAGGCGGCCTCGGTTGTAAAGGTAATGCACAAAGAGCAGAAAAAGAGGGCATGGCTGCAAAAAGACCTAAAATACAGCGTAAAATACTCAGTGGATGTATTGAATATGGCAGGCTTGCCAGAGGATGGCCGCAAAATAGGCAGCGCTGTAAAGCTGGTGAGTGAGGAGCCTCTTAAGAAGCAGTTCCACCTCATAGACTGGAGATACACGCCGGTTTCCATGGAAATGCACACTGAGCTTGTGGACAGCGTGAAGCATCTGCTTCCTATTGCATCGTTTTTGTGCGCAAAGTCAATGGAGCAGGCCTTTGTGGATGGATATAAGCACCAGGTGGCGCAGGCGGAGAAAAAGCCAACTGCCGAGGAGTTTTTGATTTCGCACGGCATTGAGCCAGACGAGCCGTTTGTAAAGATCTTCCTTCTTAGGGACTTCATAGCAAAACAGGAGGATGAGAGCCCCGAGTTTCTAATAACAAATAGGCAGCTGGTCACGTTTATTCGGGAGAAGCCGCGCACGCCGGAGCAGGTTTTTGAGCTGTTCCAGAACATCAGCCCCCTTTTCAAAGCAAATTTGAACAACTTCATGAATCTTCTACACGCGAAAAGCAAGCAAAGCGCGTTTAATATGACCGCACTGAAGGGCCAGCCAAGCAAATAAACGCCGTGTATATTTCCTTTCATCCCAGATGTGTCTTTTTGCAGTATTTACACAAGTACACAGTTTGTAGGCTCCTGGCTGAAGGGCGTTTGCGCCCGGCCTGCATTTTTGTGTTTTCTTTTCTTGCCCCTTTGCTAGAAGGCTTTCAGCTCCTTTATATAGAAAGCTGCTGCGCTTTTTGTAAAAAGAGAAAGCATGGAGGCATGGGCTTTGTTTTTAGAGAAATTGGCGCACAGACAATGCTTCGCACAGCTGCTTTCAAGAAAACATGCCGGTCCTGGACTCTTAGTTTTTAAAAGCAGGCCGCATGCACTACATGCTGGCAGCGCAAAACATTAGCACCAGCCAGACCATGACTTGAAAGCATCTCCGTTAGCCTTTCCCATCCTTATTTTGCACATAATAGATTATGGCCCAGCCTGTAGGCTGGTGAAATTCGCACACCTAGAAAGGTTAATTTCCTGTGCGTTCTGTCAAAGCCAGTTAAATGGCGTTGGAATAAAAAGCCCAAAGGAGCCAAACACAAATATTATGCACTGAATCTGTCAATCTTTATGTAAATGGCTTTTTCTTTAATAACCCGAAAACAGTCAAATTATGTGTGATGGCAATTAAAAAGAACTATATAAAGACACAGTTTTCTATCTCGTCTAACCAATGAGATTAAACAAAATAGCATGCATGTTTTCCATAGCACTATGCGCAACTAAGCAAGGAAGATGCAGCGCCATGCCAGAACTGCAAAATGACCAAAAAAAAGAGCCCCAGAGTGGCATTGCCCATGCTTGCTCCAGCAACGAAGCCATCAACACGACTAAAGAGCGCGAGTACTGGGCAACTGTGGATTTGTCCCAGATTCATTTTCTTATTACACTTTCTACAGTGCGTAGAGAGAGAAATCTTGTGTATAATCCTATTGAAGGCCAGATTGTCCAGTTCATCGAGAGCTACCAGAAAAGCGGCCATGTGGGCAATGCTCTTCAGGCCCTAGTTGAAAAAATAAAGATTGCGAAAGAAGGCATGGAGAAAGAGCATTGTAGAAAAGGCTCTGAGCCCTCACAAGATCAGCCAGAAAATGACAGCAGCGACAGCGACAGCGACTTTGATAAAGACAGTCTTGAATCCTCGAATGAATAAAAATTAGAAATAACATCCGCATTTGTTAGCTAGCATAAAACTTCCATTCATGCCAGACCTTCTTTCGCTTAGAAAACATTTCGCGAAGCACAGAACATAAAAAGCTGGCATAGGCTCTACTTGCAGAAACACAGAAAGTTTTCCACAAGGCCTAAACTCGTGGCTGCAAGTCCCAGGCGCTTTTTGGTGCATCTTTAGCCGGGCCTTGGACGATAGAGAATGCGCATCTTGTACTGTGGCACAGCACTGAAAACATGTTTGTGCTAAAAATGGTTTGGTTTATTAATTGCGCTTTTGTGTATACACATTAGCTTGGCTTACACTTAGGCCTGTTATTCTTTGTGCTTAGCAGAAAAAGCAAAAAAAACAAAGGCTTTCCGTTGGCCTTCTTTCAAGAATGCATAGTTTTAAAAACAATTTGCAAGAACAAAACAGGAAAACCAAATGCCGGTGTCTTTCTGCTCTCAAGCCCTTCTGTTTCTTGTCCGGGTTAGGCTTTGAAAAAAGCCCCACACAAAGGAGCAGCGATACACTTTCGGGTTATAGCTCCTTGACAGTAAGCCAAAAATCGAGTCATCCTAGGCTTCTGCTATGGCTTAAACAGCTATATTTTTACCAAGCCCGCCCTAACGCCCATTACGATTGTCCCGGAGATCAAAAAGACACCTATTGCAAGAGCCAAAATGCCCCACAAAATAGTATTGCTTCTTTTTTCTTGTGATCTACCAGTATATAGGTTTTCGCTGAAGCACATGCCGCTTTCTAGAAGATCGCCATCTTCTGTGCATAGAAGAGCTTGAGTGGGATTTTCAGAGTCATACTCATAGCATAAAAGAGATTGTTTGCGCCCTTCCAAGTTAGTTTCTGGGTGTTTTAACGTTTTGGAAATCGGACCCGAGTTTTCAATTGCAGTGTTTGACGATCTAAAATTTAGACAGTTTTTGATGGCCATGCACTTGAAAAGATAAAAATCCCATCCCTTTGCATTTTTCTTAAGCTCCACTCCTGGCGTCTTCTCTTGCTTCTGTTCATCAGAATCGCCAGACTGCGGCGCTGCGTCTTTGTGCGCATATGGGCTTCCACTCTCGGCATTGGACAAGCTTGTATCGATGGGATGCAAACCCCCCTCCCAACAATTTCTATTTAGAAGACTTTTGGAGGCGCCCAGCACTTTGTATGGGTTTTCTTTTGTTACAAGCGTATCCCAGAACAGCTTAGAAGATATGGCTATTTTTTGAAGCTCCTTCTCTTTTATGCGAATTTCTTGCTCTAGCAGGATTTTTTCCTCATTTTTCCCTACAGCCACTTTTTCCTTGGTTTCTTTCTGGGCTTGCACAACTTCCTCTATGAGCTTGTTTATTTCCTCTATCTCATCAGAAGTCAACTGGTTTACAGAAAGCACATGACTGTGGTATGCGTTTTTGCATGCTGTTTCTTGCCTTTCAATTGTGTTCAGGTTGGCTTCTTTCTTCTGAACTGCTTCTACGGACTGCCTGCTGCTTTGGTGGTATTTCATAACTGATTTTTTCATTAGGGATAGCGTTTGCTTTTTCAAATCGATCAAATCAGAACTAAACCGCCACGACAAATGGCTCTGGCTCTCACGGATTTTCTTTTCCAATTTTCTTATTTCTGTGGCTCTTAGCGACTTGATATCTTTGTCTATGCTGATATACATCAGTTCTCTTTCTAGACTCGCTACCTTCGCAGCTTCTATGCTTGCGCGAATATCTTCCTGCTGCTTCTTTGAATCTATACAACGGGATGGTTCACAGGCAAAGAAAAAGTCAGACGTTTCATTCTGGTCGCTCAGAGAAATCACATCCTCGCCATTGAAGGAAGACGCCCTGAGCGCAGCCTCCATCTTCTGGGCTGCTACAGCGGCTACATCGCGTGAGTAGGTGTTAAAAGAGTCAATTACAGACTTTTTCATTCTGGCAAATAGACATATGTCTCCCTTGTTATTACGCTCGAAATTGGATATATTTTGTGTGTGCGTTTCTAGTGTATTGCTGTAGGCATTAATTCTGGTTTCGCAGTTTTTCAATAAATTTTCAAGCTTGTTCATGATGTCGATGGAAAAGTCATTTTCTGGCGCGTGATCCTCCTCGTTTTCCGACACACGGCTTTCGATTATATCAATTTTGCACTTCAATATCTCCGGAAACGTGGCATAGTAGTATTTCTGTAGTTCACAGTTCTGCACTATTTCATGTGTCAGTATCACAGCTTGGCTTTTACTGAAATGCATCCAGGCTTCAAATGGCAATATCTTAACCATATATAGATCTCGCAGCTTTCGATGCATTTCGATTAGCTTTGCATTGCAAATGTCTTTTGCCTCGTTAATGCAGGCAAGGATCTGCTCTCTGCTGGCTCCTGGAAATTGCTTTTCTAAGACAGTGTACACCTCTTTGCTTATTTCTCTGGGGGCTTCTTTAGATTGCCCGGATCCATCCAGGCCTAAGCCTGGGTGTGCATCAATCAGAGATCTGCAGGCCATCTTTTCTGGGGCGCTGTGCATGTCCATAAACACTTCTGGAATGTCATGTGTCAATCTATTGTTTTTTCTTCTGCTGTCTTTCTCCATGACTATTAATGTGCATATTCGGTATTTATATCTTCAAGAAAACACAAGAGTTTACAAGTTTAGCCCAAATTACATGATTAAGCCCAAACAGATGTTTTTGTTGTGTTTATGCATTTGGGTCTAAATTAAATGGCGCGGTTTTCGCTGTTTACGATCAGTGTGCATAGTGCGCTTCAAAACCCCATTCCCGCATGTGCAAGCTGTCCGCGTTCTGCTTTTTCCGCAGCACGCAGTTTCTAGCGCACATTTTTTTATTTTGGCACTTAGCCTCAACATGTATATTTCCCAAGTAAATGTGTTGCAGCGTATGTATATTGAGGCTAGAGCAGCGCCAAACAGAAACCCACCCGTGCCCAACCTCGGACGCATTTATGCCTTTAAAAACAAATAAAACAGCGCATGGATGATAGAGTGCATGCAGATTGAGGCCGCGCGAGCTTATTCTATGCGGGCAGGGCTGACAGGCCCCGCCTGGCAATGCACCGTGCGGAGAGGGCCAAGCGCCCAAATGTTTCTATGTGCTCCGAAAAAGGCGGATCAGAGCCTCATACTGCCCTGCATTGCAGCGCAGAGAAGTTTGGGCAGAATCCGAGTCTTTGCAGATAAATGAAAAGGCTCGATTTGTTTAGTGACTTATATTATCTAGCCGATGTAAACGCGAACAAACAAACATCAACTCTGATCTGGCACTTTGACTTCACAAAAACAAAGCATGCTATTACAGATATATGTAAACTGCGCATTGACCTCCAAAGAAGCTACAACTAAAGACAGAGGCACTAAACAACTGCTGGCAGACTCTTTTAGCCGCCCAGATGCAGATGCATCGCCTTCAAAGAGAAAAAGAGAAAGTTTGGGACACCATGAAAAATCGGCCTAGCAAACCCATGGCGAGCGCCAGAGCATGCACGGAAGAAACCCCACCATAAGCTGAAAAGCATGCTACGCTAGGAAAGCCATTTTTTCAATGCGCTTCGCATGAAATAGACTTTCGCCCTTTGCAAAGTCTGAAACTTTGAGCATGCAGAGCCCCGTATATAGAGCAATAAAGCAATGTTTTTTGGCATAGGGCTTTCACATCTCAAGTACACGGCCAAATCCAAAGAAAGCAGACAAAAGCTCAAAGTGCCACCGAAAAAGAAACTCCGATGACCGGCCAGCTGTTCCTGGCGCAGGCCCAGCGCTCGCTTGCAGCCGGCCTGAAGCAGTGCTTTTCTTCAGCGCCGACACGCAGTCCCTCCAGATTCAACGCGCATAAAGAAGAAAGCAGCCGAACGGAATACGCCCAAGCCGCTATTTAGCAAGAAAAAACAAATGACATTCAGCTTTCACCTTTCTCTTTTTAGAAGAATCTGCCATACATCTAACAGATAAAAATATAAACAGCATACAAAAAGAAATTAAAGAATAAAAACAAGATTATGGAAAAAACTATGCCATTATCCTGCAATGAAACTGCCACCTTTTTAGACTATCTTTACTTCAAAGATCTCGCACTGAACGAGCTGAAAATGCACGCAAATCTAGCATTAATATACCCAATTGTGGTTTTTATAGGATTTCTGTGGGTTCTAGGCATGCTTCTGCTTATAATAGGCATTGCATTGGTTCTTGGAGTTTTTATTCGGATCTGTGTAGAAGTGTTCATGGCCATCCAAACGAAGCAGTATAAGCGGCTTCTGTTTGCGCCTGTGTTTGCCTCGTTCAGCAGATGCATGACCAAGGCGTGCATCTCTGCTACAGAAAGACGCGCCAACAACCCGAGAAGAGCAGAGCAGCGCCGCATCCCACCCGAGCCAGCAGCGGGATACATCCAGCCACAGGATTTCGCAAACTTCTACATCCAGCCGTATTCAGAGAGCGCCTCATCCGCGGACATTGCCCTTAGCAGCACTCCCCTGCGAGATTCCGAGACTCCTCCCCCATCCTACAACTCGGTAATGGCAAGCCGCACATACGTGCCCCAAAACTCGAGTTAGATAAAAACAAAAAGTCTAAATATCTCTTCGCCTTGTCTATTATGCATTTGCCAGTGCAGACATTCCAAATGCACGCGCAAGCCTCCAAAAATTGCCCTTTCTGGCCCAGCCACAGCGCACCATCCCTGCACCGGCTTTTCTTTAAATTGCAGGGCGAAAATATTTACCAAGGACTTTTTTCTGCATGCAGCCAGCCCGGATTCATCAAGAGATTTTATTATTTTTATACGCCACACGCCCAGGCCTTCCCCGCGCGCAGGCACTGCAAACACATTTTCACTGCAGCCCAGAGCCCAGAAGAAGCACGTCAGTGCGTGCCCAGCTGTAGCAGCAGGCAAGTTTCCAATTTGGCTGTCTTTTGTGTGGATCTCTCATGGTGTAGTGGTTATCATTCTCGCTTGTCACGCGGGGGACCAGGGTTCGATTCCCTGTGAGAGAGTTTCCTTTTTACCCGCTGAAAAGCGCCTGCGCATAGAGAGAGGCCTGCGAAAGGAGGCTCTGCGCCTGCGCCCGTGCATAGTACCCGGCAGCCCCCACACACGCAGAAACCCCGACATAGAACAGCCCGCTCTTTAAAATTTGCCGAGCAGCGCCCTCCCGCGAAACCCGCGAAAGAAGCCCGTTTATGCACGTGCAGAAGAGAGCCCCCTTTTGGCTGGAAATGCTCGAAACAGGAGACTTGAAAATTCGCTTGCGCCACATCTCTCGCCCGCACTTGTACGAAATAACATCGCCCAGCCCAGTGCCCACGTAGAAAGACCCGTCTCCCGTCGAGTGCACCGTCACACACATGGGCTCCAGCACACTCCACGTGCTTCCCTTGTGCGTCATCGTGACCAGCGACTCATCGCCGCCAAGCTGAATAATATGCGCAAAAGACTTGTTCATGCTGTAGCTGCTCACAGCCCCATCCAGCATCACAGCCCGGCCGCTCTCCGTGTGCAGAAGCGGAACGTCGTTTTTGCACGTCCGATACAGAAGCGAGTCCCCGTCCGTGTACAGAGACCGAACACTCACGCCAGAAGCAAGCTCAACCGGCTCGCTATGCGCGTCCACATAGCTCTTCTTTTCGCCGGCACCCTCCCCGGAAAGACTCGCAGAAAGATCGCTGCCTTGATCTTTCGCTGGCTGCTGCACTGCAGAGTCCGATGCCCGCGAGAGAGTTTCCGCGTCGGAGCCTCCCTGCACCTCCGCGCCGTCGTCGCTGTTTGACCGGCTTGCAGAAACATGGCTCTCGGAGGACTCGCACGCCTGCACCAGCCCCCGCACACTTGCCTTTAAAACCCTCCCGTCTCGAACATAGTACAGAAACTCCCCCACAATCACAGGAGAGACTATCCCCGCGGGAAGAGGCACTGGCCCTTTTATCTGCCCGCTTTCCACCGTGAAAAGGTCGTGCGAGCTGGGGTACTCCACAATAGCATACGCGCCGCAGTGCACCCGAATCGACACAATTACCTCCTTCACGCTCTTCTCGCACACAACATTAAAGTCGCTGTCCAAAAGAGACATTCTGTTGGGGAAGCCAAAAATCGGATTTCCGCCTCCGCCGCCTATCAGTATGTGCTCGCCAACCCTCACTCCGCTAGTAAGCGGCATGCTTTCCAAATACCTCATGTAAACAAAAAATATTCTTCCTTTTAAATTCACGCTGAAACACGGCTTGTTGTATTTTGGGGGCAAGATGGCCGAGCGGTCCAAGGCGCTAGGTTTAGGTCCTAGTCTTCGTATGAAGGCGGGGGTTCGAATCCCCCTCTTGTCATTTTTGCCAATTGGTCCACACTCTGCCTGTTTCAGATCGCACTCAAATACACAAACGCGCCTCTCGGAAATGCACCCCCACACTCACCACTTCGAATGCACCCTCGCAGACACCTTCCACTTTTTCCTCTTTGCGCCTGAAGCGTCGCCGGACATGCTCAACAAAGCCCTGGTCGCCCTCGAAAAGAAAACCCTCAGTCTTGCAAAAATAGCACACGCCCGCATAAAGGACACAGCTGTAAAAGTCTCCATCAAAATGAAAAAAGACACGCCCTTTGAAGAAGTCTTCCAGGCACTTGCTGAAATAGCAACAGTCGCCCTCCGCATAGACCTGCCCCCGTACGTCCTCAGCAGAAAGGACAGATTTCTCCTGGACTTGGATAAAATAGCAGCATGGAACACCGTGAAAGTCACCTGCCAGTTCACCCAAAACACGTTCACGGCCTTCGTCCTGGGGCCTGGAAAAGTCGCCCTGAAGGCGCGCGCGGAAATCCTCAGGGCAGTCGACAGATTCGCAGGCGGAAGCCCGGCCAGCACAAATGTGCACACGCACGCCGAAAGCACAGTCGCTGCAGGGGGGCGGGTGTACTTTGAGAGCAAAATACTCTCAACCGCAGCCCTCGTTTCAAGCCCCCCCATAAACTACGTCAGCGTGTGCCAGACGCGCCCTCTGAAAAGACTTAGAAAAAAATTATACACCAGCAGAATCGCGCTGGCCTACGCTTTTGCGTACATGCAGAGCACCCTCGAGGACATCCTTGCAAAGAACGAGGCGTACATCGACGAGGTGGCCCACACAGAAGAAGGCTCTTCTCTAGAGATTTCTGGATTCTGCTGCAACAACCTAAACACAGCCTTTTCGGAAATAGAGCTGCTTTTTGTTTCCATTGTCTCCGTAAAAATAGGAAAAATCGACCCGTACAGCGCAGCAAACGTTTTTGTCTTTGAGGTTGAAAATTTCTTGGTTGTTGTCGGTGAGATCGCGGAGGTTAAGAAAATACTCCGGGAAATCGACGTGCCTTGCGAGGTTTCTGTGGCGATATCCCCGGTAATTGAAGAGTTCATATGCGGCAAGAAAAACGGAAAACTCAATAAAGTCTCCAGAGAGAGCGACTGCGCGCTGCACATACGGAAAACAGGCGCGCTTTCTGTCGTCATACAGGGAAGCTCGCACAACGCAGAGTTCTCGCTCTCCCTCATCGAGGACGAGCTGCCCACAGAATACGCCTTCTATCTGCACGAAAAGCACCACAAGAGGATAATAGGGTATGGCGGAAAGTCCATCCAGAGGCTCATGAAGAAAAACGGAGTCTACATAAAGTTTGACAGTGGCGCGCCAGAGGCAGAAAATAACGTGGTCATTCGAACCCCAAAGAAAAACAAGCCCGCCCTCCACAGAATGTACAAAGATGTCATGGAGCTGGCGGGCGAGGACCCGTTTCTGGCGCAGGGGTCGTGGCACGCGCTCTCGTTCTGCGACTTCTACGCGCTTGGCTTTGAAAAGTTCAGGTTTCGGCTGGATGGCGTGGACGTTTTTATGCGGGAGCCTGTGGACGTGCAGTACTACCTAGTAGACGAGGAGGCCCCAAACGGAAGCCTAAAATCGTTGTGTAAAATTGGAAACAAAGCCGTTGTGGCTTCGCTCAGTGAGGTGCCGAACGCAGAAAAAATCACAATATCCACGTGGAAAAACACGCACTCGCTTTCCTCGTATTTTCCGTGGAAGTACGAAGAGCCGCTGTTTTCAGACAAGGTTCTGTGGAGCCGGGAGTGGAGGGGGTTCTCTGAGTCTTGGAACAGCACGCCTTGGAGAAACAACGGGTTCACAAAATAGCAGTGCTGGACCGTCCGAGGCGCTTAAGAGCTGCGCTGATTTATTGATGAGGTATACAGAATGAAACACTCGGTGAAAATAAACCTTGTTTGTTTGTTTGTAATGAACACTTTGCTCGAAGACATACGAAGTGCCCTGGGCCGGGGAGATGGGATTAAGGCACTTCTCCTGGACGAGTTCACGCGAGACTCCATAAGCCCAATCATCTCGCATGCCGAGCTACTGTCATACGACTTTTTTCTTTTTGAAACAATATCCAGCACGCGGCAGCCCATCGATGTTTCGTGTGTGGCAATTCTGAGCAAGTCCAGCCTGCCCAGCCTGGTCAGAGAGGTTGAGCAGCAGACATACAAAGAGTATTTTGTATTCATAACGGACGAGCTCTCTGACGCCGACATAGAAATGATAGCAAAAAAAGACACAAACGGCGCCATCAAAGAGCTCCAGGAGCTGTACTTTTCCGGGACTCCCATGGACACGCGGTTTGTTATTTTAAATGGGAAAACCAGTCAGGAGATGGCGCACTCGCTTTCCTGTCTGCTGAAGGGGCTTGAAATAGTTCCCGGCATCCGGTACCAGTTTGGGTCAGAGGTGTGCTACAAAACAGCAGAGTCTGTTGAGAGCAGGTTTGCGCCTACAGCGCCCCCGAACGCAGACCTTGTGATTGTGGACAGGGCGGTTGACCTGCTCACCCCAATCCAGTACCCGTGGACATACCAAAGCATGGCGGCAGAGTACCTGGAGTACAAAGCCGGCGTGATTTCTTGGGGAAGCAACAGCCTATGCATATCCAAGGAAGACATGTTTTTTGAAGAGTGCAAGTTTCGGGACATTGTGTATGCAGCAGAGGCTCTCAAAAAGACGCTCAAAGAGGTCCGCGCGTCCAGAGAAGTAATTGGGGAGTTTGTTGCAAACGTGCGAGAGCGTGCAAAAGAAAGCTCCCGGCTAACCATGCATCTGAATGCAATTGGGGAAATATCGAGCGCCTGCTTAGAAAACGACGCTGTCTCGGAGGCCATGGCCGACCTGATAGAAGGGGCGCAGGCAGACCTGCTTGAGTCAGTCCGCGACGCGAACGAGCAGCAGAAGCTGCGCCTGGCCTTAGTGGAGTACATATGCGAGCACGTGCTTCCGCAGAAAACGGTGTTCAACGCGTTTTGGAAAAACAAAGCCCCGAAGTGGACGCTCTACGAGGGGTACAAAAAAGAGGTGGCGGCCTTTGCCCAAAAGTACGTCAAAAACATACTGGGGATCCGGCGGCCTTCCTACCAGAAAAATATTAACAGAAAGCTCGGGTACATTCCCGAGGTCGTGAAAATAGCGAGCGAGCTGAAAAGCGGAAAGCTCAGCGACAAGAACTATCCAACCATTAAGAAGGGCACGCATGACAAAAGGCTTGTGATTATTTTCATCGCGGGGGGCGCCACCTTTATTGAGTACAGGGCTCTTATGCTTCTATTTTCCGAGCAGTACAAAAAAGACGAAATCCTTCTGGTAAGCACCCACATTCTTACGGGCCGCCAGATTTTGTCCGACATCTCCGGGCCGTATGGCGCATGCAATAATCCGTGACCAGGCGCATAGGATAGTATAATACACCCCGAATGCTTCAGTGGCCCAGGTTCAGTCTCCATCTGGCAAATAGCTCAACATAGTCTACAGACAGCCCGCTTTTCAAAGCCACCGGCCATCTGAGGCGCTTTATGTCTCTAATGTGGTCCTGCACGTACAGAACAGACATCATTATATTTGTATATGCAGAGTCCAAAAAAACATTGTGTCTCTGTGTTAGGGCATACCCGCGGAAAATGCCGGAGGGAAGCCCGGCTGCACCCGCTCTTAGCCTTTCCCAGTGCGCAGCAGCGCTTTTGAGGAATGCGCGCTTTTCCTCGCACGTGTGCTGGTTCAGCCTGTTTCGGTCTATTACAAGAGAAAGCGCTCTCTCCTTTCTCCCCAGAAGAACCTCCTTTGACAGGTCTTTTAGGTTTTTGCACTGGGCCTGTGTAAGCTCGTGGGACAGCCCTGTGTCGTACACTATTATTGTGTGGTGCTTGCTAGGCGCTCTCGCGCTGCCTGTGCAAGTGCCCCTCCCTCCATGGGCATCAAGAACAGCCAGATTCCCTGGGTGCAGGTCTGAGTGCACAAACCGGTCCTTGAACAGCATCTTCAGAAACATAAACAGAATGCCTTCTCCGTGCGCCCTGCCTACTTCGCCGCCTTTCCAGTACTCTGTCAGCAAAAGGCTCTCTGTAGCTGCAATTGGCTTGGGAAAAATAAAAGACGTGTCTGTGAGCTTGGAAACAATCCGCGTGAAAGCCGAGCTGCTCTCTGCTGGAGACCGGTACATTGCAAAGTTTCTTCGAAACCGCTCTGTGTTTTCTCTCTCTTTGTTCAGGTCCATCTGCGCCCCCATGTTTCGCATGAACTCCCGGTAGAACCGGCCAAATCCGAGCACAGCGGAAAACATCTGAAATAAAACCAAGTCTGCGTGTATCTGTTCTCTAACAGAGCGGTCTATTATTTTCAGCGCATAGTCTTTTTCTCCTATTTGGACCCTGTACACCTGTGATATGCATCCAGCGCCTATTTTGCCCTTTAGGCTGCTTCTGGGCAGAGCCACGCCTGTTTCCTTGCGGAGCATGTCCAGCGGGTCGGCAGCCCCTGGCACGCTGCTGGGCGCCATGCTTTGTATGGCTTTTAGCCTCAGCAGCGCCTCTTCTGGGAGAATATCTGCGCGCGTGGACAGAAACTGGCCCAGTTTCATTATAAGGGGCCCGTTGCTGGTAAAAGCCCGGAAAAGGGCCTCGGCCCCCAGGGTTTTTGAAATGCTCATGGCGCACACGCACAAGCTTGCATCAAATAAGAAAAACTTAACCGCCCTGGCAGCAGCACAGACATAGTTATGCGCTCCGAATGCATGCTTTTCTGCTTTCACCGGATGTATGGTTCTGCGCACGCTTTCCACTGAACTACACAGAGGAGGGGGAAAAAACCCGTAGACTCTGCACTTCATTGTAAAAAAATAATATTCAGACACCTCTTGCTATTTTCTTGGGCTTTGGGGAGAGCATTTTCTCTGGCAGATCGAGCCCAGAAAAGCACAGGCGCGCTCGCCCTTTGCATGCCCCGGCTTTGCGTGCGCCTCCCGCTGAAGGGACAAATTGGTTTTCAAATGTCCTAAATGAGAAAACATTTACATATTTATATCTTGCTATAAAACTATTCGATGGAAAATGGCGAAATAGTACACACAGATGCTGAAAAGTCCATATATAGCATTCTTAGAGAGGAACGCAAAAGACAAGAGAGCGCGGAGGCGGCCAGAAAGCAGCAGCACGTGATGGATAACCCGATCCTAGCCCACATACACTCAAAGGCGTTCTGGAAAGACTTCCAAACGCGCTCTATGACTATTCTAGGGCTTTTTTCGTTTTCGTACGTTTTCCGCGCATCACAAAAAAGGCTTCTGGACACGCTTACATCCGGCAGAGCCGAGCTGGCGTCGCAGATCGCGGCTGGATCTATTCTTGCTCTGAACATACTGGCTGCAATTTTCTTAAAGAAGACACGCGTCATGAAAAGCCAGGCAAACAACTTTAGAGAGTACATAGCCATAGGCGCACTTCTTGGCGTGTATGTTGCTAACTCCCAGAAGCCAGGCGGCCAGTCGAGCCTGCTGGCGTTCATCGTTCTGTGCGCGCTGTCAATCTCGGGGGCTTGGTCCTTCAAGAAAACATCCACCCAGCCCCTCATTAAGGGGTACCTGGTTCGGAAGGTCCTGACTATTTTTATGTGCGTGACGCTTGTGGCCGGGCTTGGGTTTGGATATGCAAGCGCGTACATCACCGAAGGCTCTCCCTCGTGCGTCTTCCAGTGCTCTCTTTTGCTTGCAGGGTACACAGCCTCCTCGCTTGTAATACAGTACGATCGGTTCACTAGAATGGAGGAGATAATCGCCTACGACATGCTGAAAATGCTACTTTCCACAGTTTTTCTTCTTTTCTGGACCTTTGCAGGGTTTATGTACAGAACAACCAACACTCTTGCAATAGAAAAAATATTGATGGGCCCTATTTTCATGTTTTCCACATGCCTGTCCATGATACAGCTGCTGATCAAGAGCTGCGAGGCCGACATCGCATACTACTCCATTCAGGAGCACAGCCGCCTAAGAGTCATGCCCACCGCCCACATATACAACACTCTGTTTCAAATAATGGTGTTTTTTTTGGCCGTTGGCGCAATTCTTGTGTTTGCATTAGATGATCGATACAAGATAAGCCTCCCGACCTTTTTTACACTAAAGGAGAGCGCCAAAAGCCTTTCTCTAAACAAGTAAGGCAAACCCACTCACGATTGCGCGCTGTGCTGGGAAACCTCGCGCTTGCCTGCAAGACAGTGCACCACGGGGCCTCAACGTGCCACTTCTCTATCTGTGCGCAGCCCCTCTATAATAAATGCGCGCAGTTTTGCTAGCCCTTCTCTTCCATTACACCGGGCCCTATTGGGCACAGAAACAAGCTGATGTGCTGTCTGACATCTCAAGGCCTAGGAACGGATAAATAGACTTTGTTTGTTGTGGTGTGTTTATTCCGTATTTCCATATACACCAGCGAGCCCAACACAAACAATGAATCTTAGGAAGAAAGCAGGCATGTGCATTTTGTTTCTGTTTGCAGCAATGTTTTGCGCAAGCACTGTGCATGCTGCAAAAGCCAGCAAAAGCAAGCCGCCTTTTGCGAAGTCTGTGCAGAAAAGCAGCAAGCTCCAGGCCTATGACGAAGACGCAGTTTCTGACGAAGTTCCATTAAGTAAACAGAAGAAAAGTGCACCGCCGGCTGCAAAGCCCTTAATGGTTAAAATTTCGTCTTCACCCCCAGATGCCTCGGACGACGAGCAGAAAGAGGCGCCAGAAAAGAAAAGCAGCAAGCCCTCCTCTTCCACAAAAAACCCTAAGAAAAAAAGCAAGGCAGCAGAAGCGGCAGAGGCGGAAAGCGACGATGCAGAGGCAACACCGTCAGAGCCCAAAAAGGCTCCAGCAATTTTGGAATTTTTCAAGTCAACTGTATTTCTGATTATTTTGCTGGGGTCCTTGGGGGTGGTTGTCGTCTCCATTGTTTTGTATATTTTAGTATCCTTTATATCCAACTGGATAAAAGACAGAAAAAACAGACTCAAATACAAGCAGTCTCTAAAGCCTGCGTACACCTCCATGGGTGAGAAAACAGACTCTATGCAGGCAGCAATAAACTTATAACTTTTTCGCGCACATCTAGCTTTCTTTCTATGCTCAATGCACTTGTCGGCCCCCAAAACAGCTCATGTGCTTTCGCCGGTGCGAACTGCAGCCCAAATTGAAAAGGAAGGCAAGCCTTCTAGAGCCCTTTCATATCCAGAAAGCTCACTAGACAGTAGATTGTAGCCTTCGCATGGCAGTTGGCCTGCTGGGTTTTCAGCAATTTTAGCCTGCCCAGCACGCTGGAAAATGCGCTAAGCAAAAGCAAACAGCGCGTGCAGGAAATAAGAAAAAAGAGCAGAAATTCCACACGTGAGCAGCCAAATCCAGCAATTTCTCTGGCGAAGCGCCAACTAAGCACGCTCTGATTTCGCAGCCAAAGCTTGGCACAAGAGCAAAGTGCACACGACTGCTTGAACAGCACGGGCTTTGGGCAAGCACGGGCGCAATTAAATTAGATGCATGCAAAACACAGCCATGTAAACACTCATACCCATTTATTCATTGGATGCGCGCAGAGCAAACGCATGCAGCCTCTAAGAGGGCAGATTATTTCTGCAGAGAAGAGGACAGCCTACTGTACTTCTCTCTCTGCCGCTTGAACAGTGGATTTTCCAGCAGCTCATCCACAACCTGCACAGAAGTTGACTCAAGCGAGACGCTTTCTGTGTCCTGGGAGTGTGCCTCGCCATTGCTGGCTGTGCTTTCTGCGGGACACTCCTCCTCGATCTCAGGCTCAACTTCAGCCTCCGGCTCAATTTCACCTTCGGACTGGATTTCAATTTTCTCGTCTTCAGAGTCCCCAATATATTCAAAAAAGTCCTCATTTAGCTCGGCAAGCTTCACGGACACCACTGCCCGAATAAACTTCAAAACACAGCAGTAGAACGTAATGGCTTCCTTGGTGCGCGTGCTGGTTTTGTTCTCCATAAAGACGCTTGCCATCACAGAGTTGCACAGTGTGGTGTACGCCAAGTGCATTGAGCTGGAAAACGCAAACCGGTCGGTCATAAAAGGCATGGGCGCCAACGAGGATGCAATGGCCTCGTCTATTTCCTCTTTTGAAACATCCTTCCGTGGCACCGACCACCCCCGGTCCATTCTGTGGAATCCCTGGCTTGCCTGCTCCAGCTCCAAGGGAATGGTGTAGCCTTCCTGCTCGAAATGGTGCAGCAGTATAATTGGAAGGTACGATGCGTCGTTCATCATGTTTGTGCCTTTTACAATGGAAACAATGCTCTGAATAAACTCTTTGATGTCTCGAATAACTTCAGTGTTCGGGTTGAAAAACAGCCCAGTTTCGCGCCCTGTATACTCCGCAGGATTTTCATGCTCCAACAAAAACTCCTCCTGGATGGACTCTGCGCTTTCCGTGTTTGGCGCCTCGCTTGCACAGTCCATCTCGCTTGAAATGTGCTCAGTGGAGTCCACTGCCAATGGCTTGCTTTTCTCATGCACGGGCGCCAGGCCTACACAAGAAGACTGGTCCTTCCCAGGGCTGTTCTGAAATATTTTTAGGGCTCTCTTGATTTTTCCCATGAAGGAGACCTTCCTTTTTTTCTGATTCGCAGTGTTCTCCGTATGATTTGCCATTTGCTATGATCATCACAAATCATGTATATTTAAGCAATTAAGGCGCCAAAACAAATAAATAGCATTCTTTGTGTGTTTCAGGACTTTCCGCAGGAACATATGCCGGTGGGCCCGTTCAAGGCACTATGGATTTGTGTGGCAAGCTGCTGCCTGCCATGCTCGAAAGAAGCTTTGCACGTCCTGCAAGCCCTTGATGCACATGCACAAGGATTTCGGATGGGCGAGCAAATTAGCAGAAAAATACAAACACAAAGCATGCATTAAAGGGTGGGCTGAGCCTTGGCGCAAGAGAGAATACCGAAATGTGAGCATCTAAGGACCTTGTTTGACTCTTCAGAGAAATTCGATGTGTGGGCAGGCCAGCGTAGAATGAATAAATAATCCGTGGGTATATATGTTTTTCAGCCAGTCTTTTCATGCATGCAAATTCATAAATGCTTCGCGCTATGCACAGAAAGCTCAGCGCGCAGGCATTGCATGGCCTCAGGGCTAACAAGTCGGAAACGCGCTGTAGCGCAAGGTGTGTGGATGTGGCATCGGCTGGTCAGGTGTTTAGGAGCAAATAAAGAAGCACAATTTACAGAAGACTAGTTTATAAAGAATGGTTTATTGTTGCTTGCAACACAGGGATTTATGTGATATGTCTTCTAGTAGAGGCATCTCTTGCCATTCATTATTCGGTGTAAAAGCATCTGGCTATGGGTGTTGGCACTCCCATGCGCATTATGTAGTCAATCGATGATTCTTGCTCTTTTTTCATTTCAGGAGAGCTATTTGACAAGTCTTTTACAACCAGGTTTCCATCCTTAATGTTCTTTTCTCTTTGCTTCTGGAACAGCTCACTAGTCATCAGGTTGTTCATTATAGCCACTGGATCGGGCGCAGGATATTGCTCTACCGCCTCATCAGAGAAGTGTTCATCCTCTTCCTGGTTGTCACCGGGTGCTTGGAAAGCCTGCTCTTCAGCTAGCTGCTCAGTTGGCTGTTCAACTTCCTCAGTTGGCTCCTCGGCTGGCTGCTCAGTTGGCTGTTCGACCTCCTCAACTGGCTGCTCGACCTCCTCAATTGGCTGCTCAGTTGGCTGTTCGACCTCCTCAACTGGCTCCTCAGCTGGCTGTTCAGTTGGCTGTTCGACCTCCTCAACTGGCTCCTCAGCTGGCTGTTCAGTTGGCTGTTCAACTTCCTCAGCTGGCTGCTCGGTTGGCTGTTCAACTGGCTCTTCAGCTGGCTGTTCGACTTCCTCGGCTGGCTGCTCGGTTGGCTGCTCGACTTCCTCGGCTGACTCATCGGATGATTGTTCAGTTTCTTCAGCTGGCTCTTCAACCCGATTTTTATGAAGCAAAAAGTTAGAAACCTCTTCAGACTCCAAAAGCCTCTCCACAAGGTTGGTGAACACGGTAGGGTGAGCAACCACTGCGTCTGGAGTTCCAGGCACATCGTCAAGGGCATACGAAACAATTCTTCTGACACAGGTAAGCACCTCCTGGTAGAATCGAAGTGTTTTCTCGATCTTTGTGAACTCCTTGTTTTCTGCCAGCACAGACTGAAGAGCTGTCTTGTAAAGAGAAGAGTATGCAGTCAGCAGAGAGTTGCTGCTTGCAAGCCAGCCATTGATGCAGATTGTTGGCTCCAGTGCCTCTGCAATAAAGTACTCAATCACCTTAGGGTTCAAGTCCTGCTCGGCCTCCGCCTTGTTGTTTACCACATTGAAGGCTGCCTCTGCAAGCAAAATCTCGCCAGGAAGTTGGTAATTTTTGCTTCTAAGGTAGAAAAGAAGAAGCACCGGGCTGTATGCACAGCTTCGCATGGAAATGGTCTGCGCAATGATCTTTTCGGTGTCGTATATAAACTTTATCACACCAGAAAGAGCCTTTTCTGTCTTCTTGGCTGCAAGAATGGCCTTTTCAGACAGCTTGCGGTCTTTCTTCGCTGCTACCTCTTCGGCTGCAGCATCAGAAATCTCATTCAAGCCTGACAAAACAGGAAGGTTGTCTCCAGCACAGGCTGCCCCAATCCCTGGGTGGGCAGCTGGTGTGTTCTTCTTGGACCTTGCTTTTGCAGCCTCCTCCTTCAGTGAGGCACTCTCCACAATCTCTTCTGGGTCAACCTCTCTTGGGGCGCTTTTGCTGCACATGCTAAACAATAGCCCTGCCTGCTTAATTGGATAGACGATTGCAGCGCCTGTCTTCTTCTGCATGTTCTTTGCTTTTTCGCCCATCTTTTTAAGATACCCCATGATCTTTTCAGTCCTTGACTTCCTTTCCTCAATGATTCTGATTATCCCACTCATCACTTTGTATAATTCATAATATTCCTCGCGTATTTATAGACATAATCGCGCGGATAAATAAACATTTCATTTCCATAGGAATTTCGCGCATCTCGTAAGCAAATAAATACCCTGAGGCTCTGTGTTTTGGAAAAAAAGATGAAAAAATGCCCTGGATTTTCTAGGAAATGCCTCAAAAACTTGGAGAGTGCTGAATCACATGAGCCTCGAGCTGGGCACTCTCTATTTTTCTTGCACCTGTGCCCACCAACACATATTTCCTTTTAAGATTTTATTGGCTTTTCTATACCTGAATGTATAAATTTTGCAATCCATTATTGCTCTCTACATGCAAATGTTTGTTTACTTTGATTTTGCAAGGTTTCGGCCCAGGCTCCGGGCGAATGCCAAAAAAGACACGCCTATGTTTGGATGAAACAGGAAAAAAGCCCGAACCCATAATAAACCAGTGATTTATTTCTCTTCTGCAAATTATATGGCCGAAATCCCAATGTTACATTGCGCCATGCCTTACAAGGAACGCACTGAGCCGAGCCTAGACTTTGGAAAATCCACACGCTGCCTCTACCTCTCCTCTCCTATTTTCTAGGCCAGTTTTCATAGGCATTTCGCCTATGCTCCAATATTATTACATTGTCTGGGTTGTATTTCTCAACCAGCCAGCCTCTGGCAAACTTGAAAAATCTAGAAGCGGAATACAAAAATACGCCTGCGAATATAACTGCAACTATTTTCATAAGAAACTTGGTTATGCCCTTTAAACTAAACTTTTTGTGGGTGGGAATGGTATCATTCTCTTCATAGACTACCGGGCCCAAAGGCTCCTCAGATTCGTCCTCGTGATATGGCCGCATGTGGCTGGGAGTATAATGCATCATTTCTTGTTGCTCGTACATTCTGTCCATGTTGTAGTTTTCCAGTGCTTCCCTTCTTCTATTGAACATTGTAATTTGCAAAGCGGTCGGTATTTATCTCCTAACACCCATTGATTTTGATCCTAGCATATTTGTTTGCTAATGTGCGTCATGGCGGCATTGTTTAATCGGAAAATAAACAAATAAAGGCCAATTTATCTGTACAGCACAGCCATGCTTCACCGCGCCTCTCCGCATAAATTCTACTCTATAATGCTTACTTTCACCTTTTTGCTTTGCGTGTCTTGGGCGTTGCCCTCCTGGTTGCTGGGCGAAGCTGCGGAAGGAAGCTCTTCCACCAGATCATCTATTTCGTACTTTCCTTCTATTATAGTGCCTTTTCTGGGATGGACTATTAGGTCCACAACCGAAAGAATCTTGGCTGCCTCTTCTGTGACGCTTTCTATTGGTATGGCTTGCGTGAGTATAATAATGAAATCACATAGCAGCTTGTGTACGTCTTCCGTGTTAAATGGTATGATTATGTTGTACAGAATGCTCCACGCATCTTCCACCAGCTCAGAATACTTTTCATTTTCCAGCTTCTCCAGCATGTCTGCAATGGCCTGGTCTGACCCTCCTTTATGTCCGCTGTTCATATGTGCAAAATTAGTTCAATGAAAACATTTTAAATTGGCCCAAGGCCTTTCTGCACTAGACTCTGCGCCAATCCTTATCCCGGGATTCCGACACGCAGGCCCCTATTATTCCTCTCTGTGCATGCGTGCTTCTTTGGTTGGACGAATTATGCTAGGACCTGCATCAAATGGAAAAATGATGCTTTTGACCACGCTCTACTCGGTTGCAGCTGGAGACTCTCTTTAATATGCGGATAAAGCCAAAGGGCAGAGGTGTCCGATGCCAGGGCAAAAGCCATGCCAGAAGAGTGCTGAAGTGCACATGCCTGCATGCATGTCTTGCCCTGAAAAGGCACTCTCGGATGCCATAGAAGCCCCAAGCAGAGAAGGCAAGAAACATTTGCAAGGCTACACTTCTGTACATGTTTTCTGCTCTGGCGAATTGGATATGAAAGCATCCGCTATTTTTGCACATAGCAGAAACAAGAAAAACAAATCCTTCAAGCTCTTCTTAAAGCCAAAAGAAATCCTACAAATTCAAACTTTGAAATTTCTGTCGAAACACTTTAATTTTTAGATATTGTAGGACAAGCCCAGCTATGATATATATAGAGCATCATACACAGTAGCTTTCTATTCATCTTCAGTCTTTTCTTTTATGCATTTACTTGCCCCATCCGCGCATATGCCATTTGCCTTGGCCACCTATGTAGTATAGCATTCGCCTACTTTGCTCTTGTATGCCATGAGGCGGTGCTTACGCCCATTGGGATGCACCCATAAAGTGGAACTGATCTAGCATGGTGTTAATCTCTGCCCTAGGATGCGGTGCAACTGCTCTAATCTGTCTGTCTGTTTCTGAACGGGTGCTTTTCAAATGGTTGCACACCTGCATGTACTTTGTGTATGCTAAATCCACATTGCTGTGAATGTTTTTTTAAGAAAGGGTGTGGGCCAGCACAGAAACTGCAGCAATTTCTTTGGATAAGACATTGTGCAAACATTCCATAGGGCAGCCGACTGTTATAAACTGCTTTGGCGTGCTGCTTGGCCTAGAACAATACTTTGCAGTTTCCTGGCGCTTTTGGGCCTTCATGCATAGCAGCTCATATGCGAAGCTGTCCAGTTCGCATGTCTTATCAGTGCCCAGCATCTCAGTGTCTGGATTTCAATTCCATACTAGGCTGGTTGCATTGCCCTACCAAGCTGGAGCATGAGAAGCAAAATATTTATATGCCTGTGGAAGAAGGCGTGCCACCAATGCTGGGATAGTACACTCTAAAATACACGCTTCCTGCCAACAGACAGCTCCTCTAGCGGTCTACTGGGCCTGTTTTCACTTTGGATGCCAGCGCAATTTCTATGCCTGCCCTCAGTTACACACCCACCCAGCGCGCAAGGGACGACCAATCACGAGTAACTATGCTTTCAACATACAAAAGTTATTGTTCTATGGCGATTCTGTGTTTGTGCTATCCTTCAACAATCCTGTGATAATCTTATGTTACTGCTATGAGTATCCCCTAAAGCAGCATTAGACAAGCTTACTCCCCTGCATATGCCAATACGAGTGCGTATATGCAGCCCCACAAAGCATCATATGCATATAAAGAGTCCAAACCACACGCTCAGAGACATATTGCAATATCTCGCATGTTTTTTTGGCACCTCCTGGCTCATCCGTGCATCCCATGGCAAAACCCCAGGCTTTTCCAAAGTCTACAAAAATCCCAGAAGTAAAGACGTAATTTTCTGTTTGAACACTCTTTGGCTTTTCTATCCAGATAAAAAGCAGCTTCAAAGAGAAAAGATAGAAAATACCAACAGAAAATGCGGAAAGGGCACCTTTCTGTCTAAGCACAAACAAAACGATAAGGTTTATTTGAAAAAAGTTCCTCGAGTCTTTCTCGTCCTTTTCCACAGGAAAAAGGCTAGACCCCCTCCAACTGCAGCAGCAATCGCACAGAAGATGAAAATAACCTTGTGATTTGACGTCTTCTCACTTGACGAAGAGTCAGAGCTAGACTCAGAGCTATAGCTAGAGTCAGAGCCAGAGTAACCAGGTGTAATTATTTTAGTTTCCTCGTTTCTTTGCATTTCGCCGTGCTTTTCATCGTGCTTTTCGAATTGCTCGTTTCTTTGGTCCTCGATTTGATTTTGATTGTAGAGAGGTACATGCCTATTCTCGTTGTTTTTTTCATGCAGTGCTGGATACAGACGATTGTTTCCTGCAATTTCAGATTCCGTATATTGTTCTCTTTCATTAGAGTCATATAATAGATCCATAGAAGGCGCGCTAGGAGCTGGTCTGGACAAAAACGTGTTCGCTCTCTGCAGTATTTCTCTCTCCTGCGCATCAAAACCATTTTCCATGCTTCTTATTTCCTCCCAGGCATTTCTTATGCAAGATAATCTTTCCCTAAACTTCACCTCTGCATATGGACTAAAAAGGCCAGGATTTGAGGAGTACATTTTAAGGAGGTCAATGTGAAGGTGAAAACTTTCCATCATCGATAGAGTTTGAAGGAACATATCATTTCCATCTATAAAGGAAATCTTGTCTAGGTTTACTTGGGCTCTATTCAGGCTTGAAATCATATCGTTGGCCAAAAAAGATGCATTCACGCTAGCCCGGGGAGACAGGCTCTGAACTGTTTCCTCTATCTGGTTCAGTTCATTCTTCAGAGAGAAAAGTGCTTCCTCTTTTCCCGTCTTAGGAAGAAGTCTCGGCAACCTGAAGGCATATATGCATATATGTAAAGCCGTCGTGTGGAGAAGACCCAGAACAGCTGCTGATGTTTTTTTTTCCGTTAAAAAGGAAATATACGTTGGATTGTTTGTTTCTTCACTATTTCTATTCACAAACATCTGAAACTGCTGTACTTCATTGACTGCCAATGCCATGAATTCGGGACAGAATCTCCTTCCAGGCGTATTCTCTCTTCTTAGAAAATTCGCCTTCTCCAAGTAGCACGCGAAAGTGGGAAACTTCTGGAGTATTTCTATTGCTTCCTTGGCTTTATCCAAAGAAGAATTCGGCTCATCACCATATGGGGCTAGCACTGGAGTTTGGGATACGACAGTGTACTCTTGCACCAAATAGTTGGAAACTGCCTGAAGAATCTTCACTGAGTTTTTCAGAACCATCTCCAAACTCTTCAGATCTTCTCTCTTTTTATCCGCGAGACCTGCAGGAATTCCCTCGAGAAGAGACTTTTCCCAGGCCGCAGAGTTATCCCAGAATAGTCTCGGGAGACGGGAAGTTATTGTTTCGAGTGCGGAACCAGTTTTTTTTGACACAGAAGATGCTATTCCCTCCATATACGAGGCATCCCCTCGAATGCCCAGCCACTTTCCTATCGCGACTTCATCCAAGTCTGGGCTATTCATCTCTAGATTCCCCAAAGTTTGGTCTTCAAGCAGGGAAAGTGTGAAAATGCCTTCTCCCTTCTTGGTTGGATCAATTATTCCGCTGAGAACAGGATGAATCTTTAGCATGTGCCTGCTTAGAGCGTCAAGACAGTTCATAATTCGGGATACAACCTTCTCTCTGCCATCCTTATGGATAATAGCGTGATCTTCCAGCGCATTTATCTCCTGGATCAGCACTTCCCAAATGGGACTTAGATACTCCATCTTTGCTAGAGAGGAGTCTTTCTTGTGGACTTCCTGTATGATACGGTACTCATGGACAAGAAAAGTATCCAGGAGAGTCTCAAAGATAGCATCTGCCTGCAAGACAGACTCTGCCGGCGTGAGCTTCTTGTTTAGCATCTTCTGGAGGTTGAAAGTCTCCAGAATAATCTCAGAGTATGCACTTTTGGGCTCGCTCAGAACATTCTTAAAACTGTCAGGCTGGCTTTTTCCTGCCCCAATACGCTCCAAAATGCCAAGAATATACTCTCTTCTAAGAAGGTTTTGAATAGTTGAGGAAAGCATGCCAGCGTCTATGGGCATTTCCTCTTTATAGGATTTGCCTGCCTTTTGAAAGACAGTTGTCGTGCTTTCTGTGAGGCCAGCAATGCGGTTAAGAATGCTCAGAAAGTTCATGTACCCCTCTGACTCCTTCTTCTCCTGCGGCGACAAGTTGCTAGAGCTAAATTTATGGCCTCCTCTAAAGAATCTATCTATAAACCCACCCTGCAGACCCTTGGAAATAATGGTCCACTTTGACGTCTGGTCTTTTTTCAGCGATAATGTATCAGCTGCGTTTTGTTTGAACAATGTATCAGTGTTTCTTACATTGGAAATAAAATTCTGAATTTGCTCTTTTATGGCATTGGCCTCTTCCTCGTCTGGGCAGTTTCCATTTTTTATGACAAATACTATTTTTTCTTCTATTTCAGTTGCCTGTTTCTCTATGCGCGCATATCGGCCCTCCTGCGAGGCTTCCCCGCTCATTTCCTTTGGCGTGGAATCAGTAACAACGCCTGTTGAAGGGACTACTGCCTCTGTAGATAGTGCCAGGCGCCCATAGAAGAGCACTCCTGCAATCATCAAACACTTTTTCATGCCTCGTTTGCTGTAGCTCTTGCCTTTATATGTGTATACGGGAGAAATCACCGAATCAAACGGCTGATTTTTTTATGAGCGACCAGACCAATAGTCTGGATTTCACGCCAATCGTCTCAGAAGCCAGCCTACCAGTAATATAAAAGAGTCTCTGCAGAATAAAAGTCTCCAGAAAAAGCCAATTCGGGTATATACGGCCCAGCTTTCCCTGGAATCTCAAGAGTACGGTGCGAAACATTGGCCTTTATTCATTTCTGACCTGCCTAAACGCGTTTAATTTTTCATAACTATATAAAGAATGCCATCCCCTGCCAAAACAACAACTAATCACGAACAACTATGCTTTCAGCATAAAAAACGCTATTCTGCCCTTCTCTGCGCTATGTCCCATGCAGGCTTCTCCCATGCACTTTCATCAGGGGAAAGTGTGCTGGTGCTTGAACGCTCAAAGCGCATAAACTCGCACCAACTCCAAGCAGAAGCACAGAAAGTACACCTCCTGGAGAGCTTGGCCCGTGTATGTGCAAATGTTGCCATGCAAGCGCTTTTGTTCTATGGGAAAATCCATGGAGCTGTTTATTAAAATGCATGCCGCCATTGACAGGCCGTGCAAGTTAGGCTTTTTCTTCCCACTGGTTGTAATCACTCGCTCTGGGCGCATGGATTCAGGCTATTCTGTGATGCACAAATAAAAGGAAAAGAAAATTGTTGTTGTGCACCATAATGTGCGCCCCAAAAATAAACACAGCGCAAACACACGGAAAGCCAGACGGACTTCCCAGAAAGTTTTAGACAGGCATTGGCTGAAGGCACAAAAGGAAGCAAAAGCACGAAAAAACAAAAAGTGCATAACCCACACACTGTACAGCGCATTTATTTAGATTCGGCTATTAAGGGTGTATCTGGCATATTACATTTTTACGCAGAATTCAATGGGGTAGCTGTTTACTTGCATGGCAAGCAGGTATTGCTGCCGCGCAGGGGGTCTTTTCTCCAGCTTGAAAAGTATTTCTGTGACTGCGTCCGGAGACTCTATTGTGATGTCAGAGGATGCTGCGCCCACCATCAGATCCAAAGCAGAAATATCAACCGAGACCTCGGGAGAAATCTTAACCACAGAAGTGTTAGAGCCAGCATTGTGCAGCACAGGCGACCGCACACTCGGGTCTTGGCTGATGAGCGGGTTCAGAATCAAAATTTCATACGAGGACGCTGTTGTCCTGGAAAGAACCAGTTTTGCAAAATGCTGGTTGCCAATCTGTTTAATGCCAATAGAGTACATGAACTCGCTGGGGAGATGTATGGAGGAAGGGCGGGAATACTGGATCTGCCCAAAGTCCACAGAGATGTGCAGGGGAGTGCTCCAGTCGCGGATTTGCAGGAGTTTTGCCTTGTATGAGCTGCCATCGTATTTCATCCGCACTCCGTTTACTGAGACAACAGACGTAGAGCGCGCCTCCGGGGAGAGAAATCTGTCGGGCACCAGAGTTGCATATATGTAGTTTCCTTGGATTCTTTCAACTATCTGGAAGGGCGGCACCACGCTAAAGGTCTCGCTTTTAAGAACTACTTCTTCAGTGCTGTTGATTACGTTGGAGATGCAGTATTTTTCAGGGCACTCAGGCTTTCGCAGAAATTCCAGGTAGTCAAAGCGCACTGCCTGGGAGGCCGAAGAGATGTAATAAGCCCTGCTTCCGCCAATATACTCGCACGATAAAAGCCCAGGCTCTGTGCATTCGGAAGAGCTCGGGCCAACGCTGTCTGTGCACTCTCCAGCGCTTGTGCTGGCTGAACAGCACTCTTTGCCCTTTTCTGGGCTTTTCTCGTGCAGGCCGATGCTGTACGTAGACACCTTTATTCCGTCAAACAAACCTTCTACCCAAACAGTTTCTCCGTTGTAGAGATACTCCCGGGCCCTCGCAGTTTCGGGACTTTTCTCCTGCATGCTGTGCAGCGCACCTGCATGCTCATTTGGAAAGCTATCCATGAAAACAAATAAACCATTTAATTTAACTGAAAGCCATATAAAGAATTTTTTTATTAAAATTTTATTATGCTGCACATAAACACCAAGCTGCGAAAAGAAGCCCACACTATAATACAACAGGGAGAAATAAATGAAAATCCAGAAATGTGCGCCACAACAAAAATAGCAGCAGGTATTGCAGAAGGCGGCATCAGAAACGAGCCAGATCTAGCAATATATCGAATGAAAGGGGATGGGTCAAACGTTACCGACTTAAAAAATCCTGCAGTAAACTTTACATTCAAGAACATATCATACAAGGACATTATAAAAAACGTAACGCAGTCTTTCAAGAGCGGGCAGATGACAGCTATACTGGGCCCGTCCGGCGCAGGAAAAACCACGTATCTGAAGATTATATCAGGGAGAAAGCAAAAAACAGCTGGAACCATACTTCTGAACGGGCAGGAGATCAAGCAGAAAGAGCTGCGAAAAAGAGTTGCGTATGTCCACCAGGAGGACCATTTGTATCCGGTTCTGTCCGCAAAGGAAATGCTTTCCTACACAATTCAGATGAAATCCCCGGAGGAAAGCAACCCAGACGGGCTGGCAGACAAGCTCCTGGAGGATGTAGACATGATAGATGCAAAAGACACGCTGATTGGCGACCCGTTGGAGGGAATGGCAGGTCTATCGGGCGGTGAGCGGAAAAGGCTGTCTGTGGCGCAGGAGCTAGTTTCTTGCCCAGAAATACTTTTTTTGGATGAGCCAACCAGTGGATTGGATGCGTACACATCAGAGTCGCTGATTATTCATCTTAAAAATCTTGCACGCCAAGGAATGCTCGTTGTAATGACTATTCACCAGCCATCCTCCGAAATATTCCACATGTTTGATAATATCGTGCTTATGAAAAACGGATACATTGTATACTCTGGGTCCCCGCAGGAGTGCGTTGAGTCCCTGGAAGCGTCTGGAATGCCCTGTCCGAAGTACACAAACCCGGCCGACCATTTGTTCCGGATACTTGGAAGGTTCCCAGAGGAAAACTACAAGGCGCAGGCCCCGGAAAGCCTCGACATGGACCCTGTTGATGCGAACAAGAGGCCGCAAACGCTTTCCTCCCTCCTATACGAAAGCAAAATTCTCATTTCACGGACTGTTCTGTGCAGCTTTAGGAACAAAAAGTATTTGCTGGCAAAGTGTGGGCACGCCCTTTTCGTCTCTCTGATAACCGGAATGTTTTTGTACAACATCCCTGCAAAGCAGCCGCACCAGATAGAGACAAATGTGATAGGGTGCTACAGGACCATAACAATGGCAACTTTTGGGTCCTTCTCGTACGGCGCCATCTCCATCCTGTTTTCAGACCGGAAAATATTCATAAAGGAGTACAGCTCGAACTACTACACGTTCCTGCCGTACTTCGTGTCGAAAGTCGTGGTAGACTTCCTCATAACGTGCATGCACCCGTTCGTGGGCACGCCCATTGTATTCTACCTGTCTGGAATCGGGTCTGCATACCATATACTCGGATGTCTTTTGCTGGGTGCAACCGCACACTCGCTGGGGGTCCTTGTAGCGTCCTTAGTGGACACCTCAGAGATTGCGCTTGCTGTTTTCCCTGCGTTTGCCTATCTTATAAATATGCTGACAGGAACAGACGTAGACCCAGACTCAATCATACCAGGGCTTGCACTCCTGCAGTTTATCTCCCCGCCCAGACACGCATACAACATTATGATAAAGCTGCACTACAGCGGGGCATCCAACATTTCGCCGCGCCTTCAGGCTCTGGTTGACGGATTCGTGTCTATATACACGTCCATGTGCGTGCTCATAGCCACATATATGGTTCTTATTGTGCTGGCTGCATACTGCCTCAAAAGGAAGGTCATGCAGCTGGCAAAAGGATAAATGTGTCTGCTAGATTATACAGAAGCATGCATATGCTTATAGAAATACTTGCGGTATAATATATTGGCGTGCACTGTCAAGATGCTCTGGGCCCGTTTGTACTCCTATACTGTCGCCCAAAACTGCTCAGAAACACCCGCCCACAGGCCTGCACCCAGCGCCTATATATGATGCAAAAGAGAAACGAATAAAAATTTGCGCAGTGCATGGCCGTGGAGGAAGTAAAGAACGAGCAGTTTAGAAGTGAGCAGGTAGAAAAAAAGCGGAAAAGAGTAAAGACAAGACGAACACGCGTGGATTGCGATGCGCAGCCTGCAGTTGAAATAGAGCAAAAAAGTGTTTCTATTTCAGAATTTGTTCTGAACAGCACCAACATAGACCATAGAGTATACAGAGATATCCTTATAAATAGAAGAAACGGAGAGCGCGTGTCATCGCTGAATCCAATTAAATAGAATAAAGAAAGCTTCACATAATCTTATCTTGATTGTTGCATCTCTCCTGCTGGGCTGGCATTTGAGCTTGCATGCACAGAGCCTGCGTGCGAGCAGGCGCGGAGAGGGCTGAAAATAAATAACCCGAATAAATATTTTACAATATTTTATAGCATGGAAGAAAGCATGGCCGAGTCCATTAAGAATATATCAATAAAGAAAAAACAAATGAGCATTGTGTTCATCGGACACGTTGATGCAGGGAAGTCCACGACAGGAGGGCAGATTCTGTATTTGGCAGGGAAAATAGACAAAAGGACCCTGGACAAGTACGAGAAAGAGTCAAAGGAGAAGAACCGAGAGAGCTGGTACTTGTCCTGGGCGCTGGACAGCAACCCGGAGGAGCGAGACAAAGGAAAAACGACCGAGCTAGGGCAGGCATACTTTGAAACCGAAAAGGCAGTTGTCCAGATACTTGACGCGCCTGGCCACAAAATGTACGTTCCAAACATGATTCTTGGGGTCAACCAGGCAGACTTGGCTGTTCTGGTCATATCGGCACGACAAAACGAATTTGAGGCAGGATTTGAAAAGGGGGGGCAAACACGGGAGCACATCTACTTAGCAAAGGCTTCGGGCATCTCCAAAATGTGCGTGCTTGTCAACAAAATGGACGATGTCACTGTGGGCTGGTCGGAAGACCGGTACAACCACATTGTAAAGTCCACGAAGAAGCTGCTGCATGCGCTGTTTGGGAAAACAGAAGTCGTATACATGCCTATAAGTGGGTACCTTGGGCACAACATAAAGGAAAACACGCTTTCTGAGGTGGCTCCCTGGTACAAAGGGCCGTCTTTCTTTGGGTATTTAGACGACGTGACCATCCCCAGAGACAACGCGGCGCTGATGTATGCGTCTGTCACGGACTCCTCAAAGGAAATGGGCGGATACTTTATCACAGTGCGCGTAGAGCGGGGCATACTTGATAAGTCGCAGGTAAAGCTCTTCCCGGGGTCCAGGAAGATTTCTATCATCTCCATCACAAAAGAGGAGGAGGAGGTCGAGCAGGCGTGCTCTGGGGAGACTGCCAAAATCAAGCTGAAAGAAAACGAGGAAATATACCCTGGAGACGTGATAACAGCTGCCTCTTACACGGAGACAAAGGACTCCAACTATTTCATGGCTGCTCTGAGCATTCTAGACGCAAAGTCTCTTATCACAAAGGGATACATGGCGGTGATGCACATGGGGGCCAGAGAAATTCCTGTGACAGTAGGAGAGCTATACAGAAAGGAGGGCGACAAGATACTTAAGGTTAAATTTGCAAAAACCGGAGAGAAGCTGACGTGTGAAGTGTTTACAAGCAGCCCGATCCCCTTGGAGGTTTACTCTCCTGAAAGAAGAACCGGAATATTTACGCTGAGAGACGAAACAAGAACAGTTGGGTTTGGGAGGGTTCTAAAAATAAAAGAAAGAAAGTAAATTTTTAAGCCAAGCCCAAAACATAACAATGTCTATGCAAGATCACGGAAAGAACGACCCAACAGTAGGAGAGAAAGATAGACTTAAGATGGACCAGAAAAAAGACGTATTAACCGTACAGGAAAGAGTAAAACTCCTAGAGGACCAGATAAAACAGAAGAATGAGGAGTATTTGAAGCTTACAGACATTGTGGAGAAATTAAAAATAATAAACACACTTCTGTACAAGGAGGTATGCAAGGAGTATAACACGCTAAGTGTTCCTGCAGAAGAAGAATAAAGATGTATCTGGTATAGATAAGGCTATGCGTTGGAAAACTGTTTGTGATGATGCGATCTTTTGCGATTTAGCAGGGCCTCTGACGAGAAGCGCCCTGGAAAGGTCTCTGCAGAAAGTGCGGCTGTGCCTGCTCCGGCTGTTAGATCGACGGGGCTTGGGCATGCTTTTCCGCCCCAAATCCCACGCCAAATGAACCGGGTGCTAAGCATGCAATTGACAGCAGACATCCTGATCTTTAAACAAAACAAAGCCAAGCCGATATAGAGATGGACAAGCGCCTGCAGCAGGCAGTTGGCTAGCATGCATTGCATAGCATCTGCCTCTATGCAAACATTTTTATAAAAATACACGCTGGATTTACATGCAAGACACTGCTTTTATTCGCATTTGAAAGACTCTTTTATGTTTTGCCAGAATATAATTATAAAAATATTATTGGGGCTGGAAATATGACGGAAGTAAAAGAGGGAATGCGGGCATTTATGAAAGAGTTGCACTTGAGGTGCTTGTACGACCCATTGGAGTTTCTGTTTAAGATAAACATTGCAGAAGAGTTTCCCCATTCAGCGCCCTCAAATTATATGGGCAGAGCTATGAATCTCTTTTCAATGCGGGAGTACTATCAAGTCTACTGTATCCTGAAGTGCGACAGCAACCAGGCCAAAATGTCGTACAACTTCTGCATCTGCTGCAGCAAAGAGCGGATTTTTCTTAGGAACTACGCCATATACATTTTGTCCACAATAAAAGGTGTGAAGGAGCCCGGTATTGTGATGGGGGCAGTGAAGTATGAGGACGAAAGCATAAACAAAATACTGGGGAAGATGCAGTCGGGCAAGGACTCTTTCATGGCAACGGGGTCGTTTGCGCTTGAAGACCCTTTTTTGCTGTATCTGCTGCTGGTCGCCAAGCGAGAGTGCATTTCGATCGGAAACCTGAAAAAGGGGCTTTTTATGCTTATTGGCGCGCTTCCGTACTTCTGGGACGGGTACCGGCTGATTGCCGATCTTATAACGGTTTCAGACTGCGCCGAGGTGTTGGACGCAATTTCCGATCCTGTTATGCGGAGAGTGTTCGGGCTGTACATCGGCAGCCGAAAGTGCATTTTGCACAAGGAGCTAAAAGCCTTTATGGAGAGCTATGAGAGCGAGGGGGCAGACCTTTCCTTGTACGAACAGTCGCTGATGGCCTCTGTCCTAGGGCACTACAAGAAAAACACCCGAGCCATCGAGGTTTTGGAGGGCGTGGTGGAGAAGTCGCAGGACTGGAGCGGGTTTGACCAGTTTTCAAACATCCTGTACTCGCTGAAGGACTCGGAGCGGCTGGGCAGCCTTCTCTTCAAGGTGTTTGAGCAGTTTGGAAACCTGCCTATATACAACTATGTGGCAGGAAACATGCTGGCTCTGAAGGCGGACCACGTTGGAAGCATAGAAGAGTTCCAAAAGATTATACACGATGACTGCCTTGGAGAGTTTGACATTGCATACATATTCGTGGCCCAGGAATACTTCCACTTGAAAGATACATGCTCGGCGATAAAGGCGTGCAATTTGGCGATAAAGAAAAACTACAACGACCACCGAGTGTGGATGAGCATGGCGCAGATATACTTTTCCATAGAGATGCACGAGTATGCCCTGCACTTCTACAGAAAGTGTGCAGAACTGTCCCCAGATACGCCCGCAGTCTATGAAGGCCTGGGCCTGTGCTTTGACAAGCTAACCCGATGGGACGAGGCTGCGCGGTGCTACAAAAGATGCATTGAGCAAGGCAGCACAAAGGCGCTTTGCCTGCTGGGCGACCTGTTCTTCCAGCAGAATGACCCAAGGTATCAGGAGTATTACAAAGAGTATCTGATGCTCTCCTTTTCCCTGAAGGACCCGATTGATGCGCCCGACGTAAACATGAAAACAGCCGAGCGGATGATTGAGTGCCTGGAGGCCTCCGTGGACTCGCACACAATTTTGCAATGGAGGAAATCGCTGACTGTTCTTAGAAACAGAATCGGAAGCTAAAACTTCGGCCTGAAGAGCCTGCAGGTGCACAGCGGATTTTTGTACATATGCCCGCAGGAAGCCTGAACCAAAAAAGATCGCGCAGGTGCTCGGGGCGTCTAGATGGCTAGATAAATGGCCGGGCGGAAATAAAAGAACAGTTCTTTATTTATGCAGAGGCACTTAGGAGCGCCATTCTCTTTCTCATGAATGGGTTTATTCGCTCCTTTCTTCCCTCAACAGACCGTGCTCTGACAATTCTCTGGTGAACCGCGCAGGATATGCAGTACTCTAGCTTGTAGTAGAACTTTGGCACTTCAAACTCTTCATACACGGATGCCTGTTTAATGTCGTCAAATGACGCATTGTCTATTACATTTCTTATGTGGAATCTTTTTATGGCCTTATCCTTGGGGCAGCACCTAAAACAGTTTTCACACCGGATGTTTCTTGTGTGTCCTCTGTTCATTTTGGCTCTTCCATTGTTTCTTCTCTTTTTGGTCATTTATACTAGGGGGTGAAAAATGAAAAATTTATTTCTACGCGCTTAGCTTACTTTACTGGAAATTTGAAGAAAACAGAAGTAACCATTGCAGACAGGAAGACTGCAACCAGGACTATAGGGCCGTTGTGGTCGTCGTACGGGCCGGGGTCTTTTTCCTTTATTTTCCTGGCTCTCCACACGTACAAGTACAAGGCATAAATCGAAAATATAATCGAGACTATCACAAAACAGACTCCAGAAAGAGCTGCCTGAATGTCGCCCAGGCCCATTAGGGCTGCCCCTATGCCACCGATAAAAATAGCAAAATGCAGCCAGGAAAGGAATGTTCTTTCGTTTGCAAAGAACACCTTGGGCTCAACGCGCACAGGAACTGCAATGGGCTTGTCCGATGCCGAACTGGGAACTGCTGGGCCCTCTGTTGCCCGTAATGCCGTTGGTTGGAAAAAGTTTCCTCTTGTATTTTCCTCTGCCATTGTTTGTGGTCTGTTTATGTTTGAGTTCTGTATTTGTGCTTGCTGTGGAGATTTTGTTTGGGGTGCCGATCTTCTTTCTTCCACACTTCCGTGGACTGGGTCTATGGCAACCGTGCTGCCAAAGGGCACGCCTGCGCTTCTTTCATAGTAATCTGAGCTGCTGCTGTCTGCCTGCATGGGGAGAGCGTATTCGTTTGACTCCAGGGTTGTGAATTTTTTCATTATTTCGGATATTTCTGTGCCTAGCCTAGCGAGTCTTTCTGCAGTTACTTCTCTATGTGAAATTTCAGTTTGTCTTTTGATAGGAACGGTTATCTGGTTGTACCAGTATGGTATGCACGGCACGTTATCGTAATGAACAGAGCACCCGTGCAGATACTTGGAAAACTTGTCAACTGGCACCACAAGAGGGCTGTTCATTAGCTCTAGGATCCAGTCCGGCTCTTTGCCCTCCTCAAGCTTTACCTCGAGTATGGCGTATGGGAAGAGCTTCCCGGACTTTTCGGTCCACATGGCCAGGTTTGTGTCCAAAGATATTCTAATTGAGGAGTCCCCCGGGAATTGGAAGGCTGTTCGGCTGTACACTGTTTTTACAACAGGGTTCAACGACATTTCTCTGATGAGGGCAAGGACTTCTGTGTACAGCGCAAAAGCGCCTTCAACCCCTACGTTGATGGACTCAATGCTGCTCCAGATATCTGTGCCCTGTGCCAGGCTGTTAATTAGCTTTGTGTTTATCAGGAATCTCTTTTTTGTGCTTCTTTCGCCGGTCCACCCGTCTTCGTGGGTTTTCAGCTCGACATATGATATTATGGACGACTCTCCATAGCTTCTTATTCTAAGCGACTTTGCCCCCTGGTCTCTTCGGATTCTTTTATTGTACAGGCCGAAGTTCTCGGTATCAAAGTACACGCTGGAGATGTACGATGATATTTTTCCAGATCCGTCGTCTCCAAATATATACACCGGCAGATATGGAATAATTAAGCTGTATATGGTCTCAACGTTGTCCAGATCTATCCAAAACTTCCTGGTTCTTCTTACAAAGCACGTGTTTATGTTTGATACCACCTGAAGCCCCTTCATTTCTATCAGTGCATGCCCCATGTTGTATATAACGCTTTCTAAGCTGGCCATCCCAGCATACTGACGCAGGGCCTCTTTCTCTGTCTCTTCAATATTTAGGTTGTCGATGTAGCACAAAATATTTCGGGTGTCATCCGCATGCTTCAGAACTGCAGTGCACAGATCTGCATATTCTGTTTCTTTGGGGCCCTGCATGCTTCTGTGTTTTTTTATCTCCTGGTTCAGCACAGACACCCTCACCGTGCTCTTGAACACAAAGTTGTTCAGTAGTTCTTCAGCTGGCACTCTCAAACCGTCTTTAGGCATACTTTTGTGTGTGCCTGGACTTTTATATATGCATTGTAACCTTGTTTCAAATAAGATGATATTCTGATTTGCTACTTTGTTTCTTTTTCTCACTAATTCCCTTTTGTTTATATGGCTTGGGTGTTTTACAAGCAACCAGAACTGAATGTAAACAAGCAAATTGCAACCCAAAACTCGGCGATTTACACACACTGATGCCGCTGCATCCTATTAGATTTTTCTATCTCGCATGTTCCCGGCGCCCGAAGGCTGGCGTAAGCCCCAAATTTCTCTTTGAACATAAATATGCCATGTGCATACACAGAGCGCGCGATGAAGGCTGTAAAGCCTATATAGTGCCAAAATTTGAAAAGCATTGGATATAGCCACTGCACACGTACGTGCAGTTGAGCAGAAAAATATGTCTCCAAGGCTTTTTCATAGGATAGCAAGTTTCAAGCTTTTGGTGAAAGCTTTTCAAGTCATCGCCAGCAGACTTTTATTTTATTCCAGGCCTTGTCTCGCATATGAAAACAGGCCAAAGGTCAGACCGCGTCTTTTCGCACAAAATAAATCGGAAACGCGAAGCATTGTGCTAAGATGCGCTGCCACACCACCCCATATCTACATCAAAAACAAGCCGATTTGGCGCATAACCTCACGCATTCTGATGTAAATCCAAGCACAGTGTAGTCAAACAGGCGCATTTATGAGACAAGTCGTCGTGCTTATATGCCAAGTGTTTTGCCAGTGTGCACATACCTCTCTAGAGCAAATCTGGCATGCTGGCTTCTGTTTTTCAAGTGAGAACTTCAGAAAGTCCCGAGGTTGAATTCTTTTGCACGCTCTGCATTAAGGCGTGCATGCAGGCGTGCCAATAATATAAATGTGGCGCAGACTTCTTTTCTTACTGAGTATATAGTAGAGCCATGGCTGGGAAAGTGCGCCCTTTCTATTCATTAGAGTGCTGATGATATACACTATGCTTGTCCATTTCAAACTTTTGCATGGTTTTTCCATACGCGCCAAAGGCGTTTTGTGCACTGTTGTACTCCTCTGGCTCGGTCAGTGTTACTGCTATCGAGGTCTTTCCAAACCGGCCGCCTCTTCCTATTCGATGCAGATATTCTTCGGCTGTGTGCGGAACGTCGTAGTTGATGACCAGGTTCACATGCGCGGCATCAATTCCTCGAGAGGTCACATCTGTGGACACAAGTATTCTGAACTTTCCGCTTAGAAAGTCGCCCATTCTTTTGTTTCTCTCTGCCTGCTCCAGCGAGCCGTGCACAGCCACAGCCGGAAACTCATGCAGCTGCATCTTCTTGCATATCTCCGAAACAGTCTCCTTCCGGTTTGCAAATATAACAGCCTGGGATATGGTTACCACGCTGAGAATGTTGCAGACCGTCTCAAATTTCTCTTTTGCTGGCACTTTAACATAGAACTGCGATATTTGGGAAAGAGCTAGCTTCTCCTGAGGGACAAGAAACATTTTGGGCTCGTCCAAAAAAAGAGTAAGCATTTCTGTCACTTCGCTGGGAAGCGTGGCGCTTACAAAGACAAACTGCGGGTTGAGCGGCTTTATCGTTTCAAACAGATTTTTGACAGGCAGGCCAAACCCGCTTTCTAGCGTTCGGTCAGCCTCGTCCAGCACCACCACCTGCAAGTTTGAGAATGATTTGAAGGACTCTTTGGTCAAGTGGAGGAGCCTTCCAGGGGTGCCAAACAGGACAGTGCAATTCTGCAGCGCCGAAACATCGGCGTTTATCTTTTTGTCCTGCCCTATTGCGCAGTGCCCGCGCATAGACATAAATTTGGACAGGCCGCTAAACACGTTAAAAGTCTGTATCGCCAAGTCTCTGGTTGGCGACACAATGATGGCCTGCACTCCCTTCTTGGCGGGGTCCATTCTTTGAAGCACACCCAGCAAAAAGGTGGCCGTTTTCCCCGTTCCATTTTTAGATTGAACAACCACAGACTCTCCGCTTGCAATTGAAGGGATTGCATCTTTCTGTATTTGGGAGGGGGTGGAAAATCCGTACGCAAAAACCCCTTTAAGGAGGCTTTCCTTTAGCTGGAGACTTTCAAATTCTGAAATGTGTTCATGCATGAAAAATTTTCAGCGAAGACTATGGTACATATTCCAGACAAAAAACTCTCTCCCAGCTCAGAAAAGTGCGGAGAGATTCCTGGATACTTAAAATGGAGGCATCTTACGTCTGGGCAAAATGATGCGAGGCTTCCGAAGTTTGTTTCCTTTCTTATTCGGGTTATTACGCTGACAGATTCTGTCATTTCCTTCAACTCCACAAAGAGGCTTACAAACACCCTCCAGTCTGTGTGCAGGACTGTGTCGCACCTTACAAACTGCAAGATAACCGAGATGCATTATCGCCAGATCCTGCACATATTTGGCGAGATATATGTGTACACGCCATCGCAGTTCAAGGGCGTGACAAACCTAATTGTCTCTAAGGTGGAAATGGAGAACAGGCTGATGGTCTGCGAAAGAAAAGCCATAACCTGGATAAGAGCAAAATACTCTAGCATGCATCCGGCCAGCATAACCACAAACCTGGCCAAGGAAATAGACCAGCTTATTATGGAGGATGCAAAGTTTAAGGCCTCAATGCTTCCGGACGCAGATATGCCGGTGCTGCACGAGGCGTGCGCGCTTTCTCCGCCCGTTCCCATGCAGGAAATCGAAATAGCAAGCATGCCGGAGAAAAAGCCAGAAGTTCTTGCTGGCTTGGACGGCAGAGCAGAGGGGCTGCACGGCGCGCCAGACCTTCCCTCTTCAAACTCCCCGCCTCTGCCCAACAAAAGGGCCCTTTCTATTCTAGAGCGAATCAGGCAGAGAGAGCAGGAAAGGCGGGAGAGCTTTATTCGAATGGAGGAGGAGAAAGAAAAGGAGGTGGTGAAGGCTGCCCACGCCATATTTTCCTTGGCAATAACCCTAGGGAAGCGGTCGTTTGAGCAGGAGTTTATAGAGAAAAAAGTCTCTCTTTTTGCACAAAAAACAGTAACCATAGAAGATGTTCTTAAGCACCCGCTCACAAAAAATCTGATACGAGAAAAAGAAACCGAGGACAGCACAAAGTATTTACTGCTTGATTTAGAAAAGTATAAAAACACACATTTGAATAAAAGATAAAAGATCCCATGCAATCAGATATCCATGTTTCTATAGTCTGCCCATATAATGGTCATCATGAAGAAAAGGTTCCCCAAAACCGTCAGAACATGAAAAACCTCGTGGTATCCAAACTGCATTGGCCATGGATCAGGCTTTTTTGCTCCGTATATAACGCCGCCCACTATGTACAGTGCTCCCCCCATTACGCACAGAAGGCCTATCAGCTTCTCTTTCAAGATGTAGCTAGCAGGCACAATCACAGCCACAGAAGTGCCGTGCAGAATGTAGTACATCACGTTGATGTACCTAGGAATTGTTTGCAGAAGAAACACCTTCCCAATGCCCACCAAAGCCAGGACATATGTTATTGGCAGCCATTTCAAAATATTTTGCGAGCTATTTTTGTACAGCTCGCTAATTGCCACAACAACACATGTCTGCGTTCCCGATATTAACAGAAAAATAGAAGAATGGTCCAGCTTCCGGAAAAGCCTCTCTGCGCGCCTGCTTTTCCAGTTTGACATGTGGTATGTGCTGCTCACCCCATACAGAACCAGCTGGGACGCAAAGTACAGCGATAAGTATACCTTGTTGGTGCGAAGCGTGATCATAAGCAGAATGTACATGAATATTGTCAAATAGAAGGCAATTCTGTGCACTTTCCCCCTCCAATATGGCTTTGCAGCCTTAGTGACGTATCCGGAGGAAAGGTCTTCAGACAGCACATCGCCCAGAATGCTTGCTTCCGAGGCATTTTCTGCCCCGTGCTCATCTGGCACTCTTCTCGTGCTTCGCAATTGGCTACATGTCTTCATTAAAAAATCAATGCTTGCTGAATAAATTAGAATCCAGCCTCGCCCACGGTGTTTTTACAGAGCATTTTAATATGCTTCTTAAAATTCGAGATGTCCATGCCCACATGCATCTTCTGCTGGCAGCCACTCACTACTCATAGAATTGCTCCTCTTTGAAGCTAGTGCTTTGCCAGGCATGCATGGGCGTCTATATTTTGGCTTGGGCGCGCTTCTTGCAGCATACTTCTACTTTCAATGCGCGCCCTGCCCACGTCATGTATCTTCGAGAGTGTTTGACGCGTTTTGTCTGGTTAATTTGCAATGACAGCGCGTGTTTTTGCTTGTTTGTGCTGTTAAACAACAAGCATGCAAAAATTAAAACACTTCCATGGCCACAGAATAAAAACTTACAGGTTAGAAAAAGTATACTTTATTTTAAAACCGAAAGCTTTCTGCAAATTGCAAAGTAGTTTCCATGGTCCTTTCCGGACTCAAGTATCTCCACAGGACAGTGCGAAAGAATCTCTTCCAGCTCGCCCGCTCTAAACAGGTGGTAGTATCGGTTCAGATTGTTTGTTTTTTTCCAGCCCACAAACACATCGTTTGCCGACACATTGCATATTTTCTCTATTTCCGGGCTGTCAATGTTCTTGATGCTCACAAACTTAGACGGCTTGCTCTCAGGAGACTCGCTCCACACATATATCAGGCAGTGCCCGCCCTCTTTCAGTGCATCTACCATGTACCGCACAGACTGACTCCTTCTTTCATCCGTTGACAAGTGGTGAATCACAGCTATGGAAATGCACACATCAAAACTGCGGGCGCGCACCGGAAGAGGATCGCCCAAGTCATGCCTTGCGTACGCAATTCCGCTGCTTTTTTCGCGCGCGATCCCCAGAAGCCCCTTTGAGTAGTCCAGTGCAAACGTTCTTTCAGGGTACAGGATGTTTCTGCCGTTCCCGCACCCTGCATCCAGTATGGTGTCTGAGCTGCCCACATACTTTGCATAGAAATATTCCACAGTAGGCCACATTTTGTATCTGGTCGCAGAAAACTCTTTTGAAGAGTCCTCATAGAACGCATGCACATGCTTTTTTTCGAAGTTTTCCATTTCTTAAATACGGATGGGCTTGTAACAGCATGAAAATTTTTTCGCTTTTATTGCTGCAGTGTAAGAAGAAGGCCTGCCGAATGATAAATTACTTGGTGCCCAGTGGGTGTGCAGTTACAGTGCGCGCAAGGGAGCCTTCCAGCCAGGACTTTCAGTTTATGGAGGCCCAGCTAGACACAATCTGCGCCATGGATTTGAACAGCAACCAGTTCATACTCCCGGTTATTCTGGAAGAGCTGAGAAGAGTCTGCAGAATAGACGAAACAGTGGGGGTTCTTCCAAGCATACAGCCTGAGGAGATGCAGAAGATTTTGGAGGCCAACTCATTGGAGGCCGTTCTGGGGGAGGAGAGAATGCACGAGCTGTTTAATGTTCTTTTCGGGACAGAGCTGGATGAGGGGGCTCTTGTATGCACAAACTGCAACTGCGAGTACATAATCAGCAACAATATAGTGGACTTTGTCCAGGCAGAAGGCGAGGTGTGAAGCAAGGCGGCCAGGCAATAGAGTAATAAAATGTGACAAGTCATTAACACCGGATATAGTTAAAAGCCAAGGGGAGTGCGAATTCAGCGCGCACAAAATCAAATATGGCCACGCGAAGACCCTGGGAGAAGCAGGGATTTACGCTTTGCCATGCTCTACCCAATGCAGGCGCATAATTTTTGGAAGCAAGCGCCCCTTTGGAAGAGGCATAGGCACATACCCATTCGGAGATTCTCTATTTTCAAGGAGAGAGCTCGCAAAAGAAAGAAAAAGCTGTTTTCACCGGGTTTTGTTTTTATTATAAGTTAGCGCCGCTTAGAGGCAGATATAGCTGTGTCCAGAGAGAACTGGATTTTCGAAAGAGATTCTTTCTTTTCGTTGAAAATTCTATTGGCTATTCCATCCGTCAAATCGCTCACCATTCTTACTACGTACTTCCCGTCCATTTTTGTAAGTTCTTTATAAACAATCCATTTGGGCTCGCCGCATGGGCGAGACCCGTGCCTGGATCGCATGGGCGTGCGTGCAGGCGGCGTCAGCCTTCTCACCTGAACCTGGGCGCCTGTTCCCGAAACAAATGCAACTCGCTCTTTGCAGGAGTATGCTGTCTGCAGAAGATATCCGCCAAGAATCGCCATTTCCACGCGCACTTGTGTGTCCAGCCCATCCAGGTTCGGATGGACGGCAATGCCAGGCTTTATTTTGTCAAGTATTTTCCGGATTTGCCGCTTGGACTTCACAGAGTTTTCCAAGTTTTTCTCGTTCAGCCCGTGTGCATAGCAGAATCTTCTTTTCTCGTGCGAGCTCTCATAGTCCTTCATGATCCAGTACAGCGACAAATGGTCGCTTTTTTCCATGTAAAGATCGAACCTTTTCTTATCAAACACCAGGTTTCCAGAAATGGACGCGAGTGTGATGATTTCCTCTTCGACGCAGTATCGAACCGACTCAATAAGCGTTTTGGCGTCGCGGGGCTCCAGCGGAAACTCGACCATAAGCCGGCCCTCTTCGGTGATGTTTCCATTGGAGTCGATTCCGCCCAAAAAGTACAGATGGTTCAGCGCCATAATGACAGAGTCCGGCAAAGGCGGCTCGATGAAGTCGAATGTGACGAGGTTTTTTATCTCCAGACGCGCCATTTTCAAAATCAGAGAAGAAAGCTCGCCCCGAAGTATTTCGGGGATTGTAAACAGCTCCATGTTGTTGTACGTCTCGATATCGTACAGCCTGTAGCATATGCCCGGGCGCACCCTGCCAGCTCTCCCCTTCCTCTGGTCTGCGCTGGACTTGGAAATGAGCAGGCGCAGAAGCATTTCCGACTGCATTTGGGAGTCATATATCTTTTGCTTCGAGTACCCAGAGTCCACCACATAGACCACGCTCTCTATTGTAATGGAGGTTTCTGCTATGTTAGTGGCAAATATAACCTTCCTGCCCGCTGTTTTCTCGAATATGGCGTTCTGTGCGCTCATGGGAAGCGACGAGTAGAGCGGAAGCGGCACCAGCTTCTTTTTTAGCTTGCTGTTTCTGTAGTGGATTTCCTTGACACAGTTTTCTATCTCGTCTTCTCCAGTCAAAAAGACCAAAATGTCGCCTTCTGGCTCGGTCTCGCCTATTTTTATGACAACATCAATGCACTTGTCGACATAGTTGTCCTTCTCTGCAGGAGAGTATACAACGTCAATCGGATACGACCTGCTTTGTATGTGCAAGGTGGAGGCGCCCGGGAAGTACTCCAAAAACTTCTCTGTGCTGAGGGTGGCGCTCATTATGATGACCTTCAAGTCGCTTCTGGTCATTATGGCATCTTTGACCAGCCCAAGAAGCAAGTCAATGTTAATGGTTCTTTCATGCACCTCGTCAATTATAACTGCTTTGTACTGAGACACGCATGGGTCGTCGATAAAGTCTCGCAGCAGAGTTCCGTCTGTGACATACCGTATTTTTGTATGCTCGGACAAGCACTCTTCGAACCGCACGCTATATCCCACAAGCTTTCCCAGAGGCTGTTTCATTTCCTCCGATACTCGCTTTGCTATGCTTATAGCGGCAATTCTTCGAGGCTGCGAGCAAATAACAGGCTCTTTGTACATTTCGTACACGTATTTCGGAACTTGCGTTGTTTTTCCGGTTCCGGTTTCGCTGGAAAGAACCAGCACTTGGTTCTTCCTAATTAGCTCCTGTATTTCATGCTTCCGTTCTTCTATTGGCAGTAGCATATTCTGTAAATTTTTTTATTCCGCCGGCTCTTAACAGACTTTGCACTTTCATGTGCGCCCAAGCCTGCGCTGCAAGATTTTTCTCATGCAGTGCAGTGCGCTGAAAGGCAACTAAGATCTGCCAGAGTGCGGCCAAAGGCCATGGCATTCAACAAAAAGTGCAGTCTGTAATTCCGTCTGGCTGGCCTCTTTTTGCATAGCCATTATGCAGAACTTTTTAAAGCCATACAATTATTGGAGCTAACACAGAGACTCTGATCTAAGGAAATGGCAAGGATTGCAAGAAACTCGGAATCCCTGGTATCCGCTAAAAGCAGAAACAAGAGAGCGACTTCTTGTTCAGATGGCATGTCACGTGCAAGGCAGAAAACAAAGGAGTTCGTTAGTCGCGGGCCAAGCTACTCCAAAGGCCAATAGGTCTTTACTGGAACTTATGCCAGGCCCGCATCGTAATGTATCCCGGATTTACGATAGGGGCAGTAGACTATTTGCAGGTTTGTGCAAAAACAAAACGCGCGAGTGTATTCTAAAGTGCATGGCAGTGGCCTGGCTTAAAACAAGTGTGTATTCAATAAATTCAAAAAAATGCGTGTGCATTCTTAGAAGTAGCTGCAAAAAGCTCCACATAAAGTTAAATAGCACAGAGGCTTTTCAAGCACACATCTGTGGAATGCCAGAAGCCTGTTCAGACAGATATGAGGCACTTTTGCTTCTAGGAGCTACAGAGGGGTTATGTGCTAGCGTGCGCGCTCAGAGTGTTTGGCCTCTTTAGGCCAAGCAGAGCTGCCATCCCTTTGTTTATGCAAAGTGTCTGGTGCCTCCATAAGAAAAGAAGCGTGCATGGCATATACAAGACTCCAGATTGGCATTTTGGCGTCTACTCCAGCTATACAAGCCCTGCAGAAAAAACCGAATAGAGTAGGCTAGCACTGCCATTTGGGTAGCGCGAGCTTTGGGGATGCCATGCGGTTGTCTGAGTCTTTCTTCGTCTCTTTGTATTTTCTGCTTCTCAGGTGCGCCTACTTGTAAAGTCTAAGCAAAAATTTGGCTCTGCCTGTGGGCGTGGCTTTTTTCTATTTTAAAATGTGTGCAAAGGCCTATTTTTTCTTTGCAGTGCAAGACGGCGCAGCGAATTTATATTCGTGCAGGGCTTTTATTTGTAAATGCTGTGCATATTTAGGAATTTATTATTTCTTTGCAATTTTTAGGCCTAGAAGGTCCCCTATCTTACTTATCACAGAAAGCGCCCTGTCAAGGTCTTCCTTCTTATGGGCCACAGACAGGCAAAAGCGCACTCTGCTGCTTATAACAGGAGTTGCTGGGTAGCCCACTACAACAACAGCAATGTTCTCCTTAAGGCACATTCTTGAGAATTCGGCGATCTTTCCAGGGTTGTACAGCATGAGGGGAACCACCGGAGAGTCTTTCTCGCCAATAACAATAAACCCCATTTTCTGGAGGGCGTCTCGGAAGTATCTGGACTTTGTGGCCAGCTTCTGTATCTCCTCAATGCCCTCGGGGGTCTTCATTCTCTTCAAGCACTCAAGTATCTGGGTGGCCACCACAGGAGGCATTTGCTCGCCTCTATTTATCAGCTCGGATCTTTTTCTAAGCAGGTTTATGATCTTTTTGTTTGCAGCAATGTATCCGCCAGACGCTCCAAAGCTTTTTGTGAAGGTTCCCATTAGAAGATCGATCTCGTCAAAATCAACATTGAGGTACTCACAGACGCCCCGCCCGCTCTTCCCCATTGCGCCTATTGAGTGTGCTTCGTCTATAAACAGGTAGAATGGATACTTCTTTTTGAGCGCCAGGATCTCCTTTAGCTTGACACACTCCCCCTCCATAGAGTAGATTCCCTCGACAATCACAAGGATGCGCCCAATCGGCCGGTGTGTTCTGTCCTGCCCTTCAATTATGGCTTTTCGAAGAATCTTCTCCAGCATGGCTATGTTGTTGTGTGCAAACCGCTCGACCTTGCACGGGCTGATGCGGGTGCCAAAGAAAATGCTCGAGTGGTTCAGAGAGTCTGCAATAATCAGGTCGCCCTTGTCCACCAAGTACGGAATAGAGCATGCGTTGGTGGCAAAGCCCATGGGAAAAACAATAGCGTCTTCTTTGTACAGAAACTCGGCCATGCTTTTTTCCAGCTCCTTTATCAGCGGGCATGGCGGCAAAAACCTGACAGGGGCGCAGTAGGCCAGAACATGCTCACGAAGAGTCTTCTGCGCCTCTTTGTTATACATTCCTGCGTACCCCAGATAGTTGTAGGATCCTAAATTCAGGCACTTTTTTATCTCTCCCGTCAAAGTCATGTCTCCGTCTTTGCCCCGGGCCCTAATAAGCACATTAACTGATCTCCCAGGTATTCCTGTGATGGGGCGGTTCCAGCAGTCGTTGAGCCTGCCATACAGACGCCTTGTGTAGAAGCTGCCCGAGGCTGTAAAAAGAGGCGGCCTTCCATCACTGGCAAACATGTGTTTGTAGAGCTTTGGAAAGAGCATTTGCCCAATAAAGTCCCTGGCGTGCCCCAGCACGATAACTATAAAGTATGACAGGTAGGTTGTCACTATAGTGAAAAAAGGAATGTAAAGGTCTTCCATAATGCAGGCAAAACAAGAAAAAATATAAACACAGACAAGGTCTTTTTTGTGGTCTAGAAGTAAATAAGAGTCGTCTTGTAAATATTGCCAATCGTGTCAGAAGCAGACCTTAAAGCGCAAGCAAAACAGCTCCAACCGCCTCGACTGCAAAAATCAAACTATTTTCCACATAGCAGGTTTTTTCATTGCAATTCGGGAGAAAAAACAAAGAGAAACGCCCAAAAGTGTGCTATTTATGTAAGTCAGCGAAACCAACCAAAGAAAGAATCGGTGTCCTGCCGACGCACCCTCCAAGGCTGTCTGCACTGCATGCATTTTGCATGCAACCCAGTTTAAGCTTCTGCTTTCAGCCCAGGAATTTCAATAAGCATCAAGCTTATCCTCTTTCCCCAAAAGGCCTATCTCATGTAATATAGCAGCCTAAGGCGCGCCCCCAGAAAGGCTGGGTGTGCTTTCTCTAAACCATGTATAAATATTTTCCAGAAACAAGCTTGCATTTCAGTGTTTTATGGCATTCCAAAAAAGAAACTGTACATCGCGGGCTTTAGAAAGCCGCGCAGCTTGTTCAATCTATGCACACCTCAGCCATGTGCTGCCAGAGAGCGCCTATATACACGGCAGAACTCTATTCTCGACTTTACATACCTAATGTTGGGGCGGGTGAAAGCTACCAGCAGTGCGCGGCCTACTTTGCACCCTTGGTGGAGGAAGGGCTCTTCCAGTGCCCAATAGTCTCTCCCATCCGAACTCCCCCCTCCGTTCGGTCCCAAGCAAAGGCCCTGGGGGCTTCAAAAACAAGCACAACAGTCGAGCCTAGGCTGAAATGGCCCAGCTCGCTGCCTTTCTTGTACTGGACCTTGCCAGAAAACATCACGGAAGGCGCTGTGTATAGGCCAGGAAGTTGGTTCGTGGATATTTTCACCGCCTCTGCGTGTATGCTTCCCACACCAACACTCCCCACCGCAACCATATAGCATGCGCCGTGTCTGCATTTCCCTTCGAAAACAATTCGCTCGTTCTTGGAGAGAAGCCCAGGGAAGAACTCCATGGGAAGCCTTCCGACAGAAAATAAAAAGGAAGGAACATGGAGCACTTTCTCCAGCACAAAGTCTGTGTAGTTGTGGAAACGATGATAGTCTTTTGGTGACAGGTATATCACCATTTGCTGGAGGGTGTTCTCAGGGCCTACTCGGCCAAGAACGCCCTTGTCCAGAAGAAGCTCTTCTATGTTGTAGTTTATCCCTTTTATTGGGCAAGAGACTCCCTCCACTGCGCTTCCTGCATAAACAATAGTGCCATCAACAGGGGAAGTTAGGCCGGGCCCTATTGGCCTTGCCCCCTTGTCCAGCTCTCTTGTAAAAAGCTCGCCTATGGACCTGTAGTCGGAGAGGCGTTTTTTCTTTGCGTCTTTCAGGTCAATCCCCAGCAGGTTCTTCGCCGCTCCAACAAAACACAGATTAAGTGGCCATGGAAACGGTATTTTGCACAGATATCCCTGCACCCGGCTGTATGTTTTGTGGGGGAATGTCCGCATAATCGAATATCTGAGGTCGAATTTCTCCGAAGACATGAGCATATCGTATGCGATATTTACAATGCTAACGGCAAACAAAAGAAACGCGCCTATCTGCAGCGCAGTGACAATGCGGCTTTTGTATCGGAACTTTCTTTTTTCTGTGATAAATGTAATATTTTCTATTTCAGCATGAGAAGCTATTGCGGGGTGCTTCATCGTATTCTAATAATTTTTGGCATTTATTATTTAGTTTTGTAAATAAAAATAAAAGGATGTACCGCAAAGTATCTGTAATAGGCGGAGGCAGCTGGGGAACAACTGTAGCAAAAGTGGTAGGCGAAAACTATGCCAGAAAAGGCAAAGAGGAAAAGGTGACTCTTTGGATATACGAAGAGAAAGTGGGCGGGCGCAACCTAACAGAGATAATAAACATGGACCATGTGAACACAAAGTATCTTCCTGGGGTAAGCCTGCCTGAAAACGTGCAGGCGCTGTCAAGTGTCGAGCAGGCTGTTGAGGGCGCCGAGATAGTTTTGCTCACAGTCCCACACGAGTTCCTGGACGGAATACTCAATAGCATGAAAGGCAAGATTTCAAAAAGTGCTATTCTTGTGATTTTAACAAAGGGCTTTTTCTTTAAGGGCGACAAGATGGAGCTGATCTCAGAGAACATTAAAAAAAGCATGGGCGTGAGAGTGTGCACGCTTATGGGCGCAAACATTGCAGGAGATGTCGCAAACTGCCTTTTGAGCGAGTGCACGCTTGGGTACGAGGACGCAGAGGCCAGAGACGCTGTTTTGGAGCTTTTCGAGTCCCCGTACTTTAAAGTCAACCCAGTTTTGGACTCTGGTTGCGTTGAGGTCTGTGGGACTCTGAAGAACGTGGTTGCAATCGGATGCGGGATTGTTGCAGGAAACAAGCACGGAGTAAACACGCTTGCTGCGGTGATCAGAAATGGCCTGCTGGAGATGGTCAGGTTCTGCGACCAGTTTATCAAAAAGGCGTCGTCCCCAGAGGCCGTTCCAAGAGTGTTCTTTGAGTCGTGCGGGCTGGCCGATTTGATAGTGACGTGCACGTCGGGAAGAAACTTCAAATTTTCCAAGCTGGCAGCAGAAAAAGGCATTTCAATATCAAAAATAGAGACCGAGGAAATGAACGGGCAGAAGCTGCAGGGATACTCAACCATCAAGGAGCTGATCCAGTTTATGGGGCTGAACAAGATTGAAAAAGAGTACCCCTTCCTGTATGCAATAAGTATATCCGCCACAACAGACTTGTCAGCTGACAAGATCCTGCAAGCCATCCAAGAAAAATAAACAAGCTATTCGGGTTTTGCGTTTATTTATGGCCTAAAAAACTAGCGGGCGTCATTGTGTAGAGAGAAACAGCGTCGCTGAGCCTGTTGAAAATAAGAATCTTCTGCGAGCACAGAAAGAACACGCTCTTGATGATCTCCTTTCGGTCTCTTTTCAGCAGGCGGCATAGTTCCGATATTCCAACAACGGGCTTCTCCATCAGAATCAAAGCTATGGTGTAGTTCAGAGCGTTCTCATTTGTTTTGTGCCTGAGGTACGCCTGCTTTGCCTCGAGCCGCTTCTGGTAGTACTTCATCAAAAGAAGAACCATGCACTCTTTTGCGCCAGGATGGGTGCCTATGGTCAGTATTTGCTCGTATATGAAGTTGACTGTCTCTATGGACAGGTTTACAAAAGGTATAAAATAGCTGTGGAAGTCAATGTGGCAGTCTGCGCGCGAGTAAATGGTGAACCCTGCATTCTGCTTGGACGTTTTGACGTTCAGGCTTTTTGCCAGCTGAACCACTTCCTTCGACACGTTTGAATACTCTCTTATCTGCTCTATTTGCTCAAGCTCTTTTTGCAACATCTCTTTTTGCTTTAAAAGCTCTCCAAGCTGGATTTTCTTTATGTACAGTTCTGCTGCTTTGCTCTGCTGCCTGGAAACCTCAACCTCGATTCGGTCCTGGCTCAGACTCTGGATGCAGTTTTCCTCATGGGCCATGCTCACAGCATGCAGAGAGACAAAATCGTGCTCTATAGGAATGCCGAATTGCAGGCAGATCTCTTTGAATCGCTGGAACAGCTCTATAAGCTCGGTGTCGGAGTAGCAGCGCGCCTTGTTTGTAATTCCAAAGGCTCGGCATATTTCCATAAATCCAAAATGGTCTTCCGGGTCCAGCTCTTCCGCTGCATACTTCTTAAGTGCGCACAAAGAAGTTCCTCTGAAGCTTTTTTCAAACATTCTAAAATATTCTGGAAACCACGTACTTATCAGCACTTGGCCATATACGCGCGAAATGTGCATTTTTTCTTGATCAGAAACACTGCCGTGCTGCAGACCCTGCACTGGGCTGCGTAAAAAGGGCAAAAATTTAGAAAACACGGCATATATCAGAGCACATGCCATTTCCTGCAGGGGCATTTTGCACTTTGGTGCCGCACTTTCCCGTCCTTCTTATGCGCATTTTTAGCAAGTGCTTGAAGTGCGGCAGTGCAAACAGTGCCTTGGGGAAACTAGCACCCACGCAAAGAAACACAAAAGTGGACGCCTGGCCTGGCTGCATAGAAGGCACTGGCTGCTCCTTTGGGCGTAAGGATGGGGGAGTGCTGCAGGCGTGCTGGAGAGGTGCTTGAGTGCACTAAAATTTAATTGCGAGACTGTTTGTTTGTATGAAAGAGCTGGACAATCTGCTTGTGCTAATAGAAAAAGCAGAGTGGGCGTCGCATGTGTACAAAGAAGCTGGAGAGGCATACCATGCCTCGTACCAGAGGTTCACACAGGCAGCAGTGCATCCCAGAAACAGGACGTGGAGGTCTGATGCGCTGATTCTTTCCCTGCTGAAGCACTGCGACATCCAGGGGCTTACTTTGCAGGGCATCAACAAGATAACGAAGATGGTCTCTTCAGACTTGGACAAAGCCATCAAAGCGGCGCAGGCCCACCTCAGGGAAGCCCAGGCAGAGCTGGAGCGCATGGAAAGAGAGATGCGCGAAGAGTTCCAAAAAGTGCAAAAGGCTGTGCAAAAAAGATGCAAGGCCCTTGGCGGCGCAGGCGATGTATGGAAGGCAGACTTCGACCTAAAAAAAGAGATCCGCGTGTATGTTTCCAAAGAGAGCAAGCTTCGCCTGCTGGAGCAGAAAGCCAAAAGCAGCCACCAGCAGGCCCACGACCTCCTGCTAAAGGCGTATTATAGAACGCTGAACGAGTACATGGCATGTGCCGCCGGACACCTAAACATTCTTTCAAATGACGTCTCAGAGCATGTAGGCCCTGCGTGCAGCTCAAAGATTCCGAAAAGCGAGCCTTGTTTGGAAACGCCCACGTCTCTGTCTATGGGCACGCCAACAGAAACCCCAGACTTGACGCTGGAGCAGCTCGAGAAAACCCGGTTTGGGGAGCTGTACAGCCAGGCCCTGCGGGAAGCCCGGGGAAAGGCCAAGGCCGATCCGGCTGGCAGTCTGGCAGTGCGCGGGTGCGGCCTTTTCATAGTTCCCAAAATATCAAGCGACCACTTGCTATTTGTTGTATGCACAAGCACGGACTATTTGCATGCTTTTTCTATACAGCCAATATTAAATAAGATATCTACTGATTTATTCATGGAAGACTCAGAGTGTCCTGTCAAGGCCTTGCAAAGAACGCTCTCCACATATAGCGAGCCTGAAATAGAAAAGATAAACAGCTACCTGCTCAGTCACATAGGAGATCTTTCCGTGATTGAGAAGGTGTTTCCGATAAACCTGAAAAATATGAGGGTTTCTATGCGTGGAGGCGGATGCGAAATGCTTATAACAGAAGCGGGCGCTATGTTCTTTGCCAAGCAGGTTAAGGTGCAAGCGGGCAATGTTCAGCAAATGAGAAAGTTCTACTCTCTGGTGAAAGAAGAAGCGTGCTTGGAGGCGGCCCATGCCCATAGCTCTGATGAAACAGGGGCACGTGCCGAGCTCCCACTGTCGTGGTCTCCAGCTACATATGAGAACCCTTGGTAGCTAAGCAAGCGCAGGCACTCATCTGGGCGCTGTGAGGCTGCAGGCTTTTCTGCGCTCGGGAGCTTAGCTTTCAGCGGGCGCAGAAGACAGCTCTTTCAGGGCCTGCATGAAGTCATCATAGTTGAAGGCAATAAGACCAACTAGATTTAGAAGGTATACGCCTATCAGCCACGTAAACCACTGCCCGCCAGTTGCAATGAATATGAATTCAATCATTTTGGTCGCATGAAGCGCGCCTATAAGGAGAGTAAACACGTTGGATAGAGACATGGTTCCTTCAAAGGCCGGGAGCAAGCTTAGGAACACAGCACAAATGCAAAATATAAATGCAAATACGGTGAAAAATATCTTGGTTTTACTCCATTGAATTGTTTTGTGTATGTTCATTTGCATTCTGCTGTAGCAAAGTGTTTAAAAGAGAAAGGGTAAAACACGGTTTGAAAACCCAAACAAATTTGAAAAAAAATACAATGAATAAAACAGACGGAGACATTTTGGAGGAGTTCAGGCAGAGGCGGCTGAAGGAGCTGCAGCAGCAAATAACTCTAAAGGAAATAACAGACGAGACCCTGCTTTGTAAAAAAACAAAATCTGAAACCCTCATAGTGCACTTCTACAACAAAAACTTCCAGCGGTGCAAAGAAATGAACCGTGTCCTGGAGGAAATAGCGCCCAAGTACCCTGCCGTCCAGTTTCTGTGCGCCGAGGCAGACAAGTTTCCGTTCATAACCGAGCGGCTGGAAATTAAGCAGCTCCCGTATTTGGCCACATTTATGCAGGGATACTTCACCGGGGGCATAATAGGCTTCCAGGACATCGGGGAGGAGCATCTTGATAAAGGCTTGCTAGAGCAGTATATTGTGCAGTCTGGCCTTCTTGATAAAAAGGCCTCTGAAAGTGACCAATAGCCGCCCAAGGTAAAGCATATAAGAAAACAAGGCACTGCGTATGGATGTTTGAGAGGCTTGAAGAGCTGAAAAGGGTGTGCCAGGACAAAGCGCGGATCAAGGAGATTATACTCCAGGCAATAGAGGCCAAAAGGCAAAGCATAAAGACCAAGCAAAGGGTTTTGGAGGTTATGGACATGCTTATTATAAACAGGGTGAATATGACTGAGGAGCTAGAGTTTATGGAAAAAAGGGCGTGCGCTGCACAGTCCGCAGAGAGCGCGAGAAAAGCCAAAGAGGACAGCTACTACACCAGACGGGTCGCAGAACTTGTTGTGTTTTTTGAGAGCGCCTACAAGGCAAAATCCGTTGAGAAGTGATGTCTGGGCAGGCTGAAACAGAGCGTGCGAATAGAATGCTAGGGTGCACAGAAGGCTCTGTTGCTTTGCTACGTGTGCAGCTTCTATGTTTGAAACACGCATAGGCAGTCTAACTTGGCAGTGGTTAATAAGGCAGGCTAGATTTATGCAAAAATAAATGCAGCGCTAGAGCAAAATTCTATTGTAGGCTCCAGCCTCAACTTGCGCAATGGGTAAAAATAAAAATGCCAATTTCAGCGCTTTTTCAGAGATGCATACCAAAAGCACAAAAACTGTGCAGATTCGGCCTGCCCATACACATTTACAGCATGCGCTTTTTCCTCTTCTTTCGCACGCGCAAAACATCCGCAACCGAGGGACGTCAGCATGTCTTTGAATTGACAGATAAAATAACACATTTATTATATCGAATCTCGCTTTTCTGGAGATTGTGCGCGATTCTACTACTTCTTCAGCGACAGGGCGTCGTACAAAAACCTTTTGGGGTTGACCTTGAAGATGCGGCCCTTTGCAACAAATGACTTTATATACACCATAAACAGCTCTGTGTATATGAGTGTCTGGAGAACAGCTCCCCATAGAAGCAGATGGCTTGCCAACACACGGGTTGTGGCCCACTTGAACACCCATATAAGCATGTATATAAGCCTGTACAGGCCCAGGAACAGAACATAGTGTATTGTAAGCGTCTCCCCCTCGCCTGCCTTGTTGAGCAAAGTAAGCTGCGGGAGAATGGAGACAGACTCCAGGACAACAGAAGACGCCCACATCCACTCTATGACTCCCCGGATAAACCTGTTGCTTGAAGCCTCGGGGATCTTAAAGAGGAATCCGCCGCTCACCAGGGAGAATATTATCATGTAGGAGATCGGCGTGTCGTCGTATTCGCTGTCGTACGAGTAGAAGTAGTCGCGCATCATTTTGTATATCACATTTGACTGGAGAGAAATAAATACAACCTTCATAATCCCGTTGTAAATAAATCTGTACTGAGTTAGCATCTTCTTTGTGTAGAGAAAGAAGTACACAAGATCTGTGTATCTCCATATGTACACGGTCAAATAGAGTATCTGCGCCTTCAAAGATATTCCAGAGCACGATCTGGTTCTTTTCATTTTGACCAAAAGAGTCACCAAAGAAAGCACATGCAAAATGTCGGCAGAAGTGCGCAAAACTATCTCAGTGCATTTCCCTACTTTATCCAGCATGCAGAAATAAAATTTCAAACTATTTGTGCCAAACAAACACAAGTGTTTTGCTTTTGGAATCACTGTGTTTCCCAGCTGTTTGCCCTTGAAAGCGCATGCTGTCAGGCCTGTGCGGAGTGCATGTTTCTTCTGTTTACGTGTATTTATTTATAGGCTTATGTCCTCCAGATACTTGTAGTCAAATCTAAAGTTTTCCTTCTTTCTACTGCTCCACGACACCTCGTAGTCAAAGAATATGTACGTGCCCTGCTCGTACTCTTCCGTTATAATGCTAGGCTCTTCTAGCCGCTGAAACCACGCCATATACTTTGTGTGAAACCGCCAAGAGTAGTTTTTTAGCTCTTTTGCTGCGTAGTACTGGCATGCAGTGTTCTGGTGGAAGTAGAATATAAAAAAAAGCGTGTCCATGTCCAGCTTCTGGTAGAATTCAGGATTGCTTAATAAAATGCTTGCTTTTGTTGGAAAATGCGCAGGAATGTCCTCGTTGTCGTCCTTCGGGCCAGTTTCGGCACATATCCCGTTGTAGTTCAGGTAGTTTCTCATGCTATTTACAAGTTGCACACCTAGCGGAGTTTTTATGTTTTCGATTCTTCTGGACAGCGCATAAAAGTGGGACTTTGTGTCTGTTTTCTCCTTTTCGCTCGGCCTCTTCTCTTTTGGGAGCGGGGCTGGCTCGGAAAAGGACAGCGCTTCTTTCTTCTCCTCTATTTCCTTCTTCTTTCGCCGGGCCTCTCCGGTGCTTTCTCCTTTCCAGACGCCCTCCGAAGATTCATCTTTTCCCACAGGGGAGCTTATAAGCGCATTTACCAAGTCTAACACGCTCTTTTTCCCCTCGTAGTACTCGTTTAGATACAGGCCCACAGGATCTTTCTTCTCAACTGCCTTGGCCAGAAGCGTCTCCATGTACTCTACAGTTATCTGCGTTGTTTTCTTTGTTTTTATTTCTAGCTCTAGGTTTTTAATGGCCTCTGCAACCTTTTCCTTTTCTGGCCGGTTGTAAAATACCTCTGCCTTTTCCTGCAAGTACTTCCCCACAGCGCCCTCTATTTCTATCATTACATCAACCCCTTTCCTATACACCTCTATTTCCTCCTTTATCTTGTCCTCCTTCGCTCCGCTTTTCAAAAGCTCTTTCAGGTTGTTTAGCTTCTTGACCTCCTTCTTCAGCTCTTTCTCTAGCTTCCCCCTCTCATGGAAGGTCAGCAAAGGCGCCTTTGGAATTTCCTTTATTTCTCCGCCAGTTTTTGTGTACCCCAGCTTTTTGATTATGCCCAGAACTATCTTTCCGCCTTCCTGTATTTTTTTGCCTGTTCTTTCTATTTCGACAAGCTTCTTTCCAGCCATTTCGTCGCAAATAAAAACCAGAAATATATTCAAAATGCAAAGCCAAGTCTTATTTTTATTTGGAAGTGTGCAGAAATATTTAGACACCGATGCAAAAAGAGCGCGCAGAAACAGGTAGGTGCCGGGAGGAAGAAAATGTGCAGGAAATAAACATAGAAGATGTGTACGACGGCATTCCCGTGTCTGTAAAGGGCGAAGTGAAGGCGTGTGTCTATGCCATTAAAGAAGAAACCGCCGATATTTCGGAGGCAGGGGATTCTGGGGGTAAGTATCTGGGGGGCAGAGGCCAGGCAGGGCCCAGCGTTGTCGAGTCCCTGGAGGTGTTTTCGTACGAGAAAAAAACTGCTCCTCTTATTAAGCACATTGCACAGAAGGTGCTGGAGACAGAGCTTGCACATTTAGCGGAGAAAGGCGAAAAAATTTCTCTGTGTTTGTCCGTGTTCTCCAGCAAGAGATACCTGCAGGGCGCCGTCTGCGGGCTAAACAGCCTGCTCAAGCACCTTTCCGTCCCCACACAGTATTGCATAGAGGACTCGCCCTGCAATGGCTCCAACAGAATGAGCATCCGGAGCACGGGGGGTGCTGTAATTTACTCTGTATGGACAAAGCCATTTTCCGACTAGAGCATATGGATTTGGGCTAGGTTTATATGAAGATTTGATTTTTGGGGCTGATTAAAGGAATGAATTAAACATATAATGAAATTCATTTTTAATTTTAATGGAATATTTTGTCATACTCACAAACAAAGGTCCTGCGGTGTTTCAGAAGACATCGCCCACGCATGGGCGGGTTTTATTTTCAGGGAGAGAGTATGCGGTGCCCATAGACGACTCAGATTTGGCAAAAAATGAGGGAAAGGGGGACTCGCAAATTCAGGCTATTGTATGGTCGTCAATCCAAGTTATTCAGACGCAGATGTTTGGGAAGTTTCTTATCAAGAAGAGAAAGCCTGTTCAGGTTGTGAAAAGAGATGAAAAGCCGGGGAGCAGCCGACTAACAAGCAAGACCAAGACCTCTGTCATGGGGATCCTCCTGGGGGCAGGTCTTGCAAAAATGTTCAAAAGCCCGTTTGGGAAGGCAAAGGCCTCTGACTCGGGTGAGTATGTGGAGGGCGAGTTTTCGACGTTTCGGGACGCTCTTAAGAAGGAAAAGCCTCTCGAGCCTCTGATTGTTTTTGAGGTTGGCGACAAGGGAGAGCTTTTCCAGTGCAAGTTCAAGATAGCCCTGAGCGAGGACGGAAGCACCCAGTTTGTGAGCGCGCAAGACTGCAGCAAGAAGAGCACCGAGTACTCTCCAGCCGCGAACCTTCTTCTGAAGGGCGCCCAGAAAAACTTCTATGTGGGAGAGTTCGGGTTCATCCAGGGCCTTGCCAAGAGCAAAACCTGCATAAAGGAGGTTGGAAACTGGCTGTACAACACCGACCACACAGAAATATTCAGCAACTTGCAAAATATCATTGAGATGCTTATAGGCGCATTTGTAAATACAGTTGTTCGTTCTCTCTCCAGCGAGTACCAGGTTCCAAGCATAGACGAGTACATCACAGCAGACACAAAGGACTATGCCGGCCTGATATACAAGCCGCCCACCAAGACAGCTGCCATGGAGAAAGTCCTGGAAAAGCTGCAGGAAATAAGCGACAAAAACCTTGTGAATGTGGCCATGGCCACTGCCAGCCTGTCCATGCTGTCGTATTTTGACGAGCTTACACATGTGATATACTCAAATGAGTTTATTAAGTACATTGCGTCGGTTGAGGAGAACATATCCCGGTACAAGAAGAGATATACCTCCGAGCTGATGGCGGCAGAGCGAAAGTTCAACTGCAACCTGTGCTTTCTTTTTGTTGATGTGTACCACCGCCTGATCAAGTACAGGCTTTACATCACAGAGGCCATGAAAACGCTGGAAAAGGGGCCGGAAAGGGACACCCACTCGCTCTCGGCCAGGCCTGGAGAGCTCCCAGACTCGGAAGAGCCCGAGAGTGCCTCTGGCGCCGCGCTTTTCCCCAAGGAGATGGGCGCGCTGTCAGAACACTGCACCCGGCTTTCAGAGCTTCTCAAGGCAACCGAAAGATTCAAAAAGATAAAGTCGCTTACCACCTCCGGCATTGTTTTCCCCGACTGCATAGATGACTTCATAGAGACGTTTGAGCTTACAAACGGGCTTGTCATCATCACCCGAGACAATGTTGTGATAGTCAACGGCGCCCACGTGACGTCCATCATATCAAAGAAAGAGATGTTTGCGTGCATACCTTCGTCCCAGGACACAGAGTACCCCACTGTGTACATAGACATAGCGGTTTCGTCCCTGTATCCGCCAGCAGCAAACTTTGTGACCGACGTGGTTGAGCAGGTGCGTGTCCACTGGATCCGGCTGAACTTTAAGTGGGACGGAAACCAAAGCAGGTTCATAGACGCGTGCCAGTGCCGAAGCGTCTCCACAATTGCAGGCCTGGAAATGCGCCTGCGAAGCAACACCGTGCCTGTTGGAAGGACTTTGCGCGATAGAATGCTCAAGTGCAACGCAAAAAACAGCCACAGGCGCATGCTTGCTATCCGGGCGCAGCGCGACTTGGCCCCAACGGCAGACCTGTACACATACGGGCAGAAAAAGAGAATGGGCGAGGCTGTTCTTTTTGGGATCAAGGCGTGGATTGACTCTGCCCTGCAGGAGTACTCGAACTCGCTCTCTTCTGTCACAGCGCACAAGGCAGCAGCCTTTGACAAGCTCCTTCTCAGAGAGGTCAACAACGTAATTAAATACCACAAAACACACGCCAGCATTTCCGGGCATGACGAGAAGAATGAGTTCAGCTGTGTGCTTTCGGACGCCTACTCTTTGGGGCCGGGCATTCTGGTTTTTGTCGAGTATCTTTCGTACGTGTACAGAATGCTTTCGCCTGCGGACGTGCGCGCATACTCAAACTCTGCCATGAGCGCGCTCTCGACAGTCCACGAAATGCGAAACCCCGAGGTGGGAAATGACGAGTTTTTGGAGCTTGCAATTGGCTGCTCCAAGTCCATGGCTGTGCCAGAGTCCCTGGACAGAAACGAGTTTTTGCTGTCTCTTTTGGTGGTAAGATTCTTCACCATTGCAGCGCCTGACATAGGAATGCACAGATACTTGGCAATCTGCGCGCCCCTGTTCATTTTCAACTCAAGAGACCTCATTGCTCTCCCAAAGTGCACTGGCCGGTAGTTTTTCCGTGCGCGTGTGCTGCCCGTTCTACCAGCCGAGTTGCCTTTTTTGCAGTTTTTAGGCTTGGGCTTCCTAGTCTGCGAAATAAAACCTTTCTCTGTTTCCACTTTTGGTGCACTTCTTTCAGGCTGGGCGCAGGGCGGTGTGCTGCAACTCGAAGCTTTTCCGTGGGTGTGGGCCCCTGCATATTTTTCTTTCTCTTTTTATTTTCTCTTTTTTGTATCCCCTGTCCTTTCGGACATTCGGACATGATGAGCATATTTATAGTTATCCCTGTCTGAGCGTGATGATGCAAAATTCTCTGATCCATTACAGTATAAACACTTTCTGGGCGAGCACATACCCTGCGAGCCCAACAGACCCTAAAACCCTGTGCACAGTACATATTGCGGCGTTGCTTTATTTATTTGGTGCATCCACGCACGGACTTCTTCTATGCCATGCCTCCGCTGGCGAAGTGCATGCTGCCTGCAGCTACTTGTAATGGCTGTCAAATCTGCTCCAAATATCTTTTATCTGCACGTTTATTTCCCCCAGGCTTAGCATCATCTTCATGTACTCCTCGTGCGTGTTTTCACGGGTTTCCTTCTGCCGGTGGTTCACATACTCCACTATTCTTTTGTGTGGTATGTTTAAAGCCTTTGATACAATTTTTAGATTCTTCTTTGTCAGTTTTATGTCGTGCTTGTAGAAGTATGTGTCCAGCTGCTCCAGCTGCGCAACTGTCAGCTCTGGATTTCTTCCTCTGGGCTTTCTCTGTATTTCCTCCTCCATCCGTCTAAGCTAGGTTGCAATAATAATATTCCTCATTTTTTAAATAGGCGATATTAAATGCCAACTTAAGACTCTATTTGACCGTTCTAGGGCTGCTGTCTATTTGCTATTAATACAAAGTGACACTAATGAAAACAGCTGCACACAGACCAGCCCATTTCCCCAGGTGCCACGGCCTTTTCTATTTTCCAGCTGGCTCCTCCCTGCGCCCGTCTACTTTATGTTCGTTTTTATGAACTCCTTCACTGCGTCGTAGCTTTCCACGTCCACCACGAGCACTCTTTTTTCTCTGTACGACCGATGCCTGATGTTTCTATTGCTGCAGTGCGACTCCACCAGAAGGAAGTCCTTGTAGTTCAAAAAGTTGCTGAATAAATACGACTCCCACGACTCTATTCTGTTCATTCTCTTCTCCCACAGCCGAATCTGCTCTAAAACGTTCTCGTTTATTTCGTACTTGCAGTTCTTCGTCAGATACACGCGGATCTGCCCTGCAGTTATCCCATAGGCGAGCGCCTGCCGGATGCTGTCCTCGTTTATCATGCCCACAATCATGTTTGGAAACTCCCTGCATTTCACGCTGAACAGAGAAATAATAAAGACGTCCAGCGGGCTGTTGCTGTAGATGTACATCCGAAAGTTGCTCTCCAAAGCCAGAAACTTCCTGCCTCCCTCCACGTCGTCAAACAGCAGCCGGAACGAAGACGACAGGCGGACAGTGCTCTGCCCCATCACCAGCAGCCCCAGCGACTCGAAGAGCTCAAGCATGCTTGACTTCTGCGAGGCGTCCAAGGCATACTCTCGCTTTGGGTCTTTCGCCAGCAGCTCGCACAGCGTAAGCACCTCCCTCTCGGGGTCGCTGCGGTTTTCGGATATGTGTGCCACAATCAGCGACCACATCTGGTGCTTCCGCCCTGTCAGCAGAAAGTTGAACCCTTTGTGCGTCAGCCCTTCCCTGCTGATTATCCCCGTGCTGAGCATCAGCCGGCGGACAGCTTTGTTTCCGTCGGGCTTGTTTGATATTGTTCTATACAGCATGTTGCTGTACACCTCGCTCGAGCCTTCCCTCTCCCTGCTCTTTGCGCCCGCCTGCTGTGCCTCGCCATCCGCAGGGACTGCATACTGGCTCCTGGGCAGCCCAACAGAAGACGCCTTCTGCGGCCGTTCCACGTGGACCAGAACATTCTCCTCCACAGGGCGCGTGCACGCTGCCATGAAGTCGGTTCTCACGCGGTCGCTCAAAACATAGTACCCGCCCTCCTCCGTCACAACGCCCAGCAGAAGAACTTTCTCAACCTGCCTTTTTTCTACTCTGTGCACGGATATGTTGCTCCCCAAAAGAGAAAAAAGGGTCTTCTTTTCCTCAGAGTCCAGTAGCTTAAATACAGATAGAAACACATACCCCTTGCACACATCCATGCCTGGAAGATCCTTTACCCTCTCTATAAAACTGCTCACTGGACACTCCTGCATCTGAAAATATTTTCACTTTCCTCTTCTTATACACAGACGAACAGTCTCTTTTTTTCTGTTCTTTTTTCTTCACTATATATATTTTTGGACCGTATATATGTGTGCCAGCTTTTCCAAGGCATCGAATGGCACTTGCATTCCTTCTTCGCTCTTTAAGCATCGGGACTCAATTCGCACGTGTGTGTTTCTGTTCCCAAACGGCTTGCTGTAGGGCAAGCTGCGAGGGAAGTAATCAAGGGGGACCGCGCGAGGGTGGCAAACACTGCAGCGTTACTCTGGCAGAAGATCAGTCCGCGTGTGTACCGTAGAAGAAAGAAGGATAATAGGAATGCTTTTTGCTCCTGGCGAATTTATTGCATAAAGTTCTTGCACACAAAGCTCACGATTTGGCTGCGCTTCGTTGCCTCGCTCACCAAAAGGTTCCTGCTAAGCGCCTTTTTGTCCAGGCCGGAAATAGAGGCGAAAGCCTGGACGAACGCTGCAGTTTTTCTTTGCGCTTCTTCGTCGGCCGCTCTTCTGCTCTCCTCAGAGAGCTCGGACTCCTTGGGGAGAGGCTCGGTTTTCAGCAAAAAAACAATGCTTTCCTTGTTCATCCCGTACGAGGTGAAAAAGTTCTCAAACGCCTCCTTGGCCTGCATAATGTTTGCCTCTGTACAGATGTTCACCACAAAAACAACAAGGTGGCAGTTCTCTGTGTAGAATTTCCAGAAGTTTATGTGCTTCTGCTCGTCTGACACATCATACACCTCGGTCGAGTATCCTCCTCCTCGGACGGTGAACTGCTCGTACATTTCGGATGCAGGCGTGTCTTTTTTGTCTTTTCTGAGTATTTTTATAATGTCTTTCTTCCCAGAGCCTGGAGTGCCTATAAAGACAACACTTCTTTGCTTTCGGTTTATGCACTTGGAAATAAGAATGCCCATGAAAATTAAAAAATGCACAAATTTATGCTTGGAATAACCTGATTGTGATAGCCCGCGCAATGTAGCAGATGGGAAACATTGCCTGCGCGTTGGTATGTTGGCGATCTCCAGCATTCTTTGCAAAAATGCAATATATCTTTGTGAGTGTAACATCTAATTTAGATTCGAGGCACACTAAAGCACGGCTGTGCACTCTTGCAGAGGCACGCGCTTTCTCTCTATTGCACACACAGGGCGCACAGCTCTTTCTGCGCTTATGGGCAGTCAGAGGGGCGCGCCCACCTCCTGCGGCTTTGAGCCTTTCTATACGGCAAAAACACTTTCGATCCGGGTTATTCGGGGTTATTCGGGCATTTGGTTGGATGCTCAGGGCCTTGGAGCTTGGCACACATGGGGCCGGCTGCTACATAAGTTAATTCTCTTGGATTATTTTTTTGCAATGCTAATAAGTAGAGAACACATAATAAGCGGAGTCCGCACTCTCCAGCCAACATACGATTCAATCAACACAATGGTGGAGTATATTATGCTTTTTCCGGAAGAGCTGCCGTCAGTTATCGAGATTATATTGAGCGAAAGCGCAACCAGCAACGCACACTCGAACTTGTTCATTCTCTATCTGCTAAACGAGCTGCTGGCCAAGCACACGTGCGCCTCGGAGGATGCGGAGGCTCAGGAAAAGAATATGCGCATAATCACAGACGCGCTCAAAAATGTTCTCCACACCGGCATGCAGAAGGCCGACTTCCTATCAAAAAACAGCACAGAGGGCCTGAAGAAGTCTGCGGGTTTTCTGAAAAGCAAGTATCACGAAATAGAGAAAATTATAAACAAAAAAAGAGACAGCAATTCTGCCGATGCAAATGAGGCTGGAGAAATTTCTTCAGAAATGGAAGCATACTTGGACATAGATTATCTGGAGAGTATGTGCAAAAGAAAAGACAAAAAAGGCATACTAAAGTACATCAAAGACCTAAACAACAGAAAAGAATAAAAACAATGTGTTTTGCATGCGTAAGTGAAGCGGCGTAAAAAGCCTCATGTAAATATGTGGCCCGCCTGGGCATTTGGCCGGCGAAGCGAAAGCTTAAGCCTGATCTGGGGGCGTTTTCTCCCCTGCGGTGCCTTTACTGTTGCAGGAGCGCGTGTACTCGGGGCTTTTCTGCTGGCGGCTTTCTCAGGCTCTCTCCTGCTTGTAGCTATTGTTTGTGTGCGCACGAAAGTCCTTTGCAGCTGCCTAGCTATGCTGTGGAAATAAAAATAGAAATAAAAGTGTACAAAAATAAACCACTGCTATATGCCTACGCTTTTATACTTATGTCTATTGCTGGGAAAACACGCAGCCGCATGCACATTCAGAGTCTGTGTGGCAGAATGCACATTTAGAAGAAAGGGGAAACTGGCTGTTTGCAGAAGAAGCGGGCTACAGCCAAAAGTCGTCTAAGGAGAGCAAGCACAGTGTGCTGGAAAAGGCCTGCCTTCAGAATTACCCAGAGTCTAAGGAAAGCACATTTCAACTATTCAGTCTGCATATCATTCGCATGCACAGAGTTGAGCCGTCTCCCCTGTAAACTCTGTCTTCTGCTGCATCCCTTTCTTTTTTATTCGGGCCTTCCCCTGAAAGCAAAAGACTGCTTAAACTGCATGGAGCTACAAGCCGGCTATTATTCGGGTTATTCTGGCAATTTTTATTCTAACTTTAGCTCTCTGCAGCGTCTGGCATGCAAAAACGAAGCAGGCCGGGCCCAAAGACCATTTATGTGGGCTTTGCTGCCAAGCGGATGAAGGGTGGGCGCAAGCCCGGGCCTTGCTTAATGGCTATTGGGGCTGTGCAGCCGCTTGCAGCGCCTTTAGCTTGCTCTGGAGCACGCCAAGACCCCGCGCTATAATATCTACTGGAGATTCTGTGATTGTCTCTATTTCGAACAAAAACGAGTTTTCCTGCGTGGAGATGCTAATTGCATCTGGGTACTTTTTCTGCACATCTGTGTTTACAAGAACCCTGTCTTCGTCGATTTTAGGGCCGTCTTCCCCCAGTAAGAACCCGTCTCTAAAATACTTTTTCATTTCGTGCGCTTTGCTGGCGTCTTTCACATGTATTTTCTTAATGCATCTGTAGTAGCATGCCGACGTGGGCATCCACTTAGAGTGCTCTCTGCCGGTCCCCAGTATTGCAAAAAGCTTGCACTCTATTTTTTTGTTTGGCGCCAGCCTGGTTATAAGCACGCGCTTCTTTACACTGACATTTGCAGCGCCCTGCACTTTTATGCTGTCAGAGTACACGGGGAGTATCTTGTTTGTTGTGTTGCTGACAACTAAGTCCATGCAGATGGAGTCCTCCGTTGTCAAGTCAGAAATCGGGCTAAAGTCCTCTTTTTTCTCAACCGGCTTGAGAATGTGTGGGCTTGCTGTGACAGGAATCAGCCCAATTCGGTGTGCCAGTATTTCGTCTGCCATTACAGTTTCGTTCTCCTTAATGCACACCCAGTGGATGGCGACTGTCGGCGTGTCCGAAATAATTGTGCGGCGGATTGCGTTTAGCACCGACGGGTCGATGTTGTTTATTCTGTACGAAAGCATTTCTGGCGTGTCCTCAACCTTACGCACCTCTATGTCGCTCAAGTATGCTTCCATAAAAAATTTAAAACGCCATTGCATATATGCCCAAGCCAGGACAAAAGCCTCCGGCAGAAAAAGAAAATCCCCATAACCCAAAGTCGCTGCCTATTTACTAAAGAATCAGATATTCCACACTCCTCTATGGGCACAAAAGGGCCTGTGCACGCTGCAGCCTAAAACTCTACTTTCGAAGGAGAATCGAGAGCACCTCCTGGCAGTATATTAGAACATCCCTTTCTACGAACGGCTTGCCCTCATAGTATATGTGTTTTCCCTCGCCATAGAAAACAAGAACTCTTCCGTCCACTATAAACACAATAACACGATTGCTGAGTCTGAGAACTGGGCCCCTGGCAAAGTTCACATGCTTAATAACAAAGGTGGCGTGGTCCTCGGCCCGGATAATGCTGTGCGGCTTTCGAAAAAGGCCCTGGATAAAGTGCCCAATCAGAAGAACTTTCTTGTCCAGCTTTCCAGTAACAGACCCCGTGGTGTATTTTTCTTTTGTAATGATTTTTTGGGCCCCGTACACTTTATGCTCAAAGTATTCAAAGTCGTATCGGTCCTGCCTTCTTCGGGCGGCGTCAACCGCCGACCTCCGCAGGACCAGCGAAGTGCAGTCGTTGAACAGCACTCCGACAGTTCCCGATGCCAAAATGTACCCAAGCCCATACTTGTCGGTGTAGTCTATCGTGTGTATAACAAAGTCCTCTGTGCACTCTCTACTCACGGGAACCTCTGCAGCCTTGTACGCGCTTAGAAGAGACAGTGCTGTCATGTGAACAGAAGAAAGAAGCCCCATTTTTACCTGCGGGCTTCGTATAGTAGCGCCTGCCGGCTCGCTCCTGGCCGCGCTCTTGCTTGCTTGGCTTCTATGCATATTCATGTGCGCGCTTTCGCTTGTGTATGCGGCAGGATGGGTCTGCGCGCCGCGAGAGTTTGGCACCCCTGCTTCTATATTCACAGCGCAGTTTTGATTTGCCATGTTCTCTTGGCTGGGCTGCCCGTGGACGGGCACTCCTGGGCCCGGGGCCAACTTTGTGTTCAGTGCGCCCAAGCTCCCTGCTCTAACAAACTTCGAGTTGTATATCTGCTCTAGCGTGTACCGCTTCTGCGGGTCAAGCTCCAGCAGGCCATTTATTAGGCTTTTGGCCTCGTTGGATATCCGGCACCCGTCTGGATACGAATAGCTGTTTGTTTTGATGCACTTGTATATTTCCTTCACCTCATCCTTCTGGAAGGGCGGCTTCCCCACAATCATAGTGTACAGCACAACCCCAACCGACCAAATATCCACCTCAAAGGAGTGCCCGCTTTCTGCCCCAAAAAGAACCTCCGGCGCAATGTAGTTTGGGGTGCCGCAAATCGTCTTCTTCCTCTCCTCCCTATCTATAACGGCTGCCAGCCCGAAGTCCCCCACCTTTATGTTGAATCCATCGTCCAGGAACAAGTTGGCTAGCTTCATGTCCCGGTGGACGACCGAGCACTCTCTGTGCAAGTAGTCCAGAGCAGAAATAATCTGCAGCAAAAACACGCGCACATATTTTTCATCGATCGACTTGTTTTTCTTTAAAAGATCCATCATGCTTTTGTTGCGGCATATCTCCATAATGAGAAAGACAAACTCTTTGTCTTCAAAGTATGTAAACAGCTTCACAATGTTTTTGTGGTTTACTGATAGATGAATCTTAATTTCAGAAAGCAGCTTCTGCTTGTTTTTGGCCCGAATAAGCTCAGATTTCTTAATTATTTTGGCCGCAAAATCCTGCTGAGTTTTCATGCTGCGAACAGAAAAACACTGTGCAAATCCCCCTCGCCCTATCATGGCTGTAATTTCAAAGGACTCGTCTGTGTCTCTATCGTGAATTATGCTTCCAATTGGAAGGAAGGGAGGACTCTTCATATAATAAAAATAATAATAAAATATTTATGAGCAAGCTTTCAACGAAATATTTTGCACACATGCGCCTGCCTGTGCATGCTAGCCTGTCAGCATGGGCCTAGATTTCATTTTCCTGCGAGACAGGCATTTTTACGAAGAAGAAAAACTATGTGCAAAGCAGGCCTATAGGCCATCTCTTCTCAAAGCCAGAGCTGGCATGCGTTTTTCTTCTTTTTAGAGAATGCCTGCTCTTTGCGCTTTAGCTTTAGGTGCGAGCGTTTTTTTGCAGTTGGCGTTTTGCGCACAGACCAGCCTCTACGGCCCTGCTAAAGGCGTGCATGCACCCGCTGCGGCTTTCTTCTCTAGATTTCTAGGGAAAAGCTCTTGGTTCCCAGGGAAGAAATGCTTTGGCATTGGAGCACGGGCCAGACTTTTTTCATTTCCCTCCAGAATCTCTGGCAGCGTAGATCAGAGCATTTCGGAAGTGCAGCGAGCCGCACTTATGCGTGCTGATGAAAGAGAAAATCCCGGCTTGTTTTTCTAGAAAGCAGTGCTTAACTTGTTTTCTAGACTCTAGAAAGTGCGGTGCAGCACGCATTTATTTATATTGCAGAGAGACCGCGTTTAGCTTGCACAGGAATATTCCAAGGCTGTAAACAGCTTTTTCTTACAAAAAGGGGGGTGTGCTATCCAGTGGCTCAACACTGACAAGCACAGTCGAGTGTTTAGTAGAGGCGTTGCCATGCATGTCTTAATGCCCCCAAGCGGAGCGAATGCGCTTTTCTGTTTGCAAGGCAGAGGAGCTAAATGCACGAACAGCTGTCCAATTGCTGAAACCCTGTCTATTTTTGCTCAGAGTAGGCAGCTGTCTTTATTGACAGCTTCAGAGTTCTGGCATAGGCTATAGGTTTCCGGCTGCTTGGAAATAAGGCACAGGCCGGATCGGCGGCTTGCATTGGGTAATTAAAAAAACAACTATTCACAGAAAAATGTGTGATTTGACTTTTTATTTGAATTCAATATAAGCTCCGTACTATTGAAAATATATAAGAAAGTAGAAAGCGAAAAAACAATGCGAAGAAATAGGCTTAATAAACTGTGCACATTTTTCGGGACTGTGGGCATTATATCCAAATGCGCACAGTGTATAGGAAATGAAAACAAGATGGGCGCAGGGAAATTGGAAAACCAGCAAAGCCCACCGGCCCACGAGAAAGTACAAAGCCATGCTAATCGCGAGCTACTAAAAGAGCTGGGTGAAAAACATAAACGTATTAAGCAGGCTTCAGACCAGAAGGAAGAGTTGAATGAAGGCCAGGTGGAATTAAGAGAAAAGCGCGGCCCCAAAGCCTCTGCAGATCGTAGGCAGGCCATCCTCTTGTCTTTTTTATCAAATAACGACAAGGACGCAAAGACGAAAGACTCTAAGGAGCCTTCTTTTAATCCAGCCGAAAGCGCAGATGCACCAGAAAACAGCAAACCAGAAGCTATAACTCAGCCCGCAAACACTTCCTCTAAGAGCTCGAACAAGAATGCAGAGAAGAAGGTAAAAAAGCCTGCTGCCGCTGAGAGCGCAGATGCACCAGAAAATGAAACCCCAGGGTTTGTGGCCCAAATCAAGAATTTATTCTTTAAAAACTCAAGCAAGGAAAAGGACGCAAAGAAGGAAGAGGCAGAAAAGCCTGCCGTTGCTGAGAGCGCAGATGCACCGGAAAACAAGCCAGGCCGCAGGCCACCAATGCCTTTGCCCAAGCCTTCCTCTCTCCACAAAGATGCACCTCCAGCGTGGCCTGAAAGACAGGATGGTCGCGCTGAAATAGAAGAAGACCCACTGTATGATACCGTGAATCCAGAAATGCCTGAAAATCCAGAAGATCGGTTTGTACACGCACAAAAAAACCTTTCGTTCAAGAATGAGGATGGAAGCAGCGGCCAATACGAAGTAATAGAGTCAAATCCGATCTATGATACAGAGATTTCTAGTGGCTATGCCACGATAGATCATGTAAAATCTTCAAAGACTAGTCCCATGCAAGAGAGTGGGCCTGCTGCTATATCTGAGGCCTGCCAAAAAACAAGTTCTAAATCTCCGGATCACACTACGATAAACGGATGCATTTATGCAGTTCCAGACACTTGCCGCAATAAAAAAGCTCATTTTCAGCCGCCCCAAAAACAAAAAAGTGCTTCCAATAAAGGCTTGCCGGACGATCCAATATACGCTAAACACGCGGATATAGAGATCTTGGCATCAAAAACGCCGCGCAAAGCTGCATCGGCGCGTGAATATGAAAAAACTATATACGCGGAAATTCAGCACAGCCCATCACAAAAAACAGAGCCTTCTACAAAGAAAAATGCACCGGCGCCTGCCCCCGAGAACTCAAACCCATGGATCCATTCAAAGCCTAAAAATAGAAATTTTATACAATGATCATATTTTCAAGGCCAATTGTTTCTCGCCTGGTTAGTTGACTTTTGTCTTGTCATGTGCCTCCTAGCACAGATGCAAAGGCCTAAGTAGAACAGAAATATATGAAATTCTATTTAAAATAAATCGAACTAATTCAATTCGAGTTATAGCATGTTGTTTATTTATATGAGTAAAATATTCTTCGTATCTAATCGTTACTCTCGCTTTTGCTTCTCATTGCTGCTTGTAGATGCGATGGCGTTTGTGACCATCGGAGGCTCCCTTAAATGCATCAGATACCTCCCGATTATATATATGCCTACAAAAACAACCGGCGTGAGATAGACACTAAGCGAGAGCCCTTCACCACTTACTCCATTCATTAAATTGCTTTAGAAAATAAAAGTAAAATAGACAGCCTCAAATTAGAAAACCAGTATCCAAGAGGACAGAGCGAATGAAAGCTCAACTGCATGTTTATCGAAAAGCTCCTTAGAACACCAAATATAAGCCTGGCCTGTCCCTGTGCAGCCTTATCCTGCATGTGTAAAAAGTTGGAGCTCCCGCGGGCTAAGATACAGTATGTGATGTGGACTTTTTGTAATTTTATTTTCGGCATGTTTATTATCTTCGCTGTGCATAAAACACAATCCTCCGCCTGCATTTTTGCACATGCCCGCACGCATGCGAACTCCCCAGGAAAAACGCAAACAAGCTGCGCCTGCAGCTCCTTCTTGCTAGACACACAGCCGTGCTCGGCTGTCCATATTTAGAAGATGTGCCCTGGATCTCTTCTTTCGCTATAGGCTGGGCCTCCGTCTAATAGGCGCTGCAGGCCTATTTCTTGGCAGAAGCGACTGCTTTTTGGGACAAGATTTCATGGATGTCTTTTATCAGCTTTCTCTTGCAGTCTGTGGTTATGGTGAAGCATCCGCCTGTGGTGCTGAATAGCCGCTCCACTTCCTCCGGCTTTGACTGCGCAGGGAGAAGCTTCTCGCATATTTCATACGAGTGCTTTGGGTGCTGCTTTGTTCCTATCTTGTACTCTATTCCTAGCTGGTTCAGCGCTTTAAGAATCTGCTGGAATGTTGGAGGCATCACGCCCTCTCTTGCCGGAACTTTTCTTCCCTGTGATCTTTTTATTGCAGTGTTGAAGTATATCGGATATAGTCTTATTTCGTTCATGTGCGAAAATATGAAAAAAGCAAAAATATTTATATCCGCTTGCTAGAAAACAGCTACATTTTGCATTTTTGCACTGGGTCTAGCGCCGGGTTCGCGATAATAAAAATGACGCGCTGCAGCTATAGCGGGCGCTAAAAACATGCACGTTTGGAGATTCGTACAATGTGTGTGGAGCCTCTGTGCTTCATGCGAGCTGCCAAAAAGCACGCTTTCCAGAAAGCAAGCGCCTGCGCTGCGGAAGTGAATGCGGGCGTGCCATCGCGCGATAAAAAGTGCCTATTGCGCTGGCTTGGCATGTATACTATTTTCTAGTGCTGGAGAAAGTGCGATGCACTTTTCCAAGGCCATGATTGGCACGCCTAGAGGTCTTGTATGCAGCAGAGGTGCCATATCTGAGCCGGGCCTGCTTGCTTTGCACTGTTTGTGATAACTGCATTTTGATATGGGCCTGTGCTTTTTAATTCTGGCTTGGTACTGGTGGGCTGCTGTTTCATGGCCCACCAGCACATTTTGCAATCACTACTGGGTTTTCTCATACAGTGTCTCATGCAATATCTTATATACAGGCACAATGTTTTTCTTATGGAATTCAAGGACTTATTTAAGAAAAGCATGGATGAGCCGGTGTCTTATGGAACGGCCGGGTACAGAACAAAGCACATGGTTATAAAAGATATAGCACGCAGGGCATATCTTTTCTGCCTTGTGCGCTCTTCTGCTCTAGGAAAGCCAATAGGGCTGGTGCTGACCGCGTCCCACAATCCGTCCCCAGACAACGGGATAAAATACATTGACCACACAGGAAACATGATATGCGAAGAAGACGAGGCGCTTAGCGACAAAATAGTGAACGGCCCCATCGAGCTTGTGGAGAGCATTTATCAGAGCCACAAAAACGCGCGCAGCACCGTTCTTATATGCAGAGACACGAGAAGCAGCGGAGAGGGCATGGTTGAGCACTGCAAAGACGTAAGCGAGTATTTAGGGAGTGGGCACACTCTTCTAGACATGGGCATTTTAAGCACGCCGCAGGCCCACTTTTTAATACGCGACATGTTCTGCAATGGCATTTCAAACGAAAAGTGCACGCTAGAACTTCTGCAGAAGAGCATAGAGAAGTACTACCAAAGAATAGAAAATATGTGCAAAGTTGCCAAAAGAATATTTTCAGAAGAGCCCAAGCAGAAGCGGGTGCTGGACAGCTCAAACGGGGTAGCCCGGCACAGCTTTGAAAGAATACAGAAGTCTGTGTCTAGCATAGTAGAAATGCGCCTGCTCAAGAACAGCAAAGACCTGAATGAAGAATGCGGGTCGGACTATATAAAAAGCACAAGAAAGCTGCCGGCAGGCGTTTCTGTGCAGAAAGACGGGGCTTCTGAAAAACCAAGCGTGTCTATCTCTACGGAAGGCGGCGAGGTGTGCGAAGATACTCTTATATGCGCGTTTGACGGGGATGCAGACAGAATTCTCTACCTTAAGCCGTCAACCAACCAGCTGATTGACGGGGACAGGCTGTGTGTTCTTTTTGCAGCCTTTTTGAACCATCTCCTGCTAATATCTGGAATCGATGAAAAGATCACGACAGTTGTAACAGAATACACAAACGGGGCTGCGACAAAAGAGCTCAAAACCAAGGGAAGCATAAAAGTTGCCGGAACCGGGGTAAAAAACATGCAGAAGGCCTCGAATAACGACGTCACCGCATGGTTTGAAAGCAACGGGCACGGGACGGTCTGTTTTTCCGAGAAGACATGCGCTGCTGTAAAGGAGAAGCTAGGATATTCCCTGGCGGAGTGCATCTTGGACCTGCAGCCCGAAAAGCTAGCCGAGGAGATGGATGCCCTGCTTAGCCGGCCTTCAGACTCGCTGTCGTACAAAGAGATAGGGAAAAGCTCCCCATACAATGGGCTTTTCCGAAGGCTAACCACGCAAGAGGCGCTTTTGCTGCTGCACTCTATGAACGCAGCATTTGACCCTTATATTGGTGATGCGCTTGTGAACATGCTTGTGTGCGAGTGCATATTCTACAGCGGGTTTATACTTCCAGATGTTCTTTTGGGGATATACCAGGATCTTCCTAACATTCTGACGTCTGTGGAGGGAAAACGAGACAGGCTGAACGAGCTGTTGGTTGAAAGCATAAAAAACAAGCATTCCAGCATACGGGTGCACCTGAGAGCTTCTGGAACCGAAGACATCATACGAATATATGTGGAGGGCGAGTCGATGGATGAGCTAAAAGATGCAGTGGAGGACATTAAAACTTCAATAAGCGAGCTGTAGGTTTGGCGCCAAGAAGCAACAAAGCATTGGTTTTCTGCATCTTCACAGCGGAATAGGCATCCTGTCCATGTAGATTCTTGTATGGGCATGTGCGCACACGTCGGCAAAATATTTGGCAGCTCGGTGGGTTAAGGCGTAAAGAAGCCCGCCTGGACATGCGCTTGCTCTGCTTTAATGAGCAAGCAGACGCGTGAAATAAATATTTTGTGTTTTTCAATTTTGCTATTATGTCCACGTGTGCGAACTCTCCCCGGGATATGCTGAAAAAACATCTTCATTTCTTGCCGGTCGCGCCCATTGAGTCTGTAAATGAAACTATCTGCGCAATTTGGGAGTTGGTACGGAGGATGCCTCCGGTTGGGCTAGACAGCTCCGAGTTTACTTCTCTTATATATCCGTTCAACCAAAGGCCATCGCACTTTGTCATTTCTTCCATCTTTAAGATACTTATGAGGGTAGACCTGACAAGTGATCAAATACTTTTATTTCTTAATTGCCATCAAAAGCCTATTGCTGCTGGTGGCCCATACTCTACTGTGAACTGGTCTTTTCTGGACAAGCCAGTGTGTATAAAGAGCACTTTCATAGGCTTTTTGGGAAGGCTGGCGCGGAACAGCAAGTTTCGGGAGGCCCGGGCGGGCCCAGAAGCCGCAGCAGAGGCGTCTGAAAAGCCAGACAAGCCAGTGGCGTTTTCGTCGGTTGACGTCATCCAGGTTCTGTTTTTTTTGTTTGACGATGAAAACATAGCTATTCGGGTGAAAAGCTACGCATCCGCCTGCAGAATTGTAAAGCGAGAAAAAAAGTTCTGGGGTGATGCAGACTGGAAAAAGTTCAAGCGTGCCATAAGATACATAGGGGTTGAAAGCATGCGGCTGCTGAGGAAAGAGCACGCGGAGAAAGAGCGGAAAAAGATGGAAAAGCGAGCAAAAGTGACCCGGGTAGCAGGCATGCTTAGAGTAAAAGTAAAGCTGGGCCAAATTATTCGGCACAGCGCGCCATGCATACAGATACTTAAGAACGATGTGGTTCTGGAGCAAGTGGTGACAAAAAGGAAGTACACAACAGTATATATGCGAGAGGCAGGGCCAATCGCGCTTGTTATCTCCGATAAAGATCGGGTTATATTCAGAAAAACATATAAGGTATAAATAAACACTAGACACTTGATGGTGTGTTCCTGCACGGGTTTATTTTTTTCTCATTCGAAGCTGCTCTAGGCTGGGGCTCAGCTTCGGGCGCCTGCAGAGAATGTTTAGGCGCTTAAATTGGAACTCTAGCATGCATATTTTGTCTTTTATGATGGAGGATTCCTCAGCGGTGCATTTTTTCGGGCGGAGCGCTTCTTCCAGCGGCTTTTTTGCTAGATCCAAGTTGGGCTTTTGGAACTTTTTATAGTATGTGTTCTTCCACTTTATAGCTTGAAGCTTTTTTTGCGACTGTTTTTTAAACTGGCTTTTAAACTCTTTGCTTTCCATCAACTCTTTCAGCCCTTGGGTGGCTTTTTGCAGCTTTTCGTCTGGCTCCAGCCTTTTTCCTACTCTGTTTAGTATTGTGCTATCCATACTGCCCCTTGTTTCGCTGCAAAATCTCCTGTAAATACACAGAATCAGAAGCCCCTGCGCCGCGCGCTTGTAAAGAAGCGTCTATTTGTGCGCTTTTCTCCGGAATGTTGTTCTGTAGCCGTCAAGTGCCCAAGACGGCATGGCGTGCAAAGAGTGCACATACTGTGTGGCCGGCCGCCCTTGTCGAGTATAAAATGCAAACCAGTACCATTTCTTGCGCAGCGCTGGCTTAGGCTATTTTTTCTCTTTTGTAGCAGGCTAAGTGGCAGCGGTGTGTCTTTTTGCATAATGAAGGCACTTTTTTCCAGAATAGAGGTGCTCTTGCAGAGTGCAACTTGAATGCAAAGCAGACTGCGCACTTTTAAGCATTGGTGGAGGCTGATACAAACTATAAAAAAATACCCCGAGTCACGGATTTGTCTTTGCCCGGCACACTGCTTGTAATAAATCTGCTCGCTATGCTTCTGTACACAGCTGCATGGTCACTTCCACACACGCTTTTTATGTCTGCGCCGCATAGCGGACCAAGTGTGCGATCTAAGACGGTTTTGTGTTTGGCGCCCAAAGCCGTGGCCTCGCAAGACATTGTGATGCGCTAGGAAAAATGCACGCCAAGTATGCAAATATTTTTTTACCTCCTTGAATAATGCAGCTGCTTTTTTTCCTAGAGCTACTGTTTATTTGCTTCGCACATGCTAGGCTATCGCTAAACCAGTTGGAAGAACTCGAAAACTTCAGGATTCCGGGCCCGTTAGGTAAAGTGCCCGATTATATAAACCCAAACGGCCCGCTGAATTTTCTGCATGGATACCTATACATCAAGAATGGGCATGTTCACAACAAGCGGTTTTTTTCCCCAGAAATAGACACATGCTACAGCCTGTCCGTCAACACAAGTAGTGAAATATACAAAAACGAGCATATATACGAAAGAAGCCCACTCAAGGACAAGGCCTACAAGCCCATATCGGAACGCGTTAAAAACGAAGAACTCGACTCTAGAGAATACCACAAACGGCTTATCAAAATGTTTCCGTCAATAGATGGGATTGTATCGATAGAGTCTGGAAGCGTTGACTCGTTTGTCAGGTTTCTTCGGACGGACTCAGACCCCAAAAAGACGTGCTGCATTCTTGCGTCGCTTCTGTTGCTTACTGAGGGCGTGCCTGTAGACATTAGAATTGAAAAAACTGCAATTGTTTTGCACCGTGCAGATGGCAGTTTCTGGCTGTGTGTAGACACAAATGTGCCAGTTGTGTTGCGCAACAACAAAATTCTAGTGATAGACTCGCCCACCCAGTATGTGGCCAGGGAAACCATAAGATTTTTCAAAAGAAGCGCCAAGGAACGGGCTCCCGTGGAGTCTTTGGACGAGTACATGGAAGGAGAGTTTTTAAACACGCCGTGGTTTCTCATACAGGCATATATTTATGAGTATGCAGAAAGCATGCAGTGTGCACAAGATATTATTCTAAGCGCGCACGAAATACTAGTCGACATAATCCGCGCATTCCGCCAGGACGCACATGTATTGGAGAGGGCCCGGACTGCCTATAAAGTGTTTGAAAAGCTGTTTGTTTCTGGCCTTAGAAGAGAAAAAACGAATCAGATGCATCTAATCAGAAAAATCCGAAGCTGCATGGAAATCCACTGCCCTTTTCCGTTTTCCGAGTTCAACCAGCTACCTACATATACAAGAATTCCCGAGTATTTCCACAGCGCATGCAAATTTGCTATTAGTTATTCAAACACCTTTAGCAATTGCACCGAAAACGCGCTGTACATTCTTATGTGCTGTCTTCTGTACAGCCCAAACACAGAAGAATACACTCTAGAAGGGCTTCCAAATCCAACCAAAAGTTTAAAGACGTTCTTTTCTCTGTGCAACCCCTGCCCAGTCGAGACGGTCAACATCCAAATTCATCAGGCATGGAATAAAGTGGTTTCTGGCCTGGAAACCCCAGAACTACGGTATGTTCGAGAAAACAAAAATGAGCTTTGCTCTGGGATTCTGAACGTGCTGCTGGTTATTGCCGAAATAACCGGAAAGCTGCCCTCGGAAAAAGACACCATTCTTGGGTTTATAAAGGAGATCCACAAAGAAGATAGCCCAAGTGAGGAATTTTATTTGTCTGTGAAGGAGTATGTTGCGTCCTTTTTTAAGGCGCTTTTCTTCAACAAACAAATAGAGGTGGAATGCGTAAACTTTAGGAAAAGCATCAAATTGTGCGGTATAACCGATATCCATGGCGAAATTCACCTAAAGTATCAGCTAGACAGCAAACACGAGGTTCTTTCTGTGCGAATTGGAATGAAGCATTCGGACAGCGTATTTATAACGAGAGACATCGCGCTGACAAAGTACTCGGCATACGGCATCCGGCACATAGCAAACATGTTTAAAGAACAGGGCAACCTTTTGGGGTTTCTTTCCTGGCAGTATGCCGACGGGATTCTTGCCCGAAACAAAGTCGTCAGCCTAGAAGGCAATATACTAAAGGCAGTTGAAAAGGCAGCGCGCAACGCCACCCCCAAGGGCGTAAACAGCCTGCTTGTCTTAAAGAAAATAGAAAGCCTGGACTACAAATCCATGCTTGTAAACTACTCTGCATGCTTAGCCATAGAGAGTCAGCACAAGCTGTCATATGCACAGCCCTTGGCGCGCTTTATTTCAAACATACTGGGAAGCGAGCAGCTTGATACCTTACAAGTCCAAAAAAAGCTCTTTGCTATTTTGCTGTACACAGACAGCTACTCATTCGCACGCTCAAAGATATCAGTTCCTGCACCTGCTTACAGATACATTATGCAGTGCCCAACAGAATGCCTGGATCTTCTTTCCTGCATTCTAAAAACGCCGTGCCCACATGTTCTTGTGTTGATGCTAAAAAAGGCTATAGAGGAAGAAGAAAGTGTTTTAGTCTTCAAGGTCAGTCCTATACTCTACCTCTCTAATATGAAGAGTATTTTCACAGCGCTGTTTAATGACAACGCCGTGGCGCGTGAAAATGTGCTTTCGAATGTTCTATTGGGCAAGAGCAAAGGCTGGGACGCGGTTATCCCATTGTTAAATATGGCCTGGTTTGCATTTGCCTGCCAGTACAAAAAAGACAATGCAGAACTCATTGAGTGCATATACAATTCTATAACCCGAATTCCGAATAGCATACCCTCAAACCTAAAGAGCCTATATAGCTTGCAAAGGACAAGTGTGCTATCCTATATGCGCGATCACCAAGCAGCGCTGAAGGCAAGCAAAATGGAAAACCAATTTAATTTCTCTAGGCCTTCCGTCTTTTGGCTGGGAAGAAGCAAGCATCGCAAGTTTGATGAAATTTACAGGTTTTTCAGAACTTGAATGCAGGCATTTCCATGCTTGCATGGAAGGCGCCTTGCTAGCAGCTCGGCCCATAGCGCATATACCCCGGTTGTTTCTGCTTTTTGAAATTTTCTATATAGAGGATACTGCATGCGCTCCCTGCTGGTTGGGCCTATTGCCAGCCCTTTAATAAATTTCGTTTAGTTTGCCCGAGGCACTAATTGCTTTTTCTGGTTACTTGGCGCATGTTTCTATAGATAAGCAGAGAGAAATGATTTTAAAATATAGTAAAGTCTTTGCTTGTTGTAATTTTCTGTAGTATTAGAATTGCTCAAGCGCGTGCTTTTTTGTGGTTTTTAGCATAAGCATGCGCCACCAATTCACGCTTATTCTACCACAGCTGACTAGGTCCTTAAATTAAATCAGCGTTGGAACAGTCTTTCTACGGGTCTAAATGCGCAATTTAATTAACTACCTGGATCTAGAGCCTTCTTTTCCTCGTCCCAATGCGGGTTTATTGCACTTCTTGTTTATTTAAGGGCGAGCATTTCTGAAGTTCAGAGAAAGAAAGCAACCCTGCAATCATACACATCTTGCCTCTGCATATCACGGAGGTGGCGCACTAAGCTCTTCGATCTCTCAACCACATAAAACATAAAAGCCGTGGACTATGGCACTGCGCTGTTCACACTAGGCTACCTCTCAGTGAAGAAACAAGAAGAAAAAGTAAACATCCTGAGCTGACTACACATTGTGCTGCTCGTTACAGGTAGGTTAAACTCTTCGGCGGATATCTTTCTAGCTCGATTCTGGGATGTGTATCTGTGGCAGCTTGGCTTCTAACCCAAGCTTCGCGCTCCTTACTGGCACCTGCAGTAAGCTTTCAACAACAATCAACAAACAACTCAACAAACTCGGTCCAGCGAACTATCTATATTCTATTATTATCCACATCCACTTGCACATATACATCCACTTGCACATACACATATACATATAGCAAACAAGTACCCAAATATAAATAAATTCAAAAGACTAAAAAACAAACTGTACGCATTTTCATTTTAGATCCGCTTTGTTGGAAAAATATAAATCTCGCATTTCTAGCTGGCCATATACGCAACATTAGACTACGGGAACAGGACAGTGTTCACACCCTAGAAAAAACACAAACCTTAAGAAAGGCTATACTCGCATAGTTGAACATCCGGAAAACGAACATTTTCGAGGGCATGCACTTTATTTTTATTTCACAGGCTAAACACACACTAACAGTTTCCGACACGCACACTCCCCTAGAAAACTTCATTTATTTGCAGCATAGATAAAACTCACGCATACTCATAAACATGGCATGTCCTGTTGTTTTATGCGCTCATGTGCTGGTAGAGTTGCCAGAGCCTCCATTCAAAAGCCCAATTTACTATGGCCAAAGCATGGAGGTGTGTGTAAACGTACCCCGCATTACAAACTGCTGTCATATAGTACTACTGCTGGTACACAGAGACATGCCATTTTTGTTCAGACAGGGCCGTCTTAATCCCCACAAATATCTTTACACATATAAGCATTTACATGATAAAACTGGCTATCTTTAGATGCTTTAAGACTGCCATAAACATGCTTATTTATCCAAGCCCAAGCAGACCTGCTGATGCCTCGCAGTGCACATTAACTAGTTTCAACTGGTTTCTTATAGGGTAAACTGCGCATTTTTTCTGCAGCTCTGGCCAAATTTTTGCAAAGACTGAAAATGACAGCCTTGCAAACTTTCAGAGAGCACGCCTTTGAAAAATTTGGAAATTTTCTTGGAAGAACATTTTCTTCTAAAATTGACATGTATGCATCTGATGAGCAATTTCATCACACGCAGAAGCGAAGATTAATCATCACAGATGTCACAATGTTAAAAACAAACTATTTAAATTTCACATTTTTCGGGTGAATATAAATGCATAAGCATCTGATTATAGTAGAGCTGTTCCTCTTTTTTGCGCATGGAAAGCTCTCTTTTAAGCAGCTGGAGTATCTTCAAATATGCAGGATACAAAGCAATGACGATTTTATTTATATAAACCCCAGTGGCTCGCTGAACTTCCTGCATGCATATATGCACGGAAAGAATGGGCACATGCACAACGTGCGGCTCTTTTCCTCTGAAATAAACACGTTCCACAGCCTGGATATTGACCCAAGCAGAAAAGACCAATTAGCTAGAGACAGATACCTGTATGATCGGTTGCCAGAGAAAGACATAGTGCATAACCACGACAAATTAGACATATACACCCGGAGAGTTTCCATGTATACGAGCATCATTAAAATGTTTCCCTCGGAGAATGGGGTTTTGTCGATAGACTCCAGAATGTTGGATTCCTTCACAGGGTTTCTTCGCGCGGTCCCCAATCAGAGGTCTGTACATCAACTTCTTGCAGCACTTCTGCTTCTGAGCGAGGGCGTTGAATTGGACCTTCGGGCAACATGCACTATGATTTGCCTGTACCAAGTAGACGGAAGTCATGTATTCACACTGAAGGAGGTCGATTCCAACACGGAGTTTGATGAAGAATGCCAGGAAGTAGACTCCTATGGGCTGAACAACGTCAGCACGTGCGTGCATTTCTTCATGAGCGACCTGAAAGAGAGAGAGCCCCCGAAAACTACGGAGGAGTATATGAAGGGCGAGTTTCTAAGCACTCCCTGGTTTATCATACAGTCGTACATATACGAGTATATAGAAAGCGTGCACGCTGCAAAGGAAGTTGTCACGAGTGCCCACGAGATTCTGGAAGACATCATTTCAAAGAAGCCAAGCAGTGAACAAGAGAGTTCCAATCTGGAGGTGGCAAAGCGCGTGCATCAAAAGCTTTTTGTTTCTTCGATAAAGCTGAAGGAGTACAACGAGTTGTGTATTATCAAAAAGATCAACCAACGTGTGAATGAGTTCAGGTCTTTCCCGTTTTCAAACTTCAACCAGCTTCCTGTATGCACAAAAATCCCAGAGTACTTTCAAGAGCTGGGAGCGCACTCACTTGCAGATCAGTCGAACTTCTTCATAAATCACGCGGAGAATGCGCTGTACACTCTCATGTGCTGTCTCCTATACAGCCAAAGATCTGGAAAATACTCTATGGAAAGACTTCCAGACGCTGGCTCAAACATAGCTTTAAAAAGGTTTTTGGCGCAGCAGAATCCGTGCCCTGTCGAAGTTGTGGATTTTGACCTTCACAAGGAGTGGAATGCGGTGGTTTCCGACCTCCCGAACCCAAACATCAGATACATGCGGAAAAGCAGAAACCAGCTTTGCTGTGGAGTGCTAAACATACTTCTAGCTCTTGCTGAAATCACAGGCAATAGTAGCACCCAAGAAAGCACTATTCTTGAGTTCAAGAATGGCCTAATGGTGGAAGATGAGCCTCCCCGGGGGTTTTACTTGGCCTTAGAGGACTGTGTGGTATACCTGCTCAAAAAGCATCTTGTAAGCAACAGCATCGAAATAGAGTGTGTGGGATTTAGAAAGGGCATTGACCAAAGCGGAGAGTGTGATGTTTTTGGAGAAATCCACATCAAATACAGCGCAAGGTTCGATGAAGACATTCTTGCGATCAAAGTTGGAATGGAGAGTATAAGCAGTGAATTCATAAAACGAGAAATCACACTGCCTGATTTCTCGTTGAGCAGCCTCCAAAGCTTAACACAGCAGTGCAAGGAGCAAGGCAGTTTTCTGGGTCTTCTATCCTGGCAGTATGCGAATGGAATTGGAAAAAACGCCCGTGAGGTTGAGTCCGATCTGCTGTCGTCCGTCAAAGAAGTTCTACACAGTTCCGAGAAAGACAGAATAGACGCGATATTTGTCCTAAAGAAAATAGAAGGCTTAAAATACAAAAAACTTCTCGTGGACTTCTCTGTAGGATACAGCGCAAACTATTGGGGGATTGAGAAAGACCCGTGCATAAGCACGACTCAATTGGTGCGCCTTGCTCTAAACGTACTTGGAAGCACGGCATTGGATAACCCGAAGATTCAGAAAATGTTTCTTTCTGTTTTAATACACACAAACAGGTATGCGTGTATACTGACGAGGCTAAACATTTCTGAAGCTGAATACAGCCACTTGTTTGACGATCCTAGCGTGTTCATGGATGTTTTGGTTTTTGCCTCGACCAACACGCTGTGCAATGTCCTTTGGGTTATGCTGGAGTCTTCTATAATGAAGGAAAGGCACTCCTACGACCCGAATAACCCGAAAACGCCGTTGCGTCACTATATGAACATGCAAGACATCGGGCTAGGCCTGCTTAATAACAGTGCCAGGGAAATAACACACAGGCGCCCAACACTGAAGGAATACTGCCCAAAGAAAGAGCGCGCCTTCTACTCCCTGATATCACTGGCTCTATTTGCCTTTGCCTGCGAGTATAGGAAAGACGACCCAAAAACCATCAATGCCCTATACGACTGCATTCTGTGCATTCCCAGTAACGTGCCTTTGGACTTAAAGCAGAAATACAGTGCTTACAAGAAAATTGTTCTGCTCTATATGCGCAGACATATAAAGCTGCTGAAACAAAGAAAGCTAGCGAAAAGATGGTTTGGTTTTCCCATTCACATGAAGCTTTTCAATGGAAAAGTCTGCGCCTATAAGTACAAAAAAGTATGTGACTTCTTTAGTGCATAGAGAGAGTCGCTGAATGCCGGCTTAGCATTTGCAGCACTCTCTGGCAAAATGCCACAATGGATGTAAAGGCAGAGAACATTGCTGCTTGGATCCTTGAGTTGGGCGGCAATAAATCTAAATCAGCCTAATTTGAAGCGTTATTTCTATATATTCTGTGGTGAATTATTGGAATTCCCACAAAGTCGGAGACGGCACGACCATCTTGATATAATTTTACATGATCTGAAGCATAAAATTAAGTAGTGATCGTTAATAGCATAAATACGCAATACGACTTTAATTTTAGAGCAGAAAATGGCAAGAAAATCGAAGATTCAACAATCAGGTCAAGCCAAGGGCGACCGCCGGGATTCTCCAAAGATTAATAAATCTTTAGTGGAGCTTGTTTTAGACCATAGACACAATAAAACCCGGATTTACGACAAAATCGAACTAGTTCTTATACAAAGCAAAAAGAAAATAGCCTTTTTATTAGCATGCAGCCCAAGCGTATCAAAAAAAAGCTTTATTCCAAAACACCTTATGCCAATTTGTATTTCCTCTAAAGCATAAAGGCTCACTGATATTGCCTGAGATGTGTTAAGAGGGCATGCTTAACGCCTGCGGCATTAATAATTTCATGCTGCAATGGAAAGACCACAGCATATTCTAATTTTTGGGGCTTTCTTGTCAAGTTCTGAGTGGGCTGAGCTTTTTTGCCATTGCCCCCAGACTCACTCTTGCATTCTTCGTGGTTTAGCTTTTCAAGAGACATGAAGGTGAAGGATCCTGGGAATGCGCTGCTGCACGCCACGCCCTTTCTAGATGGCTCAAGCGTTTGAAAAGAGGCACCTGCACGACCAAGGCCATGCACTTCATCGCCTATAGGCTTGCCTGCGCTGAGGTTTTTAAACGCACACCGCTTTTCAAAGAAAATATTGTAGTGCTGGTTGGGCCTTATTAGCCTTGTATAGTAAGTTATTTCTAGCTTCGGTTCGCCTTTGCAGATCTTCAAATTGGACACTTTCATAGAGGAATTGGCAATTTCCAGATCAATGTCTGTGGTTTCTGGGCTAAACGTTAGCCCCGCATAGTAGTTTACGCCACTTGACTCGCCGGGTACATACGTACATGGGAGTGTTGACGAAATTTCGCGCAAAGACATGATCGGCTCTGGAGTAGCCACATCCCCCCGCGGCTCAAACTTGTATGCCGTAAGGTCTAGTGCGCTGGCCATTAGCTTGTTGAAGAACAGGGGAAGACGGATTGTGCCAGCTGTTCGATGCTCAGCAGGCCCTTCAAACTCCACAAACAAAAGACTCGCGTCGGAATCATGGAGCAATACCTCTGGAATGTAGTAGAACGCCAAGACTTCGTTGGTCTTCGGGTCCCGCGAGTTTAGGTATTCCGTGGAACTTATGTCCTTAATAGACCACCTGCGTGTTTCTGTGTTTACTCCAAAAAGGTGTATGTTGTTGTGCGGAACTTTGTAAAGCGCATATATATGGTTTACTATGTGCTTGCATGGAATCGAAACGCTTGACTTTGGGAGAATGACAATCTTTCGTGTTTGCTCGTGGCTATCAACATAGCAGACGTGCTCAAACGCCATGTCTACGTCGAGTATGGTGACGTGCGGCGCATTATTTGTTGTTTCTCTGCTCTTAGTCAAGGTGCCCATAATTCGGGTGCGGCCCATGTCCATTTTTATCCGGTTTATCCGGTACTCTTCTGGCGCAAGCATGGCGCTTTCCAAAATAGAAAGATTGCTGTCCCAGAAACCAATGCACATCTCTGTCAATTCATATAAAGCCATTATAAAACCATAAAGCTTTTTGTACATAAACAGAGTCGTGTCGCTAGCATCCAAACCAGCCATTTCGGTTCCCCAGTGCATATTTAGCATCCTATATATTTCAACTTCTGTTTCATACAGCAGCCCAACATACTTTGAATTATTGCTGTCTTTGATGGTTGCCTGGAAGCTAGCAAGAAGCGAGAGCCACGAAATCATGTTGATAAACGAATCATCGGAAATGGCTTTGCCTATATGCTTTTTCATTATTTTAGAAAACACATACCTACACTCGTCGGTAGTGCATCTGTATATGCTGGCTAGACTGGCATTCAACTGTACGAGGCGGACAAGAAGTGTGAGCACTTTGGGTGTGCTTATCAGCATTTTAATAGAAACGAGCATGTTTTCTAAACACTCATCCTGGCACGGAAGGTCGGCGTTGTTCTTCAGAAGAAAATCCTCGGCCAAGTTATAAGGCATGCTCTCCACATAGATGTCTTCCTCTTCATTTTCCTTCTCTATAAAGCTCTCCCAGTTATACTCGCACACACCACTGGCTTGGCTCTCCATATTTTCCATCACAAAGGCATTCAACATTTCAATGGTTTTTAGACTTATCCCACAAAAACTAGAGCCATCGCTTTTTTCAATGCATATTCTGCAGAAGTTTGAAATGCTGAAAGTTTTAAAGGCCGAATTCTCAAAATCTACAGCGCCCCGAAGAAGGCTCCAGAGTGTGTTCTTCTTTATGCGTCCTTCTGTTCTTCTGTTTGGACTTATATCCAGCTCTGCATTGATTGCGCTGATAGCTTTTCTATTCCTACGCTTAAACCTCGGAGATGGCATAAACCCCTGTTCTGACTCCATGCACTCCATTTGAACGCTCTCAGTATCTGAACAGGAGGTTTCCGAAGGGCTGGGGCTTAGATTCTTGTTATTCCATGCCCGCTGGTTTTGTATTGCAGCGGAGCTGTATTTGGCAAACTTTTTTTTAGTGCCATTAAGCGCGCACGCGTACTCTTGCTTTTCAGCAGGAGGCAAGGCTGTTGAGGCAATGGCTGTTTCTTCTCTGCAGGCCCCAGTCTCAAAACTCAGATCGTTGTCGAAATCCATTTCCACGTCCTCATAAATCGTTGTGTATTTGTGTTTAGTCACAAAAATCGCTCTAGATGCTATGGAGCGCCCACTGAGGATTGCTCGGACAAAGAATACTGCACACATAACTCTTAAGTGAGCCTTTATGCTTGAACACATTTTCATTTTTTAAGCGCAGCGTAGAGTCTTTATCTACTTTTTTTGATCAAAATCACGTGTTATATTGTTTCAATTTCAAAAACTGTGATATTCAACATGCCAGATTTGACACTGCCAGACTAAAGTTTTTCCAATTTTTTCTTTCCAGAGATTACTAAATAAACTAGCTAGTATGTTTACAGCTTGCCCTAACTAGACGGCCGGTTCCAGCTTTTGTGCTATGCAGAAGAAGAAAACGGCTTCCAGCTGCCCGGGAAACAACAGCACTGTTATCCAAGCACAGAACGGACTTAGCGGCTTTGAGCTCAAATTTTTGCCATAGAAAATGATCTGTTCCCCATTTGTTTTTATACCGATTTGTTTCTGACCGCAAAACTATGTTCTAGCGTGGTTTAGAGGGTTTAGGCCGGAATTTAAGCCCTGGTTGGCAAGTTCGGCAGTCAGTCCTGTGAAGCGGCACAGAGCCTTCGCATGCGGGATTCTGTTTTTGCCCAAGCGATGCACATAAAGATATTTTCTTGGAGCACACTTCCCCAGCACAGAAGGCAGAGGAACAGGACGCGCAGCAAGAGAGTGTGCTATAGAAGAAGTGGTGCCAGGCACATATGCCTTTTAGCGGCATGTCTCCCTTTGCTGTTTTTTCTGCACACTGCTTGAAGAGCAAGTTTCATGGGAGACACGCCAGATGCGGAATGCATTGGGCAGACAGCGTGCAGCATACTTCAGCCCAAACACATGTGTGCAGAATCTCCAAAATAACGTGCTCGAACAGATGCAAAAATGGGCTATTTGGACTATTCAAAAATAGAAATCAACTATCACTGGCGTTTATCCATGTGATTTAAAACTCTAGATAGAGAATGCGCGTGTACTTTAGTTTTTAAAAAATAGACCCCATGCAGTTTATAAAGATAGCGATTTCTTGTATTCTATGTGCGCCGGGCGTGTACATGAGCAAAGAAAGCAGGCCGGCGGCCTCTTTAAACGAGAAAGCGATTGCGCAAGAAGGCTGCAAACACTCGGGCAAAAACACCCACTCAGAAATCATACACAGTGCAGAAGGCGTCTATACACACGTAGAATTCGATGTGAATGAGTGCGAGAAAGGGCAAGCCCCAAATGGCAGCAAAGAAGTCCAAAACTCTGCCGAGGTGCATAACGAGCCGGAGCCAGAAAAGAGCAAGGCCTTGCCAGAAGACTTTGTAAGAGGTAGCCCGAAAAGGCTTTCCGGCCTTTCACGGCTTAAGGACGCTCTGCGCTTTAGCTTTAAGAAAAAAGCGCGAAGCCAAAACCTGATGCACAAAGAAAACAGCATGCAGCAAGGCGCTGCCGAGAAAGAAAACGAAGATGCCAGCCCCAGTGCCAGCAAAGACGAGGCTTCTCCGAGCCAAGAAAACGAGGAGGAGCCTCCTGTGCCGACTTCCGATTCAAAGGACATGCCTAAAGAAAAAGCAGAGAGCAAGAAGGCTGCGAAGGCTGAAGGCGCCGAGGATACTGATAGGCCGCTCCAAAACTGGCCCATTGCTATGTGCCAGATAACGCCTGAGAACCCAGACTCCATGTCAGGCGCTATTCTTCGCCTAGACAAAAGATTCTTCAATCGCGGAAAGTGCTGGCGTGTTTCAGAAGATGACTTGAACGAAATGGTAAGCCAAAAGTTCGAGGCAGCATTTAGCAGCCAGAAAAACATTAAAATATGGATGAGCCTCGAAAAAAAACAGGAGGAAAGTGCTAGAATAAAAAGAGCACGCAAAAAAATAGAGGCGCAGGACAAACTCTACAGCGATGCCCTCAATCTACACAAAAATTCCCATGTTTTTAATGAGCCAAAGATTTTTGCCGGCTTTGACTCGCTGGCAAGAATCCGCGTGTACGACGAAATAGTTTCCTTTTTCATAATATACAGAAGCGTGATTAAAGAGCTGGGCGCTCTGCTCGCCACCGTAAATAAGGGCGTTGTGTGGTCAAAAATAATAGAGCCATGCCTCTGCCAGTTCACTCCGCACGCTTTGCACAGCGACCCTGATCTGCTGCAGTACATTGTTGCATACTCAGTTCCCCATGACATCTGCGTTATCAAAGAGATGGGCAAGCATCTTAACGCGAAGCTTGCATACACGGCGTGGAATACAAAGGAGGCAACGGAAAACAAAAGGCGGCTGCTCGAGATATACATGGGCCTGCTGACTGTGAAAGAGCCGGTGGGTCTCAGCCGCAATGAACTCATGCCTTTTCTCAGCTGCATGATTTCCAACTTTTTGGACTTGCTTGAGGACATTCTTGGGCGCCGGGCACCGGCCTCTGCGTCTGAAAGCCCCAAGATCATCTCGCTAGTGGTCCAATTCATTCTGCTGAGCGACGGAATATGCCAGGAGGCAACCATAAAGAACAAGAAAACCATGAAAAGCCTGCTGGCTTCTGCCATGCATGTGATTCAAATCGGGGGTCCTTCTCTGAAAAATGCTTTCTACAAAAATCTGCTGACTCTGGTCACAAACAACGTGGGCATGCCCATCAGACTGATACCAGGCGACCCCGAAACAGACCAAAAAGAAAGCGAGGAGCCGGCAGGCAGCGCACCCGACGCGGAATCTATCCACAGCGGAAAAAGCGTGGACTCCCTTTTGAACTATTCTGAAATACCTCTTTCCACGCTAAGCTTGAACGCCAGCGCAGACTGCCCTGAGAGCTCAGCAAAGGCAATGTCGGAGGAAGGCCGCTGCTCACCCACAATGATAGATGGGCCAGACAGCCCCAGCGCAAAAAGCAAATCCAACTCAGAAGACCCGCAGAATTCTTCGTCCGTGTGCGACGAGGACAGCAGCAATCTCAAAAAAGCGAAAGCACACGCGGATCTTTCCCCCGGCAAAGCTCCTTTGGCCCAGGAGGAAGATTACTCGTCAAACGATACGCCTTGCCCCGAAAAGCCGTGCATGCTGCCCATTAGTCTTTCAGGCTGGCCATACGTACAGAATCTGAACTACTTTGACCCCGGCCATGAGGTTACCAAGGAGTTCTATATGCAATTCAATGTTAAAAAAGTAGACTCTATAGTGAACAGGCTTTGCACATACATGAACGTGTTTTTGTACGAGTTTACTGAGTTCTACCAAGAGAAATACCTTCCCCGGCTGTGCAGCACTGCGATAAAGAGTCTGAATGCGTATAAGGATGCGCACTTCGAAACAATGGACCCGGCCGTGTACAAAATCATGTCCAATCGATTTAACTTGATAGAGAAGTACATGCATGGAATGATGGAGCTTTTCTTCATTAAAAGGACAGCCTTCCTGAAGGATCTGAAAAAGGAAATAAACCTGCCGAAGCAGGACAGGGATATAAATCTGTCGTCTACCTTCATTCTGTCCTGCTACAGCAAAAACAGCGGCACCAGGAAAAAAGTGCAGAAGTTTATTGCAACGTCTTTGGGCACCATGATGTTCCACACCCGAAGCATATCTCTGATCCTTTTCCACCTGGCCTTTGGCCTCGAAGAAATAATGGAAATCTCCGCAGAAATGGGCCAGCTGCCAAAATGGGGCAATGACTACGACTTCACCTACATGTTAGAAGAAGAGAATCTGGAATCCAGGCTAAACCAGCCGGACAGGCCCGGCTTCCTCCAGGAGTTCCTGGAATGCAAAAGCAAAAACAACAGCACTATGAGGATATTCACCATCATCCAAATGGCTGCTCCAATTTTGAACATGGTCCCGTGCGACCACTGCTCCGGAAACCCCAAAATATTCCTCATGCCAGCCTTCCGCAATATCAGAAATGACATTCTGAGAATAACCTCGTCCATAGGGCACAATCTGATTGGAGGAGTGACAAGCCAAGTGCTGAGAACGCACAACGGAAGACAAGCCCCCAAAATAATCCACGCCCCGAAGTGCATATACAGCAAGTACCCATTATATAAGCTTCCAAACCATACCTACTGCATCTACATGGACCGGAGGCTAAGCCAGCGCATCCTGGAAGGCTATGTTTCGTAGGCAGTGGCCCGTTTTCCAAAGAATAAAAATTCTATGGAGCTATATTTATCCTTACACAGAGACCCACAGCGCAAAAATAAAAAAGTGTATTGGTAAGTTTTTCTTTTCTATTTTTAAGCTTGTTCGCAAAAAGCCCACGCCCCAACACAGCAAGCCCACGCGCACAAAACCCCACGACACAGAAATAGCGCCCGCAGACAGAGATACTCGCCCGAAGAGAGCGCATGCAGACAGAACTTCGCATATAACGAGGGCGCTGCAGGCGATACAAATGTAGGTCGATATGGCCGAGTGGTTAAGGCGGTTGATTAGAAATCAACTGGGTTTACCCGCGCAGGTTCGAATCCTGCTGTCGACGTTTTTTTCTGCGCGCATCCAAACACCCCCAGAGGGCGGAAACGCGCCACGAAAATTCGGCGTCAGCGTGGCCGAGTGGTTAAGGCGGTTGACTTGAAATCAGCTGGGCGTGCCCGCACAGGTTCGAATCCTGTCGCTGACGTTTTTGCCCCCCTCCTGGCATCCCTACTCCAACGGCAAAAATAAAAATGTGTGTCGATATGGCCGAGTGGTTAAGGCGGTTGATTCGAAATCAACTGGGCATGCCCGCGCAGGTTCGAATCCTGCTGTCGACGTTTTTTGCCGCTAGCACAGCGCACATTTATTTATTCCCGCAGCTACTGCCTTTTCAGCGATTCCTCCATTCGCCGCAGCTTCTCCGAATACTCCCGGTCGTCTCTTCGCTTCTGCAAAATGTACTCTCGAGACGCCTGCTGCGCCTTGCCCCGGGCTTCGCGCACTCGCTTTTTGTCGTTTCCGCGCCCGCCCCGAGTCGGCGCTGCGCTTGTCTTGAGAGCAGGCTCCAGCTCTTGGAACGCCTTTTGCTCAACCTCCACGCGCGCCCGCTTTTCTATTGGAACCCCCAGAATCTCCTGCAGACACTTTCGGTCGCTGTCCAGGGTAAGGCCCTGCACTGCAGCCTTTAGCCTCTCCATAAACTCGCCTGCCAAAAAAAGGCGTGCGCCTCTTCTTTCCTTGTACACGGAAATCAGCCACGAAATGGCCTCCTCCTCCAGATTCGCGTGCCCGTTCGCCCTGCTTACGACTAGCACCGCATACATCTTTCCGTACGCCTTCACTGGGTCTGTTTCCCCCAGAAGCACCGCCTTTTTTAGCGCGCTCGCGCACTTGGAATAGCTCATGTCCATGCGAAAATATTTTGCACCAAACTCAGCTGCAAAATACCCCGGCCTTGCCAAACGCGCAGAAGCCGCAGAAAAGCCTGCAAACACAGAACGGGCCATGGACAGCAGAACAGCGAAATGTGTAGATGTTTTTATTTTCTAGTTCCTTGGCCGGACACAGCCTCTCTAAAAACGCCCAAGCGCGCCTACCATAATATCTGGGCCTTGCGCGTCTTCAGATGAGGCCGCATCAAGCAGTAGACGCGCCCATCATGGCCGCCAACTCTTCCCTTCCACTTACAGCACCAGGCAAGCAGACCTTCGCACGATACGCAGGGCCTGCTCACGATCTATCCCGCCTGCTCTCCACGGTGACTGCGCTGATGATTTGCACGCCCATTTTCATCCCGTCAAAAAGCGCCAGGCACCTTTCTGCAATTTCCGCGGTAGGAAGCTCTATATAGACAATTCCCTTGAACTCCTCTCTGTATTGTTTGTCGGTGAGAAGCGACAGTATGTCGTACTGTACATTGTTTGTGAGCATGCGCTCTCGGATGTGCTCTCGCACTTGGTCCTTGGGAATGTCTGTGGGGACGTTTGTCAGCCGCACAGTTGTAGGCGTAAACTGGAAAGAGGGAATGTAGATGCCCGAAGTCTCTGGCTTTCCTGCGGGAGCAGTCTGCTTTTCCGGACACACAGAGGGAAGGTGCTGCGCCTTCTTGCATATAGAGCACAGAGCATCTTCGGTGGCTCGGTTTTTCTTTTCCTCCTTATAGAAAAACTTGTCGCTGTTCAGAGGCAGCACCTGCGAGGCATCTTCTGAACTCTTCATGTTGTTCATGCGCAGTCGTCTTTCTACCGAGGCCCAGTTTGGTGTGTGTTTAAATATTTCCATTTGCAATTTTTTATTTTTGGGCTTCCTTTTATCGGTTTCTCTCGCTTATTTGCTGTAATCTTTTGTGTGGGAAATAGACCCTGGCGACTTTCCTAGCGGAATGGTGTGAGAAACTCGACTTGAAGAGTCAACAAAAATAAAGCAAAAATGTGGCTTAACCCATATGTTGGAGCTGCTGTGCCTCGGGCCTATAAATATTTCTGGAGGTATATTGGAGAGAGCGCTTCCCAGAGGCTTGTGCTGTGCGAAGGAGGGCTTAATCTTGAACGCGGCCAAGTTCTTTATCTTTTTCAGATCTTCCAGGCCCAGCAGAGATCCAACGTTTTTTGCAGCTTCTTCTTCCTCTATGCTGTTCATCTCTATCTCGGACGCGTGGACGCCTGGTATTTTCCAGTCGCCTGGTATGTTTCTGGCGTCCTGCAAGTCTGTGTGTTTATCTTCGCTGGGGCCTGCGTGTATGAAGCAGCACCTTTTTCCATACGTGCACTCGCCAAAAATTGTGTATGTTTTGCACAGCTCGGTTTTGTAGCGAGGGTGCCTTTCTATGTCTCTCAGCTCGCTCAGCGAGTGCGCAAACTGGCACTTGTCTCCGTACGTGCAGAAGTTGCTATTTTCAAAACTCTTGCAAATTTCAGTTTTGTACAATGAGATTTTTTTCTTGGATATTATCTTTTTGGGCCTCTTCTTCTCCTTGGTATCTATGCTTTGCTGCTCCTCGTACTCGTTTGTGTTTATCTGTATGTTAAACAGCTCTCTTCTCTCCATGAAAGCTCTAGATTAATTTAATTCGCTATTTCACATATAATAAATTCTTATTTTAATTTGAACTTTTCCCTATGTATTATTTAATATAGTTTATGACTGAGAAGACCACTGTAAACAAACCCCATCTATCTCCACAAGATAGCTATGCAAGTGTGTTTCCAGCGATAGACGCGTTTCTTTTTGACACCAAAGCGTTTATTGCAAACCAGGCCTTCATTAGAGAGTGCATCAAAACAAAAAACACCAGCCTGAAGTATCAGGGAAAGTATGCCTTTATCCGTGTTTTCCACGCCCAGGAAATAATCTCGGCTGTTTTCTCGCTTTTTGCAGCGATTTCGGCAGGCGCATCCCTTTTGTATGTGTGCAAAAAAAAGCCTAGCTTCTGCAAAACGTACTCGCGCGCTGTGAAGTTCGCGCTGGGGGTCCATTGTGCGACTTGGGTGGGGAGTTTTGTTTTCCATGTTCGAGACTGCTACTGCACGCAGTGCATCGACTATTTTGGGGCGATTTCAAGCATATCGTCAAGCGTGTTTTTGTCTTGCGTGCGGCTCTCTCTCCTCCAGCGGAGCGCCAGATATGCCCTTCCTGTGCTGGTTGGCGCCCACATATACTACATGCACTGGGTCAACTTCAACTTTGGGTATAATGCTGCGGTTTGCGGGGGTTTGTTTGCAGTAAATTTGCTTCTGTGGTGTCTTTGGTATGGGCGAGTGAGATCGCAGGTGCACAGCAGGTTGCTCAGGCTGAGCATAGTTGGAATGTGCATAAGCGCGCTGTTCCAGCTAATCGACTTTGGGCCGGTGCACTTTTTGTTGGACTCGCATGCAATGTGGCACGTTTTAGGGTGGCTTTTCAGCACGTCTTTGTATGTATCCATTCTTACAGATACCTCGGCGCAAAGAACAAGCAAAACCAAGGGGTGTGCGTGCAAGGAGTGCCTCAGAAGGTAGGGCCTCCAAAGCGCACTAAAAACACGGTTTGCAATTCTGAGTCTAGGCGTTTGAGTTGAAGCCAGTGTTTCCTCACAGAGCGCAAACACATGCAAATAAGAACCAAAGAAAGAATGTGCACTGGCAAGCTTTATTCTGGGGTCTGGCAGCGCTGCAGGTGGCTAGAGTGCACGGCTGCATTTCCCAGAAGATCAATGCGCTTGGGCCACGTTGCCATGCTTTTTTCATTTGTGCGATGCATTGCATTCTGCTGTGCTGCTAAGCATGCTGTTCTGGAGCGTTGCAAGAGCCCAGGCATTTTTCTAGTCTGGTGCCCTGGGCTGAGCAGGGGCAGGATCTAAAGATAGGCAATGCATAAACGCTGCCAACAGAAGCCATTCCTCAGTCTGGCGCAAATACACGCCCTCGTGTTTTGGGTCCTATTAACAGCATGCAGTGTGTATGTCCTCGCACGGAACAGGAATGTCTGCATGCTTTTTATGCCAGCTTTGAGCACATATGCATGCGGTTGCATCGAGCAAATTGACTCCGGGCGCACTCTGTATCAACTTGTGTGCGGCTTGTGCAGGCCCAAGTTCTTGTGCCTGTCTACAGCGCATGTCCACGTGGGCTAAACAAACAAGGCCATGGGTGGAAGAGAAAGGCAGAAACAGGAATAAATCACACATATTTTGGAGTTCAGCTGGATGTGGTTGTATTTGAGCCGTGCTTAACAGAAAGCTTTCTTTGCGGCAGAGGCTGGGCGTCTTGAGTGCAGAAGCCAGGCATGCATCCAATACAGAGCAAAAATCACAAGAAAACAGAAAAAAGTGCTTCACCATGCGGGTGATTTGCATGCAGAAAGCATAGCAGGGCCACAACAAGCCAGATCACAGCACTGTTTATTGTTGAATTTTGCCTGCTCTGCGTGCAGTGCACCCACAGTGTGCCCCAGAGCATGGAGGAGCAGACATAAACAACCATGCATTGAAAAGGGGCTCCAGCATATCTGCTCGCTTTTGCATGGGCACAACCACAGCCTGGGGCGAGCTTGCACAAGTCGTAAGTCACACATTGCCAGGGAAGCTTTCCAGAAAAACAGCATGGACCCAGCCCAAGCGCCATGAAGTGGTGATTCCTAAGTTGCGCACGCTTTTGCTTTTTAAGCGTGCTTCCGGCCTTGCAGACATCCTGCGGCTGTGGAAAACCACGCTATGCACGGCCGGCGCCTGCCCATGCTTGGAGGAGCAAAATGGAGCAGGCCGACATGCAGCATATTCATCCGCACAGGCGAAGCCATCAGAAGGCCACTGCAAAAACAATTAGCTAATTTGCCCGAAACCGGAATGTGTGAAATAGGAAGAGCCTATTTAAAAATAGACCCGAAAATTAATTTAAAATGAGCAAAGAACCAAGTCCTTGGAACACCTTAAATACCCATATTTGAATTTATTATACACTATAAAGATATAAATAGGAGAAATGTCAAAGAAAACCAATGAGATACCTTCCATTAATTTCTCTGATTACTAAGGCAGCTACTTGCATGGCCAAAGAGCAAGGGAAAGTCAATGTTGTAACCTTGAGTGGTGTGGAGAATCTTGAGGATCCTTCCAGTGTCTGCAGCAAGCTAGGCATGCAGCCATTCCTTCTGAGGGCTGAAGACGTGAACCTTGTACTAGGCTCAATGAGATCAGCCGGTGTCAGCAGGGCGCACATTGCTGGATGGAACCAGGAGAGGATCAGTATGGTGATAGGAACTGAGTCAGGAGATGTCACCCCAAGGGATCACAACAACAGGACAAACAGTGTTCTTTGCTTAAGCACTGGAAACTCCTGCCCTGCACCTGCCCCTGCGCCTGCACCTGTTCAGCCAGAGTGCCCAGCATGCGTGACTCCTTGCCCTGTGCTTCCAAGGCCAGGATGCAACGAGAATGCATGCCCTGCACCATGTGTAGAGATCAAAGGAAACGTGTGCCCGCCTGCATGCTGCAAGCCAACAAAGTGCGTTGTAAAGAGGAGAGTTTCTCCATGCGACTCCCCTTGCATAAGAAACTACAGGCACAAGAAAGTCTACATGATTGACGAGCTGTCTCTGTTCTGTGGCCCGTTCATCAGAATCGTCGAGACCAGATGCAGGCCTCACAGCAGGGAAATAATCTGGACTGTTTCCAAGTCATTCCCCTTCCACACTGGCCTGCTCCCAATTCCAACCATTCTGAGAAACGCCTCTTTACTGCACAAGGCCCTTTGCGAGGCAAGAGACAAGTTTAGCGTGTGCGGATGTGTCTGCCTGTTCATAGACCACTTCAACAACATATACATTGCTGTGGGAGACGACTACTACCAGGTAATGCCAACCAGGCCGTGTGGACCGTGCCCTCCTCCATTCCCATGGAGAGGACCCAGAAGATTCCCATTCCCAGACCAGTTCCCATTCCCAGGACCCTTCCCAGGGCCGTTCCCAGACCAGTTCCCATGCTCGCCATGTGGACCAAGGTATGCGCCAGTCAACTGCTCGCCATGTGCTCTGCCAGTGAAGTGCGCGCCTGCCAAGAACGAGTGCGAGAAGCCGTGCCCTCCAATGTTCACATTCTGCAAAGTGTCATGTGAGCATATGGTTCAGGTGAGAAGACGAGGACTGTACGCAGTTATCTTCTCTAGAAATCTAGACTTCTACTAGATTTTACCTGTTGTAATAAAGTGAATAGTCTTTTATCTTTTCTTTGTTTTGCCTCTCCGCTTCTCCGTGTTTGCAGTAGCCCCGTCGTGTTTGGCACCTCGCACAGCCCTTTTCTGTGGATAGATGCGTGCACGCATGCACCGAATATGAGACGCTTCGGCAGGCCCTGAACAGTTCGCGCACTCTAGCAGCATTTTGCAAGGTGTGCTGTGCATGCTGACCCCATGAAGACTGTCGCCTGTTTGTTTTGTATAAAGGCGTGCATGCTCTATCCCTGAATGAGTGCTGGGTGTTTGAAAGCGAATTAAACGCATTGGGCAATAGTTCGTGCTTCTGCATGGAAACTGTTTTCTGGGCTTTTTCTCTCCAAGGACAAAAACAAAAGTGTATGCACCAGAAAATATTCACAAAGGCATACATCTTAAAATATAAAACAAACGCAGTGTAGGCACAGAGAAACAGCGCAGCATATTTGAAGGCAGCTAAAATAAAGAGGCCGCCCTCCTAGGTAAAGCCGGCATTTTCTTCGGCTAGAATCCATACCTGCCGCCCGCATGCTTTCATCTTCTTTCCAGCGCATGCCTGCTCTTTATCCAGGACTGTCTCCTGCTCTGCACAGAAAGTTGGGGCGCTCTTTGAGCGGATCTTCCAGAAAAAGCCCACACAAATATGCCTGTGCGTGCAGAAGAAACATGCAAGCGTGCGGCTTCTGCGAAGGCAGGGGCTTTTTGTGCATCATCCAGAGAAGGGGTATTTCTACGGCAGTGTTTTGAAAATAATGAAAAATAAAAGGATTACTGTCGTAAGCAACAGGCTCCCTCTGAAGGCCAAAAAAGAAGAGGGCAAGTACACATACACAAAAACATCCGGAGGGCTTGTCACTGGGCTCAGCGGGGCGCAGGGCTCTCTTAACTTCAGATGGATGGGCACGCTGGAGGGCGTGGACCCTGAAGATCAAGAGACAGTTCGGGAGGAGTGCTTGAAAAACTACAACTACTATCCAATCTTCATAGAAGACGACCTGTACGACAAATACTACAACAACCTCTGCAACGAAGTGCTGTGGCCGCTTCTGCACTCGTTTTCCGACTTGACTTCTTTCAACATTTCAGACTACATCGCCTACAAGAAAGTCAACACACTGTTTGCCCAGGAGATACTCAAAACCATCCAGCCAGGAGACATGGTGTGGGTGCACGACTACCATCTTATGCTTCTCCCCATGATGATACGGCAGGAGGCAAAGAACACAGTCAAAATAGGGTACTTTCTGCACATTCCGTTCCCCAGCTACAGCATTCTTAAGGGCTCTCCAATACTCTACCCTCTTGTCAACGGCATGCTTGGGTCAGACCTGGTTGCTTTCCACACGTTCGAGTATCTTTCCAACTTCAAGAACGCATGCGAGCTGTGCGAGGCAGAGGAGGTTTCTCTCCTGTCGATTCGGGTCCAGGATAGAACAGTCCGGCTGGAGGCTCTTCCCATAGGAATAGACCCGGGCCTTTTCCAAAATGAGTCCCTCAAACAGACAACGATAGAACGAGGGCGAGAGCTCAAAAAGAGGTTTAAAAACAAAAAAATCATTCTGGGAATTGACAGAGTGGACTACATAAAGGGAATTCCGCACAGAATAAAGGCGTTTTCAAAGCTGATTCAGGACAACCCGGAGCTGGCCGACAAGGTGGTGTTTTGCCAAGTGGGGGTCCCCAGCAGAACAGACGTGAAGGTGTATGCAACGCTTTCCGACGTTTTGTGCAGGCTGAGCGGGTCTCTTAACTCGTCTGGCTGCATTGAAGACACCCTAGTCTATTTCATAAACAACTCAATCTCCTTCATGGAGCTGTGCGCCTTGTATTCTGTCTCTGACGTGTGCGCGATTTCCTCGCTTAGAGACGGAATGAATCTGGTTGCGCTGGAGTTTGTCGCGTGCATGGGGACCGGCGTGCTGGTCATGAGCGAGTATGCAGGAGCTGCGGGGATGCTAACAGGCTCTGTGTACGCGAACCCGTGGAACATCAAAGAGCTATCGCAGGCATACAAGGAGGCTCTTCTGATGCCCGAAGACGCCAGAATAGAGAGAAAGACCCAGATGCATAAGATAGTGGACAAGTTCACGGCCGAGCACTGGGCAGACCGGTTCATATCGATACTCGAGAAAGACGTTTAGAGAGCAAGAGCGCGTCCAGTGCAGGAAAAGCCTGCCTGGCTGCACTGGGATAGGAAAGGCATGTCTGCATGCCGCACTGCAATAAATTTCTTGTCGAGAGACACTGGATTTTAAACTGGGATTTTGGCCTCTTGCACTTCCAGATAGAGTGCACCCACTTTCTGTGCTGCGTTGTCTGCATTTTTAGGCAGTGCTGCGCGCATTGCTATGCAGTAAAATGCCAATTTATTTCGGCGAGCCGCCCACTTTCTATGTCTCTAGGAACGCGCATTTTATGCTTTGTTTTTGCGGAATGGCTGCGCTTTTCCGAGTCTTTTTTCTTCTATTTTATTCATATATTGTTGGTTTATTTTATTTTAAATGAGAAGCCTCATTGTTTTAGTCATGCTCGGTGCTATCTATGGGTTTATTGAGCACTATAAGCCCAACGGCCCCATAATAATAGTGAAGGAGCTGAAAAAATCCACAGTAACGCTGTCGGACGCCAAGGTATACCTTAGAGCAAACGAGCACGAAAAATGGGTTGAGCCAAAGGAGTTTTTCAGCATGAGCGACTACCATCTGAGCACGTCTTCATCGGACTATGCAGGGTCGCGGGACATCAAAGTTGAAATGTCGGTGTTTGAGTCGCCAACGAGGGAGTGGAAGTCTCTGACCAAAGTGGGCGTCGATGCATACACGTCCAAAAACACGCAGCAGGGCGCAAAAGTGAACTTTTTGTGGACGTCCACAAACGAGAACTACCACATGTTTCTTTTTAGAGTGTTTATAGACCCCATGCCAAACGCCGAGATAGGCATAGATGTAATAACGTACGAGGGCAGGCCCGAAGACCCGAGCATATACTCGCACACAGACTCGCAAATACGGAACAAAGAAAAAAGAATAGCCGAGTGCATAAATGTGTCAAAGGAAATATTAGACTTGCAGGAGCTCGACAAAACAGATGAGCAGACCTACAAAAAGCTGACAGATAGCATATTTAAAGTTGTTATACTGGAGGTATTCTTAAAAATAGCGATTTTCGTTGGGTCTTTCCTCTATATCAACCAGAAGATCCAAAAGTTCTACATTGATAAGAAGATTGTTGTTAAAAGTTAAATAAAGATATGTCTTTGTGCCTGCTTTATTTATTCCTCGGCTGCCTCGAGCGCGCTACTTGGAGACTCGATTGCTTTTGGAGCGTCTGAGGCCGAGCCCTCTTCGCGCACTTCTTCCTCCACAAACACAGCCACGGATTCAAGGCCGGTTATCCCAGCTGACTGGAAGAGAGGGGCAAGGACGGAGCTGCCCAAGTCCACGCTGGCCTGGGTTTGGTCTCTCATAGTGATTGCCCAGTTTTTGAGTTCAGGCATCCTGCAAACAAAGTACTCTCTGCTGAATACTTCAGGCTTTTTCATGCCAAACACGGACATTTTAATCCGGGAGAGCCATTTTTCCTCCAGCTCGCCAGACACGCTTATTTTGCACTTGTCGTCAAATACAGCCTGTTCAAGCTTTGTGAACTTTGGATTGAACACGTCGGCCTCTATAGATAGGCTTTCGCCGCATCCAACGACCCCAATTGTGTCAAGTGAGAAGAATCCAGAAAGGTCTTCAACTGCCAGCTTGCTGAACTGGCTTTCCTGCACCAGAATAAGGCCTCTGGTCTGCAGCAAAGGCATGTTCGAATATGCACTCAGGTTTGTAATTCCGTTGTTCCTCAGAACGTGGTTTTCTGTCAGCCTAAAGAATCGGTGCTTCAGGAGACATTTCACCAGGTCTTCGTCGCACATTGCAACAGTTACAACTTCGACTGCAGGGGGGTTTTTGGCGTGATCTGCAGGCATCCACCCCTCATTTTTACAGTACTCATCCTCGCTTCCCATGCCTATTTTAAAGCTAACAAGAGAGATGCGCTTTACGCTTGGGTTTAGCCTCTCTATATACTCGCTTAGAGTTTTCTCGTTTTGGGATGCAAAGTACGTGGAGAATGCGAAGATCATGTGCGACGCGTTCAGCTTGGCAATGTTTGAGTTGATCGAAGGGCACGCCATATTTGAGAACACAACAACCCGCTTGGATGCATCCAGCTTCTCAAACACTGGCAAGAGCTCCGAAACAATATCGCTGACAGCATCATCACTTGGCACGGTAGACGGGTCGTTTCCAAACACCTCAAAGCCCTTCAGGTTGACAAACTGGCTCCAGTCGAATGCCTTGGCTATGTCTCCCTTCTCATAGACAGAAAGGTCTATAGAGATAGAAACAGTTCTTGCCAGGCACTGCGATAGCAGTTCGTCAGTGACAGGCCCAGAAAGATCCTTGAACATGTGCGCGTTGTGCTTAACAAGGAAGTTGACAAGCTCAGGGTTGTCGGTTGTTCTAACCGGCCGAACGCTCTTCAGGCTGTCCTCCATTGCAGACTCTTCTTCAGGCGTGAGCAGCCAGAAGTACTCGTTTTTTCTGGATGTGCAGCACAAGCCATCCAGCAGGTTGAGCTGGGCAGAGCCTTCCTTCGAGGCCTCAGGGCTAGTGTTTTCGGGATCGTAATCAATAGCAGCAGAAGACGCAGACTTCTGTTCCGCACCAAGAGCCTCATCCGACGCTGGGCTTGGGGCCAAATTTTCTGACTCCAAGTCCTCGCCTTGTTTTTCTTCCGAGCTCTGCAGTGCGCTTCCATCCTGTTCTTTTTTGCTTTCATTTTCATCTTCCAACTCTTTACTGGCTACGCTGTCATCGCTAGAAGCTTCCTGGTTTGCAATGGGGTCTGTGCCTGCTTGCTTGCTTTCAACGCCTTCTTCGCCATTGGCAGGCGCGCTGTCTGGTTGTGGTTCTGCGTCTACATTCTGCGTCTGTTCGAGCTCACTGCCGTCTGCACTCTCGCCGTCTTCACTAGAAAGAGGGGACTTAGCAGACTCATCGCTAGTGTCTTTCGAAGGCGCAGCCGCTTGGACAGATGGCTCGCTGGCAGAATCCAAGGCCTCCTCATCAAAGGCTTTGTTGTCTTCAAAGTCGTTTTCAATTGGTTTGCTGGAGGGCGAAGCATTTCTATCATCCGCCAAGGGCTCTTCATTTTTATTCGAAAATTCTGAAGACGCTTCTGCTGGCTTTTCATCTACAGATTCAGCATTGGGTGGATTTTGGCTGGAGTATACCCCAGTATCGTACGTCTTGCTGTCTGATGACTCATTTTCTGCTGGTGCGGGGTTGGGCCCGGCCTCGTTTTCGCTGGAAGGCATGTCTTCGCTTTGTTCCGTGTGCTCTTGCTCAGAATCAAGTGCAGCAGGCTCATCCTTGCTTTGGGGCGTGCCTCCTTCCTCCTTCTGCGGCGTCTGCGTTTGACTTTCCAGTGGGTCGCTTTCAGACTCCTCGCCCTCTTGGCTTTCAGACACGCCGTCAAGCTCTTCAGATTGCACAGCTTTGTTGTCTGAAGTACCATCGGCAGGCGATGATAAATCCTCAGCTTTGCCATCTTTATCGGATGGTGATGCATCCTGTGGCGTGCCAGTTTCCGGCTTAGAATCCTGTTCTTCCATTTCGCTAAAAAGCTCCTCAGTTTCGAGCTGTTTTTCAGAAGACGAAGGCTCGCTCTGTCTGCTTTCTGGCTCTTCCTTTTTCTCGGAAGGCTCGCTCTGTGCAGCGTCATCATCGTGTTCTGTGCTGTCTGCAGCGTTGCTCTGGCCTTCAAGGGAGTTTTCATGTGTGTCTTTTGCAGGCATGTCTGCCACACTAGAGTCTTCATCGGACTTGTCTGAGATTTCGTCTTCTGACAAGGCATACACAGGCGTTTCCTCCGAATTCTCTGGCGAGCTTTTAGCCAACTCTTCTTCCGCTAGATCGTCATCACCAATTGGCTTGCCAGCGCGCTCTTCGTTGGTAGACGAATGCTTGGATTGGTCAGCCTCGATTGGTTCAGAATCGTGGTCCGCCTGAGTCTCAGAATTGGGCTCTACCGCAGAGCTGTAGCTCGAAAGCGTGTCAGCCTCTTCTGTGTCGTCGGGGCTTTGGCCCAATTCATCTTGGCTGGCCTTTTTCTCGTCCTCAGTCGATTCGGCTGCATCCATAGGCTGCTCTTCGTCCAAGCCAGGCTTTTCGTTTTCAGAGGACACATTTTCAAGCAAAATCTCAGATGGTTTTTTGTCTTCAGAATGCACATCTTGATCCGATTTGTAAGTGGACGGCTGGTCTGATTTTTCTAACGACGAGGCCACGTCTGGGCCATCTTTTTCGGAAGAATCTGCGCTCTTTCTCTCTGCCCGGTCTTCCATCGTGTTGTAAGCGTCCTTGAGTTCTGCTTCGCTTAGATTCTGCATTCGCAGAGCATTTTTCAGCTCTTCTATTTCATGCTCTTTTTCGCTTATTTCATGCAGCAGCTCATGAACATAGTCCATTTTTTCCGTCTGGGCACTTGCATTGATAAGCGACAAGCATAGCAACAAAATAGAAATCGAACCTCTAATAAGAACTTTTCTCTTCGTCATTGCATTTACAACGAACGCATCCATATTTATAGACCATTCCCAGCCTACCAATAGATGCATTGAACCAATAAGTGATTGCATTTCTGCATAGGTCAACCCGTATTTTAATTTACTTTGTGGCACATTTATTCATCCAAGAACCACTAGCTTTTCTATCTCACTTTTCCTTTTTCTCCTGCCTCTTCTTGGCTTGTGGCAGCTTGATTTCTAGATTGGAAATATGCACAGGCTTTATCACAGAAGGCCCAGGCTTGTTCAGCCAGGCTGATTTTGTCAGGGCAGACGACCATGCAAGCTTCACGTCTTTTGTTTTGGGCGGGCGCGCAGCTGGCGCAGCCTTTTCACACGCCTGCTCCAGTGTGTTTGGGCTTTCTGGCACGTCTTCCTCTCTATTCGCAGGCCGTTCCCCTGAGACGGCATGGCTCTGGGCCAGTGGCTTGCTCGGAGAAAACTCAATAGTTCGCCGTATCTTAGGAAACTTGCTCTTTATCTCTTCCATCCTGTCTGGCATGAGATACGTGGTCATCTTCTCTATAAATTCAATAGTTTTTTCATCTGTAAGATTCTTTTGCACTTCCTGGACAAACTCCTCCAGCGTGATTTTCATCTCATCGTACTTGGAAGACAGCTCGGTCAGCTCATTCGCAGGCTTGTATGTCCTTTTTATCATGGCGGTGTACTTCTCCTTCATGTTTCTGTTTCGCAGCAGCTCGTCTCTGTCTAAATGCTTTGGGACTTCCTCCACCCGGGGCTCTTCCCTTTGCGGGGCCTGCTGTCTTCTTCTTTCACTAGACACTGGGCACTGCAGCTTTACTTTTTTCTCCTTTTTTGCAGGGTGGACAGACGCCTTGTGCGCAGCCAGCTCAACCTCGTCTATAAACGCGTAGCACCGCGCGTCCAGGCACATCTTCTCGGTGCACGTGTAGTGGATCTTTTTGAAGTGGTTTTCCAGCTCCTGGTAGTTTTTGTAGTACTCGTTTTTCTTCCCCAAGCGCTCGCACAAGTAGCAAACCTCGTGCGCTTTCTTGCAGTGCTTGACCAGAATTTCCGGCGTGTAAAACCGCTCCCTGCAAAACCCGCACATTGGATGGTTGTTTCCCACTGACTTGTCTGTGCGGTGCTTTGCAAGCTCCTCCATGCTGTAGACCACGTATTCAAAGGGGAATTCGCATCGAAATTCCACGCACAGCTCGCACAGGTATCTTTTGTGCTTTGAAACATAGTGCTTCATCAGCGTCTCGCTGTCATAAAACTCGCTCTTGCACATTTTGCAGGACCTTGCCATGATCTCTTCTATCCGCTCTATTTCGTCCGGGTTGCACACTATACAGTTTGCCCACACATACGAGCTTTCTGTGTGCGAAAACCGCTCGTTCTGGCTTTTTGTAACTTTAAACATCATTTCTTCATCGGGCACCTCCCTAAGACATATTGGGCACCCGGACTTGTTGCTTATAAATTTATAACGCAGCCCGCACTTTAGGCAGCACTTGTGCCCGCACTCTGTCACAATTCCTATTGTATACTCGTCATAGCATATTATACACGCATCCTCCTCCATATGTTGCAAAGCACAGTAAAATTTTCAAAATGTCTACAATAATAGGGGCCTTCCTGGGGCACTGTAATTCCTATTTTGTGAAACAGTTTGGGCTTCTCCCCCAAAGGGCCAGGCGGCATCTATTCACATTGCGATCACCTAGCCTTTCTCTTGATGCACAGGCACTCTCTCGATTTACACTGCGCATGCTGCAAATACAGCATCCCACAAGGAAGCAGGCGCAGCCTTCTAGCCTTCACGCCCATGGCGCAGCGGCAGATACTGGCTAGTTCCAAGAGCACAGTTTGCCCGTCTGCTCTGGGGCATGCACGCAGAAGCGCCAAAAAACATGCGAATTGTGCATGCTTCTGTCTCTTGAAAGGGCACAGGATGCGTGCATTTTGTATGCAGACTGCCTCATTTTATTGGCATGCGCTGCTGCTGTCTCTGTTTTTTGTGGTGGAAAAAGCCTGCATGCTTTATGGCTATAGAAGAAAAACTAAAGCCTTCAAAACTTTTTCAAAAACTATGCGGATCAAAGTTAGAAAAGTCTGAAAGCCATCCTGCACGGCACTTTCCGGCTTTGTACGTGCGACAGAAGAGAGAAAACACAAATTAAACTGGCCACGGGTGGGGAAAGATTCTTTTGGCGTCACTGTTGTTTTATACCGCCTGTAGCCGAAGCAGGCTTGCAGCGCTGTGCGTTCTGGGGTACTCTCGAGCGGGGCAAGAAGATGGGCTCTGCGCGTCTGCTTCCATTTATGCGCAAACGTACTCCAAAATAAGAACCTATCGGCGCTTACTTTATTTTTGGATATAAATAAAACCAGAACTAAAATATTTTACAGTAAACAGAGGGAGAATGGCTGGGCTTTACACGGAAGAAAAAGCACCCATTGTAAAAAACGCACCAAACCCGCTATATATTATTCCTGGCGACCCAGACAGGGTGGAGGAGATCAAGGCGATCACCCAAAGAATATTTCCGGTGTCGTATCAGAACGACTTCTATCAGAAGCTGTTTTCAAAGAACACGTTTGTCCAGCTTCTCTGCCGTAGCGAAAACAACGAAATTATTGGCCTTTTTGCAGCCAGAATTTCGGACCCCCACACAATGGACATAAAGAACGACCTGCAGCAAGGAGGCTCAAAGTGCCAGTGCCAAGAGGAGGACCCTCTGCTGGAAAACAGGATTTTGTATGTGATTCTTCTGGGAGTGTCTCAGGAGTTTCGAGGCGCCGGGCATGGGAAAATGCTCATCCGCGAAATCGAGTCGATCGCTGTGGCGTACGGCATCAAACACGTTGTTTTGCACGTGCAGACGTCAAACCTGCCGGCCATAGAATTCTATTACAAGTTAGGGTTTAAGCTCGTCAAACTTATAACCAACTACTATAAAAATGTATACCCGAAAGACGCTTTTTTATTACAGAAGTGCTTATATTCACAATAGGCAATAAATTACTTAGAGAGTGCTCTTTCTATCTTCTCCAGCCTCTTTTTTAGTAGAAATACCTCCTTGAGCACGTCTGTCTGCATTTTATACACGGAGTCTTTGAAGTTCTCAAACGACTCGTGCAAGTCTGCCGCCCTCCGCATGCCAGGCTTTGGGGGCTCGCCTTTCGCCTGGGCATACGCCCCAGCCGCCTCGTTTGAGCATGCCATTCGCTGGCTGTACTCTACGTCAAGCCTCACAGGCCGCTCTGCATGTATTTTGTCGTGGGCCTCGGATGCTCTATTGTGCATGCTTGGCTCTAGCTTTGTCTCTGTGCATATGTACTCGTATGGAATGGGATCTGCCTCCATCATGTGGTTGGGGGCGTTGTTTTGTGTAAGCACGGGGCCCAGCATGTGCATGGGCACCGGTATTGGAATCCCTTCGTCAGGCACCACGCAGATGTAAGAGTGCTCGCCTTGCGAATGGCTTCTATATACAGTGTTTATGCTATTTGTGTGCGGGGAGTATACTGTCAGTGAGTTGCTAGATATAAAAATCATTGCTTTTCCTTTCAGAGCAACCACCGACCTGTAATCGTCTATGGGGAATTTATTTGTCTTAAGGATTCTGTTGTTTAAATAATCTACATCCATGAGATCCCCGGCGGTTGTCAGCACAAAAAGAATTGAAGGCTCGGGCCGCCAGAACCCAACTGTGCATATTGGGGATCCAAAGTACTTCATGCTTTTGATGATCTCCATTTTCTTTGTTTCAAACACGTACACGTTTCCTTTTCTGCAGCTCACCACCAGCTGGACCTGGTTGTCTATGAACACGGCCTCTGCAGTGTTCGCGTCCAGGCTTACCTTTAGGCGCAGCTTTGTGTACAGGCTTGTTTTTATTTCAAGGCGGTGGATGGCCTTCCTGCACACAAGAAGCAAAGAGCCGCCGCACAAGAGAACCTTCGCTATGCCTATGTTCTCGTCGTTCTCTATCACCATCTTCTTTTCGCCTGTACATATGTCTATGGTGGTCACAACCTTTCCAGATATATATACTATGGTTGTGTCAAACAGGGCATAGTACTCAACCATTCCAACAAGCGCGTCCTCTCGCCCCTTCAGATACCGCACAAGAAACAAGGTGCCCTCTGGCGTAAGGCCTATAAAGGCCCCTCTTTTCAAAAGGTGCTCGTTTGTTGCGAATGAAATGTACCTTTTTCTGAGTGGCCATCTGTTGGTTGCATTTCCTTTGGAAATGATGACGCCGTTTTCTATTATTTCCACAACTGTAAACAGAATGCTCTTTTCTATTTCTTTGTGCAAATTTGCATCAGTTGGTTGCCTATGCTGAATCCCTTCCATAGCAGAGCTAAAAATATTCAAATAAACATTTTAACATATAAATTTACAAATTAGAATATTTAATATTTTATATGGTACAAAAGAAGCTTAATGAATTTCTAGGTGTTATTACGGCCATAGAGGAGGTGGCCACAGACATATACAAATACACAATATATGTGGGGGAGGCGCCAGCTCCTGATCTGTGCTATGCCATTCGGCTGGGCGTGCCTGGGCGCGGCGTGACCCGGCCTTTTTCCCCTGTTAAGTACAAAAATTCTCTGGTTGAGTGCATTATAAAAATATATCCGTGTGACGCCGGCAAAGAAGACAGCATGTTTACGCCAAATCTAAGAAAGCTATTGGTTGGTGCGGAGCTGACCGTTCTGTGGTACACGCCAAAGTATTCGATAGCCCAGATTTTGCGCAGCGAATGCCCGCCAGTGTGCATGATCTCTGCCGGAACAGGAATAACTCCCATGCTGCAGATACTGCAGCACGCATCCGACACAAAGAGTCGCTGCGCCTTCTTCTTGATAAACGTGTGCGAAAGTTCCCAGCACAACATTTTGGGGCGACACAAGGGCGAATACGGCTCCCTGGACGTGTCCCTGCAGAGCAACTTCACGGACGGAAAGGATCGAGCGTATGTTTTAGAGAACCTGAAAAACATGATTTTAGATCGGCACGAAAAACGGCCGCAGAAAGACACTATATATTTGGTGTGCGGGCCCGACTCTTTTGTCTCTGCTCTTGCGGGCGAAAGAAAAGGGGCCTATGGAGGCATTCTTATGCAGCTTGGCGTGCCCGAGGCGCAGTGCTTTAAGTTCTAGAGTGCAGGGCGCGCTTGGCACTTCAGCGGCCTGCCCCAAGTGCTAGCACTATCTATTTTCGGAAGCGTGCCCCCATATAGCACATCCTGTTCTTTTGCAGGCCCTGCAGGCGTTGGCCCATTGTGCAGTGTGCTGTGCTTTGCAAAAGTAAGCGCGGGCGGTCTAGATGATATATTGAGCGGGCGATTTTTGCCAAGTATTTATTTAACTTTCTTCACTTTTTATTCTTGACATGAGCATTGAGTGCGACAGAGAATTGCAGAAATATGTGGACTTGGAGGAGGAAAGACAGAAAAATTCGCTTACGCTGATAGCCAGCGAGAACTATGTGTTTCCAGACGTGTACAGGTACTCCGGCTCTTTTCTTACAAACAAGTACTCGGAGGGAAGAGTTGGCGCAAGATACTATGGGGGAACAAAATACATTGATATGATTGAAGAGCTGTGCCAGAAAAGGGCACTCGCTCTGTTTGGGCTCGACCCTTCTCTCTGGGGCGTGTGCGTCCAGCCGTATTCTGGGAGTGTTGCAAACTTTTCTGCATACTCTGCTATGATCCAGCCAGGAGGAAAGATCATGGGCATGAACTTGCCGGCGGGCGGGCATCTGACGCACGGATTCCAAACCAAGGCCAAAAAGATTTCTGGGACAAGCCTTTATTTTTCGTCGTTCCCATACGGCGTGGACAAAAATGGAGAGCTGGACTACCATGCGATACGGGCGCAGTTTAACGAGGTCCAGCCAGAAATACTGATATGCGGATACAGTGCCCACTCGCAAGACATAAACTATGCAGAGCTGAAAGACATTGTGGGGGACAGCGCATTCCTCTACGGAGATGTTTCGCACATATCTGCGCTGATAGCGGCAGGCCTCATGAACAGCCCATTTGAGCACTGCGATGTGGTGATGACCACTACGCACAAAGGGCTTCGCGGGCCCAGAGGGGGAATAATATTTTACAGAAAAAATGCCACAATAAAGGGCGTTGCACACAACCTGGAGGCAAAGATGCACTCGGCAGTGTTTCCGCTGATGCAGGGAGGGCCGCACAACCAGACAATAGCCGGAACCGCGCACGCAATGTACATGGCGTCTCTTCCAGACTTCAAGGAGTACGCGCGCCAGGTTGTTTCCAACGCAAAGGTGCTGGAAGAGTTTTTCACCCAGAACAAGTACGATATTGTCACCGGCTCAACTGTGAACCACATGATCATTGTGGACCTCACAAGCAAGGGCGTGACGGGCGCTGAGGTGGAGGAAATGTGCGACATTATCGGGGTTAGCATCAACAAAAACACAGTCCCAACGGACACCTCGCCCTTCAACCCGTCAGGCATCCGCCTGGGCACATATGCGATCACCACGCGAGGATTCAGGGAGGCCCAGACCCGAAGAGTCGCTGAGGTGATACATGCTGCGGTTGAAATTCTGCAGGCCCACAAAGAAGAGCGCGCAGGCGTTTCTGTACAGGAGTGGATGCATGCCAGCAAAATCGTCGAGTCAAAAGAAGTAGCAGATGCCCGGCTGAAAGTGCACCAGCTGGCAGAGCTATTCCCAGTCCCTGAGTAGCTGATGCTTCTTCGCGAATACTAATAAAATCCTATTTTCGCAAAGCGCAGGCTTCAGACATTTATCGCCTTTTTGCAATAGCGCCGCAGCGCATGGCCCGTGCCAGCCCGCAGAAAGCTAGGCAGAATCACCCTACAGAAGAATAGGCGTGCGGCACCCAGCCAAAAGGCTACACGCCCGCCTGCATTACAGCATAAACACGTTGGTTCTCTTTATTCTTAATACGCGCTCTGCATTTTCCAGCTTTTCTATGCGCTGTGCCTTTGTGCTTCTGCCTTCTGAAAGGGGCAAGACTCCCCTGCTTTACAGCCGGCCCTGCACCTTCTTGGATATAATCCGAAGATCCGAGCAGACCTTTGAGGGCTGCGACCCCATGATCAGCTTACTTATGGCAGTCCGGGCAAGCGCTATGTTTGTGTCCGTTCCAAGCACCCGAATGTTCTTGTCTTCTATGACTATTCGGGTTTCAGTGATCAGCTCTATATTGTTCTTGATCTTCCCCTTGGTTCCAGCGACTCTTCCAATTGCACGCCCGATGTGGCTGTGCCGCAGTATTCGCACGTCCTCCAGAGAGAAGCAGTTCACGTACAGCGTGTCGTCTCGGAGAATGGTCAGCGCGTCCTCGGGCGAGAACCCTAGAGTGACTGCGGTGATAAACTCTTCTGCTCGCTGGATGGAGACCGGGCTAAGCGTCTCCTTGCACGTTCGGATCTCTATGCACTTCCTGGCCAAGTTCATGCGGATTTGGAGATTGCACTGCATAACCACAGGCGTGTATATTTTCATCCACTCCTCCTTGATCATTTTCATCTTTCTTGCTGGAACAGGGATGCTTCTCATTTCAAACGGCACCTCTTTGAGCTTTTCCTGCACATGTTCAGTGCTCATAAAAATTCTGCGGCAAAGGCAAATATTTACGCACAAGCGCCGCTGCGAAAGGCGCAAACAGCCTCTGCAAAAACCCGTGCAAAAATCTAATACGCCTCCCCTTTATTTCTTCTTACATTTTCCGCGTGCTGTAGAATGTTTTAACAGCCTCTGTGTGGACATAGTACAGCGCCATCAAGCACAGGCCCACCTCAAACAACGTAAGTTTCTTTATCCAGCTCTTTGTGTTTTTTGCCTTCTCTAAGTGCTCAATCTGCCTGGTGAGGAGAGACTTGTGCGAGCTGATGATTCTTCGCAGAAGCTCTTCAAGGTCCTTCCCCAGGTTTGTCTCAACCTGCGATGCAAACGGCCCTTCGTCTGTCTCTGGGAGAATCACCGTGAAAAGAATCGTTCTTTTCGATGGGTTTTCCAAAACCAAGTTGTAGTCTCCAGTTTTCTCGGGTATAAAAGACATTGCCATTTCCGTCTCGTTTTCAAACTTAAACGTGCGTATCACCCCCTTTGAGGGATTCTTTAGATAGAGCACCCCGTCGTCTATTTTTTCGCCGGACACGTTCATTTCTAGCCTTGTGGACCTGCCCTCAGTTAGGCGCAGCCCCAGCGTGAAAACTTTGTCTCCAGACACGTGGAATGTCTCGCATGTGCACATTCCCAGGAATAAAGCAATCCACAGCAGTATGTTCATTAAAAAAATAAAAATACGAACAATAAATAGACACGCCCAGCCTGCGAACAGCCGACTGGCCAATCTATGCTCCTGCACACTTTTGGGTCATACCTTTATTTTACGTCGTAGAGGCCTTTTCGGATCAGGCCTCTGAATTTGTTGAGCATCAGAGCGTTCTCTCTGTAGACTCCCCGTATGTCGATTGTGGTTTTGCTGGGGATTTCCTTCTTTTCGGTGTACATAAGAACTGTGTAGATTGGCGAAATTCCCTCCAGGAAGGTCATGACTTTTATGAACTCGCCTCTCTGGCTGCGCCCCAAAAAGATGTAATGGAAGAAGAACTTCACAACAAGGCTTTCTATGTACGTGGCCCCCCAGAAAAGCCCAATCATAAGAGCAGTCACTGTTTTTACCCACTCTGCCTCGCACTTTCTGGTGAGGAAAAACAAGCCCAGAGCCAAGCCCGTGGAAAACACGCCCGAGGCTATCTTTACGTTTGCATGGCTCTGTGACTCCTGATAGTTTTCCACGCTCAAAAGGTATTCTCTGATCGAGTGGTCCAGCTCGTCCTTTATTGTGCAAAGGTCGTACAGGTGGGCATGCACTTCTTTTTTTTCTGGCAATACGCTCTCCGCTGCCTTCATAAATAATTTTCATTTTGAAAGCACATAAATCGAAGGCACGGGCCGCGGAGCAAAAAAGGGCGACTCCGGGAATTGAACCCGGGACCTCCTGCACCCAAAGCAGGAATCATACCACTAGACCAAGTCGCCTCCACAAATATCAAAAGAAAGTCGCTCTGCAACGGCTGTGCTGCAGGACGGGCGCTTCTGCAGAGGGCTCTCGAGCAGCCCAATGTTCTTTTTTTGGATAATTGCAATTAGGTGGTATTTATCCTTGGGATCCTTTTTCCTTATGAAATGCAAAGTCTCTGAGGTGATTAAGAAAGTGCTTGAGCAGGAAATGGAGCGAGACAGCTCTGTGTACATTCTGGGCGAGGAGGTTGCTGTGTACGGAGGCGCGTACCAGTGCACTGCAGGGCTGCTCGACAAGTTTGGGTCTTCTCGCGTGGTGGACACGCCCATCTCAGAAATGGGCTTCACAGGGATGGCTGTTGGGTCTGCTTTTATGGGGCTTAAGCCGGTCTGCGACTTTATGACGTTCAACTTTGCGCTGCAGTCCATGGACCACATAATCAACTCTGCTGCAAAAACCCTCTACATGTCGGGCGGCCGAATCAAGTGTCCGATTGTTTTCCGCGGCCCCAACGGGTTTGCATATGGCGTGGGCGCGCAGCACACACAGGACTTTACAGGGTTTTTTGCCGCTATCCCCGGACTAAAAGTGGTCATTCCGTACTCCGCGAGGGACCACGCAGGCCTTCTCAGAAGCGCGATTCGGGACCCGAACCCTGTTGTGGTGCTGGAGAGCGAGATTCTCTATCCAAAGCAGATGGAGTTTGACGAGGGCGTGGTGTATGACCCGGAGTTCCTCCTTCCTTTGGACAAGGCCATTGTTGAGGTGGAGGGCAGCGCAGTCACCATTCTTGGGATTGGGCTGACCGTTGGGCTGTGCCTGGAGGCGGCCAGGGCGCTCAAGCAGCAAAACATCTCAGCCGAGGTTATAAACGCAATATCTGTCAACCCGCTTGACATTACTACCGTCCAAAAATCTGTTGAAAAAACAAAAAATCTTCTTATTGTGGACTATGCATGGCCAGAGTGCGGAATTGCCTCTGAAGTGGCAGCCTCTATTTCCTCCCGCCTGTTTGGCATGCTGGACAAGCCTGTGCACACTCTGTGCAGCAAGAAGATACCCACTCCGTACGCGAAGGAGCTGGAAAGCGCAATGTATCCCAGCGTGGACGACATTTCAACAGCTGTGTACTCTCTGCTGAATAAAATGGGGCAGGGAAATAAAAACTAGGCGACTAAATACATTTGCATTTTTATTACAGAAAATTCATGTTTAGACTTCGCTATGCAACCGGCGTGTCCTCTGTTCCTATTTCACTGGGGCGCGGCGAATGCAGGAGAACGTGTAAGTTCACGAGGGTGTTTGGCTGGATTTTTCCTCCGGTTATGTATATGCCCTCCTGCACAGAGACGTTCGCGCCCAGAACCGAGTAGTCCTCAATCCGGGACCATCTCCCCACAACAGCCCCCCACCCAATGATGGAGTTTACAATGAGCGCGTTCTTTTTTATGCATGCGCCTTCAAAAACGATCGAGTTTTCTATTTCCACGCCCTCCTCGATTTCCACGCCCGGGCCAATTGTTGTGTTTTTCCCTATCATTGCGCCGGGGGAGATTCTGGCCGTTTTGTCTATCATGGACAGGTCCGGGTTGTTTTGGTGGTACAGAATATTTCCAAGCACATAGTCTTTTGGCTGGCCAATGTCCATCCAAAAGCCTTTCAGGTCAAACGTCTTTACAATAGCGTGTTTTATCATGTGCGGCAGCACGTCTTTTTCTATTGACATGGGCTTGTCCTGTATGTAGTTTAGCACGTTTCTGCCGAATATGTACACGCCTGCGTTTATTCGGTTGCCCACAAACTTTTCAGGCTTTTCTACGAACTGCACCATCCGCGCGTCTGCATCCGAGACAATCACCCCGTACTTCTCAGGCGCCTCCACCTTTGTTGCAAGGATGGTTCCGTCTCCGCCGTGCTTCCTGTGGCTCTCCAGCATCTCGCTGAACGGAAACTTGCAGATTACATCGGAGTTAAGCACAAAAAAGGGCTTGCGCTCGTTTTTAAGGACCTCTCTAAGAAGAGCCAGCGGGCCCGCAGTCCCCATGGGAGAGCTTTCCACAGAGTATGTTATTTTTACGCCCAGGTCCTGCTCGTATCGGTGCAGATACTCTTTGATGTTTTCTTGCATGTGCCCCACAGCCAATATCACTTCTGTGACTCCAGCCTCCACAAGCGCCTCTATCTGGTGTTTTAAAATAGGCTTGTTTGCGAATGGAATCAGCGGCTTGGGCTGTGTGTGTGTCAGGGGCTGCAGCCGCGTCCCCATTCCTCCCACTAGTATAATACCTTTCATACAAGCCAAAATAAGCTCTTATATTTATATTTCATTAATAATTAGATGTTTAATTTCCATTGTTTACATACATACTGTGTTTGGGGCCAATTGCAGGTTTGATAAACAAACACGCGCGCGTGCTTTGTTTTCATGGCAGCCGCCTATGTGCTGCCAGCGCGCCCTGATATACGCCCCTTTGCATGCCACTGCGCTTTCGGTCTTATTCTCCTCTCTGGCTTTGCACAAGAAAAGATCGTCTTTCACGGAGAAGTGCTCTAGACCTTCAAAAACTGCAAATTAGAGCACCGTTCTTATAGTGTTCCCTAGAGAGCCACATGCCACGCTTTTTCTGGCGCATATCAAAGATCTGTGCTGCCACATCAATATGCGTTATAGATAATCGTTGCCTGTTTCAGGGAAACGTGTGTGCGTGCATATGTATTTTCCTTGCAGCATAAAATCTGATCTGGCCTGCCTGCCCCTGAGGCCTGCCGCGCCGCTTTGTGGGTGTAGGTGCAGATTCTTGCTGTTTCTCTCTGCCGGCCATGCATCCTGCCTTCTTAGCACTACTCTTTGGCTGCAGGGATGTGTTTATTTTTCTTCCTTCTTCAAATAAAAAGCGTACTCTTGACTTTGCTTTATACGTTTTCAAAATGTTCCCAGAAGCACTGGATAGGCGCAGAGCAAAGGAAAAGTGCATAGACCCAGAACGCGTGGACAAGGCCTATAATACTGTGCTTTGGGCTTCTAGCTACTAAAACCAGGGGGAACACGTGTGTTAGACAATGCCTCTACTACAGAACAATGCATGCTCACAGCTGTGGGGCTTAGGCCGGCCTGTTCTGCATTGCTCCGCTTTCTGGCAGGCCAGCGCCAATTTTAACTTTCGCACAGAAGCAAAAAATTTATGGCTGGAAAGAAGAATGCAAGCCGGGTCAAGACCATGCGAAAAAGAATAGATAAACCGACGGAGGTGAAGAAAACCCCCGAAATACGGGAAGACGAAATAAACCCCGACCTGCGAAGATACTTTGACATAAACCACAACTTGAGCCCGCCATACAACATCATACTGGACACAAACTTTGTGAACATGTCGCTTAGGAGAAAGCTGGACATAGAGCCAGAGCTTATCTCCTGCTTGTACAGCAGAGTCAACATGTTTGTTACCGACTGCGTGGTGGCCGAGATGGAGAAGCTTGGAAAAGTGCACATGCTTGCGCTGCGCGTGATAAAGAGCGAAAAGTTCAAACGGCTTACGTGCGACCACCCGGGAATATATGCAGACAACTGCCTCGTGGACAGAGTGAAGCAGCACCCTTGCTATGTTGTTGCCACGTGCGATAAAGAGCTGAAGCAGCGGCTTCGAAGAATTCCAGGTGTTCCAATTCTTTCGGTGCAAGGCATGAAGTACTCGGTGGAGTCCCTTCCTGCTACAGGGCTGTTCAAGTTCTAAGTAAAATAGACAGAGAAGATGCAGCTGCATGTTTTCAGAAGCTGGCGTGCATGCCTAAGAAAGGAGCCCTGGCATCTACAAGTTTCTGTCATGTGCAAGCGCCCGTTATGCACTGCAGAAGATTCCGGCAGCGCAGGAAATAGAGGGGCTGCGGTGTGTAGAGTCAGTTGGGCGCATTGGGCAGCGCCCTGAGCACATATTATTTAGCTCTATACAGTGCAGCGATAAAAAGCTCGGCGTGCCCTTGGCAGACCCGGGCCGTCTAGAAATTGCCGTGCGGAAATACCTGCCAGCTGAAATGTAAACACGCCGGAACAACTTTAAATAAAATCGCATTTTGCTCTTTGAGTTTTTAATGCAGCAGAAGGCGAAAACATTCATAGAGGAGATTATGGGATGCTCAACTTTGATTGTAAATGGAGGGTCTTTTGGGGGCAGGCTGAAATACGAGCTGGAAAAAAAGGGCGCTGGTAAGGTGTTCGAGATTTACACGGAAGATTATACAGAGGACAGGAATCTGCTGTATAAAGCATGCCTGCACGCGATTGCATCTGCAATAGACAGAAAGCAGCACTATACAGACTACTCAATGCGGATTGAGGGCTCTGCCAGGATAGACTGGAGCGATATCAGAAAGCGCGTGCAGGAGAGGGCAGAGAGAATGCACGGGGAAAGAAAGCCTAAGGCCCGGGGCTTGGTGGAGGAGAAAGATGGCAAGGTGTACATTGACGGGAGGAGGTGTGCGTCCAAGAGCGTTGTAATAGTGGAGAGCCAAAAAAGCAGCGCGCCCACGTTCAGCAATGTCTGGATCTGGCTAGCTGAGCAGGAGGGGGTTCCAGGCTGCGTCTTTGTCCAGGGAAACAACAAGCATGCCGTAGAAGCTGCGTCGATTCTCTCTGATCTGGGGAGCAAAGTCTATCTTGCAACACAGAAAAAAGAGCTGCTTTGCGACTATGAGAAAAATATTCGCGAGTCTGTGAAAACTCTTCTCCTGGAAAAAGGGGTTGTTATTTTCTTCGAGAGCAGCGTGAAAAGCGTGAGCACAGAAAAAAAGACAAGCATTGCTGTTGAAATGTGCACCGGCGCCGAGCAGAACATTTCTGGCATAGACTTGTTCCTGGCCGAGGCAGAGTATGCAGAGACAGAAACAACAGCAGAGGGGCAGACTGTGGTAAGAGTGGCGGAGCCTAGGCAAAAAATTGGCATGGCTGAAGTCTCTGTTCTGCGGAAAATATGCCCCGGAATTTTTCCAGAAGGCGAGCAGTACATGCCGTTTGTGCCTAGTTTTGTGTACACAAGCCCCCCTGCAGCCTCTGTGGGGTACACTCAGGAGGAGGCCGAAGAACTTTTTAGTGGCGTGCGAGCGGCAAATCCAAAGTTCCGAGGCCTGTTCTATGCCGTTTGCAGCCATAAGGTGCCGACAGACTATAAGCTTGTCTTTGCCAGCTTCTCTGAGGGCCACTTGCGGAAAGAAAAAATAGTTGGCATGCATCTGTTCGGGCCTGGAAGCATCGACGCAATTAAGGGGTTTATAGGGACCTTCCACTGCGACATATCGCTTGAAGAGATTTTGAAAACCATCCCGATACACCCAACGTCGTCCGAGGAAATAATAACAGGATAGTGTGCGCCCCTGCATCGCGCATACGCGGATAGGCAAGGACTATTGGTCCGCTGCCGAGCATTGCGCAGGAGGGCGCTAGAGAATAAATGGAAGTGTGTATTTCAGAGGCTCTATTGGGCAGAGGGCTTGGGCTTATTACGTTTTGTTTATTTTTTCAAGAATGCACGATCTTATTGTGGTAGGCGGAGGCAGTGGTGGGCTTTCTCTGTCAAAGCGAGCTGCGTGTTTATATGGAAAGCGCGTGCTGCTGGTGGACAGAACCGTTTTGGGAGGGACGTGCGTAAACACGGGATGCATACCGAAGAAGATGCTTTATAACGCAGCAAACCTGCACGCAGAGGCTCGGGTTCTCTATAGAAGCGCACGGGTGGAGTTCAAGTGGGCCGAGTTTAAAGAAAAGAGAAGCGTGTACATAGAATTTCTCAATGGCATGTACACAAAAAGAAACCAGAAAGACGGCGTGGATACTGTTACGGGGGACGCCTCTATTAAGGATGGCGCTGTGGAGGTGAACGGAGTTAAGTACAGCGCAGAGACCGTTGTGCTTGCAATGGGGTCCAAGCCCAGAGTCCTGGAGGTCAAGGGAAAAGAGCACTTTCTAACCAGCAATGACTTCTTTATGTTTGAGAGTGTGCCAAAGTCTGTTCTGATTGTAGGAACAGGATACATTGCTGTCGAAACAGCGTTTGTCCTGGCAGAGTTTGGGTGCAAAGTGACTCTGGTGGCCCGGAGAACGGGAGTGCTCCGAGCGTTTGATGAGGTTGTCCAGAGGGAGGTGCATGCGTCTCTGTTGTCAAAGGGGATCCAAGTTCTGGAGCGAGCCACTGTGTCTTCGATGGAAGCAAAAAACGGGGAGGTTCGGGTTACGCTCTCCTTGGAGGACGGGCAGAAAGAGACAAAAGTCACTGCCGAGAAGGTGATATGTGCTACAGGAAGAGTAGCCAACACAGAGGCCATCCACATGCAGGCCATAAAGGCAGACAGCAACGGGTTTGTGTGCACCAACAAGACGTTCAAAACCACGGTGGATGGGGTCTATGCCATTGGAGACATTACGATGGAAAAGTACATGCTTACGCCCGTGGCAATATTCTGTGGGAGGCGCTTGGCAGACTACCTGTACGGAAACACAACAGACAACATAAAGAAGCTGGTGGACGCCGTTCCGACTGTTGTTTTCTCGCACCCTCCTGCAGGCTCTGTGGGATACGCCAAGGAGGACTCCGAGATTGCTGGGAAGCTGGTTTCTGTTGAGTGCATAGAAACATTCCACCCTCTCTCTATATTCAGTGACAGGAAGAATGCATACAAGTTTGTCTTCGACAGCGAGACAAGCGAGCTGTATGGCGTTCATGTGCACGGGGCTGAGTGCGACGAGATACTCCAGGGGTATGCTGCGTTGGTTCGAAGCCGGATCAAGTATGCGGATATGAAAGAGTACACAGCAAAAATAGGCGGGACCATGGAAGACATTCTTTCTGGGGTGTTTGAATAATAGCCTCTCACAAAATATACACGTTTATTACTCCTTTTCAATTGCATCATATTCAAAGGGCTTTCGGGCCTTCTTTAGCTCTTCGTTTGTCACCAAAAGCTCTTTGGCTCGGGTGTACTTCCTTCTGTCTCTTTTTATTGTGTACAGAAGATCGTCAGTTTTTGTTCGCCCTCGAGACTTTGACACGATCTTTGCCTTCTGCAGAATGTTCGTCAAATAGTGGCACAAATAGTCGTGTATCACCATGGCAGAATCTAAGCGTGGATTCACAGTGTCTCCAAGAGAGTACATCAGCATTCGTATCTCTCGTATGAAGTTCGGCTTTCTCTCTTTCATTAAAAAAATTAGAGTTTTCTGCGTAAATAAGTCCCTAAGCAGAGTTCTATTGAGTGCGTTTCCTCGAGAGGCCGCGCCCCTGAGAGAAAGCAAAACCGTGGCTGCATTAAAGAATTGTTGTAGCACGCTCTAAACGAACACGGTTTCCACTACGCAAGAAACTCGGCCAGTTCCCAAGCTCTGAGCAGCCGCAGACTTTTCTCCTTACTCTCCATAGTTGCCTCTTTGCGGAATATTGCGCGTCCTTTCTTTGAGCTTGCAAATTTAGCACGGGGGCATGCGCATATTTTGCACCGCCCCGGCCTCTTTACACTTTTGCAGCAGCTCTGGCACTGCCTTTGTGCGTGGCAGCCCGCAAGGAAAAAGAAGCCTCCAGGAGCTCCTTTCCTGAACGCACAGCTTAGATGTTGTGGCCGGCAGCCTGGAAGTGCATGGCATGCGTTGACTTGCCTTCAGATTTTGTTGCACTGGAACACTTCAAGCCAGCATAAGCACGCAGTTCTGAGGCAGCATGCATGCATTTCCCAGCACAGGCAGAAGAAGGAGCGAGTGCAAGGATTGCAGCAGATTCCGATGACTTCTGCAGTGTGCCAGCGCCTGGTCTTGCTGCGATGCTCTTTTGGCAGTTTCCACTAAACTCCACTGTCTTTGTATATTTCTTGTCGGTGCTTAAACTCTCTGGAGTTGTGCATGTTTACGTGTATTCTTCCACGAGCCCGTGGGTATGCTATGTTGGCTGTGTACTCCACGTACACATTCCGCACATGTGCAGGAAGCAGAGACAGATCCAGACTCTCTTCGTGGTCCCAGGGGCTTTTGTGCCTTGTGTGCACGTCAATAAGCCGGTAGAATAGAGTCTCCTGCCCAGTGTTCTTTTTCGGCTTTTTTATGTTTGCCAGATACTCTTCAAATAAAAACCTGTATGGAGACGCCATGGCTTCTGCCTGCTTAAACACCTCAATGTTATAGCTGTATGGGGTGGTGTAAACAAATTCCCTAGAGTGGGCGTGCCTAATTAGATCTATGTAGAGCGCGCCTGCGTCTGGATGCGACTGTATCACGGCCAGCCTGGCCATTATCAGCATGCATCTTCGGTACAGCTCAGTTTTGGTGTCTTTGCAGGCTATGTTTCTTAAGTGCTCCGCACACTCGTACGCTGTTTTGTACTTTCTCCCCTGGCAGAGACATTGAATGTCTTTCCACAGAATGTCGGCGTTTGCGTGGAGAGTGTATTTGCACTGCAGGCTATTTTCTGGAGAGAGCTTGAGCACTTCTAGCGAGGATATTTTCAAGCGCATAGAAATATTTTTTTACGTTTCTCTTTTACGCGGATGAAGTGCTTAATAGTGGTTAAAAACGTGCTCTTTGTCAACGAGTATGAAAACCACATAAAGTCCATAGTGGAGGAGTACGCGGACGTGGAGGTAGCCGACATTGTGGGCATGTACAGCAACCAGGAAAAGTATTCTGAAGACTACTCTGCCATCATAACTCTTGCCGGCGACGGAACCATTCTTAAGGTTCTTTCTATATGTACAGATAAGGGCGCGGGCTTTGCAAGCGCAGACTACATAGAGCAGGCAGAGCAGAAAAGATTTCCCATGTATGCAAAAAAATGCAGAAAGCCTAAAAAAGGCGTTCAGACAGACACGGTTCTTCCCCTCCTGTTTGCGTTTGACAATAGCACAAAGGGCAGGCTCTGCAACATAAAAAAGCCGCTGTACGAGCAAGCTGAGCGCCTTCTAAGCAGGCTGCTGGAAGCGCACACAAGAAAAGACACGGAGGCTTTGCGTCTTCTATACGCAGAAAATGCGATCCGAAGGCGCAGGCTCAGTGTAAACGGCTTGGTGGACGCCTTGAATGAGGTGTATATATACCCCCGCGAAAAAGGTCTGCTGGGCGGCCTGACCGTCTCGATCAATGGGGGCGCGGTCTACCAGAATTTCCGGTGCGACGGAGTGATTATAAGCACAGCAACAGGGTCAAGCGGGTACAACGCATCTGCGGGCGGGCCTATCCTATATGGAAGCGTGCACGGGATTACAATGACTTTTGTGTGTGCGTCGGACAAGAAAGTTTCGCCTGTGGTGCTGAGCAGTAGCTGCACAGTGTCCATTGCAAATGCGCTGGATGGCAAAAATGTGCATGCTGTTGTTGATGGGTGTCTTTTTCTAGAGAATGCCGTGTTTGTGGTAAAAACGCAAAAACAGGGGGCGGTGTACTTCGCAGACTTGGGAAACAAAAAGTACTTTGCTGATTTTTTGTCGGCTATCCAGGAGTAAGGGGAAGCGGAATAAATTCAGTGTGAAAAAGGAGCACATGGAAAAAAGAGAACTAAATACAGAGCTTCTTCGAAAAACGGTGAGAGAGCTGCTCTCTATCATGGAAAACGCAGACGTACTGCCAAAAGAGACTTTTCACATTCAAAAATTCTTTTTGGAGCAGAGAAGTAAAATTATACAACTGGGAAAACTCGTTGTTGTTTTGTCCGGAATTCCAGAAAACTCCAAGGAGGCCCTCAAGTTCGGAAGGCTTCTGGTTTCAAACTACATATGCAGCAATGTGGTGAGCATTGAGTTTCTGAACAGAGCACTTACGTGCGAGCTGGAGAGTGAGGGCTTGCTAAAGGAGGAGATCATTCAATTTGTAAGCAAATCCTTGGCGTATCTGAAAAAAGACAAGAAAGACTTCTTGAGGACCATTAAAAAGGAGAAGAGCGTGCTGAAACGGCTGAAGACTTCCGAAAAGGCCGCGCGCAGTAACCCGGAGTGGAAGAGCGAAATAGAGACCCTGGAAGAGCGAATAAGGAACATTTCGCTGATTATTAGAAACAGAGCTGCACCGAAAAAAGAGACTGCAAAGCCTCCAAAGGACCGCGGGTTTCGCGATCTAATATACAGGCTTTCTAGACTAAAATGCTTTTGCAGCTTTAAAAGGAAGGCCAAGGTGTCAAAGTACGACGTTCTTCGGGAAGTCACACTGCACATGCTGGAGACCCAATCCATATGCTACATTTCCATTATACCCTTCATGTGTAAAGACCGGCAAAAGATAAATATTGAAATGTGCTCGCCCCTGGGCATAGAGCCCGGGTTTATAGGCAAGGCAAAGAAGTATATAAAGTATACTCTGCAGGAGCTTGCAAAGAGCTGCCCAAGAGATGCGGCCCGCCATGTTCGAGCGTGTGTCGCCGAGTACAGGAAAACCGGAGACTTTGAAAAGACAAAGCTCAGAGATGCTCTTATGGCTCTTTCTCCGTCAAGGACCAGCACAATTGAAAAGGTTGTAGAGTCGCCTACGAATAGAATTTTCCACATAAACATTATTCGGATTTTGTACCTTTTGATACACGACTCGGCGTTTAACAAGATACAGCAGTATAAGAAACTTCACAGCGTCGGCACGAACACGCTAGCCATATTTGTTAGGGAAAACAGAATATACCACAGAGCTCTTATTCGGCGCTATGCAAGCACGCCAAAAGATGCGCCGCTGGAAAGAGTGAGCGAAGACGGGGGCCAGAGCCTGCACTTTTTGGTGCGGAGCAAGGCCTTTGCAGACACATTCTATTTAACGCGGACCATATCCGATGGCATATTTACTGCAGACGGAATTTTGTCAAGTTACTACAGAACATACCATGTGCTAAGAACATCGATTCTTGCAAGCCTCTTAGACATTCTAACAAAGAAGGTGTCGGCTATTGTGTGTGCAAATATTGACAGCCGAGCGCGGAGAGACCGAAAATGCAGCGCCGACAAGCTGCATAGCATAGTAAAAAGGAGGATTCTTAGCCTTCTGCACGTAATGACGATTAGGTTCCTAAAGACCAAAAACATTTCTCCAAGAGAGTTTGTTTCTTCCATAAACTTGGACGAGTTTGAGAAAAGAGGAATCCCCGGCTGTCACAAAGAAGTGTGGATGTTCCTTCTGCTGGCGCTTCCTATGTTTGTGTTTTCTGCAAGCATTCTGCGGGTTTAATAAGAAATAAAAGATACCTTTAATGATTGGGCTGCGCTTTCTAACATGTTTGTCTTTGCGCTGCTTTCCTGCCTGCCTAGCTCTTTAGCTTGGCCAGCTCTATGCACGCATGTTTTATGCAAAGTGTCTGTGTGCTTTGTTGGCCCACATATCACTCAATTCGGCTGGCAGAATAAAACCGTGCGCAACTTGGCCAATAAAATGGCATGTTTGGGCATGTACATTTTTCTTTTATAGGGAAAATGCACGTTTTCAAGGCGCTCTAATGCATAGACACAGCCTCTTGCTTGGTGTTTATGGTTTTTCTAGAATATAAGCACTGTCCTGTTCCCGTGGTCTAATGCTGCGTATATGGCCAGCTAGAGACTGCGAGATTTATATTTTTCCAACAAAGCGGATCTAAAATGAAAAAGTGTACAATTTGTTTTTTAGTCCTTTGAATTTATTTATATTTGGATACTTGTTTGCTATGCATATGTATAAGTATAAGTATATGTATATGTATATGAGCAAGTGGATAATAATAGGATATAGATAGTTCGCTGGACTGAGTTTGTTGTAGTTGTTGTTGGTTGATTGTTGAAAGCTTACTGCAGGTGCCAGTAAGGAGCGCGAAGCTTGGGTTAGAAGCCAAGCTGCCACAGATACACATCCCAGAATCGAGCTAGAAAGATATCCGCCGAAGAGTTTAACCTACCTGTAACGAGCAGCACAATGTGTAGTCAGCTCAGGGTGTTTACTTTTTCTTCTTGGTTTTTCTTGGTTTCTTGTTTCTTTACTGAGAGGTAGCCTAGTGTGAACAGCGCAGTGCCATAGTCCACGGCTTTTATGTTTTTATGTGGTTGAGAGATCGAAGAGTTTAGTGCGCCACCTCCGCGACATGCAGAGGTAAGATGTGTATTGTATGATTGCAGGGTTGCTTTCTTTCTCTGAAGTTCAGAAATGCTCGCCCTTAAATAAACAAGAAGTGCAATAAACCCGCATTGGGACAGGACAAAATATGCCTGAACAAGGGAAATAGAATGCCCTCGGCCAGAGTGGACAATTAAATTGCGCATTTAGACCCTTAGAAAGACCGTTCCAACGCTGCTTTAATTTAAGTGCCTAGTCAGCCGTGGGAGAATGAGCGTGGATTGGTGGCGCATGCTTATAAGGTGCAATTATTGAATGAAGAAAGAGCTGATTAGGCGTGCTGAATATTGGGTGTGGCCTTTGAATAGCGGATGAAATGCACTATAATAGATGAAAGAAGGCAGCCCTTCGAAAGAACTGCATGCCACGCTGCCGGGAAACATGCATTGCAAGGCATAGGCTTGCATGCGTATAGATGCGCCAGCGCACCCCAAAACACATACTACTATTAGCTTTTATTAAAACCCCATGGCGCAGGGACACCGCCCAGCTGCCACATTTGAAACTTAAGAGACTACGGGAATATTATCATCCCATCCACTATCTTAATAATTTCTTCTTTCTCGAACTCCATGAGCCCCTCAATCACAGACTCTTTCGACACTTCGCACAGGGAGGCAATCTTTTCAATGGAAACAATTCTGTCATTCGGGTTGTTTTCTCTGTAGGAGTACAAAATTGAGTGCAGGCTTTCCTGGTTTTGCGCCTTCTTCTCTCGAATACGAACGCTCTTTCGCCAGAGCGTGCTCTCCAGTATTTCTACCGCGGCAACTGCATCGTCCAGCTCAATGACAGAGCTTAGCCGGGCCTTTGCATGCGCAGTCGACAGTCGGATAATGCTTTCAAGCAGCCGAGCCGTCACATTTCGGCACAGGCTGGTTTTGTTTTTTTCGCCCTCCTCTCGGATCCGCATGTACTCCACACTGATGTGCTTTACAGCATCCTCAGACAGCTCGGGGTTTATGGCCTTTGCAGCCTCAATGTAGCTTCTAATTTCCTCTCGAGACAGCTCGTTGATGGACCCTTTTCTGCCCATCCGCATGTCCAGAACGTGCTCTGCTATTTCCGAGTCGTACTTCAGCGTGTCTTCCAGTATGTATATTAAATCAAAACGCGTCAGTATAGACTCGGGCAGCCGAATGTTTTCCCGTGGCGACAGGTTGCTCCTGTACTGGCCTGAAACAGGGTTTGCAGCAGCCAAAACCGAACATCTGGCGTTCAGCGTAATGTATATACCTCCTTTTGTAATGGTCACGGTCTGCTGCTCCATGGCCTCGTGGATTGCCGCCCGCTCAGTGTCGTCCATTTTATCAAACTCGTCAATGCAAACAATCCCCGTGTCGGCCAAGACCATGGCTCCCGCCTCTATTTTCCGCGAGCCTGTGTCAGGGTCTGAGACTATTGCAGCAGTCAGCCCCACACCAGAGGCACCTCTTCCTGTGGTTCCCACCGACAGAGGAGAAATGTCCAAAACATACCGCAGAAGCTGGCTTTTTGCAATTCCTGGGTCGCCCACCAAAAGAATGTTTATGTCTCCACGAATGCTTCCTCCCGTGCTCGTCTGGATGGCCTTGCCTCCTATCATCATGAGGAGAATTGCCTTTTTGATTGCAGTGTGCCCATATATGGAGGGCGCAATGTACTTTACTATCCCGTCAATCCCCTCAGCTGCCAGTATGCTCTGGATGGCCTCTGGGCTTGTCTTTTTTTCTTCTTTTTTGTTTAGTATTTCTATGTTGTTTGCTATAACAGTGGTCTTCAGCGTGTCCTGCGTGCTTTTGAGGTTTGAAACACACTTGTAGGTCCCATACACCCGAACTCGATCCCCAGGCTTCACCAGCCCGGCAAGATCGTTCTCGAGCACGATGCTGATGGCGCGAGGCATTTGCCCAGGGAGCGACAGCTCAGGCATTTCCTGCAGAGTTATTGTCTGGTGGGAAATGTACTCGCTGAGCCCGTATTCCAGCTCCAGCGGGTTTCCGTCAAGTGACTGCTTGGGAATGGCTGTTGTTGTGGGCGGCAGGATAGAAAGCGTGCAGCTGTCTCTGTACTCCTTGCTCACAAAAGAGTTGGAAGCCTGTATGTAGTGCACGCTTTTTTTAATTTTCGGCCTGACTATGGAGGCGCTTGTGATGATCCCCTTTATAGAAACCATTTTCCCGATGTAGTTCGACAGAAGCGTTCTGGGAGTGACTTTTTCCCCATGGAGCACTCCAGATATTCCCACGCTCACAAAGGTCTGGGTGTATTCTTGCGCTATTTCCTCAAACGCAGGCAGCAGAGAAATCGCATTCTCCTGCAGGGCGAGAGACAGATCTTTGTTGAATCTTCGAATGTCTCCAATGTCAATTACAATCCTTCGGGGAGGCGGGATGGCCAGCAGTAGAGACTTGTAGCGCTTCTCTCCTCGGGAGCGCTCAAAAAATTCTCTTATTTGCGCTCTGTATACTCCAATTGCATCCATATTGAAAACTTTTGCTATTTTTTATGTCACTTCTTATAAAGCCCCTATTCCAGAATGCAGCCAAGCTAGGCAACAACAGCAAGGCCATAGATGCATACGTGAAAAAATATGTCGAAACAGCCAAAATTGTGGAAGAGGTCCTGCACGAGGCTCTTAGCAAGAGAAACCCGTAATTTTATGAAGATATTTTATGCATGCAGCCACACAGAAGAACAGCAGGCACGCTATTTTATCGCAGAGAAGGCATAGCGTGTGCTGAAGAGCGGCCAACGCGTGCACTTTGGGGCTGCAGGGTTAAGCAAATCCGGGCGCAAAAATGTCTCGTTGACAAAATACTCGCTTGTGCGTGCAGAGAAAGCGTGCAAGGCCGGCAAGAGGTTTCCTGGATGGCAGAGCAGGGCCTTCAGAGCAAATTTGCGCGCGCAGACTTTGCGCTGGGAGGGCGGCACAATTAAAGAGATTTGCATAAATTGAAAAATGTCTCTGCCAAACCCGAGAAAAGCACACGCAGAGCGCCTGCAGTTTCAGAGGGCGTGTGCACGTGCCCATCACAGAGGGGAGGCCCGGCCAGCAAACATCATATTAAAATATTCATATTATACAAAATAATTTTTTATTCCATGAATGTTACTCACCAAAAGAATATTTTGCATTTAAGCACGGCAGAGGAAAGATGCACAGGAACGAGTATATTTAATGTAGATTTGGAAAAAGACGAGCCGCTGGAAATATTGAAGATACAGTTGAAGATATTAAAAATAGAAGTATTGGATGAGGACAATTGGAAAGTTATAGAGGAGATCGAAAGTCCGGTAGTTCCAAAGGCCACAAAGAAAATAAGAATATTATTCGAGATTGAGAGGAACAACCCGGGAATATCCTTCTACAGCACGCCAGACAAGAAGCACATGGAGTTTGTGGGGGAGCCTGTAAACGGGCAGGCGCAGGTTTTGTTTCCTCTTCTGTCCGTAGAGGTGTTTACCATAGAAATGGTCTATATTGTTTCGAGCGAAAAGGGGTTCCAGGTTGCTTCCAGCGGGGTGCTTAGCGGGATATACGATGGAGGCACAACCAAAATGTTCCACTACAAAATAGAAAATGGCCGGCCAAAAGATGTTGTGTTCGCAGGGGGAATGTTTGAGGAAATGCAGTCGGGTAGAGTCTCCATTCTTGTGCCTGAAATGTTTTCGAATAAATTCTCGGTGGGCAGGAAAGAGTGCTTTGAAGTTATTAAGTCCTCGATAGTAACAGCACAGCAGGCACTAGACTATAAGCTCCCGTTTTGCAGGCTGCAGGTCGTGTTTACGCTTTGCAACGTGGTCGGAACGGTGGGAAGAAACTGCGCAGTCCTGAACATTTCGCAGATGATTGTGCCAGAGGCAATTGACCAGTGCTTCTCCAGCATCAAAACCCTGACCAAGATAGTTGCCGAGCAGTACTTTGGCATATTTGCATATTCTTCGTCCGATCTGGACGAATGGATATACACCGGCTTGGCAGAGCATGTGTCGATGTATCTGATAGAGGTGTTCCTGGGAGTCAACGAGATGAAGTATGAGCTCAATCGAAACATCGACTACGTGCACAAAAAAGACATCGAAGAGGCGCCTCTTTCGTCGGCCAGCCGCGCCAGGAGCACGTTCAGGTCTGAGTTTTTCATCAAGAAATCAAGCGCCTTCATAAAGATACTGGAAAACAATCTTACGCGAGCATTCATGCAGAAAATCATGAAGGAGGTTCTGGAGCTGCGGTCTGTCACCACACAGGACCTAATTCGAATCGTAAAGGGCATTACAGGAAAAGACGTTCGAATGCTGTTTGAAGCGTATGTGTACAAAGCAGGGATTCCGACAGTGGTTGCACAGGTTGAGCAGAACAGCCGGGCAGGCGGGTTTTCGATTATGCTGAAGCAGAAAATCCACTCTGTGCACCCGGAGGCCAACAGAAACATTACAGGAAACATATGCATACGGGTGTACGAGAGCGACTCTGTGCTAGATCATGTGCTGTTTATAGGAAGCACGCCAATAACGCACGAGCTGGCGTGCAACCAGAGAAGCCAGAGAAGAAAGCAAAAAGGAGAGGAGGCTGCGTCCCTTTTGTGGGTGAGAATAGACCCGGGGCTGGAGTGGATGAAGGTTTCGGCGGTTGAGCAGGCTGACTACATGTTTGCAGAGCAGCTTGTCAGCGAAAAAGACGTGTACGGGCAGATGGAGGCGCTTGCCGGCGTGCAGAAAAACCCCAGCGAGACGATCTGCGGGATTCTGGAGAGAGTGATGGGGGACCCCCAAATATTCTACAAAGTAAGCATAGCTGCTGGCGTGCTTTTGGCAAAAAGTGTAAACGAAGAGTCTGGATACTTTGGGTTCCAGCGGGTTGTGCAGTACTTTATCAACAGCTACTGCATACAAAACACCACAATCGTGAAGACAAACGACTTTTCGCAGTATCGTATGTACTTCATGCAAAAGAACATTGCGGCTTCAATGTCGCTGTGCCAGCTGGACTCAACGAAGGTTCTAAGCGGAAGAACAATTCGAGCCAAAAACGTGGTTTCCGCGTTTCTGCTGAATCTGATGCGGTACAACGACAACACAGGAAACAACTTCGAGGACTCCTTCTATCTAGCAGACATAATCACGTCGTTGTCGATTGCGCTGTGCTCGGACGCGTATCTGGATGCAAGCCCCTTTGTGATGGAGATGGAGCGGCTTCGAAAGAAAGACTTGCTTTTTCCAAGCCACCAAAACGTCATAACATGCGCAACCATCAAGGCCTTTACGCGGCTGGGCGTGCAGGGGCACGTAGCCGTCTCGCTTAAGGGGATGCTGGAGTACACCATGCCAGAAAACTTCTACAAGGTGAGGATGGCAGCATACGAGTGCATTATTATGCTGCACTGCCAGAAGCTGGATGTTGTTTTGGAGATGGCGCGGTACGAGGAAAGAATTGTGCGCATAAAAATACTTGCTGTGATCAGAGACAGCATAAAGTGTGCAGCCCTGCCTGTGTTTGAAGAGGTGAAGAAGCACCTTCCTGCAGTGCAGAAAATAGGAAGCGAGTTTGCTGGGGACGAAAACGTGGAGAACCTGGTGCAGGAAATAGAGAGTCTTTTGCTGGAGCAGACAGAGCTGGCGTCTGACCTCATAGAAGAGATCGTGCTGCACGACTTAAGCAGCGACGAGGAGGCAAAGACCGTGCCAAGAGTCGTGTTTAAGATATTCAAGCCGCTGCTGCTTCGAATTCCGCTAAGTCCGCTAAGGGCCCTTGAGCAGGCGCCAGAGCCAGAGCCTGTGGAGGCGCAGCCTGTCCATGTGCCGGTGGTCCAGGTAAATGTGGACGACCTTTATGCGGTTGACGTGCACAGGAGCGTGTACTGCCTTGGAGACCCGCAGAAAACAGCGGCATACCACTTCCTGTCGCAGATAAAGAAGAACAAGTCGACCTCGCACATTCTGCAGGCGTCTAAGAAGGTGGAGGCGGCGTCTGGAGGAAAAATTCCGACATTCGAAGACATCGTGATAGCAGCCGAGCATGCGTCCCCGGAAGAGGAGAGAGAAGGATCGCAGAATGCAGACGAAAAAAAAGAAAAAGACTCTGCCACCAAGCAGCCCTCCGAGAACAGGGAGAAGCCAAAGGAGGCGGTAAAAGACATAAGCATAACAATATCGCACACAAAGGAGGAGGAGCTTCTTGGAAACCCGGTAAGGTGCCTGTTCAACGCGTCGGACGAGTATCCAATGGTTGAAATATACAACAAATCGATGTGCATATTCAGAGAGTATTTTAAATACGCACAGTACGACACGTCAATGTATAATACGATAAAATACTTCCAGGCGCACTTTGAGAGAGAGTACACGGCGTTCTTCCAGTCGACAGACGCTGCATTCCACAGAGTGGACGCAGAGACCGTGGACGGAGCCTGTGGGAGAGAGGTGCTCCTGGAGGTTTTGGACAAAATCATGCAGGAGGACACGCATGCAGTGTTTTCAGTTCCCATTAGCACAGACCTGCTTAAGGAATACAAGTACATGGAAATAGTGAGAAGGCCTTTGGATCTGCTGACAATAAGAACCAGCCTGGCAGAGAAGAAGTACCTTATGGTGGAGTGCGTTATTTTTGACATTTTCCAGGTGTTCCTGAACTGCATGGCATACAACCTCCCGAACTCCGAAATATACAACGAGGCAGTTCTGGTAAAGCAGAGGGCAGAGCAGGTGGTGTCTCAGATAGAGGGGAAGTTCACAGAAAAGTGCACGCTCAAGGACGCCCTGAGAACGTTTGTGCCGGACAGCATGGAGCAGGAGTTTGCGCTTTTCTTTGAAAAGGTCAACAAGGACAAGTACCCGCAGTATTATAGCGTGGTAAAGGAGCCTATGTCTTTGTCCGTGGTGAAGGAAAGAATTGAGGACGGGTATTATAAAAACATTGTGCACTTTGAAAGTGACATCCAAAAAATCAACTCCGCAAGCATAGCATACAATGGAGCCCTTTCTGACATCACAAAGCTAAGCAAGATTCTCACGCAGAGAGTGCAGGGCTTCGTGCAGAGCGCGTTTCCGTGGTACAAGAGCATTTTCAGCAAAAGAAGCTTTGGCGCCCAGCAAAGAGCAAGGACAGGCCCCGCCAGCAGCAAAAAAGCAAAGCTCCCCAAATAACCCGACATTATATGCAGCTCTTTGACATAAATAAGATGTAACAGAATGAATGCGCACGCTTCTTTATTTATTTTGTGTTTTTTGCCCTCTTTTCTGGGCGGCAGCGCAGGCTGTGTGTGTTTTTGCAATTTGGCTTCGCTGAGAGTCAGCCTCGGCGATAAATAGAAGACACGGCGCAATTTTTTTATGGAAAAAAGAAGAGCTGACGTGACTCCATTGAAGAAAATAATATACCACGAAAGCGCAAAAGAGGAGAGCAACTGGTGGAGTGAGGCCGAGGCTTCGGAAATCTCGCAAAAGAAGATAGCTGCGATTTTTGGGCAGATGAAAGAGTACAAAAAGCTAGCTGAGGAGGCAGAGTCTGAGAAAATGCGGATAGCCCGCATCAAAATAGAAGAGCTTATGCTGGAGAAGGGGGAGGCTGTCGAAGTAGTAAATACGCACATACTGAAATGCCAAGCCCACATGCACACAATCTCCCAGCTTAGAAAGCAAATCAGCCAAAAAAAAGAAGAGCCGGCGGCTGAGAGCGGCAAGCCCGTGCTGGTGGAGGAGGACATTTCCGAGTACGTGGAAAGAATGGAGAGGCTCGAGGGGAAAGTGCAGACGCTTTTAAGCAGGCATGCGCCAAACCTCACCAAGGTGGTTAAAGCGCTTGAGCAGGAAAACAAAGACTTGTCGCAAACGATAAAAACGCTGGGAGAGAAAATAGAGGCTTTTCTGGCCGCAGAGAGCGCCCTTCATGCGGAGAAGAGGGAGCTTTCCAAGCAAATCGCAGGCCTTCAGAGCGAGAATGCCGCGAGGCAGGAGGCTTTGCTGCAGGAGAACGAAAGAATCAAGGGGGAAAAGACAATTCTGCAGAGAAGGGTGGACGAGGTGCATCTGGCCATTGAAACGCTGAACTCGGCCGTGGTGGAAAGAGCGCGGGAGCTGGAAAACATTCCAGCCAACAAGAACGAGTGCGAAAAGGGGTGCCACGAGCGCATACAGGAGCTGGAAAACAAAGAAATTGCCCGGCTAGAAGAAGTCACGTTCCTTGTGCGCAAGTACATTGACACGGGAAAACAGAACGATCTTCTTCTGCTAGAAATAGAAGAGCTGAAAAGCCAGATCAAGGCGAGCGCGCCGCCTGCCTCCCCGCCCCCGTGCACAGACTGGCCGGAGGAAAAGGAGAAGGAAATAGAGAAGCTGAAAACCGAACTAGAAAGAAGCAGCTTGGGGTACATAGAAAGAAAAACCTCTGCGCAATACCACAAAAGAAAGTCTCTTCAGTACGAAGCAGAGCTGAGTGCAGCCAGAAAGACCGCGGCAGACATGGACATAGTCAACAAGGCGCTGCAAGAGAAGCTGGAGGAGAGCATAAAAAACAAAAGCGCAAACAAGTCCCAGTCCGACTTAGATCTCTATAAGGGAATGGTCAGGTGTGGGGTGTGCTGTTCAAACATTAAGAATGTTGCACTAAAAAGATGCATGCATTTAATGTGCAGAGCATGCATTGACGATAGAATGGCCACCAGGCAAAAAACCTGCCCATTGTGTGGCACTGTTTTTTCGCCGAACGATATAGCAAATGTATATTTGTAGCTCTATATATACAATAAATAGAAAAGTTTTATGGACGACGACGAGTTTTTGCAGCAGGACTTTTCGCTTGACGAGTACTTGAGTAAAATACTTGCGGATTCGTCTGGGGAGTGTTCTCGGCTAAAAGACCGGCACGTGCGAATGCTTTCAAAACATTCGGAGGCGCTTTCTGGAGATATGCTAGACAAGAAAGAGACTGTGAAAAACGGGCTGCACATGCTTGCCGCGCTTATTGAAGAGGCCAAGCGAATTTCAAAAGAGCTTCCAGACCTGTTTCTTCCCTTGGCGGAGTCCTCCGGGGAGGCCCCAAACAGCAAGCAGCACAAAGAGCTGGAGCACGAGGTGGAGAAAATACACGGAGACGCGTCAATTGCAGAGGGGCGCGTTTTGAAGCATAAGGAGCACGTGAGCTTGCGCATAGACCGAGAGGAGCACACGGGCGTTATTTTGGTGTGCGAAGACATAATCATTCTGGGAATAGACACCAAAGACGGGATGGAGCTGTACAACGCATTTCTGATCCGAGAGCTGACGTGCAGCATGGAGAAAGACTATCTGGTCATATCGCTTCCCCCAATTCGCATTGAAGTGACGCGGGCAGACAGTACACTGAAGCACTTGAGAAACAAAATACTTGGGAGCGGGGCGGAAAGCGCGAAAACCCGAGAAACTGTGGTGCAGAAAGCAGATGGGTACACAGAAGAAATAGACCAGGCAATGTATGCAGAGTATCTCCTGAGGATTGGAAGGGTCCACAGCATCGAAGACCCGTCCTCGCCCGAGATAGTGCAGGGAATCAAGTCCCTGTACAGCGTGAGCCAGTGGAAGGGGGCGAGCTCTCTGCTGCAGCTGCTCAAGAAGCAGGACCTTTTGGAGGCGGTGAAGCTCTACTGCGGGATAGAGGGCGAGAAGCTGATGAAGGCCGTCACAGGGATTGTGCACCAGAGAGAGAATATAAAGGAAATAGTCAAAAAAGTAGGGATAGTTTTGGTGCACTACATAAATGGCCTGGAAAAGGCCTTTCCAGAGACAGCTTCGCAGGGGTACATATCCTTGCACTTGGAGGAGGTGCACACAAAGACAGCCGAGCTGGTGTACAGGTCGTACTACATATCAGAGTCCATGCAGGAGCAGCCAGACACAACAAGCACCGCGCTTACAGAGCAGCTTGTGCAGGCGTTTACATACAAAGAGTATTCTTTTGGATACACAACAAAAGTAGAGGCGGAGATAAAGAAGGAGCACCTCAAAAGCAGATACACGTTCAACAAGCAAGTGATGCAGTGCGTGTTCAAATCCCTGGAATACAGCTAGAAAGAGTGCCTGAGGCTACATACGATAGTTTATTCATTTGTTTTTCGCCTTTTGGCGTGTGCAAGAGTAAGGCTTTCGCTAATTTTGTGCGAAGTGTGCGTTGTAAAGTGCTCGAACATGCTTTTTTCCTCCGAGCGGCGGCTCTCTGGAAGCAAAATTTCTCTTAGCCGGGCGTCAATATATTCATCTTGCGTCTCTTTTGTTTTTGTGCTTGGGCTGTGCATTTTTGAATTTTTTGTATGGCTTTTTATCGGCGTGAGTATATCATCTGATGAAAATTCGGGCACATATTTCCCGAAAACTCCGCGCTATTTATGCGGGTTCGCCTTGTGCAGCGCTTCCCCCGCTTGCTGGCGCAGCAAGCCAAGTGTTAATAAAGCGCCACACAAAAGAGCATTTTCATCGTTTTTTATTGTACATTCTGGGCTTACCTTCGCTCATTTTTTATTTGCTTAAATATCATGTATCTGGAAGACAGAAGCTTGCTTATCGGATACTTCTTTTCCTTTTCCTTGCCCTCTAAAACCAAGGAGCCTTTGTGCAGGCTTTTTACCACGCCTACATCGAACAGATCACCTTTTTCTATGCGGATTATGTCCCCCTCTATAATTGTTTGCTTTTTTATCACGGTCATGGTTTTTCCATCCGGGAGGACGTGCATGTACTTGTCTGACTTGCTGCCAAAGATCTCAAGCAGATCGCTCTCCGCCTCCTCTTCCGTGCATCCTCGGAAGGGCTTTTCACAACCGGACCTTCTTCGACTTCTCTTGGTATCTTCCTCGTCCTTTGCTCCAGATGCACCATCTTCGTACAGCAAGGCAGCCTCGATCATCTTTTTATGTTTTTCTTCTAATCTTTTCTCTTGGAACTCCATTCGCTTTTTTTGTTTCGCTATTATCTTTTGCAGCCCTGCTGTTATTGCAGCCATTAAAATAAAAACATCCGAAATTTTATTTTATTTAAGCACTCGGCAGCTGCCAGATTTTGGCGCTGATACGTCCTTTGTATCTGCGCCAGATACAAAAAGCACCTGCAAAATGCATATTGCAAAAGGCTCTATTTTTGCAGCTTAAGAGGCAAGGGCGTGACGGCGCCCCTGAAGCTTGAGGCATTGAAAACACTCTCCTGTGCTGCCGCAAGAATATATCTGCAGCGGATCCAGCCAAGGCACGTGGGCTCATGCTGTGCCTCTGCGATGCTGTGGTATCGCTCTGTGCGTTCAGGATCTTAGACTAGATGCGTGACATCTTTTAGAATTTTCTTGCTGGACAGCGTCTTTAAGCCTTGCAATTGGCCAATGTGCGCCCTTTAGGCAGCACTTTTTGCAGAAGGCGGACTCTCTGCAACAGCTGGGCGCATTTCGCGCGGGCTTTGCAAAATTGGAGCAGCGCAGAAGCAGGGCTGTGCCTTTTTCGAGAAGGCTTTGGCTTGCCTTTGCAGCCAGCAAACCTGGGCCTTAGCTCGGCGAAACATTCCTGTGGGCTTTAGAGTGTATAGTGGCTTTTATTTTTCCACATTGCAGGCATGTCTATAGACTGCCGTGTGTACATGCTTCCAGGCGTTTCTATAATCCTAGCTCTGTGTTGTTTAGGTGCGTGTTTGTTATTTTTATCTTTCTAAGATACTTCTTCTTCCTCTGTGCGGGAAGGGCCTTTCTAATGGGCTTTTCCTGGGTTTTCATGGAAAGCCCTGCGTTCAGAAGCTCGTTGACAAGCTCTCGGGAGTCTGGCACTGAAACCTCTTCGTACAGCTTCAGTATCTCGGGGCTCACGTTTTTCACGTCTAGCGGGTTGTAAAATATGGACATCGACCCGTCAATGTCCTTTAGAACTATTGCCTGGTTTTTGCCTATAAGCCCGTTTATAAAGGGCTTTACGTCGTTGCTTCGGTCCAGAATCTCTTCGACAGGAATCCCGTGCTCTGCGTTTGTTTTTTTGAGGATTTCCAGGAGCTCCTCTTCGCTTTCTATTTTGTGCAGTGGAATAAAGCGAAGGTTTTTTCCCTCCCACTCTATTCGGGTGCTCTTTTTCAGCAGCTCAAGCAGGCCAGGCGTTCTTTCTATGTTAATCCCAGTTTCTGCCTCGACCTCTTTGAAGCTCACCAGCCGATTGTGTTTTTTTATGACTGTGAGTATTGTGTGTATGTATATGTTGTTATGTCTGTTCTGCGGGTTCCCCGCACTGAGCTTTGCGTATGTACTTGTGTCCATGCTGAAAAAAAATACTGCAATTTCGCAATGAGCCGACGTTTATGGGTTGGGCAGCTGCGCGCGCAAAAATGCTGCAACCTGATTTCTCAGAGGGCTGCATGCAGGCCAAGCAAAATCTCCCACAAAAACCTCTTTTGGGCAGAAAAGGCCGTGTGCTATGCGTGCCAAGCTGCACAGTGACGTGATATTGCGCTGGCCTGGCATTGGTGCATTTCATGCAAAGTGACGTTTTTGCATTGGAACAAACAGAAACGCGAGAAGAAGCATCAATTATGCGTGTATATAAGCAAGCAGGCCCAGAGCTAGTCTATGAGGACAGGCGCACATGCAAAACAGAATGGGAGCGCCGCAGAGAGAAAGCTCGCAGAAAACAGCGCGGGTGCAGGCAAGAAACAAGAGGCACGCAGTGCCTCCTACAGCTCGTGCGAAAGCAGCCCCAGAAGCCCAAACGAGCTGGAGCAGCTCTTGGAGGAGAACGCTACCTTCAAAAAAAGCGAGGAGGAAGCGCCAAGCTATGAGGACATGTCGTCGGACGAGCTAAACAAAAGAATCCGGTACGACGAGTGGGTGACCTGGAAAAAGGAAAGAAAGTCTGAGGAAAGGCGGGAGTTCATAGAGGATCTGCGAAGAATCGTAAACTACAAACTAAACATAAAAAACGTAATTGTAGGGCTAAACCTGGCCATCAACAACAGCAACTATGGAAAGAGTGCCTCGTGCTCAGAGAGGGTCAAATGCATGAGCGCAGGAGTGGTTATTGACAGCAACCGCAGCATGGAGCTTTCTACAAGCCTGTGGGTGTACGGGTCCCAGCTGCATGCCAGCGAGCAGACCGACATCGAAATATCCTGGGAGTCTGTGCTGAGCGACCTCATGCAGATTGTTGTAGAGCACAAAAGAAAGGTTGAGTATAGGCTGCCAACTCTGAAGGAGACAAACAACAGCTGGAGGTTCTGGCTCAACCACGTCCTTGCAGACATATGCGAGGAGACCTATTCCTGGATGGAGTTTGAAAACGAGATCCTTGTGAACCCTCTCCAGTATCCCACTGGGTGGAAAAATGTAGACTTTAAGTTGCCGACTGCCAAGAGAGTGCGGGATCTGAAGTACGAGGCTGTGGTTTACGAAAAAACTCTTAAAAGGAGCGCCGCTTCCCTGCGGCAGGGCAGGCACGGGGTAACCCCAAAGAACCTGTAGAGCATGCAGAGTGCGCGCGCCCTCCTTTGAAAATGCATATTTGAGCTTAACCTCTTCCGTGTGTGTATATTTCAAAACAAAGAAAAGAAAAGACATGGCAAAGCGCAAAGAGGCACAAAGCTAGAGGCCTGGACAAAAAGAGTCTGGAAAGCCGGGAGCGCGTGCAGAGATTATATAAAGCGTGTTAAGCCAAAAGCGCGAATGCGTGCTATACTTTTGTGTTTTGTTTATTCTTCATCATCTGTTGGACATTGGTTTTTTTCTTAAATAAACACGCAGGAAGAAGCTGCAGCGGCTATGCCGTGCGCGGACATGGGGCTTTTTTCTGGCAACATGCAAGCAAGCTTTCCCAGCGGAAGTGCTGTTCTGCACTGCGCGGAGGGCCGCGGAGCCAGGCTTTTGTTTTCTGCCGGACTGCCTTGGGCTTTTCCGACTTGTCTATTTCTGCATACACAATAGTATGATTTAGTCAAATAAACAAATGCACGCTTAACACTTATTAAAGTATAAATAGAAAACTAGATAAGAATAATAAAATGAAAAACACAAAAGGCCTTTCTATGCGAGTAGATGCTCCGCTTGTTTTTTCAATGCAGCCTGCTCGGGTGGCTTCTAAGAAAACCCGAGTTCATTTGGAAGAAATGATTGCTCAAGAGCTAAAAAACAGCGAATCGCATGCTTTTTCGCACAGGGCCATCAGCGCATACTCGCGCTGTGTACAAGCCCTGGGCTTGGAGGACTGCGTGCACTTGTCAGGCCCCTGTGCTGTCGAGACTGCGCGCATAAAGAGCTGCATAATGCAGCACGAGCTAAAAAGCCCTCGGTTCTCCGTGGTGAAGTTTATTGAGCAGATCTCTAGGCTGCCACCAACGGGCGAAAATATGCTAAGGCTTGTAGAGCTGGCCAGAGCCAGCATAAGTTGCAGATTCACGCTCTACAAGAATGTTTACAACTTGGACATTGCGCACAGAGGCAAAAGAATATTCAACTACCATAGAATACTTGAGAGGCTCTGGATGTTCCACCGAAAGTACAAGCATTTCATTATTGTTCTTTTTAACACGGTGCACCATCTTTCTGGATATGCCGAGGAGTACAAAAGAGCCGAAGTCACGTACAGTGGCACGCTGGAGTTGGTGAAAGAGAAAGATCTTTATATGGAAATACACGATGCATCGCTGAGGGTGATGGAGTGCATAAAGAGCGGCGCTCCGGTGAGCAAGGAGGATATAGTTGCCCTGAAGGGCTTCAAGCAGTACTATAGCCACCTGGTGTGCTCGGTGTACGGGTTTTGCGGGCACGGCCAGAACGACCTGCTGTTTATTTTTGGCGAGATGTTCAACAAAGACGGAAAAGTCAAGTCTGCACAAGCACTAGAAAATCTCCTATCTGCAATTGGGCTGCACATATCTGGGTTTTACAGCATAATCCAGCAGACATACAAAAACAAAAAGATGCCAAACGACTTGAGAAACAAGGTAGTTAGAAAGGCAATGCAGAATTTAAATGTTTTTTTGTACAAAAATCCGTCTGTGTTCTTATACATAGTAATACCTGTTTCCCACAAGCTGGCCGGATACAGCGCGTGCATTTGGGCGATTTTGCATATTATACACAGCTATTCTACAAGCGCGTGCTTCTCTTCAAAAGCGCCCCACCCTCTGCTAGCCAGGGCGGGGGCCTGTGCATTTCTGGGTGCAGTCCTGCTCTTGACAGCAAACGTCGCCAATATTATCAGAAAAGACTCTGTGCACACTAAACACTGCCCATACACACACATAAACAGGCACATATACGACTTGGCGTGCATAGTGTTCTCTTTTACAGCCTATTCGTTTATATGCCGAGGCGGCCTGGAGGCAATATATAGAGTTCCTGCGAGGGTTGCTGTGGGGGCGTTCTCTGCTTTTATGCTTTCGGTCTTCGTTTTGGACAGCCAGATCCGGCTGCAGCCTGTTTTTCCCCTCCAGAGAAAGAAAAATCTCATTATGGCGCTTGCGTATGTGTTGACTACAGTGTTCATAGGTATGATGCAGACGCTTTAGTGTGGTATTTGGGCTAGAGTAATCTTAAGAGCATGGGGCCGCAGCGAGTGAATGCGCAGTGTGGCGGATTTTGAGTATGTATAAAGAGCCAAGCGCTCCTAAGCCGGCACAGTGTGGTATATGCATGCCTAAACGCCCAAAATGCACAGGGCATCTAATTATGCATGCGTCTGCATTTTCGTGGAAATAAAGCCGTGTGTACGTTTTTCTGATGCTTGCGCATTCTGTGCGTGTTTTTCTGGGGCTTCTCTGTGCGTAGACAACAGAGCGGAGAAGAGGGCGAGGTTTGGCTATTTAAAAATTGTGCGGGCAAATTGCAAGAAAGACAACTACTCTTGCCTATACGGGCCGATTGGGCTTTCAATTAGTGGGAAAGCATAAATAGGCATGCAGGCTTGCGAAACACATGAATCTAGATCGACAGGATGCCATGCATGCAGAAGGGTCCAGCAGGCAGCTGTCAATCCTCAAAAAGAGCCTCAGAGTGGTGAAAAAGACAGCAAAGCGGATGCGGAAAGCGTCGTGGAGTGCTGTGAAGATGCTCAGCTGCACCAAGCCCGATGCAAGCGCGGTCGAATGCCTAGAAGAAAGTGCGCAATCGTGTGCAGCGCAGGAGGAGACAAAAAAGCCCAACAGATTCCAGGGAGCTAGCAGCAGAGACACGCAGTTCAGCAGTGCCGGCGCAAGCGACTGTGCAGACTCTGCGAAAGCCCAAAAGCAATCCGCGCCGCCTGTGGACCTGTTTGATAAAAACGCGATTGGGAACATGCCCCCACTTGCCGACACAAACTCTATCAAGAGCCTATATGAAATGCTGTGTCTTACCCAGCACATGGGATACGGTCCTGTGAAAAAAGTCCCAAGCAAGCCGGAGGACATCTGCGAGAAAAACAGGCAAATTCTCGAAAGGGTTGAAAAGCTTCTGAACAGGCTAATTGAGGCGGTGAAGTCTGTCCGCCACATGAAAGATGCGTCGCACATTCCCGTTATGCTTATGTTTGTTTTGCGGCAGGAGAATCTAAAGCTTTCTGCGCGCCTGAAAAAGGCAGAGCTAGACTTCAACACCCCGTCTGTAAAGTCCCCCGAGGACCTCATTGACATGAACAAGCAGGTTATCGAGTACTACATTGCAGAGTCTATGGAGCCAACCATCTGCATTGAATACTGGATTTCTTGCAAGCCTTCATTGGAGGAGGCGTACTCGACACTGCACAACGACATCGCCATGGCGCTGGTAATGGGAAAGCGAGCCGAAGGCACCATGACAGAGAGCACGATAAACTTCTATCGCGAAGTGCTGCTTTACATCAGGGCCCACGTCTCCCAAGAGCTTTGCGAGATGGAAATCGAGCAGGGCCTAACATTCTGCCCGTCTGAGACGTTCAAGGGCCTTGTGACGACTTTTCTGCACCTTGGCCCGGTTCGCGAATTTCTGGAGAAAAAGCGCCTTGAGAACACGCTGGAAACTTCTCCGGTCCCGGACGAGATGCAAAGCAGCAGCACAAACGATGCGCGCCTCAAGCCCAAACGCTTTGCATCGTCGTTTGACAGCGTTGCGCCAGAAACAGAAGCCGGTGCCAGGCTTCTAAACGCCATGTTCTCGAACAGAAGCCTCGCGCTGACCAAGGCCTTTGAAGGCCTGCTAGAAGAAGAAGACTCAGATGAGTCGATTTACTCTGACTCTGAGCCTGACTCGCTAGACGAGGTGCCAGCCAACTCTATAGAGGATTTGCCCAACAAAAAGCATGGCGATGTCTCAAAGACCAGCGAATAGCGCCAAAGTTCTATGCCAGCGAGCAAGCGCAATCGTGGGTGGCCCGGCCTCCTTGAATAAATAGCACTGGCGCACAAGCCTCTTTGGACCGGGCTCTTCGAGGCCAATGTTACTGTATCTTGGAAGTTTAGAAATCTCTGCCCACTTTTCACAAGATGAATTGGCGTTAGCTAGTAGAATTGCGAAAAGGCTATTGGATTTTTAATTTTTAGGCTCTGCTGCATGCAGGCATATACGAGCCAAGTCTTTTTTCAGCACAAAAACGCACGCATTACCAAACTATGCGGCCCAGCTCTCTCCAAATATTTTCAAATGCCCCGGGAATTTTCGTGTCTAAGCTTCGCTTTACGGAGTCAGCACGCATTTGCGGGCTCTGGCCAACACAATTATGGGCGCAGCCTGCTTGTATCCCTAATATGCAGCACCATGCGCCTGCGCTCGAGCATCTGCTATATGCAAAAAGCACACGGGGGTGCTAAGCTTAAGTATACAAGCAAAGCAGAAAGAAAGGCGCATAGGGACGCTGCAATTCAATGCTGGAGCTGTGTGGGAGAATATGATAGGCCCTGGGCGCCAGGCTATTTTAGAAGGGCTTTTATCTGCTCACACGTTACCTTTGTGACCGTGCTAAGGACGGGCCTGTGTATTTCCACTATTTCGTTGTACACCAAATACGCCGCCTCTGCATTGGTGCATGCTAGCACGGAGTGGGGAGACACATAGCACTCTGCGCCTGTCTGCATGTCTTTATACTTATTCCCTGTCCGCATGCACAGGTTGTTTCGGTGCGAGTGCACTAGCGCGTTTAGAATGCTCTTGTGGGTTACATGCGCTGAATCTCTGTCCGAAGAAAGAGCGAAGGAAACTCCGATGATTCTGCACAGCTGTTTCGCCACTTTTTCGACTTTCTGCATGTTTATGTTTAGCACGTTCTTTGTCTTTGCCTTTCTATACAGACAGAGAAGCAGCAGATGGTCGCTTTCCAAAACTCCGCTCATGTCTTTCCCAGCGAGAGCCTCCTGCACGTGCGAGCTATGCGGGGTGTATGCCTCGAGCATGCCTAAAATAGCGGCAGCCTCTGGCGCGCATCCGGCCTTTGCAGCTTCAAGAAGAAATATGGCGTGCGCTGCCGGAAGAGGCAGCTTTAGCACGCTTTTCGCCAGAGGCGTCAGCTGAAAATCTTGCAAAATATGCAGCTTCTCCATTCTGGAAACAGCTGCCTGCGTGCTCTCATGCATCGGCATGGGAAGCCCCAGCTGTATCGAGGTGAAGATGAAGTACTCCAGGTTCTCCAGCTGGACTTTGCTGACTGCGCTAGAGTGGAGCGAGTTGTATGCGCTTTCGGTGTACATTCTGAAGCACTCTCCCTCATTGGTTCTTCCTGTGCGCCCTGCCCTCTGGGAGGCCTGCGCCTTCTGAATTGGCGCTACTTTCATCACCTTTACATTTCGCACGGAGTCGTACACCATGCTCTTGTACATCCCGCAGTCGATTACATACCTTATGCCCGGTATGGTTATGGACGTCTCGGCTATGTTTGTGGAAAGTATGCACTTGGGCCCTGGAGCTTGCACGGCATGCATCTGCTCTGGCACGGGGGTTTTTGAGTGCAGCACAAACATGCTCAGCCCGTCCACCCGCTCGCCCAGCAGGTGGTAAACTATTTTGATGTCTTCGATTCCTGTTAGAAACACCAGAATGTTTTCTCGAGCTTTTGCAAGGCCTGCCACTCTGTCCACTATGCTCGCAATGTAGTCTGTTGCCGGGGCTTCCAAGTAGTGGACCCTAACAGGAAACGGAGTGTGCTTTATAGAGACCACAGGGAACAGCCCTATGTCCTGCAGGGAGTCTGCTTCGAGCGTTGCGCTCATAAGAATAAGCTTCAGGCCAGGCCTTTCTCGAACCAGAAGAAGCAGGTACTTTAAGAGCAGCAAAGACTCTACAGTTTTCTCGTGTATCTCGTCCAGTATTACAAAGGCATATTTTTTTAGGCTGCGGTCCTGCTTGATCTCGCTCAGAAGAACGCCTTCTGTCATGTACTTTATCTGCGTTCCCTTCTGCGCGTCAAATCGGACAGAGTACCCGACGGAAGCTTCTCCCGCCTCAACCTGCATTCGATCTGCCACTGTGACGGCTGCGGCTCTTCTTGGCTGGGTGCATCCTATAAGCTTTCCGCTGGGAAGCACCTCCAATAGAATCTTCGGCACTTGTGTGGTTTTTCCTGTGCCCGTGCCGCCCTTTATGATGAGCACGCTGTTCTCTCGCAAGTGCCCAAGTATCTCGTCTCTGTGCTCTTTTATGCAGCTCTTGCGCGGAGGCTCTGCTTCGCTTGTTCTGCGCACAGGGGAAAACGCTTTTTTCACTGGCCTGCTGTACTCCTTATACTGCATCTGGACTGCATGGGAGCCTTTGCATTGCCCGTCCAAAAGAGTCCCATACAGCGCATCTTCTATGTGCGAGCTTTTTCTTGTTCGCTTATTTTTGTGCGCGCTCTCGCCTAGAATGCCCTGCAGCTCTTCTTTTCTCATTTCTGGTTTTTGCATTTTCGAGCGTATTTGCGCATAGCATAGCAGCACGGCAGCATATTCGGCAGGGCCAGGCGAGTTTAGCAGAAAAGTGCATATACAGCAGCATTTGGCGGAGATGCGAAAGCCTGCGCCAGACAGCAAGCATGCAGGCCCTCGCATAACTTATTTGTGTGCTTTTCGTCTTTGGAAAGCCGATACAGCGTGGGCGTTCGTGTGGCATGGGCTTTCCAGCTCTACTGCTTCTGTGTGCTGAGTTTCTGCTGGAGGTGTAGGCTTTTTTCTGCTCTTTCTCGTGTGGCAGCGTATGAAAAGGTCTTAGAGTTAAAGTATTACAAGCATCCGCGCGCACGCATGGATGCAATTGCTTGGCCTGTGCTTTTCTCTCCAAGCCAGCACTATTGCCGTGAGACACTGCAAGCATGCCTGTACTGATGTGTTTGCATAACCATGCCATGTTTGTATAAATCAATGTTTATTATTTGTTATTAGTATTAGTAGTTAGCTAGCTAGTTGTGTTTTCAGTTTCTGGCGCTGGGAACTTTGGAATGAACACTTTTGTGTTCTTGTTCGAGTGCACTGCAGGCATGGGGAACGCGGGCGCTACATCCTGTATCGTGGTGTCGATTGAGGACTGTATCATCGGCTTTCCATACCGCGCCTCCAGGCTCTTTCCAACCGGACCAAAGTCCAACTTTCCATCGGGGCCTCTCTTGGGCATCTTTCCAGTGATGACAGGCATGGGCATAGGCTTCGGCTTCCCAGAAACTGTCGGCTCTGGGTCCTCCGGGCGCCTCTGCGTTACCTCTATCTTGATGGGCTTCAGCGTTGTGGAGTTAACAGTTATCCATTTTTTCAGCTGCTTGTCAAATATAAACGTGGTGTCGTCGGACAGATTTACAACAGGAAGGTTTCCTCTTCCCGCCAGCTTCTTTACTATTCCTGAAAGGGCGCTTGCCCCAGGAATGTATCCCAGCCAAGAGCCTCTCTCAGGAGCAGACTCAAGCATTTGGTACCTGGACTTGTCGGAGTAAAGTGCCCTATAGTCTATCTTGTCTTCATCCACCTCTTCTGCTGGCGCTGCTGTTGGGGCTGGCTGCATAGGCGGAATTGCTGGAGACGCTGTCTGTGTAGAAGCTGCTGGCATTGTATTGGGCATTGCGCTAGGCATTGGCCCGGGCATTGCATATGCAGCCGGCTTCTCTGCCTTTGAAACTTCCTGTCTTTGCATGTTCTTTGGGATCTGTGGCATAGGAATAGACGCAGGGCGCACAATTTGAGGCCTTGGCCTTGGCGCATTCGGGTTTCCCATGGGGATTTTTGGCATGGGAATATGCGGGCTGGAAGCGCTCTCTGGCTGGCTGTTTGCTACGCTGGGGCTCTTTCCGAGGCCAGAAGCACTTGCAAACAGCGGGGTTGCTTCTTTTGCTGGCTCATGCTGGAAAGCGGGCCTTTCTTTCGGCGTCTCCATGGCAAGCGGCGTGGCTGGCATGGGCGTGCTCACCATTCGGGTGATTCCCTTGTCAACTGCATTGATTATTCCCTGGATGCCCCAAGAGCTTCCTTCGATGCCCAAAGCGTCTTCCAGCTCCTTTTTGTCGGATTTGCTGAAAATGTCCTTGTTCTCCTTGTAAATGTCCTTTGCCCGCTTGCTGTTCATGTGTGCGAGGTTTTTCAAAATTTCCTTCACTCTCTTGGAAAGCGCGTCCTGGTGCTGCGGGTGCAGCTTGTTGTACACAAGCAGGGCATTCACGTCATATATCTTGTCTAGGTTCTGCTCGACGGCCCCCGACACGAGTATTGTTATGACAGCCTCTGTGATCTTTCCGTGTTTAAAGAGCGCGTCTGCTAAGAAAGTGGCAGCTTGTGTGTTTTTTTGCATCACTATCCCCTTAAGAACATACTGGTACCTATCCACAACGTCTGGGTGGTCAAACAAGCTCTCTGGAACTTCGCAGCCTGTCGAAAGCAGCAAGTATGCGTGATCAGATGCATTCTTTGTGCTGCTTTTTGTGTAGTTGAGCTGCAGCACCTCCAGAGACTTTTTGTCGGACGCTGCCTGGAAGAATGCCTCTGCCCAGTTGTTTTGTAGCAAAAGTGTGTTGATGTCCTCGGAAAGCTCTGGAATGTACTCTGCGGTTGCATTAACAGGGATCCTTTCCGGCTCTCTGGGGGATATTGTTCCAGCACTTTTGGTTACCAGGTAATTCAGCGGGTGTGCGGCGCGCTCGCATGGCAGGGCGTAGTCTTCAACCAGCGCACTGACCAAATCCTGTGTGGACTTGTGGCGCAGAGGAGTTGTTGGGACGGAAACCTCCAGAGCAACCGTCTTTATGGGCGTTGGAAGAAGCTTTTTCGGGTTTGTGACACTAGGAATTGCGGATGAGATAATCATGTGGCCATTGCAAAATGCAAACTGCATTACCGGCGAGGGCTTGGAGCAAACCACGCTCTCTTCGGGGCTGCTTGCAGCTGCCGTAGGAACTGTTTTAAGCGAAATTGGGTTCCCGTTTGTGTGCGGAAGGTTGAAAACCGTTTCCGGCCCTGGCATGGTTGTGCTTTTCTGGAAGGGTGTTGTAGGAATGCTTTTCAAATCCCTGTGCTGACCTTGCGGGCTGAAAAAATGCGCAGGCATTGGCTGGAATACCGGTTGTTGAACTGCTTGTTGTTGGAATACCGGCTGTTGAACTGCTTGTTGCTGGAACACCGGCTGTTGAACTGCTTGTTGCTGGAAAGCTGGTTGTTGAACTGCTTTTTGTTGGAATACCGGCTGTTGGACTGCTTGGCTGTGTTCAACTTCCTGTGCTTCCTGCTGGCTTCTCAGCACATGCTCACTGTGCTGCGCCCCGAAACTGTATGGGCCCGGCTGATTGCGCGCATTCTTGAATATGCTTGGGTCAATCGGCGGGCAGTCTTTGAACAGCTCGTCCAGCGAGGACTCTTCACTTGGCGTGTTTCCTGAAGACTCTTCGCTCTCTTGCGCGCTTTCGCCTCTAGCTTCCTTGCACATAGAACTGTTTGAGGAGCTGCTTGGAGAGCTGCCCAAGCCATCCTCGCTTTCGGGCGCAGGTATTCCTTCCGGGTTGTTTGTAACTCTTTCCTCAGTTTCTGTGCAGTGTGGCAGCTCAGTGGAAGACATCGCATGCTCTGCATTTCTGTCGTCCGTAGAGTACAAGTCCGCAGAGTAATTGTTTTCAACTATCTCTTCCTCCGTGTTTGTCGTTTCATTTCCTTCAGACGCCTCGGTGAAGTACTCATCAAGAGACCATGTGTTGTCCTGGGGAATGGTAAATGCGTCTGGGTTTGGCTGAAACACCGCGTGGCCTGAAACATTGTTTGCCATGTATGGAGAGGGCTGCGCTTCCTCAATCTGCGGCGCCCAAGGAGAGTTTTTCAGATGCTTTATTGGGCTCACGGTGTGGTCCACCTCTGGAGTGCTCTCCTGCGGCTGATCTGGAGCAGGCATCTGCTCATCCATCGCCTGCTGCTCATACTCTTGCGGATACTCCTGGTACTGACCGTTCATAGCCTGCTGGTCATACTCTTGCGGATACTCCTGGTACTGCCCATCCATCACTTGCTGACCATACTCTTCTGGATACTGCGCTTCTGCAATCGGCAGGGCATACTCCTGAGCGTACTGCTGGGCTTCTGCTTCCCGCTGCTGCTCGTACACTGGCGAATAATCTTCACTAACTTGAGACATGCTTTGTGTCTCGTGCTCTCCACTAACTAAATAACTTTCACTAACTTTTTGCGGCTCGCAGGGTCTTTGCTCGCCCGGCTTTGCCACTGCAGACTCTGCTGGCTGTGCAGAACTGCTTGGCTGCGGTTCACACCGGGCCTGGCCCTCCACAGAACTTTCTTCCTCCATGGAGAAGCTTGGACTCGACTCGCACGATAGAGTCGGAGTCTCCTGGGCTGCAGCCGGCTGGGGGGCCTCCAAAGGCTGGGCAGTAACTGGCCGGCTTGTTTCTTGCGGAGTGCTTTCTTGTGATGGCGTGATCGTTCTTCGTGGCGATGGCCTTGTTATGAAGAATGTCTCTGCAGTGTAGTCAGACGACATCTCATTCTCAACCATCTCCATGTCAAAGAACTCTTCCTCCTCCTCGGATGGAGCATTGACTCTTCTTTCTTCTTCCTCATCGTACGGAACCATGCCCATTAGAATGTCTTCACCGTCGTCATGATTTGCCTTGTTATTAGAATCCATAGATGTTGTTTGTTTGAAAAATAAATATATATTTCATATGAAACAAATGACTCAAATGTAAAACTGTGTTTCAGAACCTTCTGGGCGCCCGAAAAAAGCGCGCCAGCAGCAGCCACGCATACTCTTTGTCTATTTATTCACTCAAACTCCTGCACAGGTATAGCCTTTAATATTCCCTCGCCGGACGCTGTGACCAGATACCTCTCTGGGCCTGTGCACTCTCCTATGTGGGTTACTTCTCTATTGTGTGCCTTGTAAACCTTCCCTCCAAGATGCAAGTCCCCGTCTGCATCACCCATCACTATTTCTGGGGCATCTATGCGCACGCTGACGCTATTTATAGAAGTGATGGGAACCTGCACAGTCTCCGTGTGCTTTAGAACCAGGGCGCTGTCCTCGATCGCATACGTGTTGATTGTTTTGTCCTTTGAAGATGTGATGACTGTGCTTCCGCCAATGTGCCCTGCCAGAATTTCTTTTTTGTGGTCTATTCTGGAGTCCAAAAGCACAAGCCCAAAGTCGCCCGGCTTGAACCATTCTGTGAGCTCGCTCTTTGGAAGGGCGCTCTGCTCACAGGCGATTCTGTACACGGCCGCCCTTCTGTCTTTTCCTAGCGTAAGCACCGTTTCGCCCGAAACAAAAATGTGCGTGACTGTTTTTGCGTGTACATGCACTTTCTGCACGATTTCCAAACTTTTGTTTAGGACAAACACATTGGAAAAAGCTTTTTGCGAGGACTTGCAGCTCACCAGAAGCATTGTGTCCTTCGCCTTGACGAAGGTGGAAATTTCAAAGGGAAACCCGTACACTTTGTCTACCTCCAGAAAGTGGTTTGCCGACAGGCCAGGCTCGGATCTGATCGTGCTGAGAATGTACTCTCTCTCCTCGGGCCCGCACGGCGCCTGCGGGATCGTGCTCAGCGACAGCTCCTGCTTCACTGCAGTAAACGGCACTGGGTCTTTGCTTTCAGCATCGCCTCCTGCGACCTCGGCTAAAGCGTTCTGCAAAAGCTTTGCCTCTGCGCCTATCCGGGCCTCCGGGCCCTGTCTTCTGCATTCTTCCAATAAAGAGTTATATCTTTCTATAAGCTGCTGGATTGCACGGGCTCCCCCGCGCGCAAGCATTCTGTATATCTGCGTGGGCGTGTACACTTTCAGAATGTTGTTGCTGTTTATTAGGAAGCTCCCGTTCCAGTCCGGCACCACTGCGTTTATTGGGAAGCCGTCAACTGTTGGCCGAAACACCTCCACTATTCTTCCGCCCTCCACGCTGAACACTCTTGTTGTTGGCCCACTTGCCGTGACTATCCACTTCCCGTTTGTGTGCATGTCCTTGATCCGGGCCAAGTTTCCTGATGCAACATTTGTGCACGACTTTGTAAGGGCCTCCATCTCAGACAGTGTGCTGTGCAAGGTCTCCAGCAAAGCGTGCTCTTCCTGCGGAAGTTTCTGTGCGATCTTCTCCCCCAGGGTTTTGGGCGACCTGAGCTGGCACTCGTCTGCGCCTCTGCTAGGCATGTATCCGAAAATTCCGCCCGTTCCCAGGGCTATGCATATCCGGCCAACCACTTCTCTGTAGTCGCACTTTCCGCGGCCCTTCCCACCTGCGCTTGTGTCTGGTTCTTTCACAAAAACCTTTACAATGTCTTCATTGTATGGACCGAGCATGCACAGCCGCTCTGCGTTTTTTCCGCACGCGTATATGCTTATGCTGTCTGTTAGCACGGCAACGAGCATGTCTTCCAGCACCACGCCCCCGCTGATCATTCCGCATGTGTACACCAGGTTTTTCAGCACAATCTGGTCGTTCTCGTACTCGTAGATGTATATTCTCCTGTTGGTCAGCCCTGTGACTATCCGCACGGCCCCGCTTCCTGTGAGAACTGCCTGCATAAAGACCACATTTGCGACATACTTCACCATTTGGCTGTTCACAAACAGTGTGTCAGTGCTGGCATACGCCACCACCCGGGTGTCCTTTGCCTGGACCACGCTAATGTGCTGGACTATGTCGTTCATCTGCTGGAGAACTGTGCCCGCGCCTTCCACGCAGACCGCGCTCTCTGCGCCAGGCCTATACTCCATGGCCATCATTTTGTACATCAGTGAAAAGAAGATTTTCCCGGGAGCATACAGCAAGCTGTACACCGTGCTCTCCACGCGCCTCTTAAACAGGACCTGGTTCTTCAGGCTGACTCCAATGACTTCTCCACTAAGAGTTCCCACCAGAATAGTCTCCATGTTTATGTGCATGGCTGAAATGCTGCTTTCTGCTGTGGTGATGTACTCAATACTCGCCTCCTGGTCACCAAATCCAACCGGCACAGAAACCACCGATCTTCCAACTGCATAGTACACTCTGCCGTTGTACAAACACGAAAGCATTTTTCCACTTCTAGGAAATCCAGCCAGCGAGGCGCCTGCTGCAATCTTGCAGGGCTCTGTCCAGCTTCTGTGCGACGCCTTCACGAGTTCCTCGTTTTTTCCGTTTGTATCAATGCATTTGCACACTCTGCGCGCATCCATAAAATTTAAATTATTTTCCTTCTTTTTATTCTTTCACAGCATGCCAGACCAGAAAAGAAACAAAAGAAGAGAGCTTCTCAGCAGGGTCGTAATGGGGGCTGTTGCAGGGTCTGTTATCGGCCTGGGCGTAGGAATATTGCACAAAACTGTAAACAGAAAAAGCTCTATTTGCACCCGGATAACCGACACCATGCTCATAGGAGGGGTGTACGCGATTGTAGATAAGGTAATTGAAAACTACAATGTAAATCACGTGTACAGGCCCATTGTTACAGGAGCAATTGCCGGTGGGCTTGGCTCCCGAGGAGGCGCCCTGGGCATTGCAACAACCTCGGCTATGACAGCAGGCGCTGCATACGCCCTGGAAAACGCCAACGTCTTTGGAAGGCCCGACATTGAGTAGGCTTTGCTTTTGGAAATGCGCCTGCTTGCTCCTAGAGCGCAGGAAGGCGTGTGCTGTGGTTTATTTATTTATAGGCAGAAGCACCTTTTGCTTGCATCTGCTTCTATGGTGAACTCAGGCACATTCTGCTCAGGAGCTGACGAGTTCTGAATTGCATTTGTGATCTCATCCACCAGGCTGCTTATTCCCTCAGTAGTCAGCGCACATGTTTCTATATAGGCTGCGTTGTACTTCTGCACTTTGCTGTTTATTTCTTCCTTGCTTGGCAGATTGTCTTTGTTTTCTAAGTCGTTGAATAAATCCAACTTGTTCCCAACTATTAATATTTTCAGTTTTGAGTCATTGTTCTTAAGCACAAAGTCTTCTATCCAGCCGTCTACCCTGTCGAATGTTTCTCGCCGGGTTAGGTCGAACAGGATCACTGCCATGAAGGAGTCTCTCGTGTAGTTGGGGATTAGAGACCGGAACCTTTCCTGGCCTGCAGTGTCCCACAGCTGCAGATTTACTGTCTTTCCTCCTATCTCGGTTTTCTGCGCAAAGAAGTCCACTCCTATTGTGGGGTGGTAGTCCTTTGTTTCTGTGCTAAACACGTATTTGGTTATCAGGGTTGTTTTTCCTATTGCCGTGTCTCCTAGGAAAACTATCTTGTACTTGGGGAGGACTTCTCTTTTTGTTGTCTTCATATTTTCACTAACAATTTTTAATATTTATAAATAAGCACATACACTGTGCTGCATTAGAATGGGCGCAAACTGAAAATAAAAAAGCCTGGGCACGTGATATCTATAAAATTTTGGAATGCCTTATGTGCTGTGCATCTGCATAGATCTGGAATAGGCTTCACTTTGGAGGTTTGGGCGTGGTCCTCTGCCGTGTTTGGCATAGATTTCTGTTGTGCACCGCATTTGTGAGGGCATGGTTTAAAACATCTTTGCGCACTAGAGGTTGATTCTCTGTGTGGCCTTGCGCATGTTCTGTGCTTGGGTGCTGCGGTGCGCCGTGTCTTCTGAAAAGGGTTTTCTGCTGTGGCTGGCGCTCGCGAAAAGCGTACTGTTTTCACAAAAAACATACACTTTTTCTTGCTTGGCGCAAACACAGAATATGCATGGCTGGGAAGAGCAAGTAAAAGTGCGCTTTGTGGGAGCGCTCATCAAAGGGGCGCCTGCATACCTGGTGGGGCTGGGCCGAGTATGTGCATGTTCTGGTGTGGGGGCGATTTTGGAGGTGCTTGCTCAGGTGCTCGCGCTGTTTAAGCTGCTTAAAGCACCCAGAGAAAGGCACAGGCTGCGCATAGCCGTGTGTGCCAACATACAGAAACGGCGCGGCCCTGAAAAAGGAAGAAGCTGCGCAGAGAGACTGCATGCGCATAATACAAGGATTTGGGCGGTATTTGCCGAAACTGTGCAGGCAGGTGTTCTGCACGCGCGAGAATAAATTCGAATTGTTTTCTGCTTTTTATTTTGGCATGAACAACATTCTGAGGAGTATCAAGAGCATTGGAAGCGGCCTGATATTTACGATAGACAAGGAGCTGATATGCAGCGACATATACACGTCTTATGCAGGGTACTATAAGAATAAAGAATGCACAATATTTAAATACAAAAACAGCTACAGCAAAGTGGCGGAGGAGTCCTATCCTCTAATAAAGTATGCCCAGGACGTGCTCCACATAATGCCAGAGGTGCTTGCGTGCCAAAAGCACGCGGGGTATTTCTACATAGTCACCAGCAAAATATTTCCGTTTGTTTCGCAGGAAGACGTTCTAAGCAAGGCACACAGGTACAAGCTGTTCAACCAGTTTATATCCACGAATGTTTCGGTGATCAACAATGCCTTGCTAAAAAAGAACAGCATAATTCTGACATCAATAAGAAACATCCCCGGGGCAGGCGCGGACAAAGACGGGGCGGGCAGCCTGGAAAGCAACGGGCGCGGAATGCAAAAAAGCAGCGGCGAGTCTGGCCAGCTGCGCAGCGAGGCGCCATGCACTGGCGAGATAGACTACTGCGATATATACTACGACGAAAACGACAACACCCGGGTTATGATATTTCCCATTTTTAGCGACAAAAACCCGCTGAACAGCGCGCCAAACATCATATCCGACCTGCACGAGATTGTAGGCACTGAGCAGTACTCCGAAATATACAAGCTGCTGCTGCACAACAGCAAGGAGCTGCCCGGCCACTATGCAAGGTTTGTTATAAGGAGCTTGCTGAAATACATAGACGAAAAGAACGTCAAAATAAAAGAGAGTGAGGAAGTCCTGCGAAAGTGCAGCACAATCCCAGGCTCCGCAGGGAAAAGCACCCGGGGCGATCTGCACTATGTTATAAACAGCATATTCCTGTTCGACACGCAGCACATAGAAAGCAGCATGGCAGAAAAAGCCAGCTCCACAATACTGTACATATTGCTGTACCTTGTGAACCTCGGGCTGTTTGAGCTGAGCATTTCAGAGATAAACAGCCTGTTTTCGAGCATGCACAAGAACCTTACAAAGTTCAAGAAAATGAAGCCGAAGGTGCTCGAGGTTTTTTTCAACTCTCTCAACATGCTGAGCAGCACCAACAAAGCGCTGTTTATACAGTTCCTCATAAAAGACTGCATAGCGGAGGACATGTCGGAGCCGCTGAAGAAACACATAAATGTTCTGATAGAGGTGGACAACGTGTTTGGCCTTCTGATGGCGCTCCTTACAGCAAGCAACATGGAGAACTACAAGGTTGGAATGCATTTTCTGTATAGCAAAATAGACCGGATCGAGATGGAGGGGCTTGTTGAAATCATGTGCACGGTGAGCAAACGCTGTCTGGAGGAGGAGACCGCAAAGATATCTATTGCGCTTCTGAAGTTTATTGTAGACTACATGGAGAAGAACGTCCACGAGATAAAAAACAGCAAGTGGCAGCTGCTGAAAAGCAAAAAGATAAAAAACCAAAAGAAAGCAAAGGCCTCAGAGAAGGAGTCTGAGTGGGCAAGAAGGAACCTGGAGCAAACAAGCAGCAAGCAGAGAGTTCTGGAGGCGCATAGAGAAAACCGAGTAAACGGCCCCAAAAAGAAAGCTGCAGCTTCGAGCTCCCACATCAGCACAAACCACACATGGGACAACGAAGACTGGTAGCTTGGCGTACAGAATAAATAAAGCACACATTTACTGACGCGGCATCTCGGAGAGCCATGCGCTGTGTTGGGCCAGCAGGTCTATAAGAACATCCACCATATAGTGGGTGTGCGCGCAAGTTATGTGCACGGCTTTTTTTTGGGATGGGCTTTCATACGAAATGCAGACTTTTTCTTCGTTTGGAAGCCTTTGCAAGATGATGGGGCGCCTCCAAACGCATTCAATGCAGCTGCTGCCTGCTTGAAGGGGGTTATCTGAGCTTTCTCTGAAAGATTTGGCCTCTGGAGGCGGCGACTCTGTGTACTTGTAGTTGACCCAGATGAAAGACTCTGGGGTTTTTTGGTGCATGAAGCTTTTTGTCACGCCAAAGTACTCTTCCCCTGCATCCGCTGCGCCTTCTATGACGCTGCTGGAAACAACAACATACTCAGCGCATTCAATGTCTCTAAAGACCACAGCCACTCTCTCATTTTGGAGGGCATCCTTGAACAGCCCATATATGTGCTTGCGCATGAACCCATTGCAGCTATTAGAAAAGTCGTCCCCCCTTTGGGCCAGCGTGTTTATCAGCTCGGAAAGCAGAAGCAGGTCTTCTTCGCATGCCGTATCCTTGCTCTTTGCGCTGGGTTCGGCCTCTTCTTTTAGCTCATTTTCAAAAAGAACTACCCATCTGTCGCATGTAAGAATGTCGGGGTTTTCTGTGCGCACGGGAGAAGCCTCAAGATCCAAGAAAAAAAAATCGCCAAACTCTTGCAAGCTAGCATCCTCACGCAAAACACTGCTCTCTGTCATCACAGCAAGCACAGAAATAATAGAAAAAAGGCTCAGCATTACTACACTTGCAGCTGCGCTCTTATACTTTTTGGATGGCATAAAATTGCTGGCAATTTTTGCATATAAGAAAAGCCGTATAGATTTGATTAAAAAAAGGCTGATTTTAATATGCACTTTATGCTAGATTCGCTTTTTTCGCTTTTGCAAGGGTGCATGCAAGCACATAGCGCCAACAGGTCTTTTCCCAAGCTATACCAATGCTAAATATGGGTAGTCCTGTGCATGCAAAGTGCATTTCCCAGCCACACGTGCAAGGAGGCCGGCGATGGGAGTGCTGGCTCTCCCGCATGGTGTGCGCTCTAGACGTCTGCCATGCTTTTGCTTTTGAACAGAAAATGCACAGGCCTGCAGCTGCTCCCGCAATGCCATGGGAAAATGCATGGTGAGCCAGCTTGTATTTTAGACTGTGTGGCTTGGCAGATAGCTACTGTTTTGCAGAAAGTTGCAATGTTCTTCCCCCTTCTTTATACTAGCCATTTTTAGGCGTATTTGCTAGAAAGTGGGCGTTACAAAGAAGCATAGGGCTGTGTAAGCCTGGGCGGGGTGCTATGCTGCTGTAGGCCCGCTTGGGCTTGCTTCACATTATTTTTGTGGCAAAGCCATACACATAAGAAAAGGCGCAAAAGAGAAAACAAAATAGCTTGGATAGCCTGCAGAAAAGCCAGAGCAACCCGGGTTGCAAGAGTATGCTATTTATTCAGACGAAAGACAGCGGCAAATGCGCAGACTGTTTGGGCGCTTTATGTGCTTGCTGGAAGGCGCAGAAAGAGCCTTTGGCCACGGGCAGGCGGGGCTACAACGGGGAAAGGTACCTATTAACAAGATGGCAGACCTCAGATATGTGCACCACGTCTCCGGCGGGGGCTGGGGCGGGGAGCGCGCTTTGAACCTCTCCCATGAACAGAGACTTGCGGATTGACATACACGGGTCTTTGCGGTCTATTTTGTGGGATTTGCATATTATGTACTTTACAGGCACCTGGGAACAGGCGATTACAATAGACGTGTATATTACAATAGGGTTGTATATTTGCTTGCCGCATATGTCGCATTGTACATGCTTGCCTATATGCTTCAGCACCCCGAGGGGCAGCATTCTCTTCACGTATTTGGTCCGCTGGATTGTGTGCTCTAGAACTGTCTCAAGCAAAGACGTGTTTTTATTGGCCAGGATTATGTTTGGCGCGCTGCAGCTTTTATAGTTGAGCTCAGTCAGAAAAGGAAGCTGCAAAAGCGAGGGCGGAAGGTGTGCTATCCGCGTTCTCAGGAGCGAAATGCAAGCCAGCGACTTTATCCGAGACACCACTGGAGGGAGAGACTCAACGGGGTTTCCAGACATGTCCAGAATCTTCAGAGACTTTAGGTTTTCCAAAGACTCCGGCAGCCCAGTTATCTGATTGTCTGAAATGTTCAGGTCGCTCAAGTCCTTCAAAAGAGAAAGCTCGCTTGGTATTTCGCGCAGGTTGTTTCTGGACAAAAACAGAATGCTGAGGTTTTTCAGCTGCCCAATTTCCTTCGGGAGCGCACTAAGGCTATTGCAGCATATTTGGAGCACTCTCAAGCTGCGCAGGCGGACTATATTTCTGTGCAGGCTTACAATATGGTCCTTGCACAGATAGAGGTGTATAATTGTTTTTCTTGTGTACACCTCCATCTCCAGGCCTTTTATGTTTTTTGTTGCTATCCGTATCCTTTCCTGAGGCTTGCTGACAAATATTCCCATGCGATAATCTCCTTCTGCAGGGCATATAAATACGAGCAGGCCATTGGTTGCATTTTGAATGAAGGCATTTGATGTACAGGCAGAAATCCTCCAATAAGCAGCGCATGAAAAGCGCATGCTCGGTCCCTTTCAAATATGCACGCGCAGATCCGCCCAGGCATACAGTGCCATGCAAATTTGCCACAAATAAGACCTTTCTATTCCCAGAAACACGCCGCATTTAAAACAGGAAGCTCCATGGCATGAGCTTTTACAGGAAATATCTGCCAGGCTGTGTGTTTTAAATGTGTTTAAGATATTTTAAAAAATGTTCTGGCTTTGCAAAAATGCGATTTCTGGCATTTGGGAATTTTCACACCGCAGACAGACGCGCAGAAAATGCCTAGGCCAGGCCAAGCCATAAATTACAAAAACTTTTATTTTACATGGAGCTGTGCAAGCTAGAGCTAGGAAAAGCTGTGTCTTTGAGCGACAGCAGGAAATTGCTGAAGGAGATAGAAGAAACGTGCGAGTTTAAGGGGCATGTTAGTTTTCCAGGGGCACAGCCAGTGACTATGTATAGGGAGTCGCTTGTGGATCTGAACAAAAAAGACTACTTTGTGTGCGAGAAGAGCGACGGCCTTAGGGCGCTGCTGTACATCAAAGGAACGGAGAAAAAAGCGTATCCTTTCTTCATAGACAGAAACTGCACGGTTATCCAGGTCAAAAAGCCGTTTCTTCCGTGCGGGTCTTTTCTGCTTGATGGGGAGATCATAAAGGACAAAGCCGGAAAGTACGTCTACATGGTGTTTGACATGATGATATGCAGGAGCAAGTCCATATGCGAAAAGTCGCTGACAGAAAGGCTGACTATGGCAACATGGTATCTGAACCAGACGCAGAAGTGGAGGGCCACGCAGAAAGAGAAGGCGCCCAGAGAGGGCGCGCCGGGAGAGCCCCTTGACTTTGACGTTAAGATAAAAATGATGCACAAGAGCTACGGGCTGGCAGAAGTGTACAGAAAAATCATCCCTACGCTAGAGCATGAAAACGACGGGCTGATATTTACATGCGTGAACTATGCGTACAGGCCGGGGACATGCCCTGCGTACTTTAAGTGGAAGCCCCCGCACTTAAACTCAGTGGATTTCAGGATGCGGAAGTCTTCGCTGGCAGACGGCCTGTACGCCCTGCTAGTTTGCACAAACAGGACAGAGGTTGTGTTTGACTGGTACTGGAAAGACCCTATGCTTTCGGACTTGGAGGAGAACGTGAAAAAAAGAAAAGGCGCAGAACAGACAAACCATTATGGAGAAATCGAGGACTACGACAGCCTGGATGGGAAGATAGGCGAGTTTTCGTACAAGAGAAAAGAGTACACCATTGATGTGAGCGACTACTCTCTTAGGCTGGGCAGGTGGAGCCTGCTCCGCATCCGAGAGGACAAGAAGATGCCAAATGGCTACAAAACTGTGGTGAGCGTTGTGCAGTCTATTCGGGAGAACCTGACCTTCAAGGAAATCGAAGGAAATGTAGAGAAGATACGGCAAAACTGGCGAAACCGAGACAAAGAGATGCAGGCAAGGAGCAAGCAGGACCACGAGGACGCAAAAAGAAGGAAAGAGTAGCTGCAAAGCACAAAACCGCTTCTGAAAGGACACGCCCTAAGCACTTTAAACAAGCTTGCCCCAGCAGGCAGCCGGCTTGCAATTTATGCGTGCTGTGTGCAGATGCCTGCGCGTGAAAGGCTCTGAACAAGGCCGAGCTTTGCGCGATGTGCTTTGATTGCGCAAGAAAAGAGCATGGATGGACGGCCCGGCCTGGAACAGGAACACGGAAGTTTGGAGAGCTGAAGCAGCGCCTGGAAGCAAACAGAGCACGGAGTGCAAGATGTATTGCAGTGGGCAGGCCGGCCGCACCTTTGAATCTGGGCTATTGCGCAAAGTCTATAAATACAAGCCATAGAGCATAACTTTTATACGCTTTATTCATTTAGAAGCTCTAAGCACAGGATGGAGACGATTTTACACTCAAAATTTTGCGGATTTCTGGGCGCGGCCTCCGGTTTACGGACTCTCGCTGCTGCTTTTTGTAGTAAATGATAGATACAAAATAGAGGCCTGTGGGGATGCACAGAATGACCAAGCAGGCAAGCAGTGTTTTGTATTGGCTGTTTAACGCCTCCTGCCCGCTCTGGTTCTGTGCCAGCGTCAGGACTTTCAGCCGGTCGAGCACGCTTATGTATGCAACATACTGGAAGAGCTGGTGGCTGTTTGCATGGTCAAACACGCAGTTTATAATAGAAATGTTTCGGAGCGCAGGCATGGCCACGAGGCTGGGGAGAATGTTAGGCAGGCAGCTGTTTTTAACTGTAATGGTATCAAGCATGTATAGCTTGTAGAAACACTTCGGAATCGTGAGCGTGCTGCCGCTGTAGGAAATGGAAATGGTGTGCAGAAAGGGCACGATGTGTGCCCAGTCTTTTTTTCTTAGGGGCTTGTTCTCAGGCGAAGAAATGTCAAATAGGGTTTTTCCCAGACAGACGCTGGCTTTTTCTATTGTGACAGCATGCATAAACTCACAAACTTCGTCGATGTTGTTTTTAGTGAGGGCGTATGCGTGCTTTTTGTTCTGGGAGGGCGCGGGAAGTGTGATTGTGTTTTTGTCTTCGGGGCTTGTATAGGTTGAAAAAGACAGATTCTTGCCTGCGTGTTCGTTGGCTGCGTGCGCCAGGAAGAAGTCCCAGGTGGGCATGCGCTTGCCATAGCAGTAGAGTTTCTGCCCGTTCGCGAACACTTTTTCTGCCAGTATTCTGTTTGTGTACGAGTCTGTGCCTGGAAGAATTCCGCTGTCTTCCACTCTGGTATGCTCGGTTGCTTTGAATGGGGTTGAGTCCAGGCTCAGCATCTCCAGGTAGAAAAAAGGGTTTACTGCAGCAAACAGGGGGATGTTTCCCATATAGTTTGTGCACACTTTGGCGTGCACAATTCGGGGCGCCTTTTTCGGGTCTGAGTGGCTGATTTCAAACCTTTCTAGCTTTTCGGTGTGTATCTCAATCACGTTTAGGCGATACGTGTCTAGCAGCTCGATCCCGTGCTGGAAGCGCCTGCATCGGAAAAAAAGAGTCTCCAGCTTTGGCAGAAGTAAGCACAGGTCCGCGCGCAAGTGGCAGAACTCCATGTCTAGCGTGAGGTTTATTAGAGACCTGCAGTCTGAAATCGACGAAAGATCTGCAGATATGAGGCTTTTGTCGCTGGCGCTGGTTTTTACAACGAGCTTTTCCAGAGCCACAAATTGTGGCAGCGCCATAATAGCTTCTTTTGTGAGCAGAGACGAGCTTTTTATGTGGACTCTCTTGACCTTTTCCAGATGGCTTGCCAGGAAGCGTGTGGACTCGGCGCTGACCGGGCTGCTAAGCGGCTCAGACTTGGACTCTATGTAGATCGAGTACAGAAAGCTGAGCTTCAAGTCCAGCTCTTCCTCAGAGATCTTTTTTTCCCCGTCTATTACACACACTTCATTTGCTGTGTTCAGTATCCAGTCGTACTTGTCCAGGGAAAACGCCTCCAGCAATACAGCAGACCCTGAGATGCAGCCAAGCCAGCAGACTATACTGAGCACAAAAACAGCCTTTCTGCACGCGAACGTCTGCATTCCTTGCGCAGGCCCAGAGTGCTTCAAGTTCAAACTACATGTCATGCATAAATGAAGCAAAGCAGGAATATAATTAGTGTGGCCTGATTTTGGCAAACCATTGGGCCACTGCTATGAGCCTCTAATTGGGCGCTCGTAAAAAAGGATTACACGGGGCTTGGGGCCAAGGCAGCGCAACTTTTCCAGGGGCTTGCTATGCACGCACGCACAGATCTGCCAAAAAGAAAGAAAGCATCAAACTAAGCGAGCTCCGCCTGGTTTTATTTATACAAAAACGCCATTCATATTCTGCCAATAAAGGCTGCAAGCCCAAGCGAGCGCATAAGCAGGGGGAGCACCAAACGCATACATTTGCGCGCTGCCTGGGCCATATGCGGACATTTTATAGCTACAACCAGTCTGGTCGGGCTTTCGCAATACCCCTGTCCCATGCTGGGCTGTCCACAAGAAAGCGCACCCTAAGAGAGCGCCTTCTTGCGCGGAAACTCTTAGCGGCCCCACACCCCATAGGCCGCTCTTCCTATCTTTATACACAGAGCGATTATAATTGCAGACACAAAGGAAAAACACGAAACGCTATCGGGCTCTTGCGCGGCCAGCTCACTTATGAAGTTAAAGTAATGCTGCGTCGTGTAGTTGTACTTCTCTACGATTTTCACCTTCGTCGAATTTTTCTCTTTGGCAGCTATAAAAATCTTGCAAAGCGTTCCCTTTGAGTGGTACTCTATGCACATTTTGTTTTTTTTGAATGTGTATATCTCATCAATAAACTCGTTCGCAAACTGTATGGTCCGTCTATTCATGTATGTTTTAATAGTTATTTCGTCGTCGGTCAGTGTTCTGTAGAACTTTAGGGTAGAGGGCGTGTGCACAATCCGCCGCAGCAGCCTCCTCAGGTCTATGTCAAAAACCCGCTCTTCCTCGGAAATGGCACGCTCCTCCACCACCTCGCTAGGCCTGGGAATGTCAACCTGGAATATGCTTTTGACATTTGAGCCCAGCCCCATAGCCCGCTGCCAGTGCAGAAGCGCGATCGGGTATGCCTTCTCCTTGTAGAAAACCGTCTTGAAGCTGTATGTTTTGTCGTATGTAATCACCTCCAGCGACCCTGAAAGAAGCATTGCGGTTTTTATCTCAATCGCAATCACAGATTTCAGCTTTACAATAAGAGTGGCATTCCCAAAGATGCTTTTTGAATAGAACGAAATGTGCTCGTTGCTTATATACATGCGCCCTTGGCAGTACTTTGAATTGTCTTTTAATATGCACGGGCACGAGTACACAAGCGTCTCTTGCTTTGGTATGGATTTGAACAGCTCTTGAAACTTTTGCCGTCTTTTCTCTGACGGGAGGTTTTTTCTATTACTCTCATCCATTGTTTATTTTGAGTAAAATATTTTACACCAGGCCATTTATCCCCATAAACCCCAAAGCGGCACATCCTCTTTGCTGAAAGTGTGCCGCCTGCCTGTGCATGCGAGAAGTGCACTCCAATTATTCGCGCTGCAATCTGGGGTGCCATACTCCACTCCATCGTGCAGTGCACACTTTCTTTAATCCGAAAATTGATCTAATTAATATTAATGCGCTTTGATGGGATGCAGGGTGGAACTTTTTTCCAAAAACAGGCAAACTGCACGCATGCCCCAGCACAGGCCCATTTGAAAAACCCAAAAATAGCTGTCCTGCTTTGAGAAAGAAAAATCCGCGTTTTCTTGCAATTTTATGCAGCTGTCCCTAAAAATAAAATTTAACTCTGCGCACGGCGTTTTTAAGACTTCGCCAGCATCTAGCAATTTGCGCCCTGCGAAAGAAAAAAAAGTTCTCGGGCATTTTTCCCTTTTTCGCCCGACTTTAAGTTTATGGCATAAACGCTCCAGAAAGCATATAAAAGCGGTGCACTCTGGAGAGCTGTTTTATTGGCAAGTACATTATAGCACTTTTATTTTAAAAACCATGCAGAAGAGTCTAGACAATGCTTGTGCTGCGCCACACATCTTTGGAAAGCTGAAGGAGAAAAGCCAAGTGTTTGAGGTCTTTAGCATTCTTATGGAAATACACAAAAGAACCTTGCAGAACGGGGAGTCTGCTGAGGCAAATACATACAAGCTGTACTGCGATAAGGTTAAGCTCCACAAAAAGGCGCACGAGCCGAGGCGAAGCACGTTTTCGTACAGCACAGCAGCTGCGCACGAGCACAGCCAGATGCTCCTGGAAGTGGAGACAGCGGAGCTAGGAAGGCTTCTCAGCAAGCACATTGCTATGCACGTGAAAAGACACGGCGAAATAGAAGACCAGTGCAGCCTTCTGGAAACAGTGCGCGGGGTTGCTGCGAATCTGGAAGCTGCTCTTTCTCCAAGCGCGCAGAAGGGGGCCCAGCGCGTGGATGAAGCCCGCAGAGTTTGCGCAGATGCCCTCAGCAGCCCTCTTTTGGACGCGCTCTTGCTATGCATGCTGCATCTGAAAAACGCAGAGCCCTGTGCAGTGCTCGAGATACTTAAAAGGCTGTGCCGAGTCGAGTGCGCAGTGAAGACAAACGGAGGCGAAGGCTGCACAAGCCCGCCTGTGCACATCAACGCGCGAATGCTCCGGGCTGTGCTCGTGGACTTGGCAAAGAAGAGCACGCCCGGGCTGTTTGACTTTCTTCTGGAAATAGCAGGCAAAGCCCAAGAAATTAGCCAGTACTATGGAATAGTGCTGTATGCGGTGTGCAGGGAAGTGCAAACGGTAGAAAGGCTGGTGGACGTATTCAGACGGCCTGCTAGGGAGTACATGCACAAACCGCACGATGCAGACGCACACTACACGCGCTTTATGCAGGTTCTCTGCACCGCCAAGTACCTGGGAGCACTGTGCGGAGACAGTGTTGTGCAGAGTGTGCGCACATTGGTGGCTGAGGTGCTGCAGGAGTGCAAGGGCGAGCACATATCGGTAGAAACAGTCGAAAGGGCGCTAGGCCAGGAGAGTATTATATGCACTGCTGGAACTCTCCTGTATATGGCGCGAGACATTCCGGTGGAGCCCAGCCTTGAGATGGACGCCGAGCTGAAAATGAGCGTGTACTCTGTCATGGCTCTGCTGCACAAAAAGCCAAGCCGCGCGGTGCTTGCGGACGCTGTGAGAGAAAACACCGAGGCAAGCCTTCTCTATGTGCACTGTGTTCTTCTGCTGGCGCCGGAGATGGTTTTGGAGCCCGGGGTCAGCTCCGTGTTTGCAGAGGCAGAGAAGTCTTCTGCGATTGAATATATATGCCTTGCATATAGGCACGGGAAGCCCTGGAAGGGCATAGTTAGCCGCCACAAAGAGCACTGTGTGGAAAGCAAGCGCAGGCATGCAGCGGAGAGCCCAGAGCACCTGCAAAAAGCCGGGCAAGAGAAAAAGCGCCGAAGCGCGTGCAAGGTGTGCAGCGTGGATCGAGCAGTTGAGAGGTGTGCAAGGGCAATTAGAAGGAAGAGCATGATGTGGATGATAGCGGAGGGAGACGCTGACGGGATAGCACAGTACTTTGCAGAGAATGCACCCAGCCCGAGCGCAATGGCTGTTCTTCTGGAAAGAATAAACCCAAGCATTTGCATTCGGGTTGGCGGGAGCAAGGCCCTGAGGCATCTGGACCCGAGCGAGCACTTTCGATACCCAGAAAGCGTGCGGATGCTTCCCATACTCGCACACTCGCAGAAGGCCATGGAGCGGATAAAGCGTGTTTTTGGGCCTGGAGACGCGCAGAAGCAAACAATTTGGCTGCTTTTTTTGGAGTCTGTTATGTGCCAAATGTACGGCATGTCCTGCGTGCTCACAGAAGGGCTCGAGCTGCAGGTTCTTATCCGGTCTCCTAAAATAGCGCACAGCGTGTGCGAGAGATACTCGCAGAAGAGAGAGGAGGCCATCATACAGACATCGCTTGGCGTGCTGGAGGGGTCTATCAACTCGACCGAGCAGGAGAAGAAAAATGTTTTGTGCGCGCTGAAGGCGCTGGCCAAGCACACGCCAGACCTGAGCGTCTCCAAGGACATTTGCAGCTATTTGCAAAAGAAAGCAAAAGGCTGCACGTTTTCTGAGTTTTTGGAGGGTTTAGCCCTCCCAGTGTCTGGCAAGCAGGGAGAAACCACGTTCGCGAGATGCTTGTCAAAGGCGCAGGCGCTTATGGACATTTTTGAGACTGTAGACCCTTGCAACACGCCAAAGGATGCAGTGGACTTATCGCCTGCGCGCTTGGTGCGGGAAAAGGCCGAGCTGTTTCGGGCTGTGAGCGAACTGCCGCTTGTTGAGCAGAAAGCAATAGAAGAGTACTTTGCGCACAAAAACTCTTTCTACACGGCGCACATGCACAGCATGCAGTTGGTGCTTGCGAGAGAGTCCGAAGTCAGAAAAGCTGTGGAGGTGTACTATGACAGCGCCCTCGAAGAAAAAGAGCCAACCTCCGATGGCGTGTGCAGCCTGAAGCATCCCTGCGTGCACGTGGCCCATGCATTTCTGCGTGCAATATACCCTGAGAAGTATTTTCTCTTCTTCCTCTTGACAAAGCTGCTAGGAGAAGAAAAGCCCTTGACTGCTCTGGAGGTCTATGCTATGCGGCTGGTGCTTGAGTACCTGCGCGTATACGATAGCAGCATGCACTCAGAAGCAAAGCGGCTCTTCTTCATGCGGCTGGAAAATGCGGACTCGCTAGAAAAGTCTGCAGACACTTTGAGCGGTGCCTCTGTGTCTAGCATGGTTCCCGCCTGCGCAGAAGACGAGCGCATTTCCACCCTGCTAAGAAGGCACGGGCCGATGAGCAGGCCCAGGCGCGGCATTGTTCTGGCAAAGTGCCAGAACGCCTTCTTCACGCGGCATTACAACTTTTCAAGCATATCCGACCTGTTTGGCGCATACTTCAAAAAGCTTGCTCCGTTCGCCAATCTGAGCCTTCTTGTGTTTATGTGCGACCTTCCCTCTGCGCCAGAACAAATTCTGGAAAAAATTCCGTGCGCCTCCTCTCGAGACTTCCTGCAGATGTTCTACTATGCAAACTGCAGCGCGCCTGTGCAGAAAGAGCACCCATATTTCCGGATAATCCAAGTCATGCGGGCAGACAGAGGCATCTGTGCAGCAGAGCTTGCATCCGAAGCAGTCCCAGAGAAAAGCGCGTACGAGGAAATTTCCATGTACGAAAACCGAGAGAGCGACAACGGGTTTATCACAGACCCAAATCCGGAGATGCACAGCGACGCGCTTCTGGAGGTAGAGGACATCTTGGAGGCGTCCAGAAAGCTGACCACCTGGAACAAAGCAGTGGGCAGCGTGGGCATGCAGGACTTTATACTTGTAAACAACCAGCAGGCGCCCGCGCACTACGTGAACTTTCTTCTGGCGCGGAAAGCGCAAGAAAGATACCAGTTTATCAACTCGGTGAAAACAGGAGCACCTTACACCGGAAACAGCGAAATAGAGGAGATGCTGTACATATGCACGCGCAGAAAGGCGGAAGTTTCCGCGGCGCTGGAGAAAAAAAGAGTGCTTACAAAGGGCGGAATGCACTGTGTGCTGGCAGCGCTGGAAAAGAAGTGGCTGGGAATGCCTGCAGAGACGTACTACATGAGGGCGCATGCCACAAAAAAAAGCCCTGAAATGGCGCTGCTTCTTCCTAGGGCGGGCCTGGAGAGCGCCTGCGATGCGAAGAGGCGCAGCCTGGCCGCAAGCCTCTTTTTGTTCAAAATAAGCAACAACATGAACACGTTCAAAGACCCTTTGCAGGTGCTTTCCAAAATAGAAAGCGACTGTCTCTCAAGAGCAGGCGCCGGGTGCTTGGAAAGGAGCAAGGCCGCACACTTTCTCAAAGGGCTCTCTGGGCGGAGGAAGCGGAAGACTTTTCTGCAAAAACAGAGCGCAGAGGAGGCAGAGCTGCTTGCCAAAGCGGTTTCTGCGAAAATTCAGTACACGCTGAAAGAGTTTAAGAGCAAGCCCATAGACATACTAAACATGCACGTGAAGCCTGCGTCTGAAATGGACTTTGGGCCTTCCCGCATGCTTGTCCTCGAGTCGCTCGCTAAGACTTGCCTGACCATATTCAACAGGCACGCGATGAACTTGCAGGACCGGGCCGCGCCGCAGGCTCCTAGCAGGCCCAAAACAAAGAGCACGATTCTGCAAAAGGAAGAGGCTGCTGCAAAGGAGCTGCACGACCGCAGGTTTAGGCAGCAGACAGAGGTAGAAGAGGCTGCGCTCCGAATGGGGATATCTTTCTACATCAAGCTGGTTGAGGAAAGCAAAAGTGTCCAGCATGTAATATCATTGGTGCATCTTCTGTTTTCTGAGCATGTTCCAGAGCGCACGGTTAGGGAAGCGTCGATGGACGGGATTCCTATAAAGTGCTTCTTCCCGCTTAAGCAGCAGATTATATCTAAGTATTTCCACCTAAAGGCCAGCCGCCAAACAGCAAGAGCGCTGTACGCGCACCTTTCGCTGCTCATTGAGAGGTTTCTATGCGAAATGCCGCTTTCTGTGGTATACGACATTATTCTGCGAGAGGACAAAGACTCCAGTGTTTCCAGCATCCCCGCAAGCACCCGGATGCACGCAGAAGCGGTTATTCGGCAGTACAAAAGCATGTACGAGCAGGCGCAGACAGATGCCCCGATTTCAGCAGCTTTTCCGCAGGGCACGCATCTTTTAACGTCTCCGAACACGCCAAACACGGCGCAGGTCTACATACACAGGGTGATGTCCTCCGCGGAAAAGCTCAAAGGAATCAACAAGCCGGTGCTTATTTCGCTCCAGGGGACAGACGGAGTCGTCTACAAGGAAATTCTCAAGAAAAACGACGACCTAAGGCAGGACATACTGAGCATACAGGTGTTTATGTACATGAACACTGTGCTGGCGTCCTCTGGGCACACGCAGTTTATAAAGGAAAGAGTCCGGACGTACAACATCGTTGCGCTGGACAAGCTGTTTGGAGTCATCCAGTTTATTAGCACTGCAGAGCCCATTGGAAATGTAATAGAAAGCCTCCACAAGAAGCACTACCCGCACGAAATCGACAACAAGCGGTGCCGGGCCATCTTGGTCAAGAAAATAGATGCCCCGCTTGAGGAGAAAATAAAGGCGCTGCAGCTCTTGAACAGAGAGTACTCCCCCGTCCTGAAAAAAGTCTTCAGCGGCAAAGGCCCGTTTGAGTACTGCAAGCAAAGAAAAGCCTTCACAAGCTCGTTTGCGATAACCTCCATTGCCACGTACATACTTGGGCTGGGCGACAGGCACCCGCAGAACATCTTGCTGGACAGGCGCACGCAGGAGCTGATCAACATAGACCTCAATCTGATATTTGACCAGGCCCGAGCTCTGTCGATTTCGGAGAAAGTCCCGTTTCGCATGACTGCGAATATGCAGCAAGGGCTCATAACAGGAAATGCGCACTCGTACGAGAGAATAATGTGTGCCTTTTTGGCCAGCCTGAAAGAGTCCAAGGAAACCCTTCTGGTCTTTGTGGGCATTTTAAAAAGCGAGCCGCTGCAGAGGTGGAAAGCCATCCAGAAAATTGCGCAGCTTGACACGCTGTTTTCCGACTACAAAAGCATTATGGGCCGGCTCAAGGACAAGCTAAACGGCGTGGAGGACGGGTTTGTTCTCAGCAACACTGCACACGTGCAATGCCTTGTGCAAAGGGCCGTAGACATTTCAAACCAAGCCTCGATATACCCTGGATGGTCTCCTTGGATGTAACCCAGGCAAAGCGCCACGTATAAACAGTCCTTTGATTTATTTGAAATCTCTCTTCTCTACTGCATTCCAGCCATTCCTTTGTACTTCATTTGCTCCTTCACAAACAGCTCAAAGTACTGGCCAATAATGGAGACTGCAAGTATTATGTTCTGCCCAGACCCAATTGTGTCCAAAAGGTCACTCACAATGCTAATCACGCCCACAATGATTCCTGATAAGATTGCTGCAATTGGAATGTACCTGTTCAGCATTTCTTGCGTGCCCTGCGCGGAGTACCCCTTTACAACCAGCTTCTGCTTTGACAGCTGTTTTCCCACCTCGGCAGGCGAGTTTTCGTTGATTTCAACCCAGTAGTATGCCAGAAGTGCGGACGTTGTCAGCATGAACACTGCGTATATTAGGAAGTGGACAGGGCTTTTCAGGCCAGCAAGAACACTTGCAGGCGGCGAAATGTAGTATGCAATTCCCTTGACAGGAACATACATCATGCTTTCGTTCAGGTCCCACACCCCCATAATCCGAATAAACCACTTGTTTGGGAACTTGTCGAAAAGGAATCTGGATATTCTGTAGAACGCCGTGATGGCCTGGTTCTGGATAATAATGGGCGTGCTGGACACGTAGAACAGCTTAATTCCCCAGTTCATGTGCTTTGTTTTTACCTGCGTGGACTCCAGCGGTAGATCCAGCTTTATGTTGTACAGATAAATGACGATGCAGAACATGGAGATCGTTGAAAGCAGGCAGAAAATGTTTGGCAGATTCTTCCTGAAGAAAGCCTCGTACAACGCCTCCAGCTTGTTTCGCCGCACCTTCAGCAGCTGCAGCAGGCTTATGATAGAGCCCTCAAACTCCGGGCCCTTTCCTGTGTTGAAAACAGACGGGCTGAACGACTTCCAGACGATGGACTCGCAAATATTGGCAACAATAAATAGGTTCACCCCCGAGCCCAGGCCGTACCCCTTCTGGAGCAGCTCGTCCAGAAGAATGATTATCACCCCAGACATCATCAGCTGGAACACAATTAGACAGCACACGGAAAGCCCCAGGTTTGCTGGCGCCCCGAAGAACCCTGTGGACACCTGAACAAGCGCCTGCCCAAACGTAATAATCAGGGCCAGGCACTTCTGGAAGGCCGAAAAGAGAACTGCGTCCTCCTTGATGTTCTCGTCAATTGTGAGTATGTCCATAAAGTTGAAAAACTGTATGATTGAACTTGTCATAAGAATTGGCCCTAGGCCCAAATCCATGAGAGTTCCCCTGTTTCCTGCCATCATAGCCCTCAGCCAGTACACTGGATCTGCCTTGTCGTTTATCATAATTCCAAATAAAGGAATCTGTGAAGCAACGAAATATATAAGTATTGCTATCAGCGTCCACAGCAGCTTTTCCTGGAACATTATTTTCCTGTCGTTAGACTGCACCTCTGGGAGAAATGGCACAAGTGGCTTTACAAAGTCAAGTACACGCATTTCTAATTACAATTGCAAAATAAAAATATTTAAAATATATTCCACTTTGAATTAAAATTAAAATACACTGTCCATTGCGTGTAGATTGTGTCGTTTTAACATTTTGATAATACAAACGGAATTGCATCTTCTCCATATTGCTGTTTATTTTCAAGACTGCATGCCTTTTCAAATCACGCTTTGCGCAGGGCTACTTAATAAACCGCTTTAGCTCTTCCAGCTTGGCAACGGACCCTGCGTCCTTGAAGTTTCCTTGTATCTCCTTGACCAGCTCTTGCATGCCCTCCGTGGAGGTGTGCTCCTTGAAGTACTGCTGAATGTACAGGATATTTATAACAAGCTGGTTTCCCTTCCTTCCAAACGGCTTGGACTTGCTCAAAAAAGCCTCTTTCAGCTCTTTGGCGAGCAGGCCCTGCAGCCTGCACAGTACCAGCTTCTTGGACTCTTTGAACATTTCCGTGTCCGCCAGCGGAGTGAGCGTTTTTAGCTCAGCCACGACTTTCACTGCCCAGTTCTCAGGCCTAACCGAGTAGTTCACATCGTCTGTGTAGAGGCCCGTGTACAGGTCTATAATAATTGCGCGTATTCTTGATATCTCTTGCATGCACAGATACTCCACAACCTCGCGCTCTATTTTCTCCCTTATCTCCTTTGGCAGCATTTCCATGTCGCTTTCTTGCTCAATGTGCCGCACCATTGAGTGCATGCACACAGTCATTACAAATTTGTGCGACAGCGCAGCTGTTTTGCTCTGTATTAACTTTATTGTTGTGTTTATGTACGAGTTAATCAGCTTCTTCTTGTACTTCACCACCGTGCTGTCCTGCAAGTCATTTATAAGCGAGAATGTCAGGGCAAAGAACTCCTCCGGCTCTGCCTTGTACTTCATGGAAAATATAAAACATTGTCGGCGTTTTACTCAGCGTGTTTCATTTGCTTTTCTCTCTGCGAGCGGCTGCTTTTCTACTATTTTCCGGATGTGCTCTCCCTTTATAATGTGCACGCTCTCTGGCGTCTGCACGGCAACGTTCAGGTACACGTCAACGCCTGCACAAATCCCCTCTGTTTGGCCGCCGGCATGCACCACTGTGATGTGCCTGCCCAAGTATGCGCTTTCCTCCTTTCCGGATACACCCATGTGTTTTATATTTTGCAGAAGTTCTTTGGTGTTTCTTCCTGGAAAGTGGGCTTTGGCCTACAGGTCTGTGCGCTGCTTGCTGTCGGTTTTCACAGCTTTCATTGCGCCGCTGCCTAGGAGGTGCAGTATCTCCTTCTTTCGCACATAGTACAGCGAGCCCTTCTTGGTCTCAATCAGGCTGTCGCCCATTTCAATCACTCCGCACTCCTCAGTGGCCAGCGCGTGTATGTAGTACTCAACAGGCACCTCCCTGTGCGTGAAGTTAAGCATGGAAAACCTGCTGTAGTACCTGTTTGTTATTTCTTTGAATTTGTGCATGTACTCAGACTCTCTGCTGTGCACCCCCTTTACTACCCAGGCGTTTTCCTGCTCCTTGTTGCCCTCTCTTTCAAGGATCTTGCTGACTCGGATAAGCCTCTCCGTTTCTCTTTTCAGCAGCAAATAGCACACAGACAGCTCCACCGACTGCTGGTTCTTTTCCAGCGCACTCCCCAGCTCTGCTAGCCGCTTCTTCTTTATCTCCACCTGCATTTTGATTCTGGCAACTTCTTTTTTGCTGGCCCTCGTCTGCAGCAGAGCGTTTAAACCCTCTTCTTTCATTTTTGAGACGTCGAAAAAATTCATTTATTATATGCTTTGTGCGCACTGCTCTGCTCTGCCTTCTTTCTGAAAGGCCCTGCTTTATCTCCTGCAGGAGCCTTCGGATCGACCTATACGCCCTTAGTATCTCGTCAACCACCTCTCTGTTTATCTGATCCATGAAAGTGCACGCACGCCCTTCTTTATAGCCCACGGCCTTACTTTATTGTGGGCCTGGCTCTGGGCAAGCACACTTCTGCTGAGCATGCACGGACAGCCGCACTTTTCTCTGCGCGTTGCACACATTTTTGCGTACAAACCTTCTGAAAAATCAGACCTAGAACAAAGCAGTGCACAGCTAGTCGTGATGTAGGTCTGTTTATTTTCTGGCAGCCTGTGGAAGGGCTGCGCCCTGCATATTTGTTGCACTCCGCCATTCAACATTTGATGACGGTGCTCGTGCTTGCTGTTGTGCCTGCACGAGAAGGCTTTCCGGCATAAGGTCCGCGCGCAGCCCTATTCGCTGCCCTGCACGCCACGCAGTTTCTCTATATTGTTGCCTGGCGTGCTCTGTCTTTTTATACGGCTCTATCGGCGCTCGTGCTTTTCCTCTGAAAGACTCTGCTTAAACTCCAAAGTCCCAGCACATCTTTGCGCCATTTGGCACAGCCTGTACAGGCCCGTGCCCCTAAGGACCTCGCTTTGCAGAAACTGCTCTGCCTTGGTGCGTATGCACCTAAGCAGCCATGCCTCGCTGTGCCTCTCATGGGCCAGCGGGTTTTTAAGAGGCCCCTGTATTTTTACGTCTTTGCTTTGCTCTTTGTAAACATTCAAAATCTTTTTCATTTCGGAAACCTTCTGGTCTGAAACCACAAGCTGCGCCTCCGTCTCCTCCAGCATAAAAATAAGCCCGATTTCAAAGGATTCAAGCTCTGTCGCAGCTCTCCATGCTTCCTCTATCTCGTCCACGCTTTGGCCCTTTCTGGGCAGGTTTGTCACCCGAAAAAACGAAAACATGTGCGGCCCCTGGCCAAAGAGCTTCTGCATGCGCGCAGTTTTTTCTGCTGCCCGCGTGGGCGCTGCCTTCTTCTGTGGTGCCCGCGTGTTTCCGCCTCTCGCGCTACTTTCCGCCTTCTTTGCGGCTCTGTGCGCACCTACCTCATTTTTCAGCGTGTTTGCCAGCTCTTCCCTGTTGTCTTTCTGCGCAGACTTGGCAAGCAGGGTTTCTCGGATTTTTTCCACCATGTTCTGGCACACCAGGCGGGTTGCCATGTGCCCGCTCGGCTCTTTGGGCGCTGCATTCTGCTTTTTCTCAGGCACGCGAGCTTCCCCTGCGCCTTTGGCCTGGGGGGCGAGAAGGGCAATCAGGTGCTCCAGCGCGCTCTTTATTTGGATGAAAGACGGGCTTCTTTCAACCATTTCATTTATCTGCGCCTGAAGTGCACAGGTCTCCATCTCTTTGGCAGGCACGTGCTTGGGCGCGCTTTGAATATACTTTGGCTCCATTTCCAAGGAGAGCACGCCCTTGCTAGCGCACTCAAGCAGCCCTGCATAGCCTGCATCTGCGTGCCCGAGGCTCTCTGTCCTTTCACTTAGGCTAAAGGCGTCCCGTGCAGAATGCCCTGTGCTGTGCCTCCTGGGGATATCAGACCCTGCCTGCTGCTTTGCGTTTTCGTTCATTTTGCTTGCCATCTTTTTTAGTTTTTCTATTATTTCTCCAATTCTTTTGTTGGCGTCTGAATGCATTTGAGCATGCTCGTTGCTCGAGCATATGCTGCCTGGCATGCACAGATGCAGGCTTCTTTCCTGGTCCTCTGTGCTGCCTGAGTGATGGGCTGTTCCTTTTCTTAACTCTCTCTCTACCATGCACGTTTATTAACTATCAAATTTTTTTGAATATTTAGCTTCGCTGCTTTATTTCAATAATGTCTGGGGGTATTTGAAACCATGTAACAGAATAAAATTTTGTGTGGCTCCATTTTTTGGGAGTTTTACACAAAAACTGTTGGTTTCCAGCCAGCACGGGCCTTCATTGGCCCTCTGCTTGGTGCTGGCGCATTCCTATGGTTTGTGTAGAGCCCTGCAAGGAAAAAGTGTATGTGCTTTTTAAGAGTGGCTGTGATGCCTTGCTGATGCTCTATATTCGTGCAATTTCAAAGCTTGGGCGCGCATTATACGCGCCAGGCATACATGCGCACGCGCTTTATGGCATAATTTTGCATAAATCGTTTGGGGTAGGTGCGTTTCTAAAGGACCTTGCATGAATACTACCCGCCTGCAAATTCTCTGGGGTTTGAACACCGGATTTCCGTCTTCGGGCTTGCCAAAACTTAAATAAAAATAACCCATATCCTTTGAAAAAACATACACATATGCAGCTTGACTTTTATTTTAGTTCCTTGCAAGCTGAAACAAACACGCATGTGCTGGCTGCAGTGGCCGCATTATCAAGCTTATAGGAAAGAGCTGGGAAGCGAGGAGTTGCCTTTGTTCTTCTTTTCCTCGCACTTTCTGAAGTGGCATTGGGTTTGAAAGTCTGGGAACATTTCTAGCTTCAAGCTTGTCTAGGAAGAGTGCGCATTGGCTACACCACAAATCCGCCTGCCTTTCCACGCGCAGGAATGGCCTGCCAATGGCTGAAGTTGGGCTGATGCATGCACAAACAGAAAGATCACACAGGGTGCAATGGGTTGATGCAAAACAGAAATATTCCGTGCGCTCAGAGGCCTTACAGGGCAATTGTGAAGCACAGGGTGAGGCCATATTAAAAAAGAGTTTGAGGGCAGTCGGCAAGGCACATAACTCTCAGGCATAAATGGGCCAGCAAGCCTAAAACATGCATTCTAACAGCCGTAGACCAGCAAGATATACATCCCAGAAAGAAACATCCTTGGGAAAGCTGGAATTTCTGGAAAAAAGCTTTTTTCCAAAAGCAGGCCGGCTCCAAACGCCTTGAATGCATAAACAGTAGCATAGAGCCGCAAAAATCTAGAAAGCTTGCCAAAGGCCAAAACTCTCTTGGAGAAAGCGCAGAGAAGCAGAAGAGGCATTTTGCCTGTGCAGTTTGCCACTGCCAAGAGCACTTCTTATTTACGGCTCTGCACTTTCTCCAAGAGAGTTTTGGCCTTGCACAAGTGAAGCAGAATGCACACAGAGGCCTTTCTGGCGAAGCTTTTCTACATGCTTTGTAGAATGCATTATAGGCTGCCAGGCAAGCACAGATAGCTCGGGCGCGTTCAAGGCGCACTGCTGTACTGCCTCCAGAAGTGCAGCCAAGTTCTGTGCCTGGAAAAGCCCGAGCATGCAAAAGGGCAAGTGCACAATGGAGTAAAAGCACACAGAAAAGAACTGGTTTTCTATGCGGGCCAAAGCGCAGCCTGCGGCTCTTGTTTGCCATAAACTTTGCAAAAGTCAAGCCAGGCCCTGCAAGTGTCTCTTTGTGCACGCGCACTCGCGCTTCCAAAAAGGCTCGCCAAGCATCAACAGCAACTTTCTGCTTTTGCAGGGAAGGATGCTCTATATGGCATTTGAAAGGGATGCACTGCAAATATCCAATCCCACGCTCTCGTTGAAGTTCGTGCATGTGCGAGTGCCCGAGGAGAAGCTGTGGGCATAAGCCCAGAAAGCCACGCATTCTGCCCTGAAAAGCACGAAAATGGCCTTCAAGAAGCATTTAATTATTCCAATTTCGAAAAGTTGGGTCTAATTTGCATGTACACAAAAAATCAAATAAATAAGCACGCACAAAACGGCGTCAAAAGGTGCGCATCCAGCCTCTTCAGACGGCAAAACCGGGCATGCAGATGCAAAGCATACAACACTCAAATATATCGAACGCTGGCATACAGATATAGCGAAAACGCCGGGCCATTTATTTTTTAAAATCATTTTGTTTTAATATATTCGTAAATATTAAAATAGAATCTAGATCATTTGCTTCTTAGGCCCCATTTCATTTAAAGAATAAATATGCTTTAGACAATCAAAACACAAATGAAAGATGAAAGAGAAGACGAAGAAAACTGCAATGGTTCTAAATCCTTTATCTTTAAGTTTAAGAAAATGGCAAGAGCCTTTAAAACAGCGCTCTTGTGCTACAGCTTCGAGTCTTCTTCGCAGGAAGGCGCCCCCACGCCCCAAGAGGGAGAGTCTTTGGTGGAAGAGGCAGAGTGCAGGATCACACAGGACGTGGAAGTAGTACCTATCACGGAGGAGGCCGAGCCCAGAAAGGGGCTTCCTGTGCCAGCCGGCTATTCGGAAGAAAGGGCGTGGCATTCTTTGAAGGATCTAGACGTACAAGCCATTATAGGGCGCAGCACAGTTCCAGACAGGGTCTTGCAGGCGCTAAAAATAGCTGGAGGCAAAAACATGCCAATGCAAATTATGCTGGACTATAGGAAAAGAGAAATGCTGAAACACGCATGCTCTTTTCTGAATGAGGTCAGAGAGATCATAGGCAGAGCAGCATACAAGGGCAACTCCCTATACACAGGATGCCTTATTGTCTTTCATCTGAAGAAGCGGTATTATACAGATGACGCCCGCATAAATGCATTCCAGGCGCTGTGCATGAAGGACAAGTCGAACGAGACAGCGGACTCTGCGAAGCGCCTGCAGGATGCTGCAGCAGAAAGCCATGTGAAGTCCTTGATGGAGACAACTTTTCTTATGAACTGTGCAGCTGTGGCGTGCAAGCCGTTTGGGGATATGTACTTGGAGCTGCGTGCGCAAATAAAAGAGGCAATTTACAGCTCCGGCAAGCAAGGCAGTAAGACCGCAAAAAATCTTATGCTAGTTTGCATAGTGCTGGCAGAAGTAAGAAGCATCACCATGCACATCCTAAAGAATCTTATGGAGGGAGTGTGCATATCGCAGAAAGAGATGGAGGCTATAAAGAGTGCTTTGCCAATGTGCGAGGCTGTTGCAGAAGAGGCAGTTGCGAAAGTGGAAGCTGCCAGTGGCCTGCAGAAAGCCACTCCAGAAAGCGCATCTGCTTCAGCTTCGGGCTCGCTCCTGGCTTTGCCTCAGGCTTTAGCTCCAGCCCCAGGCCCTGCTCCAGCGCCTGCCTTAGAAGAATCCCTCCCCATCCCAAAGAGGAAGGCGCTTTTTCTTTCTGCTCCTGCAGAAAGTCCAAAGCGTCGAGAGCCTGATCCTTCGTCCATTTCTGCTAAGTCTGAAAAAAAGCAGCCTGTGTCTGCAGCATCGCCCGTAGTGGCAAATATGAGCTTAATAGATGATTTGCGAGAAAGCTATCTTTTCAAGAAACAGAGGGACATATACATGCAGGCCAGGGATTTTTCTAATGTAGAGAACCCGTGCGAGAGTTTCACAAGGCAGTACAAAGTGAAACCGGCGGTCATGACCAGCATCATGACACAGCACAGGCTGACATTCAACCTGTACGAGCTGGCCAGCAAGCAGAAGCCTAGCGCCAAGCCATAAGCCTTCATGCTGCATCCTGGCGCCAAGCAGCTTCCCAGGCCTCTGCATACACTGGGAAACAACTGCGCAAATAAAAGTCTAGCTAGTAAACTTTTTGCTCTTTCCAGTTCCGGGCGCTCTGCATGCAGCGCCCTCTGCCCATAAAAGGGCCTTTCCCCTAGAATAGATGCAAAGCATGCAGCAGGCGCATGCGCGCCAAGAGATGCGTCAAAGCACGCGAACGCGATGTCTATGTGCCACGCAAAAGAGGAGAAAGCCCCGCCTAAGCCTTTTCAGAATCTGCAAATCAGCTGCAAATGGTCAACTTTGCAGCCGTTGAGATGCTCTTGCCTTTAGGAGTGTCCTATAATATGCGCGCTCTAGAATGAAGAACTTTCCTTTCCATGGCGAATAAGATTGGAGTTTGTGTGGGCATAGAATTGCAAAAAGGCTGCACATTTTTTAAAACCATAGCAAAGACAAAAAACACGAGAAGAAGCAAGGGCCAGCCCATAAAGGGGATTTGAGATGAAAAAAATAACGGAAAGAGCAAATTTGCATTTTTCTTTGCACTCGCATAAATAGTCTAAAAAATTTAGAAAATAGCATGGAGAAAACAAATGATGAAAAATCAGTCACAGTAACGATCAATAAGATGGACGGGGAAGGCGTTCTGAAATTTGATATCTACAGAAAAACGATAGAACAATTATCTAATGATGAAAACGGCCAGCTGGAAAAGAAATCAGTACTTAGAAAGATCTTCGGAGTAGTGTGCAGTCACGTAGTCTGCAACACCCCCGAGAGCTTGAATTTAATTACAGGCAAAACAGCGAACTGGCTTGCAGCAGCGATGTTTTATAATATTATAGAAAGCAGCGAGGACGCGTGGAGCACAATTGAGAAAGCCATGGAAAAGACCAACAGCAAATTCCAAGAGAGAAACGCAGCTAGAGATGATTCGAAGACGGCAAACACGGGGAATCTAGCAGAAAGGGAGGATGTGCAAAGAGCCAAGATGTTTATAGACGTGCTAACGAAGGATCTGGAGAAGCAGCTGAAGCAGGCGACTGCGTACATGCAATGCATTGTAAACCCGCAGCCAGTAAACGGCAGTACACGCCCCATAGAAAGAGCAGGCATTGAGTCTATGGAGTGGGTTTACAAGTTTATCATGAACACCAAGGACCATCCGCTGCTAATGGCTTTCAACATAAAGAAACTAGACGATATTTTCCCGGAGGTGGCCATGGCAGATAGAAATATGGAGTTTGGCTCACAGGAGGAGCTTGTGGCGGAGGTAAACAACAGGCTGCAGCGCCTAAGAGAGGAAGTGAACAGAGAAGGGCTCTACACAGTATTCTTGGTGAGCAACAATGAGGAGTTTATAGAGTTTGCAGACGACATTATGAAGAGAAAATCCGAGAACATAAAGAAGTACAGGAAGGAGGACATGGCGGCCATTCTCACAGGCATAGTCCAGACACTTAAGCTGGACGTCTCTAGCCAGGAAATAAGAAGAAATGTTGACCTTGTGCTCGCCAGGAAGGGGTACATCCGCAGAGCGAGCGAGTTCACGGTTTCATTGCCCGGCAAAGCGTACCGATCTGTGACAGAGACCATTTACAGCATAGCAAGCGGTACTTCGAGCTTTTTAGTCCGCAACCGGACAAGGATAGCCTACCTAGCGTTGTTTTTGGCGTTTTCGGCGATATGGATAGTTATATTAGACTTTATGACCGAGCCCGAAGTTCCTGTTCAAGACGACACATGGTGGTAAACAGTGAAGCCAGAGCAGCCAATGAAGGGCCTGGAAGTAGGAGAAGCAGATGCTGTTTTAGATGCAATAGGCCCAAATGGAGAGTATTATGCCATTTGCAGCGCCGGAAATCAGCCAACTGCCGCATCTTTTTAGAGCGCAAATTAGCGAATAGCTGGCTTTGTCCAGTATTGGAGAAGCCAGCCGGGTAGACCATCCCACCAACACCCAAGCGCACTCTCTAAGAGAGTCCTTGGGCCTCAGGATAGAAAGGCACTGAATAAAAGCAGAGCATTATAATGTGCATCTTTGGGCTTTATTGAACTTTACTTAGGATTTGCATGGCTTTCAGCACTCTGCAGAATCTTAAAGGATCTCAGCGCGCTTTTGGCGCTTGCTCTTTTTTCTGGATCGAACGCAAGCATTTCTTTCAGAATTTTTACGCAGTCCGCCAGCTCCTCTCTTCTAGCAGTTGCAGCCATGGCCTCCAGCGAAGACTTGTTTAGCACCTCGTGGATCCTCTCCAAGCATGCGGATGCTGTCTGCCCAGGAAAAAGCGTGGTGTGCGTTATCATCTCAAATAGCACACACCCGGCAGCCCAAATGTCTATCCCCAGCCCATACGGCGCTCCCTCGTGTATTTCCGGCGCTCTATAGTATCTGGAGCATATATACAGCACGTTGTTTTCTGCGCCAGCTATCTTCTTGGCGCTCCCAAGGTCGCAAAGCTTCAGAATTTTTGCGTCAACGTCTATCAGCACATTTGAGGGCTTGATGTCTCTGTGCGCTATTCCCAGCGAGTGCAGATATTCAAGCCCCTCCAGCAGCATAACAGCGTAGTCTATGAAACTGCTTCTGGGAAAATGTGTTTTTTTTACAATGTGAAAAAACAGGTCGCTTTTCACATATTCCATAATAATATTTAAAAACACGCCGTCCTTGCACTGTTTCTCGTAGAAGTACCAGAACGCCCGGACAATGCATCTGTGCGAAACCGTCTGCAGCATCTCCAATTCTCTGTTCATGTACGCGCTTTTCTCAAATACCCTCTTCAGCGCATACTCGGACGACCCATTGACAGAGATCCGGGTGACCACCCCAAAGGTTCCAGATCCTATGTTCTGCAGGGATGCATAGCTTATTTCTGTTTCGCGCCCTGTTATAGCGCAGATTGCCACTTCTTTTAGACACTTGCACTCTCCACCACTTATTTCGCCTAGCATTCTATTTATAGTGTATTAGATACAAATAATTGGCAAATATTCCCCTGTTTATTTTTTAAAATAGCCTACCCCTGCATGAAAAACGAGGAAACTTGGGAGAGCGTGCAGACAAAAACATTCATAAAATGGATAAACTCCAAGCTAGAAACCGGAGAAGAAAGATATAGACAGGAGGCCATCAATGTTCCTTTTGTGTTTGATCGGATAAGCCATCTCAGAGAGCTGCGGGACGGGTTGACGTTGCACTCCCTTCTGTACTCCATTACAGGTTCTATTTTAAAGTTTAATACAAAGCCTGTCCTTCGGGTGCATAAAAGAGAAAACATTGAAAAAGTGATTGATTATTTGAAATCCAGCAAAGTCGAAATGATCAACATCGGCTCGGCGGACATAGAAGAGGGCAGCACCAAGCTGACGCTGGCCCTAATATGGAGGTTTATCCTGTTCTTTACATTCCAGATGGTGCGGGAGGGCTCGGACTTAAAGCCGTACAGCTCTGTCCAGAAGAAGGTTCTCAAGTGGTGCCAGATGAAGACAGCTCCGTACCCCGGGATTTCTGTGAAGAACTTTGAAAGCTCTTGGAAAGACGGAAAGGCAATTTCGGCCTTGGTGCACTCGGATATCGGAGGATTTGTCTACGACGAAGGAACTCCGCACGAGCTCGCCTCCAGAGCGCTGGGGCTTGCCCACGAGCACCTCAAAGTTCCCGTGTTGATCACCGCGGAGGACTTGGTCGAGGGCAGATGCGACGAGAAGTCTCTGCTGACGTACCTGCTGGAGTACTATGCAGCCTCTGTCAAGAACGACGGAGAAGTCAAAAGAATTCTCACAGCCAAGGCAGTCCACCACGCGTCGCAGTCCATCGAATACGCAGACAAGAAAATTGGAGAGCTGTCCTCTTTCCTCGCGAAGGAGGTCCCGGATCTGGAGAAAAAGAAGAAAGAGCTTGACGCAGTCTACAACAGAGTCAGGCTCGCAGAGAAGGACGCTGTTTGCGCAATCGTCTCATATATTATTCAGCGAGACATACTAAACCGGATAAAGAGCCCGTACACGCCGGTAGCTGCCTCGCTGCCGAAGTCGTTCAAGGCCCTGCAAGTGGTCGGAGTCTTCGACGCAGTGAGCGTGCAGGATACCCTTAGAGGATGGGGCATCACCGAAGGAACCATAGGAGAAAGCGAATACCAGCAGGCGTTTGCAAACATGCTCAATGAGCTTCTGGAGCTCTCTGCATGCGTGACGCTCACAGCATCGCTGGAAATACTGAAGCACATCCAGGCAACGCTTGAGGAGGTGGTCTTGTCCAAAAAGCCCTCCGAAGACGGAATGCTTTCGTTTTCCGGAATGGAGGCCAGCCGGTGCATGCGGGAGCGGCTCTTCTGGGGCCTCCAGGAGGTGAAGGACGGAGTCAGGCGATTTATGGACATATTCTCAGACGGACTTGCCAGAGAGCGCGCTTCCATCAGTAAGCCCATCTCTTTGGAAATGCACGCGTTCCCCATCCCAGGCCCACACAAGCGCGAGTGGAGCCTCCTGGGCGGACAGGACATGTATTTGAGGATAGTCGCCGACGGTATGGCTGCTGCCGGCACAAAGGAGTTTACGTCTATTGCTCCTGACTTGGATAAATAAACCTGGCTTGCGTTCAAGCATGCTTGTTTTCTTGTTTTTGGAGAAGAGCTGCGGGCTTTTTGCAGTGCTTGTTCAGTCTGCGCATGAAAGAGACTTTTTTCCTGGAGTGCTGCAGAGACACGCGTGGAGCATCAGCTCATTTCAGAGTTAAGCACGCGAGTGCACCAATAGGCACTCTTCCCCGGACAGATTTGCCCCGAGATGGCACGTGCATGTTGCTTCGGCTTAGGAGGGCTTATCGTGGCGCACGCCCGACTTGTTTCTGGGCAGCAGCCTAGAACATGCTAGTATAACCCGAATAAAAACAAATCGCCCATGCAAAATGCTAACAGACAATAAGTATGTATGCACCCGAAGAGATAGAACTAGTTCAATTTATTGAATAATTTCCTACGCACACAGCTGTTTCCGCATGCAATGGCGCTTTTAATTCCATCAATAGCTAGCCAATGAGAAAAAGCTTTTCTTTCAAACTATTTTCCAAAAACAAAGAGTATCTGCCAATAAAAAGACAAAAATGCAATACATTATTTTTTTCTGATGCAGCCATCGATCACATAGAAGTGCAATAAAGACAAAATATCTGGATAGACACGACAAATTGGAAATATTTAAAATATTATTATACAAGGGCTGCAAAACCAGTCTGCTTTGCAGCGAGCAAATCCTGCATAAAAACATGCAGACATGCACTTTTATCGCATGCACATGTCTTCCATAGCTTAACTTTCTGCACCAATGGCACGTTTTTGTGGAGGCTAAAGCAGGATTCAACATACTCTTAAATGTGCGATGGGTGGGTATTTTATGCTTCGGATGGGGCTGAGCGCATTCCTGTGGGCGCTTTCTCCTGGGTGCAAGGACACAGTAAGAAAGCCTCTAGAGAGAGCGCAGAATCTGGCGGTATAGCCGGCCCCTTTGAAGAGGAGAAAATAAACACCTTCTGCCAGAGCCTCTCCATACAGTGCAAAACTGCCTACTTCCTGAATAGTGCAAAGTACGGCAGCATTGAAAGCACGTCGTGCCTTCTGTAATTAAAGATCTGTAGACACTTGCAGAGTATGCGAGGACTTTCCTCTAGTTTTTAGCCCTGTGGAGTAATGCTATTTTATTCATTGGTAAAACATTGTAGGTATATTTGTGTTTCTGGCTTGCAGCTCTGCTGGGCGTTTATCGAAAATACGTTTCAGAGGCTTTGGATAGCATTCTTTGCACTCTGCGCTGTTGCGCATTTTTCAGTTTGCTGTGTAAAGTTCAAAAGCTTAGTTCAACAAATAGATTAGCAGTTTGCCGTGTACGCCTATTGCTTGCAGGCAAGTTTCGGCTGATGGCTCCATTGTCACAAGGCTGGTTTCTGAAACGACCGACGGGTAGAAGCACAGTGATTTGCGCATTTTCTCGTGGTTTAGATGCAGCTCCCTGTCTAGGCATGTATACACTAGTTTGTTATGGTAGTTTTGTTCCCTCATGTTAAAGATGCATGTTACAGGCTCTGTTGAACTGAATACAATGTTTTTTATTGTGTTTCCGTATGAGTCCTTAACCCCCGGCGCGCTAGAAAGATAGCTCGCTGTAAAGTCGTCCATGTATATGTTGGAATGCTGGCAGAAGTTGGTGATTCTTGTGGAGTACATGATGTCTGTCCATCCATCGGCGTCGCTGAATTTGGACCTTTCTGTGACCAGATTGCCTTTTGCGAAAAGCATGTCCATGTCCAGAGACTCGCTGTCCTCTAAGAACTCAGCCTTCATCTGCGGATACAGTTCAACGCTTGACAAGTCTGCGGAATCCATAAAGACATATGCTTCACGGTCAACAAGGTCCTTTAAGCAGGGGATGGAATCGACAAACTCTGCGCTCTCAATCATTGCAGATCTCTGGAGTGTCAGCTTTCTTGTCGCGCACACCATCATGAAGTCAATAATCAGCGGAAATCGCAGAGGCCTGGAGTCCATCGATTCCTTGCAGTGGTACGACGCATACTCGGCAAGCACACCGTTAATAATGCAATTCGGGGAGTTTGCCTCGGATATGTAGTAGAACACCAAAATCTCAGAGCCCGGCAAGGACTCAGTGAAGTACATCGTGTCGTGCGGGCTTCTGTATGTCCATTTGCGGGTTTTCGGGTTAAGCCCCAGGACGTGTATGTTGCTCTGTGGTCGGCCGTACATCTGCGAAATCTGAGCTATTATTGTTGCGCACGGGATTCCGTGCGGGGTCATGGGGATTATAACCGGCTTTTGCATTCTCTCGCTGTTGTCCACGTAGTTCACTCGATGCAGCTTTATTCTGCTGGAGGGAAGACGGTTCCCTGTAGCCTGTACTTCGGTCTTTTTAGGGCAAACAAAGTCCAGATTAAACACGAGCTCCATGGTTCTGTTGTTTATGCGGTAGAAGTTCTTGTAGTACTTCTCGGTAACTACCTTGTCCTTCCCCACGAATTCCACCATGTTTTCACCCGCATATGGGCATATGGCATAAAACAGCGCGAAAAACCGATATAGCATAGAATAGAGCCGCGAAATGCTGCCTTTTGTAATTTCCATGTACGGAACCTGCTTTCCCGTGTCGGAGAAGAACATGGAGTTCAGGCTGTTGACTATCTTTTCTGTGGTTTCGCCGTAATATTTTTCCAACTCCACATCATTCAATACATTGCTATAAAAAGCATTTAGCAGCATATTCAGCTGAAGGATAATGTTAAACATCTCCTCCCTTTTCATAGAAGCCCCGCAGAAATCGTAGATATTTTTGTCAATGTAGTTTCCCTTTGGCGTGCTGTCTTTACACTCGTCTATCAGGGAGAGAATTATCTTATTTTGCTGCACGGAAAAGTCGAATGCTATTTCGGCCACTGAAAAAAGAAGATATATCGCTGCACCCAAGTCCTTGTTTTCGAAGCCTTTTCTCTGCATGCCAATTATGCGGTCCCTGGCATTGTCTAAGTGTTCGGTTTTATACCGGCACTCATAGCTCATATAGCCGCTTTTGACTCTGAAATGCAAATTTACGCCATTATATTGCATCTTGTTCTGGCTGTCTTCTTCCGTGCTGAGCTCTTTTATGTTCTCAGAAATAAATCTAAGCATCTGGTCCAGTTTATTCACGGTCCACCCGGGTATTTTATGTAGTTTCGGGTATTTTCTCAGGTTCTTCTTTATGTGCAGAAGAGCCTGCTGCTTCCACCTAATGGAAGGGCCCAGGCTCTTGACAAACTCGAAGAAACAATCCAAATCAGGATCGTTTAGGGAAGCGGTAATAGCACGGTCGAGGTCTTCTTTTGTTGGAATGGTTTCCATTGGGCTATCAATATTCTGCAGAAGGTCCATAATGCAGGAGGACTCGTCCACTTCCATTTCGGACGTTTCGCTCAAAGAACTTCCATGCACACGGTCTATCATGCTGCTAGCCACTCCTATGGCCAAAAACAGATAGACACTGCAAATATATTTTTTCATCTTCTTCAAACTATCCATCTTTGCTTATCGAAAAAAAACATTATAAATATACAGTCTCTCGAATCAATCATCCCTCCAGCACAAAAATCGATCAAATGATGCCGCTGACCTTTTTGATATCACATTTCAGCCAGAAGGCACGCAGCCACTCCCCAGACTCTGCACTTTTATGGCCGCTACTCCAGCCTGCAAATGCGCAGATCCCTGCCGCCACCGCTCCTGTGCAGCCCGGAAAGTGCATGCGACAAAACATTCGTGTCTAAGTATGATGAACTTTATTAATATCCTCATAAAGAAACAGCCGTCTTTGCGTAGATTACACAGTAAGTTCCATTCAGATCCATAGGAAGTCTATTCGTGGTACTTCAGCTTAGTACGCAAAAAGTGTCTTCTCTTTGTGTTGTAGTGCTGCTTGTTTCCTGGAATCATCCTCTTCCACGCAGGAATAGGCTTGTTCACTCTGTTTGCTTTGATTAGTCTTCTCTTTAAAAGTGCTCCCTTGTTCGCAGTCATTCGTTCTGGGGCTATAAAAATTAAAAAAATTTCAACACATTCGCGTCGCCCTCTCCCTGTGGAAGCTGCACTTTTGAATTTAGAGCGCTCCACAGAAAAGTCTTTGCACGGCGCAGCCAAGAATGCGCTACTTTTTGCTGCTTTTTTCTTTTCTCTTCTTAGCCAAGTATGCAGGGTGCGTCTTATCGACTGCAAAGTCTGGGTTGTTCTCGTGCGCAAATCGGCTGTCGTCTCCCAGGACTGCGGCCTCGCTGCTTTCATCTGCCTCGTCTGCGCTGCTATCTCCCATGCGGATGTCTTCGTTTTCAACCGATCCAGCTGCTTTTTCTTTGTGTGTGCTATGCTGCAGTGCGCTTTCTTCCTCCTCGGGGGCTTCCTCCTCGGGCATGCTCTCCAGCATGGCCTTCTTGTAGTATGCCTGCTTTTCCTCGTCGTCCGACATGTCAATTAGGCTGTTTGCCACCTCCAAGTCAACCTCCTTAACAAAAAGGTCTCGCAAGTATCTGTCTCTAATCGGGTCCTCGTCCCACTTGAGCTGCGGCTTCGTGCTGTACAGAGGGTTAATTGGGATTTTTCTTGCTGTGTTGTGCAGTTGGCTTGTCTCCTCAACAACCACGTCTGAAATCACAGCATCATCGGGTATAAACCGGGCATCAATGTAGTTATGTGTTTCCTCTATTTCCAGTCCATCCACTGCTGCGTACAGCTCCCTCCCTGCCTCTGCTGTGTCCAGCTCCACAACCGCATAGAAATATTTCATTTTGTTTTTCAAGTACTCGCGCAGCTCCATTTCCTGCGTCTCTTCATTTACGTCGAGATTCATCACTGCAGGGCCTTCTTGCTCTTCCTTCTCGAGCTCCTGCACGCCATACTTGGTCTTATACAGAACCACGCGCTGGATGCTCTCTTTCCGCGCAAAGACGCTAATAACTCGGTATATCTCGTTGGCCCCTATGGAGTCCCAGTCTACGTTCAGAATCGCCATTCTTCTAGTCGCTTCTCCGCGCGGGGTGTCGGCATCCGCCATAAGATCTTCTGGTTTCATTTGAATCACGCTCTCTTCAACAGGGGAGTCTTCCTGTGGGCAGTGCCTCTTGTTTGTGCTCTCTCTGCGAGAATCAGCATCTTCGGTTCTCTCCATCTTTTTCTTTCTGCAGTTGCCTTCAGCAGTATTTCTCATCCTAAATTTTTTTCTGAATGACTTCTATAAGAAAAATAAAGCACAGAATAGAGGCGTACAAAAGCACAGTCGCACTTCTTAAGCAGAAAATCAAGAAGCTGTCAACGCAGTTGGGCGAAGGCGAGAGCGTGGATAACGGCGAAAGCGTGGAAGAAGGGGAGATTCGAGGCGAACCTAAGGAAAAGCGGAAGAGAAAGTTTGCGGACGAGTCGAATGTTGACGGCCTGCTTGCATGCATTGACGAAAAAGGCGCAGGAAGCATCGATGAGGTGCTGAAGGAAATATTCGACCGATTCAACACGCTATCCCACAGCGAAATGCGGAAGGTTTTTGGGCACATGCTTCCGCATCTGTCGAACCCTTTGAAGTACACAGTATTGCATGATGTGATTCTTTTTTCCAGGGACTTGGAAAAGTATGCGGTTGTGTACAAGGTGTTCTACCCGGACGCAATCGAGAAGGACGGGAGCGAGGTGAGCGACGTGCTGGAGACGGTTTACTACTATGCAATTGACGAGGAGCCTGCAGATGGGCTCAAAAGCAGGTGCATTTCCATACTCCAGAAATATGCGAATAAGCCTGTTATTGACGGGGAGACAATAAATGCAGAGGCTTTTGATGCAGCCACGTCTATTCGCCTGTACTGCAAGGCACTTGACTGGGACTGGACGTACAACGAGTACATTCGAGACGTGATGCATCCTGAGCTTAGAAAGGACCACTCCCCGTTTGCCGTTTTTGTGCTGTCCGTTATATACGCAGACTGGGCAAAGTCCCTGCCCGCGCATAAAAGTCTCGAATACGTGATTCAGATGCTCGATAAAATCACAGGGATTGGAACAGGAGAGGAAATCGTGCACTCCATGCACTCTCTGGAGACGCAGCTCGTTTGCGCCCTCATTCTGCGGCAGTTTCGGCCTGGCGCAGCTGTCAAGTGGCACAGAAAGAGGATCGAGGAGGCGTCCGAGAGGGAGAAGGACCTCATCGACAGGGCCTGGTCTATCTCCTTCCTGTAGGCGGAAATGCGAAAGAGAGCACGCGCCAGTAAATACCCGAATAGAAAAGTCAGAAATACTACCGAATGCATAAATTTTTTTAACCCTCGATGTTTAGCAAGGACGCATTTGACTCTCTCCCGCCAGAGGCCAGGAAAGAGCTTGCCAGCTTGGCAGAGAAGTACAAGAGAGGCGAAATTTCTGTGCCTGACTACAAGAAATCGTGCACTGACATAATCGCAGAGCACCAAGAGGAGCAGTTTCAAGAGGAGGCCTTGCACGGGTCCAGAAGAGGACGGCCTTCGGGGAAGGACGACCAGAAGCCAGAGTACATGAGCGACATAATCCACTATGCTGGCGTAAACCTCAAGGAAGAGGCCCAGCACATTGCAAAGGAGGCGGAGGACAGCCTGCCTCTTGACGACACAAAGGGGAAAGTGTACGACTACAAAAACACGATCGAATCGCTTTTTGACGGAAGAATATACACGTACTTTTTGGAAAAAATAGGAAAACTGCGGGACATTGGAGTCAGCGACGACGCTTCCCTGCTGGTGTTTCAGGCCTCAAAAAGAAAAATACTCGAGCTCTTGGAAAAGATGATCCAGCAGAGCAAGGTGCGGATGGACATATCTAGAAACGACTATCTGATACGGATCGAGAACGACAAGCGGAGGCAGATGTGGTTCTTGGAGCAGGAGGAGAAGCTGGAGATGGACAAGTATAGGCAGAAAAAAGACGGCGACGAGGCAGAGGGAAAGAAAAAGTGGAGAAAGGCCTTGCAGGACAGAGAAGACTTGATCATAAAGAAAAGGCTTAGCAACAACGTGGCTCTTGCTGCACTGGGAAGCCAGCCCAAAAGCTGGATGTCGGCAGGAGCGCAGGGAACAGACGATGGATCTGCTCCGTATTTGACGCTTTTCCAGGGCTCGGATGAGCGATCGCAGAAAAGCAGCACCCGCGTGATTGTAAAGGAAGACCTTCTGAACGTGCTGGCCAGAGACAAAAGATATAATAAGTCCATATTTACGATAAAGCACACATACTTGTAGGCAAACGCCTGGAAAACAATAAACTTGCCTGTGTATTTTAGCATTGCTTTGCCGTTGCAGGCGCATGGATAGAAATGCGAAAGAGTGTGCGCATGGAGATAGAAGAGAAACAGCGGACTTTTATTCAACTGTAACAGACTTGGCCAGATTTCTGGGCTGGTCTACGTTTATCCCCTTGCTGGTGGCTGTGTAGTACGCCAGGACCTGCAAAACAACTACGTTTACAATGCCCTGGATGCAGTCAGACACCTCTGGGACTATGATTTGGAGGGAATTCCCCAGCTTTTTGGAGGTGCGCTCTGTGCATATGACAATGGGCTTTCCTCCTCTGGAAATAACTTGCTCGTACGAGTTCTGGGACTTTCCCTCGGATGGGTCTGTCAGAATCATAATGATTCTCTTCTTCTCGTCGACAAGTGCAAGCGGGCCGTGCTTCAGCTCCCCTGCTCCGATTCCTTCGCTGTGTATGTACGTGATTTCTTTGATTTTCAGCGCTCCTTCCAGGCTGGTGGCAAGCTGGTAGCCCCTTCCCAGAAGAATGATGCTCTCCTCGGTCTTCAGCATGGTCTCTGCTATGGTCTTCAGGCCTTGCTCGTCCTTAAGAACAGACTCAATCGATTCAGAGAGCGACTTCAGGTCGTTGATGATCGCTTTTCGCCTTTCCAGGGTTTCTGCGTTGTGCTGCCCTATCTGTATGGCGAGCAGTGCCAGCGCTACAGACTGGCTGGTGTATGCCTTCGTGCTGGCCACTCCGATTTCCGGGCCTGCGTTTATGTGTATACCGCAGTCCGTCTCTCTGGAAATGGTGCTTCCCACAACGTTTGTGATTCCCACGCTCAGCGCGCCCCTCTCCTTGATGTACTTCAGGGAGATAAGGGAGTCTGCAGTCTCCCCACTCTGGCTTACAAATATGCAGCAGTCAGACCTGGAAATGGGCGGAGTTCTGTCGTTGAAGTCGCTTGCTATTTCAATCGTTGATGGAATTCCTGTGAGCTCCTCAAAGAGGCCCCGCATTTGCAGAGACGCGTACGAGCTGGTTCCGCACGCTATGAAAATGAACCGAGACGCCTTTCGGAGCGTGTCCAGCCACTCCCCGATTCCTCCGAGTTTCACTGTGGACTCTTCAAAGTTCACACGCCCCCTCATCGTATTTACAACGGAGTCTTTCTGCTCGTGGATTTCCTTCAGCATGTAATGCGGGTAGTTCCCCTTCATTATGTCGCACAGAGTTCCTGTAACCTCCTCCAGCGGCCGGAAAGACTTTCCTCCGGGCCCGCTCTTGGTTATTTCCAGGCCCTTGACTGTTACGTGCGCAATGTCTCCGTTTTCCAGCGTAAGAATGGTCTTTGTATGCTCTATGATGGCAGCCGAGTCTGAGCTGAAGAAAATCTCCATCGGCGGGGCGTCGTTGTTCGACTCCATCACAAAGACTCTGCTGACGGACCGAGACAGGTCTGCACCTCCTGCTTTCTCTCCAATCCTGGGAGTTCCCACGGGCGTGCTTATGGAGATGCTTGGCTCTTTCGAGCTCACCGCATCGATTGAGTCCTGCTGGACTATGGAGCTTCCCCGCACACCAATCAAAAGAGGGCTTCCCCGACGGGCAGCAACGACCTCGTTTGGGAAGTGCTTGCTGACAACGAGAAAGGCAAAGGCGCCATCCAGCTGGTGCACAGCCTCGTTCACCAGCTCTGCAAAGCTCATGGTGATTCCTCTTGCCTTGCACTTTCTGTATATGAAAAGAATGACCTGTGCAATGCTCTCTGTGTCGGTTTCGCTCTGGAAAGTCTGGCCGTGCCCCATCAGAATCTCTTTCAGGTTTTTGTAGTTGTTGATGATTCCGTTGTGAACCACGTAGAACTCCCCATCCTGGCTGGGAATGGGATGGCAGTTGGTCTCAGACGGCTTTCCATGCGTTGCCCACCGCGTGTGTGCAACTCCTATGTTCGCCATTTCCTCCTTCGCCTCAAACTCTTTCCCGGCTGCCTCAATGTGGTCCACAAGCGACTGGACCTTCCCTGTTTTTTTGAATGCCTGGTAGGAGTTGGAGATCTGAACGGCCACACCTGCAGAGTCGTATCCTCTGTATTCAAGCCTTTTCAGCCCATTCGTCAGTAGTTTCAAAACCTCGCCCTTTTTTGCCAGCTTATTGTAGCTGCAATATCCAAATATTCCACACATACAATTGTGAAAATTCGGGTTATTTATATTTTAAAAATACGCCATCATATTTCCATTGGGTTATTTGTTTCCTTGGCATTGGCCTGTTTGTGTTTGAGATATAAGTGGTTGCTGCCTGGAAAGGGCTCAGGCCTATTTGTTATCACGGATCCCAGGCCTGCCCAAGCCCTCTGAAGCGCATCTGTGTTTTCTAGGCTCTGCAGTAGAGCAGATTCTTCCGCGCATGCGCCTGCCTGCCCTGAAGGCTTAGAATGTGCGCATTGCAGGCAGTGCGTGCACAAACCTTCTTTTGCACATTTGCTCGTGGCTGAACACTGTGACTAGACTGTGGGAGATACGCCTTTTTGTGCTCTCTCCTGCAGTGACACTTTTTCTTCGTTACCTGCGATGTTTCTATGCCTTTCATTTATTGCGCTGTTTAAATATAAATAATTTACTGCAGAGCATGCTTGCCCTACGCCTTATAAGTCTAGCCACGCAAAGCAAAAAAACTGTGAAATACACGCTGAATGCAGTTCTTCTGGGTCTAAGCGTGCTTACTGTGCATCTCTTTTTGGGGGTCCGGCCAGAGGAGATTCCCTGCCACAGTGACCAGCTAATAGCCAATGCAAGATACTCGATAGAGTGCCTGCACGTTGCCCCGGATGAGCTGCCTGTTCTGGAGTACAGGGACTTTGAATACGACGAGTACAGCACAATCCTTCTCACAGGAAGCAAAAAAGACATGCACCTCATTAAAAGAATCCACAAGACTGCGCAGAGCATGCAAAACAGGACAAAAGGGTACGATATAAAAATAGGGGGGTGTTCTTCTCTGGAGATGGCAAAGTATTTTCTTGTTCTGAAAATAGAGGCAGGGGACGAAACTGTTTTGCTTGTGGAAAATCGCGGGTGGCAGGCCAACTCTGACGTATTTTCCACTTTCATTAGCAGGCTCTACACTGAAGACAGAACGGGCGTGGGAGGTGCCTCTCTCCTCACTCCCGCCTTTAACACGATTTCCCTGCGCATCTCTGAGGAGGGCCTTGAAGAAGTGCTGGGGATCCTGCACAACCTGCACAATCTGTACAGCCACTCTCTAGGAGTGTACTTCTACTGGATAGTGGGGGAAAAGGGGATTTTTCTGTCGTCTAATGTTCTCCTGGTCTTGTGCCTTGCGGGCTTTCTGGGGATTTTGGAGCTTCTCACGGGCGGGGACTTTCAGATCCGCCTGCTCCACGGCAGACAGGCGCTGAAGCTCTTTCTCATGGGCGAGTTCGTCTTTTGGGAGTTTTGCTCTTTCTCCTTTTTTGAGGTTTTTTTTGTGTACTGTCTTCTTATCCCCTTGAACTTCCCATTGGCTATCATTCTGGGCACGTCCAGAATTATTCTTCTTTTCTGCGAGTTAATTGGATGCTCTGCAAAAAGAGATGATTTTTTTTGCACAGTTGACCTCCTGTATGAAACAATTAGTAAAAACATCCGCACAGTCGATTTATTGCCACCTTCCAGCAGCAATGGAAATGCAAAAGGAGAGGAAGTTCTCGATAGCAAGCAGAAGTATTAGGCGAAAGCCCACCTTTTGGGAGAAGGTCAAAAGGCTTATTTTCTTCCCTTTCTCGTTCTACAAGAGAAAAAAGAAAACTCTGTACAGAATAGCGGCCTTCAACGCGACCCTGCATCTTATAGAAACCAAAGCGTACTTGAGCAGCCAGATGTTTATAAGCCTGCACGTAAACCCGGCCCTTCTGGACAGCTTCAAAAAGTTCCACTCTGTGGACTACAGCATGTACACAGGAAACGAAGTCTTTAGCTTTCTCAAGCTGCATTTGCTGAAGTACTTGGGAGGGCTTCCCAGAAAGTCCTTTTTAAAGTCTATGCTCTGCCCGAGCTACAGGAAAGAAGAAATTCCCAAGATCTTGAACAAGCTGTACGAAGACTGCGATATCTACGAGATCCGGGTCATTCAGAGCCTGCTCTGCCTGATGGTGTGGGCGCACAAGAGCTCGTCCGCCAACAACATGAACGAGCTCTACCTGATGAACACCTTTATCCCGCTCTTCTTCGGCCAAAGAAGAATCAAAAACCTAAAGAAGAAGAGCCAGAAAGATTACCATCTGCTTGTAGGCAGGTGGAGTGATGTGCTAAAATACCTCCCCAAAGGAACCATGCAGTGAGCCATCTGCAGCAGAAAAGCACCGCCAGACAGACTCCCACTATAAATAAAATTGTATTGCACCGTGTATTTGGGCATTTTCCAAGTGTTTGCGCCAGACGCATTTCCGATTTTTCCTTTACAGCGGGGCATGGGCATCTGAACTCTGCTAGAATATTTCTGCATAGGCATGTCTCCTGCGCGTGCTATTTCGGATATACAGGCTCTGCAAAGACTCCTCTTTCTGAAGTGCCCATGCGAGGACTTCTACTACAAAACAGAATTTTCCCGTGCTGCCTGCTTATTTTGCGCTGTATTTTCTTTTAAAAAACCCGTAAGTTGAAGACTTTTGTTTATTTTGGAAACATTTTTTCTATGGGAAATGCACACATTCCACATGCGAATGCGTGAAATCTGCCCCCAAAAAGGATTATCCATTCAGAAATGCATTGCTTTTGGGCAAGCTGTTCTCATAGAAAAATGTGATACCAATGCAGGTATATGTATAATCCACACATAACTATGACTGCGGAACATATGTATATTGAAATGCCACATAATTTTTCTAATGTGCAGGGTCTTTTTTGGCGCATGTTAACGGATGCCTCAATAAATGGGTTTTCTTCGCCTTGCCTCATAGATATTAGGAAGTTTTCTCTTTTTATCCTTTGTTTTTAATATACTTTGTCTGCTTTTAGAAAAATTTCTAAACAAACTATAGTGCAATATATCAGTGTTTGGCGCATATTCATCCAAACACAAAGACCAAATGCTCTAGAAATAGCTACACAGAGCGCAGATTGTGCCTGTAGAAGGGAAATTCTGCAAGTTAGCTGCCGCCTTCCCGCGTTTTATGTGCTTGGTGTTTGGGAAAACAGCTGTTCTGTTTGTATTGGCTTCTGTTTGCTTGCTTTTGATGAGTTGGCCTAAATTTCATTAGAAAAAGCAATATCTGCAAATATGGCAAAATCACGGCGGGCTCTTAGAAGAAGATGCCAGCCTCTTGCGCCCACAAAGCCCACCAAGGATGCCTTTCTGTTGGAATGCACTCTGCCAATGAGATGCCATGCAACAAAGAAAGTTTTGGCGTCTCCAGAGGCCCTATGCAGGACCATGGAAGCACCGCAGCTTAATGCCCTGCCTATGCTGGCGCCTTCATAGCCTCTTTTGCTGACTTCAATGGATATCAGGCCGGGCATTGAGTTTTCGCCCTCAAACAAACCGCGCTTTCACTCAAGCCCGAATTAACTCGAAATAAAACACCATCTAGCCAGTGCTATACTATGCACGTTCAATTCACGAAGTAGCTCAACACTTTTTTCTGGCGTGAAAGTGTCTTCTGCATTTGAGCCGTTGAAGCATGCTCGAGTTCTGTCTGCTTTTGTTTGGCCTTTGGCGCAGAAATGCACTGTGCAGAAGAGCATTCCTGCATACTTTCTTTTTCATTCGGGCTATTAAGCCCAAGCTCAATTTTGAAATTAAATCCCACCCAAGCCCACACTCCATGCATAAATGAAAGGCTTTTGTTTTTATCGGGGAGTGCCGCACTCTGTGATCCGAATGCTTCCTAGCCCTCGAATAACAACCCGAAGAGCGCAGCAAAGAAAAAACTTGTGTGGTTGTTTCTGCAATTGCACACTGAATTTTCTGGTATTGTTTATTTCTTTCTATATGAAGATCTCCTCATAATGCATAAACCTCTAGACAGAAGTGTCTTTTAGGGCGTAGTAGAATACCGTTCCGGATACAAGCCCGGCAACCAACAACACGGCAAGCCCGCAAAAAAGCTTGAATAAGCATATGCGCTGCGCAATGTTCTGAGTAACCATGCTGGAATCGGTTTTGGCGCTATTAAGGCTAGCTGTTTCCATGTTCAAAACCGTTGAATTGCGCAAAGTTCGGCTGGACTTTGGGGTGCGCGTAGGCCGCCGGGGCACGTGTTCACGGCTTTCATTCTGATTGCTTGTTTTTTGTTCTACTGCCTGTGTGCTTGTGCTAGAGTGCATTCAACAGGGATCCGTAATTAAAAAAGGAAAAAATTAGAAGATGGTGCAACCGCTGAAAATTAAATTATCCTAAATCTAGGGAGGCAGGCGCTGCAATGGGGCACTGCGTGATTTTTCACATCGAGAGACTTTTTCTCCTTGAGCATCTTTCTTGTGTTTGCGCATGAAAAACATCTTTAGAGTGCGCAAAAACATATTTTGATGGGGTTTTGCAGGGGTGGATTTGCTCAATTGTTTTTGAATTTTCGGATGCCTTTTTGGAAAAGACGGGATTTCCCGAGGTTTTCAGAGCCATGAGCGCATTAATTTTCGTGGGCAGAAGCAACATCTGTTCAGGGCGTGCAATGTTTGCATTTCTTTTCTATTTATGCACTTTTATTTTTATGCGCATGAACTATTATGTGTTTTTCTTGGCAGTGTATGTGCTAAGTGCACAATGCTTCAACGTGGAGAACCTGGATAGGGAGTACTACCTGATAAGCAACAAAAAAGTGTTTTCTCCTGCCGAGTACAGCGAAAGGGTTGCAAAGGGAGAGACGCCCAAGATAAACATAGAGTTCAAACCGGTGGAGGTGAAGCGAGAAACAAACAAGTACGTTTCCTTACTGGAGTCTCTGGACAAGTTGCAGAACCTTGCCTCGCGCGAGCTGGTGCACTCTGATAGCAACAACAAAATAATTCTTGTTCCATTTAAAAGCATAAAGTTAATAAACGACGACGGAGAAGTGAATGTAGGATATTATAAGGGAAGCTACGTAAAAAAGGGAAGAATTATCCAGAGCTACACCGGGGGAGATGCATGCGATATTTGCAAGGGGAAAAGATGGTCCAGCACGGTGCACTACCAGCCAGATCTTTCAGAGATGGAGCTTTCGGGCCCTGTTGAAAGCTCCACGTGCAGCTACACCTTCTCCGTGAAAGGGAACGAGCTGACAAACGAGGAAAAGTACGTTGTCTTGGACGTGGTCCCCGTGGAAAACAAGGACCCTGAGGCAGAGAAAGACCAGAGCACGGAGGAGAACAGCCAAGAGTCCGCGCAAGCATGCGCGAACAACGTCTGCAAAAACTCTTTCCCCATAAAAGAATACAGCATAATCACGGAGTCCATTTCTGCGCAGGAAAAGAAAGAAGAAAAGAAGGGCGCAGAGCAGCCTTTAGAAAAGACCGAGCACAGTCCAGGCCCAGAGAAGGAAGATTTGTAGGATGTTTTTCAGGCCGCATGGAGCAAATAGGCGCAGAGACTTCACGCCTTGAGTGCAGCCCCGTAGAAGGCGCGCATGCTCTTGTGGTTCAATAAATGTGCAGGGTTAAGAGGAGACAAGCGAATGCAATTTCGGCAGTGGCACTTGATGGGTCCGTTTTCGGGGGTTCACAGAATATTGGCCATTGAAAAACTGGCCAATCTTGTTGCAGACGGTTCTATTTTCTTGCTGGGGCTTGTATAGATTTTTAATTGTTATTTTTCAAAATACTGCCGAGGCGCAGGCCTGTGCTGTCTCCTTCAGGGGATTCTGTTTTGGCGCGGGGCGTGTTTTGGCGCTGATGCGGCGATGTCTGTGGCGGGTGCTGGTGCATTTAGTAATTTGCAATTCTTTTTATTTTATATTTATGGGGCGAAAGGAGAAAACAAGTCTAATTGAGATGCTGAACACGTCGATAGGGAACATAAGCGGACTATTTAAGAAGAAAAAGGAGGGCGAAGATGCGGACAAGGATGTGGAGGTTGAGGAGATAACGGCCAGCCAGGACAAGGAGACCTCCCAAAGCTTCCTTTTAGACGACGAGGAGGAGTTTGAGAAGGACATAAGCCGGCTCTCTGTCTCTATAGGGGAGGGCTCGCAAGAGTGTCCGGAATCTGGGCAGATTCTAGAGTGCAAAGGCCCTGTTCCGTTAGAGTCTGGGCTTGCGGACGAGCTGCAGAAGCTGCGGAAAATCATTGCGCTGAAGGACGAGATCCGCCAGAAAGAGCGAGAGAAGGACAAGGAGGCGGGGGAGCTCCGGATTTTAGAAAGCATAAAAACGCAGGCCGAGCTGGAGTACGAGCGAAAGCGCAGGAAGATTCTGCTGCAGATGATCGAGTCCCTGGAGACGCGTCTTGAAGAGAGCGAAATCCAGTGCCTGGAGCTTATGAAGTATTGCAACCTGCTCATTGAGCAGCAAGAAAAAACTGGTACAGATAAAAAAAGATAGGAATAAAAAAATACACTTCAGTTTCGCGTGTTATTCTGGGCGTTCTGCGGGCTTCTTCTCCGCTCTCCAAAGCAGGTCTTTCCGGGGGCGGGAGCAAAATGGTAAGTGGAGAACCCGGGTATCGATCCCGGCACCTCTCGCATGCTAAGCGAGCGCTCTACCTCTGAGCTAGTCCCCCGCATAATTGCTAAAAATTTTAAATCCATGTGCAGAGACAAGGACAAACTGGTTATTCGGAGGAAAGTCGGCCGGTGGAGCGTGTATGACTACACTGCTTGCGCGCACCCGGACTTGACAAAGTACATAGCGCGGATGGACAAAATTCTTCCGCGGGCAAGAAACAACAGCTTTCTCTTGGACCGGGAGTCCTGGTACTCGATTACTCCCGTGGCCCTGGCAAACTCCATCACAGAAGCCGTTCTAAGCAAATTCCAGACGCCTGTCCGCGTGCTGGATCTGTTTGCAGGCGTGGGCGGAAACACGATTTCTTTTTTAAAGTACGAAAATTCTGTGGACTCTGTGGAGATAGACTATGCGAAAGTGCGATGTCTTCGGCACAATGTGAAGATGTGCACGAGCGCAGATAAGCACACAGTACATCATATGGACGTGTTTTGCCCGGAAACTCTGAAGAAACTTCGGCCGTCGTACGAGGTGCTTATGGCAAGCCCTCCCTGGGGTGGGATCTGCTACAAGAAGTGCAGCGATGTGGAGCTGTTTCGGAGCTGCAAAGTCCTTGAGATAGAGGATATTTATGCGAGCGTGGCATCGACGCGGATATACATGCTTCCCCGGAATCTCTGCAACCGCGTGTTTGCACTTCTTGGGAAGCCGTATTTGGTGTTCCCAGGGGCTTCCTTCAACGGGAAGACGGTTGCTAAGATCCTGGTGGTTGGCGACACGTCTTCGTTTTTCCTATAAAGTGTGCTTTTCTGTTGTGCTGGACTGCACATAATTTTAGCGGAGTTTCTTGGGCACTTGCAGTGGGTGGATATTCTCTCTGGGGAATTGCTGCATTTTCTGCCTGGGCGTGCTCCTGCTGGCTTTGTGCATGTGCAGGGCCTTTCCCTTCATTTTGTTTAATATGTGCAATAAAGACGTAAATGCAGACTTTTTTCTGGTTTTTAGTTGGGCTTCTACTGCGCTGTGGCGCCATGTGCTTTTATGTGCGCGTCTTCCTGCGCCTGGACTGGGCAGAAACACGAGAATAGCGAATGAAACGCACTTCCAGGGAAGAAAAGGCCTGGACTGCTCCAAGCGCAAATATGTGCTAAATTAGGACACACTGTGTAGCATATGCGCAAATAAAGGCGAACGGGGTGTTTTTTGCATGCGTTTTGCAAGAGCATCTTTTTTCAGATGGACTATGCAGATGACAGCCTGCTCTCTTTTTGGGCTTTTACTTTGTGCGGGCAGCAAGGACGGGGACATGGTCAAGCTTCTAAAGGACAGGCTCAAGGACAAAAACGCATTTATATCTGGGCAAACAGGATATGTGTATAACATTGGGAAGAATTCGTGCATTCTGGCAGAAAAAACGCCGAGGAACAACCGCATTAGCATGAAAATGGTCAGGGAGGTGACAAGTTCGTCTCGTTTTAAAATGGTTCGCATTGTCAAGCCGAATAGGTATCCCATGGTGTTTCTGGAGCATGTGGCGTACCAGAGCAGTTCGGGCGTAACTGGCGTCTCTAGCCGAGTGTTTGGCCTGAACGAAAAAAATGCGCCAGAAATAAGCTTAAACAAGTACAGTAAGCACAGCCCGGAAACCATGTCGATTTATCCTGAGATGGCTTCTCAAGGGCGGCTTGTCTTCCGAATGTATATAGGAAGCAAATGTGTTGGGGTGTCGTATAAAAACTTGCTGGTGAGCGAGCACTGCAAGTTTGTAGGAGAGAGCTCTGGGCATAAAAGCCAGCTGTGGATGTGGATTCCTAACGCCACCTTCAGAAGAGAGACAGACGACAAAAAAACTCCTGTGGACTACCTAGAACTGGATGAGAAGGAGGACGCTGAAATTGAAAAGAATAGTGTGTGCACGCCTTGTCCGGTCTTTTCCGGCCCTGCCACGACGCGACTCTCTGGCACTCCGGATTCCTGTTTTAATCTTTCTCGGCGGTTTGTAATCCAAGAGGACATATCGGGCTATCGCAATTCTAATATCTCAAGGGGGCAGCCTAATGTTTAGTGCTTGTGATAGGCCTTTTATGCTGCAATGGTGAAAGCACAGCCAAAAATATGATTTTCCGGATGTTCAAGTATACAAGAACAGCCTCTCTCTTAAGGTTTATGTTTTTTCTAGGGTGTGAACACCGCATTTCACAGTTTCTGTGGTTTTTTGCTATGTATCCAGCAATCTTACAGATGTATGTTTCATCGTTTTTCCAACAAAAGCGGATCTAAAATGAAAATGTGTACAGTTTGTTTTTAGTCTTTTGAATTTATTTATATTTGGGTACTTTTTTATATGTATATGTACAGGTATAAGTGTAAGTATATGTGTAAGTGTAAGTGTAAGTGTAAGTGTAAGTGGATAATAATAGGATATAGATAGTTTGCTGGACTGAGTTTGTTGTAGTTGTTGAGTTGATTGTTGAAAGCTTACTGCAGGTGCCAGTAAGGAGCGCGAAGCTTGGGTTAGAAGCCAAGCTGCCACAGATACACATCCCAGAATCGAGCTAGAAAGATATCCGCCGAAGAGTTTAACCTACCTGTAACGAGCAGCACAATGTGTAGTCAGCTCAGGATGTTTACTTTTTCTTTTTGGTTTTTTCTTCTTGGTTTCTTTACTGAGAGGTAGCCTAGTGTGAACAGCGCAGTGCCATAGTCCACGGCTTTCTTTTGTGTTTTATGTGGCTGAGAGATTGAAGAGCTTAGTGCGCCACCTCCGTGATATGCAGAGGTAAGGTGTGTATGATTGCAGGGTTGCTTTCTTTCTCTGAAGTTCAGAAAAGCTCGCCCTTAAATAAACAAGAGGTGTAATAAACCCGCATTAGGACGGGACAGAATATGCCTGAATACGGGAAATAGAATGTCCTAGACAAGAGTGGACAATTAAATTGCGAATTTAGACCCTTAGAAAGACCGTTCCAGTGTTATTTTAATATAAGTGCCTAGTCAGCCATGGGAGAACAGGCGTGTAATAGGCAACCATTGCCAAATTTCCAAGGTCATCTCGGGAAGAGGCAGATCCAGATCGCTGCAGGATGTCTATATAGGCACCAGAACACACTATATTCTATCCTTGCAGGTGCGAACAAGCATGCACATTTGCATCTTAAATAAAAATAGGCTGATATAGTCGTATTTATTGGTTAACCGAGGACAGCAAAGATGTTATGTACCCCCAGAAGGCCATTACTTTTTCCCCAGAACTTACCTTTTTGTTTGCTGCATCCAGCGAGTTTTTGAACATGCGCTCTGCCTTTTTGATGCTCTCAGGGCTTGCGGTTATGGGGGCTCCACTCACAACTAAATGGCCATTTGTAAAGTTCCTGGAAAATGGAGAAATAGCCTGTTTGGGGTCGTCTTTTGCAGGAGAGAGCGGGTTATTGCTTATGCTTGAAGCTTCGGGCTTTTTCTGTGCGCCTCCATTTCTAGTGCCTGCGCTGTCGCTTAGCTTTTTGCTGGAGAGGAAAAGACCTTTTCTTACACCAGAGCCTTCAGAGCTTGAAGAGTCATAAGAGGATTGTAGTTTTTTTTCTTTTTCTTTCTTTTCCTCTTCTTCTTTCTTTTCCTTTTCTTTTTCCTTCTTTTCTTTTTCTTTTTCTTTTTCCTTCTTCTGCTTTTCCTTCTCTTTCTCTTTTGTTTCTGCCTCCTCCTTCTTTATCTTCTTCTTCTGGTTCTGGGTTTCTGCTTCGGCTTTTTTCTCCTTCTGCTCTCTGGCATCTTCCTTGCTCTCCCGAGTCTTTTCCTTCTTCTCCAGTTTATCAAGTTGCTCAGCCTGCTTCTTCAAGTCCTTCTCGATATCCTTTTGATTGCTTTTTATGGTCTCTTTGAGACTCTTCTCGGCTTTTTCCAGATGCTTCTTTTGCTTCGTCATAACCTGAATGCGCTCGGAAATGTCGGCTCGCTGGTCCTTTTTCTTGCTCAGGGTCTCCTCCTTCTTGGAAGTGCTTTTGCTTTGAGAATCAATTTCCTTCTTGGCGTTTTTGCTCTTGGTAGAAAACTCCTTCTGCGCATTCTTCAGGACCGCCTTGTCCTTTTTGGTCTGCGCCTTCTCAAAGTCAGCTTGAGTTTGTGTGACAGAAATCGCATTGTCGAGCTTTTTCAGAGACTCATCCAGGGACTGCAGCTTCTTTTCCGTCTCCTTTTTCTGCTTTTGCAGTTTTTCAAGGGCCTTTTGGTTCTCTTCCATGACAGTTGCAGCAATCTGCTCCTTGTTCTTTGGGCTGGAGACAAGCACAGACTTTTCGTGCCAGAGAGTCTTCATCTTGTCGTCTGGCTGGGGAGTGGATGCTGGCATGAGCGGCCTGTACACCGTGACAACCCGAATCTCGGTGATAGTCACTGTCTTGGTAGAAGAAGACCCGCTCTTGCTGCTTGCAGGCGACTTTTCTTGCTTCTTTGTAGTCTGGCTCTTCTTGCTAGACGTCTTTTTGCTTTCCTCCTTCTCAGAGTCAGAGTCCGTCTGCGGGCCTTTTATGTAGAGTACGCTGCCCTGCTCCGATTTGTCAGACTTTTCAGAAGCGCTGGACTTCTTCTCGCTTGGCGTGGCGTCTTTGGTGGAATTCGACGGTTTTACCTTCTGGGTTGAAGTCGGGGAAGGCGCTGAAGAGCTGGACGATCTATTAAAAATGTTCAGGAAAGAAAAGGCAGACGGCTTCTGCTCCTCCTTCTTTGCAGATGGTATGCTATCGCTAGTTTGCACGCTCTTAGTCTGAGTGTCACTCTTTTCTATCTGTGCCAGGGCTTCTATGTTCAGATTTTCCTTAGCAAAAAGCTCACTGGCAAAGACAGCACCAAGCATTGTAAGTACAAAGTATTTCCGCATGCCGCAATACAATTTCTCCTATTAAATGCGAATTCATCACACACTGTTTCAAGATCTCCAGGAGACACATAATGAAACATTACATCATATTAATTTTCAAAACAGCAAGCGAGAGCCTATGGAGTGTCTTGGTGTTGCATGCGTCTGCTGCGAGGTTTTTGCCTGGTTTGACCTGCCACATATTCCACCATCTTCTGAGCCTTTCCTGCGATCCACAGAGCACAAAAACAGCGTAAAGAGCTGCCTGCTACACGCACAGCACAAATAAATTATTAGAAAAAGCAGCGCCTTCAAAAAGTTTTTTAGAGCCTGCATTTCTACAAAGTGGGGCTTTAAAGCCCTTAGAAGGCGTTTTTCTGCAGTATCCCATTGTACATTGTATATGAGAAAATAGTCCAGGATGGAGTAAATGCGTGCACGCACAGCCAAGCAATGGCAGATGCCCAAGAGACAAATGGCATAGATCCAAACAAACGGAGCAGATATAGAACTATTCACGTGCACGCCATAACTTCACAAGAAGGCAATGCGCATGCAGAAAATATAAGTGCAGTGCTGGGAGCATCAGAGAGCCAAAAAGTGAGTCACACGCGTAGAAATGCCATAATCCATGCACAAAGGCACTCCCCAGCGAGCAGCAGTGAATATCATCTGTAGTGCCCGCAACAAATAAATTATTAGAAAAAGCAGTGCTGTGTACGCCTATAGAAGAAAAGTAATTCTTCAATGCCAGGAGAGACAAAATTGTATTTGCAAATGAAAGGGAGGGATAGGGAGGCGTAAGTCGGACTGATAGGCTGTTTGGTCTTTGTGACGATGTAAGCCTGCAGTGAGATATTCGGAGAATGCATCTAGGAAAAGGCATAGGCCCAGACAGAGAAGATAAACCAATAGATTCAAAAACGTTACTAAATGAAAGGGAATGCCCCGAGTGAAAACTAGCTAGATGAATGCCCCGAGTGGATTGCCAAAATATTTGAACTATTTGAAAATTAAGAGCCCAAAAAGCGCTATTGCATGCTGGAAACAGCTGTGTGCGTAGGAAATTATTCAATAAATTGAACTAGTTCTATTTGAAAACTAGTCCTTCCTCTTGCCAAGTCCGTGCAGAAAGAGAAAACTAGTTCTATAGAAAGAGAAAAGAGAAAAGAGAAAAAAGAGCTGCATCTGAAACAAAGGGCAGGGATGGGGTCTGGTTATCACATGGTCAAAGCAAGGCTCAGCACAGAAGCAGTTTCTGCCTAAAAGAGCTGGGTGCAAAGAGCAGCCCAAATTAGTTGCTTCTGTCGCATAAAGAACTTTAAGTGTCTCCTCGACTTTACAGGAGGCAGAACCACGCCAGAACAACCAGAAAGTCCATGGAGGCTATTAATGGCTTACTGCAACAGAGTCTGATGGGTTGGCTTGCACTAAAGCATGTCCCTGTCACACCAAGTACACACTTTTAAGCTGAATTGGCTATAGATGCAGCCAAAGCATGGGAAATAAACATAAAAGTAAGCATTTAAATGGAAGTTTATTCGGATCTTACAGGCTCACTTGGATGTATGTTTCCTTGCACTAAAGCGTGTCCCTGGGGTGATGCTAAGTCTGCCATGGGCGCGCACGGGTTGAGACAGAACGAGTTCTCGCACGGGCACAGCTCTTCTGCGAACGAAGTAGCATCTATCGAAATAGGAATAGTCCTGTATTCAATATGTTGCTCCATTGCACATCCTTGCTGCACAGGACAAGCAGGCGCTGTTGGCGCAAGCTGTGCCATCTGCGTGATAGTCAGCACTTTCGTGACAGGAACAACCTTGGGAACTTCCTGGGTAATTGTCATAAGCTTGTGAACCCTCTGAACTACTGTTGTTGGGTGGACGAGCGTGCTAACCACAGGCCTATCCACTTCGACTGTTTGCATCACAGAGATGGTTTTCAGAACTGTTTCCATTACAGTAGTGGGCTTTACCACTATGCTTGTAGTAGGTTTTTCAACTGTCTTCATAACTACGTTTGTAACAGGTTTTTCAACTAATTTTTCAACTGTTTTCATAACTACGCTAGTAACAGGTTTTTCAACTAGTTTTTCAACTGTTTTCATTACAGTATTGTTTATGGTTTCCATCATAGTTGTAGGCTTTACAAGCGTGGTGGTCACTCTCTGCAATACAGTCACAGACCGAACAATGGGCTGTGGGACTTTTATCTTGAAGTATCGAACCACATCGTAGCAGGCCTGTCCTGCGCATCCGCCCTGAATAGGACTGTTTCCAGGTACACTCGCTGTTGGAAGCACTTGCGCTGAGGATCTTATGTCCAGAGGCTGTCCTGCTGTCAGGGGAATTGGCGAGTCCACAGAGGAAGAATTTCCCACTCCAGAGTCAGGAGATGAAGTTGGCATTGGAGAGTCAGCAGAAGCAGAAGCACTTGCTACAGAATCAGCAGAAGCTCCTGAAGAAGCTCCAGAATCAGCATTTGCACTTGAAGAAGCTCCAGAATCAGGAGATGCAGTTGGCATTGGAGAGTCAGCAGAAGCAGAAGCTCCAGAAGAAGCTCCAGAATCAGCATTTGCACCTGCATTTGCATCTGAAGAAGCACCTGACCCTGAAGAAGCACCAGAAGAAGCTCCAGAATCTGCATTTGCACCTGAGTCAGCACTTGCACCTGAAGAAGCTCCTGCATTTGCACCAGAATCAGCACTTGCTCCTGAACTTGCACCTGAAGAAGCAGAAGCTCCAGAAGAAGCACTTGCACCAGAAGAAGCACCAGCAGAAGCTCCTGCAACTGCACCTGTAGAAGCACTTGCTCCTGCAACTGCTCCACTAGAAGCAGTTGGAACTACTCCGACAGAAGAAACCTGGCTTACAGTACCAGACAGCTGATGAGACACTTTGCAGGCAGACTCTGCCTGTGCCTTTGCATCTGCATCGGATATGTTTGTTTGATAAAATCCTGTTTCTGTGAGCTTGGCTTTTTGCTTCACCTCATCAGCAGATTTACACCCGCACTCTTCTCCCTTGAACATTCCAGAGTCATCCACAATCACGCCATTGATCTTTTTCATGGTCAGAGTTCCGCTGGCGTCTTTGTAGCAGCCGCAGTCCTGCGAGAAATACACCGCAATATTTGTTATAGACGTTGAGTTGGTCGCTTCCATGGCACTCTTTATCTCTGCTGTGCTGTACTTCGTGATTTTGTTTATAGTTTCAACAACAGTCGCAGAAGCACTTATGGAGGCACTCACTGACTTGTTTACAGAAGCACCGACTGAAGCACTTGCAGACTGTGTGATGCTTACAGACTTGCTCACGGCAGAGCTAGATGGCTTGCTTGCACTAGCACTAGCAGCTGGTGTTATGCTGACAGACTTGCTAATTGCTTTGCTGCTAGAGGAAACGTTGACAGACTTGCTTACTTCAGACTTTGACTTGGACTTGCTAATAACATCTTTCGACTTGCTAACAACATCCTTAGACTTTGACTTATTTGCTTCATCTTTAGACTTAGACTTGCTAACAACATCCTTCGACTTTGACTTATTTGCTTCATCCTTCGACTTTGACTTGCTAATAGCATCCTTAGACTTTGACTTATTTGCTTCATCTTTCGACTTGGACTTGCTAATAGCATCCTTAGACTTGCTAGCCTGATTTTTTGACTTGGACTTCTTGGCTTCGTCCTTGCTGGCTGAGCTCTTTGTCTTGTTTCCTCCGAATAGACCAAAAAGCCCACTCCCTGCCGACTCTGTGGCCTTGGGGGAGTCTTTCTTCGTGGTGCTCTTGCCTTTTGTTTGGCTCTTTGCCCCAGATCCGCCTCCAAAGAGCCCCAGAATCCCACCACCAGAAGACCCCGTGCTCTTGGGGGCGTCTTTCTTCGTTTTTTCGCTAGGCTTGACACTCTTCTTGGATGTGCTTTTGGGAGTTTCCTTCGGAGTTTCCTTTGGAGTTTCCTTCTGGGCTTTTTGGGGTGCAGCTTGAGGCTGTCCTGGTGGGCTGGCCACAGCATTAGAAGATATCATGTTTCCCTTTATAATGCTTTCGAACAAGCTATTCTCTTGGAGCATTTTTGCATGCCCAAAGACTTCTATGCACAGAACAATCCCGAGGGCGCTTTTCCATCTCTTCATGGAAAACATTGGCAAAACACAACATATACCCCTTGCAGGCACAACAAATAAATAAACCACGCTCTTTATTTGGCCTTTTTAGTGTCATCCTCAGGTTTTGGAATCCACTGCTTGTTTCCTAAGAGCAAAATCACTCCAATAATCAGTGAAAAAAGCCCGATAAACTCTCCAAATACCATAAGAAGGAAGAACGACATTTTAAATCTTTTTTGCTGGGCTGCCGTTACTGTAGCTACTGCTGAAATATCACCCAGTGCTAGAGACCCCCAAAATATCCCAAATCCTGTGATTATGTTAGCTGCTAGCCACCGCAGAGGAACCTCAAAGGAGATTGGAGGGCCCTCCACCCCGCCTATAAAGTACAAAAGACCCGCATACAGAACGCCCACTCCTATAAAAGCAGCTGGAATAATAGTGAGAACAACGTCATTTTTAACGGCTGCTGCCTGGCAAACACCATGGGAGGCCTTTCCCATCCCTATGCTCACACCAGCAAAGGCAGGCACCATTAGAAGCACCATTCCCAGCGGATATATAAAACTAAGAACTGCGTCTTTGTCAAATACCTCCTGACTTAGCATGTTTGTTTGAAAAAATAAGAATAAATAAAAGAATAAAATATGCGAAATGCCCGAATTGTTTTATATAGACAGACTGAATATTAAGCAGTGATCATATTTATGCTGCCATATACTAGATAATGCAAGGGGAAAAATGGGCATTTCTGTAACAGAGTGAAAAGCACTGTGTGGAGTAAGCGTTGGAGAATGTTTGCGGAGTATGCGCAGAAATAGTGGGTTTACGGAATTACTCTGTGCATTGTCTGTATATGCTCTGCTGTTGCACTGTGGGCTGCCTATTAAAGCCCTGGATTTAGACAGATTTTGCTCTTAATAGCTAGAGTAGCTGCAAGAACATGCACTCTCTGCGTGCAGAACATGTATAAAGGCTCTGCAAATAAGCAGCTGGGCTTACCAGATCACTTTCAGCATAATTTCTTCTTGATGTGCACTGCATGGTATGCGAAAGTGCAGTTTGTTTACATTGCAGCGAGTGCATTGCTTTTTTCGATTTTATTATTTTCTAGTCCTAAAATGTATATTGCCTAAGTATGTGCGTTGTATCTGGTGTATACAGAGGCTAGAACACACAAAATGGAAAGACTCGAACAAACCAAAGTATTTGCGCTGTTTGCCTGGGTTTGGAAGCTTTTCGTTCTGATAGAGTGCGAGCATGTTTTTGTGTGCATATGGGCGTGTGTAAGAGATGCTAGAAGTTGTAGAAGGAATATAGCGTGCATATTTGCCTCCAAGCACTATGATTCAATAAAAAGCATGCGGCTTAACTGGGTCGGAGATGTTTCGAGGGCGCACAGCGAATCACTGAAATGCGGAAAACATTTTCACAGGCCTTCACATGGAAGCACATTTTGCAGCAGTGTTTCTGGCATTGCTGGCGACTATACAGGCGCAAGGGCCTCGCTTGATGGGCTGGATCGGCCTTTCTACAGGCGCCTTCTCCGTATGATGGGAAGCCGTTCTGATCCATGGCCCTTGAAGAAGCCCCGGTCACACAGAGCATCAAATATTGTGCAGTGTGTGCCAATTAGCAGAGGAGCACTGCAGTTATTTAGTGCACGCTGTATAATAAATGGCAGAACATACTGCACAGCGAACAATAAATACGACCACTCTCTATTTAGTAGGCGGTATGTGCTAAATACTATTTTTGTGCAGTGTAAAATATGCATTGCTATTTAATGCGCAGTGTGCACTAAATAACTGCAGTGTCTCCACATTATATCCTACGCACGGTGTAAAAAGCATCAGAATTCACTACTTCCTACACGCTGCCTACTAACAACAAATAATGACAGCAGAAAGCACTGTCCTTGTTTAGTGCACACTGCATATTAAATAGCAGCCAAAACACGACCACTATTTACCACACTGCGCGCACTTACTATGTCTTTTTGCATAGTGCGCACTAAATAGATGGCACCCACACTGTCTATTAAATAAAGCAGCAAATTCACTTTTTTTGTTTTCATGGCCTCAATCCCGGATGAAATGCGGACTTTCGTGGCAGAGATGGTCAGCAATGCAGGATCAGGCCACCCAGGAAGTGCCATGAGCCTCTCCACGCTCATGCACACCCTTTTCTGCAAGACCCTGAAAATCACAAATCTATCCCCAAAGTGGCCAAACAGAGACATCTTTATTCTTTCAAACGGGCACACCTGCTCTATTTTGTACGTTTGCTTGTACCTGAAAAAGTTTATCAAAAGATCAGATCTTCTCAAACTGAGGAAAATAAACAGTATCACGCCAGGGCATCCCGAATTCAGCCCCTTCATAGAAGCAACAACAGGTCCCCTCGGGCAGGGCGTTTCCCACGCCGTAGGATACGGAATTGCCTTGAAGAAGATGGAAGTTCACAATACAAGCGAGTTTTCCCCTTTCACAAACCGGGTCTTTTGCGTCCTGGGGGATGGGTGCTTGCAGGAAGGAATTGCCATGGAAGCCCTTTCTCTTGCAGGGCATTTGCGCCTGAATAACCTCGTTTTCATATACGACAGCAACAAAATAACGATCGATGGCCCTGTGGGATTGGCTTTTTCTGAGAATGTAAAAGCAAAAATGCTTGCCCTGGGATTTTCCGTTAGAGAAGCCCACTTTGAAAATGGCCCTGAAATTGAAAGGGCCTTCCTCAGGGCAGATCGCCCGATTTTCCTGATTCTTCACTCCGTGATAGGATTTGGCTCTGAAAAGGCAGGGAGTTCTTCCCTCCACGGGTCTCCGCTGGGCCCTGAAGACCTCGAAAAACTTCGGGAAAAAACCGGCGGAAAACGGCTTTTCTTTTCCTCTGCCGCCAGGAGGGCGTATTCCCGCAGGAATTCCCGCGTGGATGCTGAATTCCTGCAGTGGACCCAGGGGATGTCTCGTTTCCGGCAGGAGTTCCCAAAGGCCTTCTCGGAAATGGGGGTTCTCACGCGCGCGGAAATCGAGGGAAAACCTGAAATTTCAGATAAAATTTTCAAAAGATCAGAAACTGATTTAAACCCAGGAAAAAAATCAGGCACCCCCGATAAAGAACCAGGAAACCTCCATAGTATTCCCGCACACGAGGAATTCCTTGTGAGCACGCTCTCCCCGGAGGACGCCTTCCGGGAAGCCCTCCTGCAGGAAATAGAGGCGCAAACGTACAAAAAGTCCGCTCTTTTCCCGCACCGGGCCTCCCTAAGAAAGGTTTTCCAGGAAATCCTCGCAGTCTTTTCGAAGGACCCCTCCCTTTTCGGAGCTTCCGCTGACCTTGCAGAGTCCACATGCGTTCTCACGCAGGAAACCTCCCCAATCACACCTGAAAATTTTTCAGGTAACTTTTTAAACTGCGGCATCAGAGAGCATGCAATGTTCGGAACTTCATGCGGAATCTCCTTCTACGGAAGAAATCGCGTCTTTGCAAGCACTTTCCTGAACTTCCTCACATACGCATTCCCTGCCCTGAGAATTGCAGCACTTTCTTCAGTCCCTGTAACCGCCATTTGCACGCACGATTCCGTGGCCCTAGGAGGAGACGGACCCACGCACCAGCCCGTGGAAGTTTTGGCTCTTCTCAGGGCCACGCCAAATCTAGCCGTTTTCCGGCCTGGAACCCGGCGAGAGGCTGAAACTGCAGGAATTTACGCCTTCCTCCACGCAAAACGGCCTTGCGTGATAGTTTTGTCGCGCCAGGAGATAAATTTTCAGGAAGAATTGGAAAAGTTTGAGCTCTCAGAATGTGCAAGGGGGGGATACGTGGTGAGCGATTATGGCGAAGAAAGTGCCCCTGAAAAGACACTATTAGTGTGCACGGGCTCAGAGGTGAGTTTGTGCTTTGAAGCGAAGAAACTTTTGGTTTCCCGCGGGTGCTGTGTCCGCATAGTCTCTCTCGTCTCCTTCGAGCTCTTCGAGGAGCAGGAAAAGGCGTACCGGAAAGAGGTCTTGCAGGGAGACATTTCCGTCTCTGTGGAGGCACTTTCCACGTTCGGATGGAGCAAATATGCAGAGCATCACATTGGCGTAGACAGCTTCGGGAAGAGCGGAAACGGGGAGAGCGTATACGCACACTTCGGGTTTACGCCAGAGAAGATCTGCGAGCAAGTACTTGCGATAGTGCATGCCTCCAGAGAGGGCAGGAAATAAAGAGGGAATACGAGCGATAAGCTTATAAGAGTGACAGAGTCAGATAGTTCTAGTATATTAGCAGTTAGCAGTTGTAAGACCATAGAATTCCTGCACTCCCATTGTAGATCTAGTGAGAAGGAAGGCAGATAAATACAGCGGATAAACTACCGAGAAGGCACAAACACTATAAGATTGGCATACGATAATAACTGCCGAATTAGCACACTGTCCTTATTACTAAGTGTTTACATGAGTGTTTACATGAGTATTTACTGCTAGAAATTTCCATGGACAATTTATTCTTATATATTTTACACTAGCACTCACTGGCTTACTATTATATTCTTACTATTATATTCATACTATTAGTATTGTTCTTTCTTACTATTATATTCTTACTAGATGGTACTATTGTTCTTTCTTACTATTATATTTTTCTTGCTATTATTATTCTATTATATTCCTATTACTATCCTACTATTATATTCTTACTATCCCCTACTATTATATTCTTACTGTTATTATTCCTGTTATATTCCTGTATTATTATATTCTTGCTATTATATTCTTACTATTACTATCCTACTATTATATTCTTACTATTATTCCTGTATTATTATATTCTTGCTATTAGTTGATTATTCTGGCTTGTTTCCCGTGTGCTTTCTTTTGGGGATTTTGCAAAAATATTTTATGTTCAACCAAGACAACTACCACTGGACGCAGGACGACCATACGAAGCAGGCTCTTGATAAGATCTCAGAGATTCTCGGGAGAAAGAGCATCACGTTCACTCCGGATACTTCGTACATTTACATCACTCAGAGAATGGGCAGAAAATCAACACGCTTTGAGATTTCAGGCTCTCTCCTCGCAGGCGCAGAGTCTCTCCACGTGACAAACTTCAACAACATTTCGACCCCCGAAGAAATTGCAGATTCTCCCTTGAAAAAGCCCTTTTTAGACGCCCTCGAAGAGACGACCGAATTCCTCCTGGCCCTGGAGAAGGCCCCGCGAGACGTGAAAATCACCGAGAAAGTCCACATCCCAAGGGCAAAGTCTGAGGCCAAGTTCGAGCCCCTGAAGTTTAAAATTCTCTTTTTAAACGCACTCAGCCACGTGAGAGAGACTGTTTTCAGCCTGGAGATGCTGGGGGCAGTTAATTCGGAGGTTTCCCTGGGGGAGAAGTCTTTCTCGCACCCGGCCCTTTCGATGCGGATCATTCGGGAGGAGGGACTGCGCCGAGAGTGTGAATTTTCAATGGACGGAAGAAAGTTTGAAAGCGTACTTTTGCTGGGAGAAAAAGATACGGGTTCATTCCTGAGCGTGACCTCCGAGAAAGTCCCGTGCAACTTCTCGGAGAGATTCATCGCGTACGTGGAGCAGGTGCTTATAAAGCCCTTCGAGAGGACTCTGGGCATCAGATACACCGTGCAAAGGGAGTAAGCAGAATAAGATCGTAATAATACTCTTATTGTTTTATCTATTAGTATATCTTGTTATGATGTGTACTGCATATCCTGCTAGTATACCTCTAACTATTTGTCTTATTCTTGCTGTTATCTACTGTGCTATCCTTATATCTTATTCTTATTATGCTGCTACTATCTGTTGCTCTTATTCTTATCACATTGCTATTACTATACTACTACTATTATTCTTACCATATTACTATACTACTACTCTTATTACTATTACTATACTGCTACTATATATGCCCTACTACTCTTAGTCTTGCCATAATACTATACTAATACTACTATACTACTACTCTTATTCTTCTACATTACTATCCGAACTATCTGCTACTCTTATTCTTATTACTATTGCTACTACTATACTGCTACTCTTATTCTTACCATAGTACTATTACCATACTGCTACTATCTATGTCCTGCTGCTCTTGTTCTTGCTATATTGCTGATATAGCCTGGATTCTATCTATTTTTATTTGAATTCTAATTATCTGTTATTCTTACCATATTATTACTATCTTATTACTATTTTTTTTGGACTATTATTCCAGCTATCTATTGATATTCGGGACATTATAACTATTTATAGCCTGAACTATCTGAATATTATTACATGCTGACAGAATACGACCAGGATCTTATTAAAATTTTGCTTATTCTTCTTATAAGCTGCTTTCTCGTTCTTCCCATGCTCATAGTCCTCTTTCTATCGCACTATATTTCCCGCTAATGCTGCTGTTTCTCTGCCGTCTCTTTTTTTATTTTATTTTCTTGCTATTTTATTTTATTTTTTTGCTCCCCTGGATGCAGATATTCGTGAAGACACTCACAGGGAAAGTCATAACTCTGGAAGTAAGCGACAATGACACAATAGAAAACGTGAAGGCAAAAATACAAGACAAAGAGGGAATTCCCCCCGACCAGCAGAGACTGATCTTCGCAGGAAAACAGCTTGAAGATGGAAGGACCCTTTCAGACTACAACATCCAGAAGGAGAGCACAATTCACTTGGTGCTCAGGCTGAGGGGAGGAGTCATAACGGACACAGATCGAGTGTTTGTGACTTTACAGCGCACGAAAGTCCTTATTTGCAGAGGATGCTACTCCAGAAACAGCATCAGAGCAACCCACTGCAGGAAGAGTGGACCCTGTGGGAACTCAACGAACCTGCGCCCAAAGAAGAAGTTCAAGAAGTCGAAGTCATAAATAAAGGCACGTTATGGTAGATACACAGGCTCTGGCATATAAGAATAAGCACATAGTCGTTGTTCAGAGTATAGGCAGAGATCGCTAATTCGGGTTATAAGATAGTTGGCAATTATGGTGTTATTCTGTTGTTATAAGATAGTTGGCAATTATAGTGTTGTTCTGTTGTTGTTGTTATAATATAGTTAATCATTCGGGCTATTATAAGATAGTTGGTAGTTATTCTATTGTTATTATGCTGTTATAATATAGTTGGTAGTTATTCTATTGTTATTATGAGATAGTTAATTATTACTCTGTTGATATTATGCTGTTGTTATTATGAGATAGTTAATTATTACTCTGTTGATATTATGCTGTTATTATGAGATAGTTGGTAATTATTCTGTTGATAATTCTGTTGTTGTTATAAGATAGTTAATTAGCTGCTGTTTGTGCTATTACACAATACATACTTGCTATTATACTATTGCATACTTACTATTACACTATTGCATACTTACTATTACACTAATGCTTGCCTGCTTAGTTATTGCTCTATTGCTAATGCATACTATTAAACAGTTGTGCTAATACATACATACTATTGGATACTCGCCTGCTTCTATTACACAATATATAAATAGCATTTTATTTTTTATTTTTGCATTTTATGAGAGCACGCACACAGAGACTTTCCTGGGGAATTCTCTCCCTCGCACTTCTATGCGGGATAAAAGCAGACAGTCTCTTCTTGGGAGTGGATACATCTATTTTCTCTCCCTGCATAAACACGTTCAATGGGACTTTTATCACATCAGGAAGCAAGCCAGGGAAGGCCCTTTACAAGAAGACCCTGGATTTCTCAGGGAAACTTTTGTACCTGCCAAACATCGTGGGCACAGAACCTGATTTTGTAAAAAGTAAAAACAAAATTGTTGCCCTGAAAAATGATACTGTTTCCATAGAGGGAAATTACACCGTTATTCCAAATATAGTAATTTTCACAGACTATTTAAAAATGATCCTGGATCCCCACAAAAAAAGCAACATCTTAAACGCAGGCCTGAACATGCGGGCGTACTCCCCAGAGAAGGAAAAAAGAATGGCAGCTGCCGCCCTGAAAAACGCCCTCCCAGGAGCCGCAATACAAATCCTCACAGACGGAATCTCCCAAGCTATTTCCTCCCTAACGGCAAATACTACAAGCAAATACGTAGTTGCGTATACACTGCGCGGGGAAAGACCCACAGCAGAAATATGCCTATTCGATGAAGAAGGAAAAACACTCACACTCTCCCACACGGAAGTCGGAAGTGGATTCTCAGAATACGATATCGTGCGACTAGTGCACGCTCACGTCATAAAGGCAGTTGCAGAAATAGCGAGGAATAAGTGCGGGAATGTCCAAATACGCAGTAACTTAGACTCAGTCCTGGGATACGATGATGACTCCGATAGTAGAAACAGGGAAGATAGTAGGAAGTCGGATCAAAGCACTGCGACTGCACTCGGAGACTCTGCACTGGATAGGAATGAAAGCGTACTGAATTCTCGGGAGGATACGGGTTCTGCATCGGAGGGAAAGAGTGACGCTGTTGCCTCGACTGGGTCCTTGCACACGCTTACGCTGCACGACTCTTCAGTCTTTGCTCTCCTGGAGAAGGCTTTGATGAAGATCCACACGCTTCCCCTCGTGGAAGGACCGGAGGGTTTGGTTTTAAACCGTGCAGAAAAACAGGAAGTTTCTACGCTTTCTATTTTGTACACGGATGAGGCAGGGAAGACAGGGGCTCTGCTTCCCCAGGAGTCCGAGGAGGCACTCGTGATTCCAGTGGAGGATCTGCTCCAGGAAGTTGTCGCGTACTTTAAGCAGGCGCTGCCGGCCCTGAAAGATCTTGTTGATCGATCTAATGATCTTTTGCAGGAAAAAATAGCGGAAAAACCTCTTCCCGTGGAAATCTCCATTTTCAACGATCTTTTGCAGGCGCACCAGCTTGTTTCTCTTTTGCACGGACTGAACATCTCGGGGGCGTATACCCCCAGCAAGTCGGATCTGGCAAGTGCGTCCATCCACATGAAGAGAATGAAGGTTTCTGTCAGGGCGAAAAATACCGTTGATTTTGGCCATGAAAAAATTCCAGTGCAAAAATACGTTATAAACGGAGAGGAGAGAGCGTGGAGCGAGTACTTCAAGTGCGCTGCAGAAGAGAAAGAGGTGGCTCCGAAGATCAGGAGGCTTCTCCAGGGAGACGCCCGGGAGGCAGAGGAGGACCTGGGAAAAGAGGGAGTCCAGCAGCTGCTCGCGCTTGTGGGAGAGCCAGAACCTGAAAATTTCAGGCTTTTGGGAAGGTGGATCTTGGAGTATGCAAAGATCAGGCGGGAGATAAAGATCCAGGCAGAGACGAAGAAGGCGGTTCTGCAGATACAGGACGCGATAAAGAAGGCCGTTGATTCGGGGAATGCGTTGGTGGAGAGCGCGGGAGACGGGGCTGCAGAGGCAGTTTCCAACTTCCGCGGGTTTTTGGAGAGAAATTCCGTTGTTGAGGGCGTCCCTGAAGTTGCAGGAAAATTTTCAGAGGCGAAAACCGTGCAGGAACAGGTTTCGATCCGCCGGCAGTTGAAGACGATCTTGGAGGGAGTCCAGTACAGGGCGCACTGCATCCGGGAGGAGCTGCGCGAGGAGGAGGAAAGGCGAGAGCAGGCGCGCAAGGAGATGGAGGCAGCCGAAAAGGTTGTAGAACCTGAAAATGCAGAATTGCCGGAAACGGAAATAACGGAAAAAATTGCCGAACCTGAAAGTAAAAAATCAGAGATCGTTAACATTTCGGGCGCTGAGAAGGCCCCGGAAGAAAAGGGGCTTGTAGAGGGGGGGAGGCTCCCAGAAGAGGAAAGCCTCGTCCTGAAGGATGGTTTGTAGGGAGGTCCCGAATAAATCGCATTTTTGCTACCCGCGAAAGTCTTCCCACACTTTTTTTTCTTTTTTCTTTTTTTCATGCACGAGGACGAAGGCTTTCCAACAGAGACTTCAAAGGAGGCAGATATAATGCGCAATTCAATACGGAAAGACCCTCTTTTCTTCCATAAAGACACCCACTTAGAGTATATTCTTGCACAGGCCCGGAAGGAGTTTCCCCTGGACTACGACGTGATCGTTCCGTGGCTTGCTTCGTGGATCTCCAACGCATTGTACGTGCTCCTCGGGGGAAAAGCCTTTTTCAGGGAACTTTTTGGCGGGAAAATAACGTTTTTGCAAAATTTTGCAGATCAGGTAATCAAGATGCAGGTGCCCGGGTCAGGCTTTTCTGGCGGGAAGAATCAACTCCCAAATCTGGGGAATACGTATGCAGCCCTTGCCTTCTTGCACGCTGTGAAAAGAATCCAGGACATTGACAAAGAAGGCGCGGTTGCTTTCATTCGGAAAATGCGCGTGGAAAGCGGATTTACAATGTACGAGGACGGAGAGATCGACCCCCGCGCAATTTACTGTGCAGTTGCTTCGTACTCGATCCTGCACTCGAAAGAAGTCATGCATATCGATCAAACCTGCCCGTTTCTGGTTCCTGGCGGAGAGGAAATTTTTGCAGGAATACCTGAAATAATTTCCCGCCTGCAAACGTACGAGGGCGGATTTGCAGCCTCCCCCGGGGAAGAAGCCCACGGAGGATACACTTTCTGTGCAGTTGCCGCCCTGAAAATTTTGAATTCTGAGATCCCCAACGAAGAAAACCTGAAAAAGTGGCTACTTTCCCGCCAAAACCAGGAAATCCCAGGATTTAACGGGCGCACGAACAAAAGCCCAGACTCCTGCTACAACTTCTGGGTCGGGGCCTCGTATAAAATGTGCGCGTTGGAGATCCCGTATGTAAACCTGCTTACTTTTACGGTGGGAAGCTGCCAGGCAGAAAAGGGCGGCATAAAAAGCGTGCCTTCCAGCAGGCCGGATGTATACCACACGGCATGTTCCCTTTTGGGCATGCACATTGCCACGGAGACGGACTTCAACCACCTCCTGGGGATTCCTGCCGTTTTGCGAATGGGCTCGGAAATGGGAATATAACGGAAGAATAAAAGCACATTTTAATTAGCAGATTCTCACAGTGCTGGGGGGGTGCACAGGAGAGCCATTTTTACTTAGTAAAATGTATACGGGAAAGAGGAAATTCTCAGAAAAAAGCTTCATGCAAAGAGGGAAAACAAGCAGTGCTTGCATACGGGGCAATAGTCGGGAAAAGCATTACTTGGCAAAATGCATACGGGAAAGAGGAAGTCGCGGGAAATAGCATAAGGCACTGCTATTTCTTTGGTGGCCATTCCTAGGCCTTCCTTGGGTGATGGAGGGGTAAATGGTATGCCCTGTGCAGAAAGTTATGCCTCTTTCTGCACACAGTGTAAAAACTCTTTTTTTTGCGCACTGTGGAAAAAGCAGTGGAAAAGCGGTGTACTTTATTTGTTGTACAGGGCGCAAAAAGCCTCGGAACATTCTGGGCAGTGCACAAAAAGTGGCAGGAGTTTTCTCCGCAGGACTTTCCACACATGGTGCAAGAAGTGTGCTCGGGTTATTCGGGCCTTTGGAAAATCTCCCTCCCAATTCCCGCAGGTGCAGGCTGTTCCCCGTGAACTCCAGGCCTCTGTGGAGGAGAAGCCCTTGAGCCCCAGTTTAAACTCCCTAACTGCACGAATAACAAGGAGGCGGGACATCTTCCGAAACCCTGCAGACAACCCGAATAGCCCGAGGGCAGCACCCAAAGAATGGCATTTTTCTGGCCTATCCCATCCACAGGCGAAGAGAGTGAAAAACATCGAGTAAAGTGCACAAAAGCCGTGAATATTCCGAATTGCTAGAAAACTATATAAAAATAGAGAAGAGCCCTCAGAAAGCAAGCAGCAAATAACCCGAATATTCAGCAAAGACAGTGAAAAATATCCAAAGTGTATAAAAGTAGAGAAGAGCAAGAGAACATCCAGAAAAGTGTCTGAAAAAGACTGAAAAAATAGCTAGAAAAGACCATGAAAATATTTGAAGTGCACAAACTATACAAAAATAGCCAGCCCGCAAAGATTCAAAGCACAAAAACCACCAGGCCGTGGGAGTCCCTAAAAAGTCCTTTTCCCAGGGCTATTCGAGTACATCGGAATAAAAGTGGCACCATTTACTGACTATCTGACTCTCTCCCGCCACTCCGCCCTGCATATCGGGCACAAATTGTTCGTGGCTATCCAGTTCTTTATGCAGTGCTTGTGGTAGCAATGCTTGCAAGCCCCAAACGAGGGAATGCACTCTATCGGATGCTCGCACTCCGAGCACATCTGCTCAAACGGCTGCTGGCATATCCCGCAAATTCCCTCCGCCTTCACCCACTTCCAGCTATACGAAGCGCGCACTGCCCTCACCCGAATCTGCATAAACAAAAAAAGAAAGGAAATTTATTCGCTGTCCGAGCCTACTCTCTAAGCATCTGCTTTCTGTGGAGTCCCCTCATTCTTCCGCTAATAGCCAAAGCCACGAACTTCCTATGGGCTCTCTTCTGAGCGAGTGTCTTAACTGGCATCTCTGCGGGTATTTCTCCCAGCTGTTCTTCTGCTACAATCTCGATATGGCAGGGAGACTTGTTCCAGGCGGTGACTCTACCGTGTGCTCTGTATGTTCTGTTGTGGATGATCGGTGCTCTGTTCACCTGGGCGTGCATGATTTTTACCTTGGAAACATCCAGTCCCTTCTCAACGGCTATATTTTGCATGTTCTTGAGCAGGCACTTTGCCTGGATGACGCTTTTCTCGGGCCATCTTCCCTGGAGGGCTCCAAACTCCTTGGCCTGGGCGACTCTTGGGACTCCCCCGTTGAATCTCTTCATGGGGACGCACCTCTTGTGCGCCAGGACGTCCTCCAGATACTTTATAGCAGAGACTAGCCACATTCCTCTAAGAATTGTCACTGTCTGGTGCGTGTTTTTGAAGCTGATCTTCGCATCTTTCATTGCAGCTCTTACGGCCTTCTCCTCGTTCTTGGGCGTATACGCGTAATTGGTTTGGACTTTTTTCATTGCAGGGGAATAAAAAAATTTAAATGTTAACAGAAAGCACGCGGCAGGAAATACTCGGAAATCTGCGCTTGGGAGGCGTCTTGATCATTGTTGGGGAGACTGGCTCTGGAAAATCAACGGAAATTCCCCAGATAGTTGCAGAGCACACTTCTGAGCGCGTCGTAGTTACGCAGCCCAGGAGGGTAGCGGCTATTTCCGTGTGCGAATTTGTCAAGAAAACTTCCACGCGCATAAAGAGCGAGGAAATAGCGTATAAAGTGCGATTCCGTGATACCACGTCGGAGAACACTGTGCTCATGTACTGCACGGATGGTATTCTGCTGAACCTCCTGGAGGATGGATCCTGCCCTAAAAATGTCATTTTAGACGAGGTCCACGAGCGATCTGTGCGCACGGACGTTCTCCTGGGCCTTCTAAAGAGGCGAATACGAAGGACTCGCCTGGTTTTAATGAGTGCAACTGCAGATGTGGCCTCTTTGAAGGCGTACTTTTTGGGCGGAAACATCCCCGTCCACGTATGCACGATACCCTCCAGAAAGCACAATGTGGAGATAAAGTACCTCCTGAAGGGGGCTTCCGACTACATACAGGCAGCGCACGAGACTGTTTGCAAAATCGTGAAAGATGCAAAAAAAAGAAGAAAAAGGGCAGGCACAGACTCTTCCCCGGAGAACGAGGAAAAGGCAAGAAAAAAGTCGGGGGAAATGGACGAGGTAGACTGCATATTTTCGAAAGTTGAGAGCCTCCCAAAAAATCGCGACATTTTCACCTCCGGGAGTATCCTCGTGTTTGTCTCCGGGCTGGAGGATATTGAAGAACTGTTCCACATGCTGCAGGCACTCCCGGGAGTTGAAGTCCTAAAGCTGCACTCCTCCCTCCCGGACGCCCAGCAGAAGCTCGTCTTTTCCAGGCGGGAGAAGCCTGTGCGCGTGATCGTCTCCACAAACATAGCAGAGACGAGTCTGACAATAGAAGACGTCAAGTGGGTCGTGGATTCGGGCGTGCAAAAGATAAATGTCACACGAGACGGGATTGATGCACTGGGGATCGTGAAAATATCGAAGTCATCTGCACAGCAAAGAGCAGGCAGAGCGGGAAGAGTCTGCCCTGGGATCTGCTACCGCCTTTACACGGAGTCTGCCTTCTCGAAGATGCGGGCGTGCGATATTCCGGAGATTCTGCGGGTGGATATTTCCGCAGTTTCTCTCTCCCTCCTGGGCATGCGGATAGACCCGGAGAAGTTCGAGTTCTTCGAGTCCCCGGGAAGAAATGCTTTGGCTGCTTCCCTGTCGGATCTGTACGTTCTCGGACTGATAGACGAAGAGAAAAAAGTGACGGATCTTGGCAGGAAAGTCAGCAGGCTCCCGCTCTCGCCCTCCTTGGGGAAGTTCCTGGTTCTGGGGAAGAGTCTTGGCGTGGGGTGCTCGGCAGCTGCTGTTTGCTCCCTCCTGGGCTCGGAGAAAGCCTCCGTCTTCTCCCGGGAAACAGACACGGGAAGCGTGGAGAGCGTGTACAAGGCCAAGGAAAAGGCCTCGGACCTGACGCTCTATGCAAGCCTCTTCTTCACGTACCTGCAGTGCAAGAGCAGGCTAAGAAGTGACCTCTGCAAGAGCCTTGGAGTCTCCCACCAGGAGATGAAGAGGGCAGAAAGCGCATACGAGCAATTGGTGAAGCTCATGCGGGTGAAGGGAAATTTGAGCGAAGAGACGGAAAGTCTCCAGGAGATGGATCGGGTGTACGTGCCACTGCGAGAAGTCACTGCAGACCGCCTTCATGCGGCAGCTACAGGCGGATTTCTGACGAGAGTTGCAGCTTTGAAGGGGAAGGGCGCGTATACGCACTTGTACTCTGGGAAAACTGTTTACGTGCATCCAAGCTCGTGCATGTTTAGGCGCGTGCAGGAAAATATTGCATTTATATTAACAGCAGAAACTACAAAAACATACGTCATGCATGCATTCCCGTATACTTCAGAGATGCAGATATAAGGCGTGGGATGAAAATGTGCTAGATTTGTTGGAAAATCTGCACTTTGGACTATTCGGGCATTCCTTTGGGATTTCGTCTTTCGGTGGTGTAATCCTGAGGAAATCGGGGAGTGAGACTATGGCCTCGTGGGGAAGCACATAATGCGCTTTGGGGGTGTGGGAGCCTGGATTTGGCGAGTACTGCGGGCATTCTCTGGTTTTCTGGGTTCGCAGGGAGTAGAGTTATTTGGGAGGAGCAGAATCTTCGGGTTATTTCAGTTATTCCGATTCCAGGGCTTTTTGGGTTATTTCTCGTTTCGAGAGGTAGGAGGCTTTGCAGAAGCAGAAGAATAAAAAGTGTCCAAAAAAGGCCAATTTAGAAACACTATATGCGCAGATCCTGTGGGAAGTCTCTGGCTTCGCAGTGAACTTTTGCACTTTTGAAAGCATTCAAGGCCCGGGAGGGTGCTGGGAAGTGTGGGCTTCCTTCCAAGCTTGCATGCCGCATTCTAGTGAGAATCCTTCGAGGGGAATTCTCTGCCCCTCCAGGAACACCCCTTTATTTCATGCACAGGCATACTTTGAACCGGGATTTCTACTGAAGTTTTACCGTGCTGCCATTATATTGCCTGTTGCATGCTGAAAGCATAGCTGTGATTGGTTATTGTTTTGATGATGAATTAGCATTTGTTTAGCAGTAGTCATAATCAATGGAAAAGTAAATACAGAAGTGTTTAAGCACACCAATAAATAACAAAGACTGCATTTTCACTAGCACCTCCCGTATTACAACTTTTCCGTTTCATATCATCGTACTGGTGTGGTTTGGGTTTTTTTGAACTATTTAGATTTATTGATTAATTTCCTATGCCCGCGGCTGCTTTCAGCATGCAACAGCGCTTTTGGGGGCTCTTTGAAAAGTTTTTTCCAAAGTGAAGGCTTCTTTCCTAAGATTTTGCAAAACAAACTAATAACCCGAATTCCCCTCACTCTGATTTTCCGCTTCTGTGCTTCTTCCCGTTTTGCCCATTCTCTCTACTCTTCATCTGCGCCTTTCGCCTGTCTGCCCCGCAAGTTCCTCTGCAGCCTTTCGCAGGCGTGCTTCGTCGCATGTAGTTTAGGTTATTAAAACACTATATCCTCATGTTGATATAATGTTGTTATGCTCTATATACCAGCACAATGGTATAATGCTGCAACTGTGATGGTATACTATCATAATTCTATAGCTTGGGCACTACCATAATAGCACAGTGACACCATGGCATCACTGCAGTATTATGTGGGTCTTTTCCTGCTTTCCAGAGCCTGTGACGGAAAAGCGCGCCTCTTAGGCACAAACAAACACAATCTATCTATCGCACAAACATTGCATTATACAAAGGCCAAATCGGTGTTTGTGCACAAACACAGGCCAAACAACAATTAACCCAAAAAACAGAGTCAGCACTGATCTGTTTACATCTTCTTAATTGGAGCGAGCATATAAGAAGAAGCTTTTGGAAAAACATGAATAGCTTTATAACTCAACAGCAGACATCGAGAGAGCGCCCTCTTGGGATGAACTTCTATGGTGAACAAGAAAACGAGTCTTCCCCAGAGAATGAAAGACCCTTGCTGAGAAATGCTGTGCCCAGTTCTTCCAAACCTACAAGATCCCACAGATACCGCTTTTCTTTCGGGGAATATACGCAGAAAGACGGCTCTACGTGTGCGCGTTCGTGCATAGACATGGGGTTGGCTTTGGTTTTAGTTGCTGTTTTTTTGGGAGGCAGTTTCATTCTGTACTGCATGTACAACAAAATAAGCATTCTCAGCCTTTTCAGAATATTCCCAAAAAGCGAAATGAAAGAAGTTGCTTCTGGGAATGAAGCAGTCATACTGGATGTTACATCCAATGTCTCAGATGCTGTCAGTACGACCATAAGCAGTTCAGAAGTTACGCCCTATATGGAAAATATCACAGATCCCGGGGAAATTTACATGAATAGCACGCCAAAGGTTGGGAGTTCCTCACTGTGGACAGAATTCGGGTCTATAGAAGATTCTTACAATTCAACCAAAACCTCCACTATTCCCACGAATACTAGTGCTACAATGGAACTGTCCACTTCTGCAATAGAAGCTCTTAATACCACAACAACCACTACTTCTGCATTTGATGATGTAGATGTCTTAAGCACTCCTAGTACTACAATAGAAGCTCTTAATACAACGACTACTACCACAACTACAACAACGACTACAACAACTACTACTCCTGTTATACCTGCATTCGAAGATGTAGATGTTTTAAGCACTCCTACTACTACAATGGAAGATCTTAATACCACAACTACAACAACGACTACAACTACAACTCCTGTTATACCTGCATTTGATGATGTAGATGTTTTAAGCAATCCTAGTACTACAATGGAAGATCTTAATGCTACCACATCAACTACAACTACTACTACCCCCGCCACCCCTGCATTTGATGATGTAAATGTTTTAAGCACTCCTAGTACTACAACTGAAGCTCTTAATACTACCACATCAACTACTACCCCTGCATTCGAAGATGTGGATGCTGTAAACACGGAACTGTTTGTAGAATAGACTAGAAGGCATTCCAAGCACTAACACTTTCAATCTCTCTGTGTCCGGGATTAGAGTCGCCAAAGGCATCCATATAGGCATCACATGCACGAACCAAATCACGGGGCAGGCACTCTCTGGCTTCTGAAGGAAGCATTGAGCATGAATGCAACTTCTAGCATGGCATACAGGAATACGGGCATTCCGCTGTGTATGTGCTCTGAAACAGGATAATCTGCAAAAAAAGTGGTACCAAAAACAAAAAAAGGAAGACTTTTTTCCATTCGGATAACCCCCGTGAAGAAAGAGAAGATGCTTTCTTCAGAAAAGAAATAAAAAGAAACATGCTTTATGGAGAACACGCTGCAACACCACATACTTTCTTGCTTCTTTACGCCCGAATACCCCGAGAGCATGATGACCTGTTGTATGTATGCTGAAAGCATAGTTACTCGTGATTGGTTATTGTTGGGATGATGAATTGGCATTTCTTTGGACAGCACGTCATAAACAATGGCAGATTAAATACACAAGCATTTAAGCAGGTCGAAAAAGAACAAAGGACAATGTTTCACATGGCCACTTCCCGTATTACAACCACTCGCTCGAAGGAAAGCCCATATTAAGCCTGCATGAACAACGCCGGAAGAGTCATCTGAAAACTAGCACGATCTACGAGTGTTTCCCCGCCCATCTGCAAAATATTGAATGCTCCATTTATTCTTCTGCGAGTACAGCCGAGTGCTTTTTTTGGGCCAGCATTCACGGGTATTTAAGCCAGCTGGCGAAATAACTGATTCACGGCCTAAATTCTCACTCAGGAACTCAAGAATTTGCTCAAGGATAGTGCTGGACGCCATCGATGGCACTGGCGTGGAAATTGGGTCTACAGCCTCTTTGGGGCGACATAGCGTTGAAAATATGCATTCCATTGGAAAAAAGCAGTACGCAAAGAAGATGACAATTGCCCACAGAACCAGCATAAATCCCACTGAAGACCTTTAAAGCACAAGCCACTTTCAAGCCTGCAACCGATGAGTTTCCCTTATATTTGGCGGACCCTTCTATCGATAGAAGCCAGCGCCTCTTCAGTCGTCATTGACTTGCTGTTTTTTCTCCGGGCTTGCCTGTCTCGGAAACATACTCGATTGTTGCAGGAGTGCCCTGGAATTTGGTCTCCGCCGGAGACTTCGGAACAAGGTTATAAGTCATGGTTTCGCAGTTTTTCGGGTTTCCCATGCGTTTAAAAAGCTTCTTCTTATATCCCTTTACAGATCAAAGTGCTGGAAATAAATCATTTTTGATTGAAATATATTCTGATATTTCAGGGCTGGGATACTTTTTCATGCGGGAGAAAACACTTGCCAGAGTAGAGGGGGCTGGAACTGATCGTATGCAGGTATTTTCGTGATGCAAAAAGCATAGTTGAAGCCTGGACTCTCCCGCAGGCCACGATATAAAAAAGCCCGAAAATCATCTGAGGTCAAAATGCATGCACAGTTTTCGCTGTAGGAGAAATTCTCACGGGGGCACTCTATGCAACATCACGCACGAATATATAGTTTAAAGCCAAGCTCAAAAATACAAAAATAGGAAGATATTCTAGAAAATATATTTATTTCTCATGAAATTCATATTTTTCAATTCTCTGCTGCATTGCATGGAGAAACAGCAGAATTAGTTGAAAGTTGCCATCGAAGAGAACAACCAAGAATCAACTGGGGAAACATATTCGGGGTTTTCTGTGTGCCAGTAAAATACCAGCACGTGGCGAGATCAGGGCTGGGAAACTTTCAATTTGCTGCATAGAAATGCTTATGTTGTGCTGGGATTGCTTGCAGGTATCGGGGAAGGATACTTGTGTGCCAGGGCTTCTTCGTAGGCACTCCTGTGATTTTCTAGCGTAATCTTGCCTTTCATTGGGTCATCTGGCATCGACTTGTACTCATGCATATCCGGTAAACAGTCAGATGTTTTGTTTTTGCAGAAATCGCTTATCTTTTTTTCGAATTTTTTAGAGGCGGAAGCATACAGATCATGCAGCGATGAAATCGCATTACAAACACTGAGCATGCTATTCTTCACACTATAAACATCTACCTTATCCAGAGGTATGCCTTTCACTACTATGGAGGTCTGGTCTGTTCCCAAACGTGTTTTTAACATTTTCAGAAGATCCCTCAGCGCCTCCAAGTCTTCTTTCATGCTCTTTTTCGGAGATTCCCAAGCCATCTTTATGCCAACTTGCAATGCTCCGATCATATTCGCATCCATGTTCTTGTAACTTTCCCAGGTAAACTTCTGCTTCGTGAATATATTGTCATTGCTGAAGGTGCTGTTATTTAGGCTGCCCATGATGGAGAAGTTAAGCGCATTCACTTCTCTGGTCCCTGTCGATGCAGCCGAAATGCTGCCTTCTTTAACGTATTCCACATGTTTTTTGGACATTCCATTTATTCTCTCGGCAATATAGTCTATAAAAGCTAAAGAGTCGATCAGAGAGTACGCATCTGTTCTAAGCTGGACTGCTGCCAGCTTGTGCAAATCATCATCCGGGGTTTTCTCGTCCTCAAAGGCCTTCAAAGTCTGCTGGTACCTTGAAATTATCAGCTCCATCGTGTTGAATGTATTAAATTTCACGGCGTCATATACGAATGCAACTCCTCCAAGAAGCTTAACCTGCCAGGCGTTAATTAGATCGGGGTTATCGTGTTTTAGATAAAAACCATAGTATACCAGTTCACTTAGTGTTAAGTAGTAATTGGCAGACCAAAGGCAAGATTGCCGCCCGAAATAGAGGAATTTTTTCAGTTCATCATCCTTCCAAAGCCCACTCTTACGCTCGATAAAGTTCCTTTCTCCAATTATATTCGCGTAAATGTTTGTATAAGAAGGCTCTACGGTAGAACACGCGAATTTGGACATTTCCGCAGAATTCTCGTCAATTGGCTCTAAATTGTCAAAAATACAGTTTTTCTGGTATCCGGCAATGCCGTTTCGCATGGCTGCCCCGTCCAGGAGTTTGTACTTGATCTCTATTTCGGATGTTTCGTTTGCAACGAATTGCTCAGAGTCTATCTTTAAGTCCACTTTTGAAAGAGAATCGAATATGTGTTTTACAAAGCACGAAGCATTTCCGTGTTTGGTATCCTCATTTATGGTATATCTTCCATGCGGCCTTTCGTTTAAGAACAACATACAGTTTTGGCGCTCTGGATCTCCCCTCATGTTTGTGATTCGTTTTGTATTTGACTCATCGTTTACGGATGGCATGGGAGTTTGGCGCCCTGGATCTCCCCTTGTATCAAGCAATGCTTCTATTATACCGTCATTGGTTTTTCCCATGTGCCTCGTTAAGTCAAAGACTACAAAGGCTGACATAATCACGGCGATTATCAGAGTTATAAACCCGATTGGTATGCGTAAGTTCATGCTTTTCTATTTCCTTCTCTTTATATAGCCGTGTAGCTGATTAATGACTAGCGGTTCTTGTTTGGATGTATTGTAACAATACACTATTTGAACTATCCCGGAAAAATTGCTAGAGAATAATTTACTAATTTTCTGTTTATTTCTTCAGTGAAAAGTCGGTGATTCCTGCCTTCTGAGCACAAAGTGGCCAAGTTGTGCCTGGACTGTGCGGTCTAAGACTGTTCAAGATCATTCCAGGTTTTGAGAATGGCTTTACTTCGCACAATCCGAATGCACAGCATGGGATTAAACAAAGCTGCGCTGGTGCACTGGACTCTCCCGCAGCCCGTGCTCTGAAAAGGCCTGAAATTCATCCAGGCTCAAATGCATGCACAGTTTGCGCCGTAGGAGAAATTCTCACGGGGGAACTCTATGCAGCATCAAGCACGAATATATAGTTTAAAGCCAAGCTCAAAAATACAAAAATAAGAAGATATTCTAGAAAATATATTTATTTCTCATGAAATTCATATTTTTCAATTCTCTGCTGCTTTGCATGGGAAAACAGCAGAATCAGTTAAAAGTTGCCATCGAAGAGAACAGCCGGGAATCAACTGGGGATGCACGTTGTGCCTTTTCTGCGTGCCAGTAAAATACCAGCACGTGGGATCAGAAAACCTTCAATTTTCTGCATAGAAATGCTTATGATGTGCCGGGATTGCTTGCAGGTATCGGGGAAGAATCATTGTGTGCCAGGGCTTCTTCGTAGGCACTCCTGTGATTTTCTAGCGTAATCTTGCCTTTCATTGGGTCATCTGGCATCGACTTGTACTCATGCACATCCGGTAAACAGTCAGATGTTCCGTTTTTGCAGGAATCCATTATCTTATCTTCGAATTCGTTAGAAGCCAAACCATAGTTATGTTTCAGCAATGAAATCGCATTATAAACAGAGTCTACCCTATCCCACACATCATCATTACTTACCTTGTCCAGAGATATTCCTTTCACTACTATGGAGGTCTGGTCTGTTCCCAAACGTGTTTTTAACATTTTCAGAAGATCCCTCAGCGCCTCCAAGTCTTCTTTCATGCTCGGTATCGGAGATTCCCAAGCCGTATTTATCTTATTTCTTAATGCTTCGATCGCGTTCACATCCATGTTCTCGTAATCTGTCCAGGTAAACGTCTGCTTTGTGAATATATTGTCATTGCTGAAGGTGCTGTTATTTAGGCTGTCCATGATGGAGAAGTTAAGCGCATGCACTTCTCTGCTCCCTGCCACTGCAGCCGAAATGCTGCCTTCTTTAACAAATTCCGCATGTTCCTTGGACATTCCATTTATGCTCTCGATAATAGAGTCTAGAAGAATTAAAGAGTCGATCAGAGAGTATGCATCTGATCTAAGCTGGATTGCTGCTAGCTTTTGCAAATCATCTTTTTGGATCACATCATTCTTAAAAGCCCTCAACGTCTGCTGGTACCTTGAAATTATCAGCTCTATCGTGCTGAATGTGTTAAATTTCACGGCGTCATACACAAATGCAACTCCTCCAAGAAGCTGAATCCGCCGACAGTCTGTAATTATATCGCAATAGTTATTTCCATTTAAAACATTGTTTAAAAGGGCTTTTAGCGATGAGTAGTAATTGGCAGACCAAAGGCAAGACTGCCGCCCGAAATAGAGGACTTTTTTCAGACTCTCATCCTTCAAAAGCTCACTCTTGCGCTCGATGAAGTTCCTGTCTCCAATTATATTCGCATAGATGCTCGTATACGCTGGCTCTACGGTAGAACACGCAAATCTGGACATTTCCGCAGAATTCTCAATAATTGGGTCTACCTTGTCAAAAACACAGTTTTTCTTGTATCCGGCAAAGCCGTTTCGCACGCTTTTCCCGTTCAGGAGTTTGTACTTGATCTCTATTTCGGATGTTTCGTTTGCAACGAATTTCTCCGAGTGTATCTTTAATTCCACTTTTGAAAGAGGATCTAATATGTCTTCTACAAAGCACAAAGCGTTTCCGTGGACGGCATGCTTATTTATGTCATAAATTGGATTTTGCCCTTTGTTTAAGAACAACATGCAGTTTTCGCGCTCTGCATATACCCCCCTATTGAACAACATGTCTGTTGTAATGGCATGGTTTTCTTCCATGTGCCTCACTAAGTCAAAGACTACAAAGGCTGACATAAGCGCAGCGATTATCAGAGTTATAAACCAGATTGGTATGCGTAAGTTCATGCTTTTCTATTTCCTTCTCTTTATATAGTTTTGTAACTGATTAATGACTAGCAATTTTTGTTTGGATGCATTTTAATAACCCGGAAAAATTACTAGAGAATAATTTTCTAATTTTCTGTTTATTTCTGCGGTGAACAAAGAACTTAGCTTTCCCCACTAGTTTAAGAAACAGTGAAAAGTCGGTGATTTCTGCCTTCTGAGCACAAAGTGGCCAAGTTGTGCCTGGACTGTGCGGTCTAAGACTGTTCAAGATCATTCCAGGTTTTGAGAATGGCTGTACTTCGCACAATCCGAATGCACAGCGCGGGATTAAGCAAAGCTGCGGTGGTGCACTGGACTCTCTCGCAGCCCGTGCTCTGAAAAGGCCCGAAAATCATCCAGGCTCAAATGCATGCACAGTTTGCGCCGTAGGAGAAATTCTCACGGGGGAACTCTATGCAGCATCACGCACGAATATATAGTTTAAAGCCAAGCTCAAAAATACAAAAATAAGAAGATATTCTAGAAAATATATTTATTTCTCATGAAATTCATATTTTTCAATTCTCTGCTGCTTTGCATGGAGAAACAGCAGAATCAGTTAAAAGTTGCCATCGAAGAGAACATCCGGGAATCAGCTGGGGAAACATATTCAGGGTTTTCTGTGTGCCAGTAAAATATCAGCACGTGGCGAGATCAGGGCTGGGAAAACTTTCAATTTTCTGCATAAAAATGCTTATGATGTGCCGGGATTGCTTGCAGGTATCGGGGAAGAATCATTGTGTGCCAGGGCTTCTTCGTAGGCACTCCTGTGATTTTCTAGCGTAATCTTGCCTTTCATTGGGTCATCTGGCATAAACGTATACCCATACATATCCGCCAAACAGTCAGATGTTTTGTTTTTGCAGAAATCGCTTATCTTTTTTTCGAATTTTTTAGAGGCGGAAGCATACAGATCATGCAGCGATGAAATCATATGATCAATACTGACCATGCTATTCTTCACACTATCAGCATCTACCTTATCCAGAGGTATGCCTTTCACCAATATAAAGGTCTGATCTGTCCCCAAACGTGCTTTTAAAGATTTCTGAAGATCCTTTAGCGCCTCCAAGTCTTCTTTCATGCTCGTTATTGGGGATTTCCAAGCCGCGTTTATCTCATCATATGCTGCTTTGATCACATCCACACTCCTCTCGATGTAATTTAGCCATGTAAACGTCTGCTTTGTGAATATATTGTCTTTTCCGAAGGTGCTGTTATTTAGGCTGTCCATGATGGAGAAGTTAAGCGCATTCACTTCTCTGGTACCTGCCACTGCAGCCGAAATGCTGCCTTCTTTAACGAATTCCACGTGTTTTTTGGATATCGTTCTTATGCTCTCGGCAATATATTCTAGAAGCATTAAAGAGTCTATCAGAGAGTATGCATCTGATCTAAGCTGGACTGCTGCTAGCTTTTGCAAATCATCTTTTTGGATCACATCATTCTTAAAAGCCTTCAAAGTCTGCTGGTACCTTGAAATTATTACCTCTATCGTGCTGAATGTGTTAAATTTCACAGCGTCATACACAAATGCAACTCCTCCAAGAAGCTCAACCTGCCGACCGACTTTCATTCCAGGGCGATAGTTCTTTTCATCTAAAACCTTGCCTAAAAGGGTTTTTAGTGATGAGTAGTAATCTTTCGACCAAAGGCAAGACTGCCACCCGAAATAGAGGATTTTTTTCAGACTCTTATCCTTCAAAAGCTCACTTTTGCGCTCGACGAAGTTCCTGTCTCCAATTATATTCGCATAGAAGTTCGTATACGCCGGCTCTGAAGTAAAACACGCAAATCTGGACATTTCTACATAATTCTCGTCAATTGGCTCTAAATTGTCAAAAATACAGTCATTCTGGTATCCGGCAAAGTTGTTTCGCATACTTTCCCCGTCCAGAAGCTTGTATTTGATCTCTATTTCGGATGTTTCGTTTGCAACGAACTGCTCAGAGTATATCTTTAAGTCCACTTTTGAAAGGGGATCGAGTATGTCTTTTACAAAGCACGAAGCATTTCCGTGTTTGGTATCCTCATTTATGGCGTACTTTATATTTGCTGGCCCTTCGTTTAAGAATGACATGCAGTTTTGGCTCGCTGGACCACCCCCCATGCTTGTGGTTCGTTTTGTATTTGACTCATCATTTGCGAATGGCATGGAATATTGGCGCTTTACAACTTCCTCCCTATTGAGTAATACCTCTATTATATCGGTGTTGTTTGTTTTCATGTGCCTCGTTAAGTCAAAGAATACACAAGCTGACATAAGCACGGCGAATATCATGGTTATAAACCCGATTGGTATGCGTAAGTTCATGCATTTCTGTTTTCTTCTCTTTATATAGTCGTGTAACTGATTAATGACTAGCGGTTCTTGTTTGGATGTATTGTAAAAATACACTATTTAAACTATTCGGGAAAAATTGCCAGAGAATAATTTACTAATTTTCTGTTTATTTCTTTAGTGAAAAGTCCGTGATTTCTGCCTTCTAAGCACAAAGTGGCCAAGTTATCCTGGACTGTGCGGTCTAAGACTGTTCAAGATCATCCAAGGTTCTGGGAAAACCTGAATTTGCCGCATTCTCAAATGAAGCATCCGCAGTTGCCGCATCCATGAATGAAACATCGGTAGTTGCCGCATCCATGAATGAAGCATCGGTAGTTGTCGCATCCATATTCCACTCACTTGTGGATGGAATGGCTGTACTGTTTAGTTTTTCGCCTTCTATCGTGTTTATGCCTAGAATTTCAAAAATGCCCACTTTTTTGTATATGCTAGCTACAACAAGGCTTAAAAGTATAAAATTCGCAATACACATCGCTATTACAAAGATTTTGCACCATCTTGAGTTCCACAATCTGGCCAAGCAAGAGGGTTTTTCCATCTTTCGGAGCCTTTGATTAAGGTGGTACAGGGTGTTTTCAATTACATCAAATCTTCTATTGGTGTTCTCGCAGATGTGTGAATTTTCGGCAGCTGATGAGTTCCCATTGTTTGTATCGATTCTGTATAATTCAGGAGAGTCTGTATAGTAGTGCATCTTACAGCTTCACACATTTAGAATTCTTATATAGACCATGCGATCAGGCCAAACAGATGGTCCTCGTGTTTGGGAAATTTGTTTCTCTAAGTTTAGTGTTTGTTATCTGGGACAAACAGATCGCTTTGTGTACTAAACACTGCTTTCGAGTTGTCGTATGTGTTGTTCGGGCTGAAAAACTGGCAGCTCTTGATGCATTCAGGCTGTTCATTCTCCCCATGAATTTTCACAAAAAACGCGTTCCCTTTGAAGGATACTTTCAAAGTGTATTTCTACTGTGTTTTTCTCTTTATTTTAAAAAGCCCACACAAAGAGACTTAAAAAATCCTTCCAAAGAGAAAAAAGAAAAAGAAAAAAGTCCACAGATTTTCCAGGATAGTTATACCTTCATTTATTTCCTAGTCAGACCTCAGCTCAAACTCGCTCCGTGTGATGCCCTCCTTCCGTATGATGTACACCTCCAAAGCATCCCCCGTCTTTACATCCGTTTCAGCCACGCTATTAAACACATCCTTCACCAAAGAAACGACCTCTTCTTGGCTGCACTTGTGATTCTTTCCCTCCTCGCAGTGCCAGTTGTTTCGGGAGATCCACGAGTCCAGCATAGGCTGCAGCATAGAAGTGCCGGATCCATTGCATCGGCAAAGCGTCTCTTGGTACGACCCCACAGGATCGTAGGAGTACACTTTCGGCTCATTTTTCCCGTTCATTCCCACAAGGCAGCAGTACGTGTACTTCGGGAAGAATCTGTGCCTGTACAGGAGAACGTGCAGAACAGCAGCTGCTTGCTCTATGTCCATTTTTCTGTTGAACTTGAACTGGTACGTATTCACTTCGTAGGAAAGCTCTTTGTATATGTAGATGGAGTCTGCATAGAACCCGGCAGTGCTTAGAATGAGCCTTCCGTCAATGCAGAACGTCTTTGTAGAGCGCCTTGTGTTGATGTTGTACTCTGAAGAGTGCCTCGTGTCAGATGCGACAATGCAAAAGTCGCTCCCTGAAATGGAGAGGCTGGTTCCTGAGTTGTTCCCGTATAAACTGTCAGAGCCCCCGCATTGTATCCCTATATGGGCACTTCCCTGTGCTTCTTCTGTCTGCATGCAAAATAAAACAGAAAGAAAATAAATAGGAAGCTGCACGGTGGGAAAATATCGCGATTTCACGAAAAATGCAAAGTTTATCCCTATGAAAAGATACGTGCAATGCTTAAGCAGCATCCCCGGATATTTCTCTTCTTTTTTTCGGGGACTGTGGAGGGATATTTATTCGCATTTATTTTTGTTTATTATGAACGAAAGAAAGTTTGAGGTGACTTTGGAGAAGCAGTTGGAGCTTTTCAGAACGGCAACTGAGTGGTCTGACTTGGTAGCGTATCTGACCGGTTTAGAGGGCATCCTCCGTGCAAATAAGTACAGCAAAATACCGAAAGCACACCTTCTTTACAGGAGGCTCAGCCAGTGCCTGAATCCTGCCCTGCCTGCGGGAGTCCACATGAAAGCTCTGGGGGTATACCGAATATTCATCCCGAAGCTCCCAAAAGAGACTCTTGCAGAGGATGTTGACATTCTTCTTTTGGGCCTGTTCAGCTTCTACTCGCACTGCAGCATTACGACAATTCCCTCGTATTTGGACCTTTTGAAGCTGATTATTACCATTCTGGGGAATGCAAGCGCGAAAATCGCGAAAAACCTTATTTTGGGGGTTATTATGGGGCTAGAAGAGAAAAACACAGAGCAGTTCAGCATAACCATGGAGATTATTGCAGCGCTGAACAAGTGTGTGGGGCAGGACTTGCTTATTAAAAGCGTCTGGGAGGTCATGGGGCACTCTGTGGAGCTGGTTCCTGGGTGTCTCGCATACGTTGAGAGCGCAGACATCGGGTTTAGCTCTGTAAAGTCGCACGAAGATGTCGTTACGCGGGGGTTTACAACGGCCCTGCACTCGAAGGAAACGGTAGTCCTGAGAAAGGCGTTTGATATACTGATGGCGTACTCAAACGACGGATATGCGGGCCTTTCAGAGATTTTCAGGTTTGTTTTGAAATTGCTCCTGAAAAAGGAAATATCGTTGGTGAAGCGAGTGCAGGCGGCGATTTCCTTCCTTGTGAGTGGCCCAGAGGGCTTTGAAAAGATCATCGCTTCGTTGGAGGAGATATTCCACGAGTCGCCACAGGTCTATTTTAAGGTGCTGATGGCGCTTAGGCAGAACGTGCAGGAAGCACCTGAAATCCTGAAAAGAAGCCTTGTCTTTATCCTTTCAAATCTCACGGAAAGCTCCCTCGAGGGTGCAAAGCAATTTTTGCAAGTTGTAGACAAAAGAATTTTCTGGACGCTTTTTGTCGAAAACTTCAACCGAAATTTGGTGAATTCCGGGATTGCGCATGGGCTTGTGGACGAGACCAGCCGCACAGTGGAGCTTCCGGCGATTCTTTTGCAGGCCCTGAAAAGGGGCATGCTTCCGTACGAGTGGAACGAATTCGTGAGCTTTAACGAGAGCGTTTATTTGGAGGTTTGCGCCATACTGGGGGAAAAAAGAGGCGACATTGAGGCTCTGCAGGTGTTTTTGTACTTCCTGAGTCTGCCCGTTGAAGAGCACCTGGCTGACCTGCGGAAAGGCGGAATATGCGTTATTTTGGAGAGAATTGAGAGTATCTGGGAGGGAAATCCGCCCGAAGAGGTCCATGAAAGGATCGTTTCCGTCCTGGAAAGGGTTCAGGCACCGATCGGGCTTTCAGAGGCAGCCTTCCAGAAGGCGTTTTCCAGCGCAAAGGCGCACTTTCGGGTATTCTGGAAGTACGACCGGCTTTTTCAAGGACGCCTCCAGGAAATGCTGCTCCAGGACATTGTCTACGTGCAGGGCAAAGTCCGGAAGGGCGTCGACAATTCGAAGGAGCTTGGAGAGGCGCTGGACCTGGTAAATTCCAACGGAAAATCCGAAATCAGCGGACACTTTTCTGCATTTTTAATCTCCTTTTGCAACTCCAACAGCTTCGTAATCCGGAAAAAAGCCCGAACTTTCTGCAAGAAGAATCTTCCGCACCTGAAAATTCTGAAAACCGTTTTTGAGCACCTGAACAACCCGCTGGAAAGAGATTTCCAGCGAAAAGGCACGTGCCTTTTGGTGGACTGCGACTACAACCGAGTCCTGTTCGGCCTGCAAACCCTGAAGGGCGTTCTCCTGCACTCAGAGGGCGCTTTCTCGCGCCTGCTCTCCCCGGAAATAAACTTGGAAAAAAGCCTGCAGAGAGAAACAGAGAGCATTTTTGACCTGGTAGACTTTTATTTTGAAGCAAAGCCTTCAGGAAAAGACTCTCCGGGCAGAGACTCTGCCCCAGGGGAAAACAGCACGAGAGTTCTCACGTGCCTGGCGGTGCTTCTTTTCGTGTACTCGACAGGCACGTACTCCTGGGCAGACCCTGAAAACCAGATGAAATCCCACGAGAGCGAAATCATCTCTCGATCGATCGAACTCCTGAAGAAAGTCCTAGTAAAAGTCTCCCAAAAGGGAAAACTTGTCCCCAAAAGGACTTTTATAACGGCAATCCTGAAAAATGCAGGGACCGAGAAATCCTTCCAGGATGCGCTGGATATTGTTCCTGCGCACACAGCAGAAGAACATCACACGACACTTTCCGACATATACGAAAGTTCCCCCGAAATGCGGAAAGTTCTTCTTCGCTACGCAATTTCATCCCGGGGAAAGGCCCTTCTGTTTATCCTCCTGCAGAAAATGGCGAGTATTTCCGAAAAGTGCTCCGAAGAGCTGCAAAACATCGAGTATGTGCTGCAGGAGACGCTGGGAGTCCCCGCGGAAGGAGCCCCCGGCAGGACAAAAGAGAGCATCCTCACAGACCAGGAAACATTCGCTTTCCTCGTCTTTCTGGTGAGTCTGATCGCATGCAACGAGAAAGCAGCACAGACCCTGCAGAAACACGGCATTTACGTGCACGAAAAGTACCCAAACCATCTGGTAGAGGCTATTTTGCACGTCTACACCCTCTCCGGGTCGATAAAAGCAGTCGATTTCATCCCCCCGGAGGCACAAGAGCCAGTTTTTGCTGCCGTTTTAAGACTCTCTCCCCCGGACATTTCCCCACAGTATCGACTCCTCCGCGCCTGGACCAACTACCTCGCCCCAGCCCGTGCCTTCGAAGGATCCCACGTTTTTGATGGAATTTCCGCCGTTATTTCCCAACTGAAAATCAGACAAAAAAACACGGAAATCCTCCGGTTTCTCGCAGACTTTGTCCAAACACTCCAGTCCCGCGACGTTTTTGCCACTTTCGTGCAAAAAATATTCGAAAGTTACGTCTTTTTCTCAGTGAAGCTCGGCCTCCGGAAGATCGAGGAAAAGCCAGAAAAGCGCCCAGAACTCCTCGAACTCCTGGAAACGCTCGAATCCTTCATCTCCGAAACTCTGCGCCGTGGCATCACCCTCGACCTGCACGGAATCTGGACCACCCTCCTTTTCCCGTGCTATAAACTGCCAAATCGTGATCCGATACCTGAAAAAGCCCTGAAAATCACAAAAGATTTCGCAGACATCGCAGAGAACAAGCAGTGGCGAAAGGACTTCTACGAGCACCTGCAATCAGACAGATTCTTCAAAGACTCCCCGGAAAATCTCCAGGTAAAACTCGACATCCTCGCAAAAGTCCCAGACACGGAGAAACTCGCAGACTTCCTCGCAAGGTCCAACTCCACCGGATTCTTCATGCGAGACGACATCCAAATACGGGCTGCCCTCATAAAAAGAGTCCGCTGCATGGTCCAGGCAGGACCCTTCTCCGAGTACGTGGAAAGTTCCCCCGGCCTCTTCGCCCTGATCAGCGAAATGTTTTCCGTCGTAAACCTCTCAAAGCCCCTCCTCTCCGAACTATTCGGCCTTTGCAGCGCCCTAAGCGTGAAAATGCCTGCAAATACGCTCGTGAATATGTGGCCAATTTCCGTGAGCGAAGCCGTGGGAGCCCTCTCCGCAGAACCTGCAGGGGCGAACCTGGCAGCTGCCTTCTCCGCAATAAAGTTCCTGAATGTAGTAAGCTCCCTCGACTTCCCGGAGGTAATCGAGTTCCGATGGTACGTGGAAAATCTCACTCCCCCAGCCTCTTCCCCGCCCTCTCCCGCAGAAAAACGCACTCCCTTCCCCGTGGAAAACTGCGAACTCTCCGAGAGCGTCCTCTCCCACGCAATAACTTCCGTGAGCAGGCACCATCAAGCACAAAAGCACGCAACGGAGTCATGTCGTGAGTCTCTTTTTGAGCTCCTGAAAAACGATCTTCTCGAACCTGAAGAGAGCCCTGTGAAAGTCCAATAAAAATTTCTTTTATTTCTTCGGCACTTCCCCCCTGGGCTTCATCGTAGGGAAGAAAATGACGTCTCGAATGCTCTGGGCTCCTGCTAGCATCATGACAAGACGATCTATGCCTATTCCCCAGCCTCCTGCAGGGGGCATTCCGTACTCCAAGGCCGTGCAAAAGTCCTCGTCAATCTCCTGGGCTTCATCATCCCCTGCACTTTTATCGCTTGCCTGCTGGTTGAATCTCCTCCTCTGGTCGAAGGGATCATTTAACTCCGTATATGCATTGCAGACTTCCTTTCCAAGGATGAAAAGTTCGAATCTTTCCGTGAGATTTCTCCTGGTTCTGTGCTCCTTCGCGAGGGGGGACATGATCTTCGGGTGGTTCATGAGGAAAGTCGGATCAGTGCACTCACTCTCCAGGAAGTGCCCGATGAGCTTATCCAGGAGTCTGCTGGCTGTTCTTGGGGAGCTGCACTTTACCTCCTTCTCCCTGCAGAGTCTATCGAGGAGTTTCTGTCCTTCTGGAGTCTCGAGGACGTCTGGGGAAATTTCTTCTCCGAGTTTTCTGGAGAGTTCCTGGAGGATGTCGACTCTCTTGAAGGGGGCAGTGAAGTCTATGCGGACTCTTTTCTTGTTCTTTCCGGGGCATGCTTCCTCGATGCTTTTCAGGTCGACTCCTCCCTCGTGGGATGTTTTTCCAATTTGCGACTCTTCATCTACGTAGTACTCTATAACGGTCTTTCCGAAGATGCTTTCCACCATTCCGCTGATCATTTCCTCTGTCATTTCCAGGACGTCATTATAGTCTGCGTATGCCATGTAGAACTCGCACGTGGTGAATTCTGGGTTGTGGGTTGCGTCCATTCCCTCGTTTCTGAACTGTTTCCCGATTTCGTAGACTCTTGGGAGGCCTCCCACGAGGAGGGTTTTCAGGTGGAGCTCTGGGGAGATTCTCATCGTAAGGTCCATGCTCATTTCGTTGAGGGTTGTTTTGAAGGGCTTCGCAGCAGCTCCTCCTGGGATGATGTGCATCATTGGGGTTTCTACCTCCATGAAATTTTTTCCGTTGAGATATTTCCTAATATGGAAAATTACCTGATTTCTGATTTTAAAAGTTTTCAGGGTACTTTTATTCGTGACAAGATCCAGGTATCTCTGCCTGTACCTGGCCTCAGTCTCCTTCAGGCCGTAGTGCTCCGTTGGGAACGTGTGGAGACACGGGGCAAGGACTTGGACGGAGCTTGCGAGGACGCTGAGCTCTCCCTTCTTGCTGAACCCGATCTCTCCGGAGGCTCCGAGAATGTCTCCTCGGAAAAGGTCCTTCAACTTTTCCCTGGAAATAACCTGTATAGAAGCACTCTCAGACTCTATTTTTATGAACGAGATCTTCCCAATTGTTCTAACGGCAAGGACTCGGCCTGCTGTTCTCACGGGGCCCAGGGCGAGAGACTCTGCGGAATTCTCCGGCGTAATTTTCTGGTCTCGCACGTACTGCAGTATCTCTGCGATTTGGTGGGTTTCCTTAAAGTCGTACGGGTAGATGTTTTCTCCTGCACTGACTTTGCTCTCGATGAGCCTGTATCGTGACTCTTCTTTCATTTTCGCAAGGGTAAAAAATATTTTACTTTTATTCTTTTCAGATGGAAATTACAGGATACGCGTTCTGGAAATCTGCTATTTTAGTTCAGTTTGGCTTTTGTCTGTTGGGCTTATCTTCTGGTTGTTCGGGTTGTTCGTCTGAAAATATATATTTTTTTTATTTTTCTCCCTGCAGAAATGACGAAGGGAACGACCAGCTTTGGAAGAAGAAATAAGAGAAATCACATTCAGTGCATCCGGTGCGGGAATGAGTCGTACCACAAACAGAAGAATGAGTGTGCCAGTTGCGCATATCCGGAGAGAAGATGGAGAAACCCCGGATCTATCAAGGCCAAGGGCAGGCGAGCAGAAGGCACTGGGCGAATGCGGCACTTGAAGAAGTACGTGCGAATCAACATGAAGAAGTCAATTGCCAACAACCGCTGCTAATAAAGAGATGGAATAACCCGAATAATCAGAGCGTATCTTATGGCATATTTCAGTTAAGGATGGTTTTTATGATATAACAGTAAGTGCTATACTGTTATAACAGTTATAAGTGTTACTTCTGTTATGTTGTTGTTGTTGTTATAAGTGTTACTTCTGTTATGTTATTGTTATAAGTTTTGTGTTGTTATACTGTTATATGTATCTTATTAATATTTTCTTAGTATTTTACTGTTTTACTGTTAATGTTATAAGTGTTGCTTCTGTTATGTTATTCTGTTATACTGTTGTTATATGTATCTTATTAATATTTTCTTAGTATTTTACTGTTTTACTATTATGTTGTTGTTATAAGTGTTGCTTCTGGTATAGTTATAAGTGTTGCTTCTGTTATAGTATATGTTTTGTTGTTGTCTTGTTTTTATACGTATCTTGCTCGAATACTAGTATATTCCTGCTGTTTTTTTGTTTTTTATTCTTAAAACTCTTTTGCTACTGTTTTATATTTCTACCATAAAACCATCATATTCACTAGTATACTATGCTCTACCATAATAACATCGTGTCAATGCTATAATACCAACACATTGATACTATAATACTATGTACTGCCCCCGTTACAACACTATCATACTCACTATATTGATATATTCTTCCTATTTATTCCTCTCTTGCAATACCTCGTCTTTTTGTGGCTGTTTTTTTTCTTTTTTCCTTCGCTACTTCTCGTGCAAACTTTCAGAGTGCTTTTTTATGCTTTTATTTTCGCAAAAATATGCAGGAGACGCGAGCATATGCAGCACCCACAGATAACAAAAAGTCGCGAATTGAAAATAGAAAAGTCTCAAAGGACGCCCTAGAACTGAAGACTCTCCCCCCGCAGGAAAGGATGACTAGTGACATAAACAAGTCCATCGCCCTTAGAAATATCCTCGTCCTGTGCACCTCCGAGAAAGTGAATATCACGAAGCTATTTGCTTTTCTGAAGGAAAAAGAGTCTTACGACGTAAACATATACTTCAGAGAGTGCATCCACATAATCCCGGACAAGGACTCAGATATCTTTGTATTTAGATACGGAGTCTGCGTCTTTTGGGGAGTCTCTGAGCCCGTGAGAGACTCCATTCTCGCACAGCAGAAGTTCTTCGAGGAAAATTCCTACGGGAAGGAGCGCGTTGAAAGGGAGGACTTTCGGTATGGGATTGTCAAGGAAGGTTCTTCTATCGTGAACGATGTGATCTATCTGGACAATGAGTCGCTGTACAATAAAATGATCATTTCAAATGCACTCGCTCAAAGCATAAAACTAGACGTATTCGAGGGATACGCAGAGAGAACGATCGAAAGCATCCGGGAAATTCCGAATGAAATTTTCAGGCGGGGACGCACGAATAGGAGCCAGGCCGAGATAATGAAGCTCACAGGACTCCTTCACAAGCTGAAATTTAGCCTGAATTTATCGACTAATATTCTGGATACGCCAGAGATCCTGTGGTACTATCCGAACTATACGTCCTTGTACGAGAGCTTCAAGCTCTACTTGGAGCTGAAAAGTCGCACGGAAATCATCAACCAAAAGTGCGATGTCATGCAGGAAGTGCTTACGCTCTCCTTTGGGTACATAAATGCACGGAGTGCAGATGTCTTGGAGAAAGTCATCATTCTTTTGCTCGTTGTGGAGATAGGGATTGGCCTGTTTTCTCTCCTCATGAAGTAGATGGAAGAAGGTAGATGCTACTTCGCAGGGGCACAGTGAAGGGGCACCATCAAGAGATAGTGCCCTGAACTCTTGCTATAATAAAACGTATTTCTCATAGAGTGCAATATACACATAGTTATATCTATACATATAACTGTCTTATACTTATACTATGGAATATTTTTATACATATAACCATATACCTATTCTATTATATTCTACATATGACTATTCTACTTATAACTATATTCTACTATATTCTATAACTATATACATATAAATATATTCTACTATAATTTATCCTATACTTATACCTATATTCTACTATATCCTATAACTATATACATATAACTATCCTATAACTACATTCTACATATAATTATCCTATACTTATTCTATAACTATATCCTATAACTATACTTATAACTATCCTATAACTATATACCTATAGCTATACCTATTGCCTATACGTATGCAATACAAGCATATTATGGTGAAATACAGTGAAGTTCGCACCCCCACAAAATGAACTGGAAAAACTCGCTTTTATTTTCATTACAGTAAAAGGAAAAAAAACCCATGACAATGTTTCAAAGGTGCACAGAAGCTCAAGAGACATGGGTGTAACTGCTGATATGTGATTGGATTTTACCTTCTTGGCGTGATGCCGTATTGTTCTACTGATTGTAGTATGTACTCTTTAGACGCTGGCTCGACTTATATGTATCGGCTCTTCTACCGCATTATCGTTCAGGGACCGTTATAATCTGTCTGTGTGACTGTGGGTTAGGATAAGATCGACTAACTCCGTGTGCCGAGTATTGGCTATTGAAGCATGTGTGCTTATGCGGTATAACGATAACTTGGTGGTCGTTGAGTAATAGTCTGTCAATGTTCCCTGTATTCCGGGAAATGACGATGTTGTACCTATGGGTTTACCCTCGCTTTCTTGCTCTATCCTGAGTTAAAAATTCCTGCTTTCCCCTGCCGCGTAGGACTTAAGAGGTGATGTGTACTCGGGCAAATGTACACTGAGTGGAGTATTCGCGCTAGATCTGCGCTTTGTATGTTGTTATTTTGAATCTGATGCTTTTGACTATTTTCTGTTTATATGTGTACTTGTATGGATATCTTTTCTCTGTTCTGTGGTGCTAGTTTCTGATGTCTTGATTTGTCCGTGGTGTAGTCTGGTTATTCTTCCTTCTTTATGTGAGCTCTTCTGTCTAATTGTCGACTAGTAAATTTACATTTTCCCATATCTCTTGAACTCCTGTGCAAGGATTAAAAATTTGCAGGTATTTATTCTTTATTTTTTCCAGATAAAAAGTAACTGTTTCCAGATTGCTTATATTGTATGCTGAAGGCATACTTACTCGTGATTGGTTATTGTATAATATAAGGCGAATAAAGGTACTCCAGAAGTGGGAGATCTGGGGAAATGCGGAGACTATAAAGTATCTAAGCAGGTCAAAAAGAGTAGAGGCCGTGAATTTCTCGTGACTACTTCCTGTATTATAACTGTTTATAAAATATACTGAAGTTCATCACATACGTATAATCTATGCTACTATAATATATGCTTATAACTATCCCATGAAATATTTCTATGCTATTATAACTATTAACTATACTACTATCTTGTATCCTATTCTACTACACTATCCTATAACTATTAACTACTATTCTACTATAACTATTAACTACTACTATACTACTATCTTATATCCTATTCTACTATACTATAACTATTAACTGCTACTATCTTATATCGTATTCTACTATACTACTATAACTATTAACTATACTTATACTATACTTTATCCCACGTAATAATTTATTCCATGCAATACTTATGTGTTTATTTCTGTGATTCTTCTCCTATGCTCTGCTCTTACTATCCCTTTTATCCTGCTATATTGTACTACTATCCTGCACTGCCTACTTCTTGCTCTCCAGGGAGATATTCGCAGCATTCTCGAGGATGAATCGGTCGAAAAGGGCGAGCATCCAGTTCCCGGAGACCTTCACTCGTTTCGCCCTCTCCGCAGGGGGAGCCCTTTTCTGGGGTGCTTCCTCGTCAATTCCCCGATAGAATCCCCCGGGGGCACTCTTCACTATTTCCTCTGCTGCCTTTAAAAGGGTTATTCTTCGCCTGAGATCATTATCCCACACAAACTTTGGGTTTGCCCTGGGGAAGCTGCTCTTTATCTCCGAGACGAACTTGCAGGCCTTTCTCGAGTCGTAGAAGCGCACGGTGAACTCCCTCGCATTTTTCGCGGAGGAAAAAGTCTCTGAACTCTCGCAGGGGATTTCCTCGCTTCCTGAGTACGTGACGGAGCCTTGGTTCTTTTCTTCTGTGCAGGCGTCTGAGCCCTTCGGGATTTCCCGCGTGGAGATCGTGAATTTTACAGCGAACTTCTCGGAAAGAGCTTTCTGGGCTTTCACAGCGTCTCTTACGTCGAAAAACGAGACAAAAAAGACTGAGTGCTTATTTCCCATTATAAAGTGCTCTCTCACGTCCCCGTGCGACTTGCAGAGGCGTAAGATCTCGGCGTGTGAAACTGTCTTTGGGAAGTTCGTCACGAGGAGGGTTCTTGTTGCTTCTTCCATCGAAAATAAAATTCGCATCGATTTATAGTTTTTCCCCTGGGTTCGACTCCTTTTATTTTTTTCTCTTTTTTTTTTCTATGAGTCTGTCGGCGCGAGTGAGGGCGTCTCTGGAGGAAAGTGTAGTGCTCGTGCATGCGGGGGAGTACGCTTTTACGGAGGAAATGGAGACTTTTAAAGAAATAAATTTAGAGGAGAATCCAGGGATCGAACCTGCACTGAGGGCTGAGTTTGGGGTGGAGAGCATTCCCTGCCTGCTCGCATACGGGGTCCCATACGCAGTGGAGGAGATCCAGGCGGTGAAGGAGATCGAGAGAGCGCGAGAAAGTGCGAAACTTGAGGGAGCGATTGAGAAAATCCGCAGGGAAAAACGGGTTCTTTTCATGAAGGGGACTCCTGAGAGGCCTGAGTGCAGGTTCAGCCGGGAGTTTATAAAAATATTGGGGGAAGCCGGAGTCGAACCCAGGGACTATGTGAGCGTGAATGTTTTGGAGTCTCCTGCAGTCCGGGAGGGGATAAAGGCGTACGGGGACTGGCCCACGTACCCGCAGATGTACGCAGACGGGGAGCTCCTGGGGGGACTGGATGTGATAAAGGCAGAGCTTGCGAAGGGAAACCTGAAAGAGTACCTGAAACTCGTGTGAGAGCATTTCCAGGTGTTGTTACACAGTGCACGACAGGTAATTTTGTATGCAGTAGGCAGGAAGCAATTTTATACCGTGTGCACCATAAATGACTTTGTATGCTGTGCACTATAAATGACTTTTTAGACTGTGCTGTATGATGGGGGCGTGGCTTCTTGTGATTGTTTGTTTTTAAGGCAGGCCTGTGAAAGGGCGCTCTAATTGGACAGAATACTCGAATTTCCTATTTAAGTTGTGCGGAACCAGAATAAAGGACAGTGTTTTACCCGAGTATTTCCCGCATTGCAGCTTGTAGAATATATACGCCAAATTGCGCACAGTGAAGCATAAATAAATTTATGTGCAGTGAGGCATAAGTAGTATTGTGCACACTGTGTAATAACTAGCAAGGCAGTGCCCCCGCAGATACCCCTTCTCTCTCCGCGCATTTTGACACACTGTTTCCGCAGATGAAACACACTCAAACATTGTTTCACTTTGTTTGTTTCTATGACCATGATATTCCTATAAATACGCGTGTTTTGTTTGATGTAATCATGGACATGACACAAGAGAATCAGTCAAAATTTTCAAAGTTTCTTTCATTCACAAGACAGTGTGTAATAAGAAGCAAGAAGTTCACTCTAAAAACATGCAGGAAAATAACACAAAGTGTACAGGCACTAAAAAGGAAGACAAAAAAAATAGCTACACGTTTAATCCTAAAGTGTCTTCGGAAGTCCCAGAAAAGGCGACTTCTTAGGCACGTTCCAAGTATTCCTGGGAAAGCCATCCAGGAATTGGCTGCTGACTCGTCTTCTTGGTTATACCTGCAGGAAGAGATGGAAATGCACTACCAGAACCTAAAAAACAAAAAGGCGCTGGAGTTTGAGGGCGAACCCATGGCTGGGAAACTCCTGTATAAAAAACTCTGTGCCCGGCTGGAGGCAGGAATAGCTCGAGACAAAATCCGGGAAAAAATATCACATGCGGAAATGTGCATGGAAGCAGGAGAAATACCTGAGTGTGAAATGCCAAATGAGGAACTCTCCGCCAAGTCCGAGTTACCTGAAGTAGTACCAACAGAGGAAGTAGTACCTGAAGTAGTGCCAACAGAGGAAGTGCCTGAAGAAGTAATGCCAGCCGAGGAAGTATCCGAAGTAGTACCTGAAGTAGCACCTGAAGAAATAGTACCAGCCGAAGTAGCACTAACAGAGGAAGCAACTGAAGAAATAGTACCAGCCGAAGAAGTATCCGAAGTAGCAACTGAAGTAGCACTAACAGAGGAAGTATCCGAAGTAGCACTAACAGAGGAAGTGTCCGAAGTACCAGCCGAGGAAGTAGCAACTGAGGAATTACCAACTGAGGAAGCCCCCGCCCAAAAAGAAATATCTGAAAACCCTGCCAATCCTGACTTGCCAGATGCGGAAATAGTACCTGATGCATTACCAAATGCGGAAATAGCACCTGAAATTGCATTGCAAATTTTTAAAACCCCAAGCACACATGCACCCTCAGACCCTGAAAGCAAGCCAGTACAAGAGCCCACACACATCTCCATAAAACAGGAAACTCCTTCCGTGACTGTGACTTTAGAAGAGCTAAATCGAAGGCAAAGAGAGCAAAGCACCTACAAAGAGACAGGCCCAGTTAGAGTCTCAAAAAGCCTAGAGAGATCCGTGAACAAGCAACTGAAGAAAAAGTCAAAGAAAAGCGAAGCCAGCAAGAAATAAAGGATATTTTAATTAGTAATTTGTATCCGCACGTAGGAATACAGTAAAATACCTGGTCTTACTTAGTGCGCTCTGCACACTATCTGATGTAATTAGTCCTACTTACTGCACAGGGCACAGCAACTTTTTCGGCTTCCATTTATTGCACAGCGCGTAAAAAGCAGTCGTAAATATTTTGCACCACTTAATGCACACAGTGTCTTTTCTGTTGGGGTGCAAATATTTTCTGCCTTTTCCTGTTTTAGCGTATTTACTTAGTAAAACACGAGGCAAAACCCTCCAATCGCACGCAAAAGTACACGCAACAGCACATAACAACATATTCGTATCTGAAACAGAAACCACACTGATTGCGTGGGTGTAAATATATAAGGGCAAGAATAACCCAAATCTATGCATAGAATTGGCAGAATACTTGTGTTTGCAGTGCTAGCACGAGAAACACTGGCGTCTTTGGAGGGGGGAATCTTTGGGGATTTAGTTGACCCGAATAACCCGTACTCCGCAGCCTTCCATAGAGGAAACGGCAATTATCTAGACCCACCAGGGGGACAAAACCAGGGATTGCACGGGAGCTTAGGATATAGCCCGAATGGAGGCTTTTCAGGGAATATTGGATATAACGACAATGGAGGACATGGAGGACCCGGAGGACCCGGCGGATATGGAGGACCCGGAGGATATGGAGGATATGGAGAACACGGAGGATATGGAAGAAACCCGAATAAGCCCCATGGATTTTCTCCTCTGCCGCCGTATAAGATACGATACGACAAGCACGGGAACTTGGACAAGGACGGGAAGTACGACCAGTTTGGAAACCACTTCACAGGGAAAAGGCCGAACCACTATTCGAGAAGCCCATACGGAGGCTCACACAGAAGCCCATACGGAAGCAACGGCCTGAATATGCCCTACAGCACCGTAAAAGACGGAATTACAGCTGCGAATGTGATTGGAAGCTACTACAATACGCTTGTCCAAAGGAAAGGCGAAATAAAAGGAGCAAGCCCAATAACGGGAATACTAGCATACCCGAAGGATGGCGGATACACGGACTACTGGGGTAAAATCAAGTTTACCATGGGCTCAGATGGGAAACTGGTCGATTCCAGCGGGTATTTCAGCGGAGTTGCTGTGGGGAGCCGGGAGGAAATACTGACTTCTGGGCACCTCACAGACATAGGGTTCTACCAGCAAAAAGACCTCTCCAAGCAGATCATGGACAAAAACTATATCAGCGCAAAGGCACTTATTGAGGACATTTCCGCAACCACGAAGAAAGATGTCAAAAGCCTGCACGATGAAAAGCTGGGCCCAGAGTATGTGGAGGCGCTAGCGAAACTTGCGGCAAGTGATGCCAAAGGGGCAGTCGGAGCAAAAGATGGCGCCAGCAAAAATAAGTGCTTGACAGTGTGCATATGCAGTAATGATACCTGCACAGGGCCTTGTAAGTCTATTAAGTGCATTGAGCCTATGTATATTCTATAGCCCGGAATAGCGCCAAAGGAAATAAAGAAAGGATTTGTAGTAAAATATTCTATGCGCAGAGCCTTCCGAATTTTCTTTTTGTTTTTTGTTTTTTATTTTTGCAAATTTTTCAAAGAGTCTCCAAAAGCGCCATTGCGTGCTGGAAACAGCTGTGTGCATAGGAAATTAATCGATAAATTGAACTTGGTAAAGAAATTTTCGTAAATCCGGGTTTCATTGTGACTATGGTCTAATACAGGCTCCACTAAAGATTAATACATCTTTGGAGAATCCCGGCGGTCGACCTTGGCTTGACCTGATTGTTGAATCTTCGAATTTCTTGCCATCTTCTTCTTCTCTCTGAAATTAACATCGTATCGCGTGTTTATGCTTATAGCGATCACTAGTCAATTTCATGTTTCAGATCGTGTGAAATTCAATCAAGTGCTGGCCGTGCCCTCTCCGATTTTGTGGGAATTTCAAAAATTCACCGCAGAAATAAACAGCAATTTTTCCGGGATAGTCCAAATAGTGTATTGTTACAATGCATCCAAACAAGAACCGCTAGTCATTAATCAGTTACACAACTATATAAAGAGAAGAAAACAGAAATGCATGAACTTACGCATACCAATCGGGTTTATAACCATGATATTCGCCGTGCTTATGTCAGCCTTTGTAGTCTTTGACTTGGTGAGGCACATGGAAGAAAACAATGCCATTACAACAGACGTATTGCTCAATAGGGGGGGATATGCAGAGCGCGAAAACTGCATGTTGTTCTTAAACGAAGGGCAAAATCCAATTTATGACATAAATAAGCATGCCGAACACGAAAATGCTTTGTGCTTTGTAGAAGACATATTAGATCCTCTTTCAAAAGTGGACTTAAAAATATACTCTGAGAAATTCGGTGCAAACGAAACATCCGAAATAGAGATCAAGTACAAGCTTCTGGACGGGGAAAGTATGCGAAACAACTTTGCTAGATACCAGAAAAACTGTGTTTTTGACAATTTAGAGCCAATTGACGAGAATTCTGCGGAAATGTCCAGATTTGCGTGTTTTACTCCAGAGCCAGCGTATACGAGCATCTATGCGAATATAATTGGAGACAGGAACTTCGTCGAGCGTAAGAGTGAGCTTTTGAAGGATGAGAGTCTGAAAAAATTCCTCTATTTCGGGCGGCTGTCTTGCCTTTGGTCGGAAAATTACTACTTAACACTAAGTAACCTGGTATACCATAGTTTTTATCCAGATTACAATCGCCCCGATTCAATTAACACCAGGCGGATTCAGCTTCTTGGAGGAGTTGCATTCGTGTATGACGCCGTGAAATTTAACACATTCAGCACGATAGAGCTGATAATTTCAAGGTACCAGCAGACGTTGAGGGCTTTTAAGAATGATGTGATCCAAAAAGATGATTTGCAAAAGCTAGCAGCAGCCCAGCTTAGAACAGATGCGTACTCTCTGATCGACTCTTTAGCTTTTATAGGCTATATTGCCGAGAGAATAAATATAATGTCCAAAGAACATGTGGATTACGTTAAAGAAGGCAGCATTTCGGCTGCAGCGGCAGGTACCAGAGAAGTGCATGCGCTTGACTTCTCCATCATGAACAGCCTAAATAGCAGCACCTTCGGAAAAGACAATATATTCACAAAGCAGAAGTTTACCTGGGAAAATTACGAGAACATGGATGCGAATATGATCGGAGCATTAAAAAATGAGATAAACACGGCTTGGGAATCTCCGATACCGAGCATGAAAGAAGACTTGGAGGCGCTGAGGGATCTTCTGAAAACTTTAAAATCACGTTTGGGAACAGATCAGACCTTTATATTGGTGAAAGGTATATCTCTGGATAAGGTAGATGCTGATAGTGTAGAGAATATCATGAAAGATATTCATAATAGGATTTCATGGCTGAAATATAACTATGGTTTGGCCTCTAAAAAATTCGAAAAAAAGATAAGCGATTTCTGCAAAAACAAAACATCTGACTGTTTACCGGATGTGCATAAGCATGAGTACAAGTCGATGCCAGATGACCCAATGAAAGGCACAATTACGCTAGAAAATCACAGGAGTGCCTACGAAGAAGACTCTTCGGTAGACAATGATCCTTCCGCCTCAGGTGCAAGTGATTTCGGCAGAACAAGTACTTCTACCGTAATTGCTGTTTCTCTTGCATTTCTATACAGCAAATTGAAAGTTTCCCAGCCCTGATCTCGCCACGTGCTGGTATTTTACTGGCACATAGAATAGGCACAGCATGCATCCCCAGTTGATTCCCGGCTGTTCTCTTCGATGGCAACTTTTAACTGATTCTGCTGTTTCTCCATGCAATGCAGCACAGAATTGAAAAACAAATATATTTTCTAGAATATCTTCTTATTTTTGTATTTTTGAGTTTGGCTTTAAACTATATATATATATTCGTGCTTGATGCTGCATAGAGTGCCCCCGTGAGAATTTCCCCTACGGCGCAAACTGTGCTTGCATTTGAGCCTGGATGAATTTCAGGCCTTTTCAGAGCACGGGCTGCGGAAGAGTCCAGTGCACCAGCGCATACATACACCGCAGCTTTGCTTAATCCTGCGCTGTGCATTCGGATTGTGCGAAGTACAGCCACACCCAAAACCTGGAATGATCTTGAACAGTCTTAGACCACGCAGTTCAGGTACGAGTTGGCCACTTTGTGCTCAGAAGGCAGGAATCACGGACTTTTCACTGTTTCTTAAACTAGTGGGGAAAGCTAAGTTCTTTGTTCACCGCAGAAATAAACAGAAAATTAGTAAATTATTCTCTGGCAATTTTTCCGGGATAGTTCAAATAGTGTATTGTTACAATGCATCCAAACAAGAACCGCTAGTCATTAATCAGTTACACAACTATATAAAGAGAAGAAAACAGAAATGCATGAACTTACGCATACCAATCGGGTTTATAACCATGATATTCGCCGTGCTTATGTCAGCCTTTGTAGTCTTTGACTTAACGAGGCACATGGGAAAAACCAATGACGGTATAATAGAAGCATTGCTCGATACAAGGGGATATCCAGGGCGCCAAAATCCCATGCCATCCGTAAGCGATGAGTCAAATACAACACAAATCACAAACATGAGGGGAGATCCAGGGCGCAAAAATCCCATGCCATCCGTAAGCGATGAGTCAAATACAACACAAATCACATGCAGGAGGGGAGATCCAGAGCGCAAAAACTACTGCATGTCATTCGTAAACGAAGAGCCTGGAACCTACCTCATATATAAGCATGCCGTCCACGGAAAGGCTTTGTGCTTTGTAGAAAAATCATACAGACCCCTTTCAAAAGTGGACTTAAAAATATACTCTGAGCAATTCTGTGCAAACGAAACATCCGAAATAGAGATCAAGTACAAGCTCCTGAATGGGAAAAGTATTCGAAACAACTTTGCCAGATACAAAAAAAACTGTATTTTTGACTATTTAGAGCCAATTGTCACGAATTATGTGGAAATGTCCAAATTAGCGTGTTTTACCCCAGAGCCGGCGTATACAAACATTTACGCGAATATAATTGGAGACAGGAACTTTATCGAGCGCAAGAGTGAGCTTTTGAAGGATGAGAGTCTGAAAAAATTCCTCTATTTCGGGCGGCTGTCTTGCCTTTGGTCGGAAAATTACTACTTAACACTAAGTAACCTGGTATACCATAGTTTTTATCCAGATTACAATCGCCCCGATTCAATTAACACCAGGCGGATTCAGCTTCTTGGAGGAATTGCATTCGTGTATGACGCCGTGAAATTTAACACATTCAACACGATAGAGCTGATAATTTCAAGGTACCAGCAGACTTTGAAGGCTTTTAAGAATAATGTGATCCAAAAAGAACATTTGCAAAAGCTGGCAGCAATCCAGCTTAGATCAGATGCATACTCTCTGATCGACTCTTTAATTCTTCTAGACTATATTTCCGAGAACATAAGAACGATATCCAAAGAACACGTGGATTACGTTAAAGAATGCAGCATTTCGGCTGCAGTGGCAGGTACCAGAGAAGTGAATGCGCTTAACTTCTCCATCATGGACAGCCTAAACAACAGCACCTTCGGAAAAGACAATATATTCACAAAGCAGACGTTTACATGGGAAAGTTACAAGCGCAATAACCCGAATATGATCGAAGCATTACAACATGAGATAGACAAAGCTTGGGAATCTCCGAAAACGAGCATGGAAGAAGACTTGGAGGCGCTGAGGGATCTTCTGGAAGTGTTAAAAACACGTTTGGGAACAGACCAGACCTCCATATTGGTGAAAGGTATATCTCTGGATAAGGTAGATGCTGATAATGTGGAGAATGTCATGTTGAATATTCGTAGTAGGATTTCATCGCTGTATAATCTGTATGGTTCCGCCTCTAAAGAATTCGAAGATAAGATAATGGATTCCTGCAAAAACAAAACATCTGACTGTTTACCGGATGTGCATGAGTACAAGTCGATGCCAGATGACCCAATGAAAGGCAAGATTGCGCTAGAAAATCACAGGAGTGTCTACGAAGAAGCCCTGGCACACAATGATTCTTCCCCGATACCTGCAAGCAATCCCGGCACATCATAAGCATTTTTATGCAGAAAATTGAAGGTTTTCTGATCCCACGTGCTGGTATTTTACTGGCACGCAGAATAGGCACAGCGTGCATCCCCAGTTGATTCCTGGTTGTTTTCTTCGATGGCGATTTTTAACTGATTCTGCTGTTTTTCCTATGCAATGCAGCACAGAATTGAAAAATATGAATTTCATGAGAAATAAATATATTTTCTAGAATATCTTCCTATTTTTGTATTTTTGAGTTTGGCTTTAAACTATATATATATTCGTGCGTGATGCTGCATAGAGTGCCCCCGTGAGAATTTCCCCTACGGCGCAAACTGTGCATGCATTTGACCTCGTATGATTTTCAGGCCTTTTCAGAGCACGGGCTGCGGGAGAGTCCAGTGCACCACCGCAGCTTTGCTTAATCCCGCGCTGTGCATTCGAGAATGCTTTCTTTTTATTTTTTATTTCTGCAAATTTTTCAAAGAGCTCCAAATGCACCATTGCGTGCTGGAAACAGCTGTATCCATGCGAAATTAATCAATAAATCTAAATAGTTCTATTCTATGCGCACGCTCTTGTTTTTGTCTTTTTCTGTTTGCATGGGAATATCCCAAGTTGTAATGCGGAAGTGTAGTCTTGTGGTACACTGCTCTCTATTCATAGAATCGATGTGCTTAAACACGCTTAGTCTAGCATAGCTGTATGACGTCTGCCAATAATTGCCAAAAAACAAACAGCCACAAGTAGTGACACCTTTTCTATGCAGCTGCCAAAATAACCCACAAATTCACCCGAAATGCTTCCCCAGAGCTCCACTTTATATTTCAGAGCCGGAAATTGCTTTGTCTTCCTTCAGATTGGCCCACATTTTTTCGCACTCTCTGGGCCCTGTGGGTGGGCAGGGAGGACCCCTCTAGAGTAACTGTGCAGTTTCCTGAGTTTCTGCGCCCTTTTGGACACTCTTGGGCACTTGCTGGAGTTTGGGCTGATGGCACCTTCTGGGAGTGGGCGGGATTTCCTTCTCTTGCAGGGCCTGCTTGCCTGGACTGCTTGCAGGCCCTGCTGTTGGATCTTCCCGATCTCCCGGAAAATCCTCCAGGAAGCTGCTGTGCACATACTCAGAAAAAAACCTTCGGATTTTTGCAAAAGTATACCCTTCAGAAACTCTGCAGCCCACACAAAATTGGAGAATTTGGAGAATTTTCCATTTCCAAGAGAGGCTCTGTATATTTATATTACTTTATTTATGCCTAGTCTTTACAGTGTATATACATTTGCTATTAGTGGGTGGTTGCATGGCTGAGAAGAGACCGCAGTTTCTTCACTTCGCTGTGGTACGAATCGCTTGTCTCGTTCGCTTTCTCCAGCATTTGCCTGTACTCTCCCACCTGCTGTCTGAGCTCGGTGATAATTTGGAAATACTGGGAGGACTTGTCTGTCGTAGGAAGGACTTTGTGCTGCTGTGTGATTGTAATAAACTTAGTATTCTCCTGGGATATGGTCACAGGCACGATTTGCGTCTCTGTAACAGTGGCAGTTTTCGCTCGCGGGCTCAGGAGAGGAGAGCTTACAGGCCTTGTGGGCTCCAGAACTTCTGTTTTTGTGTATGTGCTTGTCTCTGTGCGCGTTTTTGTGATCAAGACGGGCTTCTCCAAAGTCACGCTTATTGTGCGAATAACAGTCTCTGGCTGCACTGTTTTGGTGGTAGTTTCCGTTTTCGTGTGGTTTTTTGTGCGCGTAATTGTCACGGGAGCCTGCACAGTCGCAGTTACATACGCAGTCTCCGTGTAAACAGCGGGCTTTTCACTTCGCGGGCGCTTCTGGGCAGCTGCCTGCACAGGATCTGGGGGACTGTCGGCTGCGCTGCTTGAGAGCTTATTCTGCGGGAAAAGACTCTTTGCAGATTCTTTCGCATGGGTATTGGGGGCATTCGGGTGCCGGGTCACAACATTCACTCGCTTGACTTTGTTGTTCGAGTCGTGGAACTCCAAAACCACTCCGGAGTTGTCGGGAAGGGGCTGCACATTCACGTAGTCTTTGTACAGAGACGGCTCCACAGTGACCGTTTGCGTGCGCGTTTTTGTAGACACGAAAGTCACTTTTATCGGGGGATTTGGAGGGAGCGTGGTTGTGACTGTTTGTGTGCGGGTGTAAATAGAGGGAGGCACTCGAACCTCCTTTGTCGCCGTGCGCGTGCTTCCAGTCACAATTTTCACGCTCTTCACAGTCACTGGCTGTATAATAGGGGGGAGCGTGCTGGTGACTGTCTGTGTTTTCGTCAGCATAAGGGTTTTTGTGTGGGTCTCCGTGGAGGTCGTGGTTTTGGGCAGGCGGGTTATGTTCTTGACTTTTTCGATGGTGACCGGGACCTTGCTCGTTAAAATGTGCGTGGTTGTCAAAATCCTGATTGTTTTCCGGGTTATAACCCTTGTGTGCGTCTCTGTCACGGTGCTATACTCGGTTTCTGTTGCCGTTGTGCACGCTGGGCGGTCTATTTGCTCGTCGGAAAGCGGGAAGTTCATGGAATTCGGGGCAACAACGGGCATGCTCTTGCGCGCAGGGTACAGAGTCGGCCTTTGCACATAAACAATGCGCCTTTCCCGCTTGGGAGGCATTATTCCGGGATGCACTACCTTGTACGCAGGAGTTCTATTCCCCATAACGGGATTGTTGAAGCCTGGGCGCATGCACAAGATCGCACAGACCCCAGAGGGATTCACACAGGAGCACAGCGAAGAGAGCCCAGATGCAGCCGCCCATGATGCCTGCGCTGTAATTAAGCCTAAAATGACTTTTCTAATAATATTCATGAAATTGTTTGAGAAACAAGAACTCTCTATATAGGGTGCGCTCTGAAACTGCTTATTTGCTATTGCAATGCCGTGCATAAATATGGGAGGATTTTCGTGTTTATGCAAACATTGAGAAAAATCGCATGGAGTGCTGCGCTTCTGCAGGGCGCCTGGGGGATGTACACGGAGAAGCATCTGGAGTCTGTAAGCATGTCGGACCAGGCAGCGCGCCTGTACAACGGGATAAAGCAGCAAGATTCCTGGATCCTGAGAAACGGGAGTTCAGGCTCTGTCGTGAACCTGAAGCAGAAAAACACGGATCACGACGAGTGGAGCTTTGAAACGGAGTTTTCCCTGCCTGCGCTGAGGCATCCAGAGTTTGCAGGGCTGTACTTTTGGTACACGGAAGAGCCTGTCCGGCACGGGCCCTTCAAAGGCGCAAGCGGAAAATTCAACGGAGTAATGGCGGGCCTGGAGCTCGTAGGAAAAAGCCTGGACATCGTCATCTCCGTAAACCACGGGGAAATGGACTATGCAGGCCTGCGGGCGGTAGAGACAGAGCTGAAGGACTCCCCAGACCCAGCGATCTTCAAAGGCCACGAAAGCCTGATTTTGAAGGTGATTTCAACTGCCAAGAACTTCAAAGTGGAAATATACGACACCGACAAGAAGCTGTTGTACGACAGGGTCAGGTACACCTCCATGGCGGAAATGGGCAGCCGTCTTTCTGGAAAGTTCTTTGGGCTGACAACAGAGTATCTCGAGGCGCGCCCGAGTGTGCACTTTACGCTGGCGAGCATGAAGCTCTTCCAGAGGGAGGAGAGCGAGGCCTACTCCATAGGGGACTACAACGCAGAAGTTCCCGAGGCAAGCCCCAGACTCCCGCACGAGGTTTCGCACCCAGACGAGGAAATACAGCACGCAATATCCGGAATTGAGCATCTGACCAAGTACATCCGCGTTGTAATGGGAGAGCCACAGGCGAAGCCCGTAGCAGAGAATGTCACGTACATAAAAAAGACGCTAAACTTCCAAAGTGCCCACATAATTGAAATACGCGATATCCTGAAGTCTCTCGTTACCGTGGAGAAGAAGCACGCGCAAGAGGAGGACACGCACCGGCAGGAGCTCTTCTACCTGGTGGAAGGCATCCGGAAAAAGCTTGAGGAAGCCCCAAAGCCCGCCGAGAGAAAAGTCTATGAAAAAAGAGAGCTCCCCACTCTGGGGCTTATCGTAGTCGGAGGGGTTTTATTTGCGTGTGGGTTTGCAGTGGGCAGGAAAGTGCCAGAGGCCAGAAAAATGTCAAAACATTAAAGGCTGCACACATCAATAAATTAGCCTCAAAGTGTTTGTGTTTGGCTGCCTGCAAAGGTATTAATATTGTGTGTTTTTGTCTGGGATGCAAGCCAGAAAAGAGCGAGAAAAACTTGCTGCGCGCCTAGTGATTTTTGCCACGTGTTTTTTGGGGATTTATTCGGGCAGCAAATTCGGTCTGCAAGCAGGGGATATAGGCGTCAGCGCGGAGGAGCTTGCGCTCTACGAAAGTGCGAAAAAAGTGACAATTTTCCCGCGGATGTTCCAGGCTGAAACCACGCCAAGGCTCTGGGAAATGTTCACGGACATAATATGCTTTGCAGAGGAAAGCGACCAAAAGGCAGTGATTGACTCCACGTGCCTCACAAGCATGGACTCTCTTCTGAAGGCGCACGAAGAGGCCCGGAAAAGCGCAAAGTCCCATGACATGTGCGATCTAAAGAAAAAAATCAAGAAATTCTACAAGAAACACTTTAGGCAGGCTCCAAAAGAGCGCCACCAAACCGCAGAAGAGAAGCACGAAAGCAAGTGCTCGGGAGGCACATATTGCACTATGGTGCAGGGCCTTTCCAGAATGTGGGGGCTCTATGTGAAGAAAACCCCCCAAAGCACGCCGAACCGCCTCGAAAGCTCGATGGAAATGCGCAAGAAGATAGTTGTGCCCGGTGGAAGGTTCCAGGAGGCGTACTACTGGGACTTTTTCTGGATGGCAAAGGGCCTCCACATTTCCCAGAACGTGGCGCCTGTGAAGGACACGATAAGCAACTTTATAGACCAAATAGACGCGTTCGGGTTTATCCCAAATGGGACGCGGTGGTACTACACGAACAGGTCGCAGCCGCCGTATTTCATCCAAATGCTGGCGGACTCGATGGAGTCGATCCTGGCCCTTAGAGAGAGCGTGCGGGAGCAGATGGCAGCCCTGCAAAGTGAAGCCGAAGAGGCGGAAAATGCGCCCTCTCTCGTTTTGCGTGCAGATAAAAGCCCTCCCGCGATACCTTCAGCCAACCCGAAGCCCTCAGCCGCGGGAAAGCGCCTGGAGCAGCCCCTTCTCCAAGAGCACGTAATGCAGGAGGCGTGGCACGAAGGCGCAGTCCTTTCCGAGAGGGAATTGGCCGCAGCCGAGCAAGAATTCGCATTTTGGGACACAAAAAGGACCGTTTCCGTGATGGGCCCTGACAATCGCGTGCACAGGCTCTCCAAATACAGCACGGAGAACCCAGTCCCGCGCCCAGAAATGCTTCTGGCAGATTTGAAGGACCATTCCAGATACGAGTCTCTAAACCCAGGGGCCAGCGAGTCCGCGTACTACTACCACATAACAGCAGGCACAGAGTCGGGCTGGGACTTTTCAACGCGCTGGCGCAAGTTCTACCCCGAGCACAAAATGTACGGATTTTTACAGACAAACAATATTCTCCCCGTGGACTTAAACAGCATTTTAGTAAAAAATGCACGCATTCTCATGCAGTACTATAGGAGGGCTGGAGACGCTGAGAAGGCAGAAAAGTACGAAAGATCTTCCCGAGAGAGGTCTGAGGCAATAGACAGCATTCTTTGGGACAGTGCCAGTTTCCGGTGGAGAGACGTTGTGCTCTCGCCCGGCGCGGATTCTTCGACTTATGTTTACGCGCAGAAGCTGGACTCTGCGTTCTACCACAGCGACCTACACCCTCTGTACATGGACATTGCCAGCGACCCGAACAATGAAGTTCTCCGCAGAAATTCCCACTTGATGTGGCTTTCCAACGAGAAAGACCTTTTCCCGTGCACGAGCAGCAACCTCCACAGGGCGCACCTTCTGCCTGCAGAGGCTGGAGTGCCCTCTGAAATATGCGCTGAGAATGCGAAGAAAGACCAGTGGGACGGGTACAACATATGGCCTCCCCTCGTGCAAATGACGGTTGAGTACCTGATTCGTTCGAAAAACATCAGGCTCGCGCACAGGGTCTCTGCGAGCTACATGCAGCACATGGAAAAGAGCTTCCGGCGCCACGGGAGTCTCCCAGAAAAGATAGAGTATGCAGAGAAGGGAACAGGCGAGTACTCTGTGCAGGAGGGCTTTGGTTGGAGCAACGGCGTGGCCCAGTGGATCCACTGCGTGTTTGGGGGCTTCCTGGAGGTCCCAGTTCTCGCAGGAGAGGCTTCAAAGTCTCCAGAATAAAATTCTGTAATACAAGTTTACGCTCGAAAGCACTCGGTTATTAAGTATCTGTTTATTTTCAGGATGTGTAGTAGTATTTAGAAGTCGTCATCCATGGCAAATCCCTGGGCTTGCGGGGGGCCTACAGCTGCTCTCTTGTACTCTCCCACGCGCATTTCGAAGAAGTTCGCCTTCCTCCTGAGGGAAATGAGCTCCATAAAGTCGAAGGGATTCTGCGCATTGTACATCTTCTCCTCGTTCAGAGCGATTAGCAGCCTATCAGCAACAAACTCAATGTACTGGCACATGGAGTCTGCGTTAATTCCTATCAAAGACACGGGGAGTGCGTCCGTGAGGAACTCCTTCTCTATGACAACTGCCTCTGCGACTATTTTCCGGATGTTCTTGCACTTGTTCACGAGGTGCGAGTGAAGAAGACACGCGAAGTCGCAGTGCAGCCCTTCATCTCTGCTGATAAGTTCGTTTGAGAAGGTGAGCCCCGGCATAAGCCCCCTCTTCTTAAGCCAGAAAATGGATGCAAACGACCCGGAGAAGAATATTCCCTCCACGCAGGCAAATGCCACGAGCCTATCGGCAAACGACGCCTCCTTGTCGGAAATCCAGCGAATAGCCCAGTCTGCCTTCTTTTTTATGACGGGGATGTTTTCCATCGCTTGGAAGAGGAAGTTTTTTTCTTCGCTGTCTTTTATGTACGTGTCAATGAGCAAACTGTACATTTCAGCGTGTATATTCTCTATCATAATCTGGAATCCGTAGAAGCATCTTGCCTCGCTTATCTGGACCTCGGACGCGAATCTTTCAACGAGATTTTCATTCACAATTCCGTCAGAGGCTGCGAAAAATGCAAGGACGTACGAGATAAAGTGTCTCTCGTTCGCGTTGAGCTTCTCCCAGTCTGCCTGGTCGTTAGACAGGTCGACTTCTTCTGCAGTCCAGAAAACTGCAACTGCGTCCTTGTACATGGCCCATATGTCGTGGTGCTCAATGGGGAAAATAACAAATCTGTTGTTGTTTTCCTCCAGAATGGGCTCTCTGAGAGGCTGCTCTACAATTGTTTTCTCTGCGGGTCTTTCCTGTGGATTTTGTCTTTGTTGTTCTGCCATGCTTTTCTAAATTCCTTTTCTATTTATACTTTTAAAAAGGCGGCGGCGGGAAATATGTCCGGCGAATTGGGAAATTGAACAAAGTGATCACATTCGCAATTGACAAGGAAGGCAGGCTGGTGTTAGTGCGGGAGTGCACGTAGAATGCGCGGGCGCGGCTTTTGGAGCAAGATTTTCAGAGGCTTCTGGAGGCTGGAGGGCTGAAACTGCCGGAAACCAGGGGAAGAGTGGGCATCGCGGGAGCAGTACCGTGCTTTGGGGGAGTAGAGAGCCCAGGAAGAGCTATTCCTGGGCACGTATTTTCCAAAAATGAAGGCGTGCGGGCTCCTGCACATGGCTCCCGAGAGGTAGAGAGTAAGCAGAAGAAAACATCTGGCCAGAAAGTGCACGAGAAGGCTGAATAGCCCGAAGCTCCAGGAAAAATCTGGCCAGAAAATCCCAGAAAAACTCCCTTAAGTGCGGAATGCTTTTTCTCTTTTGCGAATACTTGCGCTTCGATCGATTTGGGTCCTTCTGCTGAGGCCTATCTTCGCCTCTATTTCTGTGTTTTGAAAGTCCCATGGAGAGTTTGAGAGCAAATTCTGCAGGCTCCAGAAAAGAAAATACTAATGCCTTTTCACAGGCCATGGAATAGTGCATTGGAGAAAGCTAGGAGTTGCGCCTTAAGTTTCTGCATAAAACAGGGACTTTTATTTTCCATCGGCATTCGGAGTTGTTTCGGAGTGTGTGTGTTTGGGCGATATTTTGCATAAAAATGCCAGACTCTCCCAGGCAGGACTTAAGGAGCACGCACTTTCAGGCACGCCCTCCTTGAAAGGGCCTTCTTGGGAGCACCTCAGGGAAACTCTTTGTGATTTCAGAGGGGAAAGTCCCTTCTTCTGCAGGAAATTCTGCCTTTGCTTGGGCACTCCAGAGGGAAGAGCCAAACAAAGATAGAATGCTGGGGAAAGTGTGCCTTGGTCTTAACGGGTGGAGTAGAGTGCTTTGGCGTATTTCTCTCTTTTCTCTTTTTTCTTTTTTAATGGAGAGCCACTCGTACGCTCTTGCAAAGAAGATACTTGACGAGCTCGAAAATGACCTTGAAGGCCTCTACCAGACACTCAGCGTGTGCGTGAAAAAAGAGGCTCTTGTCTCTCCCGAGGTCCTTCTGAGCATTATTGTGCACAAAAAGGCGCTAAAACCGTCAAAAATCCTTGCTTTGCGCCTGCTTAGCAACGTGGAGGCGCCGGAAGAGGTCGCAGAGGCAGCGCATCTGCTGAGCAACATTCGGAGCACCTTCAGGATCTCCGAAATCATCAAGAGCGAGCTCGAAACTTCCGATGAAATAACGGAAAATGTGGCCGTTATTCTGGAAGTATTCTCAAAAATGCTGGTCCAGCTCCCCCAGAAGGCCCGGGATACGCTGGTCAGCTCGATAGAGGAGGCTGGCATATTTATCCTTGTGAATGTCTGGGCCACGGGCGAAGTCTTGCGCCTGTATGGAGGGATTTTCCACGAAATATCCCCAGAAGACGTTAAAAGGGCCAGGAGCCAGCGAAAAAGAGAAAGCACCCCGTACAGAGTGCCCGTTGAGGAGTCCGTATGCGGGAAAAGCAGCATTTTGGTCCACCGAAGAGAGCACGCCTATTTCACGCCCAGGTACTTCTGCGGGCATAGAGAAGTCTCTAGCAGCGCGTACGAGCGCATATTCGCGTTTCAGGACGAGTATGAGGTAATAAATAAGGCACTTTTCAGCTGGTGCAATACAAATGGCGACTTGAAGGGCCTGGAGTGGGTGCTTATATGGCACATAAACAACCTGGCAGTGCACACAGAGGCTCCCACGTACGAGAGAGAGATTATTTTCCTCCTGGGGCCGATGTTCTACTCGAGCATCACAAACTTCATGGAGGAAGCATCGACGCGCGGGGTTTTTAAAACATACTTGGGGCTTATAGAGAGATGCACCTCAAGCGCAAATCCGACCATTCGAGGGGCTTCTTTCGTGGCAGTTCAGAGAATCACCAGCGCACATGCGAAGTACTTCTTGCAGGGAATCTCTCCAAAAGTCGCGCGTATGGAGAGGGCAGTGTCCGTGCAGGGCCTGGAGAAAGTCTGCCGCCTCCTTCTGGAAGACTTTCGACCTGAGCTCAGGAAAACCCTCGAAAAAGAAGCTGTGAACATACTGCGGCTTCTGGAAATACAGCCGGAAGAAGGCGTGGCAGAGCACAGCGCGTGCGTGGTAAGAGTCCTTTCCTCTCTGGACAGCATACCCATTTCCCTCTTTTCGCCCTCCAGCATGTCGCTTGTCCTGTGGGCTGCTGAAAATGGAGGAATAACGGACAAGAAGGCTCTGGAGTGGATTGAGAAGTACACTGCGGAAACTGCAAATGTGTACGACCCGGAGAGCGAGAATATCCTCCTGCGGGCGCTCGGCTTCTGACCGGAAAGGCCTCCGAAGGAAATTTGCAAAGGAAAGCCCCATCCCATGCGAGAGCGCATTTCAAGAGGGCGTTGGGCTGGAAATACGCCCTGCATCACCCCCGGAGAGTATAGCGTGCAGATATTTTTGGGCTTCCAGCAGCAGGCTTGGGCCATGCAGAGGACTCTCCCGAGTTTTTCACTTACAATAAATCGAAGTGCAAGACAGACTTGCAAAGAAAAAAGAGATTTCACGTTTTGTCTTTTGGGCTTGCTTTCTGCTGAGATCCAGAAAGTGTGCATGAATAGATGGAAGTGCACAGCACAAGCACGCAGGAGTCCGTTAGAAGGCCGGTCCTACAGGAGATAGATGCCGCTTGAAAAGAGATAAAGCGTGTTTATGCGCTGAAAGGTGCCCGGGTCTTGCTGAGGCCCGGAGTGGAGAGTGCCAAATTGCAGAATAAGCTCATACTGTGCACTGTCTGGTTATTCACATGGTTTTTATTAACGCACTATTTGAGAAAGCAGTAGCATTTACTGCATGCATAGATCTAGCAGAGTCTTGAATCCTCCGCTATATCTCACGTTTGCTGGAAAGCATTCTCCGGGAACAGGCAAGGCGTTTCAGCAAATTCTGGCCTCTGCAGAGAATTCTAGGCATCTTCAGAAGCCCATCCATGGAGAAAGGCTTCAACTGCAAGACAATCTGAAAGTGCAGGTTCTATGCACTACTTCCAACACCCAGCTTTCCAGCATAAGCAGTTCTCTCTTTGTGCATATCCGAGTCCGTGAAGAAGCACTCACTCACAGGCTCGGATATAACTGTCCAGGCTCTTTTCAGGGCCCATAACCCGAACTCTGAGCATTTGGGCCACTTCTGGGCAAGCGCTTAAGACTTCGCACGCCCTAACGAGACAATACGCGGAAGCTTCTGGGCATTTCACAGGAAGACATCCACGGAGAATTCCAACTTACAGAGTATTTTCAGCTTTTTCCGCTAAAATTGCACAGGCACTGGAAAGGCGAAAACAGACGCAAACTCCGCCCAGGCATACGATAATAACTCAGCCCCATCATAAACCTGAACAGCCCAAGCCTTCTCCCAGGCAGGGTTTGCCCTCCCCAAAGTCAGGCTTTTTCGTTGAAAAAGTGGTAGGCTTTTCTTCCTGTTTCTTCCCCTAGGACGGAAGCCAGCTTCTCCTGCTCCGAAGTCACCAGCTCGTGCATGTTTGCGAAGTTGCTCAGGATCAAATTTACGTTGCGATGATCTACCCCGGGGATGCACATGAGGGCTTCAATTACCTCCGGGGAGCACTGCACGTGTCTCTCCAGCTCGCTTGGGGGCTTCCTGGCAAGAGCGTGTATCAGAGCCGAAGAGTGCAGGCTTGCAGAGGAGTAGAAAATGTACGTGCTTCTCATTGTCAGGAGAAGATTCACTATTTTGCCCGTTAGGTCTACCTCCTGCATGCGGCTCGTATACTTTACAAAGCTGATTCTGTCGGTTTCTGCAAACTCAATCAGAAGGTAGGACGTGCCCTTTATGTACTCCAAGGCCTTCAGCTGCTTGAATAGTCTGCCGCTTTGGAGGGACCCAATAAAGTCGTCTATTCGCTTTCTTTCTATGAAATACGCCCTGTTCAGGACATAGTCGCCCACTTTCAGCGTGCTAAACTCGAAGTTGTACTTCCCGCAGAACATCATGGAGAGCTTCAGAGGAAGGTCGGACCGGATCTCGCGGACGTCTATCTGCAGAGTCGGGGCTTTTGAGTCCGCAGCCCGCATTTGGAAAACAACTTTGTCGGGATTTTCTGGCATGTTCTGCTTTGCGCCTATCCCGTGCACGAAGCAGTTCTTCTCAGAGTCGATTTCCTCGAGGCGCGTGAGCTCTTCAAGCGAGCCCTTTATTTGGATCAGGCTCAGCGATATTTCCACGCCCCTTCTGGCCCACCTGTTCCTGCACAGCTTTATCTGCCGGAGAAACCGGACGGAAAAGTTCACCAAAACAATCCGGAGCGCCTTCTCCTCGGGATTCTCCTGCACGAATCTGTGCAGAGTCCTGCTGAAGCTGCTGCTCCTGTGGAGGGGATGTGCACACTCAAAAGGCCTTTCTTTCGGCCCCTCGTAAAACAGCAGCATTTTCTCGCCTTTTTCTTCGAGGCGCTGGATGAGCCGGAGTATTTCGGCTTTTTTCGGGGGCACAGCTTCCTCCTTTTTCAGCTCGTTTGACATCTCCTTGATCACCTCCACGTTCGGAAGGGCCAGCCATAGCAGAGCGTCTCGGTAGACGATGTTTCTTGCATAGACACTGTCGGAGGTCCCGTAGAGCGTCGCCAAAGCGGCCATAGTCTCGTCTATGGAGGCGAGAGCCCGAAAGTACTCGATGAACTTTTCGACTTCCGAGTTGTAGAGAATGCTTAGGGAGAACTTCAGGGCCTTCACGGTCTGGCAGATGTACTTTTCAAACTCCCGCTTGCACGGAAGCCGCTCTATTTTCTGGATGAGGTAGAGCACTTCCGCCTGGATTCCCTCTCGCCGGGGGTCTATTTCCAAGGCAGTTTCGCCAACTTCAAAGTCCCCCAGAGACTTTGCAACGGACTTCCGGAACGACGGGTAGAGGAAAATGCTCGAGGAGGGAAAGTATCTTTTGCTGATCAGGTCGCACGTCATATACGCAGGCGACCACTCGCAGAAAATGCTCAAAGAGCTGCTCGCTGAAAAGAGGATGAAGTCCATTATGTTCCTGCAGGGCAGCTTAAACCGGTCGGAAATAACGTATATCACGCGCATCCCCTCCAGAGAAACATTTCCCATCAGCAGGTCCAGAAGGAACCCGTGCTCGCTCGCAAACACGCAGGAGCCCTCGCTGTAAATTTCTATTTTTCGTCTTTTCGTGTTTTTTGCCTCAATTTCCTGGATCTTTTTGTGGAGAGGCGCTGCTTCCTGGGGCACTGTCCGGGCTTTCTGCTTTTCCTTCAGCTTGCGGATGTACTTGTGCGAGCACCCTAGAACCACGAAACTGCCCTCTGACTTCTGCAGAATTCGGTCCAGGATAACGCCTATTCTGGCGCCTCTGTAGAGCATGTGCAGGCTCTGCCTGTTGGAAAGCACTTCCTTCACTATTCTTCTCTCGTGCCCGTGCATGCGTCTAAAAAAAATCCAAATATTTATAGTTGCTGAGTAATGGCGTCCTCGGAGTGGCACCTTCCAAAAGACTCTTCTGTGCGTGCATGGGCGTGCACTTTCCGTGTGTGGCAGGGATTTTTAATTTGCGCGAATCCTAACCCCTCCAGATTTTCAGCACTTTTACGCCTTTTTATTTTTCCGGGGAGCGCTTGAAATTGTGCGAGGGGCGCTTTTGTGGGAGCGCTCCAAACTCTGTCCGGAGCCACATCCCTGCGAGTCCGGCACCGTGCCCGCTTTTCGCGTGGCGCCGGTCTGAATATGTCCCCAAATGCAAAATCTACACTATTTTATGTGCTCTCTTTATTGACGTTAAGCGCTAGGCGTAGAGCGAAATGGGAATAGCCTCCAATTTGGTTGCCTGCACCTTCTCCTTTGCCTTTGCAAAGTCCTGCATTGTAACCTGTTTCCGCCTCTCGCGCAAGGCCAGCATCCCTGCCTCCGTGCATATTGCCTTTATATCGGCTCCGCTCAAGTCCTCATTCGTCCCAATCATGTCGTCCAAAACCACGTCCTTCGAAAGCGTCATTCTTGTCGTGTGAATTCCAAATATTTTTCGCTTTGTCTGGATGTCGGGGACTGGAAACTCAATTTTCCTGTCGATTCGGCCCGGCCTAATAAGCGCAGGATCCAGGCTTTCAATTCTATTTGTCGCCATAATCACCTTTATGTCGGACGAAGTGTCAAATCCGTCGAGCTGGTTCAGAAGCTCCAACATTGTCCTTTCAATTTCCTTCTCTCCGTTTGAGTTTGTGTCGTACCGCTTTGCCCCAATTGCATCAATTTCATCGATGAAGATGATGGTGGGTGCATACATTTCCGCAGCCTTGAACAGCTCCCGGACAAGCTTTGGGCCCTCTCCAAGATACTTCTGTATAAGCTCTGAGCCCACAATTCGCAGGAAAGTGGCCGAGGTCTGGTTTGCAACGGCCTTTGCCAAAAGGGTCTTTCCCGTTCCGGGCTCTCCATACAAAATCACGCCCTTCGGGGGCTTTATGCCCATTTCATCGTACAGCTCCGGGTTTGTCAGAGGGAGCTCCACAGCCTCTTTTATTTCCTGGATCTGCTGCTCAAGTCCCCCGATGTCCGCATACGTCTCGACAGGAGCCTTCTCCAGCTTCATCACGCTGACAAGAGGGTCTGTCTCTCCCTCCAGAACGCCAACAACCCCGCTTTCCCGGCTGTTCAGAAGAACTGTGCAGCCAGGCTCAAGCGCGTCTTTGTCCACAAACGAGTAAATGGGAACGTAGTACTCCTGGCCGGAGCTGGTGCTTACAATCGCATGCGACTCATCTATAAACTCTTCAAGCGTGCCCAAGTTCATGGGATACCCTCGGAATTTGTCGACTGCAGCACGCTCGCTTGTGAATGTCTCTTCCCCTTCTTTTACCGTGGCGGACTGATACGCTAAAATGCCCTCTTCTAGGGCAAGATAGTCTCGTATCTTTTCCAGCTTTATCTGCCTTAGCATGCACTTTGCCTGTGGGAAGATTTGGGGTAGCTTCGACAGAGTTTCTGGGCCGCGTACTCGCTTCTTTTTCTTTAGATTCAGGTTCTTTTCTTGCTGGTCTTTTGGGGGCTGTGACGGGCCGCTTCCGCCTGGTGAAGATTGCTGCTGTCCCATTAAGAAAACAAAGAAAATAATAAAATAAATAGAGGCTGAAATGGGGGCGCGCTACAGGGCGTATCGGAGGGATTTTCCTGCAGGGCATGCAGAAAACGCATGGAGGGCCACACTGGGGATTTATCCTGTTCTTTGAAGGAGCGAAGTTTTGGGACTATTTTGTGGGATTTTTGCAGTTGCTTAATAATTTGCCCAGAAAGTGTCCAGAATGCGGCAGGAAAGAGAGGCCTGCGAGTGGCCTGTTTTTTCTTGTGGGCGCAGCAAAATTAGAAGTCTTTCTGCCTTTTGGGGCGTGCCGGAGCGTGCCTGTTCGAAATTCTGCGGGGATTTGGCGGGGAGGGCGCAGGAGAAGGCGCAGGGCGTGCATGCAGGCCCGAGTGGATCCTTGGAAGCACGTTGGGAAGTGCCCGCACGAGAAAGGGTCCAGCAGAAAGCCATCCTGAAAGTGCGCAAAAATCAACGGCAGAAAAATCTAGAAGCACTCCCATGGCGCAGAATGCGCACAGAGTCACCTGCTCTTTTTTGGGCTGTGGATATTTTTCGGGTTTTGCCTGCACGCATTTATCCACAGAAGAATTTTCTTCCGGTCATGTTTGACAAGAAGAAAGAAAGAAAAAAAGGCTTTCTTTTGCTGCTTACCGCAATTACAGGATGGAGCTACGGAAAGAGAAAACTCGCTCCAGCCCTCATGGGATACAGCAGAGAAGTTGCAGTTTCTGCACTTTTCCACAGCGGCGCCTTTGATGAGCTCTATCAATTTGTTCTCTCCCTAAAATACCCGTACCCCTTCAGCAACACGGACAGATACGCCCTTGCAGGAATGGCTGCTTTACTGCATGTAGGAGAGAAAGAAAAGGCTTTTCGCATTGCAAAAAACCTAGCAACGGATGCGTCCATGGAGTGCATCAAAACCATGGCTCTTCTTATAGAGGGGCACATCTGCATGGAGAAAGACAGCGCGGAAATGTGCGAAAAGTGGGCAGAGAGGGCACTGCAGGAGCTTTCCAGGAAATTCAACTTCTCCATTTTTATTCTCCTGTTCAGAGCTTTCCAGGAGGTGCTGAAAGCCCCGAAAGACGAAGTTATTTCCGGGCTTCTTTCCATTGTCAGACACACGGAGACTGCGTATATTATGAACGTATCCGACATAAAAGACATAAAAAGGCTAAAGCAGTTTCTGGCACTGCACGGCCTCCCAGAGGGGGAGCTGGACAGAATATACGTGCTAAAGAACCCGCTGATGAAGAAGGAGAGCCTTCTCGCGTACTTTGAGAAAAATCCGGGCGACTCTGAGACGCTGAAACACGTTCTGGAGAGGCGAGTGTGCCCGGAGCTGCACGGACTAGCTGAAAAGCTCGGGATCATGGAGGGGCTTGTTCGGGAGAAGCAGGGAGATACTCCCTGGCTGCCTATTTTCTGTGCAAAGCCACGAACACACACTGTTAAGAGAAAGGCTGCGAAAAGAAGGACTAAAGCCACGGCGCTCTTTTCCGACGAAGAAAGCGAGGGCTTGAACTTGCCAGAAGAATCTCCCACGGGAGAGAAAGCCCAGGCCATAGAGGAAGAGAGCGATGAAGACGCTGAAGTGTACTTGGAGAAGAGGCCCTCAGCCCGTAGGAGCGCGCAAGAAGACTCTGATGCGGATGAAGACAGCAGCCAAGAGGACTTTTTAAACAGTTCCAGCCTGGAAGATTCTGCTTTTCCCGACGAGTCTAGCGACAGCTCGTTCGAAGACGGGGAAAGAGCCAAGAAGCAGAAAATGTGCAGTTCCAGCGAAGGAAAGGTTGAGGAGCAGGAAAGTACGGTGCAGGAGATCGGGGAAAGTGCGGGGGGAAGCTTGCCCGATCGGGCTTTCGAGAGCCTCGGCGACAGTGAAGATCTTGATGGCGGAATGGACTCGGACTTTTTGTAGCATCTCCTCGGGGATTTCCAGAGACTTTTTTGGGATTTTGCTGGTTTTATTTCGGGGTTCTGCCCTTATAGAGAATGGCGCTTTCTGAAAAAAGACGTACAATGCGCATATGCGATTTGGAGAGCGTGCGCGTCTTTGTGCATGGTGCCTCTGCAGGTTTGCGGACAGTAAATACTTTATCATATTTCTTTTATTTTTATTGCATGAATACGTCAGCAGAAGAGTTGGAAAGAAACGCAGACAAATACATACGAAAAGACGGCCATTTTCTGATAAAGATGATCATGAGCTATGACGCAGACAAGGCAGCCACGCTATACAGCCAGGCCGCACAGGCTTACTCCAGAGAAGGAAACCACCGAAAAGCAGCTGAAATGTACGGAGTATCTGCAAACGTGCTTATAGAAACAAAAGACGAAACAAACAAATTTGACGTTTTCTCGTTTTTGGAGAAGAGCGCAGAGGCTTTGCTTGCAGACGGGAAAAAAGAGGACGCAATAAAAGTCTACCAGAAGGCACTGAACGAGATATCTATAAACTACGAGGACACCTCTATGGTGGCTTCGCTTATTGCCAAAATCGGGGGACTCTTCAAGGAGATAAACCAAGAAAAGGAGGCACTGAAGTGCTTCTACAGGGCGGCTGACGTGTATGGGCGCGCCAAGATGCACATAAACAAAAGAAGCATTCTTTTGGAGTGCGCAGCCGCTGAGATTCGGTCGAAAAATTACGAGAAGTCGTTTGAGCTGTACAAGAGCCTCTCGAACGAGAACTCGGAGATCTCGCACGTTTTGGAAAAAACGAGTTTTCTGTTCCTGGGGGTTCTCTGCGGGATTATTTTGGAAAAGACGAAGGACGCGTACGAGCTCCTGAACCAAATGGACGACTCGCAGGCGGAGACGCAAATTGCATACAAGATGCTGGATATTCGGACAAAGCGGTCGGAAGACCAGGAAGACCTAGAAAAGGCTGTGGAGTACTTCAAGAGAACGCACCAGCTGCCGTCCGAGGTGCTTATTGCCTTGCACGACGCGCAGGTTTCCATCGACCCAAACAATGATATACTGTAGAATAAAAGTATGCATATTTACAGACTCTTGGAGGCAGATTTCTGGACTTGGCGCGCGTGCAGGGAAAATCGCTGCAGGATGGCCAAGTCTTTGCTTGTTTTTGGCGCACGCCTGTTTGCTGATGCCACGGTTTGTGCGCCCTCTGGGGCATTTTTCGCCCATTTTCAGGAAAGCCCGGCGCGAGAGAGTGCACGAAGGGGAAAGAAGGGCAGAAGCAAAGACAAGCGAATGCTGGGCGGGGCTTCACGGGACACTCTTCAATGGGTGCTGGCCTGTCCTGGTCGCGCTATGCATTTCGCGGGCCCTACGCACTTGAATGGCCTTTTTCCATAGGCTCATGCACGCGCAGAGGCAAGTTTGGCACAAGAAAAGCCCCAAATCAAAGGATCTGATCCGATCTCGGCCCTCCCATAGGCCTGCAGCCCCCTTCCCTGCATAAGGCCTTTTTCGGGCACTTTGCATGCCAGTGTGCCCTGTTCTGGCAAATAATGCATACACTTAATTGCGCACTTTCGGAGGGTCTAAGACCCTCATTCGAATTGTATTTTTTCTGTGCGCGTACATATTAAACACTGCAATTTTGCGAATAGACTCGCCCAGAACGTGCAGGAAACTATAAATATGCGAATAACATGAAGACGCAATGAAATTCATCACCCTACTTGCCATGGTAGCATCCCCTGTGATTGCCGTCAACTACATAAAGGAGAGCGTATTTTCGCCAGACTACCTTATTGCCCCAGGCTCCATAATCATTGAGTCTGGCCCGGTGGGAAACACCACGGAGCAGCAAGGAAATGTCACCTTTGTTGAGAGAACAGTTACAAACACGGAGATAGTCGATACCTTCGAAGTAACTGCCGGAGGAGAGACCGTCGGAAATGCGACTCGAACAATCTCCACCCACTCAGACATAGGCGGAATGAGAGGCCTGCCGTACCTGGAGGCTAAGTTCCTCATTTCCCTGGAAGCGCCTGCGCCTGAGCCCGAGCCCGAACCAACACCGGAGGGCATGGAAAGCCTCACTGAGGACCCAGAAAAGCCCCGAGTGAAGTCTCTGCAGATTCTGTTCGCAGATGCCTCCAGCGAGTCAAACGTCTCCGAAGTCTACACTAGCGAGACTGGCCTTACCTGGAGAATTATTCCAGGCCCACGATTCTTCCCTTCATTCAGCAGAATGGAGCAGGGCGGACTCATTGAGACGCCAGAGTCACGGTTTGTGCTGACTGTGGTGCCATTCCCATCCAGCAAAGTGGAGATAACTGCATTTGCTCACATCCCCACAGGAAGCGGCCTGATCAACATATACGACTCCGAAATCTACATCCTCCCGTCTGAGAACCCAGTCCCAGACCAGGAAGAAGAGGAGGAAGAGGAAGAAGAAGAAGAAGAGGAAGAGGAGGAAGAAGAAGAGGAGGAAGAAGAAGAACCAACTCCAGAGCCATTCCAAAGATACATTAGAAACAGAAGCTTAAAGGTTCAGCCTGCTTTATCCGTATAAGAAGCTTTCTTTTTAATCGTATAAATGCACTGTAAAATAAAGTACTTTTCTTACATGTTTTTCCATGTGCGTGCGGGCTTGAATTTGGACTGTTTTTTGGAGTACGCGAGAAAGCGCGCTTTTAAGGCCTAGAAGCTCTTAACACGCTCCTGCAGCGCCACTTTGCAGGAATGCCCGTTTTTGCAGGGATTTCCTAGAAGAGCCAGCGCGAAGGTGGCGCAATGCATTCTTTCCTAAATATGCAGCCATAACCTCCGCAAGGGGCTCTTTTGTGCCCAGGAGTTAATTTTCTGCTTGTTTCTGCGCAAATTTCAATTATCGCTTTTCGATCGTCTTCTTGGAGCTCAAATGGCGGATATATTGCGGGATTCTGTCTTTGCATGCGCGCACATCCGTACACAGTGCACATATCCGTGCTCTGCCCGCGGCGAGGATGCAGAGAGTTTCCCTGCGCACAGAAATTCGGGCTATACAAGCCAAGCCAGAGAGGAGAAGGCCAGGCGCTTTGTCTTGTGCGAATTCCCGGGGGTTCTAATTAAGATTCTTCACGAGTCGAATTCAGCCTGTTCGCTGGCAAAAGTCTGGAAAAAGCAAAAATATCCTTTATAGAGAAAACAGCTTCTCCAGAGGTTAGACCCGCTGGACATTATGAATATGTTTATTGCAACTCTTTGGATGTTTTGAGAGTTCTGGTTAAGAAGGCAGAGTTCTGGTGCGACTTTTCTCGGGATGTCGATAGAGTCGAGCAGAAACGACTTCACTATGGACGGGGAAGAGAAGCAAATGCATTCTGGAGTGGAAAGAGGGGACAGGCCCTTTAGGAAGCGCGCACATAAAGGCCATAAAATGCCTTACAGCGAAGAAAAACAGTAGAAGAAGAGTATCTGGCCCGGATCCGCGAGTCCAAAGCCCCAAAGCATTCCGCATGCACAAGCTTGGAGGGCTTTTAACAGGATAAGTTTATGAGAAAGCGCCAGCATATTGCTCAAAAGCGTCAAGTCGGCCTCCAAAAAGATCTGCCGCGCTCGATTTAAAGCGCAAAAGACTGCTGCGTGTGTGGAGGGCGCCATAGCTCTAGAAAATCGCCCTCTTCCCGTGCACCCAAACCAGAGACTCTCTAGCAGCGGCTATTAGCAAGCCCCGTGCACATTGCGCCAGCCACCAAAAGAACTCGAAGTGCATCCGACTCTTTACACATGTGCTGAACTCGACAAAATATGGCAGATGTTGCACACACCAGAAGCACAGGAGTTGAACTTTCTTGCAGATATGTTTGCGCCGAACTTGCACATTTTTCCGCCTTTTCTGCATTACTGCGCAGATTGCTTTCATATTATTACGGTTTTATATTAGTTTTTGTGTATGCAATCATCAGTGATTTACAGCATATTTATAAATAGAGGCGCTGCTGATGCCAAAATGAAACTGTATACTTTGTGCTTTCCGGGTCTTCTGGGGCTACTGCTTGCTGCTATAGGAGTTGCAGCAGGCGACCAAGTTCATGCGGGTGGCTTGGTCAGAAAAAGGAACTACGACCCCTCTCTAGACCCAAACCCCAAAGACACAATTGGGGCACTTCTTATTAAAATACTGCATTCTGTGGAGTCTGAGAAATCATTGACCAAAGTTATGCGGGCACTAGAAGAAAAAGCCGAGAATATTGAGTGCGCAAAAGTAACGTATGAAATGCGCCAGAATGCGTGTGAGGTGCTGAAGGAGCTGAGGCGCCCCGTTAGGTTTTCAAAGACCTGGTATGACTGCATAGATAGCAGAAGTCTCTACAAAAGGCGCTTTGACTTTGTTTCCAGCCGGATGCAGAGAAGGGACTTGGCTAATGAGTGGATAAAAAGCGTCCAACCGCCTGAACGGCTGGAAGTTCGGGTTATAATGGGAATACACAAAGCCGAAATCAATGCGGAAAACAGGCGCCTAGAGTTGTTTATAGAGCCCCCGCACCCGAAGCACCAAGTGTGCATGCATTTGGAAAAGCTCTTCAGCAGTGTTATGGAAAGCCTCTGTCTGTCGCAATCTGGCCGCATAGAAGAGCACAGCGCCTTTGTGCGTGATGTCTGGTGCGAAGCATTTAGCATCTTCCTGCACAGGTTTAAGGTAGGCTATCCAGACCCTGCGAGTGACCCGAGTAAAGCAGCACAGCACGTTGAAAAATGCATTGTGGATCTGAAGGAGGCTCTTGTCCCCATCTACATGAAGGATTACAACTCAAATGGCACACCCGTAGACATGACTGAGGAGGAGGCTGAAAACCACGCGCAAAACGTCAAGCGCATAAGAAACTTCGTAGAGATGACCGAGCTCTCCGTTCGGTGCAATACCTTCTTCATCCACCAAAGGTACAACTACCTGTTCTTGATTAAGAAAGTGCTTATGGTGAGCCTAAGAACCCCCTACGCAGCCACCTACATAGAATAAGGCACCCTGCCAGGACATTTTTAACAGTGCAAGCGCATCAAATAGTCCGGGCATTTGTCTATTCCTCCATCTCCCAGCCACGCACGCCTTTTGTTCTGTTCAAGCACTCGCCGCCTGAAAATAAAAGCACACCGTGCAAGATAGAGCTGCTTTTTGAAAATATTTTCCCATTTTTATTTTGTTGTGCACAGCCCCTTCTGCACTTTTATGTGGCATTTCACACTTTATTCAACCTTTTAAATTTATTATATTTCATGTACTGATATAGATTCTTTTTTTGAATTTTAATGAAAGCAAGTGCACTCGCGATATTTATAGCTATTGCATTTATGCATCTAGTATCTGATTCAATTACAGGAAACATCCTGGGGGCATCAGAAGCCTCCGAAATTGAAAAGCACGACCCGCGCCGGGACCCGACTGCCGATGACACGGTTGGGGTTTTGCTACTTAAAATACTCCATGCCTCGCGCACACTGGAGGAGTTAATGGGAGCAATGTACACTTTTGAGGCAGAGTGGTGGAATGATAAAACCCCTCTGGGAGCCTGGCGGGCAGCACGCAAGGTCTTGATCTCTATGAGAGCGCCCATTAAAAAAGACTCCGCCTGGTGCGACTATCTGAAGGGAAAGTCCATCCGAGAAGGGCGAGAGCACTTTATTGCCGACCGAGTAGAGAGGAGAAAATGCATTGAAGCGCGCAAGAGAAACAACTGGGCTGCCACGCGCCTGCGCACTGCATTCTTTATAACAGACGTTGATGTCCCGGAAATTGCGCGAGAGGTTGAGCAGCTGCGGGCGTATGACTTGGACGAAACCGCAAACTATTATATGTGCTTTAAGCTCAAAAAGCTCTTTGATGAGGTCCTGGAGAAGATGCACCGGACCGAGGAGAAGGCGATTGCCTTCCAAAACAGCATTGTGCAGAAGACCTGGGAAAGCGCCTTCGATGAGTTCATGAACAACTATAAAGGCAACTACGAGGCGCGCCGGGACTGCGTATTCAAAGCGGCAAGCTCTGGGGTGACCTTCATTCAGAAGCTCAGGCAAAATATGGACTCTGTGATGAATGGCCATTACATTTCCAGCAAGGGCGCTATGGACATGACTGAGATGGAAAGCGAAAACCACTTTAAAAACATCAGGGCCATAACTAACTTTATACGCATGGCCGACTTTGCGGTGGGTTCTGGAATATTCTACATACACGAGAAGTACCAGCACGTGCTTGTTCTTAAAAGAGCCCTCCAGCTGGGCCTGGACGTTCCTCTTTCGATCGTAAACAGCGCCTAAGACTCGGGCCTTGCATGCAATTCGGTTTGCAGCAATCTTTATCACCTGATCTTTTCCAGAATGGCTTCAGCTGTTTAAACACCCGCAGAATGCATGCATTGTGCGTCTCTGCTGGCAGCAGAGCTTTATCTGCTATGCCTACCCGCACAGCCAGCAGAAAGTGCAAGCCTGTCATCTGTGCGTATACTCTGAAATAAAGCCCATTCTTCATTTTCTGTGCTTCAGCTGCTTCTCGCGGACTTCCAAAAGCAGCACTCTATTTATGCCTGAAACCGCTCTCCTGTATAGAGGACACTCAACGAGAACTGAGCATGCACTAAACGAGCATCCGAATTAGGCACAGCATCCTAAACACCGGGCTCTGCCTATTAGCTGTACATTCTGCGGGGAAAAACAAAAGTCTAGCTCCATTCCGCAGTAAAAGAGCGCATTTGGGGCCGTTTGCAGGATTTCCGCTTTTCTGCTGAAAAAGCCCCTTCTCTAGCCAGAGCCATCTCCAGCACTTCGTGCAGGCCAAGCACAGCCCAATATGCAGCTTCCAATTCTGGCCAGAATAATGCAAATTGTCATAGCACAGAAAAGGCTATTGAAAAACAAATATGCGCAAAATTCTCCAGAACTCCCTGGGGAGCGCTGCAGCCCCAGCCACGCCTCTATTTATGCCAGGCGGGCGAAGGCCGTCTGTATACCGGCCCAAAATGCATAAACCCAAGAACAAACTGTAACAACGAATAAACAAACTGTATATTTACACTCACCAGATAGGAAGGCCATGCGGGTGCTTGGGGTGCGCTCTGTTGGCTCTTGCATTGTAGCAATACTTGATCATTATCTGTATCATCGCGTCTTGGTGGTACGGCTTTACAAGGACGTCGCTTGCGCCTGCCCCAATGACTGAGATGTACTCTTCCTGTACGAGGCCGTCTATTGTTAGGATCACCGGCGTAATTTCATCGTACTGTCTAAACGTGGAGAGAATCTTCTGTATGCTCGGAATTTGCGAGCTCAAAAACACAATGTCGTACTTTGTCTCGGACAGCTTGCGGAGTATCTCCTTCTCGGTTTCGATTGTCTCCGTGGTGCACCCTATCTTGCGAAGAATTGCTCCTGCGTAGGAGCTGCACGTGACGTTGTCCTCTGCGATGAGAACATTTATGGTCTCTTTGAAAAGGGTGTCTTTCTTGCTGAGGCTTCTCTTTAGGTCGCTCACTTCCTCTACCAGCACCTGAAAGTGCACGGTCAGCATTTTTAGCGTGCCGATTATCTGGGACTGTATTCTGTTCGAGCTTTCCAAATTGTCAGAGCTCATTTCCCTCGAGGTTTTGAACCTCTTGTCCGCATTGCTTTTCTTTCGCGCGATGTGCTTGAGCATATCTACGCGCCCCCTCTGGAAATAGTTGTGCTTGAACTCCCACACCTGCTGCCCAAACTGCTTTATGGTGTTCTCCGGGCTCTTTATCTTGTGGAAGTCGTACTTGTTCAGCTGCCTCACAAAGGAGCTTAAGTTTCCGTGCTTGAAGTGCTTGTTTAGCATGCACTTTCCAAACTCGGTTGGATTTATTATGATAAAGCTAAGTCCCAAGCCTGTCCATTGAATGTATGTTTGATTTTGAGCGTCTTCAAGCATGCTATACAGCTTATCTATAAACTCTGTGGACTGCTGCGCTGACTTCAGAACCTTCATTCTGCTTCTTTTTTGAAATAGACCCTTTAATATGCACAGGGTTTAATCATTCTTCTTTTGCGCTGAAAGTGTTTGTCCAAATTATGCAATAGGAATGCGCCCATTTGCACGTGGGAACGTGCAATAAGACCTGACTTATTTAAGAGCAGGAAAACAATATACAGCCACACGAAAGCACTTTGCAGGGCGGTGCCGCATAATAAAGCGCTTTCGTGGCAACATCGGCGCAACGTGCTTCGGCACTTTCTGATTTTGGGCTATTCGTGTCTTTCTGGCATGCACACAGCACACGGCCAGCCCTGGCCTCTGCAGGTGCCCCAACTGGCGCTGAATCGGGGGTTTCTGCCTGCCAGCACCCGAAAATCCACCAAATGCGCAATTTACTTACCCCGTGACCTTTTAATCAATAACACTTTAATATAATGTCACTCCAGAACCCTGTGACTGTTAGCATGCTGTCGAAGACGTGCATCTGATCGCCCCTACGTGCTTGGCATCCCCTGCACTCTAGGGAATGCATGGCTCAACCGCCAAGGTGTGCCAAAATCCAATCCTAGAGCGTGGCGTGCGAACATGCTGTTCCTCTGTGCAGGCACCCGCAAAGCGTGTCTTGGCAGCCTGCCATTTTCTGCGCGTATTTTCGCTGCTTCTGCGCTCTCTTTCTTATGCAGTCTAATTTTTGTTTTCATGGAAAGAGAGGGCAGCCACACGGAAGATATGCCAGAGGGCGAGTTTTCGCGTGCAGAGCCCGTGCCCAAAAGGCTCTGCACATTTGAAGCGTCCAGTGTAAATATAGCCCAAATAATCAGCGAGTATTTTCCAGCAGAGGCCCACGCGGCAGTGAAGGGCCTTCTTAAGGAGGTGCTCACCAAAAAGCTCTCTAGAAAGGAGATGCTGGCAAAAATGAAGCAACTCGGCATAGAAATATCGAGCTACAATTCGCTCATACTAAAGATAGTAGAAGTTGCTGTGCGGAGAAGCAAAAGCCAAAAACAGCGCGAAACCAGCCCCAGCGAAGAAAACACGCTCAGGATAAAGGGGGCCTTGAAGGAGCAGTTCCTTCTGGAAGTGAAGAGAGATATGGAAGATCCTCTGTACAACACCAAGTCGCAGCAGCAGTACTCCTTCTACAAAAGAACTCCCGAGGACCTTTCGAATGCGGTTAGCAGCAAGCCCCATCTTATAGCTCTGTTTTCAGCGAACTACAACGTGCTGTGCTGCAAGATAAAGAAAATACTAAGCATACGGGAGCTGCACAACAGGCTGAAGAAGGGCTCGTTTGAGTACAAGCTGAACGAGCAGGTCTCTGTGGAGGCTGCCAAGTGCGCGTACACCACGCTGATCCACTACATCAAAGAAATGATAGGGAAGTGTCTCGATGTAAATAACCGCGTGGACAGAGAAAAGCTTATCCGCACAATGTTTGGAAACGTGCGGGGCGTATACCTGCTCTACAACAACTATCCCCCCACGGAGTCACCCAGCGACAAGGCAGAGGCGCAGAGCGAGTGAAAAGGCAGAGAAATTACAGTGCATGCAGCTAGGGAGGGAGCGGTGGATTTTGATATGCACTCGCAAGCCGTTATTATAGGCCGGTGCTTTTTGGCTACAGAATAAAGCAAGTGCTTAGCAGATTTAGCTTAAAAGTGTTGTGTGTTCTTTTGGCCGGGCGTGTTTTCTCTGGTTTTCCGGCCTTGCCCAGGAGAAGACGGCCTAGACGCATGTCTGGCCCATTTCCGGCCCTTTCTAGAAAGTTTCCATTTGGGAGGCAGGCAGCGCCCAGGCCGGTGCGGGTTTATACTGCACGGTTTTTGAAAAGAATTTTATGGCACACCCTCAGACGCTAAACACGCTCGGGGAAGGCGAGAGGAAATTCTTCCAGGCCCTGGTAGACGAGAACGGCTTCTATGAGAAGGACCGTCATGTGGAAATAGAAGAAATACAGTCGTACGGGGATCTGACTATGAAAGCACAGAAAAACGGGACAGTTGCAATTGTGAGCGTGCGCGTAGACGCTGACGCCGAGTCCCAGACAGACTCGTTCAATATAAACCTGCGCGGGGAAAGTGCGCGTCCTGCAGTTTCTGTTACTGTTTTGGAGGACACGGGGGCTTTGCCAGAAATAGTGCAGGCGTGCATTTCGAGGGCAGAGCAGACACTTTCCGTTCCAAACGTGCGAGATCTCTTTGGAAAAAAGCAGGCTCTCTCTTACGACATATACAGAGGCGAAAAGATCCAGGCGAGGCCCAGGAGGGCGCTTGTGTACGGGGTTGTGGGGGATAAATTTTTCACCTCCCCAATACTGCAGGAGGCCGGGGCCTCTGATGCTTTGGTAACAGTTACGTCAGAAGGCGACAGCATTGTGTGCATAGACGTTGATGGCCCAGTTGCCCCGAATATGCTGAACAAAATCCTGCAGAGCCACATCCAGGGAGCTCTGTAGGGGCAAGGCAGCGGAAAACAGGAGGGCGCGCTGGGAGGCAGCATATGCATGCACACTGCCAGCGCTATCTGCAGGATGCTTTAGGAGTGCTCCCGACAACTCAAGCTCAAACCTGCTGTTCTCAGTGCTAGAGGCTGCTCTGTTTGTTCTTTCTTGGGAGGGAGTTCTTTGGTGGATGCTCCAGGGCTGTTTCTGCACTGTCTCAAATAAGCTAAGCCCGTCGGGAAGAAAGCTCGAACTTCCAGAGAGTGGGCGTGGTTCGCCCAGAAAAAGCTATAAACATTTTCTCTCTTTATTTCAGCGGACCCAATGCGCTCTGCGCGCCCTCTGCGCAGTCAGTCCATTTCGGCTGTGCTGACCTCTATGCTCACGGAAGAGTTGTTGCTGCTCATTACGTCAGCGTTTCTTTTGGACCTTTTCTTCGGGGATTTCCCCACGACCTTTCCAAAGTTCTTCTTTGACGGGCTCACTGCTTTCTTCATGTATATGTACAGAACCACGAAAGAGAGGGCAGAAATGCAGAGAGTCAGCAGAAGAACGTCGTAGATGCTCTTTTTATTTGTCTCTTCCATTTTTTGCACAAACAATGACGAATAAAGGCCTTGCATACGCCCTCCAGAAGCACATAAAGAGAGAGGTTTTGGAGAGTGCAGAATTTGCCGTTCTTATGGCCCGGGTGCAATTTCTGAGCGAGTACTCGCTTGTAAAGTACCTTTTAAGCCCCCTGTGTGCGCATGTAAAAACCGCTGTGAAAAGTGCCGTGGGGGTGGGAAGTGTCTCCATCCGCGCGCTGGATGCAGCTTCTGAGGGGGTTCTTGCAGGAGGCGAGTTTCTTATAGATGGAGCAGTCAATGCATCTTTTGGGCGAGCGGAGGATTTAGTGCACGGCCTTTTTCTGGGCTTGGGGAGATGCTTCTGGAGGGGACGGCCGTACGAGAGAGAGTTTTCGCCCAAAAAGAGCCTGGAAAAGCTGCGCCATGCTCTGGACTCCCGGGAGAGCGCGCAGGAGTTTGTGGTTTCTGCCTTGGAGGGCGCGCGATACGACGACCTTCTGCAGGAGTATGCCCCGTACACGTGGCAAACACTGCGGGAGGGATACTCGCGGGGTGTTCTTTTGGACGTGGAGGGAGTCTCCCAGGAGGGGGGCCGGGTGGAGTTCGACGCATATTTCTACGACGAGCCGAACGACGCCATACGGAAAAAGCACTCCGCATGGCAAATAAAAAGCACGGACGAAAAGGGCCAGAGGCCAACTATTTATAAGGCAGAAATAAGCGACGTGGAATGAGCACATGCGGAAATCCACCGAGGGCGCGCGTTTAGCATGAAAGGGCCCTCTATATTAAAGCATCACTTTTTTATTCTTCCAGGCTCCACAGGATGCCTGCTCTGTTGGCCATTGCCATTCTTGCGTGCTGTCTTAGAACAGGGCGCGTTTCTTCTATTGAGGCGGCGATTCTTTCACTGCACGGATGTCTTTTGAGGAGGTGCTTCAGCGTCCACATACGGATGAGCGGCTGGTCCAGCATGGGGACTTCCTGGAGCGCATTCAGGACTTTCTCCTGCATCTCCGCGTTCATTATATCGACCGTTTTCTCGATGTCGTCCCTTGTCATTTTCCCAAGCGCAGCGCATATTTTGTGCGGGTCGTTCTCCTCGAGCGCGGCCTCCATCTCCTCCACCACGGTGATCCTGTATATCTTTTTCTCACGGGCGATTTCATCTGTTTCTGCCTGGTTTTCTTCGCGGATTCTCTGCTCCTCCGGGGAGGTTCCAAACTCTCCCTCCAAAAACAAGGAGACTGCCCTCTCTCTGATGACGGCTAGATGGCAGTCGACCACGGCAATGCGCCTTTCCCCTGGGACGGCTCTTTCCTTTCCTGTTTTGTACTCGACTTTCTTGACCTTCTCGAAGGTCTCTTTCAGGTAGTATATGAGGCCGTATCCGGTTGAGACCACAAGCAGGTTTCCAAGCAGGCGCATCCCCGAGGGGTCCCCTGGGTTTAGGGTTTTCCTGCACTCTCCGTGCTGCAGCCCCCAGACCTTCACAAGCTTGTCCCCGCCCAAAGTGTACAAAACGCCCTTTTCCATGCACGCTTTCATGTCCACTGCCGGAACGGAGTGCCCGTAAAGCGAGAGAACTTTTGTGCCGTCGACCTTGTGCACCTTCACGGTGTTATCCGCCAACGAGGCAAAGATCAGCGCCCCATCCGGGGACATTCTCACGCAAAGCACTGCGTCCTCGTACTCTATCTCGTCCCTTTCGTGCGCCATGTAGTTCCCCTCCAGAAGCACAACGGTATTTCCTGCTCCAACGGCGATCACATTTTCCAGAACCTCTACGGAGGATATTGCCTCGCTGGAGACTTTTATTCTGTGGAGCTCGCCCCCGTCTGCCGTGCGCATGCAAAGAGTCCCGTCCTTCTTTCCTATGTATAGCGTGTCTTTGTGCACGGCTGCGCACGACATTCCCGTCTCTTCGAAAAGCACCTGCGATATATCGAGGGCCTGCAGCTTGTCCTTCCCCAGAACAGACGCAAACAGCTTTCCCTCGTTCTCCGACATTCCGACAATTCCCTGGGAGGTCTCAAGAAGCGCAATCAAGTTTTCTCTTCCCCCCTCAACCGTCGTCGAATGGTCGCTTCCCCGGTGCACGCCTATCCCATTATCCGCAAAGACAGTCACTGCCTTATCCCCGAACATCTGCAGGGATGCAAGCGGGCGCCTGTTTTTCATGACGCCCTTCTCCTGCAGGCCTTCCCCCGTGAGCTGCAGCCATCTGTACTTGTTCTTCGTGTCTCGCGTGAAAAGCCTGTCCCCGCACACGCTGACAAAAGACGCCCTGTGCTGCAGCTTCACCTCTTCTTTCGTCTCCACGTTCACAAGAGACTCCGGAAGCACGGCATACACGGACCCTGCGCCCTCCAAAAAGTCCAAAATGTTGTTCCCCGGAAGAGAAACCACCACCGCCTCGGCCACTCCGTTGAGGATTTCCTCTGTCGCGTACCTGTGGAATATTCCCTTGGGAGTCCCCACAAAAATTGCCTCCCCAAGAACTTTCACTGCGGAGATGCCCAGCTCCATCTCGACCGTGCACACGACAGACTCCGTCCGCGCGTCAATCACGGAAAAAGCCGACGCCGTGTATACGACGGCAATTTCTCTGTTTCCGGTCGCGCCAAGCACCCTCTTTATGTGCTCCCGAAACCCAAAGACCTCCTGGCCGCTTGCGTCTATGCAGCGAACAGTTCCGTTTGCATGCCCCACGAGAACCAGCGCCTCCTCCTCCGAGAAGCAGTGCACCGCCGTCACTGGGCTTCCTGCAGCGTAGCATATCCGTGTTTCCACGGACAGAGTGTCTATATTCCATATAAATATGTTTTCGTATGCGCTGGTGATTAGCCGGCGGCTGCCCATCCTGGCGGACACTGAAGCACTTTCTCCCACGCACGAGATACTTTGGGCGTATTCGTAGTCTGCTATGTACTCGTCCATATTCTGCTTAAAATTTTTCGGGTTATTTATTCGGGGGATTCCAGCGAGTGCAAAGACAAAACGCAGAGTCGCCTGTGTTTTGCAAAAAGATCGGCTCTTTGGCCTTAAACGTATCGGGTATGCCCATATCCGGCTGATCTTTTATGGATAAATTAAAAGCCAAGCAACCCAAAAACCACGGGAAATCTGGCGCATACACGCATATACACGTCCTCGGAAGCTTCCTGTGTGCGGCAGGCCAGAATAGCGCGGAACAGTGCGCTTCTGTGCTGCACCATTTCCTGCGTCTTCCGCCCAAGCCAAGAGTGCGAGTTCTGTTCAAACCGAATACTTTATTTTTATAGTGCCTCATACTGTGTCCATTGATTCGACCGGACCTTGTACAGGATCCTGTGCCCACACTGTGCGCATCTGACTGCATCCTTTGGTCCCAGCACTGCAATTTTGTTACACTCTGAGCACTGGTAGCTGCACTTATGCTCTTCTTCGTTCATGAAAAATGCAAAACCGCAAATTCTTTATAGGCGAGACCCCGCATTTCCCGGGGAGCTGTCTGTGTCATATCCGTTGTGGTAGTACCCAGAGGGATATGTGCTTCCTCTGGGGGTTCTGTCGTATCCGTACGAGTCCGAGCTCTTATAGTACCCAGACGTGTCGGGAGGATACCTCTCCGCAGTGTCGTAGATTCTGTGCACTTCGTTCATGTACGGCGTATTCAAGTACTGCTGGATCAGGTTCTCGTGCTGCTTTATGATTGGCTGTAATTTTGGTGTGGCAAATGTATATACATGTCCCGTCTCTGAAGCAACCACGAGGAGAATCTCGCACTTTGTCAGCACATTAAGCTCGTAGGCCTTCTTCATGATGCCCTTCTTTCTCTTGCTGAAGGTGACACCCCGCCGGCCCTTGTCCTTAATAAACTCCATTTTGATCTTTTTTCTTCCCTTGCTCGCGCGAGACCCTTCGTCGTCGCTTTCCAGGGACTCGTCCATGTCGTCTCTCCTGAAGAAGCGCAGGCTGGACATGGGAGCCCCGCCCGGGCCCTGGTGCAAGGGCGACGTGATGCTTTCAATAGGAGACCCTGAAACCCTGGGGGAAGTGTGGCCCCCCAGAGGAGTGTGCGGCGAGTGGAAGCCGACTATTTTTTCTCTTTCCATCTCCTGGCCAAGCGACAGAAGAGACCCCCCGGAGACACTATTGCTCCTGAATTGCCTCCCTGTGAATGGCTGGGCGTACATTCTGCCTCCCTCTCGCGTGGTGTTTTCCTTGAGCATGTGCGGAGACTGCGAGGTGCGCGGAGACATGTCTGCAGAGGACGGCCTGTCGTATTGCAGGCCCTGGTAGTCCTCGCTTCGAGAGTACCTATAGTCTTTTCCTGGGGTGTATGTGTACTCTTCAGAGGGCCTTTCCTCGTACTCAGACTTTTCCTGATATCCTCTGAAAGGCTGAGGGCTGGTGTGGTGTTTTTCGTCCATTGCACTGTGAAAGGCTTTGTGCCTATGCCGTTCACTTCTCTCATAAGATCGGTCCAGTCTGGGCGAGCTATCGTCTCTTGAATCCCTCGATTCTGCCATGTACAGGGGTTCATAAAATTAGTAAATATATTTTTCTAAAACAGGAAAGTGACTGTGAATTTAATTTTCAAAATTACAAATAATATTTTCTTTATGATTTTCATGCACATCAAGGAAATATGGCCAGAGCCTCCCATGGCGAGGAAAAATGCAGATCCTCCCAAAATACCAAAAAACATCGAGGCTTTCCAAAGGACATTTTCGAATATTTCTCCCGAGAAAACCACAAGAACTCTGAGTGAGATTTTATCAGAGATCTCGAGCGTGTTTGTTGCGTCTGTCTGCTCCTCCACCTGCCCCAAGAAAAGCAGAGACATAAATGCCGAAGTTGAAAAAATAGGAAAATTGTACGAGGAAGTAAATGCGATTATAGGCAGCCTGCGGGAGATAGAAGGCAGAGAAAGGCTTGTGGAGCTGGTTAAAAGGCAAATATCCAAAAAGAAAAACCTAATTCGAAAATTAAATTTAAAAGAGGCCAGGAAAAGCGACCGCCTCTTCGAGGGCTGGGAAAGCCAAAAATAAAAGTGCACAGGGGAATTTGTGCAAGGGAGCCCGGAAATTTTTGTGCTCGATAAATAGTGCGGGAACTTCTCGTGGACAGGCGCAGATGATGCCGGGCTTATATTTGATTTTTCGCGTGTAAAGTCGCGGCGAAGGGAAAGCAGGGACTGGGGGAGGTTTTGGGCGGAGATGCAGGAGAATGCAGTTTTAGAGCGTGGGGTGCTGTGCTGCGCCTGGCGAGACTATTTTGTGGGGAATTCGCAGTGCTCGGGTGGCAGGAGCTCTCGCCGTGGGAGGAGCCAAAAGGTGCTTTCAGCGATGGGCTGCCCAGGGAAGGGCGCCTGTGGGGGGAATTCCTGAGGATTTCCTGTGGGGATGCTTCTTGGCGGAGGCGAAGCCCCTGCTGTAAATAAAGGGCATGCACTTTCATTAAACATTTTGAATATATCTATTTTTTATTTACATGCAAATGAAACACGCACCAGTCGGGCCGGAGGAAAGAAAGTCTATTTTGAAGAAAATGTATCACGCTTTGAGGCAGTCTCCCATGTTTACACACTATTCGGTGGAACACATACGAGACTCTGCCATAAAATCAGAGCAGCTGACTTTCGATCGATCATTTACAAAGCAAGAGTACATGCAGGCCATGAACGTGAAACTCGCCAAGATAGAGAAGAGCTACGTAATGAACTCCGAGGAGATCATCCGCGAGATGGGGAACAGGCCGCAAATTAAGTCGGACTTAGCCCCTGCAGGCAGGCCCATGGGCACGTACAGGGACCAAATGGACCCGTACAAAATCGACGGGGAGTACTCTATGCACCCCAAGAAGGCAGAGCAGGAGTTTGTCTCGCTAACAAACAGCCCGCACGGGAGAGGGATAAATTTTTCGTTTGTTCCCGACGAGGGCCATGCCTCCCGCATTCGCTCAGTAGCCCCGGGAAACCACATGGGGATGGGCGGCCCAAACATCACAATGGGCGGTATGGGCGTTCCCCTGGGGATGGGCTCACAGAAGATGCCCTCCCACCCGCAAAGGCACGGAATGCCTGTGGGGGGCGGAGGCAGCGGAATGAACGGGTCTGAAATGTATGGAATGCCATCTGGCCACATCCACGGCGGCCACCCTCTTTCAGGCATGAACCCTGGGATGGGGGGCATGCACTCGATGCCGCTTGGGAGCGGATACGGGCCTGGGAAGACCCCACAGAAGCCTAGCAAAGCGGGGATGTACGGGCACTTAAACATAAACAGCCCAGAAGGCGCCATGGGAGGACACATGAACGTGAGTATGAGCATGAGTGGGGCTGGAGGCCTGGGAAGAGTGCAAGGCAGCGGGATGCCAAACATCATTAAACTGGACCGAATGCCAGAGATGGGAAGCGCCCAAGGGCCTCGGGGGGCTCGAAACGACGTGCATCCAATCGACATAAAGGAGATAAATCTGCCCAGAGAGCCTGTCGGGGTAATGCCGAAAGGGCCTGCGCCGGGAATGGACTCCCCGGAGGGGTTTGTTCCAATGCGCGGGTTTGGGGCGAGCGAGGCCGGAGGCTTTTCTCGGCTGACGATGAACGAGCATCTTGGGGAAATCCCCGGGCTGAACTTGACAGGGGGACTGCACAGGACAGGAGCTGCTGGCAGCACAAACACAGCAACAAAGCTGAACAACAGCAACAGAATGTATCCGTCTGAACGGTCTTCAAAGAGCGGAATGGCAGGCCCGCTGTCCATGCACGAGGCAGCGGCAAGCGATGCCCGGCCCGTGGATCTTCCCAGGGCGCGCCCAAAGATCGACAAAATCGAGTCGCCGCTGCACGTCTCTCCGCAGGAGTCCTCCCCGAAGAGTGTCCGCAGCGCCGAGAAAAAAAACGCCGGAGTACAGAACGAGGTGGACGAAATCCTGAAAGAAATCCAGAAAATGGGCGATGTTCTGAACGCGCACGAGGGAATGTTTCCGCGGTGGGAGGCGCAGCGAAAACCCTTCTATGATCTGGAGAAAGTGCTTTTGGTAAAGATCAAGACGCCAGAAAGCGAAATGGAGAGCGCCCGAGGAATATTCCAGCAGATGAAGAAGCACATCATCACGCTGACCATGGAAATAAAGGAGGGCAGGTCGCTGACCTTCAAGAAAAGGCTGGCGCGAATATCTGGGGCTTTCATGCAGAAGCAGAAAATGCAGCCAGAATACCAGTTTACGCTAACAGAAGAGCTGCTTCTGGAATACAACTAGCCTGCGGCACACACTGTTTGTGTGTCCTGTACTAATAAACGACGCTTCTGAGAATTTTCTTCGGGTTATTGCGGCATGCCAAGCGCAAAGACGCTGTGTGTTTTGGGCTTTTGCTTGGAGGTTTTGGCCTGATAAAGTAGCGATCGCTAAAGGCCAAAGAGGCTTGAATTCGGGTTAAACTGCACGCGAAACCTCCCAGGGAGCCTGGGTATGCATAAAGTCCTCCGCCTGTTGTTTAACAGCCTTAAGTGGGCTGTGTGTTAAAAATTGGCTAATCGCTCTTTAGATGAAAGCATATGTTTTTTCTGTGTTTTCAAGGGCTCTTCCTTAAAATTCGCGCATTCGCACACATGCTTTATGCGGAAGAGCCAAAAAGAAAAGGCTTTTTTTAGTAAAAATCGGAGACTTTTCTTTGGTATAGCTAAAGCAAGGCAAAAACAGGGCGCTGGCGTGGGGTGGGCTTCAAGGCAAAAAAGAAGGCCATTCAGCCGCACTTGCAGAGTTCGGGCAGGCTCAACGCACACGCTTTATGGGCTTGTTTGGCTCTATGTTATAATATGCCGCAAGAAAACAAAGGCACATATTCGCACGCTCTGCAAGTAAGTTGAAGCTGGTTTATTTACTAGCAAACTTTCCGGTACTATGCTCGCACTTGCGGGCTTCCAAATAGGCCGGACTAATCGCCCAGAGCAGACTCGTACACATTCGTGTCATCTTTTTCATTAGGGCCCTCTTCAATAAATATCTCCTGCTGCTTGTCAGCATCATCTTCAAAGTCGCCGTCGATGCCCAGGCTTTCAATGTAGAAAATGTCGTCTTCCTCCTCCAACGTGCTTTCCAAAGTGTATTTTAGACTCTTTTCCAGAATGCTTAAATATCGGTACTCGGCTGCGAAGTAGTCTGTTCGGCCCATGCAGTTGTTTATCTTGTTTATCTTGCGCTGAACCAGCCCCATTTGGCGCTTTCCCTTGACAAAAAGGCTTTCCAGGAGGTCTTTTATCTCAATAACTGCATCTTTAATATGCCGGTCCATCTGGGCGGTTGCCCTTTGAGCGCGGCTCGTGGAATTTTCCAAGCTAGAATCGAGCGTAGCATCCATGTCGTCTGGAGGGGCAAAACCAAATTTGCCCAGTTCGCTTATAGGAGTAGCTTCAGCGCGGAGGTCGGACAGCAGGTTGGACTCATATGCCTCCTCCAGGATTTTTATGTTTTCCAACGCCGCCTTGAGAATTTGTATGGTTTGTACGCTGGCGTTTCTGATTAGACCGCATCTTTTTGCGTCCATTACCCCGCTGCACATGTATGTGTTTAGCGCTCTGGATTCTTCGTTTTTGTCGAAAAACGAAACTATGGAGTTCTTGTACTTTTCGTGCATGTACAAAAGAATTGTGCGCAGCTGCGCCTTTGCAACGATGCTTACGCTATCTGACACGGGCAGGCGCATGAGATTTGTTGCTGTTTCAAAGAAAGCGTTTGAAAACATGTCGATGGACTTTTCGCGAATGTAGCTGTAGGACTGCTCTTCCTCCGACAGCTCGGTGTCTTTTTTCGTGTGGGAGATCACGTGCTGCATCGTGTGCATGAGGAAGTACAGAAACTCTTCAATCTGCTGCCCCTCCGCGTCCCTGGATATAAGCAGCTGCGCGCACTTGCTTGGCTCTTTCATGCTCTGGCTGAGGTCTTCGCTGACAATGTCTGTGAACATGCCGGTTATAAGCCTTTTCTTGATGTAGAGGAATGTCAAGTCTTCAAGCTCCTTCTGGGTGTAGTTGAAGTCCTTGGAGGTTGGAACAGGCATGTGCTGCGTGCTGGGGTTGCTGATGTGCCCCTTCTGGTCGACCCGAGGCATGATTGCTTCCTTGTACTCCTTGCACGAGTCGATGCTTTTTATGTTTGCAAGTGCTTCCTGAATCTTAGTGCTGCACGGGTCTTGGTACAGGTATATCTTCTTGATGGGATGGAGTATGCCGTGGGAAGGAGGGCGCACTTTCTCGCCCAGGCCTCGAGAAATCCGCCCAGAAAACCCATGCTGTGCATTTAGCGTGCCAAGGTTGATGTGCAGAACAGACGGCGGAACCCACGCCTGAATTGCATGGTCCTCCGGCACAGTGTGTTCGAATATGTTGGTGTACAGCTTAATTAGGTCAAAGGCTGCTTTTTCATTCTTTTTTCGAATGGCTTCTTCCTCTGTGTACATTTCATTTTCAAGCTCCTGCTTCAGAAAGTCAAAAGTGTGCACAAGCTGGGCGTACTCCGCCTTTTTCCGCTTTATTCCAAACAGCAAGGTGTCCTCGGCCATGTTTAAGAACGTGTCTATCGAAGTCTTTGCCTCACTGTTTGTTTCATACACCTCTGCGGCGGCATACAGCTTTTTCGCTATAGAGTCCATGAGGTGCATGGATATGGCCAGCATGTTCTCCTGCACGGGTATAATGCAGTTGTTCAAGAGGGCGCTCAACACTGAAAAAATGTCTTTTTTCGGGTTGAGGACATATTTATAAAGATTCATGTTCTTTAGCCAGTTGGTCACGTCCTGCAGAGTAAGCATGTTTGTGTAGTACTCAAAGGGAATGTTCACCTCGGCAATGTTCAGAAGCTCCTTCAGCTCGCTTTCTATGTGCGAAGTGCTTATGGATATGGATACAGGCACAATCTTAAGAACCCAGTTCAAAATGGAAAGCTCCTGGTGCACAAGGTCTGGCTGGTCCGTGCAGTTTTTCAGCACTTTCACACTCAATGTTTTGCGTTTAGAGTTGCTTTCCTTGAAATTCGCCAAAAACGTGTCTAGCTGCTTGAAGTCTTGCAGCTCCAGCGTTTTCTCCAGCGCCTTTTTGAAGTAGAAGAACGACTGGTGCCGGATGTGCATGCCGCACTTGAAGGACGATATCGCCTGCGTTATGATCCCGTTCAAAACTGTTTTTTTGAGCATGACCGTCTTTAAAACAGGATTTCGCACGGTCTGCAGCGAGTTGTATGTGTTTTGGAAGGTTCTTTGCTGCATCAAAACCAGCTCGGTTTTCAGGCTGAGGTGGATGTTCAGAAGCGCTATGTATTTTTTCCTGTCTATGGAGCCCTTGCTGCTGCTTGCTGCAGCACTTCCGTTTTTGCTTTCCTGGAAAAGAGGGGGCGACAACGTAAAAACTGGAAACTCCTCGGCCTTCGGATTTTTTTCTGCGTAGAAGGACAGGTAGAACACCATTTGGTCTGCATACGCAGGAAGACCCCCAGCGAAAAACTGCTCTGGGTGGTATCCTGCTGCAGCTGGCAGATTCTTGCAGTAGTTGTGCAGAGAGTACTTGTTTTCAAAGAACTCGGGGTATTTCACAGCTCCTCCAATGTCCAAGGGCACATGGAAGCTTTTGTTCATCACAAACTGCGTCTCGCCCAGAAGTGCCGCAGCCTTCAAGTGCTGCAGCGGGGTCCGAATCCTTTCCAGGCTGTTCAGCGAATTAAAAATCGGGCTATCCAGGTTCGAGTATATCTTCGAGAAGAGCGGGCAAGAACTTTTGTCGTAGTCTTTTTGGATCTCTGAAAGAGAGCCCTTGAAGCAAATGCCACTGTTGCTGCACATGGACAGGTCCAAAAACTGGTTTGCGTCCGCCACGTAGGAAACACCCTGCAAGGCGTTTAAAATGGGCCACATCGTGACCTTCCTGTTTTTGTAGAAGTGATAGTGCGCCTCCACGTACTCCAGAATCTTCGCCCACAATCTGGGCATTTCGCTTTTGGCGACTACTTTCATCATGTCGTTGATGGACTGCATTGCGGTCACACTCACCAGCCCGTTTTCCTGAACCTTGGCAAATATCGAGACCATTTCCCCGCTCGGGTTTACCAGGTTGTCTCTGTACACGTTGTAGTAAATAACCTGCATGGTGCTGGAGAGGTGGTCCTTCTCCGAGATCCCCTGGACAAAGTATATCCGGGGCATTTCCCTTGAGAAGTCTTTCAAAACAAGCGTGGTCTCTGGATTAAACGTAAAGGTCGTCTTTATAACGAGCACGTTATACTTTATGCTGTGCCTGTGCACGTACGGCATTCCCACGTGGGAAGCAACCGACTCAAGATGCAAAAACTCCCCGTCTCCGCTGAGTTTGGCTTCCACCGGCTTCTCAGCGTCCAGATCGTCCAACCTCTTCATAAAAAGCAGCTTGCTTTTTTTCGTTTTCAAAACCGTACTTGTCTTCTGGCGGCCGACCAGGTTGTACAGAGGGCTGGACTCAGTTGTTTCCATCCCAAATAAAAAGCTCAGAGGAAACACGTGTTTGCTGTTTTCTTTGGACTGCACATGGAGAAGATACTTTTTTTCCAAGCTGTAAACATTTACCTGGTTTTCCTCGCCCTCCAAAACAATGTCCGGCACGTTCGAGCCTTTGAAAACCACCGCCCGGTCTATTCTGTGCGTGTATATCTCTGTAGGATAGTCCGCATTGTAGATCAGCGTTTCATTCAGCTGGGCTGGGTTGCCTTCTATCATCAACTCATAGGGAATCTGATTTCGCCTCTTCTCGAACATCATCTTGAACTCTGCATACCACAGGCTTCCTTCAATTTTCATGTTTTTGCTTGCTTCTTTGGCCACAATATCTGAGCTTGGCAGCCAAGTTTTTGCCGCAAAGCCGTAGCCGTAAAAAGGCTCCCGGGACCCCACAAGAACTAAAATTGCAGAAAAAACACAAAAGAGCACCGTCCATAGCCGAAAGTTCATTTCAGCAAGTTTCTTTGCGCTATATAAAGCCTAAATATGATCTTGATTCTGCTGATCCAAAGCTTGAAACTTGCACAGGCGGAAAACTCCCCAAAGCAAAAACGCGGACTTTCTGCCTGCGCAGCAGAAAAAAGGCCGAAAGCCGAGCAGCTGCACGCCCAAAAGAAGCCCGCACGGCACTCTGCACTGTCTGGGCAAGCACAGACGCCCATGGGAATATATTAAATGTAACCCGGTTAGCTCAGTCGGTAGAGCATCAGACTCTTAATCTGAGGGCCGCGGGTTCGAGTCCCGTACTGGGTGTTTTTTGCTCTTTTTCTGCCGCATGCAGGGCGGTGGGCTGCGGTTTGCAGTGGGAGGCTTTGTTTCGTGGGCCCGGCCTTCTGGATGCTGCTATTTCTCAATATTCTCGATGTGGCACGCGACTTGCTAGTGGCTTGCGCAGAGACCTATGGAATGAATTTTATAATTGAAGAAGCAGAAATTTGGTTCTGCGCATATAAACACGCGAAACAGCTGTGTGCGTAGGAAATTATTCAATAGATCGAACTAGTTCACATAAACACGCCGAAAAAATAAAGGACAATTCTGCGCATGCCTGGTTAAATAAAGGGGTTTGGGTTGTGCTGTCTGCCTTTTGCGCATGTGCCCGGAGAATCTGCGGGAACTTTCCTGCAGCACTGCGAAGCTTCTGCTTTGGGGTTCGCAGCTGCGCTTGGACTCGGCCTCGGAGAGCACAGGCCTGCAAAGCCCCGCGTGTGCTTCAACTCTATCCTTTGCTCTCTCCAGACACTCTTAATGCGGCTGGCTTTTTGCATATAAAATTTGCACTTTTTGCAGCCCCAGGTGGAGATGGAAAAAGATGCAAGATCAATCTCGAAAAAAAGAAAACCAGTTGATATTTCGGTAGAAAATCTGCATTGGATTTGCAGAAGCAGTTTGCTTAAGCAAAACTATGGGCGTATGGATGAAGCGCATATCATTAACTTTCTCCAGTGCATAGCAAAAATGACGAATGTGGAGACGGAGTTTGAAAAACATTGGGGAAAATCGTGCGGAGTTCATTTTGGCGACGTTCTTTGGATTTTTCTCGTGGCAACTGGGGAAAAAGTGCTTTTTAGAGAGATATACAGGCTGCAAGGCCTTGATGAGACAGCAGACCAAGAGTTGTTTGACGACATTGTATATGGAATACACCACGAGCTGCAGTACTTGTATGGGATGCTGGCAAGCAATGCGATCAACTGGGGATCCATGATGTGCGCAGAGGGGCTGGGGGACTCAGCATATTTAAAGGGCATGACAAGAACGCTTCTGCGGGCCTTCTACATGAACAATGAGATCGTGCAAGACGCGCTTATGTGCCGACTTGAGGGTGTCATAGGGATTCTGAGAAACACCATTGGAACCCGCGAGATTCCAAGGCTTCCCGGCATGTGGATGCTGTACACGTGCAAAACCAGAGATGGCATGCGGTACATCGACAGGGGGATTGAGCTGCTGGCCCACCAGAAAGAGCTGGAGCTTCTGCTGGAAATGCCCCCAGAGAAGCTTGTGCAGATTATTCTCTCAACGTGCGACTCCATGAAGGTGCAGCGAACAGATCTAAAAATACTGATGGGCATGTATGTAAGCTGGCGCCAGATAATTGCCGCCGAAGGGAAGTTTTGGGGGGCGCTCAATGTGCAGCAGCTGGAAAAGATTTTCCCTCTGCTGGCGCCCAACCGTGCGTTTAGGCCCGAAAAGCTGCTAAGGCTGAAAGAAAAAGCCAAAGAGAAAGGTGCGATTGGCTGCTTTCTGATGGAGGAAGATGCACTGGACCTAATGAAGAACGTGCACGAACCCGTCATATATGAGGTGAAAACCGTACTTTCTGTGAGAATTGCCAAGATCATGCACGAGCTAAAAATAATATGCGAAGACCCGAGCACGCAGTCCACCAGAAAGTTCTTGGCGGAGCTTGAGAGAAGAGAGCCGCCGGTTTTGCAATTTACAAGCATTTTTGCGCTGATCAAAAGCATTTTTGTGTGCACACTCTATCGGGTGCGAATGGCAAAGAAGACCATAAGACGGTGGTCAAAGATGCGCATTCAAGCAACCAAAAAAATAGCAAGCCAGGTCCAGCAGGCAGTCTACAACTTCTTTTTCATGGCCAGGTTTTTGCAAAAATCTCGAAATACATACCGCTCGTCAGTCGACCTTGCCAAGAGCGTGGCTGGCGAACATGCAGAAAGCATGGCTGTCAAGAGCGCAGCAATGTATGGCTCTATGGCGTGGGAGGCATTTGAAACCACCGACACGCATAAAAGAATCTCCCAAATGCCTATAAATATCCTGTCCGGGGTTAAGAAGCCGGTGGTTTCCACGGTAAACAACTATGTGCTGCCTGTACTGTCAGCGGCGGAGTCGGTGCTTTCGCAGATTGGTGCAGCCATACCCATGTAACTGCAAAGAAGGGCAGGAGCCTGCTTAGAAACGAATAGCCAGAAAAAAAAGGCAGGCCGTGTCCAGGCCGCTTTCTTTTCATATAATGTTATACGGTGCTAGCGTGCCCGAACTAGAGAAATGGGTAAAGCTTTGGAATAGTTTCTATCCAGCATTACCAAAAACAAAACATGCGGTTCATTTTTCGTGCTTTCAACCCCAGGCTGTTTAGTTCTGCAGGCGCAGCCTAGGGATACTGGCCATTCGGTGCATTTTTCTAGACTTTGTAGGCGCTGGCTTCTGCTTATTTCACTGAATAATAACACAGAGCACACTTTTAGAGCACCTGCGTGCAGGATGTGCCGAGTCTTCTCAAGAAGCCATACCCTGCCGCACACTCTGTAAAAATGCAGGTTTTATGCCCAGCATGCATTTTCATTTGCACTCGCATGTGCAGAGAGCGCAAATAAAAGCTTATTTTTACACTTTGTTTTTGTATGCATTTTACTTTGGAGAAATAAAAGCATAGGCCCACTAGATTCTTGCATCAGCTTGATTTTTACCAGGCAGCGCGCAAAAACACATCCACAAGAGCCTCCAGTGCCCAATTGAAGCGCTGTTTGGAGGGGCCTGGGCAGCAGTGTCTGTAAATGCGCAGATTTCCTATACAGACACTCTTGCGCGCGTCTAGAGGTTTTTATTCCATCTCTTTAAAGTACATGGGAATTATCCTCACAGCTTGCACAGGCGTGTGCGCACAATGCATTGCTGCCAGGCTTTTCAGGAACCAAGCCAAAGAGGCGCTGCAGGGATGCTCCAGTCCAAGCCAAAGCTGAAATTCAGCCGAAACCCTAGGAAAATGACTCGAGTTTTTTGCGCAGAAATGCACAAGCAGCTCTGGAAAAGTGCAGGATGGAAAATTATAAATGCAACAGCTGCACAGCTAGCTGCATTGGGAAAGGCAGACCAGGCCAGCCCAGAGGATTGTGCAAACATTAGAGGCGCCCAGCCCGCCGCATGCAGCATAAAATTGGCACTTCAAAAAGAGTGCGGCACAAATTTGTGCTTTTCCATAAGCCTCAAGCACTTTATCTTTGCAAAGAAGCATGCCTGGGCAGCCGTGCACAGACAAGGTGCCTACTCGCTGGGCAGAAAACCCTCGGAAAATATGTGCGGCAGCATGCCGCTCTGCAAGGAAGAAGCGAGCAGGAGGAGCAGGCCAGAACATGCTGGACGGCGCTGGGCTTAGAAAGGGCAGGCGCGGAGGCGGGTGCGAGGGCGTGGATTTATAGTGAATTTTCTTTTCTATTTTTAAATGAAGAGAGAAAGGGAGGAAGACAGTGAAGATGAAGTCTTTGAAAGAAGAAGAAAAGTGCACAAGCAGGAAAAAGACGTAAAAGACGAAATAGAGGATCTTTTCGAAGAGAACTCAACAGAGCATAGTGTTGAGGAAAAAAGCGAAGAAATCAACTCGTGGGGGATAACAGGCGGAGTGGCTGCGGGCGTGCTTTCAAAGATCTTTGGAGACGGAACAGACTATCTGCAAACGCTTGAGTACTACTCCAGGCAAAATGTGCCGGAAGAGGCGGCGCAGGAGGACCCGAAAGACGCCGGCGAAGACGCGAAGGGCGTTGATCAGGAGGATCTGGTTGAAAGAGTCTCGGAATTTCTTCAGGAAACTGTTTCTTCTATCCCCAGAAAAAGCATTGAAAAGATAGTCGCTGGCTTCGCTGGCGGAAGAAGCCTGGACGAGGTTGTGATGGAGTCTTTCTACTGCCTGAACAGCCCGCAAAGCCACCTGGCGGTCCTCCAGGCGCGGGGCCTTGTTTGCTCGTACAAAGAAAGAAAGAAGATAGTTTCCCACCTCCCCAGCACGGCTGACGAAAACATAAAGGCAGTTGCAGCGTGCGCACACACGCTGAACACGCTCGAAGAATGCACGCGGCTTCTGCAGTATGTCTATGGGCTGCAGTCGAAAACATGCACAGACGAGGACAGAAAGGTCGCTGTAAAGGCAACGCACAGGATGGTGTATGGCGCAGGAGAGAGCCCGGATGCTGCAGGCACAGAGGGCAGCTCTGGGAAGCTGAATGGGCTTTTGTACAACCCGTGGATATTCCGAATGGCCATAGAGATTGGCATGGAGATATCTGAAATTGAAATTGTTGGAGGCGCCTCCGTGAAACTGCTGGCCCGAATGGTGTCGGGCGCAGACATGTACTTGCTGCAAAACCTCAGGGCCAGAGGGGGCTCGTACCGGCTGATCATAAACAAAGAAGAAACAGTCAAAAGAATCGTGGAGAAGCTGAGGGGCGTGTGCAGCGAGGGGGCGCTGAAGGAGGCGGTTTTCCAGTTTGTTGAAAAGCTGGCAGAGGACATTTGCCAGGGAGTGGAGAAAGAGCTGGCGCTTTTTTCAGAAGAGCACGTGAAAATGGAGCTTCTGGGAAAGGCCTTGAGCATTCTGGACATGCTGCCGGGAAAGGAGCCGGTGCTTGGCCTGTGGGCGGACCGGGGAAAGTTTCGGTACGCAAAAGTCGACAGCCGAGAAGCAGTGCTTGCAAGCGGGGTGGTGCAGGGAAGAGACGCTCTAAACTTGGATGAGCACAGAGGCATAGTTGCGGTTTCCGGGAAGGGGTACAAGCTCAAGCAGCTTGCCAGGACAGAAAACAAAGCTTACATTGCAGAAGGCGTTTTGAGGGCCATGGGCGAGCCAAAGGACTTTCCAGTGCTTCTGTGCAAAGCGGTGAGAAACCCGCTGAGCGCAATAGAAGGCCTTATGGGGTGCGAGAAGGAGATGCCAGCCATAGTTCCGATGCAGAGAATGCTGAAGAAAAACGCTGCAGTGGAGGTGCTGGAGTACGCTGCTGCATACAAAAAAGCAGAGGCAAGTGTGTGCGCCTCGCCCGAGTATGCGCAGATGAAGAAGGAGGTCTACGAGTTTGTGAAAAGCGGAGGAGACCCTGAGATTGTTCTGGTAGACAGCTGCGCTTCCTGCGAGGAGGTCCGCAGAGCGGTTAAAGAGACGGTTGTTCCGCACACAGGATGGAACAGGCCCATAAACGAGCCCGTGATCGAAAACAAAGTATACCGGAAGGCGTACACGCAGTGTGTGGGCCGGCTGGAGGGCATTTCAGAGGTTTCTTCGGGGAAGGGTCTGGGGAAGGACGAAGAGTTTATGTTGTACAACGGCATATCCGAAGAAGAGTTTCTGTGCATGCAGACTTCGTGGAGCCTTTCTTCAGGAGCAAAGATAAGCATGCCGGGGAAGGTGCTGGGCGGAACCATAGTAAAGGCCGGGCAGGAGACGCAGATAAGGCTGAGCAACGGGGTGTTTGCAGTGCTGGGGGAGGTCGCGAGAGAGGGCCTGGTCAACGGGCAGGAGCTGCAGGTGCGCGTGTGCGGGCTGGACATGCTGAACTACAGAGCTGTTGTGAAGGAAGAGAAGAAGGGCGGCGAGAATTTGCTTAGGGCGGCGTCGCACTGGCGAGTGAAGAGCGTTTCGGCAAAGATGGCCTGCAGGCTTCTGAAAGACAAGAAGTTTGGGTCTTATGTGCTGCGCGTGTCTTCGTCCCACCCAGACTCGCTGATTCTCACAATAAGAATCACAGAAAACCCAGACAAGTTCTTCTGCGTGCACACCCGAATAAAGGAAATCCGGAACGGATACGAGCTGGAGGGACGCGTCTTTAGCGACATAGAGAGCATCACAGAAACATATATACCAAACTATCTGAAAACCGTCCGGCGGATTATGGAGCACAGAAAGTTCACCACCGAGCCCGTGGAGGCGATAAAGCAGAGGCTCGCGCAGGGAAAGAAAAAGGAGCTCTCGGAAAGATGTGCGCTTTCCGTGTGCAAGACAACGCCCGGATGCGCCTTGTTTGTGTGCATGATGCCTGGAGAGGAGGCGCAGGAAGTTCTGCTTCCCATCACGGAGCGCGGCCTGTACTTTGACAGAAAAGTGTACGCCAAGCCAGAGGATTTCATCAGCGCATTCGAGAAGAGGAGGCTGCAGGAGTAGAAAGCGGGTAAATAAATTGTATGAGAAAACAAAAGGAGTTTGCGAAAGAGAAGCCAGCGCTGAGAAAAGAGAAAAAACGCTATGGCACTCGGCTCCGGGCTTTCGTTGATTTTTGATTCGCGATTGGCGGAGGCCTGCTGGAAGCAGGGCACATGGAAGCCGTGTCGCTGCAGCTCTTTTTTCTTCGGCAATGCACGCCATAGCGAAGTGTCCAGGGCTGGGCAGAGGAGTTTACGCTTAATATTTGCCTGGTGCTATTTGGAAAGCAAGAAAAGCAAGCACTGGATTTTAAATTTCTTTTCTTTCTAAAAAATATGAATACTTGCGACATAAGGCAGGGCTCTGGGAGCAGCGCAGGCGAAAAAAAGAAGCTGTCGTATAACATATTTACGGAGAAAGTTTTGACAGAAAAGGGGCTGAATCGGCACCACATAGGGTCTTTTAACCACTTTGTGGAAAAAGAAATAAAAACGGTTATGCAGACAAACAGCTTCATAGACTCCGACGTAGACCCGTCGTTCTACATGAAGTACACGGATATTCGCGTGGAGCCGCCCTCAATAGAAGAAAACATGGTAAAGAGGTATGTCACGCCCGAGGAGTGCCGAATAAGAAACCTAACGTATGCAGGAGACATAGTTGTGGATGTAGAGTACACGCGGGGCAAGGATGTGGTTTCCTCGAGGAACATAATAGTGGGAAAGATGCCTATTATGCTGGGGAGCAGTCTGTCGCTTCGGCAGAAAGAGTATCAGGAAAACACGCTGCACACGGAGTCTGGCAGCGTGCAGAGCATCGTGAACCCACGGTACTCCCGGCCGAAAAACGAGTGCCCGTACGACATTGGCGGGTACTTCATATGCAAGGGGATGGAGCGGGTTCTTCTAATGCAGGAGCAGCTGGCCAAGAACAGGATACTGATAGAGACAGACTTCAGAGGGGACCTGTGCGCAGTGGTGACCAGCTCGTCGCTGGAGAGAAAGAGTAAAACCAAGGTTGTGCTGAAAAAAAAGCTTCTGTACATGGCGCACAACTCGCTGACCGAGGACATCCCGCTGAACATAGTGATGAAGGGAATGGGGGTCACCACGGACCTGGAGATTGAGATGCTGATAGGCCAGCCCGTGGTAAGCGTTGCCCACATAAGGACAGACCTGGAGGCGCTTGCGTGGATAGGCAGCCGGATAAAGACCCGGTCTGGCGGAATAGACGAGGCGCGCCTTCTGCTGTGCGACATTATTCTAGCACACGTGCCGGGAACAGGGACAGAGATGCGAAGAAAGGCCGAGTACTTGTCCATTATGGCGAGAATGCTTTTGGAGTACAGCCGCGGAGGCGCAGACGAGCTGCAGAACGACAAGGATTTTGTCGGAAACAAAAGAATAGAGCTGGCCGGGCAGATGCTTTCTCTTTTGTTTGAAGACCTTCTGAAAAGGCTCAACGGGGAGATAAAGAAGGCGCTGGACCGCGTGCTGTGCAAAAGGGCGAGGGCGCAGGAGCTGGATGCGCTGCACTTTTTGGTTATGAACAGAGGGATGGTGACAACAGGGCTGCTCCGGGCGATTTCAACGGGGTCTTGGTCTTTGAAAAGGTTCCGCATGGAGCGGGCAGGCATTACGCAGGTTCTGACCCGCCTGAGCAGGCTTTCTGCGATTGGAATGTGCTCGAGAGTCTCGTCGCAGTTTGAAAAAACCAGAAAAGTGTCGGGCCCGCGTGCGCTGCATTGCTCGCAGTGGGGAATGTTTTGCCCTGCGGACACGCCAGAGGGAGAGGCCTGCGGGCTTGTGAAGAGCCTGGCAATGCTCACAGAAATCACGCCGAGCGAGAAAGAAGACGAGGTTTTGACAGCGCTCTCTTTTCTGGGAATTGAAGACATTTCTGTGGTTGCGTCGGCAGAGCTGGAGGGAGCCAAGTGCTGGCTAAACGGGGTTTTGGTGGGCACGTGCAGACGCCCCGAGGAAATGGCCAGGGAGCTGCGGAGGGTCCGAAGAAGCGGCGTTATTCCCAGCACAGTTGGAATATGGGTAAACACAGACCTTTTTGTGTCCACAGAAACAGGGAGGCTTACGCGCCCGCTGATTATTGTGGAGCAGGGAAAGCCAAGGCTTCAGCAAAAGGATCTGAAGCTTCTCAGCGAAGGGTACAAGACCGTTTCCGACTTGGTCAAGGAGGGCCTGATAGAGTATATTGACCAGAACGAGGCCAAAAACTCGCTGATTGCCGTGTGGGAGTGTGAAATATCAGAAAAAACCACGCATTTGGAGATAGACCCGGCTGCCGTGCTGGGGTATGTGGCAGGCGTTATTCCGTACCCGCACCACAACCAGTCGCCCAGAAACACATACCAATGCGCCATGGGAAAGCAGGGGGTGGGCGTAACAGGCGTGGACCAAAGGCGGCGGATGGACGGGGCAAATTTCTTTATGGTAAACCCGCAGAGACCGCTGGCGGCGACTCGGGGGATGGAGCTTATAAAGTACAACGACTTGCCGGCAGGGCAGAACCTGACAATAGCGGTTATGAGCATGTCGGGATACGACATTGAAGACGCGCTGATTTTGAACAAGGCCTCTGTGGACAGAGGCGTGGGGCGTGCTCTTTTGTTCAAGACGCACGCGGTCTCCCTGCGCACGTACCCAGGAGGCGCCGCAGACACAATTGTAGGGGACGGGATTCCGTCTCCGGGCCTGAAGGTGAGCGAGGGCGTGACTTTTATAGACAGAAGAACCCCCGTGGGAGGAAAGGCAGGGGCAGTGTACAGAGGCCTGGACGGGGCATCTGTCGACAAAACAGCGATAATGAGGACAGGAGACGACCTGATTACAATAAAAACCGTGCTAAAAGAGCACCGGATCCCCAGGATTGGCGACAAGTTCAGCAGCAGACATGGGCAGAAGGGGGTCGTTGGGCTGATTCTGCCACAGGAAGACATGCCGTTCAATGAAATGGGCATATCGCCAGACTTGGTGATGAACCCGCACGGGTTTCCATCGAGAATGACCGTTGGAAAGATACTGGAGCTGGTGACAGGAAAGTCGATATCGAACGGGTCCAAAAAGCTTACACAGTATGCAGCAACCGCATTTGGCGGCACAAGGGCGCAGGACATTGCGGACGAGCTGGTCGCTCTGGGGTACAGCGAAACAGGAAAGGAGACTCTTATGTGCGGAACCTCCGGGGAGCAGATTCCCGTTCGGATATTTTTCGGGCCCGTCTTTTACCAGCGGCTGAAACACATGGTGACAGATAAAATGCACGCGCGTGCAAGGGGGCCCAGAGCTGTGCTGACTCGGCAGCCCACCGAAGGAAGGTGCCGTGACGGAGGGTTTCGTCTGGGAGAAATGGAGAGAGACTGCTTGATCGGATACGGCGCGTCCGAGATCCTTATAGAGAGGCTTGTGGTTTCTTCGGACAAGTTCATGGCGCATGTGTGCAGCGAGTGCAAGCTTATCACAAGCCCGGGCGGGTGCATCTCGTGCAAAAAGTCGCAGGTCCAGAAGATCCAGATGCCGTATGCCTGCAAGCTGCTCTTCCAGGAGCTGATGGCCATGAAAATAGCGCCGCGCATTATTCTGAAGGAGTAGGCGGCGGCCAGCCAGACCATGCGCGCAGGACGCGTGGATTGCACTCGAATAACACGAATCAAGTTTTCCCGCGATCTTTTTGGAATCCATGTGACTTGATGCTTGATGGGCAGTGCATAAATAGACGGAAAGGCGCTTTGGGCATGCAGACAGAGAAATTACAAAAAGGACAAAAATATGAAAGAGTGCGGATAGAAAGAGTGCACAGCCGAGATTTCGTGCAGATGGTGCAGAACCTGCCTCTGGAGCGGTTTGGGGTTTTCGGGAGCGAAAGCCATGCAGCAGGCGCAGGGCCTCGCATAAAAAAGAAGCCGCGCTGGCTGAGGTGCCTGGCAAATCTGTTCAAGTAGGGCGGGCGCGCCTGTGGATAGAAAGCGCTGCCCGGCCAGAAAGCAGGCGCAAGAATGCAGTGCTTCCGCTCCTGGGCCCATGCCCGTGTGAAATAAACACGCATTTTATAGTGTTTGGCGAGAACGCGCAGAGTGTGCAGGACTTATTTATTTTTCTATTTCTACTTCTTGCCTCGGAAAATAAATACGTATATAAACAGGAGTATGAACACGGCAGTAAGGGCCTTGAAGAGCCGGTAGTCCGATAGATACCTGTTGGAAATTCGGTCGATCGTTTTATCAGAGAGCCCTAAATACTGCAGGCCGTCCTCTAGCTTCTGCCGGCTGCCTTTTAGGATGCTCCTTTGCTTTTCTATGGAGCTCAGAGAGTGCGAGGCAATCTTTATGTATTTGTTTAGCTTCTCAGTGCCTCTGGAAATGTGGCAGTCTCCTGCAGAGTGCTGCCGCATTTTTGCGCCAGAGTCTTCCGCCTGGTACGCCATTTTTACAATGTTCACCCTTCGGGAGAGCACCCGGGCCCGGCTCTCCATCTGCGAGTATATGCTTGGCCCGTCTGCAGCGCCAAGTATGACGCTTTTGCAGTTTTGCATGTCTTGCTGCAGCTCAGAAAGCAGGGCCTCTAGGGTCTCCATGCGGGTGCTGTGCGCCAAGGCGCTTTCTATTTTGTTTGCCTTTTCTGTTATCCTCTGCACGGCGTCTTCCCACTGCATCGCAAATAAAATTATTGTGTGTGCTCAGTGCTCTTTTGTTTGGGGTTTTCTTTCAAGGGATTTCGGCCTTCCTTGGGCCTTTGCGGGGAAACAGGCTCTTCCTTTCTCAGCGCGTGCAGGCTTTGCTCGATCTTCTCAAGCACCCCTGCCAGGAGGACTTTCTGTTCGTGCAGGATCTTCTCGGACTCCGTCTTCATTTTGTACCGCAGATACTGGTGCTGCAGGGACTCCCGCAGGAGGGCGTTCTGCTTCTCCTTCAGGTCTCGGATCTCCTCCTTCAGCTCAGTGTTTTTTGTCGCGAGGTCCAGGCCAACCACATAGCCTTCCTCAGCGCTTCTTTTTCTTTTAAACTTCATGGGGCGCAGGGCGTGCGCACATAAATACGCGTGCGCTAAATAATTGGCGTGCTCTGCCCTTCCCAGGCTGTTTCCACACAAGCCTCAGCACAAAAAGTGTACGTGTATAACTAGATTTATTTTCTAATACTGCTTAGATTGCTAGCTTTTTGGAGAAGTTTGAAATAAGGTCAGAGTATACCTGAAGAGGCGACGGAATAGGCTCAGGTGTTCCCCAGTTCTCAGGCGAGTAGAAAGTGTTACACTTCTGCAGCGCTGCAACTGTGGCCTTTGCGAAGTTTTCGCTTGCCGAGGTACGTCCGGAGGAGGAGGTGAACACGTCCTTGAGTCCTGCCATCTGGAAAATCTTCTTTGGGATTGTGGCCGCAATGATTCCTGTTCCCTTTGGCGCAGGCGTGAGGGTGATGTTTACACTACCGCACTTTCCTGATCCTCGTACTTTTACAGTGTGGGGCTGTCCTACCTGCCTGTCCCACCATCCAAAGTCCACCGGCTGCATGTTGCACTTTGCGACCTCAGTGGCCTTCTCTATGGCAGATCTGGCTTCCTTTGCAGACTTGACTCCAAGACCAATACTTCCGTTTCCGTCTCCAACAATCACAACAGCCTTGATTCTTGTTCTCTGTCCGGCCTTTGTCTGCTTCTGGATGGACTTGATGCACAGCACATCGTCCTTGAGCTTCTCCTGGACTAAGAAGTCTACAATTTCTGGCTCCTGGATCTTTAAGCTGTTTGTGTAGATGTCATTTAATGTCATCTTGCCCATTTGTACAAGCTTTCCTAGGTTGGTCTTTGGCACCCACTTCTTCTCTTCTTTCTGTCTTCGCTGTGGCCTCTTCTGTCCCTTGTCTTGTCTTTCGGTCTTTTTTGCTTCGGTCTGCTGTCCCTCTGGATTGCGTTCTGTTACCATACTGGGGTTTAAAAATAAAAATAATTCTATAGTTCGGTTGAAAAATAAAAAAGCAGCCTGCCCAAGAAATAGCCCGAAGGCAGCACTTGAACCATGCCTCAGCACACCTTCAGCACTCACAGGCGAACTTGCAGCCTCAGAGCCCCTTTTGCGATTTTCCTTGCAAATGCGCTCGAGGAAGGGCGCGCTGGCAATGAAAATTTGAAAAATGAAAAAAGCTGCGTCTCTTTGCAAAAGCTCGGAAATATGGCGCAGAATGTGGAAGCATGCGGCGAAAATGAGGCATGCCATAAAACACCCAGAAGATGCAGGTGCAAGAGGCCGCCCTGCACTCGGGTTATTTGAGCACACACTTTCTGCCATTTATACATAATCGGTGCGTTGGTGCACAGCCTACGACTCTGAGCGAGAGTTATACGCTCCCACAGAGATCTGAGAAGTATGCATCCAGAAGAGTTTTCTTCGCTCTTTCAGAAACTCCAATAATTTTTTGATCAAGCTATTTTACGCCTGCATTGCAGCAAAATTGTTCAAAGAAGAATACATGCGGATAAATTGAAACCTAGGCACAAAAGGAGAATTTCCTAGTTTGGCCATGCATGTGCAGAAAAATAAAAACAGAAAGCGGGCCTGGAGGGCGGGAAAGCAGAGGGATTGAAAACACAGCTTGTTTTTGTTGAGCAGCATGCATGCCTGGGGAGAGAGACTGTGGCGCCGGGATGAGGCGGCATTTTAATAGCAAATCATAGAGTGCAATTTTATTTTTATGGCAGCGTTTGAAGCAAGGATGTGGTTTTCAAACGAAATGTTATTTGAGGAGGAAGAGCTCAAAACCGATTTGCTGCTCATATTCGGGATGGACCGGGGTGGGGCCTCCAAGATGATTCGCGAGGCGTGCCTGCGGATTTCCTGGGATGACATGCATGGGCTTGAAAATCTAATTTCCGTTGAAAAGGTTAGCCCGCATGTGAAGGAAACGCGAAAAAACCGACGGTTTTACCTTTCTATTTCAAGAATGCTCAAGGAAAACATGAGTTCGGTCCAGAGCATTCTTGCGTGTCTGGAAAACAACCCGTGTCTGAAAGAGCGGCTTTTGGCTCCGGGTGCAACGCCCGAGCAGCGCCTGCGCGATTTTTTTCATTTTAGCAGCCTGCTTTTGACAGCGTGGGTCAACGCAATGTATATGCTCCCACGGTTTAGGCCGGCCAAGCAGCCTAGCAGGCTCACTCAGCAAGCGCTCCAGGATGTTTACACCATGCTCTTGAAGAAAGCCGTGTTTACCACAGAAAACGATGCGCGATTTTTTTCAAAGGAGGGCCTGCAAATGCAGGTTTTGAACATGTGCAGAATAGGGGGCATGCATGAGAGCCAAATAGAAAGTGAGGAGCTTTCGAACATTTTCCTAGACTATAAAAACATAACCAGCATCGAAAAGGTAGTGAGTGAGATTAAACTAGTCTTCGAGAGGGAGTTAGACTACAGAGAGGAAGCGATGTCTAACGGCATGGATTATTTCATGGATCCGGGCATGGAAAGCATGTTGATAACGCTGAAGATAATAATTAACAACTGGGACACAATAATGAGTGCAGAGAACCGCGTGCAAGAGCTTTTTTACAGCCAAGACCTGCTGGAGGCCCTGGCCGGCTTGGATATAGATGACCCCGAGTCGATCCGCGCCTTTCACAGCGCAGCTTTGGACTATGTGCAGAAGATCCAGCAGGATCAATCGGTGGACATGCCCTTTTGCAAGGATATACAGCTCAAAGAGGAGAACCAGGAAGCCCTATACGCATCCAGCGTGTACCAAAACACAAAGAGAGAGCTCGTAAAGGAGGCACGGGCGTTTTTGCATGTGGAAGACATTGAGCTCTTCTCGAAGGTGGATGAATCTTTGTACAGATGCTCTATGGAGCCTTTCTTGAGCATAATACCCGAGGTTGCTGAAGAGAAAGGGCTTGAATATGGCAGAAAAGCGCAGGAAGAGCCTTCTGGAAAAGAGGGCATGGATGTCTTGGAGGAGGCAGAGGAAGAGCACCGCATGGACAAGCCCGATATAGAGCCCAGCTGCCAAAGGGAAGCCTCTCCACAAGAAGCATGGAATGATGAAGCGGGCCTATATGCCAACACTCACTTGGAGCGTGAGAAAGAGAGCGAGTGCTCGCTAGAAAGCGAGAAGGAAACAGGAGAGGCGTATTCAGAGCTGGTGGAGGCGGATAGAAATGCTCTTTTGGAGGAAGAATGCGCAGGAATAGACACAAAGCCTGCGGTGGAGTTGAAAGAATGTGGGCATACGCTGATAGAAAGCCTTGGGGAGCATGCAGAAGAAGAGCAGCCGGGTTTTGTAGGGCTACAGGAAACCCCGGCGATCCCTGAGCAGGACTTTGCTTCTGGCAGCGTAGCACGGCTAAAGCAGACGGGCCGAAAAGCACACAAGTCTTCGCCCATTGAGCTTGCAAAACGCAAGAACGCACACAGCCAAAAAAGAGAAGAGCAGGGATTTTTCGAGACGCAGAGTGTGCTTATTGCGTTTGTTTTTGCCGCTGTCTATATGGGAATATGCACATACTCGTGCAGAATGGCTTACCTGCTTATGCACACCAAGAAATGCAGCTTTACCGTAGGCAGAGAGGCTTCTCTGGTATTTTTGGTTGTCATGAAAGCTCTTAGCGCCGCCGGCGTAATTTTATGCGGAATATTCCAGGCTCTTCTTATTTCCAAGGCTATAAAGAAGAGCAGGCGCGCGCTGGCTGTCGGCCTTGCAGCCTGCATTCTGGCCAGCTTCCTTTTAGGCCTATGCATCCCCCAGTGCATTGATGCGCTGACAACCCGCTGGTATAATCTTTGGGCGATCTGCACTCTGCTTGAGGTGTGTGGAGCCATGATATTTACAAAGGCGCCGTGCGCTATTGTGTCTCGAAGGATAAAAAGCCCCTTGGAGAAAATAAGCATAGACTTAGCAAGGATTCTGCTAATTGCTCTGCCTTTTCTTATGCTAATAACCCACATTGTTCTGTGCAAGATAGAAGCCCTGGACAAACGGCTGGTTACTATATAGACCGCTAAGTGTGCCTTTCCGTGCCGGAAACAGCTGCGTGCATAGGAAATTAAACAATAAATCTAACCAGTTCTAGACCCGCCAAGCTGCAAGCCCACTCGAGGTTCCGGCGCAGGCTGTTTCTTCGGGCAAAGGGCGCCCACACACCACTGCCGCGCTTCAAAGGCATTTATTCATATGTCTACACGCCTGCGGTTGTAAAATCGAATTTCTCCTGGGCACAGACTTCGTTTCTCAGTTTAGGCATATGCGCAGACATTCAGCTTAGGCCAAACTATTCGGAAAACTCTGCCTTTCCAAAGCCGCGCGGCAGAAAAGAGAAAAGCGCTTGAAAAGTATGTGAAAGGCCCAGCACGCTTTCCAATGCATCTATGCAGAAGAAATAAAGACCAGCAGAGCCCTTTCTTTCAAACCCCCAGGAGGCTTCCCAGCATTCAAGAAAATACAGTAAGTCACCGGGCTCGCAGCAGCTTTGCATTGGACCCTGTGCTCCAAATAACAAAGCAGTCGCGTCTCTACGCATGTAATGCGAAATGCAACATATAGAAAATGCGCGCCTTTGTGCTTTGGCAGCGCGCATATTGGCACGACATGCCCTTCTGCAGGGCATACCTAGAGGCGAGCGCGTGCAAAAGCCTGAAATTTCGGGTGCTTTTGCGCATGTAGTAACTTGTAAAGCATGCACACTCCCTGCAAAATACTTTTTCAAAAAGAGAAATGGACAAAAAATCTGGGAAAGCAGCGCTGGACTCGCTGCATGACATGACCGAGGCGCTGGGCGGAATACTGCATAATATATCTGAGAGGGCGGCCCCAGATGCCGAGGTCTCAAAGTTTCTCGGCTCTGTTGAGGGGTTAAAAGCGTATTTTGAAGGCCTTTCCTGCGAAGAGTGCCCGTCTGGGCAGGACCTTGGAATAGACGTCCTGTCTATTGAGCAGCACCTCCGCAAAGAGTAGGCAGATCAGAGCTGGCTAGTGCCCGCTTGCTGAGTCCGCAGAGATCCGTTCTTCGCTTGCTGCATCTTGGGCATCCACACTTGTGCACATGCAGAAGACACGCCAGCCGGCTGTCTGTTTGTTTGTCTGCCCAACCGTGCTCGCTTGTGGTAAAATTCGCCGCGTCAACAAGTCCGGCTAGAAAATCAAGCCAGGCTGCAGATTGAACGGCTTAAACCGCTGTTTTCTGCTCTGGAGCTTGATCTTGCTTGTCTGTTATATATGCATTTAATAAAGACAAATTTAAAACAAAGAGAGGCATCCATTTCGGCACACTCGCAGGCCAGAGCTCTTCGCTTTTGCGCGTGTCAGCGCACTCCAGACACACTCTGAATGCATGTGCTGGGCGCTTTTGCGCATATAGTCAGCCCAGCACGCTCTCGCATCTGAAAAATTCTAGTGTTAGGCTTTACAGGCCTCTACGCATTTTATAAAGCCGCGGGCTGCATCTCCAGAAGGGGCACCTAAGGCGCTTTCATGCGCTGCGCGGGCTGCGTCTTTCTGGCGGAGGCCACAAACAGATCCGGTGCGCTGCTTTTCTACTCTTTATTGTGTGAAAACAAAATAAAATTATCCATGGCAGCAGGCGAGCAAAGACTGGCAGTGTTTCCCACCCGAATGTCCCTAGGACAGCTACAAACGCGCACACAGAGCGCAGAGAAGGGCAAGAACCTGATAAAACGAAGAGGCGACGCCCTCCAAGTGAAGCACAAAGAAATTGCATCAAAGCTTTTAGCAAAGAAGATGGAGCTTGAAAAAGAAATAGAAAGCGCGTTTTTCTACCTATCCCGCACGGAGTTTTACGGAGGAGACATGCGGCTTGCCCTGCAGCAGGCCAAAACAAAGCCGCTTTCTGTCCAAATCGAGCTGGAGGGTGTTTCAGGGCTTATAATTCCGTCCTACCAAATAGCTGAGCCCCCTGCCCCCATATACTTCATAGGCACCTCGGGGAAGCTTATCGGAGACACCCGCAACCAGTTTGTGCGCTGCCTTTCCCTGATGGTTGAAATGGCCAGCCTTCAGGTCTCCTTTGAAATGGTGGACCAAATGGTGCTGGCCACCAACAGGCGGGTGAATGCCCTGGAGCATGTGCTCATTCCGAAGCTCGAGAACACAATTATGTATGTGCAGTCAGAGCTGGACGAGCAGGATAGAGAGGAGTTTTTTAGGCTGAAAAAGGTGCAAACCAAAAGACGCAACGCGTAGAGCTTGCAGAAGGACAGTGCATGAGAGCCCGCTGCTTGCAGCTGTGCATTTTCGGCGTGCCTATCCGGCGCGGTAACTAAATAAAGGCGTTTCGGACTCGGGGCTTTTCTAGCGTGAGACTGTCTCCGCGCTGCTTCTGGCTGTGGCTGTACTCTGGCGCGGCTTTGCTTGTTTTTGGAGCGAGTATTTTTGAAGCACTCTTTTTCTGTGATATTTTTGCAATGAAGAAAACACACTCAGAAGTGGACCCGATGATGCAGTATGCCTTAAACCATTCGAAAAGCAGCGAAAACAGCTCGGAAAGCAGCGAAATAGAGTTTGTCGGGCATGAGGAGTCTATGCATGGCAGCACGGTTGTAGGGGACAGCACGGCAAACCAGCCGTACGACTTAACAACAGAAAACACGCTAGAAAATTCAGCGATGCAAAACGCGCCCATGTCGGAAAGCATCTTTCTAGAAGGGGGGCGTGCGCCAGAGCAGGCACATTTTTCTCAGAAAAGAGAGTGGCAGCCCTATGCGACGCTGCACGAAGAGGCCGAGATAGTTGAGATGAGCCATCTGGTGTGCGAAGCTATGGACAAAAGCATGCTTGATGTGTACCGGCTGCTTGAGAGGAGAAAAATGCTGATATCTCGGGTGATGGAAAAAAGCCAAAAAAGCAGGCCTTCCGAGGAGAACACGATCTTTTGTGCAAAAGCCGCGGATGCTTCTCCCGGGAAAGGAGGCCGGCTCGATAAAATGGAAGAGGTTCCCTCAGACGGGTGGCCATACATAAACAGCAACTCGCCGCGGGCAGACACTGCACTTTTTTCCAGCCCCCCAGGGGATGGAAGTGTTCGCAGTGTTTTGCGCATGAAAGAGCCTCCTCTAAGCGGCAGACAAGCGACAGAATGGCACGCAGACACAAGCATGTCTCGAATTCCTATTGAAAGCCTGGCCAGCGCCAGAAGCAGCCAAAGAACAGGCCCAGGCATAGAAGCGCCAGCAGAGATGCACCGCATGCCCCAGCAAGAAGAGCTGCCGGCTGAGCTCTCCTTCCAGCAAAGGCAGGCATATGTGTGTCTGAGGAAAGTGTTTTTTCTGCATGACTTCCGGCAAAACCAGCTCCAAATCGTCATGTCTGTGCTAAGCGGCCGCGATGTGTTTGTGCTCATGCCGACTGGCGGGGGAAAGTCCTTAACCTTTCAGCTGCCAGCGGTGATTTCTCCGGGCATAACGGTTGTGATAAGCCCTCTGCTTGCGCTTATCCAGGACCAAATAAAAAACCTCCTTCTTCGCGGGATCCCTGCGGTTGCCATCAACTCTTCGCTGACGAAGACGGAGAAAGACATCGCGTACAGAATGCTCACCCAGCACGGAATAGAGAAGGACAAAACCCTGCCGGCCGCGCAGCGCATGCCTGCGGTGAAGATAGTGTACGCCACTCCCGAGCTCCTTGTGGAGAGCAGAACCTTCAACCGCGCGCTGGAAACGCTGCAGGAAAACGGCCGTCTCAGCCGGTTTGTTATAGACGAGGCGCATTGTGTGTCCCAGTGGGGGCACGACTTTCGGCCAGACTACACCCAGCTGTTCCGCCTGCGTGAGCTCTACCCGTCGGTGCCTATCACAGCCTTGACAGCAACCGCAACTGCAGCCGTGAAAAAGGACGTGAAAGATGCGCTGCGCCTGCAAAACTGCCAGATGTTCACCCAGAGCTTCAACCGGCCAAACCTGAAGTATCTAGTGATGCCAAAGGGGAAAAACCCAATTCCAAACATTGTAAGCTTTATAGAAACATACTACCCCGAAGACTCGGGCATCATATACTGCCTTTCCAAGCGAGACTGCGAGTGGCTGGCGGAGACGCTGCAGAAAGACCACAAAATACGCGCGGGGTACTACCACGCAGGCCTTTCCACCCGAGAGCGAACCGAGCGGGCTCGGGAGTGGGACTCATCCAAAATCCGGGTTATTGTTGCAACAATCGCGTTTGGGATGGGGATAGACAAAAAGGACGTGCGCTACGTGATACACTACTCTCTGCCAAAGTCTCTGGAGGGATACTACCAGGAAACAGGCCGGGCAGGGCGGGACCAGCTGGACTCTGTTTGTGTTTTGTACTATGCGTACGGAGACAAAAAGAAAATAGACTACATGATAGACGTAAACACAAGCTCGTCGCCAGAAGCCAAATCTCGCCAGCGAAGGCATCTGCAAGAGGTGATTTCCTACTGCGAAAACAAAACAGAGTGCAGGCGGTATCTTCTTTTGCACTACTTTGGGGAGGTGTTTGGCAAAAACTGCGGAAGCGGCTGCGACAACTGCCAAAGAGACGGGGTTGTCGAGCAGATAAACTGCTTGGACGAAGCCTTGCAGATCATTGACATAGTGCGGAAGTCCAAGCTCATAACAGAGGGCCAGCTCATAAAGGACATGCGCCTGCACTCCAAAAAATCAAAAGACATTTTGTCTAGAACTGTTCGATGGCTTGTTGGAAAGGGGCACCTGGAGACAAAGCTTGTGATGGGCGCGCGAGGCTTCTCCTGGAGCTACATAAAGCCCGGGAAAGGGATTCCAGCCGATGCATACATAAGCACACACAGCGACGAAGCCCGGGGAATGCCTCGCCCGAAGGCTTCCAGAGCAAAGCCCTCGTCTGCCGCGCACAAATACTCGCAGAAAATGGATGGGCTGGACGATCTTGACATATAGCTGTAGAAAGGCCGCACGGGCTTACCCATGCGCTGTAGAAATTTCATAGACACCCACTGGCGCAGGAAGCCCTGCCAGCACTGCGCTGCTTTAACAATAAAAGCCCTCTACTGTGTGTTGCAGCGCTGCTGTCGCGCCTTTCATTCTGCGCAAGCCTAGAAGCGTGATTTATCCTGTTCCTACGCAATAAGCCTGCTTTCAGCATTTGCGGAGGGGGTTTAGGCCCTGGGCTGCTGCGGTCTCTGGGCTGAATAAAAAGCCTTTGGTTTTTCGGGCTATTCGCTTTTGTGCGCCAGAAGGATTTTTGGCTTTTCTGCAGCAACTTCTTTTTTAATGCGGCACTTTGCAAATTTTCATGAAGTTTTCTTCTCTTTCTATACTAGAGAGCCTCAAAGAAAGACTTGCAGAAAAAGGATTTGATGAGATGACCCCTGTGCAGGAAAGCGTGGTGCCCCTTCTTCTTCGACAAAGAGACGTGGTGGCCGAGGCTGTCACAGGATCGGGGAAAACCTTTGCGTTTCTTGTTCCGCTTCTCCAGAGGGTGCTGGGAAGGCCGCGCGGAAAAAAAGCCGTTGGCCCCCGCGCGCTGGTGGTGGCCCCCACCCGAGAGCTGGCCCAGCAGATTCACCAGGCCGCGCTCTCGATCACCGAGGGGCTTGAAATGCACATGCAGTGCATTACAGGAGGCGCGCAGCTGGACGAAATTATAGCAAAGCGTCTTCGGGACGGAAACAGCGCGCTTTTGTGGCCAGACGTTGTGGTAGGGTCTCCCGGGAAGGCTTTGGAGCTGTGCAGGGAGGGCGGAATGCCGCTGCGGGATGTGGAGATGTTCGTGCTGGACGAGGCAGATAAAATGCTTTCCTTTGGGTTCCGCAAAGAGGTGTCTGAAATGCTGCGCCTGCTCCCGCGGACAAAGCAAACCGCTGTTTTTTCGGCAACGGTCTCCGAAAGCGTGCACACGCTTGGGCGGCTGGGCATGCGAAGCCCCCTTTTTGTGTGTGTGAAAAACGCACTGCGGGTGCCTGACGGGCTGCGCCTGTTCTCACTGTGCGTTCCGCCTGCCGAGAAAACAGAGGCGCTCCTCCGGGCCATTCGGTCTCTAGGAAAGAAGATAATTGTATTCTTTGCAACGTGCGCACAGGTGGACTACTTTCATTCGCGGCTGGTGCAGACTATTGGCGCAGGCGGCGTGCACACGTGCGTTTTGCGGCTGCACAGAAAGCTCCCGCAAACTGCGCGCGAGGAAGCGTATGCCGAGTATGCAGAAACGGAGTCTGGCGTTTTGCTGTGCACAGACATATCTGCAAGGGGCCTAGACTTCCCTGGGGTTTCTGCCGTGGTCCACTTTGACCTGCCCCAGGACCCTGTGACGTTTGTGCACAGAAGCGGGCGAACAGCCCGGGGAGGAAACGAGGGCATGTGCCTTTTCTTTTGGATGCCAAACGAGAAGGACTACGTCGGCTTTATGCAGGCGCGCGGCGTGCCCATACAAACGCTCCCCGAAAATCTGCTTGCCGAGCTGTCCCCAGCCCGCGTAGAGCCGGTCCGGGCCGCCTTTGGGGAGGCGCGGAAAGCAGCCTCCTCGGACCCGCAGCTGCAGCTTCCAGAGGACGTGGAGAACGAGCAGGATGTGGTGGCGTTTGTTTCGTACATTCGCTCGTACAAAGAGCATTTGCTCAAGCACGTGCTAAACTACAAGGAGCTGGACTTTTCTGGGCTGACAGACCTGTACTGTCTGAAAAGGCTGCCACATGTGCCTGAAATGCGGGGTGTGTACATTCCGCGCTTCCCAAGCCTGCCAAAGAAAAAAGACGGCGTTCCATATGAGGAAATGCCTGCAGAGGGGGCGGATGTCCAGAAAAAGGCGCCTCGCATGCGCGCAAAGAAGGTTGGGACGGCCAACGCTGCGCACAAAAGAGTCCGAAGATAGATACAGCGAAAGGGTCTAGCGCCAACCAGAGATAAAATAAAGCGATGGCCAGAGCCTGATGCATCTAGTGTGTTTCTAGCGTTGGCTAGTTTGTGTTTTTCAAACCTCGATGGCCCGGCCAAGCGGATGCTCTGCCTGCTATGAGGCAGCCTGCTTGGGCACAGGGCAGGCTTGTGCAGGGCCCTTGAGGCGGCCCAAAGTGAGTTTGTCCGGCCCTAAAGCATTGGCAGCGCAGCGACACTCCAACTGCTAAATGCGGCTGTGCATAAGTCTCAAAAATATAAATATCTGGCTGGTTTGAAAAGCAAATTTCTTCGAAGCGCATTTCTGAAAAATCACTTGATAAATACAGTCGTTTCCAGCAGATGCTGCCTATGCCATGACATCTGGTGGGCTTTATGCAAGCACAGCCAGGCGTCTATTAGCCTCGCTGGGAGGGTTTTCTACACAGGGCAGCATGCCATTTGCAAAAAGTCGCACTATTTAAAGCTATCAAAAATTGTTTTCTGGGCTTTGATCTTCCCAAGAGCCTGCGGGTTATTTTGCAGCAAAGTCTAAGGAAGCTGCACAATTTGGTGGAGCTGCGCATGAGGCCGCATAGAGTCGCCTATGCTGCTAGGGCCCTAGGGCTATGCCATTTGGGCACGTCTGGGTGCAAAATAGGCGCGGGGCTTCAACCCAATATGCAAGAAACTGTGGCAAAAGCATGCCAAGGGTGCAAAAATAGCCGCATCTAAGGATGTTCTATTATGCAAATCGGGCCTCTCTAGCGCAGGGTTTGGCCATATGCATTTTCTGCTTCTTTTCTAGAGGCATAACAAAAACAAAATGTATAAGCTATGTTTTATTTTGCTTGACTTTTATTTCTCTCTAAAAAACACTGCAGACTCTGCAGGGCCACATATTTCACTGCATAAAGGGGCCGATGTGATGTCCTCTTGCAGGCTGTGTTTGGGCGTTGGCGTACTAGGCTTCTGTCTTTCTATTGAGGGGCGGGTTTTCTTTCTGCCAGAAGAGAAACCAGGGCAACAGATTGTGCATTACAGAATATTTTGTTTCTAAAGGGGAGTTTATTCATTAATAGGAGTAATATTCGCAGAAAATGCACGTCAAACATGTGTAATCATTTCCAAGGAGCCAACCCAAGAGATAACTTTGTTTAAAGCCGCAGCAAACTAATTCACCACTTGGACAATTGCCAAAATAGCAAGTGCAGCTTCATAACATAGCACGGCCTCTTCGCGCCATGCTGAAGCAGCCGAAAATCGCGAATGCAAAGAATGCTTCATGCTTAAAACGCAACTGTATAAGAGAAAAGCTTTTAAAAGGCCCGAATCTAACAATAAATCGCTGTTAGAACTGCCTTGGGCCTGGAGCGCCAAAATCAGCTTGTGGCAACATTCTATTGGTTTAATGCATTAGCAATATTTGAACTCACAGACTCATTTTCAAAGTGAAAGCATGCGAATTATTTGATGCAAATTGGCAGAAACCATGGGGCTGCGAGGCTCCGCACTATCTTGCATGCCTAACTTGGCAAGCTGTGCTTTTACGCTCTTTGAATCCACAATGTTTTTTTTGCGTCTGCCCACTGTCTCCAGTCTCCCAGGCGCCTGCAGGCCTCTGCAGCTCTTTCCATAGCAGAGCGGCCAGCAGCGCAGCACATTGCAGCTTTCTCTAGCGCGTAGGCTTTGTGCCATAGCAGCAAAAAAGACGCAGCAAAAGACGCAGCAGTCGCCACAACAAGGGCTGTCTTTACCCGACGCCTGCGCGCCTGCACCTGCTCCACAACGCCTTTTAGTGCATATTCGCTTGGCTCCCTGTCAACCAGCGGCTGTATAATCGAAATACTGGGCTCCAAAAGGCAGTCCCCTGCTGTTGAATGCGCCAAGGGGACCTCCAGCTCTGGCAGCTGCTGGAAAGCTTGGTGTTCTGCGCCGAGGATTTTTGAATATGCCGAAACCGAGGCTAGAATGTGGGCTTTCTGGGCTGCTGCCAGCTGCTTAAAAATATCTATTGCACAGAGAATATTTTCTTTCTCGTATGCGCTTTTGATCAGCGCGCCTTGGTACCTTTTTACCCTTTCAATTTCTGCCGCGTATAGGCCTTCTGTGCCAAGAGGTGCTGAGACTTCTTGGTCTTTCACGCGCGCAATAGCCATGCTAGCAGCACGTATCTTCGCATCTATGCTCTGCATCTCTTTTCTAACCGCTGCGTGCTTCTCTTCAGGGCCCTTGACAAGAGCGTCCAGCAGATCCTGGTCCACTGCATTCCCAAAGACTAGTGAGCCAGTAGCGGCGAACCCGTCTTGCACAAATGCAGAGCCTGCAACCTTGCGATGCATGCCCAGCAGCTGGAAGTAGAACTTCCGCTCCTGCAGTATCTCTGACCTGTGGTAGACAAGGCTTCGGATCAGCTTTACGTGGTCGCCGCTGATGTTTCTGATTATATTTCTCACGTCCTCGCGCCCTTTAGCTTGGTAGAGGTAAAGATCCTTCACCGCGCTGAGCCCGGAGCACAGGCGGGTGTCAAGGCCATCAAGGGGCTCGTACAGCTCGCCCAGCGTGTATATATCTGTGCCGGCGCCAACCGAGTGGCTTTCTTCGTGCTCTCTGCAAATCTTTTCCAGAAGGGTCGCAAGATTGTGCGATCTTGCCAGCTTTACATACCCATCATAGTCTCGCACGTGCAGACGCATGTAGTGCAGGTAGCTTGCCGCACTAGCGCCGCAGGCCTTCTCCGCCAGGCCTATCTCCCAAACAATCCGGCCTAGAGCATCCTCTAGGTTTTTTCGCAGGGTTTCCTCGCCATTGCATATGCGCTCCTGCAAGTTTTCTTGGATCACTTTTTTCTGAATGCTGTGCTTTTTTTGGAACATTCTGTCTGACTTTTTTGGCTTGGCTTCTGTGAAGTTCCCAAAAAAGGCCTCGCTGAAAGCAGCGATGTTCGCGGTTTGCGGGAATTTCAGCGTGAAAAACATGTGTGTCTTTAGCATTTGGCAAACCAGCTCTGTCTTGGACTCTGGCCAGCATGTGTCTCCCTCGGGCGCAGCTTTAATGCTTCTATCAAATGCGTAGCAGAACTCGGGATACTCCTGGCCCTCCATGGATTCCGCTGCACAGCTCAGCGGGCCTCGAACAAACGCGTTGTGCTCTCTAAGCGCCCGGCCTATGTCTATCCGCGCGCATATGCCGCAGGACCTAATTAACACTTCAGAACTTTTCTCTTCCATCAGTTTTCTCATTTTTTCAAAATCGAACTTATGTAACCCGGGGCATGCTGGGTCTGTCTTGATTCGGCACAAGCGCTGCAGTTTTCTTCCAAAGTCTAAAGGCGCCTGGCCGCACGCTTTGCCTGCGCATGTGGCAAAAATCGGGTTTGGCTCTGTGCATAACCGGGCATACAAGCAAGGACTCTTTTCGTCCGCTTCAGCTAGAAAGCATGCAGTCGGTTTCTCTGAAAAAGTAGCATCGTTTATTCTTGGCAGAGCAAACAAATCGCATTTTTGCATAAATTCATTGTCCGTTTCGGTTGCCCAGGCCAAGCCTGTCGCACAGCGCACAAATAGTCTCTGGCCAGTCTTAACGGCTTCGCATGCCAATCTCCATCCTATTAGAGTGCGTTTATTTTGGGCCCTGTGGCCTCTTTTTGGCATTCCATGCCCGCATATAATACTATAGCTTTGGAGAGCAAGCACGCTCAAAACACAGTGCTATTCGAAAAGATGGCCTCAAAAATTCATTCTATTTTGGCCCAAAACACTGCACAAGCACTGAACCAGAGACGCCTTTTTGTGCAGAAGAAACAGCGCATCTGCTGTGGAGGCTCTGCTTTTCTTCCAGCCTGATTTGTTTGTGTTTCTATCCGGCGATTAAATAAAATCCATATGCCTGCTTGGTGCACGAACAGCGCAAATATCGGAAGGCGCGCCGCCGTATATATGCGTATACAAAAAGTTATAGAAAAAAGTATAACTGCCTGAATAACCCGAAAGAGCCTTTGCACACAGGAAACATCTGCGTGTCTAGGGCATTAGGTGAGAAGCACACACAGTTGAGAAAAGAGTGGGCGCAGACAATCAGCAAAAAGCATGGCCAGGCAGTTTATTTACTGTGCGCAGCTGGCTTCTCCAGCATGTACTCAAGCATATACCCAACTATCCCCAGTTGATTGCGAACCTGCTGCCAGTCTGGGCTGAATATTGCATATGTGGGAACGAGTAGGCCTTCCCCAGAAAGTATTTTGGAGATTTTCGGGCTTTGCATGCGCGAGTCGCCCAGGCAAATCACCGCCCAATCGTTCTCACACTTGCTGTTAACCGCAATTGTTCGTATTTTGTTACAGCCAAACATCTTCGAGCTGCTTAAGGACAGGTTGTTGTGCAAATTCTTCTTCATGTATATGGTGCTGTGCTTGCCCAGCTCTATGCTCCGTATATGGTATGTGTATATATACAGGCTAGAACGTTTATGGGCTGGTTTTCCTTTTTCAAGCGAAAGAGTGGCGTTTGCAATCTCCAGCTCTAAGTCTTGGTGATCTGCCTGCTCGCCAATGCGCATGCTGTTTTGTGCGTAGTAGTCTTTTCCGTTCCCTGGCTCGGCTGTATAAATGTGTGGAGTGGCGCCCGCCACGTCGCGCAGGGACCGGATGCGAGCAGGTCTTGCTTCTGCACACTTTTCGCATACATACCCAACCTGGAAGTGCGCCAATACCCCCGCAAACAGCTCGTTGAGAAACAGAGGAAACCGCAAAATTCTGGTGTCTTTTGGCTCCCTGCAGTCAGAAAAGGAGCGAAACTCTGCAAGCAGAAGGTTTGTTTGGGCGTCCGGAGAGTCTGCCTCCTTGATGTAGTAGAACACCAAAATCTCAGCGCTTGCGCTGCAGGGCGCTGCGTATGCGGTGGCTTCAGGGTCTCTGTACGACCATGTGCGGGTTTTCGGGCTAAACGCAAACACATGCAGGTTTTGCTTCGGCTTGCTGTAGAGCGCCGAAATGTAAGCTATAATGTGCGCACACCGCAGGCCAACGCCTGCCTGTGTCGGCAAAACCACAACTTTCCGCGCCTGTTTCTCGTTGTCCATGTAGTATACATGGTGCATGTGCATTTCTTGAAAAGGCGCCCTTCTAGGACTGTTGCACAGAAGGCTTTTTCTATGCCAAAACTGTGCTGTTCCAGCCTCTTTATCTACCATAAAAAAGACTTTTATGTATTCGCTGAGAAAAATGCGACTTTTTCCCTCTAGAGGCGGCTTGCCCGCACACGGCGGGCATATATGGTAGAAAATGGCCACAAACTGGCGCAGAAAAGCGTATTGGGCATGCGCAAACCATGAGTCCTTTCTATACACGTGCATCCAGAGCCAGTGCTTGCACAGCGCGTGTTCTACTTTGGCGCAGGCCGTGCTTACCGCGTCTTTGTAGCTTTCTGTGGCCGCGGCTCTTCCTCCATGCGCAGACATAATGCTTGCCATCTCCTGCAGGGCAGAAAGTGTGCCAAAAAAAGCAGCAAACTCGACTTTTGTGCCTGTGCATTGTTCTAAGAGGTGCTGCAGCTTTTTTTTCAGCGCTTGGTTTTCCAGATGTCTCTGGTGCATTTGGGCAATGAAGTCTTTGCTAGTTCTGCAGAAGTCGCTGAACACCTCTGAAATTGTGAAGAGGCTCTGTATGGCCGCGCGCAGGCTGCTCATATCGTTTTTCAGGAGAATGGAGGGCAGGGGCCCGGGGCCGCATGCTGTGCCTACGGCTTTTTCCATCGCTTGGATAAGCTCGCATGCTGTGCTCTCGGAACATATAGCGCCTTTCTGCTCGGTTGTGCTTTGTGCGCTGTGATTTCCGGCATCTGGGAAGTGGCATTCAAAAAATCGAATGGCGCTCTGCACCTCTTCCCGGCTCCAGAGAAACACCCCGTGCAGGGCTTGGACTATGTTTTCGGTTTTTTCAAAAAGATCCAGAAGCGCCTGGCCACTCCCTTCAAGCTTCCACCCAGACTGCTCAAAGCTTTCAATGCCTGCCAGAAGCGCCTCGGCCTCCAGCAGAAGGTGGTACTTTTCCTCGGGCGGGCTTCTGTTCTTAGCGGCGCTTCCCAGAAGAAACTCCAGCACCGGGCTCTGCCGCGCATGTCCTGGTTTAAGGACGGAGTGCTTTTCTCTGGAGCCTTTTAGGGCGCCCGGGCTAGGAGCTCTGCTTCGGGCGCTCTTTAGAGCGAACGACGGTTTTGCTAGCTGGTGCTCTGCAGAGACTATTTTTTTTTGCAGCGGGTTTTTTGTGTATCTCGCTGTGCGTTTTGACCGGCCCACAGAGAATGGGGTTTCCTGCGCGTGCTTCTCCACAGCGCTCGGGCTCGGGCACCTAAGGGGCTTTTCTGCAGACACGCAACTGCACACCTCTTTATCCGAGCAAAAAGATGTGCGCATCATCGCGCCAAACAGCACAAACATGCATTTTTGCTTTTGTCCTGCTATTTTCATGCATAGACATGCACATATCTACTTATATGCAAAACATCACACTGATACGCGCTGTTCCAGCCTATATGTGCGCAAAAATACGGCGCAAAGGCCAAAAACGCATATGCACCTGCATTGTTTATTGTCTTTCTATGCGCTGATCTGTCTGCACTCTGGCTTCATTTCTTGAAGCAGGCCCAGCAGCTTTGCATACTTCTCTTCGCCGTCCATGCTCACCAGAAGGTCTTTCAGCTCTTCAACGCCCTTTATTGCCTTCTCTTTGCTTTCCAAATAGACAAACAGCTTGAGCTTCACGGAAGCTGGGGTTTCTATGCGGTCAAGGCATACTCTGCTGTACAGCTCTGGCGCCAGATGGGAGCTGATGGGCTCTTTTTTTATAAGCGCGCATACAAACCAAAAAAGACACACTGTGTCTTTGAACACGGCAGCTTGCTTTTTGTCCGCTTCGTCTACGTCCAGAAGAAGCGCTGTAAACTCTTCGGCTTTGCACAGCGTGTTCTCTTTAAACAAAAATATTGACGCCCACGCCACGCCCTCAGCAGTGCTTAGCATGTAGCATTTAAACAACGGCGTGCTTGTTTGGGCTTTGTATGCCTTGAAGTACTCCATGACTGTGTCAACGTCGCCTGTGCTATCTTCGGATGCGTAGATGTTCACTTCCAGCACTCTAAACAGGCTGTCAAACAACTTTGAGCTCGTCGTTTTTTCCAGCATGATGTTAGGGAACAGCTCCTTCAGCGAGCATGTGCATACTGGCAGGGTCAAAAAGTCCTCCTGTGTGCTATGGTCGTCGAGAGGAATGCTGCCCAGAATGTTTGAAATGAGGCGGACAACTGGATGGGCTTTTGCCAAGGCTATGCCTCTTGCCTTTGCACACAGAAGCAGGCCGCTTGCAACGCATTTCTTGTAGAATATGTCGATGGGTCTTCCAACCAAAAAAAGGCTGTTTATGTTTTCCAGCGTCCTCAAAACCAATGCTTTTTCGCCGTTTTCTTCACTTTCAAGCTCGTCAGATGAGTCTGTCATCATTTCCTTTGGCAGCCATTTGTCTATGTATGCAGACAAAAGGCACCCGAAAAAGCTCGCGGGCGCCTGGTCCGCCATATTTTCTGTGTCCATCTGCTTTTTAAGCAGCCAGGTGCAGGCAGGGAGCAAAGAGACCTGCATATGCCTAGAAACCAGCTCTATATTCAGCCCCTGCTCTACTTGGCAGCCTTTGTGCGTGTACTTAAGGGATAACTCTGTGAAAATTTCTGGGCAGTTGTCGCTCCGCTCGCCCTTTCGCATGCTAGAAAACTCAATTTCCAGCTGGTTGTTCACAGAGAGGCCCTTTAGCAGCCCGCGCGCGTAGTTCTGCACCTCTAGGAAGAGCTCCTTCTCCGATTCTTTTTCGCTTTTTGCGCGGCGCATGAATGCGTCCAGCGTCTCTTGGTGTGCGTCCAGATGGCCGGTCACCTCTGCAACCACGCACAGCACGCTCAAAAGTCCCGAGCGCAGCTCGTTCTGGCTTTTCCTACAGTATGCAATGTGGCTGCACGTCAGGCCGGAGACTACGCGGTTCCACTCCTGCATCGCCTCGAGGGTGGCGCACTTTCCAGGGACAGCATGGCGGTTCTCGAAAAACGCCTTCAGGGCCTTTGCCTTGTTGCATTCTGCTCTTTCGCCGAGCATGCGGGATATTTTGTACGCATTCGCATCGGGATCGTATGCAAGGCAGCAGAACAGCGCAAGCAGCCCAGCCTCCACACAGTTGCTGAAGGATTCGCCCAGAAGCTCTGGCCGGTCCTTCTGGCAGGCGCGCACGCTTGTGTACGCAGGCAGCGTGCTCGGGTTGTTGAAAGGGAACCAGCTCAGCTCTTTTAAAATATCTTGTAGATTCAAGAGCGGGGCCAAGCACGTTTCTTCCTCAGTTTTTTTCTCCGCCGGCAAAAAGCAAGCCGCATAGATGTCGTCGATGTCGCAGGCAGGACTTAGGTTTCTAAGTATGGTGTGGGCGCACCTAGCAATTTTGGTCACCTGCTCTGCACTTTTTACATACTCGAACAGATACGCCTGTATCAGGAACTGCGGGCTGTTTAAAAAGCCGCCGGTTTTGAACTCCTCCTCTGCATCTGGCAGCTTATCCCGACCTGTGTATTTTTTAAAGAATTTTACAATCTGGGCAGTGCCTTTGGTTGAGACAGAGCTGTTTTTTTCTGAGTCTATTTCAAAAACGGCGCAGTCCGCAATGTTCGGCTTTGCGTCTTTCTGCGCATATTGCTGCATGCTTTTTTTGGTTTTAAACAGGATGATGCTGTGTTGTGTTTCCTCAATGGGCACGTCCACGCCCTCGCTCAGCAGAAGTAGGGCTGCCAGCAAATAGTTCGCTTCCTTTGGCTTAAAGCTCTCCAGCGCATTGAAAAAAGTGTCATTTCGGCCGGCGACAATCGACAGGCTGCCTCCGTTTGTAGATGGAAACATCTTTATAAGCGTGCTGTGATACTGCTGCACGTACTCTGCACTTTCGAAGGCGTGTCCAATTGCTGCCTCGTCTGGTATGTATGCTTTGTCGTGGCTTGCATTTCTTGAATATACGTATCTGTTTTCGCTGAATGCAAGACTGTACTTTGTTTCTATTTCTGGCGAAAAAAAGCGTTTGTTGTGCATGTATCCTAGCTCAGCATACATGTATCCCCTCAGCATGTTTAGCGGGCCTTTTGGGTGGATGTAGATTCCCTCGCCTCCTACTTCTTCATTCTGCGCGTTTATCAATTCTTCGAGTGAAATGCGTGCATCTGCTGGGAGTGCCAGCAGCGCAAAGAACAGGAAGTATACTTTCATTGCTAAGGAAAATTTTTTTCATTTTATTCTAAAAAATCAGCAGTTGGTGATTTTCCTAGGCAACCTCCAGCTCTATCCAGAACGCCTAGCAGCCTTCTGCAAAACAGGCCATGCCCTTCCTGCACTCTTCTGGAAATACCCACGCGATTCCAGCAAGCATGCGCTGGGGTATGCTTAAGCAAGGCGGCGTTCGTTTTTACTTCCAGCCTCAAAGACTTTCTATGCTGTTTAGAGTTCTTCTCCCCAGACTCTACCAGGGCGCATCTGTTTCTTTTCTTGTGATCTGAAATGGGGCGGGAAAAGACCCTGGAAAAGGCATTTTTCCTGCTTTCTTGTGCCAAACGCAGTTTTCCCATTACATTGTTGTGCACATGTTTGGGTTTGGGTGATTTCGACCTTTTTGTGGCATGGAGGCAAGCCAAGCGCAGCACGCGTGTGTGCCTTTGCTTACAAATGGGCGCAGCGCTGCCTTAGACGCGGGGCGACGCTTTTTCAGCGAAGCCGTTGCGCACATAAATAAATGCCCCAAAATATGCCAAGCACATAAAAATGCAAAAATAAAGTTAAAAGCAATGAAATCTGCGATAAGAATGCAATTTTTCACCGCCTAGCTAAATAACAGAAATCAAAAATGATACCCGAAATGCCTTGAGAACATATAATATATAAAGGAGAAAAAAGAGAAAAACATGAAAATACTTGGAACAGCCGTGTTCGCGTGGGCTTTGCTCTTTTTCATACTTGCAACCACATTTATCGGCATGCAGGCAGACAAACAAGAAGCGATCCGCATACAATGCAAAACTCCAGCGCCCTCAAGCTCCGCCCAGGACAGTGAGTACAAAACCGTGTGCTTTTTGTACGACAAAAACAGCCCGCACCCGAACCCGGAGCCTTTGGGCTTTTTATACGAAACAGCCAGCACCATAAAAACAAATCCCAACGAGAACTGCACAAAAATATCCGGAGAAATCGTAGACGGTGCTGGCTTGAGAAAGCTGGTGAGTCCGAACAGCCACCGATTCTTCTGCTTGTTCAGTGAGAAAATCGTGAAGCAATTTTCAAGCCTAGGAATGGCCGAGCTGTCGTGCAGCATAACAAGGGAGTCGTATGTAAACACTCTGAAGAGCGTAATCCCCGACATTTTGCTGGAAACCAAGCCTGGAGACCCTCCCATAGCGGCCAAGTATGCAATGGTTCCCAAAGAGTATGCATACGAGACGCTCAAGCTGACGTCTCAAGCCTGTCTGGATGACAGCGAGTACTTTGGCTCTATGGTAAACCTTATAGACGAGCTGTGCGAAAACATGGACACACACCACAACAGGACGGCTGCTGAGCAGCTTCAATGCGTTGCAGCCATCCCGCTGGTGTACGAGGCATTCAGAGAAAACATATTTAACAAGGTTTTGCTGGTAAGCTCCAAGTACAAGAGCGAGCTGCGCACGCTGGAAAGCATGTCCGACAGAACCTCCGCACAGATATCTGCGATAAAACTTAGAATAGAGACCTATGCGTTTCTTCGGATTTTTGAGGTGCTGAACACCGTTTTCGACATCATAGGCAAAATTTCCATGGACATACTTCCCCAAGGACGCATGACTTTTTTTGACACTGCAAGCCAACAAAGAGTTTTCCGAAGTGCCGTTCAAAACCTCATAGACCCTGCTTCGCCAAATAGCATTCTTATATACCCGCTGGAAAAAAGAAATTGGGCGATTAGACTTCTAATCTCTAGGAAAATGCTAGCCAAAGAGATGGACATGGTTGTGGAGTCGCCAATGGATAGCATAAAAGAGGACATTGCGCTGATGGACACCGTGCTTGCCGGCCTAAAAAAGAAGCTGGGCGAAAGCCAGGTGACCATGGAATTGTGCCAGGGGCTGGATGAGCTGGCCGATATGGCTCCCATTTTCAACGGCCTGGCAGAGCTGCGGTCAAAAATGAACGAATACCGCGCGAGCAGCATTAAGATGGCGGGCCGGTACAGTAGGATGGCGTCCAGCGCGTGCCCGGAAAACAAGACTTGCACCACAAATCAGAGCGCAGACTTGGAAATAGTAAAGGCGCAAAAGAAACTGTACGAAGAGGCGCTGCATCTCCCCAGCAGCCTGAGCCCCTCCTCGAACCAAGGCGCCTCTTGCCAGAAAATGGACCCAGGCATGGCTGTTTTTTGCGTGTCTATGTGGGTTCTTTGCTGGTGCTATCACTCCATTCCCTAGGGGCACTTCGGGTTTGCACACGCTGCTGTGGAGGGCGCAGGTGAATGCAGCGCTCGCTTTTCAATAAAATGCATGCTCGTGGATACTTTTTCTTCGCCTTTATTTTGTTGCTGCGCTGCTGTTGTATAAGAAAACAGGCAGGCCCATGGACAGACGCAATGTGGCGTGTGCGTGACGGGGCGCCGCATTTGCATGTTTTTTGTAGTAAAACAGCAGCGCAGCAACAAAATAAAGGCGCGAGCGCGAAATCGGCCAGAAGAGCAAGGAACACTTTGGCCTTTGTTTATGTGCCCAAGAAAAGCGGTCTGCGCCGTAGGCCTCTAAACGCCCGGAATAATTTTCAAGCGGCACGCGGCCAGTGCGCTGCACATGATGTGCTTTGAACGCTGCGTTTCTGGGCCCTCTTGTTTGTGCAGGGTGCTCTCCAAAACAACAAAACCAGCACACACGGGCCCGGAGCACAGACAAAAAACGTGCGGCCATATGCTCGCGTTCACACCAGAACCCGTTCGATCTCTGAAGTTAAGCGCGTGACAGCTTTGATAGTACTGCGATGGGAGACCGCGTGGGAACACAGAGTGCTGCACTTTTTGTTTAGGGAAAAAAGCGCAAAAAATCTATGGTTTCGGAGCTTGCGCCCTCGGGCAAGCCCAATCACTTTGATCGACCACGACACACATCAGAAATTACACGTGATCGGCTTTCTGCCCGGAATATAAAATAAAACAGGCGCACTTTTTGTATGAAAAAAGGTGCTCGCAAACAGCACAGATGGCCTTTTCTGGCTCTGTGCGGGCTGTTTCTGTGCAGCAGCTTCTTTTTTTGCTTTTGTTTTATGGGGCAGGCCTCTGGAAGAAAGCCGCAGGGCAGCCTGAGAAAGCCAAGAGAGCAGAGGCTGCGCGCAATAGACATGCTAACGCGTCAAATGATGTTTATAAACCACGATCAATTGATCGATGTATAGTGCATAGATAGAAAATAATTTTTATTCGGAGATGAGATTGCGTTTTGGAGTGCTATTATGCGGACTTCTTGCAGCCGTGCAGATGGCAAAATGCATATACATGACGCACGAAGAGATGCTGGCGTGCCAGAACAAGGAGGTGGGCCACGTGGGCGGAAAGCCCGTGTATGTGAACACGTGCTGGGGCGGGCACCCGGTGTGCATAGCGCAGCTTTGCCGGCTGGGGTATGTGTACAAAATGCGGGCGCACTCGTGCATGGTGAACACAAGCTTCAGTCTGGCGCCGGACAGGCGCTTAGACGAGCATACATATACGAGAGAGCCGGAGAAGGACTGGCTGCATTCGGGAATGGCTGCTAGCGATGGTGGATACAGCGTGGAGTTTCACAGGGCGCTGCTGCAGATGTTTGGGCTGCGGAAATCTAGCGGGCCGGAGTACGACTGCCTGACAGTTGAGTGCGCGCGCGCAGGCTCTTTTATTCAGTTCCTCCGGATGGGCTGCAAGACGCAAACAGATTCGCACTATGTGCTGGCAGCGCTGCTGCTCCTGTGCGAGGACGTGAACGTGCCGATTGAGCTGGCCAAAGACAGAGTGACTATAAGAAAAAGAAAAGGCAGCAAGGACGTGTTGGTTGACGCCCGCATGGGAGGGGAAGCTTTAGGCAGCAGAAAATGGCAGGTTTCCGAGGCTTGGCAGGTAATAAACTTCTTCAAGCAGTACAGAGACACACACAAGATGCCGAGCACGTATGAGGGCTTCCAAAAGGGCGGCTTTCTGGAGAGCCCGCAGCTCCTTATTCTCACGTACATCGGCGAGTATGTGAAAAACGCCGAAGAGCTTATGTCTGTGATGGAGTGTGCGTTCAAGATTGTGGAAGGCATGGGACTGACTAAAAACTTTAAATACCCGAGCAGCGTGGTCAACCGGCTTTTTGTGCCTGCGAGCGGTCTGCCTGAGGCCCAGGCGTATCTTGCGCCGTTTCTAAAGGCATTTCCTGCTTTAGCGGCCTTGGAGCGCTTTGAAGAGTTTAAATGCTTTCAAAGAGGAGCAAGGTGGTCAAATCAAACAAAATATGCCTCAGACGGGGAGGAGGAATACATGGACGACCGTGGCACAAACTGCAGGTTTATTAGCGAGTGCCTGCTTTTGTCTTTTCTTGCGTTTGACTCCGAAAAATATGCGCACAGCCTGGAGGGCCTTCTGAGTGGGGCCGAGAACACGGAGGAGGTGGAGAAAACCAGGGCGTTTTTTGGTGAGCTGCAGACGTGCATTGAAAAAAAGTGCTCCTCTTTGGGATTTCCCAATAACACACAAAAGAAGAGGTACAGGGACCTGTGGGTCAAGATGAACACGCAGTTTAAGCGGGCGCTGGGGAATGCTGCGCCGACATTCCTAAACAAGATGCGCGTGCTTGCGCAGATGACGGGGCGGCCGCAGGCCGTGGTGGACAGGCTTACAGCACACCAAGCGACCATGGACGCCAAAAGAAGCACAGAGTTGACCCCTGAGGCGATTGAGTGCGTTCGGGCGCTGCTGTGCTCAATATCAGTAGACAAAGATGTGAAGGTGACCATTCAGAAGCAAATGGATCGCTCAGAGCCCAAAGGCTATCTTTTTATAGTAAAGCATGCAAAATTATGCGCGTGCATCGAGCAAATTCTGGATATGTCGTTCTGTGAAAGCAGCTCCTCGAAGATATCTATTTCGCTGCCATGGTTTAGCGCTTCTGACAAATTGCAGGAAAAGCTGGACGTGGAGCCCGCAAAATACAGACAGCATGGGCTGTTTTCAAGCTTTGTGCTTGCGGAATGCATGCACCAGATGGCGATAGGGGCAGTCGCGCGGAGCCTTTCATACGCAACAACCAAAGAGCTGCGGGAGGCTGCGAGAAAGGCGGTCGAGCACAGCGCGGACCGGCCAAACCGGGTGCTTTTTTCGCTGCCGGCTGCAGGCGAGGACATCAGAAAAGAGCTTGTATCTGCGCTTGTGCTGTATGCCGAGCAGAAGGAGATTATGCTGACTCCAGAACACCCAATAAGCCGGCTGGCTGCAAATGTGATGGGAAGCATCGACCTTGGCGACATGGCAGCGCAGTGTAGGGTCTTGGGAGTGCCTGTGGTCACCGGGGCTCTGCAGAAATTGTGTCCGACGGTGCAGCTATCTGACCGATTGCATCGGGAGATTTGGAGTTTGCAGAAATTTGCCGACTATGACGGGCTGTATCCTGCAAAAGAGGCGCGCGTGCTTACACACCGAAGCATGATGCAGTATTTCCGGGAATACGCCGTGAGAACAGGCAAGCCGCTGTACATGTGCGAGATGCTGAAAGATGCTGCTAAGAGGTGGTCAATTCAGTGGATGCGTCTATCTGTGGACAATCCGTGGAGAACGCTGGGAGAGATCCGTGCGCTTTTGCGGGCAAAGCACACGGGGGAGGATTTGCAGAGGGCTGAGGCTCTGATTGCGCAGCTGCGGCAGGTCTGGGCGGAATACTTCCAGTAGAAGAGGCTGCCGCAAATGCAGTGTGCGGATTTTGTCGGCAGTGTTTGAGCCAGAAATGAGTGGCGCAGGAAATGCTCCAATAAAAAGAGTGCTCTTTTCTGCGCTCACTCTCTAAAATATGACGGTGCGCAGCCAATAAACATGATCCATTAGACATACTTTTCAGCGTGCAGCGCGGGGAAGAGGCGGGGCTTTCAAAGCCTTGGCTGCTTTGCGTGTGCTCTATGGGTTTCGCCTATTTTTGGCAAATTCTTTTGTGCTTTTTCTGTTTAGCGCAGAAAGAAGCCTGCATGCCACAGCACACCCTTTCGTGTCTGAGTTGCGAAACCTCTCCTGCTGTTGTGGAAACTGGCTGAGGAACTTTTATTTTCCTTCTTGCAAGCCTTCGGAAGGAAACTTTCAATTTGGAGGAAACTGTGTGGAGGTGTGTTTCGTTTCCTTTTTGTGCACTATGTCTGAAAAGCTTGCAATGGGCCAGAATGGGCCTGGGAGCGGGTGTGCACAGGGAAACAATCAATAAAACAAGTGGCTATATTTGTCTGTTGTTCTTTGGAGAAGCAGAGGGCCAGGCGCAGGAGAGGGCAAGCGCTTTATCAGGCCGTGTCTTGCTGCAGAGTGCTGCATGTTTTAGTACTGTGTATGGATAAAGCCTGGAAAGAAGAGAGAAAATAAAGAAAATAAAGCGAGCAAAAAGCAGTGGGTTTCTACGGGTTGAAATAAAAAAATAGAATAAAGAGTTTGTTTTTGGAGCATGCAGGTAGTTATAGTAGAAAAGAGAAGAAGGGTATAAAGTAGAGAGATAGCACATGAGAAAGCAGAAACGGTCAGTAAAGCGCAGGGGGCGTGGTCTTCCTGTTGGAGGGTCTTTTGAATGTGGGGGTCTTTATTGATGCGGGTGCGGGTGCTTTCTCTTTTCTTTGTGAAGAGAGACAGTAGAACTAGCTAGATTTATTGGTTAATTTCCTACGCACACAGCTGTTTCCAGCACGCAGAGGCGCTTTTCGGAGCTCTTTGCAAAACTTGCAGAGCTAAGAAATTCGGAAAGGCTCTTCCAAAAGTTTCTCTCCAATGTGAAGGTTTCTTTCCCAAGCTTTTGCAAAACAAACTAATAAAAAAATCCTCTCACTCTGGCTTTCCGCTTCTGAATTTCTTCCCGTTTGCCGGCTTCTCCTGTTCTTCATTCGCGCCTTCTGCATGCACACCCCGCAAGTTCCTCCAAGAGAGACAGTAGGCAGGCTTGTTTTTTATTTTTGTGCGCGGGAAAAGGGAGAAGCAGCACACAGGCGTAGGAGAAGACAGCAAGGGCGGGAGGGAGCGCGGGCGTTCAAAGTATCAACACGAGAGCAAGTGTATAAAGAGGTGCGAACTAAGATGGAAAACAAAGAACAACCCAAAGACACTTAAAACCATCATTCGGGCACAGTGCAAAGTAAAACCGGTGGTGCAGAACATATAACCTGAGCATGCGCATGCGCTGCCACAGACAGAGCGAGCACTCGCGCGCAGGGTGTGCGACCTTGTTCTCTTTATAGCCTATTTTCTTTGATTGGCTGGCTATTTCGGCCTGGGAGGTGCTTCTGTGCTGTGTGAAGAGGGCGTGTGCTTTGTTTTCTTTTGCTTCTCTGCGAAAGCAGTGTACTGTTATCGTTTTGATGTTTTTTGGAAATATATAAGCGCGTGCTTTTGCACGCATGGTTGAACACATGCTTCAAAAAAGTCGGAAAAAGCAGGCGCTGCTGTGCGCCGGGGTGTTGATAGTTGCGCTATGCGCTGCAGGTGGGGGCATTTTTGTGGGCATGCAGATGCGCGAGCATGCGTGCAAAGAAAGTGCTTTGGGCAAGGCAGATGGAATGGGGCTGGCGCCTTTGGGGGCGCGCGCAAAAGACCACCTGAATCCAAAAGCATGCTTAAAAGAGCAGGCATATGATTTTGATGCAAAGGTGCAGAAAATCATGGCGTGGCTCGAGGAATTGAAAAATGACATAGGGCAGACGAAGGCCATGAGCGCTAACAGTGTAGAAGAGCTTAATTGTTTCAAAGAAAATTATGCAAAGTTTTTGAGCGACTTGCAAAGGCATATTAATAGCTTGTATGATGCGAGAGAAAATCCTAAAAAGCTTTTGAATGAGCTGAATAAGCTGAATGAGCTGTATGAGCTAATGAAACGCTTGATTCCAGAAGGGACTCCGTTTGAGTTTGAAAGGGAAAGCGAGGAAGAGGCCGTCGTTGGGGAAGAGAGCGAGAGCCTAGATACGAAAGAGATGCCCTATGAAACTCTGGTTTAAAGACGTGCAGCTGGGCGACTTGCAGGAAACATGTGCAGGGTTGGCAAGGTTTATTTGGGAGCAAAAGGCTTCGAGGAAAGAAAGCTTGGGTTTTTCAAGTCTAAGTAAATCTTTTTTCTTTTTGATTCTTCCATTCTTTATTCATTCATTCTTTTGTTCGGGTAGATGTCTTGCGATGCGCGGCTGCAGGGCGTACTCTGTGAGCAGGCGCCGCCAGAGGACACAGGAAAGGACTGCCGAGCACATTAAAGGCCGCTTCTTTGCTTTATTTTTCCAAGTCACTTGTGCGCGCATGTACTTCAAGCCTCCAGCCTGGTATCGTTCTAAAATTGTTGCACTAGGGAGCCAAAATCTGGGGCTTTGCTCAGAGTTCTCCAGAGGCTTAGACGCGGATGCATAGGAAAAAGCGCTGCAGCGAACAGGCTGTGCCTGCAAGGCTGCGTTTAAGGTGATCCTGTTAGCAGTCTCTCTGGCAGCGGAGCCTGTTAACGACCTTACAGTTAACAACAAAACCTGCAGGCACTGACTCGCGCGCGGGGCAAGAGGCTCACATCACAACTATACAAAAACAATTTGTCTAACCCGAAAAAAATTGTTCATTTAGTGAACTCATAGTCAAAAAGCAGTCTGCGCTTATACATAAATCTTATGTAATTTATACAAAAACAATTTTTCATGCCCAAAGCACATATTAGATTGCAGGTTGGGCTTATATAGGCGCTGCTTGCTGCGCTGAGCCTCACAGGGTGCATGCTAATAGAAAGAGCCCAGCCAATCTTGAGTCATATGCCAGATGCGAAGAACCGACGAGTGCATTGTGCCTACTTCTTCTGCGTCTGGTGTATGATCTGAAGAAGATGGAGTACGACCTAAAGGGTCTTCTGGAGCGCATTGGACAGACAGAGCAGTTGGTGTGGGCTAGGGCGGCGATCCAAAAGCTGCAGGCCTATATGGAAGAGTGCTCGTTCTTCGGGACATTCAACTTGCGCGATTTGGTAGGAACAGGTCGTTATTTAGAATCTGCCATAGCTGAGCGGCTTTACCACGAAAATCGGGAAGTTGCGTGTCTTAGCAGATGGCTTGGAGTTGCTTTCGGGGAGCCGGTCGGGATTATATGTGAGTGTCTTAGATGGCATGGGGCTGGAGTGCATTAATTCGGTTGTGCGCTCGCTGGGTGTGTACGAGCAGGCGCAGATAGAGACCGTGGGGGGCTATACAAGTTGAACTGCAGCCGCTATGCGGTTATAGTAAAGCAACCGGATTAGAACTAGTTAGATTTATTGATTAATTTCCTATGCACACGGCTGTTTCCATTATGAAGCATCCGGGTTGTAATACTGGAGGTGCTAGTGAAACTGCAGTCTTTATTATTTCTCGACCTGCCTATAAAGACATTATTTAATATATCCCGTGTTGTCTAAAATATGCAGCCTCTTAATTAGGCCCGTCTACGCAATAACCAATTGCGAGTGACTATGCTTTCAGCATACAACAAGACAGAAGTGCATATCATAGAGAGGGGGCGCGAGAGGATACATAAAAGGGCAGTTTGACGCAGGGATGTGCGTGTTGACGTTTGGGCGCTGTCAAATGCGTGCACGAGGACTTTCTTTTTCTTTGCACTGCTTCGAGAGACAGGAAGACAGTATTGTTTTTGTAGGCGGGAAAAGAGAGAAGGAGCACACATGCGCAGGAGAAGACAGCGCGGGCAGAGCTGGAAGAGCGCTTTTATATGGAAGTGCGGTCCAAAGAAGTCTGGACAAGGCATAACCCGAAGGCATGCCTGCTTGTGGTTGGTTGTTGTTTTCCGGGGGATATGCAGGGGTATGTTATAATTTGCCCAAATAAGGAAATAAAAAAATATTTAAGCAGACCAGATTTTAACAAAGCACAGTTTTTTACATGAGTACTTCCTGCATTACAACTAAAATCATAGAAAACCGCCGTCTTTATTTGGAGAAAGTCAGCACGGAATGGGCATTGCCGGGCGCACAAGCTATACACACCTGCGTGCAGCGCCTGAGCATGGCGCATGCATCTACAGCAAAGGCTGCGAAAAGGGGATGCTCTCCGCTGGCCGGATGCCTGCGGCTGCTGCTTGCTCTGCACGCGGCCACTCCCCTGCACGCAAGCATGCCGCACAAAGACATGCTGGAAATACACACAGAGCCCATAGGCAACTCGGAGACAGACCAGTTTTTTATCAACGAGAAGGGGCCGCTCAGCCCTGTCAGAGGAATGATACTTAACGAAGAAGACTATGTGTTTAACATGAGATCCATGTTCCCCGGAGTGGTTCCAAGCTACAGAGTAGACCCTATGCCGGATGAATTTTCTAGTTTTGGCAGGCATGAGTGTGCCAGAGACGCAAAGCACGACAAGCCCTGTGCGGATGGCATATACCTGAAGGGCCCCCAAAGCAACAAAGACCAGTACACAAAGTACATCGAGGAGTATGCGTCTGTCATTATCAAAATGTTTCCTTCTCTGGACGGCGCGCAGCTCACGATCACAGCAAACCGAAACGACCAGTTCACGAACTTCCTGCAGAATCAGTGCACGAAAGAGCAGGCCAGCTACACGCTGGCTGCGCTGCTTCTTCTGAGCGAGGGCGTGGACGTGAACATTAGCGCGGAAAATGGGCGGTTAGTGCTCTATAAAGACGCGCGCGCGAAGGAGGAGGTTTTCAACATAAGCCGCAAAGACAAGCGCACACAGGCAATGCAAAAGGAGACGGCCCAGATAGTACGGTTTTTCAAGACGTACAAAAACATCGTGGAGCTTCCGACCACTCCAGATGGCTTTGCAACCGGCGAGTTTCTAAACAGCACGCAGTTTCTGATCCAGGCGTACATATCCAAGTATGTGCAGGGGAGAAAAAGTATGCTGGAACTTGCAGGGTGCGCGCACAGCTTGCTGGTTGGCATGATGCGCGAAGGGCCCGTGTCTCCCAACAGCGGGGACGCTGCATCCGACGCGTTCAAAAGGCTTTTCACGCCCGCGGAGGACAGAAGCAAGGCCCTTGAGTACTTCAAGCCGCTCAATGCGTTGGCGCGTGCTGTTGGCGTTGGGTCCAAGTTTCCGTTTGCAGAGAAATGCTTGGTTCCAGAACCCAGGAGCGTGTATGTGTACGACAGAAAGGCAAACGCGTTCACCAAAGACACTTTTGCCAACTGCTGCGAGGCCGGGCTTCTTGCGCTGGTCTGCTGTCTTGCGTACAACCCGGAAACCGACAAATACGACATGGACGAGCTTCTAAAGGGCTGCCCCGATCCGGCTGCGACGCAGGATCTGAGAGAGTTCTTTGCGCGCACTGCAATTGTTCCTGGCGACAGCATTACATTTCATGTGCAGACACTGTGGACCAAAGTGGTGGCAGGCCTTTCTAGCGACAAAATAGTGTACAAGCGCGGCAGCAGAAACGAGATTAAAACTGGACTGAAAAACGCGCTGTACATTATTGCGCAGATAACAGGCCGCATGCAGGCCGAAGAGAAAGAGATAGACCGCCTTTTGAGCCAAGTGACCCCCGACTCCCCAATTACCAAAGAAATGAAACTGGCTGTTGAAGAGTATCTTAACAAGTTTTTTGTTTCGCTTTCGGTGAACAAGAGGCTGAATGTGCGCGTGCGGAACCTCTCCAGTAGCTTCCTGTGTAGTTCCAAAGAGTCAAAACGCATAGACCTTTATGGGCACATGTTTTTAGATTATTCGGATGGCAAGAAAAAGGAGCGCAGCTCTTTGGTTATGCGATTCAAAGTGGGGCACATGCTGTGTTTTGCAAAATCCGGCACCGGGCTGACGGATGGAGACATTGTGGCGCTAAAAGACGCTGCCGAAGAATACAAGGCCGACCACACCTTTACTTCGTGCCTGCTTGCGCACTGCATCGAGCGGAAGGTGTTTGCCGAGGCGCCGGGGAGAACGCATGCAGAGAAAGAGCAAATACTGTGGAGAATGCTGACTGAGGCGGCTGAGTCCAGCCCCAGAAACCTGAACAGGCTGTTTCTGTACGGGCCTGCGCTTACTGTGCACGAAATGGAGCTGGCCATAGCATGTCTTGTCCTTTGCATGAAGAAGCAGAAAATCGAGTGCACCATGCAGCACCCCATGGCCCGGCTCATCCACAACCTTGTTGGCAGCACGCAGACTCTTGAAAACCAAGCCAACCTCATTGTGCCAGGCATCCTTCTGTCTGCTGGTTTTTTTGACGTGCTCTGCCCGAACATCCAGCTTTCAAAAGAATCCAGGTCCAGCATCATGAGTGGCTTTCTAAGGTCGCTGGATCCCAGTGTTCTTAAAAAGGACTTCCCTGCCGACTGGTCGTTGATTCTGCTGGACTATCTAAGAAACTACTACAAAGAAACAGGGCGCCCTTTGCTGCAGACACAGATTGTGAAGCTAGATAAAAAAGCTGCATTTTTCTTGGCTGTACTCGTTAAGCAAAACACAGCAGAACACGTCCGCTCGTTTTATGAGCTTTTAGAGAAGGATGCGCAAATCTACAAAATGAATATGATGGAGGAGCTTGGGGAAAGCGAGCACGAATTTGACAATCGGATGGAGTCACTGAGAAACACGTGGCTTCTTTGGTTCCTTAAGCATGCCGTACTGGAGAAGCCGGATCAAACCCAGCTTATTCACGAGCTGTACAGTTTTGTTCTTTCAAAGCTGCATCTATACTACCCAACATTTTGCTTCAAAGCGCTTTTCGAAAGCCGTGAGAACGAGGTGCTGGAGTACTTTAAGCAAAATGCAGAGGCCTTTGTGGAAATCGGAGGAAAGGAAAACTTTGACGCATTGTGCGATGTTTTCACGCCAGCCAGATGACCTTAATTACCTGCCTTAGAAAAGCGCGCGGCCGCTTTGCTCGGCGCATGTAGAGTGCGGTGCAGGGGCTGCTTTGCGAACTTTCCCGAGGGTGGGCGTGCGCAGAAGAGGCTTAGAGTCTGGGCATGCTGTGCCCGAAGGGGCCGACTAATTTTTTCGAAATAAACGCTCTTTCAAGATTCATGTTGCATGCTGGAGGCTGGGCACTATTTGGGCGCTGGCTGCTGCAGGATTGGCAGCGCTGAAAAACATTGGCAAATTTTGCCGTGCTTGTTTGGGCAGGCCCAGAGAGTAGAAGGCAGTGCTTTGCGTGTGTATCCCCACATGGTAGCTAATTAATAGAAAAAGAAGCAAAAGAAAGCTTGCTGGGCGTTCTCCATGCAGGAAAAACAAGTTTAAAGGCAGAGAGGACAGGGTGAGGGCAAAGCGAGGGCAGGCGCACTGTTTAAGGTGTTCAAGGACAGTGCAGGCCATGCGGTCTTCACAGAGGCAGCACCGGGACTTCTAGGTAGAACGGCGATAATGGGCCGAGCCTATATTAACTGGTGTTGCGTGCATGCAGCTGTTTCCTGCGCGCAAAAGCGCTTAGAGCCTGCAAGGCTTTCAAATAGAGGGTAAAAACAAAAGACCATCAAAAAGCACTTCTAAAAGCTTCGTTTCGAGCAAGATGGATGCGGTGGGAAGGGGATTGGCAAGGGCACCAAAACCGCAGAAAGAAGAGCCCGAGAAGTGCTGGCGGAGGAGGAAGCGAGCAGGCGCACTTTCAATCGCTCCAGAAACAGCCGCATACGCAGGCTGCCGGGCAGGAAGTGCAGGGATAGTTTTTAGCAAGTTTTTGGTAAAGTAGCAGCCAACTTCACAAGATCACATGAGCGGGTGTGTGGTCTTCCCATGCCGGGGTTGGCTTTGGATCGGGCGCAAAACCAGGCATTTTACAAGAGTTTTTATTTGGTCCGAAAGCTCAGAGGGCGCGAAAAGGCCGCATGCCTTGTGTCTTTCCTCTGGTGCGCGCATGCGCAGCGGCTACTTCTTCTTGTCTATGATTAGCTGGAATATGCCCATCACGCCGTTGAACACCTCCGCTCTGTTGGGCGCCTGCAGCAGGGCGCGTTGGTGCGTCTTCAGAGCCTTCAGCATCCTAGAGGCTTCTTTGCTGCGGATAAGAATCAGGCAATTGGCGTCATTGCATGCCTGGATCGACCTTGGCCCAAGCCTGCTGCCCAGAGCAAGCACCAGATTGGGCGGAGTGTCTTTGTCTTTCAAGCTGGCGAGGAATAGGAGGAGGTCGAAGATTGCCTTGGCATCCATCGCCTTCTCCCGGTCTTTCTCCTCCTTGTCGGTAATAAGCTTGCCAATTTCTTTTGCATTCGACAACGTTTTGTCTGCAAGCAAAAGGGGAAACAAGTCAGAGATAGCAGCGAAGTTTTGTAATTTGTTGCACTGGAAAAGAGGCTGTCTTGCTTTTTCTTTGTACTCTCTAAAGTATTTCGTGATGGCGTTTACTGCGGGCGTGTAGTTGGCTCCAGCATAGCCCTCTATTCTGGTGATGGCGCATGCGCCTCTATAGATTTCACAAACTCTTTTCTTTGACAGGCTGATGCTCGGATGCCGCAGGCCCAGGCATACTATGTGCTGCAGCACATCGTTTTGCGTTGCATAGTCGTCCAGCGGAAGGCTGCCAAGCAGATTCAAGACAAGGCGCATGCCTGGGCGCTCTTGGGTCAGCTCGGTGCCGCGTGCTGCTGCATGCAAAAAGAAATGCTCAGCAATTTTTTGCGCCTGAATATGCTTTAAAGCCAGTCCCAGCACCAAAAGCTCGTTTGGGTGCTCTGGAGCTCTGCCTACAGCCAAACGTTTTGTGGTATGCCAAATTTCTTCAATAAGCTTAGACTTGCGGAGATCCACGTGTCTGGGCCTCCACGCGTCTGCATATCCGGCAAACAAGCACTCGACAAACTCCTTGGGCTCTAGGTGACTGTCCACTGCAAAGAAGGCCTCTTCTTCACCACTTTCAGAAGAAAGGAAGACGTACGGGCACAGGGTGGCTGCTAGATGTCCAGGCTTAAAGGCAAGGCATAAGCCCTGCTCTATCACGCTGTCCTTGTCTGTGTACTTCAGGGTGATTTTTCCATAGAGGTCTTTCTGCCCGTCGCTCCGGGCGTCGACCTTCAAGTCGGAGAATTCCACTCTTAGGCTCTTATCCACGGAGAGAGACTCGAAAAGCTTTTCCACGTACTCCTGTGTTTTTTCAAACACGTCTCCATAGGTCTTGCCAATCTCGGAGTCTTCTAGCATCTGCGCAAGCTCGCGTATTCTCGGCTCTTCCTCCTTCTGCCTGCCTGCTGCCTCTGCGACAACGTAGAGAGCATTAAAAATTCCGGAGCGCACCTCGTTTCTGCTCTCCCTTTTGTACGCGATGTGCTCGCTCTGCAGGTCAGACACGACGCGGTTCCACTCCTGCAGCGTGTCTTTGGTGGCGCACACCTTTGGGCTGACGCCCTTCAACTGGAAGAATTTGCGGAGGGCCTCTGTTGTCTTGTGCCCTTTTTTCTTGCCGAGCATGGCGTCCGCGTCGTATTCTTTCTGGGCTGGGCCGTGTGCAAGGCAGCAGAAGAGCGCAAACAGGCCGGTCTCCACGCAGTTGCTGAAGGTTTCGTCCAAAAACTCTGTTTGGCCTCTCTTGCAGGCATGCACGCTTGTGTACGCCGGCAGCATGCTCGGGCTGACGAACGGGAACGTCTGTAGAATCTTCATTTTTGTCTGAATCATCCTAAGCGGGTGCAGAAGCTCGTCTTCCTCAGCCTTGGCCTTGCTCTCCACAAAGCACGCGCTGTATACGTCTTTGCAGTCTTTTTTCTGCAGGCTTGTGAGGATGCTGTGCACGCACGCTGCGAAGTCCAGAGCATCGCTCTTGCTCGTGATGTACTCAAAGACGTACGCCTGGATAAGGAACTGCGGCGTGTTTAGAAAGTCCCCGGTGCTGAAGGCCTCTGGCGTGCACGGAAGCTTTTCTTTTTGCATGTTCTCTTTGAAGAAGTTTATGACCTGGGCAGCCTTTTTGCACAAGTCTTTTTTTGTTTTAAACACTACTGTGCTGCTTTCCTTTCCCACAGTTTTTCTGTGCTCTGGCGGCAAGTTGCCAAGAATGCTTGTTCCCAGTGTGATCTTTTTCTGTGTGGCCTCGATGGGCACATTGACGCCCTCGCTCAGCAAGAGGAGCGCAGCCAGCACGTAGTGCGCGTGCTGTTTGGTGGGCATCCCCTGCAGAGCCTGGAAGAACGAGTCCTCTCGGGCGACAGCGACCGACAAGGTGTGCCCGTCGACAGACGGAAACATCTCGATGAGGGTGCGGTGGTACTCCTCGGCGTAGTTTTTCCCAGCAGGCTTGGAGCCCAGAGCGGGCCCTTCCGCAGGCGGGTAGGGCTTGTCATTCTGTGCATTTCTTGTGTATTTGTGCTCTATTGTGGTTTCAACATCCCCATCAGGCTCCAGCTTATAGTCGGTTTTTATCTCGTGCGAAAAGAAGCGCTTGTTGTGCATGTAGCCTAGCTCGGAGTACACGAGCCCGCGCAGCAGGCAGAGCGGCCCCCTCGGGTTGATGAAGGCGGTACTCTCTCCTATTTCAGTGCTTTGCATCTCCATGACCTCGTCAAACGACACTCTCGCGTGCGCACAGCGCGCCAGCGCTGCAATTACAAGTGCATAAAATTTTGCGTTCATGATCAGGGGCAAAAAAACGCTTTTTATATACGTTGCAGATGAGCCCCTATCCCGGGCGGACTGGCCTATCAGACAAAAAAAGCAGCGCAGGGGCTGCATGTAACTGGCCAACTGATCATCAAAATGATGGTGTGACAACTGCACAAATACCTTAGAAAAGTGAGCATCTGCATAAGAAAGCCGGAGTCCTGTCTGGCCTTATGTGTTCAGAGCCAGAAAAGCTGGCAGTGTAGTCGTCTTTGCTTATTGCTTAATATCCTGTGCGACCGCTGCTTTCAGCGCGCAAGACTTATTTCAGAACCCTGCCTTTTGCGAAGTTTGTAGACGTAAAAAGAAAGGCGCTTCTAAGAGTTTCTTCCTAATCTGAAAGTTTCTTTTCGAAATTTGCAAACAAAAACAAAAGTTTCTCGATCTGGCATCCTATATTCGGTTTCCTCGCAAATAGTCTGCCTTTTCCATTCTCTATCTGTGCGTTCTGCGTGTACTGTCTGCAAGTCCTCTGTCGCCATCTGCAGCGGTGCTTTGCTGCATTCGGGTTATTCTTGCGCAAGGCATGTGTAGAACTAGTTATATTTATTGATTAATTTTCTATGCAAAAAACAAGGCGTGTGTATATTCGCGAAAAACAAACAGCGCAGCGGGCGGCCTTTGTTGAAGAGCAGCAGCCGCAAAGGTACAATAAAGCAAACACATAAGTATTTAGAGGCCGGAGTGCGAGGCACAGGAAGAGAGCCTGAAAGAGAGAAGACAAAGGGCGAAGCAGAGAAGTGCAAAGAGAGGCCTGGCTGGGGTTGTAGCACAGAGGGAGAGCCTGGGCTGTGTGGATTTAGGTGCTTAATCATGCGCAGATTGTGCTGGTGCGTGTTGTATAAGCCGAACAACCCGAATTTTTATTGGCAGCAGGCGCAGAGCCCAAAGCGCGCAGCGCTTTTCTAGCTCTAAGAAGCGCCTTTTGCCCGCTTGGGAGTTTGGCAGCTTTTTTATTTTTTCCCATGATCAGCTAGTTGCTGGGTAGCATTTAAATGAAAAAACAATTTTTCCAAAGATGAGATTGCTCTTTGGTTTTCTATGTGTGCTGCTTGCGGCAGCGCGGGTGGCAAGATGCAGGCACATAACGTGCGGAGAGATGCTGTCGTGCAAAAGCAGGCCTGTGGGTCGCGTGCGTGGGGAAGACGTGTATGTGAGCCCGGAGTGGGTGGGGCACCCGGTGTGTGTAGCAAAGCTCGGATGGCTGGGGTACATGTACAACATGCGGAGGTACGCGTGCGGGCTGGACACGAGCTTCAGCCTGGTGCCGAGCGGGCGAGTGAAAAAATACGGGGGAGAGGCGTACACGTACACCCGAGAGCCGGAGAAGGACAGGGCACACCTTCCCGATGGCATTGCCAGCGCGGCGGCGTTTGCAAGAGACGAAGGGTACAGCGTGGCGTTCCATCGCGCGCTGGTGCATATGTTCGGGCTGCAGAAGAAGGGGGGCCTGACGGTTGAAACCGGGCGACCATGTTCTTTCACAGAGTTTCTCCGGGAGAGCTGCAGAACAAAAAACGAGGCGCACTACTTGCTGGCTGCGCTGGTTCTTCTGAGCGAGGGCATTAACGTGCCTATTCGGACTTCTGGGAACAAAGTAATTGTAAAAAAAAGAAAAGACAGCGAGGACGTGCTGGTGGATGTGTGCGTGCCAGCCGTGGACAGTGGAGAAAGGCAGCCATCCGAGACGTGGCATGTGGTGAGCTTCTTCAAGCGGTACAGAGACAGGAACCAAATGCCACGCACGTACGAAGAGTTTAAAACTGGAGACTTTCTGGAGAGCCCGCAGCTTCTGATTCTCACGTACGTAAGCGAGTACGTGGAAAACGCGGAAGAGCTCATGTCTGTGATGGAGTGTGCGTTCAAGCTTGTGGAGGGCATGGGCCTTGGCGAGAGTGTGGGAGACGCGGGCAGCGTGGTCGGGCGGCTGTTTGTGCCTGCGATCCGGCTGCCCGAGGCTCAAGCGCATCTCGCGCCGTTTCTAGAGGGGCTTTCCGCTCTAGCAGCCTTAGAGCACTTGGAAGAATTTGACTGCCTTCAAAGAGAAGCCAATTATGCGACCCTAATTGACGGAGCCTTAGATGGGAAGAAGGAGCACTTTGACAAGCGTAGCACGAACTGCAGGTTTATTGGAGCGTGTCTGCTATTCCCGTGCCTGGCATACGACCCGGAGAAGAACGCGTACCGCCTGGAGAGCCTGCTGGCCGGAGCCGAGGAAACAACAGAGGTGGCCAAAACCAGGGCGTTTTTTGAGGCGGTGCAGGAGAGCATAGAAGAGAGTTTTTCTTTGGGCTGGTCCAGTGAAGACCAAGCGCAAAAATACAGGAGGCTGTGGCTCATGGTGCATGCGCAGTTCATGGAGGCGCTGGGGAGTTTGAAGCCGACGGTTCTAAACCAGATACGTGCGCTTGCGCTGATGACCGGGCGGCCGCAGGCCGTGGTGGACGAGCTGGCGGCGCACCAGGCGGCCATGGATGCGGAAAGAAGGACAAAGCTGGGCCTCAAGGAAGCTAAGAGCATTCAGGTGCTTCTGCGCTCAATAGCAGTGGACAAAGGTGTGGTGGTGACGATTAAAGAGAACTACGGTTCCTTTAGAGGCGAAGAATACATGCTTACAATAAGTCGTGTGCCTGAATGCACCAACGTATGTGAAATGACAGTGGTTTTCGCACAAGAAAAGACTTGGATGACAAATCTAAATCTGCCATACCGAACTCTTTCTACCAGAGAGGAGAATATGTTGGGTGTGGCGGTCGCGCAGTACAGGAAGGAAGCGCGGCTTTCGGGCTTTGTGCTTGCGGAGTGCATGCACCGAATGGCGGCTGCGAAGGACATTTTCAACTTTCCAATAACAACAGTCGAAGATGTGCAGGAAGCTGCGCGGTGGGTAGTTGAGTGCAGCGCAGCCAGACCTGCCGGCGTGCTTATGGTGCTGCCGGTGGTGGGCACGCGCTTCAGGGAGGAGCTTGTCTCCGCGCTGGTGCTGTATGCCAATTACAAAAAGATTGCGCTGAGTCCAGAACACCCTGTGGGCCGGCTGGTTGCGAACGTGATAGGGAGCATCGACCTTGGCGACTCGACAAACCGGCGGTGTGTCCTGAAATTGCCTGCAGTCACCGACACTCTGCGGGCGCTGTGTCCAGCGCTGCAGCTGTCCGAACAGTTGCAGATGGAACTTTGGGACTCACACATGCTTTCTATCTATTACGGGGTGTATCCCTTTGAAAATGCCGATCTGCTTACACGGGAAAGCCTTATGTGGCATTTTCGAGCGTATGCAGAGAAACAAAACGAGCCGCTGTTCTGGTGTATTCTGCTGCATAGGCATGCGAACATAGCAATGTATAGCACGTTTCTGTTTTCGGCGGACCCGGTGGCAGTTCTAGAGGAGATATGTGCGCTTGTTCTAGCAGATCACACGGGAGAAGACCTGGCGACGGCCAAGGCCCTGGCCAATACACTGCGGCTGTCCTGGCTGGCGCTTCTTTTGAAGAGAGGCTTGGAGGAGAATCAAGACGCAATTGTCGAGATTTACAAGACTGTTAAGCCGGAGCATCTTGAAAAAGAGCTTGAACAGCTTTGCGATTTTTGGCTTGATGTAAATCTAGACTTTACACTAGACGGCCTGAATAGAGCAAGGAATTTTCTTGTGAGGGAAGGGGGCTGCGCAAAGTTTGAAGCGCTGTATGAACTCTACCGCCAAGTATGCACTAGATTCCAGGAATGACTCGGAAGCTAGCTGTTGTATGCTGAAAGCATAGTTTCTTGCGATTGGCTATTGTTTAGGCGATGAATTGACATTTGTTTAACAGCACGCCATAAACAAGGATAAATTAAATATATAAGTGTTTAAGCAGGTTGAAAAAAAATAAAGGACACTGTTTTACATGACTACTTCGGGTATTACAACCGTGCGCTATATAAAAACAGAATATGCGCGAAAGCCATGCGCTGTCTAAGCAATGAAGGCGTGTTGCAGACAATGCAGAACATGAAGCTGGCTTTGTGTGCCGACGGGGGCGAAGAAAAGTACAAGAACGTGTATGGCGCTCTGGTAGAGGCGACCCAGCGCGACTTGGATTTATCCTCTGAATATGAGGAAACCGAAGATGACAGTGACGAGCTGTAGGCTTCCGCATAGGGAAGCAGAGCACGCGGGGTGGCGAAAGCCGGAGGGCCTGCTTTCAATTTTAAGACTGGCTCCTCAAAGGCCGAAAAATAAACGCCTTTTTCTTTGACGCGCTGCGCGTTATTCGTCGCCATTTTTGCATGGCTTTGAATGCGCCCGCTTTTTGCAAATGCAGCTGCTATGCTGTAGAGCACAGAAAGCTTGTATGGGCCTCCGCCCTTTGGCTTTTTTCCAGAGAGACAAAATATAATACTGCATTGTAGGCTTCTTTATTTATTGGAAGCGCAGGGCTGCGCTATCTTCTTAGCTTGGGCTGCAGCGCTCTGTATGTGTAGTACGCCGATCCAGCCAAAAGGAGCAGAGGGAGTATCCAGAACTTCGGAACGCCCCAAGCAAGGCGGAAAATTGAAATTTCTTTAAGGGAGACCGTTGAGTCGTAAGCCTCGTGTGGAGCCAAATCTGTATTGCATAGATCTTCGACAGCTCTACTGGCCAATATTTCTGTCTGGTCATTCGACCCATTATGCTTGTTCACATTTAAATAAGGTCCCCACACGCTTGCAAGATTTTCTTCAGGCCTGGGCCACAGCTTTCCCTGGTAGTGCATGATTCTCGGCAAAAGCTGAAAAACGTAATCTGAAGGACTTATTGTCATAAAGAATTTTGCAAGCCTGTGCGCATACATTAATAGGTAAGTTAGAATCCTAGGCGTTAATGGCCTATTTGGAAGATTGCTAATCATACTGGCGTAGTCTGGATCTTCCCATGGTGCCATAAGACAATTTCTCATTACACAACTATGGGCAAATTGTGATCCTACCACTCGTAGATTTAAAAGCATAAAAAATATAGCTGGTAGGACCGATAAAACACAGAACCAGCCAACGCTCGCCAAAGAGCAGAGCTTTGCTGGAATTGGAGCAAGGTTCAAAAACAACACATGCACTCCAACCAGAAGCGACTGAAAGAATATCAGAGAGATGGGCCAAAAGTGCCCAACTGTGCAGTATTTGACGATGGTTTTGTCCAGGACGCGGTAAAATAGCACATATAAGGACGTCTGGATAATAAAAACAAATAGAGAGGCTCTAAGCAGCATTTCTATTGTCTGTGCAAGTATAAAGTCTCCCACTTTTATCGTTCCTGTTTTAATGTTCTGCTTGCACAGCTTGTAAAACTTTGTTTTTGAAAGCGTGGATGTGATTACAAAGGCAAAGAGCATAATGATTGTGCATTTGCGTTGCATTTTCTCGAAAAGAAACTGAATGCACAGGTTATTTGCTACCAGCTCTATGGTTCTGTCTATTATGTGTATTTCGTCCGGAGTAACTGAGTTGTTGGCGACAATTTTGTTTTTTGCTTCAACAACTTTGTCCACTTCATTCAATATTTTTTGGGAGTTGGAAGAAAATGAAAACAGCGAAGCGTCAAAAGCTACTGATAAAATCCATATAATAATCGTCCCGAAAAAAGCCATGCCGAATATAGAGTATCCTCTAAAGTACCGGTCAAAGTAAAGCGCCCGTCTAACCAGCTCTTTCATGTTAACAGCGCGCGCCCGCAGAAAAGACATCTCGTGCACAACGTTTCCCTCTGCCTGCTTTGCCTGCGGCCTGCTCAGAATTGCATCTACCATTTTTTGTAGAGCCTGCACATTGGCGCGGTCTGTGTCATCTGCACAGTTCCCCATACAAAGCCGCATGATGTAGTTTACGTAGAATGTGTCGCTGGGGAAGGTGATTCCTGCGTTGGCAAAGTGCGCCTTCATTTCGCAGGTGGGCCCGCAGTACACAACCGTGGATTTGTGCATCACAATG